AACCCTAACCCTAACCCTAACCCTAACCCTAACCCTAACCCTAACCCTAACCCTAACCCTAACCCTAACCCTAACCCTAACCCTAACCCTAACCCTAACCCTAACCCTAACCCTTATTAGAGACTATAAAGACTTATTATAAGACTATTTTAAGTTCTATAAATACTCTAAAGATCTTAGTAATATTTTTATTATATTCTAAGTTACTATCGAAGTACTTAGTAAGATATAGTTTAAAGTAGTATTAAGTATAGCCTCGAAGAAAGGCTATTATAAATAGACTTTACTTTATAGGCTTTATAGAGTTAAACTCGAAGAAGATATATATCTAGTTAAACTAGTCGTCGAGTTTCTTTTAGTCTCTATAATATAAGTCGGGTTTAGCGACCTTTATATCGTCGTTAGACTAATTATAGTTAGTAGAGCGTACTATATTAATACTTCCTACTTTACTAGAAATAGAGATACTCTACTTAAGTCTTCTAGTAATAGATATTCTTAAAGATATTTAAAGTATTATATACTATTATATTTATATAATATAAGTTAAGTAATTCCTTCGTTATAAGTAAAGTTAGTACTTATCGAGTAGTCTAGTAGTCGATAGTAAAGTATTACTTAGCTAAAATATAATCGATATAAGAGATTAGAATAAAGTAATAAGTTAATTCTAATTAGTCGGTTTATAATATAAGTTAAATACGAACTTCTAACTATAAAATCTATTATAGCTATATATAAAGGAGATTTATATCTACTATCCTTAGATCGGTATAATTAATATAATTAGTGTCCTTAATTAAGCTAATTAACTAATTAAAGTTCTAATTAGTACTACGGCTTACTCTACTATCTAATTATTCTATATTGTTTATCTAGCTAAGTATTCTAGATACTAGCGGGCTATAATATAAGTCGAGCTAAGAGTACTTAAGATATTAGCTTAACTACTTACTATTAAGTATAGCTTAATAGCGAGTAGAAGGTAACTATTAAGTATAGCTTAATATAAGCTATAATAAGATATAAATCTCCTTTATATATAATAGTAATAGATTTTGTAGTTAGAAGTTCGTAATTAACTTATATTATAAATCGACTAATTAGAATTAACTTTCTATCTTATTCTAATCTCTTATATCGATTATCCTTTAACTAAGGAACACTTTACTATTAACTACTAGACTACCCGACAAGTACTAACTCTACTTATAACGACAGAATTACCTAACTTCTATTACGTAAGTACGACGGCACGTAATAGTAACGGATATATCTAAAGGTAATGTCGACGAAAGACATAGAGATTAGTAGAGATATCTCCTCTACTACGGGGTATACGCGGTCTACGAAACCGTCGGCCTCTCTACGAAGGCTTGTAGTACTTCCGCCAGTCATGCTCTTCCTTAAAACCAAGCACCTCTCTAATCTTCCGATTGCTTAGCGGCGCTTCCCACTCACCCATTTTCCTCGTAATCTTCGTGTTGGGCTCGTTCTTCTTCAAGAACTCCTCCGTCGGCACGGTCGTCGTAATGGTATCGTTCGTGGCATTGAACACTTGGAACCCGAGACCGCTCTTCTGGATGCAGAGATCGCAGATCTGGCCCAGGTCTCGCGCATCAATGTACGACCAAACATTGCGACGTCGTGTTTCGGGCTTGTTGACATGTGTGGGGAAGTCGCGCTCGTACTCATGCGGTTCGATAACGTTGCCTATTCGAAGGACGTAGATATCATTGCCGTATCTTCTCGAGAATGTTCTCGCCGTCCGCTCCCCGCATAGTTTGCTCAACGCATACGTATCCATAGGATCGACGTCGTAATCCTCCTCGCAAGGAAAGGAATGGTAGTCCGTCACGCCTTCGGAGAAGCAAACCCCATAGACAGTCTCAGAGGAAGCGATCATGATCTTCTTGACGCCGAGCTTGGAGGCAGCCTCGATGACGTTGTAGGTGGAGAGGACGTTGCCGCGGAAGGTCTCTGAGTCGGGCACGAGCATGTTGCGGGCGTAGGCGGCGAAATGGATGACCACGTCGGGTGGCTGTTCAGGATGGCCATATTCGTAGCCCTCTAAAACACGCACATTGGTCAGCGGAGACTACGTGCAACGAGGTGAAGTTGGGTGGCTTCACCAAAGTTATAATGGGTAGTCAAGGCGTTGAAGACCTGGCCGGAGTCGGTGAGGTCGGTCTTCAGGGTGAAGATGCCTGCATTGGGATCCGGGAAGGGAGCGAGGTCGAGGTTAAGGACCTTGTGGCCTCGCTTGAGCAGCTCGGGGATGACATGGCGGCCAGCCTTGCCGCTGCCACCGGTGAAAACGATACGCTTGCCTCCTGATGCCATTGCGAATGATGTCTTACGAGGGTAGTGGGTAACAGAAGGGAAGCAATGGGCGTTTAAACGGGATATCTTGGAATATAATAAAGGACTCCTACCATGCAGGTACTACGAACAGACTTTGTTGCGCTACAGAACTCACCATCAATTTTCCCACCAATGCTTTAGGCAAAATGCTGCGTGCGATGATGATGACCACCACCACCACTTTCCATTCGCAGCTCGAGAAAAGTGTCATGCACCCACGTCATCCCCCAAAGATCGTGCATAGATCGCCTGTGGTCCGTGCGTGCATCTTTCTCTGGTCGAGACAACGCACTGCATCGCTCGGCAAGCGACAACCATCATACTGCAACATCACATTCAATGGAGGAACTCTTGATTGTTAATAGATGACGCCCATCAGGCTGATGCGCCCGTTCCTGCCATCACGTCTGATCCCAACTCGCCATGCCGCCCTGAAGCTGATCTCCCGCGGGAGCGCGGCGAGGCCATGCAGCGACCCGACGGCCTGCCTTACGAACTGTAGGTGCTTCGCTCAGGTCCACGATGTCGATCGCATCAACCGGGAGGTGTGGTTCACCAGCGCTGCACCGAGGCTCAATGGACTGGGTTTGCAGAATGACCATCAGCCTCCGGATGAGCGGACACTGCAGTTAGGCAAGACCGTCCGGATCCTGCATGACCGGTTGCCAACATTGCTGCAGTCACCACTACCAGGAGACATACTGAGTCCGCAGATCACTCTACATCTCTTCCCATCCACGCATCCACATCTGCCGACTGTTTCGGGGAAGATAGCGTACAACGCCGCGCTATGGACCGCGCCGGTAGCGTGGGGCAGGCTGCCGCTGGTCGGCAACGTCAAGCTCACCATTCTTTCTGAGCGCATGATGCGGCATGGGGGCAGTGCCGTACCTCTAGCGAGCAGGGATGAGAAGCTCATTGTGAAGTGGAAGACGTGCGGCAAGACCAAGCATCGAGACCCGACTGGAGGCATATACCGCGGGGCTACTGGCATGGCAAGCAAGGACCCCATGGATCGAATCAGGGAGTTTATCGCCGGCACGAAAGACGATCCTGCTGACCAAGAAGAGACTGCAAGGCGGATCAACGGTCAAGACGAGGAGTTCTGCGGCCTCTTCCTCTTCGAATTCGACGAGAAAGGTCGGATAGTCAAACATATCATTGAGCACACGGATGAAGGTGGGCACTGGGACAAGACGGCACGAGTGGTGTCGGTGACCGACTGGTTGCTTGGACGCTTCCATGGCAGGAGTCGAGAACCTGTGCCTCAGCTCGCGTATTGTGAGGAGCGGCCGACTGGTGGCAGAATACGGTTGGTAGACCGGAGTCGTCGCGCGGTGTGAGATTGAGCGCCCTCGAACAATGAATGCTGCATATCAAGATACCCTTGGGCGTTGCTGCTTCTGAACGGTGATCGTGCCGCACGGATGGTGGTTGCGGTCAAGCTCGATCGCGCGCATGTGCTTGGTGTCGATTACATCTCCTACAAACACGACGGTTGCTGTTCGCGCCCTGACATAGCAGCACGTATATTACAAAGCGCAAAACGAGCCGTTAGTGGTGTGAGAGGACAAGGATTCGCAGGAAGCCACAGCATCCGGCATGCCGGGATGTCAAAGTACCGACTACCCTGTAACGTCGCCCTCTGCGAGCTCTTCCGCCGATGATATCATACACAAGCGCCGCCTCAGCATCGACAGCCCGGACTACAGCTCGAGCACAAGCAATGTCCGGGCCGTCACGATAAGCGGCCCACCGGACTCAAGGACTTCGTTCAGTGTCCCGCCCACTGTACCATGTCACGCACTGGTGAGCTTCTAACTGTTTCGATGCCACAGTCGGCCCGCCGCCTCCGAGGAGCACAGTGAGCGCAACGAACAGCAGGACTCGTCGCAGATGCCGTGCGCGAGCCCGGTCAAGACGATCCAGCAGGCCAGCCAGACGCTGCCACATGTCAGTACCATGTATAGTGCTTTCTCACCCCGTTTGCCATCACATCACTCACAGCCAGCCAAAGACACCTGAACCGACGGATGCAGCGATCAGCGGCTCTCGCAGCCTCTCCTTGGCTGTCAGCGTGTCGAATAAGATGGGGCCTAGGATTACGAAGATGTGTAGGATGGAATCGCATGGTATGTCAGTCGTTGTTACCCCGGTCTTCGCAATTTGTACTAGCGGGTTCGCGAACGAAGGGAAATCCCATGGGACCGTGCAAGCTCACAAAGACACCCAATAGAATGAACACAGCCCATCGACTACCGGACTTCCGTGTCCACCGAGAACTCAGGAGCCCAGGAGGCTTTGCTGTGGGCTTTTCGTAGAGCCTCAAGACGCTTTACATAGCTCCATCAGCTCATTGCCAGAGCTAAACATTAGCGCTTGCGGGGTTTTACTCTCCAGAGTTGTCATCTCGCCATGGCGTTCGTCCACGCAGATGTTTTCCTTGGAGGTGAGAAGCGTAGGGTTCGGTCCACAGAGACATGCCGCCCAAGGGTCCTTTCGCACTCCAGCTCTTTCGTACCGTCTTCGGATGTTTATGCATTCGTTAACGCCTTCTCAGCACCTAAGACGGGCCGCTCACATACCGTCCCACAACACCAAGCGCTACCGGCAAGCAACGACATCAGTATATCAGTGAAGGACCGACGCCACCACTCCGCTGCACGACACCACGAACATGGCGTCTCTATTAGGTCCCGTTTACTCCCTCTAATCCCCACAAGTAGACCGGTCATTGCCGTGGGACGATCTGTCAAGCATGGAATATGATATTGCGCTTGAGGAGCCTCCGGTGATGACTTCTTGTAGGACTTGGGTGTTGGACCCTCCCTGCGAGCGTGAGCAACGCGGTCAGTGCTATCGGCCTAACCGGCGGAGGAGTCGACAAACGAACCAGCATCGGAAATATGGCACCAAGCGGGAGCCATCAAGAGTCCTTGGCGCCCCAGTGCTGGATGGTTCATGGGAAGTTGCGACATGAACGACCCACTGGTGGGCACACATGGTCCATGCCAATGCATTCACCTCAGTGGAGGTGGTCCTAGGGTCCCTTTAGGTCCAAGAACGCCAGCAGCTATCCTTCCTTGGGTGCGTCAGTGAAGTCAACTTCTGTTAACCCAGGCGGTGAAAGCTGTCGGTGGGAAGGGCCATCAGGACTTGTATCGCCGTGATTGTGTCGGTGCTGCTCAAGGATGTGGCACTATATGGTGTAGAGTTGGAGCTGCTTCGCGGAAAGGACTTCCTGTGGATCAATCAACACGGTAGAGGAGGTCCGATGGGAATGACTTTGCCATTGCTGCTTACTGATGTAACAACTTATAGCCTAGCCATCCAGATGTTTGGCGGAGAAGGTTCTTTTTGTACCGATGAACGCAAATCTGGAGGCTTGATCGTAGCCGTAACACATCTGCCATGCTCTTGAAGACGAGATATATGTCTGGCCCGAAACCCTAAGGAGTGTCTTCCAACTCGAGCTACACCAACGTTACCACTGATCTTCTTCCGCTGGTCCGCTGCCACTTCCGCGGCTTTGATAGGCATCTACGGCTATTTCAACCGGCGAGCTCGATACCAACTTACCTTTCTTATAACGGGTTTACTGTGCTGGCCCGTGATGACCGCTTCATTCGGCGTCGAGCTGTTGGTTGGAAGCGTTTGGGCGATGCCATGGACGACGTTCGTCAGTCTCCTTGTCAGCGATGCACTACATGCTGCAATTGCCGCCGTAGGGACTACGACAACCTCTTCGCCAATTGTTTCGCAGTGTAGTTCCGCCTACGGTGAACGGATTGGAGTAGTGGGACAGGGCGACAAGCAGACAACGGATGCTTAAACTAGCATTTAGAACGAGAAATGCGACGCCGAGATTCGCTTATACGGCCCTCCTGGTCACGACTCGCTCGATAGATAAGTAGCTGGAGGGCCGCAGCCGCTAAAATGCTAGACATTTACCACCAGATTCTTTTCAGAACAGCTCTACAAAGCGGAGGCGGCATCAAACAATAGCCTGAAACAGGCAGTTTCTGTTTGGTAGTGGTATCTGGTCGAGAGGCGTTAAATCTAAGCAGTCAGCAACTACTGGGGAATGTTATCGGAGTGGCGCCTGTTCATCCACGCGCGCATGTTTCTGCTGACTGCTGATGCACACATAATGGATTCTCACCGCTGCGTAAGCTCTCAGACAGTTCCAGCCATTACGGAGACATGGCTCGTCGTGCATACTAATTGAAGACACACACATATCACTAAGGTATGTGCACGCGCACCGATGGCAGACAGCACAGTGAGAGATCACAAGCGTTTCTCTTTTAAGCTCAGCGTTACCGATTCGATCTGCAGACGTCGCTTATGAAACCTTCGAGAGTGCCTCACGGCGGCCCGTACTATTCTCATCCAAATAGGGTCGCTCTCCCAGACTGACAGCTCGCTGTCCAGTCCTAGGTCCCAGACCATCATAATCATACGTCGCGGTATGGAACACGCTGCGATTATCCCAGATGGCAACGTCATTCGGACTCTGCCAGCGGTATCTGACTTGAAGGTCGTGGTTCTCCGTAATGAGCTGCACGAACCATTTCAACAAATGGTCGCTCTCGGACACTTCAACCTCATTGATACGCTTTGCATGATGACCGACCGCATAGATACTCTTCCAGCCAGTGACGGGATTGGTACGAACCACTGGATGAACCGCTTTGAGATCCGTCCCTGTATTTTCCGGCGCACCTCGCTCACCGCTGTAGAGCTCGAAATTGTTGTTCTTGGCGCTCTCATTGAAGATGGGTTGCGCGCACGTCACCGTCAAGGTCTCGAGGAACTTCTGGTAAGCTGGCGAGATCCTGTCGTAGACATCATAGCCGGAGGCCCACAACGTATCGCCGCCAGTCTTGGGCAACTCGGTCAGGCGCAAGATGGCATAGTCGCTGGGAATGGGCTCGAAGGTGATGTCGCTGTGCCAGCCTTCCTTGCTGCTCTGCTTCTTCGTTTCGAAGCGGTTGGCATAGAGAGTCTTCTGCTGCTCTGAGGAGATGACGCTGATTTGATCGTCGTTGCCACCAAGCTTGCGACCGCTGTTCGATACTGGGTGGATGTGCAGCTTCGATGTGGATGGCTTGCCTGAGAGCTCGCCCAACTTCTGCGCCAGCTTCTTCTGGAGGTCATTATCCAAACCATCTTGACGACGGAAGAAGACGACGCCGCGCTGCGAAACTGCGGGCTGTCAGACGTCCATCAGGTGCAGAATAGATCGTACGATAACACATACTGGTGATAGCCAAGTCCCTGATGAGCTCGTCACTGTTGGGCGCATCGAGCCACTCCTTGAGGCTGACGTTTGGATACTCCCGCCCAATGACAGGAGTAACGTCGAAGGAGTCATACTTCTCCAACGCTCCGCTTAGCTGTAGCGGAGCCTTTGACGATGACCCAAGGATGCCGGCTCCTCCAGTGGAGTTGCCAATAGCAACAGTCTCGGTCGAGGTGGCCATTGTCGGGCTTGATTAAGAGATCACCAAAGACGCGCGCTCCGGTAAGGATAGGCGAGTGAAGAGCATTCGGCAGTGTATGCCAGCGCCTTTTATACGAAGGTAGCAAGCATGCCGCAATAGCAATTGCGCATCACGCCATGTACTCGTTGCGAAGGTGTGATTGCGGTGCATTGGCCGAAGGATATACTGCTGGGGTGGACTGCACATGAGCCCCACAGGCTGTTGCGTGGGAACATGCATGGGTACTGATTGCGTGATCAATGGCCTCCACGCCGAGGACGCACGCCATGGATTGGCAGTGTGTCGCGAACATTGCGAATCAGCCTGGAAGCTCCAGAAGAGGAAGGTATATGATTTCTGGCCAGCAAAGCGATATTAACCGCATGTGATTCTGGCAACTGCACCGTCTACCCCTAAATCTATAGAACCTCCCATCTCCACGTGCTGCCATGTGAACACTGACAGCCGATTGAACTCTATACCGACATAGACGGAAGGTCGTCTGCTCCCCATAAATGGCTTGATCGACAGCATGCTCTGCTAGATATTCATGACCGTCGCATGGCGTGCTTACCATTGACTACGACGCAAATCGGAAGTCAAGCCTCTTGTTGCCGCGATCCTTCGTTGTAGCCAGGTAGTGCTGCTTCTCATCGTCGGACATGCCGCGCCAGATTCTCTCACGGGAGCTGTAACCTGTATCAGCATAGCGCCGTCGCACATTACTGCCAGAACGTGAACTCACCGATTGACGTAGACATAGAAGCCTTTCACAGCAATGAAGAGAAACATGTTATACACGCAGATGCCAATCAGGACCTTGTTACCCGTGCGGTACCAGGGTGCATCTTTCTGACGATAAATGTTGGACGATATGATGTTCGAAGCTTGTACGCAGATGTTGTACATTGCCGATGCAACAGTCCGGGTCCGGACGGTTCCTGCGTTGCGACTGGTGATGGCGACCAGTATGGCGTGAATATAAGGGTAGCCGACCAAGAGCGTGGCGCAGGCCCAGATGCCCCATGGCGTGGTGTTGGAAGGAATGAGCTCAAGCGTGATAAGCAGCGGCAAAACCCACAGCTGTCCAAGGACACCAAGCAGCAGGCGTTGATTGATCTTCTCGGACAACCAGGTCCAGAACAGCAGCTGCAGTATGAATAACACATACGCTGGTATAGTGAGCAGGTTCGTCTCGAAAGTGCCGAATCCGGCAGACCTGAGGGACAGAGTAATATAGGCAGTGATGGGCGTCTGACAGCATATCAGTAGACGACATCAGTAATGCCACGAGCGGCTTACCGTGGGAATTGTCCAGCTGAGGCCGATGAGGTAAACAGGCCACATATGCCAGTCGGTCAAGCAATCCCAGAGCATTCTCAAGCTCAATGCTTCGCGATTGTGCATGTCACCTTTGGACGGGTCATCACGAATGACGCGGTTAGCAATGATCTTCTCCTCCTCCACCGTAAACCATCCATGTTTGCCCCGAAATCGGCTTGCCGTCTGGTAGGGACTAGGAGGGAGATAGAACCAAGCGAATATCCCAATCAGCCCGGTAATTGTACCCTCGAGCGCAAAAAGCCACTGCCACCCAGCTAGCCCGTGAACTCCTCGGAGACGGAGAAAGCCTGACTTAGGTTAGCAATAGCGTCTTGTCTACAACTCGGATCTACCTACCAAAAGCAAGGAAGGCTGACACAATCTGCGTAGACTGGTATGCGACCCAAAACCAGCTCAGACGCCTTGGTAGCTCCCCACTGGTGTAATAGTAACTCAGGTACAGAATGGTGTCCGGGATGAAGCCGCCTTCGATGACGCCGAGCAAGCAGCGGCAGATGTAGAACGATGTCTTGCCGCTCAGGAAGGCTTGCATGCTGGCCACTAAACTCCACGACACCATCTGCACTGGAATCCATCGATCGGGACCGAGCTTCTTCGAGATCATCTGTGAAGGGAGCTCTGCGCAGAGGAAGGACAGGTAGAATATGGTTTGACCGTAATTGTAGTCGTTCGTGGTGATCTTGAGATCCTTGAGCATGTTGTCACTGAGTGCTTGTACTATGTTTCCGCGGTCGAGTTGGAGAGCAAAGAACATTAGACATGCGAATGAGCAGATTCTCCAGTCGATCTGGCAAAGTCAGCCATGTAGGTAGCAATGGGGCACCGACAATACGCACCTTCCGTACGAGTCTCTTCTCCACGGACGGGTCCCAGGTATAATCTGGATCAAAGCGGTGTATGCCTTCCCAATTCTCGCCCGGTTGATAGTAGGACTCCAAGCCTTTCATCGCAAAGGTCGCACTACCCTCGGATATGTCATCCGGAGACGGCAAAGAGACGACATTGGCCGTCTCGAAACCGACAGAAGCTTTCCTGGGGGGTTGCATTGCGAAAGTAAGCGAGAAGGTTGATTGGAGCTGTGTCGCCTCGATTGGAGCGATGCTCTGCCACACCTAGAGACACTGTGGCAATATTATAGAGCTCTCGAGAGAATACTGATGGGAAAGGATGGTCAACTATCCGGGACCGGTCTAATATACGGTAGGCAGGCCTACCACCACCAGTAGCCTGCATGACGGGCACAATGGCGAGCGACAGCCAAGGAAGTGCTTGTGCGCCGAGAATGTCTGCGACCGACTTCTGCTGGCGCCGTAACGGGAAGGCGTATACTAGTCGTATAGAGGTTCGATACAACCGTGCCCTCCTCACGCAGCATCAACAGCTGTGGTTGGTTTGCGATGGGATGAGATACGGGTCCGGCCCACGAGCACGCCATTTCTGGCCGTCATGACACAGCTCGACCAGCGACTCATTGTGTAAAGTGTAAATGCAAGTGTGGGAGGAAGCATGCACGATCCGCATGCGTTGGGAGGAGTCGGATAAGCTGTGGACCGTCCATGGGTCACCCAAGGAGTGGCGTGCGAGCAAGGCTGCATCGCGCAAATCCGCGCTCTTTGCACGCAACACGCAACCTGCATATTGGCAAGCACTGCATTCTGCAGCGGTTAGCATTGACATTGTTGAAGGTCACTGACATCGCATGCGGGATGTGATGCGGCTTCATGCTCTAATGGATCGGTCATCGCGGTGGTGGAAAGGACCTCGGTTCCAAGCGTCCACAGGCTTGGACAGCGTGAATCGCATACACGTGATCGTAGAGCAGCCCTGAGTTTGAGTCGGCAGCCATTTCGACATATGCGAAAGATGCAAGACGGTTGACGCCATTCATTGTGAACGCCTGCAATTGGATGGTCAAAACGAGACCTCGCGAAGGTGGCACAAAGTGATCATAGGGTTAGGGTTGATTCCACAGTCTGTCCGCGCATTCGATGTAGAGACTCATGGCGAAAGTTACACTTGTACTTCGTTCCCTTTTGAGTATAGAAGGCAGTCCGTGTTGGGACCTCGCTTCAGACTCCGTAGTTTGCCCCTGATGAACGACATCGAGAATGTCTTGCTTGACATCGGTACGTGCCCAAAAGCGACTATGGCGAACTCTGCGTCCCTAACCCCATCACAGAAGGCACAGTTTGCCCTATCTCGTTTGTCAAAGATACGCTCGTAAGTCATACTCGACGACCCACCGTCATCTGAGATTGTCCGTATGCTGATCGCCACAGTTCCCATACGCCATCAAGGCTCTACCCGAAGTTCTTTCTACTCAATGGGACAAGCTTTCATTCTTACCTTACCGTGACGCTTTCCCAGCCGAACACCGGAGCTCCCCAGCAGAAATGCAGGCTCACGTTGAAGACCTAACTAAGCGGGACGTTAAGATTGCCTATCTCAAAAATCTCCAAGGCTACCTCTGGGAAGACGGCTACAAGTCTGGCGCCTACTCCACCCCGCTTTTCCCAGATGTGATTCCGCAGCTTGAGCGCTGGCGAAACGGTGGCGTGCGACTAGCTATCTACTCCAGCGGCAGTGTCTTCGCGCAGAAGCTGCTGTTCGCGCATGTACAGAGTGCGGACGCGGCCGGGGAGGCGACTGGAGACTTCACTTTCCTCATCGTCGAAGGCGGCTGGTTCGATACGGTCAATGCGGGGCTTAAGACAGAAGCGGCGAGCTACCGGAAGATCGTCGAGACGATGCACTGGTCCGCGGGGAAGACGCTCTTTCTCACAGACAATGTCAAGGAGTACGATGCTGCCATATCTGCAGGTCTGCAAGCGGTCTTGCTTGACAGACCCGGCAATGCACCTGTTGCTGAGGCGGACAGAAAGCGCATGAGAGTTGTCGGAAGTCTAGACGATATCGACCTTGGCTTCCACTCCCAAGTCGCGGAGAACGGTGAGCGATTTCCGCCTGTACAAGGCCCGGTCACTACCAAACCTAGCCAGAATGGAGATATCGGAAGAGGCCGAGTGAACCTATACAGACCATCATCCCTCGAAGACGTCCAGTCTAAACGGTCACACGACGACGTTGGCGACGGAGTGGAGCCGTCGCATATTAAACGGCAGAAGGCAAGCAACGACACAAGCCTGGAGAAACTCGTTTGCAATGAAGACAAGGACACTAGTCCAGAAGAGCAGAGAGCGAAAAACCCGAAGTACGCTTTCGACCGCTCGGCCCATGAGCGTACGGAGTTCGTGATGGGCGACATCAGCGGGGCCGTTACGGCGGAGACCGAGGATGTGGTGCGCGATCCGCAGGATACCCATCCGTGAGCGTCACACCAAAGTCTTGAACGCCGACCTTGAACATTCCATCGGCCGAATGTCTGAGGCTGGATCGCGTGGGAGATTTCTAGGAGGTTGGGATAGCTATGGCCCACCAATTGTCTTTCTCGTAGCCAGCCTCAATCACCCTACCACCGGCCAAGCGAATGTTGTCCTCGAGCTCGCCTTTACGGTACAGATGATAGTATCTATGATACGTTCGGTCTCCAGCTGCCTCACCATCCGAGGCAAACGACTTCGGGTTGCGCATCACCCAGGGCACCATGACGTCCTGTTCGTCATGCTCAGTCCAGCCGCGCCTGCTGCTCTCCTGCTCGAGCGCCCAGACGTAGATGAGCGCTTTCCCGTTCGGCTTGAGAGTTTCCAGGGTAGAAGTGATTGCGGCGATGCGTCTTTCTGGGGTTGACAGATGGTGGATGACTGCGATGGAGATTGCGAAGTCAAAAGCTTGCCGCGGATGTGGCAGATCTAGGATGTCCGCCACGATGACTGAGTGTGGTTGATGACGGGTGGCGATGCTGACCAGGTTGGTGGACCTGATCTGGCATCAACAGAATGAAAGGAAATAGAGAAGAAGTGCAGTGTTCGACCTACCTGTCCGAGCCTATGATGAAGATGTTGCGATTGACAGCTAGATACTTGCCGTTGCCGCAGCCTACATCTAGCCCCACTGAGCCATCAGAAAGATTTCTGAGGAAGCGCTCAATGATCGGCCATGGCTTGCAAGATCAACATCTCTTCCAAGCAAACCACGGCTTGTCGGACCTTGGCTCACCTTGTATCGGGTTGAGGAGAAATGGGAAGCGATCTGTTCGTAGACCGAGTGTACGTGCTGTTCCTCGTACGCTTGGCTTGTTGTAGACTCAAGAGCCATGGCTTTCAGCCTGCCATCTCCAAAGCTCAGGAATACACCTGCCTGAAGACGTGGATCCAGACAGTTAATAGGAGTGGTTTGATCGACGTCTCCCGCGAAGATGAAGGATGGGTGCACGAATGCAGTCTTCCGCACAGACGTTGCGGACAGCCGCTAGCGTGCGATTAATGCTAGCGAATCAAATACTAGAAGGCAACACTCGCCATATCCACTTGTTCGGGAAAAGTGATTCTTTAGCTACCACATCTACTAGAGGGCGCAGAGGCTTCAAAGACGCGTGCCGTCGAAGGTTGAGTGTGTGCTGTGGCGGCCGCACGTGCGATCCCATGGCGCAGAGGCGCGCTCAGCGGTCAAGGTGCTTCTCGAACACCAGCAAACCATGTGCCGTTTTCTACACGCCGCAGCGCCTACGCAATGCCCGCTACGCAAACAGAAGCAAGACATACTCTTACACTTCCTTCCCATTACCAGCGCACTCACGACTCGCCCTCTATCCTCTGCACGCAAGCGCCCATCTCCTCGTCGGAATATATCCGGAAACCCTTTTCCTTCGTCACGCTCGCCAGCTGCACATTCTTTGCATCCAGCTTCTCCTCCATTACCTGCTTCAGCGTTTTCAACACCAACTCTTCTGCTTCGGGGAGAGTGAGCGACTTATGGTAGGACGACTGCAACTCGGCTTGCGCGCCTTCGCTGCCGGAGCCGATGGCTTTGGCGTCGTAGCGGTAGAAAGTGCCTGAGGGTTCGGCATGGTAGCTGAATCATGCCATCAGTAAGTGGGCAAGAGCGAAGCGAAAGATATATTGATGCGTACAGCGACGGCCCATCCTCGTCGTATCCCGCGATGAGCAATGCCACACCAAACGGTCTGCTCATAATACTCTCCTCCTCGTCTCCATCCGCACTCTCTCCAAACCTCAGCGCCAGATCACAAATCGCCTGCGTACAGCTCTTCACCTTGATCGGCTCGCTGTAGTTGAACGCATGGCTCTGGCTCGTCACGCGCGCATGCTCAATCATGCTCCGCGCATCCGCCTGCAGCCCGGACATAGCACATCCTATGTGCCGGTCGATCTCGACCACCTTCTCGACGGAGGAGGTCTCGAGCAGGGTGGAGGTGATGCGCTTCTCCACGCCAAGGACGGTGCCGGCGGAGGTGGTGATGCCTATGGCGGTGCTGCCGAGCTTGATCGCTTCGAGGGAGTATTCGACTTGGAAGAGGCGGCCTTCGGGAGAGAAGGTGTTGATGCCGCGGTCTGCGTCAGCATTAATTAGTGGAAGCACGTGAGATGGCAATGCAACATGGTCAAGGACGTACCGTATTCGGACCGCGCAATGAACATTTTGTCGGTGATTGTTGGCCGTGTAGAAGTAGATGGAGTGTCGTGTTTGTCTTGTATGAAGCTGTCGTCAAGCTTCGGTGCCTGACTGCGGATTTAGACCCATTTCAGCGGACGGAAATTGCCCAATCAAGCAGTGATACGCCTCTTTCAATCAATTTGCGGGTAACGCGTAGCGCGTCCGCCCCGCCATGAGCGGAAGGCACACGATCAACAACGTTGCGAGAGAGGGGCGGAACATGAGCAGAACACGAGTAGAGTATGCGAGACGTTGTGGGAAGTTAAGGTTGAGATACAATGGCATCTCTCCCACCCTCCCGCACCGCCAGCGCCGCTGAACCCCGCCGCACCGCCGCCAACCTCCGCCAGAAAAGTCGGCCCACTTCCGCTGCGCTCATCGACGACAGACCGGACTCGAAGGCTTCACTTAATCGCAGAACCTCAATCGCCACCACAGAGACACGCACAGAACGAAGGGTCGTAGACGAGCGTTTTCTTCGCCGGACGAGGAGTCCTGTCAAGCCGGTCAATGGCCGAGTTAGCAGAGACTCGGCGGAGAGGCCGCAGAAGGTGAAGACGAATGGAAACGAGAGTGCACCAACTGCGGGTATGTAGAGTGTGCGTGCTTGTCAGATACCGTGCATGCATGTTGCGTGCGCTGATCAATTCCAGCATCACCATGGAGTCCGCAAGCAACACTACTTCCGCCCGGCTCGAGCGCACCACTGGCCTGCAGGGTGTCCATTCCGCCCTTGTCTCAACATGCGCCTGCAGCAGTGCATCCGCCACCGATGAGCAATCTCAGTCTGGAACAGCAAGAACGGGCGCTGATTGAAGACTTGTTGTACGTCTTCATGGGCTTCGAGGGTCAGTACGTTCGCTATATTGAATCGTACAACCCTCTGGACGAGAAGAGCCGGCTTGTAGGACCTACATTCCGCATCGCACATGGACTGGACCCGAGTCTGCGCGACCTGGCGAGCGGTATGCTGAAGACTGCAACGCATTACGCCTCGATTGAGGTTTTCGTGGAGACGATGGGCAGAGAAGAGTGCGGCACAGTCAATCACGCACTCTGCGCTGCTGTTCGTAAAATGTTGAAGGAGTACTTAATCCTGATCGCACAGTTGGAGAACCAGGTTTTGACCAACAAAAGCTTCACCCTACTTCAAATGAACATGCATCTCAAGCCTACAGGTCACATGATGTCGCAACTGTACAGCTTGGCGCAGGAAGTGCTCAAGGAGAACAGCATGCTCGGTGATGCTCTCGAGGACGAGGTCGATCAGTCGGACGAGTTCGAGAACATCCTCGAGTCACTCCGTGAAGGCCGCGACACTGCCATCCCGGGCAAAAAGACATGCAAAGGTGGTGCCGTTCTACGCTTGATCACCCGTCGTCTGCAATCATCCGCAGGCGACCCGACTGCCTCCCAACTTCTGCAGACTCTACTTCGTGAAAGCAGCCGGCCATACATGCGCATGCTCAATGAGTGGCTCCACCATGGCAATGTCCGCGATCCGCACTCGGAGTTCTTAATCAAAGAACAAAAATCCATACGCCGTGAAGGATTGCAGCAAGACTACACCGACGAATACTGGGAGAAACGCTATACCATCCGACCCGAGCTGGTCCCGCCACAATTGGATGGCGTCAAAGATCGCGTACTGCTAGCTGGCAAATACCTGAACGTCGTCCGCGAGTGTGGCGGCATTACAGACGTCAACCGTGACCTCGCCAACAGCGCGGAGGTACCTCACACCTTCGACGACCCACACTTTCTGGAGAACGTCAGCTTGGCATACGCCTTCGCCAATCGGAGCTTGATGGCCCTGCTATTAACAACCCACGGCCTGCCGGCTCGACTGCGGAGTTTGAAGCACTACTTCTTCCTCGACCGCTCAGACTTCTTCACGTACTTCCTCGAGCTGTCGTCTTCAGAGCTTAGGAAACCATCCAAGAACGTCAACGCGGGTAAGCTGCAGAGTCTGCTGGACATCGTGTTGCGGCAGCCCGGTAGCGTGGCGGCAGAAGACCCGTTCAAAGAAGACGTTCGGGTGACCATGTCCGATACCGGCCTTACTGGCTGGCTAATGCGGGTAGTGAATGTGCAAGGCATGGATGCAGATGCCTCGTCCGTGTCCTTGACATACACAGGCGGCGCTGGTAGCACGAGTGGGAAAGAAGAGAAGGAGATCACAGGCTATGAAGCACTTACGCTGGACTATGCCGTTCCGTTTCCGCTAAGCTTGATCATCTCACGGAATACCTTGACGAGGTATCAGCTGCTATTCCGCTACCTGCTCAGCCTGCGGCATCTGGAGATCTTACTCACAAGCAGCTGGACCGAGCACACGAAGGCGCCGGCCTGGATTAAGAAGACGAGGCGGAAAGGCTCCACGGACGGAAACGCGGACGTGTCAGCCAGAATCGAGCACTGGAAACGCCGCGCCTGGTGTTTGCGGGCAAGGATGCTATGTTTCGTGCAACAGCTACTGTACTACTGCACGAATGAGGTCATTGAGCCGAATTGGGTGGCGTTCATGGGGAGATTGAGCCATGCAGCAGAAACGGAGAAGTCAAGCGAAGCACAACCAGAGCAACAGACGGAAGATGTCCCGGTCAAGGCCAAACGAACAGTCGACGAATTGATGCAAGACCATGTCGACTTCCTCGCTACTTGCTTGAAGGAGTGCATGCTGACGAACAGCAAATTACTCCGCGTGCGTTCTTCCCTCTCCTCCCCTCCTGCCTTAAGCCGCATGCAACCACCTCCACTAACCAATCCATCTCCATCCAGATCAACTCAAAGGTAATGGCCACCTGCACCCTCTTCGCACACACCACCGCCTCCCTCACCAAATCCGTCGACCTCGCCACCGACGGAGACGCCGCAAGACTGGACAAACTCTACAGCATCCTGCGCCAGTACGAGGACCACTTTGCGCGGCACCTGAAGATCTTGATGGATGCGCTGAACTATCTGGCTGCGACAGAGACGGTGGTGTTTCTGGGACTCTGTGCGCGGTTGAGTGGAGCTGGGGAGGGAGGTGGAGGTGGCGCACTTGGGAGGGAGGGAGATATAGGAGGGTATGGTTAAAAAGAAGTACATGCTTTTCGAGAAATGGGTTGGGTGACGACCGGGGATTCTAAGCGCTGGCGCTGTCGGTGAAGAAGGGGATGATAGTTTCGAGGACCGCAGTTCATCGATCAAAGTTAGCATGAGTGAGTACGCAGTACTGCTAATATCGCAACTCGCTACTATTACTTGCTGATATGCCGATGCTTACCCAAGCCGCCGCCGTGTCGAGCTATTTCACTGAAGCTGGGCCGGGTGCAGGAAAGTCAGCGGCTTAGCATCCCTTGAAGCACATTCAGTTGAAATGCGGCTTTCACTACCGATTCTGCACAGCCAAGTGGACAGTCCCAGCCACCCTTGCGTTTCAATCGCTTCTTGTGGCGGCGTCTACAGACTAGACCCGGCCCTGCGAGTACGGTTCACACCCTTGGCCGCTTCTGCTCCGGCTCTGGCGATGCGAAGCCTGCAGTCTCGGACGACGAGCGCTTGAGAGCGAGCGTGTTGGTGAAAAGGTTGCCTCCGGGCCGGCTCCTAGGGCCTCGCATGGATGGTCCATGGCCTCGAGCCGGTGGTGTGCTGCATTGTGCACCGCTGAAGACGCCTCTCCCAGAATGTGGAATACCTCGGATGGACTCCGTGTGACCTTGCGGCGCCCTAACGACGCCTCCCCCACCTCGTTCTCGAGGCGCCGATTTTGTTGCGGGGCCCGACTGCGGTGTTGAACTGGTCATAGCGTGCTGCGCTACTGGCCATGCCGATGGTATGCTCCCTTGGAAGCTCGACATGGTTCGGTCCGCTTTGAAGTAGTCGGTTTGCCCGTTCGTACAAACGGCCTGCGCATGAAGTGTACTGATCTCGCTACGAAGACGTTGAAGCTCGGCCTTCTGATCCTGCACCTGCCCCTCCAGGCTTTCCTTGTCGGTCTTGGCTTGCTGTCGCTCCGTCGCTATAGCCTGCTTCTCGCGCTCGACTTCACGTCTATCGGAACGCAGGCTGCGCTGGTCGGCCCCGAGCTGCAACGCCTCGGTCTCGGTGGCTTTCTTTTCGGCCTCGCATTGCTCCCTATCAGCATGTAGTCGCTGCCGCTCAGCTTGCTGCCGAGCGCTTTCGGCTTCCAGATGCTGCTTGTCATCGTCGATCGCTTGTCTATCGGTCGCAAGGGTCTGCCTGCTAGCCACTAGATCTTCTTGTCCGGCTTTCAGTTCCAGCTGTTGGGCAGCGAGTGACTTCATGACTTCACTCCCCAGCTCTCTCTCCTCTCTAATGAACCGCGGCAACTGTATAAGGACATCCCGGGCGCTGTCGGGAAACTCATCGAGGCGAGAGATGAGCTCAAGCAGGAACGAATCCGTCTTGTACCGGGCATCCATCACGCGGTACGTGACGCTCAAGGTTGGTAACGGCTACCGGGTGTTGTTCAGTCCCGACGCTCTTGGACGAGGCTGGTGAGTACGTCTACAGTCGTGTAGAAAGTCGTGCAGTGCAGGAAGCCGCAGCGTGGCAGAACTTGGGTCGACGTTTGGCGTTCGAAAGGCACGGAAGGCACGCAAAGAGTGAGTGACATAAGGAAGGAAAGCACATCAAAGTGGGTTCAGATCATGATAGACTGAACGGCAGAACTGGGAAGCGTTGATGCCATTGTCACAGAGTTAGTTGTTTTCACGGTTACAGTTCCATTGTGCTGGCAACCTGATACGTTGGCACTGGTAAACGGTGCCTAAGTAATCATCTCAGACAGGACGCACTAGAAGCAACCTTTGACAATGCTGTACGCTGCTGTGGGTCTTCAATCCTTGCTAATAGGCTCCCGCTCGGCGTGTCGTTCGACAAGTTGCTGTACCGGCCGATCGAGACACAAAACAACTTCGGTGGTGGAGCGAGCGCTGTGCAGTGTACAAAACGCCCAGGAAAGTTTCTCTCCATGGCACTCACCGCCGACTATTACAGCTCCACATGCTTCCGACTGCTCAGTCAAGCGAGGCTGATGTTGTAACTCCTAAAAACGCTGACGCCACTCGGGGCTGTCCCTTCGCATCTAAGACCTGGCTGGGATGGAACATTGTACACTGCCTGTTCGTGCATTCGATACCCTTACGACATCTTCGGTAGGAGCATGATTTTGACGCCGAAGCTTGGCGGCAGTGCTGGCATGTCGCTTCTGCGCTGCACTTCACGTGGGTTTTGTGGCAGTTGCTGCAGGTTAGATTGGGCCAGGACGTATTCACATCGACCTTGAGCTGCTTTGGCGCTTTGTCCGCTTGATCCGCTGAATCCGGGAGCGGACGCTTGCTGGAGTCCGGGCTAGGACTTTGCACTGGCGAGCCGCTGACTGTTGGGAACTGAGAAGCGTAGCTTTCGAGAACCGACTGGGATGTCTGCACAGGCTGGTTGGCGCTGACTAGTGCCTGAGGGCAAGAAGCCTCGGGGACGGACGCCGCAGTCTTGCTGAAGACACACCCTTGTGCGTTCCTGTTGTCGAACCGCCTGCCTTGAGCGTAGTCCTCAACCCTGAGCTCTTCGAAGCTGTGACCTCGATAACATTCCTGGAAGGTGATGGATTGGGAGTGCTGCATTCTTCCACCAGCCATCATTTCTCTCTCCAGAACTTCTTGAAATGGCATGGCATGCGTGCCGACTACACGCGACTGCGTCCTGGAATTTGGATCGCGGTTCTCGGCCTCCATTTTCTGTCTCTCGATTTCGGCAAATTGCTCGTTTGCTGCATCTCGCTGTTCTTTGAGTGCTTGCCTGTCGACTGCAAGCCGCTGCCACTCGGAGTCAAGGCTTTGCTGGGCTGCCTTGAGCTTATGGACGATGGTCCCTAGATGGGATACAGCCTGCAGTGCTTGCTGATCTGCCTCCCAGGCGCGCCTTTCGTGGCCCAGTGTCTGGCCGGTCGACGCTGATATCTCCTCTGCATTTTGTAACTGGAGCGGCCCAGCACAATGCTTAGGCTGGCAAGCGTCACGCTGCTCCCTCTCTGCCTCGATGACGCGCGGTAACTGCAAGCCAAACTCCTTGGCCCCGTGAGGCAGCTTCTCGTAACGTGCGATTAGTTTCAAGTTAAGCTTATCAGTTTCGCGCTCGGCATCATGCCTTTGCTGGATAGCGTTATACTGCTGTCTTTCTGCCTTGACGGCCTTTGGCAACCGCACGACAATCTCCTTGACACCGTCCGGCAGCTCTTCGATACATGCGACAAGCTCCAAGTGAAGTATATCTGTTTCGCGCCGTGCATCCATTGTGCGTTGCAGATCCTCCTTCAGGTGACCGAACGATGTTGATGGACTTTTGGAGCTTCGAATGAATGCAGGATCTGCATGTCCCGCATCAAGGAAGGAAGGAGCGACTGTAGCTAGTGAAAACTCAGGCCACCGCTCTATTGTGGAAGTCACGCTAAGGGTGCAGCATTTAGCCGATTGAGCTGGGAGGGGGGTCTCATATTGTTGAGCACGAGATTGCATGGGAGCTTGCTAAGGTGATACGTAGATGGCAGGTGGACTGATGCGATGCAGGTAAGGGCTGAAGCGATTCAGTACAGTTTAGCAATATGTGCCAACTCACCGGCATTCGCCAAGCTCACTCGCATGTGCTGTCGAACGTGCAGTCACCTCGTGTGCCACCTTGATCGTGAGCACATGTCTTCGCAGCGTTCCAAACCAAGACGTTCTGGGTGCACGCTGCCACGCCCGCACCGAGGCTTTCACGTCCGCCTCCGCCCATGACGTTCCCTAGCGTCTACGCTTGATGGTCCGAATGTCCCTCAGCTCCCATTGCTGTCAAGCTCCTGTCCCGGATGCACTCGTGTGCGGAGCCCATCGTGACAGTGATAGCCGAGAACGCAGGATGTGTATAAGCAGTTGAAGTTCGCAGGCAGCATGTCACGACAGCACTGACAACGCTTCTCCCCGGAACAGTTAGCGCGCCTGACGTGGCAATTACCGTACTGTGGCTGGGGTTGTGTCTCCCTAGGGAAAGCTGAGGTCCTCTGCTGTTTCGACTTCTTGGCTGCCATTCCTCCGGTACGGCAAACGGAACCTTTGATGCGATTGTCTGGCGGTCATGCGTAGCTGTATGAAGGCACGCATTTGCAGCGTCCTTGAGCTGTCTTTCTGCTTTGATGGCTTGGTGTAACTGCTTGGGAAGCTGTCTTAGGTTGGTCGATAGGTCGTCTTGGTGAGCCAAGAGCTCCATCACCAGCATGTCTGTTTTGTACCGCTTGTCCATTGCGCACCGTTTGTCATCCGTTGGCTTGCGGGCCGTTTGTCGAGTAGTGAAGGGTTGTGTTGGTTGGTCGCATGCTCAAGGAATGCGAATCCGTCGGGAGGAAGATGCCGTAGTGTTGAGAAAGTGTCATGCATTTTGGCGGTCGCCTTGGTGGTGTTGCATATGGATGGCTCGCTTGCGGTGCGGAATGGCCCGGACGATCAGGTCGCCGGTCATGCCGAAACAAAAAGGCGCGCATCTTCACATTGCTCTCCAGTCATTGCTCAACTCCCAAGCATATCCTACTTTGAACACCTTCTCCTCATCCCACCATCGTCCGATCACTTGCATCCCCACAGGAAGTTTCACGCCCGTGCCGACCCCTGGCCCTTCTGTCGGTAGCAACAGACCGATCGGCATAGCCAAAACCGGGTGTCCAGTTTGATTGAATTGGCACGTATTGCTAGTCAATCCCACTTGCTTTTTGATTAGGTCCAATGGGGTCGCATCCGGTTGCGGGTGGCTCGTGGCTACGTACGGCAGTGTAGGCGTAAGCAGGACGTCGTATTGCCTCAGCGCATCATTATAAGCATCTCTCAGTTTGCGCGAAAGGTTCGTAGCACGGGCCAGCAGCTCTGGGTAATGTTGGGCGGCGTAAGCGCCGTTGAGGTAGATGTTCTTGGTCGCCACGTACGCCTTGTCCCATTGCGAAGGAGAACGCAAGGCTTCCAGAAACAGGCTGTTAAGATCATACATCGTATGTCCTCGCCGGCCGGGAGCGCCGTACATCTTGGTGAGGTAGCCGCCGACTTTCGATACGCCGGTCCAGATGTTGGGACCTTTCGAATGAATAGGGATGCTGACTTCTTGGACGGTGGCGCCGAGCTTTTCGAAGCCATTGGCGGCTTGCAGGAACAGCTCCTTCACTCTTGGGTCCAAAACAGCGACCTGGAGACTCTCTACGATGATGCCAATCTTTACACCTGACAAGTCCTGTGGCTTGTCTTGTGTTGTCAGCATGTCAAAATACTTAGGTATCCTGTCCGGCAATGGCGCGCCGTATGAGCGGTCATCGATATTGTCCGTACCGGCGATCGCTTGCAACAACAACGCATTGTCCAGTACTGTACGAGTCATAGGTCCGAGATGGTCATTCGTAGGCTCATTACTGCCACAGCCGGTATATGGGATCAGGCCGTGTGTCGGTTTCAGTCCCACGATGCCGCAATTAGTAGCTGGGATGCTGGTAACGCAAACAGAGTGTTAGCAACAGCTCAACACCATAGAACGGCGAGTGTACTGACCGCACAGAGCCGCCTTGGTCGGCGCCAATGCTCATGTCCGCATCTCCAAGCGATACAAGGGCTCCACTCCCGCTACTGCTTCCGCCAGCACTGTAGCCTCGTCCATGCGGGTTCTCAACTGTGCCGGTAGAGCTGCTATGGCTGGTAGCACTGTGGCACAGGTTTTCGCATACTGCTTTGCCAGTAACCTCGCCACCAGCTTCCAGTATCCTTGTCACGACCGTCGCATCAATACTGGGAGTGTAGCCGGCGACGAATTCAGTACCCATGAGCATCGGCACGCCGGCAACGGAGATCATGTCCTTCAGGCAGACTGTCTTGCCAGCAAGCAAGCCATTGTTTGGTCTTGTATCTTTGATGCTGCAACGCCAAGCCCATGCGCCATGAGTGTTGTTATCCTTCGATGGAGGTCGGATATTTGTGCGTGGGAAGCGGGAGAGGTCTGGCTGCGGTGCGTAGTCTGCATGTAAGATCAGTGTATCGCACACAACAAGCTTGTGGGCTTGCAGCCTCTGCATACCTTCCATCTGCATCAGTTCTTTCGCGCTCTCATCAAAGACCGCCAGCAGCTTCCGGTAGTCTTCCTTCTCTTCATGCTTGAGCTTGACTCCGAGGCTGCTGCACACATCATCAAGGATTTTCGTAGTGACAGTGCTCCCGGTTTTCGGCTCAACAGAGAAGACAGACATTCTTAATAGCAGTGAATACAGGAGACACGAAGAAAGATCACTTAGCCTTCAGTCTGATTGAGACATAGTAATGAAGCTGGCCTTCCGGCAGCATTGATCCGATCGCGTTCGGCGCTTAGGACAGAGTGTACAGTGTCCAGGGTTGGTATCGTGTGAATATTTTGCATGATGCCTATCTGTACTTCGTCCGCCAGCGTGAGCCGAAAACCATGGGCAATCGGGCAAGGAAGGTGGTGTGCTGAGGTAGGTACGGCTCGGCTGTTCTTCGGCGGTTCCAACGTTCCTGGCCGAGATAGGCGCCGTTCACTCACATCAGCGTCTCTAAACAGCTCGCTGTATCGAGCATCGGCTTAAGACGTGCCGCAACTGTGCGAAGCACGTACTGTAGTGTGTAGACGCCCCTACGCCGAGGATATGGTTGTAAAAGGTAGGTCTATTGATCTCGTCGCATGTCTCCATCTCCTGTGAGATCCTGACATCCGGAGCACTACGATCGACACAGTGCCACGCATACGGTGTTTCATGGTTTTCAATTCCATTGCTATCTAGGTCTAAGATCGATACCGGCAACATGTCTCAAGCTCACCCTCAATACCTCCTCCCCCGAGACTTCGAAGGATTCGGCCTTGCGAGCCGTGACTGCCAATGGCCCAATGGTGCCCGCATAGCCGTCTCCTTCGTCCTAAACTACGAAGAAGGCGGCGAGCGCTCCATACTCGAAGGTGACGCGCATTCCGAACCTTACCTCTGGGAGAAAGGCTCCTCAGGTGGGCACAAAGAAGGCTCCCGCTACCTGAATGCGGAGCAGGACTTTGAGTATGGCAGCCGCGTCGGCGTTTGGAGGCTTATGAGGCTCTTCAGCGAGTTTGGGTGGAAGATCACGATTTACGCTGTTGCAAGAGCGATGCAGTTGAACCCGGAGTTCGGGAAGTACTGCGTTCAGCAGGCTGGGCATGAAATTGCCAACCACGGACTCAGGTGGCTGGACTTCTGGCACTATGACCTTGAAGCGGACAGGAAGTATGTCAAGGACTCGTGTAATCTGCTCAAGGAAGTCACCGGTGAATTTCCGGTAGGCGTCTACTTCGGCCGCTCAACCGTGAACACGCCGGGTATGCTGCCGGAGATCTACAAGGAGATGCATAAGGAGCAACGTACGCCGAAGTTGCTGTATTCGAGCGAGTGCTACAATGACGACGTGCCATATTGGGTCGACCTGCCGTATGAGCAAGATCTTCCTGAGAAGGAGAGGGAGGGAATGCTGCTCGTGCCGTATTCGTACGACACGAATGATGGCAAGTTCCACATGGCGCCTGGTTTTATGAGTTCGGCGGGTCAGAGCTACGAGGAGTACCTTAAGAGTACATTCGATATGCTGTATAGGGAGGGCGGCAAGATGATGAACATTCCTCTACACAGCCGCATTACTGGTAAGGCTGGCCGATGCGAGGCGCTGAGACGGTTCTGCGAGTACATCAGCAAGAAGGAGGGTGTGTGGGTGACGACGAGGCGAGATATTGCTTTGCACTATCGTGAGAAGTTCCCGTACAAGCCGGGCAGTCGTAGTGGTGGGAAGTAGTCAAGGTGAAATGTAATCAACAGTGTCTTGCCGAGCCCATGTGAATTTGTACAGAGGGCGAGTGCCCATTCTACGCTCAAGATACAGCGCCTTCCGCCGTGAGTCTGACTTGTTAAAGAGCAGTCGAGCGAAGTGGAGCGTCCAGCCTGGTCGAGACGTCTCTACATCGTTCTATGACTCCTTGGGACCTGGCTTGCTTTGTACCATGCCCAATCCACTGTAACCTTGGCTGCTGATACCGGTGATGGGCTCGACCTTTTGTTCCTACACGCGATACACGGGTCAGTGTCTTCCAACAAATGCCATCACAACGCATGGATGCGGAGACGCTAATCTCAGGTCTGATTTGGCCCGGCTTCTGAGTGATGAAACGTACCTTAAGATACTCATTGCTAGCTTCCTGCCATTCCTTGGTCATGGTGCGAGGTGCGGGTTTGGCGAAGGTACGGGTGATTGCGAACAGGATGGCGGCTGCTCCGACGCCAATCATTGTGTAAGTGAAGACCTTGAGGTTCTCACCCGGCGGTGGCAGCGTGCGAGGACCGTGAGGACCGAAAGCGATCCAGTAAGCTGCAATTCATACCATGTCAGCGGCTGGGAAATGCTCGACCAAACTTGTGTTCCGATAGCAATGCATTGCGGCTGTCGCGTGACTGTCCCGAGTCCTCCCGCATCATGCCGGTACGCTTGATTCTTAAGCCTTATGCTTGGCCGATAAGGAGCGTTCAGGAAAGAATATAACGACATACCAGCCTTCTTCTCCTGCAGCGTCAGCTCATTCCAGTCCGCCTTCATCCGGTCCCTCAGCGCCATCCACAGGTCGGCCTGCTCCTGGGGCGGCATAGCCTCCCATCGCTTCTCAATATTGGCCAATGTCGGGTTGCTAATCGCGTGTGCGCTGCGTGACTGTTGAGCAGCTGGCCGCGCCAAAGGTGTAAGGCAGGCCGCTGCTGTTCGGCCGGAAGGGATGGTTGTAGGGAGAGAGCGGAGAACGGTGGTGCGTAGCATGTTGGCGGTGGCAGAACAGCCGAGCTTCAATGAGCCGTGACAATGGTGTGAGTGAGCTCAAGCAGCCCTCACTATTTGTGCAGTGTGACCTGGGCGGGTGTTGGTTGTAGTGTTGCAGGTCCGGAAAAAGCGCAACTGAAGTCATTGGCGATGCTCCAAGCTGTTTTTGTGGCCCCTGCTTGATCCCAAGCTAGTGAGCCCTAACCCTGCCTAAGACAATCCCGTGCAACACAACATGCAATTTGACGAACTTGTAACTCACCCTGTCGATTGCCTATTCCACCGTGAGAGGAGAGAACAAAGCAGCAGATGCTTGTGCACCTGTACATGATCTTACAGCACGATCATTACATGGAGATGTACGGGTATTTGGGAGACCCTAATTGCATTGGCACTACGAGGAGTTGGATTCCTGCCCTGGACATCGACACTTGATAAAGACTTCTCTTGTGCCAGGCTTTTGCAGCTACACACCATTTCTCGAGCCGGACTTCGCCCTTATAGTCCATCCTCTGCGCTCATACTGACTCCTTTTCCGACATCGCCGACTCGACGCTCGCTTCCCGGGCAGTGTCCGGCCTGCTCTCGAACACCTCGGCTTCTTCTACCTGATGACTGTGATAGGATCTCCGCTTCGTGCTACCGTTCGGAATGTGAAAGCGCTGATCGATCTCCGCCACCAAGAACAGTGTCAGGATAATGATCTCAAGCATGAACCCGAAGCAGTAGAAGCACGCTTTCGAATGGAACCACGCCGGATCGGCGCGTGGTCGCGGATGGCTCCATGTCACGCCAGCCTTGAAGCCGGCGATGAGGGCACAGAGCACGCAAGATACCGCAAGAATAATCGACTTGAGGTGCATCTCGCCTTTGCCGAAATGCTGTGGAGTCGAGGACTTCGGTAGGATGTAGGAAGTGGCCAAAATGACTGGTGCCATGGCAACGATAAAGGTAAAGTATGTCAGGCCGAAAAGCTGACAGTCGCGTGCCACTCTCAGGTAGTAGCTGCTTAGAGTGTAGCTCGAGAATACCACCATACTGATCAACAGGAAAATGGCGATCATCATAACAACCAGAAGTGCGACCAGGCCGTAATGCAGGATCCGACTCCAGCCAATCTCCGGTTGTCTCGCACACAGGATGCGATAGGCGAAGAATAGGTTGATGACGTAGACGAAGATGATGCCGACATTGACGAAGATGTTGGCGGTGATGATGACTTGGATGTTCCTCGGTTCCGTGGCCCAGGCGATGCGGAGAGCACATGTTCTGCATCGTTGCGTAAGCTAGAGCTTCCAGACACGACATCAATTGCAGAGCTACTTACATTATCCGCAACAGGCAGAAAGCGACTAGGAACCATGAGAACAGGAACTTATGGCCCCGCCGCAGGTTCCGGACGAAGATCGTGGCGTTCACGGTACCAAAGCAGAGGTAGAGCAACAGAAATACCGCGCATAGCGGTACGTCGAGGCTTAATGTGGGTTGGCCACCAAGACCAGCCGTAGTAGGAGCATACGGAGGCCCTCTTGTAGCTTGCGACATGTTGAATGGAGTCGCTGATGTGTAGGACCGCTTGGAACCTCGTAATATGTTGTTCAGCTTCTGGGAAGGCTACTTCTGTGCGGGACAATGAGTGTGCAACAATAATTCCACAGCTCGAGCTTTGCCCTCATATACCTCATTCCAATCCATTAGTCGTCAGGCAGGCGTGTGTTGTGAATACGGACGAAATGCGGACAAATCTTCCTGCGGGGAAGGCTCATGCGATTGCTCCAGGATCTCGGCCCCGACGACTCTGCAGTAAGCGACCGAGAGCAGACTGTTCCAAGTTACTCACGCCTTTCTACAACGTCGGCACATCGCCTCGCATGTGGAAACCCAGTTACACTCAAACGGTTCGTGTTTTGACAGTATCGCAACCTTTCTGGGAAGCACAAACCGCAGTGGAAGCTGCAATAGTAGTTTGCTCGTATGAAAAGTCACAACATACGCTGGGACGCTGAATAACAGGAGTGTAGTCTGGATCGGGATTGGTGTGGCGGCTGTCCCTCTCACTACAAGAGATCAAACGTGCTGTCTGACCGGCGCACGGCTTAAGGTAGGAATTTGGGCCGAAAGCGGCTCCGTATCGAGACTCCTTTGCCAAGCTCAGCCACCATTACATCTGGTGTTCATTCGCTCGGCACCTCACGTTCGGCGGCGCGTGCATACCTTATGGCTGAAGAAGCTGAACGTCGGGTCCGTAAGGGGACGAAAAGGTAGGGTATAATGCTTGCCGTCTGTGGCTTCGCTAACGGTTATACCCTCCGCTTCCACAGCTGCGTCGAGTGCAGGTCAGCAGGATGATGTGCTTGAAACGCGGAGGGTTCGTTAACGGCTGATCCCTTCAAACCAGACAACGCAAGATCCGATGCCTGTGGCCGAGTGAAGATGCTGAAGTCTGCAATAACTGTCTCGAAAAGCGACGCAGATGCGTGCCTCAGCAGGTCTTAAGCAAGGACCCCGGTGCGTTGAGACTGACCTCTAGAGACCGCATTGCCAAATTAGAAAGCAATGTCTCGTCGCTTTGGAAGCTCGTCCGCAGTCTCGAAAATAGGCTGGCGGCTCATGATGGACACCATCCGAACCCGACAGTTGAGCCCGACGCTGTCGTTGAGCACATGGCTGAGGCTGGCTATGATACCGAGTCGAGCGACGAGACCTCCGCAGCCAACCAACCGACCCATCTCCGTCAGCTGTTCCAAGACGGACCGCTGGACTGGAAGGAACACCCTGCCCCAGATACGCCGCAGCGGCTAATGCGGCACGCTTCGGTAGGCCGACAACAACGAGCGCGTGGCGCACTGCGCAAGATCTTGCCATCTAGAGAAGAAGCTGCGGCGATTGCGGACCAGTCTACGACCTGGATCGGCTTGAATGAGTCGCTCTTTTCCATAGGACACATTCCCGCTGACAAGGCCGCAATCTCCAGACGGTGGGAAAGCGCACATGAAGACAGTGCTGAGCCGACTGAAATCGCTATGCTATTACTGACGCTCGCCTTGACCGCCGTCCAAATGCCAGCGGATGCCATGCCGAAGTCACCCATTGGTTTGATGCACGGACATGACTTCGTGCATAGCGTATCTGACGCTGTAGAGTCGCTCATAGTGCAAGATGACACACTGGCTGCCTCCATAGACGGGCTCGAGGTTTCCATTATCTGGGCGCGATTGTGAGTCTACATTGTTTGTTTGGCTTCTCACAAGTTAACCGTGTCTAGACAACTCGTTGTTGGGAAGATCTCAAAGATGTGGCTAACGCTCCGCCGTGTCGTAGCTCTGGCCGAGCTAATCGGCCTGCCTCGTGCATCTAACAAGGTGCCCGCATCCATGGCTCCGACGCCACCAGAGGACGGAGCCCGCAAGGCCGAAGCAGCCATGACCTGGCGTGCCATCTGCGTCGTTGATAGGCTATGCGCCATGATGTTCAACCTACCCTCGGGCACCACGAACTATCCATTAATCACTGACGAACCTGTAATACAGGATGGCGAGCTCGTGCCTCGCCTCTATATGGCACAGCTGGCAGACATCTCCATCGGCGTACAGGACATTGATCATCTATATGCCTCGGGTATATCATCGGCGGAGCTTTGTGACAAAGTGCTCAAGGTTGACCAGCAACTACGCCATCTCGCAAGCTTGGCACCTCCAGCCTTCTGGGCGCAGGATGCTGACGTTTTGACACCTTCCAGCATCCTGCACCAGTTTCACAGATACTTGACCGCACGTACCCACATACAGCTTGCCTTGAAGAACGGTGCTGGAAGCCAATACGCATATAGCTACGTAGTGTGCAGCGAGGCTTGCACCACGTACGCCCGTCGCTACACTACCGTTCGTAGGCTTCTGCCACGCGGCTTCTTCGCGTCTCGCGTTTTGGATCTGCAAGCACTTACAGCGGCCGTGTTTCTGGTCCACAAGCGGCACCTTCCACAAGTGACCATGGGGATGCCTTCAATTCAGAACTCGGCCGAAGACGCCGAGCTGATTGAGCAGGTTATCCAGACCATGGAGGACGCCGCACCACACGCAGGAGGCGACTATGCACGACAAGCAGCCCAGACATTACGCTCGATGAACGCTCTGCTGGACGACACAAACAGTATGAACAGTGGGGATGAGCCTCATACGTTGACTATGCGCGTACCACTACTAGGACGTGTGCACGTAAGTCGGCGTCCACTTCCGCGGAGCAGCGATGGAGTGCTGGTCGACCAGCAGGCAGGTCCGTCACAGATTCAGCTCGATGGTATGCCATCGGCGCAACACAATACGTTGGGGTATAGCTTGCCTCAGCAGCCACAGCCAGTCAGCAATGTGTACAATGGTTCTGAGAGCATGCCATGGTCGATGGAAATCTCGGACGTACTTCCCTTTCTCGCAGACAGCAATCTCGGCGCGGACCAGTGGCTGCCGTTGGGAGACGGTCTGGGCGCATCGTTATGAGAATCAGGTTGGTCTTCGGCTCCTTCAACCACGAAAGCGACTAGCCACCGGTGAGCGGTACTCTGCCGAAAGCATTCCATCTTTTCACTCAGCTGCTTAGTCTTATCGTTTTCCGCCCAACATGCTGGCAGTACTGAGCGCGAACCTAGAAAGGCAAGGACGATGGATGCAAACCGCAAAGAGCACGGCAGCGATACGGTCGCAATTGGCGGGAGTGGTAGGACTGCTACAGTCATAGCGCAACCGCCGGAAAGGCCATCGTTCACCTTTGATCACCTGTCAACGCCCACTTAATGTCCGATAAGCTTCCACTTCGCCGCCGAACTGCTCGGTCCTTCCTGTTGTAATCTCGCTCCTTCCTTTTCTAAGTATGGCACATGCGCAAATGTCGCATTGAAGTACGATATATTCTGAGCCGTTTCCCAGGTTTCTACGAACTCACGCTTCCTCCTCTACTAGCAAGCAACACTTGACATCCGATCTGGATCACTGGGATCGTCCATCGATCACTTTCTCAATATGGCTAATTCCGGGGAGAAGGTTCTCAAAATCGGTTTGAACAAGGATCTGAATGCGGTACCGGCCCTCCAGACGTACCCAAAGTGGGTGGCGTTCCGGCGATCTACATCGGCGACTGCGTTGTGTCCGAAGATGGCAGAGGGAAGGCGTACCTCATGGTTGTCGCAAGGCGGCAGGGTTTGTGCTGCGTGCGTTCTGGGTCGAACACAAGAACGGAAAGCAAGCGCAGAAGCAGATCAAGCGTGAAGAATGGGCCACGATCAGCACAAACTGGGCAGATCCTTGCATTGACTGGACCAGTTGTGACACTCTGGAGGCGAAGGAAGCATTCGGTTGGGAGCGCACCCCAGCACAGATGTACGATAGCTATCTGAAGATGGTGTGGCAGAAGTCGACCGGATAAGCTCTCCCGCAATGCGCTCAGGGATCGCCAGCGAGAACCACAACTTTGGAGGCAAAGTCGCCTTTGGATAAGGAGCGCAAAGGTACCAAGAGCGCTGATGATGACGAGCCGAAACAGGAGGATCTGAGCATCGCGGGTCCGAGCCTCACCGCCGGGAAAAGTGATAGCAAGCGCCAGCGCGCGAACAGCTGCGAAGACGCTCCCGAGCTGTGGGCGGAATTCTGCATCTTTCACTTACGTAGGCATCCTGGTGATAACGATCACATCGAAGAAACCCGCGAAGCATTCCAGGTGCAGTCCTCTGCTCGTTATCTCGCGCATATCTAATTGTGTTACCATCTGCTATCAGTCAGAATACCAGTACCCAGCACCAAGTGTAGAACAGATACGGAGTATGTATACCGGAAGCCGTCAAGGCAGACAACTCGCAGTGAATCCGCTCGAAGCGAACTCTGAAGCTGCCACCACAGCCAGTACACATGGGCAGATGAAGCGAAAGGCATCCGGTTACAATGCAGTATCTAGGTTTAGGGCAATCCGTTTCCGCCCGACTCACCTCTCCGAAGATGAAGGGACCGAGGGGGAGATCCGGGAGGCTACGCTCAAGCTCCGGGAGGTACATGGCCTGAACTAGAGCGCTGGGTCTGATGAAAGCTTATTCGCAGACTGAATGCATTCGGCGGAAGCAGAGAGGTTCGGTTCAGGTCTGGTGCTAAAGGTGCTTGGAGACGAGAGTTTAGATGGGAAGTGTACTTGGCACGCTTCACGAGAGCTGGCGGACAGCACGCATGAAACCTTGACACGACGGTCTGCTTGACTTTCTATGGTCTCATGTATTACGAGGATGTGACGAGCGATGCTAAGTAGGGAGCGAGATTGCCCTCCACTTGCTCCCCGTTTCAGCTAATGAGCGCTTCAAACAGTGGTCTGTCGGTGCATGAGATAGATATCTGCTTTGCTTGGTCTCCAGACCGCCGCCGCTCGCCATCTCATTGGTGACGGCTCGCGAGGTCAGCCCGCTGTGTGACTGAGCTGATAGTCCAACAGCAGCTGAATCGACTGCAGCTACAGATGCGTACATTAGCGGTATTCTACTATGTGCGACCTCATGGGGTCAGCTCATGGTGGCATGATACGTGGTCTGAGGTCTTGGCTCCGGTTTGCCAAGCGAGTAGGCGAAAAGTCTTCTGAGCAGTATAGCAGAGACATCGTATGAGGGTGTGTCGCAAGAGTATATGAGGATCGAGAGTCGTGCTGCGTGCGGTCAATTTTGTCCCAGTGACACTGGTATAAGCTTACACCGGCAACCTCCGCAGAGCAGGAGAGCGCAGGCCAAGATGGACTCATTGATAGGTCACGCCAGCGATCAGGCACTCAAGTTCGGAGCTAAAGCCTTAGACAAATGGACCAAAGGTCGTGATTCACGGAAGCAGCAGGAAGTGACCACATCCATGCACATACCCGATGGCGAGCATCCTCTCTCGGCACAAGGTCCTACTATTATAGCCGAGAACATTGGGGTAGGGACTACAACGTATGCGTCGGATAAGTACCAGCACCTTCAATACTTGCCAATGTTCGTGTTGGAAAGCGAGGATGAAGACCTACGCAGCCGTGAGAAGATTCTTAAGTCGGCTGAAGGATCGCGAGGCCAGATTAGAGAGGTCCAGATGACTCCGGTCGAGAGGGCCGTGTTGACACTGTCCGGTGGCGGCTCGGTCATGTCTGCAGTCAAGCTCGAGAACGGACTCCTCCGGCTCAACGCGCAGACCACGGAGATGCATGCCGACCAGGTCAACCGTTGCGTTTTGACACGGTGGACCATCCCTGCAACGGACGCATCGCGCAACGGGCTTGTCATCGTTGACGTACTGGAAGTGCGAATGAATGTGTTCACCACTTTCAAACAGCTCAACGGTGCCGCCATCTACGTCAAAGCTAATGCCGACGTTCACCTGAAGCTAGACGATAGGTACGAGATAAAGTGCAAACGCCAAAAGTGTTGGTACAAAGGAACGATGCAGCCGGAACCTGTAAAGCAAATTTTCTTGCTCGGGAAGGACAGGTCTGCCATGCAGATGGAGATAGTTGCGATGCACGGAAGGCTGGTGTCGGTGGTGGAGCACCAGGGGCGAAGCGGTCGGGGTGGACTTGCTGGGCGTTTTCGGGACTGGTCGGTTCCTGACTTGTGATGGCTGACCACTTCGTATGTACATAGCATCTTTGGTCGACATGAGCTGAACTGGGCTGGCCCAGAGAAGGTATGAGTTCGGAAATGCATATCCGTGGCCTACCGTCTTGCTTTTCCCGCCGTGAGCGAACACTGAAATGGCACCCTGCAGTCTGTCGGCAAGCTCCGCCGGTGGGTTTGGGCAGCCTATCTTCTTACCGACAACAAGTCGACCACACCTCCTGAATGCACATAATGACTTCGCCCGCCGCATTCATGTATGAACCGCTTTCACTCACGCCCGCTTGCAGTGTGCGCATGCTCGTGAAACGTAATTGCATCATCACCCGGATGGATGATCTGATGCTGCGACATTGCATTGATGCATTATCCGTGGGCCGTAGCTCTCTGGGAACTCAGTCTGCCACAACGTTAGCTTCAATGCTCTGGCGAAAGAAGATGGAGTGACCACTCACGATCGAATGCCAGAGTGCTCGGTTGTACCATAAGATGACGTCTTGCTCCATATGCCTGTGTGCGTAGATGTTCTCTGGCGAGAGCACAGGTCGCATGATTCTGTGCCGGCGTCAGCGGCTTCGTATCTTCGCTATATGCAGAACATCACTCACTTATGCATGAAGGCGCGAACCTCTTTCAGATCATCAATCACCCGTTCCACGCCGTCTGCACTATCCTTCAGGTACAACTTGTGCGCGCCTTGGCCGTGTACCTGCAGCGACTTTTCGCCAGTTTTGGGATTCGTCCAGACCATTGGGTATATGCAGAGCTTTGACTCTTCCCACAGTGACAGCTTCTCCAGTGGCATCTCCTTGCCTTCGGTCTCTAGTAGATGACCAAGTCGAGTGGAGTGTGCCGTCGACATCCATTGAAAAGCATGTGGTGCGTACTGGATGCGTGAGTTCATTACCACGTTGCGGGTTTCGTCATCGAGCAGGGCAAGCGCACGAGAGCCGGCAACCATGGCGGTTGCGCCGGGCGCGATAGTCATCTCCGAGCCTGTGCCATCATCCCAGCGGACGGTGACATCTGGACCTCTCGGTGTTTGCACAGCGAGCAAGCAGCCTACTCTTGGCGGTGGAATATTGTACAATGAACCGTCCCAATGCCACTGGTAGAAACGACTTGCACCACTTTCTCGCTCTTCCTGTGGAATATGTGGTGGTAAATGAAAATCTGTATGGTCAATGCCTTTGACCTTGAAATTTGGTGGGAACTGGTAGTGGTTCCTTGGTACCTCGCCCCGGCCCAGAATATGAACTTGAGGTTGGCAAGGGATTGCGGGACGCTTGTCTAGGCCATATATGTCAACACCATTGTATGTGGTGAGGTATGGATCGGCACCGTGAGCAAAACCACCAGTGGTCTCGTCTGGGTCGAAGCTAAGACAGGCAATGGTTAGCTCCTACCCGGGTCAAGATCGGAAGACTCATTGGGTCGCACCTCGATGTCAGCTTGTATTGCTGCTGTGGTGTGAGCATTGCGGGCTGTCCTTTGAAGACCAGCAGCTTATGCTTATGTAGCGCATCTGAGATGAACTCAAAGTCTGCCGACGTGAAGTTGTTTAGATCGATGTCGTACACTTCAGCGCCGAAGTCAACATTGCTAGACGGGTCATGCGTGATAGGTCGAAGACGACCGCTGCTATGGTCGGCTTGTGGAAGAACAAAAAGTTCCTTTGCTGCCTTCACAGTGAGAGTCCTGGGAGGTTCGACCTCCGTACTGGTTGCTGTGAAGACCATCTCGACAGGTGTATCCGTGTTCGTTCGCACAACGATCCCAGATCTGCACGAAACCTATATGCGGACATCGTACGTCCTGTCACTGTCGCCACTGAATGTAGCTGTGTCCTCTAGCTCGCGTGTCTCGGCCGCGCCCACAGCTCACTTGCCAAGTCTTGCCGCGCCATGCATCCTATCGCGTCTCGGCCGAGAGGCGTAGGACGATCCATCCGGACGAGATATGGAGTCGTATGCGGGCGTCGGACTCACGCGGGTCGAGACAGTATGGATATGATGATCGTCTGCGAACACCGATCGGCATAGCAGACATGGCCGTCAATCACACTCATACCACCACGAGCGGCGCAGCAATACATTACACGGAAAGCGGCAAAAGAACCGGCCAGATTGTTCTCTTATTACACGGTCTTGGTATGTATGCTCCAACTAGGGCAGAAGCGTGTGCTGACTGCTCAGCGGTGTAGGTGGCTCAACAAGGACATTCGAGCCTTTGTTGCCACACTTACCCACAGAGCAATACCGTACCATCGGTGTCGACTTCGAAGGGTTCGGCAATAGTCCGCTATCAAACACAGTAATATCTGTGCAACGATATGTCTCCGACGTGGACGATCTCCTCGCGTCTCTTCAGGGATATGACTCGCACGAAGGCCGCGACAAGACCGACGAGCAATCACCAGTCATCATCGGCCACAGTCTCGGCTCAATCGTCGCCCTGCAATATGCCAGCATGCATCCCAACAGCGTCTCAGGCCTCGGCCTTCTCGGGGTCGGTCGATCTGCGTCCCATATCCCAGCAGCCCGTGAGCGCATGCTAGCTCTAGCAAAGAAAGTGCGTGAAGAAGGCATACATGCCGCAGCCGATACGGCGGTTGTCAGTAACTTCGGAGTAAGCGAGAAACCTTCGCCTGAAGCTAAACAAGCTGTGCGTGAAGCAGTTGCTACCAGCAATCCAGACGCCTACGCCATGACCTGTGAAGCGATCGTCAGTCCATCCCACATCGATCCTGATTATAGCAAGATCAGCTGCCCTGCTGTATTCGTATCTGGGCGAGAAGATCGTCTCAGCCCGCCAGAAAGAGCCCAAGAACTCAGCAGGATGCTCGGTGGACCGACCGCGGTATATGTAGTCGAAGGTGGCCATCAGCCTATATTGAGCGACCTTCGAAGCACTGCGAGAGCAATGGAGAAGCTCTTTGCGATGTTGGAATCATGAAGCTGGACGAAGCTGGACGGCACATGAATCAGAGAGAAATGCACCGAAGACTGTTCACTGGAAGCACCAGAGCATGTAGGGTTTCGAATGTATAGGTGCGACCTTGGCGGCGTCTGCGGTGGTTCGGTGTGCTGCATGTCTTAAGCGAGCCTTGCATCTCAACCATAATTGCACGCTTGCGCAAAGTTCAACAGATCTCCGAAAGAGTCGTTCCCGTACATCCCAGCGCTTGCTTGGAAGCCTGAGAGTATGTAATCAGGAAACTCAAATGCATCATTACCGCCAGTTGCGAACTCAGTGTAGGCTGCTTGGGACCAACTACCAGCCATGTCCGTACCAATACCTTGCAGGTCGGGTCCTGTCAGGGCGCCGTCCAGCCGAGCGCCACCCTGAACGGGCTCAGGTGTGCATATGTCTTGTGTATGGGAAGCAGCCGTCTGCTGGAGGTCTCTGACGATTTGGCGGATGTCGACAGTTTGAGCCCGCTTCGCAGAGCCTTCTGATTGCAAGTCGGCAGCAACTTTTCTTCTCTTGCCACCCGGAGACTCTTGTTGCGGCATGTGACCTAGGCGCAGAAGTCCTGACAGGACTTGGGCCCCACGGCTTGCCAATCTGCTATTACTCGCCTGAGAGAGATATGCAAGGCCACTTTCGACGAGGGTTCTGTGTTCAGGGCATCTTGGATCGGAAATCTCCCTGTGGATTATATCCAGGCACAGGGTGATGCATGCCGCAACAGTGAATGCGTGATAGATCCAAAAGGTCGGTCCATCTTCTTCCAGCTGCCCAATCTCATGCATTATCGTCTTCGACGCCGCAATACATGTCGCACGCGTAAAAGAAAACGCCGGGTTCGTGAAGCTGAGTGTCAGGTACTTCCTGTGGATCATGATGATCTTATGTGCGCTAGTCACTGCTACTGCTCTTCGAGCCCAGGCCACCCATCTTGGCCAGGATGGATTCACGGGCCCACTGCGCAGACATGCCGGTCTTTGATCTGAAGCAATTGCGCGCATTTTGCGATCGTACTTCAAGACTTGCTCATATCGCGTGAACGTTGTGTTTGACAGTGCGACTGCATCGTGGAGCCGGGGCATTAGATGCGCAATGTCGTTGAGAAAGCGGCAGTAGGTCGTAACAGTAGGCTCTGTGAGAGGCAGCTCGTCAAGCGTAGTGTCATGGCAGTTGAGCGGTGGGACTGTATGCGAGTGGAGTGGGTTGATGGAATAGCTGTCGGAGAATGGAATCCCAAACCAGTCCTGCGAGCAGAGTTGAGTCCAAAGTCGTCGACCACTTTCTCGCTCTACATTCAACGGAGTTGAGTCGTCAAGACGATGCAGACCCAGGGATTGGGCAACGCGTGCCGCGGAGGCGAGAAGGATGGATTGCTGGTTCGAAAAGCCAAGTATGTGAGCAGACATGGTCATTGTAGCAATCGCTTCGCAAGCGCGGATGGAGAGGTTGGCCATGTAGTGAGCTGCATCCAGGCATGTAGTCACCGCTTGAAACCACCTACTAGATAAGAGCTCCCGCTCCTCAAGCAGGAAGCCGCATTCGGAGAGCTGGTCTTCGTTCCCACAAGCCATACAACCAGTCAACACCGCGAATAGGAGTGCGATCCATTGAAGGTCGACATCGGGGTGGCAGATGTTGCCGCCGTAGTCAGCGTAGAACGCTGTCACTTGCCGAGCGAACGTAGGACCGTGAAACGAGCCATGGAACCAGAGCAAGCACTTGATATGGTAGTCTACCAGAGTAGCCACCTGGGCCTTATCGGGTAGCAAAGTCTGTAATACATGCAAGGGTGCTGCATCGTTCACGTCACTTCTCAGTCCGTGCCGTCTTCCGGAAGGGCTTGGGAAGCCATAGTCGGCGCCGTTGGAGGCCTTGAAATTAATGTCGGGCGATAGACTATGAGTTGCAAAGTGGACTTCCTTGCGCCGGCCCCATGCCTACAACCCGATCAAGGCCACCGTCAGCAATCCGCGAAGCAATCTTCTCACTTCGACGTCTGGGAGATGCTCACCAAAAACTCGAGTACAGTGGCTGCGTCTGTGACTTCTCGATCAGCACCAATAATGTTCGCACTGCTTTGTGCGCTACCAGGAGTCAGGTGTGACGGCGCTGTCTTCCCTCGTGACTGTGTTGAGTTTGTTGCGGGGGGGGAGATGACAGCCGAGGTGTTGGTTGTCATATCCGGCAGATTCTCGGTCTGCATTGGAGAACGAGTGTCATTGCCGGCGTACCGCACACAAGACAAACCGCTACATGGAACTTAGCGGAAACGTCGTCCAAGGTGGTGTATGCTTGCGACCAAGCCCAGCTGTTCGTGCTCACCGTTCGCGGCACCGGCTGCACGGTATGACTTTGTCACAGCGAAGCTTCCTTTCCCGACACGGAAGGCACGTCAGGGTGGCTCGCTTCCGGACGATGACACTGCCGACCATCGTTCGCTTGCGGGTTGAAGTTCTATGTAGCTCGGCCGTCGTTGGATCATGACCGAAACGTCACAGAGTTTCGACGTCCAGACGACACCACCCAACAAGTCAACTGATCTGTGTTCATCCTTATCGCTCGGCCGCGCAGGCGCCAAGATCGGCCATTGGAAGCTTATCTATGCCTTGCACGAACGGTAGGCAACAACACCTCCAGCGGCAGGCCTGGCTGCGCCTGTCTCTGGCGACCTGCGAGCCTACCAAGGTGCTCACGCTGAGCTGCAATGAGGTCTATCACAGCAGAGTCAGGTGTTGTTGGCTTTGCTACCTGAGGCACACTACCACATACTCACGGACGTGCGAAATGCTACGATGGAGCATCTGCAAAAAGGTGGGGCAGTGTGAACCGATGTGGGTAGGCATAGGGACTGCGCTGGTGGCCTAGTAAAGTCTTCCAAAGCTACTTAGAACTGAAAGCGCTTAAGTCAATCAAGTGTCCATCCCACGCAGTCATTTCCCGTCAAGACATCAGCATCACAGGCTATACCTTGGTCTCCACTTCCATACTAAGACGAGTGACTGGTGATGACGCAGGATCCTCTTCCTCAATGTATACCTCAGACGCAAGTGCTTCAAAGGGCATCTTCTTCTCCTCCGCCGCATATGTGCCGATGCAGGCAATGGCGAAGTAGATTACGCTGGCGAGTGTGCAGGTGAAGAACCAGCTGAAGGAATACAGTCGGGACCATCCTAGTTGGCCATCCAACTTCACATTGAATTTAGTCGCAAAGCCCGGAAGGACAAAGGCGACTGGAACGATGAATGCCACGATAGGGCGCCAACCGATGCCGTAGTTGTGCCAGTACCGCCCAGAGCTGTCGAAGAGATCGTGGATGTAAACGTTGCCTTTGCGGACGACGAAGTAATCTGTTAGGAAGATGCCCAAGATCGGTCCGAGGAAGATCGAATAGCCGCCGAGGAAGGTAAGGAAGCCCGAGGCGTTTGCGAGAATATGCCAAGGACAAATCACCACCTGTCAACCGTTAGCGATGCCCAAGTCCTGTGACAGGTTGTTATGCATCATGTGGACTACGTACGCCCAAAATGTATGAAAGCCACATCCCTCGTTTGATGTTGAGCCAACGAGGTAGCAATAGGGTAGCATCTGCACCGAACTAGGGTGAACGCGTGAGACGTCAGTATTTCTCCGAACTGTTTTGAAGTGCCTGACATAGGGTTTCCTTACCGGGATCACGTTCGCCCCTTGATCACCGACCGCCTGTGCAAACATGAAGATCAGGTTGAGCAGACAGATGAGCGTTCGGGACCCAGCGTTCCATTCATGGTCCAGAATGTCATGACATAACGTCCATCTAGCGTGTCAACCGCAAACGTTAGCGTCGTTGCATCCGAGAGATGAGGCCTGCATTCAACAGTGTACGTACACGTTCCAGTCAAGGTTTCCCCAAACATTGTAAATCCGTACGGTTGCGAAGATGCCAAGCGCAGCGCAGCCTGCATTGCCGAGTGGTAGGCTGATCAGCTGCGACCAGAAAGGCGCCCACTTCGTCTTTGAGTAGCGGGCGATATCAGGCTGATTGACGACGAGAGTCGAAGTCTTCCCCATAATCGCGTTGATGCCGCCGACCATCGCCCAACCGAGTGCTGAGCCATGCAGTGCGACACCTGCAGCACCTTTCAGCTTGCGGGTCGGTGCGTCCGCACCTCGCCACATGCACCAAGCAAACAACGCAATGGTGACTGGCGGTAGGAGTACGGCCTTAACCTCAAATGCGCGACGCAGCTTAGGAACGGGAACGTTCAGAATCCAGCAAGTCGCGATCCAATAGACGATCAAGCCGATTAGCTGCTGGACGGTGATGCCAGCGCTCTTGGGAATGGTGTTTTCGATGCCTATCCAGAAGCTGTGTCCGAAGATGCATCGTAGTACGATGGTAGTGAAGTATCCGCCCTGTATGATAGAGACACCAGTCCAGATCAAAGCCGTGAGCGCTCTTAGCAGGACCGGGAAGTAAGCACCACGCAAGCCCCAAATAATGCGGGACTCGACAGGAAAGCCGAAATGGTACACTGCCGCGGAGCGAGAGTGCAATACGGCACCAATAGCACCGAAGAGGTAGCCAAAGAAGATGCAGATCACGGATTGCCAGCCTGTAAGGCCAACAGCTACCAAAGAAGATCCCACGCTCCAAGTGCCTGGCGTGAAGCCATAGGTCCACCAAAAGCTGGCGTAGTCGAACCATCTCCACGTTCGGTCAGCCTTCGGGCTGATGTCAAGATCTTCGTTCTTCCAGACATTGCGCTTCTCGTCGACATTGGCCGATGCCGAAGCCTTGGTTTCGAACGCCTGCACAAAGGCTTCCTTGCTAGACAAGGCACTTCGGAGGCCATCAATGCGGGCTGCGATACTCTGGTTTAGACTGTCCATGTTCGGTGAGTGTTCAAGTTACTGGCAGTCCACAAGTGTGTATGACTTCGAGCCGTGGTGCGCGATCTTGTGCAAGGACTCAACCGGCCCTTATGCACATTGGCAGAACAGAGCAGCCACACAGCTTGGTCTAGGCATATCCCTGTCTTTGCCGTATCGCTCCGGCCGCGAACCTGTGGGGTAGGTAGATTGGCTATATCGAGCAGATAGCACAAGATAGGGCGAGAGCCTCGCTGTGGAGCTGGCCAGTCCCATCCATGTGGCGATATCTAGTCCGCGTCTCTTGACTGTGACCGGACAGAGTCAAAGATGATTGCAATGACTCGCATAGTTGCGGATGCTTGGCAGCCGCTGATAGGCCATCCAACGGCAGGAGCGAAAGCGCAGTGTTGCATGACTCGTGTTGACGTCTCGGCCGAGAGCGGTATCATGGGTGAGTAACTGAGTATGGTCGAGACGCCGCGTATCGTACTCGCACATGGAGCTGATCTCATCCAAGGCGCTGAGTTGTAACCTCGGTCGTAATGGCTACAACGTCCAGACGCCGGCCTTATCAGCCCTGCCGCCGAATGTCTGGTGCAACGAATGAACCACCAGGTGAAACATAACATGTCCGAGTTCTAGCAAGCGCAACCTGCTCAAGACATCAGACACTGCGGGAGAGCTGGCATGGCAGTCAAGGAAGACCAAGCTGCGCCTCCTGTGCTAGATTTCTCGTGTAAGTGAGAACTTCACTTCGAACTCGCGGAGCAAGGCTCACCACAAGCGCAGCTTTCTGGAGCGGTGATTCCGAGAAGCGAGCCGCCTTGATAAACGCCTTGAGAAAGGCATGCGAGGACAAAGGCTTCTTCCAGTTGGTCAACCATGGCATATCCGATAGTCTGCAGCGCAGCATCATTCAAGCCTCCAAAGACTTCTTCGCCCTGCCTCTAGAGGAGAAGTTGAAGTGCGACGGGGCCAAGAGCAAGCCAAGTCGTCGTGGCTATGAGGTTCTTGGGGCGCAAATGCTGGAGCCGGGCTCAAAGCCGGAGCACAAGGAGTCTTTCTATGTCGGTGAAGACCTTCCAGCAGACCATCCGCGCATCCTTCGAGGTGACTATAACTGCAGTCCCAACATATACCCAGAGGTCCTAGGCGAGCAATGGAAGGCCGTAACCGCGCAATACTATCGGGAAGTCGTCGCCTTGGGCATGGACGTTATGCGCTCGCTGGCTCTCGGTTTGGGACTGCCAGAGTCTTGGTTCGACGACTTTATGACCGAGCCGAGCTGCACGCTGCGGTTGCTGCATTACCCGCCGACGCCGCGAGGTTGCGACAAAGAGCGAGGAGTCGGAGCGCATCGAGACTTTGGCTGCATCACCCTCTTGCTGCAGGACAGCGTTGGTGGTCTCCAGGTACAGGATGAAACGACCGGCCGATGGCATGACGTTACACCCATCCCCGGTGCACTTGTAGTTAACTTAGGGAACCTGATGATGCGATGGAGCAATCATCACTACACCAGCAATACGCACAGGGTGCTAAACTTCGCGGAGCAGGATCGAACCTCCATTGTCTTGTTCTTCAACGGCAATCCAGAGCACATTCTCGGTGTTCTGCCAGGGTGCGAGCAGCACCGGCAAAACCAGCACAAGAAATATGGTCCTCCAATGGAGGTGGTGGTGGAGCCAGTGAAGGTGCGGGAGTTCTTGAATCAGCAGTATTTGGCATCATATAACCGTGTTCAAGAGTACAAAGTCTGAATGCAACATCGTTTGCCTACCTTTCTGCACGTTTAGCAGATTTGTCTCACTCCCACCTATGACTGAACTGGTAGAACGTTAGCCTGACATGACTCTGAGGTAATGTAGACATCGTTATTGTCCCAGGATGAAGAGCATTGCGATGGGCTCGTATGGGTGTTGGGCCTGTCCGTTGGCTCTGACACATCGGTATGATAATCACAGCGCGTATTCGCAGACGGGCCATAACCTGCATTCACACAGCGCCGACGGTCCATTCTGAGCTTCTGCGCACTGAGCTTCTCTTCTGGATGTCGCCCACAAAACGTGCCAAGGTGTGTAGCGGACATCTCGCCGTTTTGGTTTGTGAGTGCCACCACGTGGAGGCCTGCAATAGTGGTATTGTGAAGGACTTTCGTCGAGGGTGGAACAAGGGGAACCTCTCCGCATATACGGCTTATGTTACATGTGATATGTGCGGAGGGTTAGGGTTTGGGTGGGGTAGGCTATCTGAGTATCACCTATGAACGCGACATCGCGTTTCACTATACACTGGATTCTGTCATGTATCGGCACCGGACATATAGTAACGCTGACATCTTATAGCGACCGGTAGCAGGAAGAATGTGCGCGCAGAACGGAGGTACCGGAGTGGAGTCAGTTGGGGCAACCACAAGCAGCTTCGCCCGGATATGGAAGGCACGGACGAAAGATCGCTAAATGCGAGCCTGCTCGAATGGGTGCACTCGTTCAATCATATCCACGAGAACATCCGCTGGGCGGACTTGAGCGATGGTAAGGAGTTATGGACCATCTTGCAAGACATAGACGGCAACTACTTCCGTGGCAGCCTGCCTGAGCCGGAGGTCGGCCCTCAAGGTGACTGGTTGCGCAAGTGGCAGAACCTTAAGCATGTTGATCGCCAGATCTCGACGTACTATCGAGACGTGTGCAATGGCCAAGACGGCATAGCGCACGGCCACGTGCCGGACCTGAAAGCAGTTGCCGCAGAAAGTTCGGTGCGAGACCTGGAAAGGTTGATCATGATCGTTATCCGCGCCTCGATGGCAGGCCCGGCTTCTAACCAGGCAATGGCGCAGAGACTAATGGGCTTGGGCAGAGAGAAGGCAATGGTCATAGCCCAGGCGTTACGGAACATGGAGGAGCCTGCGTATGCGGACTCGGAGCCTACAAGTCGGGACGCATCGGAGTACCAATCTGAACCAGAGTCTGTTGGACAGCACAAGGCGAACGGGACGAAAGAGGGTGGAGTCACGTATGAAGACCCACTGCTCGAGCGAGAAGAGCAGCTACTGCAAGCGCAAAGTACGATAGAGAAACTACAGGCGAGCCATGTCGCCGCACAAAGGCAGTTGGAACAACTTCGACAGGACAGGGAACGACTCCAGGAAAGCTTTGACGCGTACAGAGCCGAGATAGACTCAAAGGGCGGGAAGCACGGTGGAGATGACGAGTTCAGGAAGCTGCAACGTCAAGCGGAGAGCGACCGTGCATATATAGACGAACTTGAAGGTCACATGCAGAGCTCAAGAAGCACAGTCGAATCGTACGAACGGCAGATTGATCGTTTCAAGGCGGAGTACGAAGTCACCCAGAAGCTTCGTGATGATATACAGATGCTACAGGCCGACAATGAAGAGCTTCACCAGAAGCTGCGAGCGAACGAGAATCTGAAGAAGAAGATTCAAAGCCTGCAGGAGCAGGAGAAAGCTAATGTTGCGTTGCGCGAAGAATTAAGAGCGGCCAACGACCGCTTGTCTGAGCTTGAACGCCTGAAGCAAGTCCAAGCGGGTCTGGAGAAAGAGATTATCGAGAAGAAAGGCCTGATCAGAAACCAAGAGTACCAAATCACCGAGCTGACTACTACACGAAAGCATGCCGAGTACGACGCGAAAGTGCTGGCACAGAAGCTGGCGGCCGCTCGTGAACGGCATGACCGTGACCATGAAGCGCTCGAAGAACTTCGCCTCAAGATGCAGGAGATGAAGGCAGAAGACCCGCGGATCGACGCCACTCCATTTGAGCAGGAGAGGAAGCTCACCGATAGCGTAACTGTAGCCGAAGACGAAAGCAAGCATCTTGCTGAGAAGGTGAAGCTGCTTGAGGAACAATTAGAGGCGGCTGATGCGCGGCTGAAGCAAGTATCCGAGCACAATGCCACGCTTGAAGAGCACAGTAGGAATCATGAAGCCGAATCCACCGCCCGACGAAAGGCGGAAGAAGGGGTTTCCGAGCGCGAACGGACAATCGCCGAGCTTCGGCGCGAACTGGGAAAAGCTTCGCAGAAAGAGGAGCAGAAGCCGCAAAAAGAAGCTTCCGGCCAAAGTATGGCAGCGCTACAACGCGAGAATCAGCTAATGGCGAGCGCTTGGTATGATCTAGCTGGCCGACTGCAGTACCAGAGCGCGCCTGCTGGACGGCGGAGGTACGAGCCCAAAAGCTGGATTGGAAAGCAGCGGGCTCTTGTGGGACCTCACAACAACCTAGTGGGACGGCAGTGAGTGAGTTGGACACCCGGTTTGCATCGGCGCAGGATGGGCAGTCGCAAGTGAGAGCGAGATAACCTAAAGGCCACTGACGAGGACGACTAAGATACCCCTGGGTGCAAAGGGCGGCGTTCAACAGTAAGGTAGACTCAGATGAACAGGGACAATTGTCAAAGCTTACGAGCAGTTCTGATAATACGCAACAATGCATATGGTGTACATATCGGGTATCTGGCACCTCGTGTTAAGCCATTCAGCGTGCGGCCAGTCCATGTTCTGGTGGTTACGCCGGGACAGGTCGTAAATGCACCTCGCAGCGCTCTTACATACTTCTTGAGCCAGTAGGTGTCAGCCTTGACTGTCGCGCTCGAGCACGTTACAGCTCGAAGCGAAGATTTGCGTCGGTGACCTAGATCTGCTTATCTACGCCCTCTTTGCGATAGTGCGGCGAGCCTTTATGGTCGCATCGTAGAGCACATCCTTGAATGCAAAGAGGAATGCAGCGGTAAGCACGGACTGCGTAACCTTGGCGCCGATACCTTCACAATGATTAGCCGTGAGCACTCGGGAACATGGCGATGGAGCTTACCGCCATAAAGGCCTCCAATGCCCTCTTCTCTTACGATCCGCCTCAAGCTAGCAGTCATACCCTCTTTCGAGCCTTCTCCGCTCGCAACGTGCGCCCGGGACTTGACAGTGATGTACGGATACGTGATGGAAGTAGCGGCGAGCTTGCCGATAGCGCCGAGCATGAAGCTATCACGGGCGGTAACCTTGCGTCGCTTCTCAAGGAGCTGCTTGAGCTGCTCAAAGATGGTGTATTGCAAGATTGGGTTGATAACCAGCACAAGCGCCGGCAGTACACCGGCGAAGAGACGCAAGAAACCATCCTCTTGGATGATCTTCATGAAGGTGGAGATGGTGCTCGGTGCCTTCGGCTTCCGAGGCGCTGCAGCATCACCCTCGGCAGTCGGCAATGCTGAGTCAAGGGACTCGTCCTTGCGAGCGGTCATGCGGGTGTTCACAACCCAGATGGGGTTGGTAAGGAGAACCGTAGCACTTCCGGCGACGGCTCCAGCGGCCATTGATTCGAGCGTGCTCAGGCGTGCCTTCTGCGTGGTTCGCTGGAAGAAGGCTCGAGTGAATTCATACCCTGTAGTCAGTCAGCATAATCAAACTAGACATGACCGTGGAAGATTATACAATAGTAATAAACGAAGTTGGTGACTGTGATGCCAAAAAGTGCGCTCGACAAGCCCGCATAGAGCCCAACCACACCTTCGCGGTCGATGATTCGCTTGGCGGCCGACAGAGTGCCTGTATGAGCCTTCTTCTTCTCTACTTGGGCTCGCGTTGACAGCGTGATCAAAGGGTACCTGTGGGCGCTCAGTCTCCGCGTACCACGCCTATTCCAGTGTATGAAGCCTACGTCAACGCCATAGAAAGTAAACCTCCACCGGCACCCGCCAGCGCGTGAGCAACATTGTCACTCTGTTGTGCTGCGACATTCTGAGCTGCTGGGGAGCCCGACGTGACATTCTGTGTTTGGGCTTGCGGTTGGGTCGCGGCAGGGAGAGGGTTGGATGGGGTAGGGGCGCCTACGCGGTCAGACATCTTGGGTGAGACAGAGTGAATGAGTTAGTGTAGAAAGAAGAAGGAAACAGTAGGGAGGGTGCAAGCAAGTTCAGGTTGTAGATGATGCTACAAGTCTTGTATACCGTCAGTCACTACCATCGAGTCGCTTGTGATTGTGAACAAATGCCTCGGTTGATGTCGAACGGGCCGAGCATGATGGCGGGCGGAGTGGAGACACTAACATCTCACGTGACTCGTCTTCCCCACGTTACTCCCCTTTTCCATGTCTGTGTTAAATGCAGACATTCTTGCCATGAAGAGCCTTTTAGCTGGCAATCTTAGTGGGATTGACTTCCAACAAGTCTGCACGCATTAGAGTCTACGGTCTGCCCGTCGCCAGCGTCCGCTGAGAGGCATGATTAGGACAGCAAGGTGAACGACTGGCTGGATCCAGGCGTCACCGCTTGGGCATCCTGGTTGAGCAGGCTCACCAACTCTCCAATGTATCGTCATCCCGATCCCAGCGCTGGCGCAATACCACATGGCTTCCTCTCCGCGAGCACACCGTCGTCCTCCTTCTCGCAAACCCAATTCCCTTCGCCGTTGTTCGCATTAGATCCTACTCTCCATAATAGCCCTCACCATCTCCAGCCAGTCACGCATCATGCAACTTCAAGGCCGCAAACCCCCGAACGCCGACCGTCAAGCGACTCCACTGGCTCCATGCGACCTCCAGCGACCACAACGCCACGCGGGAATCGAGCTGAACCGACCGGAACAATGCAGAGAGCTGACGAGGCAAACAATCGGGCACTGCCGTCCACGGATGTTACCGCTGAAACGCTCACGGACGCCTACGTTGCTTTCATCTTTTACTGCAACCCACAGTTTGCGCTTGACACAGATACAGACGTCTTGCGGGCGACCTTCAACAGCCCACCCAAGAGCGACAGCAAGGAGTTCCAAACATATGTATTGTTTCGGCTAATCCAGAAACTCGACGCTAAGGACATTAAGACTTGGGGCCAAGTGGCTCTCGATCTGGGCGTCGAAGCGCCCGATATCAACAAAGGTCAGAGTGTGCAGAAAGTTCAGCAGTATACTGTAAGACTCAAGCGATGGATGAGAGCGATGCATATTGATGCATTCTTCGAGTATCTGCTCGGCAAGCAGCATGCTTACTTTAATGAGATTCCACCTACTAGCACCCCATATCCGCCCGGTGGCAGAGACGGTGTGGCTCCCGAAGAAGACTTAGCTATCAGAGCACTGGATCCGACCTTTCGACCTAAGCGTGGTAGACGACGCAACTCTGAGATAGAGCTTGAGGAGGAGTCCGCGGCGCAGCATGGGCTGCCGGGAAGTGACCATGGTCAAGTGAACCAATTGATGTCGGCTTATCCACAATCCGCACACCCCGACGGCGTCAATGACCATTGGGCGATCGCATCAGCGGTAACACCTCAGACATTTGCTCCATGGGCGAACAGTCAAGCGGGTCCCCATACAGCTGTGACAACCACAGCACCCTCGCACCTTCGATGGCAATTACATGGTAATAGTATGCTCACTTCCACGCCGCATCCGATGACAAGTCAGCCTACCTCTATGACAGCGCACATCGACGCAGCGTTTGACGCCAATTCAAAGGCTGGCGCGACACCAGCTAGGAAAAGGCGGAAGAATGGTCCTGCGGTGTCAAGTGCCTGGCCGTCCGCGAATGCGCCCGGCGCCAAACCGAGAGGCAGACCACCTGTCAGTCGCAGTATGCAGGACGGTCCTTATAGCACCTTTCCTGCTGACCCTGCCAACGAGAAGGGCAGCAGCACTGGGCAGCCCGTTACGCTTGGCCGTATCGGGTTGACAGAGTCTATCCCCACGGAGCCACTTGTAAAACGCCCTCTGCTAATGCATCGTTCAAGCGAGAAGACCAAGCTATCGCTACAAGTACCACAACATACTGGCGGGCCTGTCCGGCTTGCCACGCCGCCACCACGAGTTCTTGTCAACGGTGAATCGAATGACAGCGAAGGCAGAAGCGTCACCCATACCCCGGTAGTGGAGAGGCCAGCCTTTGCTCAAGACGGACACCAATTCAGAGGCAGAGTGTTTGAAAACCTACAAACTGTGGAAAGAGACATTCCAGGCTTCGCATTCGAGGCGCTAAAGAGAGCCTTGACCAGCGATCTCTTGCGTGCGAGCATCGTCGGTAGACAGCATCGACTAAGCGGAGATGAGGCGAAGCGTCTCGCTGATGCAGTGCTCCATCGTCTAGGCGTGCCGCGCCATGACACCGATGCATCTCGGGACGACATTGCTCGGCTGACGGCCGCATCCTGGCTTGGCTTAGGTGAACAGTTCAACGTCCCACTCGGTCCGGCAACCGGCCATGGGAAACGCATCGCTGTGACTCACTTTCGAACAGATGCCGATGGCTATGAAGAGATTGTTTCAGCCCATGACGCCGCGAGCGAAGTTCGCGAGGTTTTTGACCTGACGTGGACTGTGACGATGGCAGGCTGCAATGGCAATTTTGAGCTCAAAGGTCTGACAATACAAGACCGGCTAGGTGCTGGTGAAGAGATGCTGGATTCGATGGTGGACCGCTGCCTGGCTGCTGTCAAGACCATTGGGCAGGAAGGTGATGTTGCGCTTCGTCAAGGCCTGCACCAACTGGCTGCAGCTGCTGCGTTTAAACAAGGTGGCTCGAATAGCTCAGATGCCGGCATCGACTGGAGAGCGAAATACTTTGCGATGGAGATTGCTGCCCAGATGACGAAGGGTGAGCTCGAGAGGTCGCGTAATCGTATCATTCAGCAGGTTCTCGACGTGCTGCTTCGTGAAGATGTCCGAATGTTGCCGACTGGATGAAGGCTCAGCGGAGATACTGTTGATTCACAGAGTATTCGGCCGCGTATTACGGCGGCCCTAATCCACGCAAGACCCGTTTCATAGAAAATGTGTCAGCAGTCCGAACGCTTCGCGCTTGCTCGGGCCTTGGCTGGATGCAGCTGCGGAGATCTGCAGTCAGGTGTACTACCGCTAGTGCCAGTTCTATGCATTGACAGCGAGCCGTTGCCGACCTCTTATAGCACGATATATTATGGCTCACCTTCCTTCGCTCTTGCTATCTAGAGAGCAACGCGCCGAGGATGCAGCTCGCATCTACTCCCGCCTTTCTCACGTTGCCGAAGGAGTTGCGTGACAGCATTTACGAGTATGCACTCGATGGTAACACTCAAGTGCATGTCGTTCCAACTACGACGGAGCGCACACAATGCACGGCGTGGAGATTGCATCATAGTACCACACCGCCGGTCGCGACGTACCTCAGCTTGTTGCGCTGCTGTCGGGAGACATACCGCGAGGTGACGGCGTTGCTGAACCGGGCGTCACTGCCTGCCAGTACTACCGTGCTCCAACTGCACGCTGCTTACCCGGACATGCAGACAGCGTTCCTACGCATACCACGTCCACCCGAGCGCCTCCACGATCTGCACATCGACCTCAAGCTGGGGAATATGTGGGATCCAGTGTTCAACACGCCAGGCCAGCAAGAGGTCCTGATGCGACCGCTCTTCGAAATCTTGAAGCGATATTGTCACTACGGACCACACATGGGGCGCAATCAGCCTTTGATCACGCCGCTGAAGCTTGATGTAGTACAGATAGTCGTAAGTTCGGCGATAACGCTTAGCGAGCTGGATTTTGTCTTCGACAGCCCCCGCTCCCGACTTGCTATGCTCTTTGGACGCTTTAAGAATTTGTTGATGAAGCTCGCTCGCTCTGGGATCTTGTTCGACGCTATTCATGCCTTCGAGGTTCGCCTTCGAGCTGATCTATTTGACGGGGACTGGCATCGCATGCCAGTGACGTCCAATATGTGGGACGAGCAAGACTACGTATTCTACCACAATGCTGGCTTCTCGTGGGATGCCAATGCGATTACGCGGTAGTCGCAGGACCCTTCCGGAAGCGACCATCGGTTAACGCGCTAGGATCGTCTACCAGATGGAATGTCAACCGCGCAGGCACGGAGACTCACTCAAGCATATGTGGCCTGAGAAGGTTTTTTTGGGTAGGGAGACAGTCGTTTGCGAAGTGTAAGATAGCATTCATCTGACTGCAGCAACTTCTTGCATGCCCATGTCGCCCGCTTTCCAAGTGTCTTCGGCCCTCGTGCCCGGAGGTAGACTGTTCGTTATCCCGTTCACTGCAGGTGGCGTACCATGTCTGCCCATCTCCGACCTGCCAATGCCACTCCCAACAGGTTCGCCGTTGGCATAGCCATTCGCGCCGCTGAACGAGCGCTGACCCACGTCTTCCGCTCCACTCAGCGGTGACGCAGCAAAGACCGGCTCATTCCTCTTCAGATCCGCTACGTTCAGAGGCAGCAACATCTGACTGCTCTCGAGCTGCTCACGTGCAACCTTTTCCTTCTTCGCCGCATCGGACGTACGGTCGTACAAGTACAGACCCAGAAATGTCATGGCGAAGCCGAAACCTTGTAAGGTCGACATGGGGTTGCCGAACCAGATGATGGCGAACATGATGACCGCCACCCGCTTCATCAAGCTCGCGACGGAGTAGGTGACGGGGGTCACCATGCCGAGCAGCACGAATGCGACTAAGCTTTGGCCGAAGTGAAAGGTACCGTTTAGTAGGAACTCAAGCGCCAGCCTGCCGTGATCCAGTGCGCCAGGCCGTTGGCGTAGGTCGATTGTGCCATCGTGCATGTAGTCAGCAAAAAGTGACCAGCCTTCGGACCAGAGCCAGATGGGACACGTGATAAGGAAAGCCAGGATGGAAGAATAGCAAAGTAAATTAAGCTTGTCTGGTTTCCGGCGCGCCATTGGAGTACCGTCTGATTCAGCCTTGGCGGCTTCATTGAAGATCTTCTTCGATACGATGTTCTGCGTTACGAAGAGAATCGCACTTCCAAAAGCGTATACGAGGCCAATGATGTCGTCCTTGAAGCTAGCGGAGCACGCCATAATCACGCCAAGCGTAAGTGGAATAAGAGAGAGATAGGTAGGCACGGAGAACTCGATCCCGAAGAATGCGCGATATGCCAGGACGGTCATCATGGGCGAGAGGCCTTTGATCGTGTGAACGAGAGACACAGGTATCCGTGCCATTGCATCGGAGTTCAGGATGTGGCCTCCAATTTGAAAAGCGGTCAAAGGTAAAGTTGCCATGATGATATCGCGGTTCGGTCTGCGAATGCCGTTCTTGAGCACCGGCATGCTGTCCCGTACCGACTTGTTGTGCTTCGCTAGCCATGAAAGAAAGACGCACCAGAAGCCGACAAGCAGGAATTGGATGATAGTGAGAGTCACAGGCTTTGGTAACGCGGTCAAGATGGTTTTGGAAGAGGTGTTGGTTAGGATGGATGAGCCGTACCAGAGCATGCAAAGGACCTCGATCGCTATCAGCTCGCTATCGAAAAGTACGAGGTGTGCTTGGTACATACTACTAGCCTGCCTGAAACAGGTGCCTTGAGCGACTCTGCAATTTCTTGCGCGTTCTCGCTGATGCTCGCCTTGCGCGTCCTGACTGTTCTGATCGCCTCCGTCAAGCTTTTCTGCTTGGAATGTCTTGCGCCGTCCGCAGACGCTCCTTTAGCCCATGCGCTCCAATCGCGCTTTCGGGACGGCCATCGCTCGCTTGAATGCAAGCCCGGCGGCAAGCCATTGGGAAGAGGCTGCGGTGTCCGATCTCGTGAGATATCTTCCGCCGTCTCCTCCGGCACTCCATCGACATACTCTGGCTGTAAGTCTGGGAACTTGAACTTGCCATTCGGATTGGCGGACGACGAGCGCCTACGCTCTACTCCTGACCCCTCCGTCGCATGAGGCACCATCCTAGACGTGCTGCTCTACTGAGATGTCTAGCCGAGTCACCTCGCCATCGCAAGATGTGTGGTGTTTGGACAAGTGTCCCAAGCCCGGTATGCGCGACGCTGCACGTGCGATTTCGTGACAATGCGAGGAAAGGTAAGTAAGACAGCGTCCACCCACTATAGCTGCGAGATTAATATGCGCGAAGTCGGTCGCACTAACGTCTCCTGTGGTCCTAGCAGTCGTCCACAATGTCGAATGCCTCTCGTACACAATCGCTGGCCATGAGGGAAGGGATCATGTTGCCGTGCTCATTGATACGTGCAGCGAGTCGGGCCACTAATCTCCGACGCTGTTCACTGGACCCTCTTGGCAGGGGAACCGTGCGAGTCAATGCATCAGATAACATCGCCAGAACAGTCAGCATGTCGTTGCTGACTACAGTCAACAATGCCGTGAAACAGTGCGATAGCGATGTTGCTATCGCAGATATGGCACTGCGTCACTGGCTATGTGGCCACGTTAGGTTTGCGGCAAGAGCCCCTCAACCTGACTGATTACTCCCGGAGACTGAACATCACCTTCTCTGCGGATTGGCAACTGCTCGGACCGTTTCAGATCGGAACGAGGGAGGCTGTATGGGGCGCTGACCCGTTAGAGTACTACGGCGGGTTTCGTTCCCTGGAGTACAGCGACCATGACATCTTCAAATCCTCCCTAGCCTTCAATGGCACGGTGCCGTGGAGCACACTTCGTGCCCGTCTTGATAACCCACCGGTTAACCCAGCACTGGATACTCGCTGGTGGACCACATCTTCTGCCGAGTTAAACGTCGGGTTTCCCAACATTGACTGGCACGCATTACAGGCTGTCTACGGCTGGGCAGCACTTCAGTGGCAAGGGTGGGCGAGAGGAGAGTTGCTGGTTGGAGACAATGTGGGTAGCGTCACCGTCGTACTGTCAGTCGAGCATGTTCTGGAGCTCTGGCTTGATGGGGTGCATTATTTCGGGGGTGACTTCTTCAGCTATGGTAAAGCGGCAGTGACGCTGCATCTGAAGCCGGGCACGCACCGTATCGATGTCAGAGTTCTTCGCGAAGTGCGAGCAGATGGCGGAGGGCATCCACCTAGGGCCACGACCAAGCTTGGTATACAGACTCAAGCAGGTGTAGTCAAGGCTGTCACGCACGGCGATCTGCTTCACAGTGCCGTTATTTCGGACATTTCATACGATAACAGTGGGTTCTTCGCAAGCGACTATGCGTCCATCAGCCTCCGTAACGACGCGCCACACACTGCTTACATCCACAAGTTATATGGACGCACGACGCAGTGCGTAACAGAGCCACTCTCTACTTTGCCATTGAAGTTGCTACCTGGACAAACGCGACCAGTCGCTTTTCGTATGGGTTGCGTGCCGGATCGGCCTATGGTTCCATTGGAGATCAACTACGAGTACACCATCGAGGGCAGCACGAGGATCGAGAAGGGCTTCGTACGGACACGACCCCCTCTCAAAGACATACACGCGCCGCACAAAATCACCTACATGCACCCTGCGGGTATGGTATCATATGCAATCTTACGACCTCCGTCACCGAACGCGAAGTGTCCTCACGGCACGAATGGCACGGCCCCCGTCTTGCTGGCTTTGCATGGTGCTGGACTAGAAGCAGACAGTGAACTTGTTCGGCATGCCTTGGATGAAGTGTCAGATCTATGCGCATGGCTTCTCTTCCCCACAGGCGTGACGCCTTGGAGCGGAGACGACTGGCATATTTGGGGGTGGGCTGATGTCGAGGCTGCCATCGCCGCCATACCAGCGTGGATTGAGCGGCATGAATGGACCGGACCAGGCGTAAACGTCAATCACTGGCTTGTCATGGGGCATTCCAACGGCGGTCAAGGCACTTGGTATGCGCTCACTCACCGGCCGGACAACGTCATTGCCGCGGCGCCCTTATCCGGATACTCTAACATTCAAAACTACGTACCCTACACGATGTGGCGAGTATCAGATCCGGCCAAGTCTGCACTCGTCCATGCCTCTCTTAACAGCTACCGGCATGAACTAATGCTAGAGAATGCAAAAGGCATCCCGATTTTTCAACAGCACGGAAGCGAGGACGACAATGTACCGCCATACCACTCACGCTTACTGAGCCAGCTCATTGAGCAGGCAGAAGCCGAGAGCACATACTTCGAAATGTCAGGACGTCCGCATTGGTGGGATGGAGTGATGACTACGGACCCATTGAAGCACTTCTTCCACCGCCACTTGGACGGCAACACTTCAGCCACAGCTGGTGCTCCGCCATCGGCATCAAGCTTTAGTATCGTGTCCGCCGGCTATGGCGATATGGGGCCTAAACTCGGATTCGAGCCTCCGCAGCCAAGAGTTCCAGGACGCCTAGCCAAAGTTGATGTTGCAATTGACCCGTTGAGGCAAGAGTGTAGGATATACACGTTCAATGTCCGATCACTACGCCTGCCCCCTTGGCTCGACTTCTGCAGGTGTATTAGCGTGGATGACTTTTGGATGACCGTGGACGCACCCTCTAACGGAGCCGGGTGGACTCTGGAAGCCCAGGGTCACCGATGGCAGCTCATGGACCCATCGTCAGCTGTGATACCCAAGCGGCGCGGAAGCCAGCTGGGCGCCATGGACGCGATACTTCGCACGAACGGCGCCTTTCAGATCGTTTATACCTCCCAGAATGCGCTGCACATCGCTCTCCAAGTCTCGCGCAACCTTTACCAATACTACGGCGCAGACACCATCATCACGGACAGCTACACGGAAGCGTGTGAGCAGGCAAGCGGGAATGTGATCACTGTCGCCATAGGAGGAGGTTTGCCACAAGAACTTGGCTGTTTTGACTCCATCGTGATCGAAAATGATCGCATTCGCGTCGCCGACCACACGATTGGGGGTGTATATCGCTTTCGAAACGCGCTCGGCGCCATCTTCCTCCGCCCTCTACCCGACGAGCGTCTGGAGCTAGTAGTCTGGGGCATGGACGAAGAAGGTCTGGACATCGCCGCCAGGCTCGTGCCTTTATGGACGGGAAGCGGACAGCCGGACTTTGTCGTTGGGGATCGGAGCATGCTCTGGAAAGGTATTGACGGTGCATTGGCCATGGGCTTCTTCGACCACGATTGGAAGGTTTCTACAAATTCATTTGTAAGTTAAGGTAATCGCATACTGTAGAATGCAGTTACAGTAGTCCTGAATTGATGCGTGAGGTTGGTATCGTACGCTACGCTATGCACGGAAGGATCAATCATATCTCGTCCACCTCGTCATCCTTCGCGGAAGCCTTGACCTTCGTGGTACCGTTACTGTTCATGGTGTCAAGTCTAGCGCACACGTTAGTAGCCAGCACTTCCTAGAAGGGGCAGATATAACTCACCCAATGCTCGCCCCAACTCCATGCTTCTGACTCATGCCAATCGCCTGCCTGCCCGTTTCCGAACTCTCCAGAAACTCTCTCAGCTTTTCCTTGAAGATCTCAAGCCCTTGCGCACTCGCCGCGTTCGACATCCTGAAGATCGGACCCCACAGATTCAGCGTCCACGTGACGTAACCAGCCACTCCCAGCAAGATCAACAAAATGAAGTACACCGGGTTTCGCAAGACAGCCACAATCTCGTTCCATCCCAGTGCAAGCAGCAATCCGTAAAAGTACAGCGGGATCTGCGTCACGCCGCCAATGGCACTGCGTTTGGCTTCCACATATACACCGTCGGCCGTCTTCTTGAAACGGGTTGAGAGATCGGCTGCTTTGGCGTCGGAAAGAATGGTCATCTCGTCCTCGAGCGTCTTGGCTTCATCATCGTCCACGCCGCCGATGGGCGGCAAGTCCTCCTCATCCGCAGGCGTCACGTTGCTTGGAGCTTCGCCGATCCAGGCATCGAGCGGGGGCGGAGCGCTAGTCCGGGACAGCTTGAAGCGGGACAGCAGCGGAATGAGCTCGAGCGTACTTTCTCGCGCACGCGTATACATCCCCTCAATGTCGTCCGTAGGTCGCCAAATACGCGGAACGCCTTCCTCATCGTAGCGGAACTTATCCTCAAAGTTCTCGCGGAGTTTGAGAAGGAGGTTGCCCTCCATCATCTCTTCGTCAATCTTAGCACGCAAAGCAGCCCACGACTTCCGTCGAAGTCGCCACAAGCCCACTTCGACTTCGTCGGGACTAGCGTCGAAGCTGCGAGCACGGTCGGTGAAGCGGGTTTCGGCGTGCGAGACGGTTTCAGTAAAGACATTCCAGATACGATCCCAGAGGTCCTTCTCCGTCGGCGGCTTTTGGCCATGTTCAGGAGCGCCGGAGCCGCCGCGACCGGAGCCCAGCTTGTTGAACTCTAGCCCGACGCTCTCGTCAAGCTTCGCACGGACCCATCGTTCGCTGCGGTTGGCGAGCCGGCGCATCTCTTCTTGCCGCAAGCGAGAGGAGACTTCGTCGATTTCTTTCCGATAGAGGTTCAGTTGCTGCTTGTAGTCGCTCCACGGCGTCTTCTCCACGATACTGGCTTGCGCCTGTGCTTGAAAACGTGAGAGAGCCTTCTCCTTCTCCGTGCTGACGATCTTGTGGAAGTCGTAGCTTCCGCCTTTCTTCTGTCCAGTCTTCACAGCTTGCGTGACGGCTTCGCTGAAGTCGTTGAGCCCAGCTTTGTGCGCGGCGGTCATCTGACCTTGGAAGAGCGTCTTGAGCCTGCCGTCCACCTTGCCTTCGAGTTCGGTTTGCTTCCGCTTGTAGACGCCTTTGTGATATCTACTCGCTTCTACTTCGAAGCTTGCCAGCAAGACCGATCGGGCAGTTGTCATCAGCTTGCCAAGCTCCGGGATGACAGAAGGCTTGCCGGCAGCTACAGCTTGGTTCTGCTGCTCTTCAAGCGGTGAGATAGCCTCGTCGAAAGGCACGAGGACTTCCTTCGAAATCTCATCGCATCTGAATTGCGCAAGCAATTCTTGCTGAGTTGGTAGGTCGAGGTCCTTGTTGCTGTCAATCTGCTCCCAGATTCCGCGTGCATACATCGGAAAGCCGTCGGCAGGTATCCGCCGGTGATACTGGGGCAGTAACACCGGCTCTTCCTGCTCATCCACCAACCCTGCTCTCTTTGGGTCTTTGTAGCCGTCCCTGAACCTCGTGCCCAGCTTCTGCACCTCTTGCTCAAACCTCTCCGGCTGCAAGATCTTGTGCGGCAGCGCCACGAATGCAAAGTCAAAGTAGTCCTCGATCTTACTTTTCTCCAGCCCTGATGGCTTGCTCAAGCCTGACCATATCCGTTGTAAATCCTGTATGAGTGTGTTTTGGAGATTCGACAGCGGCGTTGTGCCCAGGTGGTCGCGGATGACGAAGAAGAGCAGACTCCTCGGCACGCTTTTGGCATCTTTCAAGAACAGCTGCAAATTGACCTCAAACACCGTCTTCAGCAAGCCCATGTTCGCTCCCTGGTACAAGCCAACCTGATGCTCCCAGATATTGACAATCAGCACCTCGCTCGTCGCCAGCGCAAACAACGCACTCTTGCGCTCAAAGTCCTGGTCCTCGCCTCTTTCCCTACCATCCGTACCTTCCACATCCATGACAAGGATGTTCTCGGCCATCCGTCCCTCCTCCTTCGCCCCTTCCTTCTTGTTCTTGCTCATCCAGATGCCTTTGGTGGTCTGTCTGCGCTCCTGCTCGCTCATGACCCCAAAGTGTGTCCCAAACAAATAGTTCAACAACGTACTCTTACCCGTACTTTGACTTCCAAACACGCTTATTAGGTGATAGTTGAAGCCCGCCCTCGTAATGCCCTCCAACTGCAGGTAAGCACCCAGGTTGTCATTGAAGTTCTTGTCCTGGTCAATGATTTGCACGCCATGTTCGAAGTCCTCGGCGGTGACATCCTTGCCTGTGCCGGCGAAGTGGCCGTTCATAGTGGTCAACACGGTGGGAGCGGTGGGGTGTCTGCCGGAGGAGGGGCGTCGAGTCTCACCACCATTCATCGACGCTTGTAAGCCGGAAGGGGTGGTAGTGGCGGAAGACATGGTAGAATATACCAGCTACAACGTAATGATGCACCGCCGCTTGGCCTGTGGCTGCTGCACCGCCAATCGCTTCTGTGCAGCGGCACGGGATGGGTGGGAGGAGCTGTCACGAGCAGGCGCGCATCATTGGTCCGAGGGCGGAATATTGGTAGGCGGTGACGTCGGCGCTTGCGGTTAGAGCTGGTTCAATCAAACCCCAACCCTTCGAAACTTACCCGGGTTAATCAATACTAAGGTAGTTGTTAGTTCAGATCACCCAGCACCGACTGCAAACCAGACAATATCGCAAAACATGGACGACTTCGCGACTCCTGATAGCCTGTGCTCCGCGATAGCTGAGAACGATCACCGAACGAGATAGTCGTAACTCCACACGTGCCGATGGAAGATGGCGCGCCTAGAAAGTCCGCGGTCGACGAGGTCAAAGCCCAGAACCATCGCCTCGCAACGCAGTTCAAAGCGCGACATGTTTATACTGTGACCTTCTTCTGTCTGATCCTGGTCTTCCACGTACTGGCACTGTACCTCTTCTGCAGCGGCTTCCTTCTCTCTCGACTAGTCCTGCAAGACCGATCAGAATGCGGCGTGCCACCAACAGACCTCAATACCAGGTATACGTCAGGCTCGATAGAGAAAGGCTGCTGGTATCCGAAAGTCTTCGATAAAGCTGTTATTATCCTCGTCGATGCACTCCGATACGACTTCACCGTACCGTTCCAACCTCTCCCCGGCGACAAGCAACCGCACTATTTCCATAACGCACTGCCAGTGCTGTACGAGACGTCTGTCCAGTCACCGAACAATGCATTTCTACGGCCTTTCATAGCTGATCCGCCCACTTCGACGTTGCAGCGGCTCAAGGGTCTGATGACCGGCACTCTGCCCACATTCATCGACATAGGCTCTAACTTCGCCGGCACTGCAATTGACGAGGACAACCTGATTGAGCAACTGTACAAGTCAGGCAAGAAAGTCGCGCATCTAGGAGATGACACTTGGCACTCTTTGTTTCCGGGCTACTTTGAACCCAATCTGACGCGACCATTCGATTCTTTCAATGTGTGGGACCTGCATACGCTCGACAACGGCGTCAACGAGCACCTCTTCCCACTTCTAGAGCCAGAGATGACTAACAAATGGGATGTGTTGATCGGCCACTATCTCGGCGTAGATCATGCTGGTCATCGCTATGGGCCTGATCATCCTGAAATGGCTGCCAAACTGAGGCAGATGGACGGCATCTTTCGTCGCGTCGTCGATATGCTGGATGAAAGTACGCTTCTCGTCGTGATGGGCGACCATGGCATGGACATCAAAGGCGACCACGGAGGCGAGTCTGACGAGGAAGTTGAAGCTGCACTATGGATGTATTCTAAGCGGCCAGTCTTCGGATCCCAGCTAGGCCACCCAATCGAACCGCCTCCAACTGCCAAAGAACGCGCAGTAAGCCAGATCGACTTGGTACCCACGCTCGCCTTTCTGTTGGGTCTGCCGGTGCCTTTCAACAACCTCGGCCAACCAATCCCAGAAGCTTTCCTAGGGACTAGGCTCAGCGATACACCTGACGATGCGTACGGTAGCCTTGTCGACATCAACAAGCTCACTGCTTGGCAAATTTGGCGATACCAAATGCAATACAACAAAGCGCGCGGGATTGAGCACTCTGCTACGTCCGCGCCGTCGAAACGGTTCACGACAGCGAATGACGAGTACGCAAACTACCTTGACGACCGCGTTGGAGGAAGGCATGACCACGTCGCACGCTTGTACGCTGCCTACCAAGCCGAGAATCTGCGCATTTGTCGAGATTTATGGGCACGCTTCGATCTCGTCAGCATGAGCATGGGTATCACAGCGCTCATTGGTACTTTCGCTCTACTTGCCATCTACGCGCAGGCTATCAAAATTGATAGAGCGGCCATCACTCCAGCATTGCTACGGTACGGCGCCGCGGGTACAGCTGGAGGCGCTCTACTCGGAGCAGTGGTAGGCTCACTTCCATCGCTCTCCTTGCTTCAACTCTCCATCTTTGGCGCCGTTACGGGCGGAGTTACTGCTACTGCTGCAGGCTTCTGGCCGGAGCGCAAGATGCTCGCGCTTCCGCTTCCTTCTACCTTCTGGGGCGGTCTCTGCTTCCTTGTCACTCTCATGCTGTGCGGTGGCTTCGCTGCCAATTCTTTCACGATTTGGGAGGATGAACAGCTGTTGTTTATCCTTGTCACGTTCGGCGTGCTTTTGCTGGGCAGCTCCTTGGGCCGGCCTGAGCGTGAGGATAGAGTGCTCGGCGCTATTCACGCTCTGTCTTTCATCGTTGCAACACGACTGAGCTCGCTTTCTCGCCTGTGCCGCGAAGAGCAGATGCCGAACTGCAGGTCTTCGTACTACGCTTCCGCTACATCATCGACCTCGGCAGCTTGGCAGCTCGTCATTCCATTCGCGGTCCTGGCTGTGCTGCCCTCCGTGATCGCGAGTGTCTATGCACGGACGAAGAACTACCAAGGCTCAGCGGTGGTGTGGATTGGATATGCGTTACGTATCGGGCTGCTCATGGTCGCCGGATTCTGGGTTCTAGATGTCGCGGATGATGGGAGCTGGTTCTCGCACATAGCGAAAGAAACATTGAAGACTTCGAGGGTGTTGGTGGCCCAAATGGTGCTCGCGCTGGCATTTGCCGCAGGCTACGCTACGTATGTGATGGCAGCTCCGCTGGTCGACGTTAAGCAGGAAGACGTTGCGGCGACCGAGCCTCCCGCGCCAAAGGCACTGGATCCGGATGATGCGAATGGGCCAATCTTCACCCCACTCACTAATGGGAACAGCACTAAACCGAAACGGCGCATTATCATTCTCGGCTATGCGAATATGTACGGCACGAGATATCTTCTTCTACCTTGCGTATGGATTCTCGCATTGCAGTTGGTCCAGAAACCGATGGGTCAAGGCACGCTCGCGCTATGCATGATCTCAATTCTGAACGTGCTGGAGATAGTCGATGCCAACGACCTGCGCCAGTCGTCTGTCGGACCGATCGTGCTGGCACTGCTCGGCAGCTTCTACTTCTTCAAGACAGGCCATCAAGCCGCCCTCTCCACCATCCAATGGGAGTCAGCCTTCATCCCACTCAAGACGATCCGATACCCGTGGAGTCCGCTCTTGGTGGTGCTGAATAGCTACGGAGCACAAATCCTGTGCGCTATTGCTGTCCCGGCTATCGCGGTATGGAAGGTCAACCCCAAGGAGCCAGGTCTGCTGGGACAGATTGCTGGGTCAATGGCAACGCACATTCTGTTCTATGCTGCGATTGCGACAGCCACAGTTGTGGAGAGTGCGTGGTTGAGAAGGCACTTGATGCTGTATCGGGTCTTCATGCCGAGGATGCTGGTGGCGATTACGGTGCTTGTGCTGGTCGAATTTGTGGGGGCGCTGGTGGGGCTCGTAGGAGTAAGATGGGCGGTGGGAAGTGTCGGGGAGGTGTTTGGATGGGCGGAAGAGTAGATACTAGCTGACTACGCGTGTCTCACGCTCCTCTAGCGACTGTTGACATGCCCTGATCGTAAATCTGTTCCTGGCTATAAAGTGACTCCAGGGTCCGTGCCCTCGCGGTTTCACGCGCTCCGCGTCTTGATCAGCGTCCAGCGCAGAGTTGAATGATCATGGTAAACCTTTGCGCGTGAACGGGTCGCTTCTTCGTCATGCCTGTGCAAGGCAATCACTGGTCAAATAATGCATCGGATCCGACTTTCAGTCATCAATTGCCTGGCAGACCACGTCCATCTGGCGGCCAGCAGACACCGTTACCTCGAAATGTTCCCGCAAGGCAATCCGATTATGGAAGGAACCACCAACATTATGAGACTGCCACTCGACCGCAGCCGAGACATGTCGTCCAAACACCGGATACTGACTCGACGTCACCTCTTCTCACCTCCCAACAGAGACCGCAGTACCAACAACCCTACATGTACCATTCCGGTCCCGTTCCGCCAGCGCAACACCAGTGGTCGCAACCGGCTAATCATACAGCTCAGCGATTTTATAGCCCATCACAGCCAGTTCAGCAGCAGTACTACCAACAACGGGAGCTTCAGCAGGCGTCTGCACAAGGCTACTACCTGGCTCCTGCGCATCAAAGACCGCATTATCAACCCAACTCAAGGCAGCATTCGGCTCAGCAGCATCAGCGAGCTCTGCAGCACGGTATTGACCCTATCAGCTTCGTACGCACCCAGTCTCGCTCGCCGCTACCGACACCGTCCAGCGCGCCGCCACAGCCGCAGCAACGAAGCCAACAGTCTCCAGCAACAGTGACTAGTCCCGCCGCAACGCCTCCTATATCACGCCAGCGTACTGTCGTCCATGTTGCCATTCCAACACCGCCTGCTACTCTAAATCTAGCCGACCTCGACATGCCACGAGCGGCTAAGCGCAGACGCTCAAATGAGGGAGAGGCGATCAAAGTGTGTCACCAGCCGACACAACCTCCCAAGCCTCTAGCAGCACATCGTGCTATTCAACCACCCGTAGCACCCTCGCCTTTAGCGGAGCTGGCTCCTCCTCAGATCCCGCCGACACCGCCTCCAAGTGTTGACTACCAAGCAGTCTTGTTGTCGCTCGCCGATGAGTACATGAGTGGCGCTTATTCCATGAGCAGCATGCTTGTCGCAGGCGACTACCCGGAGAATGAGCTCGCGCAGTATCATCAACTTGTCAGCACTGCCATGGGCTGTCTTGAATCTGTACTGCAGAATTACCGGCAGCAAGACCCTCGGAAGGAAGCACGCATCCGTTTGCGCCTTGCAACATTACTCTTCGACGAGACAGAGAACGCGGCGCAAGTCGAGGAAGTGCTCAGCAAGGGCATCGCACTTTGTGAACGAAGCAGGTTGGTCGACCTCAAGTATGCGATGCACCACCTTTTGGTGCGACAGGCGGCGAAGACGAGCCCAAAAGCGGCCGTGAAAACGATCGAGATACTCATCGCCGAGGTCGAAACACTCGGGCTTACTCATTGGATTTACGTCTTTCGTTTCCTGCGCGTGACTCTCGGCCTGCAGAGAAGTGATATCCCGGACATTGCTAATCTTATCAAACACCTTGAGTCAGTCGTATCAAAGGCGAAGTCACGAGGTGATGTTACTGTGCAGATCGTTGCTACCGCACTGGAGATCATGTTGCACCTGCGCTCCGACTCGTCCGAGAAGTTCGAGCACGTGCAAAGAGCATTCGCTACCGCCAGGATGCACCAGCTCAGTCCGGAAATGCAGGCGCTGCCACAAGTCAGAGCATTGCTTGACTGCTTAGACCTAGCATGCGCTTTGATGCAGTTCAGTCCTGATCAGATCGCGGAAAAGCTGCAAGCCATGCATAACAATATGGACGAGGCCGCGCGCGACAAGGGGTGGACTAAGGACGGCAGCTTCGTCGTACCGCTTGGCGTCGCTGCTAGTGGAGGCCTAGAGCTGGAGACTGCCGGCATACTGACCAGCTCTTCGGATGGCAAGGCTTCTCTCGCATTTCAGTGGCTGCCGCGAGGTGCGGTCTACACGCTCGGCTACCTCCTGAGCGGTATTGCTACCTCGGCGAAGCATCCAGGCGACTCGAAAGCCGAAAGCTATCTCAATGAAGCCTTGAAGCTCGTAACGGTAAAGGCCGAGAATCAATCGCAGCCGCTCTCCGCGGTGGCGGACGCGACCAGCTGGGAGAAGGCGACAAATGCTGCAACACGCTTGCAGCTCGTATTTGCCCACTGCAACCGTTTCGACTGGATAGCGGCATCGAAAGCTCTGGAGGAGCTCGACGAGATGTCCGCGCAGTCCGAGGTCGCCTTCGATGACCTTACTGCCGTAACTGCCACATACCTCAACGCCGTTTGTAAGCAAGGTCTTGGAGACATTCCTGGTGCATCAGAACTTTACGCATTACCGCAGCTCAAGTTCAAGAGCAACAGCAAAGCGCCTAGTGCTCTGAAAGACATACAGGCCACCGCAACGCTCAGTCGCATACTTATACTTCGCCATGAAGGAGACGTACAGCAAGCTGACCAGCTCTTGGGCAGCGTAGAGTCGTACTGCCTAACGCACGGCAACAAGTCACTCGTAGCAGCATACTATATCGTCAAGTCGCTGAACCAAGCGCCGAACAATGCCATTATCAAGCTCAAGCAGTTCCTGCAATCTGCCGTTCAAGCAGCAAAGACGGCTAGCAACCAACCGCTCATCTGTATAGTCATGAACCTCATGACACAATCCTTCTTCAGCAACATCATCGGCGATCAAGCCGTGAAATCGGCCCGCGTAAGCCGGACCCTCGCGCTGAAGGCGAACAACCGCCTCTGGACCGCCGTCGCGGATCGTATGTACGCTGGAACACTCGAATTGTCAGGCGAAGGGAAGGATGCAGAGAACGCAAGGCGGGATGCCATTGAGAACATGCAAAAGTTACCAGAGCCGCTGAAGGAGCGCTTTCGAGATGATCTTTAAGGGAGCCACGTGATGTGGGGGAAAATGGAGCCTGGCGGCCTGGAAGCGGGGAGCTCCCGTGCCTTCCAGACTGGCTGAGTTGTGTGTATTGGTGGTCTGTGCACTGTTTCACTGTACGATTCACTTCGATATCCCTGTTTGTACGCTAAGTACAAGTGTCTAACGCAGTGTTCCCGAATGTACTCCTTGTGCTTGCGGCCGCGCCGGGTTGCGTTGTGACAAGTGAAATAATATTGAAGATGTCTGGTACTCGCATTCACAAGGCTTGGCTGAACGCTGAAAGACAATGTGCTGGAGACACTCTGCTACAAGATGGCCCTTGAGACCTCTGAAGGATTTCTCTACTGGCGACAACAACGACTACCCTAGCAGGGATCAGCAATCATCGGCAACGACGATAACAATCACAGTAACAACGACAACATCAACAACATGGACGACTGGCGAGCTTTGGCGAACTTGCAGCGTGATCAACTCACGGAGAGAGATGCGGCGATTGACAGCCTTCAGCGACAACTCCGAGAAAGCCAACGAGCAAGCTACGACCTGCGCTTCCAGCTGCTTGAGCAAGATGAAGCTGTCAAGCGCACCACGACTGTATCCACCCACACCGAAGCGAGCGATGAGCTCGCGAAACTGCAGCTCCAGCACGACAAACTTACGGAAGCACACAAACATCTGAACAAGAAGTACACTCAGGTTCAGGCCCAGCTCAACGCGCTCACAAGCTCTGGTCAGGCAGCGCAGGCTGTCCGCCTGCAAGCCCAGTTGCGGGGGAAGGAAGCGAAGGTGCAAGCTCTTACAAAGCTGAACAACCATATCGTCGGACAGCTGCAGACCGAGAAGCTGGCGAAAAATAAAGTGCAACGCACGCATGCTTACAACAAGGGTAAATGTCCCCACGATCAGGATGACAGTGAGACGGATCTCCCAAGGCAGGCGCCCACTAAGAAGACGTTCGCTGCCGTGACCCAAATTCAGTCATCTCATACCGCTTCTCTAGGCCCAGAAGTCCCGCTTGGACGGTTATCACTCGCATGCCCAACCACCAAAGGGAAAGCTACGCCGAAGAGGGCAACCCAAGCAGCGCCCCCGGTATCGAAGGTTGCAGCTTCCGGCAAGACTAAGAGCAAAACTACTCCGAATAAAGCTAAACCTGCACCACCCAAAAAGCGCAAACGCATCTCGGCAGATGACAGCGGTGAAGACGACGGAGACGAAGGGTACACAGACGACGTCGATATGGACGATGTGGATGACGAGAAGATCGATGAACAAGAACTCCGCGACCTGAAACGCATCACTACCAGGCTCCAGCCTACCCAGAGCAAGCGGCGCACCCCTCTCCGCTCAACATTGGCCAAACCTCTCAAGAAGAGCGACATCGGCTTCGACTTCAAGATGGTCACGAGTTACAACGCGGATGGAAGCGCGCAAGGTTTCGAAAGGGCCGATGTCGCAGACAATCTTGGCGAGCTGTGGGAGCGTGTGAACGAAGTCCGTGACGATATCTGGGAGGGAGCGAGGGGTGAGCAGTGGCAGGATATATTCCTCTACGACACAGACAAGTCGGTTCAGTGCGTGACCAAGCGTCTTTGCCGCGGGCAGGATGTCGAAGGCGTCAAACTTAGTGGCGGAAGGACTTTGTGGTATCCGGGCCATGAAGGGAAGTATGCCTGCCGAGACTGCGTGGCGAATGATTGGCCGTGCTTCACGTACTGGAAGGACGAGTTCTGGCTTCTGCCGCTGCGAGAGGAGGATAGGAAGGTAAAGGTTGAGACGGACTTTGAGATTCGATATTGGCTGAATGAAGAGGAGGATGGCAGCGGAGAGGACGCGCCGAGCAGGAAGAGGAAGGTCGCGAAGTCGCCGTAAATGGGAGGTTATAAGATCTGCGCCAGACGAACCCAGGTTGAGTCCTCCAACCGAGAAGGCGAGGTAAGGCATCAGTGGGGCCCAGAATATGCTACAACCCCGGCCTCCTCATCTGGGAGAGTGGCTTCTTATTAGCAGGCAAACACGAAGAGATGACCAGCATACCTTAGCATAGCACCGTTATGCTCTTCTGCAGAGAGCGACAGCGGTGGTGATTGGTCTCCGATTTGGTTGGATGTGGTTATGATACTGCTGTACACATCATTACACCGAATCCCTGATTGCAGTAGTGCTAGCAACATCTCAAAACTCCTCTTCCTGATGAAAGAACAAGCCGAAACTGATGATCGTCCCATATATCAATAGCCCGCCGATAATGCTCATCACCATTGCCTCTATCCGTATCAGATCGCAGTGCGCCAGTACTACCGGTAATGCTACGCGTACCACAACGTCAGCATGATACAGGCACACCCACACTCCCCTATCGCAGTCTCCAGAATAGTAACAGTGATACGTACCAACTCCCATAACAACCAAGAAGCCCGTAAAGAACCTCCCCAACTCCACCACGCCCCCCCCGCCACTCCCACTGTCCATGAAGTCATCGCTCGTGCTCCAGCGGCCGCAGATCCAATTGGGGATGGGCGCGAGAACATAAGTGGCTACGACGAGGAGGGGAAGGAAGTTCTTGTAGAGGGCGGAGGAGAGGATTACTAGCAGGAAGCCTATTGCGAGGATCTGACGGAGTAAGAGGCGGTTAGTGAGATGGAGCTAAGGGACGGGAGAGGCGAGATGGATGGGCTTGAGGGGTGGTACGCACGAAGGATAGGATGATGATGGTGCGGAGACCGGCCATGGCCATGAGTATGAGGTGGGCGCCTGGGCGCTCGCTGAGTGGTGGATGGATGCAGCCGGTGGCGGTGTTGGTCGCTGAAAAGCCGACTGGGTGGAATTTGTAAGCTCGTCACTGACTCGTACGTTTGCGCTTGAAAGGGAGGGTATAAGGCTGTCGTATCCCGGTAGAAGCTGTCGCTCGACTGCCTGCTTGACGTTGGAGATCGCTCGCGTGAGGCTGGCCATCGGCGTCGGCATTACCATCCGCGGAACGCCGCTAGAGCGACGGCGCATCCCGCTGTCGCATGAGCATGAGCTTGGCTTAGGCCAGGCAAGCTCCGCGATGCGCGTCCATCACCAAAAGAGCTTCCCATACCACCAATACACACCATATACCAAGGATTGTGAGGCAAGATGTTCCGCAACAACTACGATAACGACTCCGTCACCTTCTCCCCTCAAGGTCGCATCTTTCAAGTCGAATACGCACAAGAAGCCGTCAAACAGGGCTCCGTAGTCGTGGGAATAGTGAGCAAGACTCATGCCGTCCTTACAGCGCTAAAGGTACGTCTTCACCTTACTCTAGGCTTAGCACATACTAAGGTGAGATGTTGTACAGCGCCAAGCAGAAGAGCTCTCGTCCTACCAAGAAAAGATCCTCCCTATCGATTCCCATTACGGCCTCGCCCTCGCCGGTCTCGCCTCCGACGCCCGTGTCCTCTCCAACTTCATGAAGCAGCAATCCCTCGCCTCGCGCCTGACGTACGACCGTCCCATCCTACTGTCAGACATCACCTCGCGCATTGGCGATCGCGCGCAGACGAACACGCAACAATACGGCAAACGACCTTACGGCGTCGGACTGCTAATCGCCGGCACGGACGCAAAGGGCACTCACCTTTTCGAGTTCCAACCCAGCGGCGTCACGAGCGAGATGGTAGCTGATGCCATCGGAGCGCGGAGTCAAATGGCCCGGACGTATTTGGAGCGGCATTTGGAAAGCTTTGAGCAGTGTGGCCGAGATGAGTTGATCAGACATGCGCTGAGGGCGTTGAAGGATACGTTGGGTCAGGATCGGGAGCTGACGGTGGAAAATGTGAGTTTAGGGGTTGGAGGGGTGGGGGAGGATTTCCGGGTGGTTGAGGGGCAGGAAGTTGCCCCGTTTTTGGAGGGTTTGTCGGAGAATAGGGCGGAGAGTGGTGAAGGTGCTGGTGGCGAGAGTATGGAAGTGGATTCGTGAGGAAGTGGTGCTTGTATTAGTATGTGGTATGCTGCATGGCGCTGGTGTTGCGGCGATGGAGCATTGTATCCCATCAGTGGATGGAAGATGAGGCACTTCACTGTGTGCTATACAATAACTTACCCACCAATGCTAGCATCTGTATATCTCAATCAACTAGGCTTGCATTCTTAATGAAATGTTTCGCTCCATCACTCGCCTGACTCTACTTGACTTGACGTTCTCGTCTTGGCGTTGGTCCGTGCACTGAAGCTCTTTTGCTCCCGACCCTTTCCCGCAGCTCCATCTCCTGTTGCCAGCAACGAGACACCACCTCTCTCTCCTCTCACACACCCACTCCATCTCCTCAACCACCGCAAAGATGCTGAAGAAGTGTGTCCCCCTCAACCCATCACCTCGCCGCCGCCATTGATGCGCGTACTGACGAGATTGACAGCGGCATCGCCCGGAGTCTGCGCGCCTCCGCCTTCGCCAGGCAGGCCTTCCAACCCCGAGTCGCCAGCCCCATCATCGCCCAGCGCTTCGCCAGCACCGACAGCGCCAAGGATGGCAAGGTCTACCAGGTTATTGGTGCCGTCGTCGATGGTATGCCGCTTTGCCGCCGCTCGCGCGTGGTGGGAAGAGAAACAACAGCCGAGCTAACGCATTGGTGATGTGCAATACAGTCAAGTTCGACACCGAGCAGCTCCCATCCATCCTCAACGCTCTTACCGTCGAGAACCAGGGCAACAAGCTCACCCTCGAGGTCGCAGTACGTCACATAGTCACTTTTGGAGGTAAAATAGTGGTATACACCGGCTAATGCTCCATTAGCAACATATGGGTGAGAGCATTGTGCGATGCATTGCCATGGACGGTACCGAGGGTCTCGTTCGTGGTGCCGTCTGCACAGACACCGGCGCTCCCATCTCCATTCCCGTCGGCCCAGCCACCCTCGGCCGCATCATGAACGTCACTGGCGACCCCATTGACGAGCGTGGCGAGATCAAGACGGACAAGCGCGCACCCATCCACGCCGACCCGCCGCTTTTCGTTGAGCAGTCGACCGCTGCTGAGGTGCTTGTCACTGGTATCAAGGTCGTGGATCTGCTCGCGCCGTACGCCCGTGGTGGTAAGATTGGACTTTTCGGAGGTGCAGGTGTCGGCAAGACTGTGTTCATCCAGGAGCTCATCGTAAGAACAACCAGCGGGAAATATGTGTTGTCACGATCATGCTAACCGCTTCACGATAGAACAACATCGCCAAGGCTCACGGTGGTTTCTCCGTCTTCACCGGTGTCGGTGAGCGTACGCGTGAGGGCAATGACTTGTACCACGAAATGCAGGAGACTGGTGTCATCAACCTCGATGGCGATTCCAAGGTCGCCCTGGTGTTCGGTCAGATGAACGAGCCGCCAGGAGCCCGTGCCCGTGTCGCTCTTACTGGGTACGTCCATCTCTCTTCCCTTAATGTCGCTACATCCCAACAGTAATCGAAGTCCATATGCTAACAGCACGCCTATGAATAGCCTAACTGTCGCCGAATATTTCAGAGATGAGGAGGGCCAGGATGGTACGATCCCAACCCCATACTTGGTTCATAAGCAGTGCTAAAAGCTATGACAGTGCTCCTCTTTATCGACAACATCTTCCGATTCACCCAAGCCGGCTCCGAAGTGTCCGCCCTTCTAGGCCGTATCCCATCCGCCGTCGGCTACCAACCTACTCTCGCCGTCGACATGGGTATCATGCAGGAGCGCATTACCACCACGCAAAAGGGCTCCATCACCTCGGTGCAAGCCGTCTACGTGCCCGCCGACGATTTGACTGACCCGGCTCCCGCCACCACCTTCGCCCATTTGGACGCCACCACTGTCTTGTCCCGCGGTATCTCCGAGTTGGGTATCTACCCGGCCGTCGACCCGCTTGACAGCAAGTCCCGTCTCCTCGACCCCCGTATCATCGGTGACGACCACTACCAGACCGCCACCAAGGTGCAGCAGATCTTGCAGGAGTACAAGTCGCTGCAGGACATCATCGCTATCCTGGGTATGGACGAATTGTCAGAGCAGGACAAGCTGACTGTCGAGCGCGCGCGTAAGATTCAGCGGTTCTTGTCCCAGCCTTTCACTGTCGCGCAGGTGTTCACGGGTATCGAGGGCAAGCTTGTTGACCTCAAGGACACCATCCGAAGCTTCAAGGCGATTCTGAACGGTGAGGGTGATGACCTGCCGGAAGGTGCTTTCTACATGGTCGGTGACCTCGAGAGCGCGAGGCAGAAGGGTGAGAAGATTCTGGCGGATTTGGAGAAGTCATAAACAAGTTATGATGACTAGGGAGGAGTGGTGGAGCGAGGATGGCCAAGGAGAAGAGGGGAGAGTGGGAAGATGAGGTGAAGCGACTTCGTCCTCGGCGCTGCATTATTTGTACAGATTAGCGCTGCGGAGGAGGAAAAGCGAGCATGGTGTCTGCATGCTATGCTGGCTTGTACACGTAGTATGGTGGAAGCTGGGAGTTCCCTTTGTGCTGTCCAACCTTCTTCGCTGCCATTCACACTGATCACGACTGTGCCACCAAGTCAGCCCACCACTACTACTTCGATCGGTCGAAACCATCAAAATCACGTGACCGTACTTCTTTGGCTACAGCTGCCTAATCCGGATGGGTGACGTTGTGCTTGCACAGATCAAGCTCCCCCGCTAGCGTAGGCATGGCGGGACCCTTGCGGCGTTGTCGATATGAAGGTTAAGCACGAGTGAGGCAATTCGTTCCAGCTCCCGACGACACAAAACCAACTCCTCTCCCTTCTATCACTCCTTGCTTCCTCTCGACACATTGATTCTCTACCACCAACATGGCGTCCCTTCTCCGCTCCGCAGCCCGGCTGCAGCCCACACTGGCACGAACTGTCGCCCGCCCATTGACTCGTTCGATGGCTTCCGCCACGACACCCAAGCAAGCCACCGCCGCGGCCGCCACCATGCAACAACAACCCCCTCCACCACCGCCGAGCATGATGAGCAACAGCAGCAACGAGCAACCCTTCTTCCCGGACGAGCCTGCCCGTCCCATTGTCCGCACAGCGATCCCCGGCCCAGAAGCGAAGAAGACGATTGCACATCTCGACCGTGTGTTCGATACGAGGAGTTTGAACATGATGGCCAACTATCAGAACTCGTATGGCAACTACATCGCTGATGTGGACGGGAATGTGTTGTTGGATGTGTATGCGCAGATTGCATCAATTCCAGTCGGATACAGCAATCCTAGCTTGATGCTCGCGGCCACAAGCCAGGACATGGTGTCTGCCCTGATCAACCGACCCGCACTCGGCAACTTCCCTCAACACGACTGGGCCGAGATCCTCGAGACGGGCATCCTACGAGTAGCACCAAAAGGTCTAAACCAAGTTTTCACCGCGCAAGCCGGCAGCGACGCCAACGAACTTGCCTACAAAGCCGCCTTTATGTGGAAACGCCGCATGGAGCGCGGCGGCGCCGACGCACCCTTCACTCAGCAAGAAATGGACAGCGCCATGAACAACCAAGCCCCCGGCGCTCCCGACCTCTCCATCATGTCCTTCCGCACGGGCTTCCACGGGCGTCTCTTCGGCTCGCTGTCGACGACCCGCAGCAAGCCCATCCATAAACTCGACATCCCCGCCTTCGACTGGCCGCAAGCCGCCTTCCCGCAGTTAAAGTACCCTCTCGAAGCGCATGCTGAGGAGAATGCAAGAGAGGAGCAGCGCTGCCTGGACGAAGCAGAAAAGCTGATGACCACCTACCACAACCCTGTCGCCGCCATCATCGTCGAACCAATTCAATCCGAAGGTGGCGATAATCACGCCTCCCCCGCCTTCTTCAAAGGCCTCCGTGCTCTGACTCGCAAACACAACATCCTAATGATCGTCGACGAAGTCCAAACCGGCGTCGGCGCAACGGGCAAATTCTGGGCGCACGAGCACTGGAATATGGAGGACCCACCGGACATGGTGACGTTCTCCAAGAAGGCGCAGACCGCTGGTTATTACTTCGGTAACCCGGATTTGAGACCGAACAAGCCGTATAGGCAGTTCAACACGTGGATGGGTGACCCGGCGCGGGCGTTACTCTTCCGCGCTATAATCCAAGAAATCGAACGCTTAGATTTGGTCAAGAATACCGCTGTGACGGGCGACTATCTTTACGCTGGGCTGGAGAACCTCGCCAGCAAGTACCCGGGTGAGGTCGAGAACCTGCGTGGAAAGGGGCAGGGCACGTTCATTGCGTTCGACTCGCCCAGGCGGGACGAAGTGCTCGCCAAGGCCAAGGGCGTCGGTATCAACATTGGTGGATCTGGTGCGCAGGCAGTGAGGTTGAGGCCGATGCTTATCTTCCAGAAGAAGCATGCGGATATCTTTTTGGAGGGAATGGAAAAGGTGTTCGCTTCGTAGGTGTGAGCACGGAGATGGTGCAGACTGAGTGATGAAGGACGAAACGATGTGATGAACTTGTTCTATGCATTTCGGGCGGCGAGGGTGGTCCCTCATAAACGGGAGGAGGCGTAAGGTGTTAGAGCGTTAGAGCCTGCAAGCTGAGCTACGAGCACATCAGCGCTGGCATGCGATGATGCATAGCTAGCCTTTGGTGCAGCACCGAAAGCTTGACTGCGCTATGTTTATCGTGTAGCAACAACGAACTCTTTCAATGCTGATCTATATATTGTTCTTCTCTTCAATATCCTTCGATAGGTCCCACCCACCCTTCTCCCTCCTCCTCACCCTCCCCCTCCATCTCCCCATCGAGTCCCATCCCAGCACCAATATCCATTTTCTCCAGCTCCCGTTCGAAGAAGCCCATCTCCTCTCCGGCACCCTTGTCCTCAACACCCTGCTGCACTCCCATCGCCTCCGGAAACCGCCTCAAATTCCACCAAAACGTCAACCCCCTCAGCCCCTGCTCAAGCGGCAACGCATCCTCAACCGTGCCATCCACATCTCCCAGCCCGCCCATCCCGCCCATCCCGCCGCCTCCGCCACTCAACCAGTCGTCTCGTAACTCGGCGGGAACGGAAAGCCAGACGGCCGTAATGATCTTCATGTTACTTTGTCTCCACTTCCGACCGCAGAAGGGGACTTGGGACTTGAAGAGCTTGAGGGTGTAATACCGAAGCTGCTGTACCGGTATACGGAGTGACTTTTTGAGGTGATTACTGCTTTTGTACGATACCAAGAGTAAGGCGCGGTGAGTCTTGCGACGTGTAAGTTTCTGAAGCGTGCGGAGGTGGTTGATCAGTGTGAAGGTTGCGCGCCAATTGTAGTCTCTGATCGGTATATCCGGTAATGGCGTGGTTGGGTAACCCAGCTCGTCGACTTCCGGCGGATGAGGCAACACGGCGGCGTAGGCTTCGTCCTCACCCGCCACCGCTCCGGTAGGGGACAGCGACTGCCGATCCTCAGCGACTTCTTCCTCCCGACTTCGCTTAATAGGCGGCGGCACAGCATCTTCCTCCTCACTCTCCTCCATCTCCTCAAACGTCGTCAAACTCGTCCCTTCGACTTGACTCCCCACCTTCTCCGGCAGGCCCCGTCGACTGTTAGACCGACAGAACCACCAGAACCCGCATTCCTCTTTATCCAGCCTAAAGTGGCAAGCCCGGCCAATCTCTTGCGTTTGCCAGAGCTTGAGGATGAGGGGGACATAGTTGGAGTCGAGGAGGAGTTGGGTTAAGTATTCGTACATTAGGATGTGGGTGACCTTGAACCACTTCAAGAGTAAGAGAAGGATGGCCGAGAGAGCTTTCGCGGCGACTTCTTGCGTGCGGAGGCGGTCGAGGTCGTCGGCTGTGGTCTCTTCTAGTGGTGCTGAGGTGTGGTTGATGCCATTGCCGTTCTCGACGGGCTTCGCGGAGCCAATGGGTACGTCGTTGAAGTGGATGCCTGCTTGGAGTCCTACCCCGTTCTGGCCATTGCTCTTCGTGACCAGATCAGTAACATTCTGCAGCACGGCTTTGAGAAGTACGATCACCACGCTTTGCAGATGTGGGAGGGAATCACGATAGTATTCTTCCACCTCTTTCAGCTTCTTCTGCTCCCACGTTTCCTTCAACGTCTCCTCGGCGGGTAGTGACGGCTTCTCCACCAGTTGAAAGCCATCCACTTCTTTTGTCTCCGCGCCCTCAGCATCTCTATCGCCCTTCCACCCCCTCTCAGCCCTCATATACTCCATCCTAACCTCCCACAACTGCCTCATGGCCCTCGTAGCCCTCATACGCCCCGCAAACAACTCGGCCGCCTCCTTGATACTCGCCGGTACCACACCTTCTTCTCCACCTCCCTCCCACCGCCTCCCTACAATCTCATCCTGTAATCGGGTACTCCCCTTGCCACCCAACTCGCCATCCACGGGCGGATACAGGAAAGGAAACATCTGGTTGGTTTGGTAGTTCTGCTTCTTCCCAGCCTTGCCTGGTCCGCCAGGAGAAGGAGGAGGTGAAGGGGCTGGCGTGGCGATGTGGACGGGTTGGTGCATGATTGACGGTGCGGTACTGAAGGCTGACGTAGAGGTAGCATCGGCGTGGCTTGGTGGTTGGCGGTGTTTGAGTGGGGGCAGGATGCTGTTGTTCTCCGGCTCGAGCGGGAAGAGGGGTGCTGGAGGTTGGTAGGCCGGGTATTTGGAGCTGATTTCTTGCCGGAAAAGGTGGTAGTCCAGTGGGGAGGCGGTGATGATTGGCTGGCGCCGGGCGTTGTGAGATCGGTCGTCGTTCTCCTCGTGCTTGCCTTTACCATCTTCCTTTTTGAGAGAGGCCCTAAGCATCTCTACATCCGTGAGGCCACCAAAAGTGACAAGGACGGTCTTCCAGGCGAGCAAGAGCATCTTCGTAAGTGGAATGGGCGCAACATCGTCCCACCGTAACCTCGCCACGATCTGGGTGAAGTAATTGACCAGCTTTGGCTCAAGCGCGAGAATGTCCTGCTTCAACGCCTTCCCACTCGGCCCATGCGCCGTCCGTGCAACTTCAACAAAGAGATACATCAACGTCAGACAGCACCAAAGCTGCATACTCTCCTCCCCACGCTTCGGTGGCGCTTCATTCCTCGTCGGAACCTCGATCGGTGATGCGGCAAAGCTGTCCTCGCACTGCGCTTGCAAAGCCTCATACACCACCTTCAACCCTCCACATGCATGAAGAGCGTCGACCATGCGTACAATCCACTGGATCTGCAACCCACTCCTTCCGTACTCGCCCAACCTACTCCCACCTTTCCCGTCATCTCTCGGAAACAGATCGGCCAATCCACGACCTGCCGATGCGCGTCCGGCGGTCTCTTCCCATACTCCCAGCGCCACATAAACCAATATCATGAGACTATTCGCACTCTTTCCACCACTGCTTCGCAGACTCTCCACTTGCCTCTCCATAAACTCCCGTCTAGCATCCTCGGTAACGTCCGTCCAGTCCGTCCCCTCTCCATGTCGACTGGTCCTCCATTCCTGATTAAACGCCGCCTTGCACTTTCTCAACCTCAACTCCTCTTCTTCGCTATAAGTGAACCATTCCTCAACCTCCACCGGAAACGACTGCGCGTCTTTGTACTGAAAGTCATAAACGGTCGAGTAGTCTAAAAGCTGTTCTCTCGGCGTCGGCTGTTGGGCGTTTGGGAAGGTGCTGCGAATCCGTTTCAGTTGGTCGAGGGTCAGACTATCGGGCTGCTCTGAGGGGTACTCGTTCGGTTCCGAGGGTTGTGTTGGCGGTGCTGGAGGAGGGTTCGAGGGCGGTGGGGCGGAGGATTCCCGCTTGAGGGGTGGACGGCTGGAGGAGGTGTTTGTCGTTGTTAGAGGAGAGGTGAGAACAGGGTGGTTGATCGGCGACGGTCGGCCACTGTCTACAAGGCCTTCGGCTTCGGCTGTGTCGATCCCTGGCTTGGTATAGTCGCTATCATCCTGGTCGATCGGCCTAATCGTCGGACTTGACTCGCCAGCGAGTGGGAGTGCTGGGTTCTCCACTTCGTCCGCCATGCCTTAACATGTACACCTCCTTTCTACTGCCCTGTTTGTACGACACGTACTCTCGTTCCCCGGGACATCTTGGATATGAGGTACGAAGTCGAGGTGAGTACTAACTTGCTAGCTATACTGGTAGCTTTCATGAGATGTGAAATGCGCGCGAAATAACGGCCGCAAACAACCCGTGTCGGCCGCACATACCGCAGACTTTTAGGTTAAAGTCCATGAAGCAATTCAATATATACACCATATACAGTGACGCTTGTACTGGATATATTGATGCTTCATGGTATCAGAGGGCTCACAATATTGTTGTCCGACACCGCACCCGACTGGCTTGCCACCAGCCTCGTAGCCTGCCATAGAAGCGGAATTTGAGTCAGTCCACATCTTACATTGACAAAAACAGGGCGTTGACATAGTCTTGACACCATGTCTTCCCTCACGCGCTCACCCTCCTCCTGGTACCCCGGCTCCTGCAACATCACCTTCACACACTCCCCGCACCCTCTCGTACTTCCCAGCAAAACCGGTCCAAAGCGTACCCTCCCGGAACTATGCCAAGACATCACGCCTCCCTGCAACCTGAACCCCTTCCTCTTCAACGGCCACCTGCAAACAGCATGGACGGCCGTGAAAGAAGACGGCCCACCAATCCACTACAAACGCCGCGTCTTCGCCTCCGAGGATCTGGGCTTCAAAGGCCACTTCGCGGTTGACTTCGTAGTGTCTCCACCCGAACCAACCGCAAAGCCTGCTGCGGACGGCGGACCCGAAGACACTGGCTTACGGGAGGATCCCGTGGGTGTAGGCCACACCTCGCTCCCGCCCCGAACGACATACTTCGGGGACAAGGAATTTGATGCTCTAGGTTCCAATGATACTAAGCCAATGCTTATTACCTTGCACGGACTATCCGGAGGCTCCCATGAAGTCTACTTACGGCACGTCCTAGCTCCACTCGTCGCCGCACAGCATTCCGACTCCAAAGCGATCGAGACAGGCTTAAGCGGTGGCGAATGGGAATGCATTGTCGTGAACAGTCGCGGCTGCGCCGGCAGTAAGATAACTACCAGCATCCTGTACAACGCTCGCGCAACGTGGGATCTACGGCAGACGGTGAAGTGGTGCCGTAAGAGATGGCCGAACAGGCCGCTTTTTGGGATTGGGTACTCGCTTGGTGCGAATATACTTACAAATGTACGTAGAAGTACAAAAGCATACAACCGCCCACTTGCACTCCAGCTGAGCTTCCCTTTTCTTCGTAGTACGTTGGCGAAGAAGGCGCCTCCTGCCTCCTAAGCGCCGCAGTAGTCGTCTCCAACCCCTGGAAACTCGAAGTCTCCTCCCTCGCTCTGCAGCGCACATGGATCGGGATGGAGATCTACAGCGCGACGATGGGGAAGCACATGCGTACCCTCTTCCAAACGCACCGTGACCAGATTCTCGAGAACAAAGCGTTGAGCGAAGAACGCATACTGAAGATGAAGTACCTGCATGAGTTCGATCGAGAAGTGCAGTGCGCCACCTGGGGCTACCCAACGGAAGGTGCGTACTACCGGGATGCGAGTAGCGCGGACTCCGTACTGGCCATCCGGCTCCCTTTCTTCGCGCTGCATGCGCGAGACGATCCGATTGCGGCAGACGAAGGGGTGCCGTATGAGGAGGTGAAGCAGAATCCGTACGTCGTTTTATGCGCGACGAGTGGTGGCGGGCATTTGAGTTGGTTTGAGCTGGGTGGTGGGAGATGGCATGCCAAGCCTGTAAGTGCGGCGTCAGCTGTGGTGTCGCACCGGTTGTGCGGGCTTGTACTGACGGTGATGATAGGTTGTCGCCTTTTTGAACGCGATGGCGCGGGAGGTCGATTTTGGCAGGCTCGAGCCAGCAAGCGTGGAGCCTAAAGGTCCCCTTGGCGGGCACAAGACGCCGTTCGTCTTCGAGCCCATGCGGAGGATGGCGCATCTTCCTGGGAGCGCGCAGTAAATTGCATGCTCGTCCAACCGCTACCCGTTGCCAATAGAAGAGATAGACAGATGTAGACGGTGCAGCCATGGTGAACCAGTCTTCATCCAAAACTGACCCTCTTCTTTGGCTTCTTCGACTTTTCCACATCTACCACTTCTTCAGCCCTCGCATCGCCATTAGTCTGCCCTCGCCTCTTGCGCTTGCTGTCCTTAATATCCTGCTTCCGCTCTTCCAACCCCGCTTTCTTTCCCTCCACCCTCTTCTCCGCTTCCACCCTCTTAGCCTCCCGGATCTCCTCCAACTGCCTCGCGCGCATCATCCTACTCTCGATGTTGCCCTCCTTCTCCGCCATAACCATAGCCATGATCGCATTCATCTGGTCCTTGTCGTCGACGAAGTGTTTGCCCTTCTTCGCCTTTGCTGCTTTCTGAACGCCTGTTGGTCGGATGCCGTTGAGTTGAGGTACCTTCAGCTCTTTCTCGGTATAGCGGAGGTGCGGTGGCTTCTTCTTGGTGAGTGTTGTGGTTGGCTTCGCCTTTTGCTGCGTTGGCTTTGCGGCGGTCTTGATAGAGCCTGGTTTCCGTGCCTTAGATGACAAGCCAGGTTTTGATGATTTCGTTGGTCGTTTATTCTGGTCTGTGGAGAACCGCGTCTGAGCTTTTGCCGCCATGTTGGCGCATCGATTGGACTTTGCGTACGGTATCACAAGAGACCAGGCCGAAATTGTTGGAGGCGAAAGTTCGCGGCATCCGCGGCCGATGGCGAGTCTGTGCGGCCGTTAACCCCGCATGGGTATATCGCTCGAGTTAAGTCGCGTGCTAAACGACCATCGATTAGAAAGAGACAAACCGTAGAGCACGATGGACCTTCCATTCCCACCAGTGACGAAGGCGCACATAGTGAACTGTGCAGTCCACAAATGGCATCCAAAGTGAGTATTGCCATCTGCGCGTACCTATCCTGAGCCAAATCACCCGCTTGATCTTGGTGGCGGCTCACTGTGAATGTGATCAGAGGTGGTTAACATGCTTTCAGATACAAGAACGTAACCCCCAAGACTCGAATCATACCACTAAGTCGTCCGTTCGTCGAATACCTCCGAGCGGACGGCATAGTGCTTCCCGAAGACGATGCGGCCATTCAACAAACGGAGTGTGACAGCGATAGTGGCTTCTACTCGTCAGACAATGTGGATACCGACGATGAGCCAACTGACACAAGGGATGTAGCTGCAGAGTGGCGAGAAACCCACGATCGCATCAAAGCGACTATCGCTGAGCTCGGCGGCGTTGTACTACCGAAGCTCAACTGGTCTGCACCCAAGGACGCAACCTGGATGAACGCCACAAACAGTATGGAGTGCAGATCTCCTGACGACATTTATCTGCTCCTCAAAAGCTCAGACTTCGTCACCCACGACCTTGAACATGCCTTCGATGGGTGCGTCAACACGCCAGAATGCTCGTTGAACCAGGCAGATATCTCTTACCATCTCGTGCTCCGGAAGCACTTCCAGCTGAACCCAGCTTTTGAGTTTCGCTGTTTCGTACGCAATCGCCGGCTCATATGTCTCTGCCAACGAGATCTCAACCATCACCCGCTCTTGTTCAAGATCCGGGACAAGCTGTGCAGCACTATCAGGCTGTTCTTCGAAACACGACTACGCGATACATTCGAAGACGATGACTTCGTCTTTGATTGCTATGTGCCTGCGCCGCATGATAAGGTGTGGTTGATCGACATCAATCCGTGGGACGCAAGGACCGACCCGATACTTTTCGGTTGGCTTGAGATTCTGACAATGGACGAGCCGGGTTCTCGCCCACGCGAAGATCAAAGCCCGACAACAAGCGACCAAGCAGGAACGAGATCTGCGGACGACACCTCAGCGGGAGACAGCTCGGATGCAGAAAGCGACGTGGACGAGGAGATCTGGTCGCCTGAGCTGCGCCTAATCAACCCCGGCGATCCCGAGACATCGCTCGCAACGCCTCAATACAGCGCGCATAAGCTACCGCGAGACGTTGTGGAAGCAAGTCAGAATGGAGAGAGTCTGCTCGAGTTCGCGAAGGATTGGCAGAATATCTTAGCGAGACGGCAGCAGACGGACGCTGAGCACGGCGATAGTGAAAGTGAATGATGTCGGTGTTCACTGGAGTTGGAGCAGCTTGCGCGACTGGTTCGCCCGCTCATATGTGCCAGACCCACTGCCTACCTCCCACATCAGCGACTCATTCAGCTGCGAGCTGTCCGGAGAATCTCAACCGAGCCCTACAAAGACGGTGATTTGGGCTGTGACGAGGAAAGAGACATAGGAGGCTTGCCGAGTAATGGCACACTTCATCGACTGCTGACTGCAGAAGCACTGCGGGCCGCACAATGCTATACGATACCTGTACGCTTCATCAGCGATGACTAGGCAAAAAGAGCAGAAGCAGGAGCTAGTGGGAGAAAAGTGAGCGGCCGGGGTTGGTCTGCCCCGGTCGCCGGTCCGGCTGATACTCTTAAGGATTTCCGGTAACAAGAGTCAATGTTGACGAGCACTGGACGGTGGAGTCACATAGCTCATCGTCAACTTGTCGTATTTGTCTTGGTCAATGTTGATGACTGAAAGTGTACGAACAGAGTGTGCCTGTGCCTACGCAGGGCTGAGTAATGGTCCACCCGTCCTGAACATTCTTGCTCTCCTTGCCACCACCCTCTTTCTCATTTCCACGCAATACTGCATACTCTGTTAGCGAATGCGACAATGCCATTTGGCCGACTTGGCGAAGAGCGTCGGAGTTAGCGAGACTTGGGGCTCCGGTTCCCACCCTCATGCACAAGAGTACATATAGGGCTCTATCTCTACTGTTGGCATAAACCCAACCTCGAAGCTGCCCATATACCCCGAAGATGAGTACCGTAATCGTCTTTGGTCCAACCGGCAATATCGGCTCCGTCGCCGCACGTACCGCCGAAGCATGTGGCGCCACAGTCTGGCTTGGTATGCGTGATACTTCCAAGGCCATACCGACCCTTACCGCTGAACAAGAGAAGTCTGGCCGCTTCGAAAGAGTGGAAGCCGACCTCACCAACCCTGACACCCTCACTGCCGCGGTTAAAAAATCAGGTGCCAAGCGCGCTTTCATCTACCTCGCCCATGGCAGTAAGGACCACATGAAGGCATCCCTCCAAGCATTGAAGTCTGCTGGGGTCGAGTACATCGTCTTCCTAAGCAGTTTCACCATCAATACGCCATCACCTGCGGACATCGAACCGAGCGAACTTATTCCCTACGTCCACGCTCAAGTCGAGCTAAGCCTGGATTCAGTCTTTGGACATGACAACTTCGTAGCAGTCCGACCTGGAGCCTTTGCCACCAACATATTGCCCTACGTATCCGGTATCAAAGCCGGTCATGTGTCATGCCCAGGCGCGAACTTCGACATGGACGCCGTAACCTTTACCGACATGGGGGAGGTAAGCGGCATCCTTCTTGCGTCTGGGCCGAAGAACGGACAGCATGAAGTCTATGTATACGGTCCGGAAAGGATGACTCAAGGAGAAGCGATCAAGCGGGCAGGTAAGGTGGTCTGGGGTAATGATGTCGAGGTTCAAGATCTTACCGGTCAGGATGCTTTGGACGCTTACGCCAAGGCTGGGTTTCCGAAGCCGTTTGCAGACTACATGGCAAGGGTCATCAGCCGCACCGATGAAGAAGCAGATGCTAATCACGTGCGATATGAGGAAGGCGTGAAGAATGTTGAGCTTTACACGGGTCATCCGGCTACGAAGTTTGAGGATTTCGTCGAAGCGCATAAGAGTCTGTTCGGAGCGTGAAGCGTATCGTGTAGCGACTTATGAATGCGATCAAACGACTATGCACGGCTTGTTCACACGCAGGCAGCGCATCTGTATAACCGGATTGGCCTCCGGTAAGCAGCTCCACGAATGGCTTGCTGAACATGTCATCGGCAGCGGCGAACTCGTCAGCGACTTCTCCTCGTAAACAGCGGCACTGATTCGGCCGACACCCGCAACGGTCAGTCGGTGTTAGTGAGTGGACGGACTGAGTCCTCAGGTAGTGAGCCAGTAGAAGAGCGGGCTGAAACGATGACTTTCGTTAACCTCACTGAAATAGGATGTCTTGCAAGCTAAGTCACCGTTCATGACGATGTAAACGCAGAAGTGGAATAAACCGAGACGCACGAACATATATCCATCATTTGTGATGACTAAGAACCCAGCTATGATAGCAGCTTTTCTTAACTCTACCATAACACTGTGAAAATAGGGGCGGGAATTAAAGCAATGCCCATAGCAGTGTTTGCTGGATATCTTGTTCCGGTTAAATGTCCAGCTACATTTCCCATCTCGCTTGCGATTCGATAGAAACAGAGCTAAGCAAAACTACGCATGGCGTGAAAGAGCTTAGCATGCTCCGCAAAGCTTGGTTGTCAAATATCTGTAGGTTAAAGTCCATCACCAGCGGCATCGGTGTGAAGATTCGAAGACACGACTATGTCGTGCTAGTCCAATCACTTCATAGAACTGTCCACCTGACGCATATTGACCGCGGAGACTTCTAGAGCGCCTATATCGAGAATAGCACAGTCCTGTTGTCGAAGAAATCTCTGCACCTTGCAGGCTGAACACGCACATTCGGTACGCGCGACTCTCGTCTCGGAGACGGTACCAGAAGCAGCAAATACCGGAAGTCTAGACATTCCTTTTCTTAGTACCTCAGGGTAGTATGTCTTGAGCGTGCCACAGCGGCAAGTTGACGAGTACTACGGCCTCGGCAAACTACACGGCGCGCGGGATAGGAGACCCATATACGCCAGGCCAGGCCTACCCGATAGCGGGGAAATCACATTCATAACGCTTCACTGGCCGACCCCTGGTTGTTGTGGCTGGCTGGAGAGGGAGCCCGATCAGTCTACGCACGCCGTCGGGACTCATATTGCACACGACTATTGTACGACCTGAAGCTCGCTTGCACATAGTAGACGCTATGGTCCGCAGAAGGGTCTCGGAGCGGTATACCATAGCCCAGTGGGAGGAGTGACTACACGCACTTTTATAATGTCTCTTTCGGTCCTCGCTTCCAAGACAGTCCATGTTCATTGTCCGGTCTTCACTTACCACTCTCACAATGTTGCTCATCACCCTGCTCCTGTCTTTGATGACCGTCTCGTTCGCTAACGCATCCCCACTTGGAAAGCTGGAGCAGCGCAGTGCTGCTAGCACGTGCACAGCAGCCGCGGTCCAGCTTGTCGACGCGGTCCTTTCTCTCTTTCCTACACCCGCCCACTCCATCTGCTCGCAAATTCTAAGCCGAACGGCGCCGGCAACCTCAACAATCTCCAGCACCACCGTTGTAAGGGCTTCTACGACACTCAGTGGCAGCACGACCGTCACTGTCACCTCGGGTGAGAGCACCGCCACAACGACCGTCACGACTACCGTCACGAGCACAGCGACGAGTGTCGATACGATATTAACAACGGAAACGGATCTCACTTCGGCTACTGTAACGACAGTAGACACCACCACCACCGTCAGTTCGGGAACTACAACGACCACACAAACAATGTGAGCTTCGCAGCGAAAGATGGGTATCTTCCGTGAGCTAATCGAGGGAAACAGCACCGGGATCTACAAGCGAACACTCGAAGCCCGTGCCACCGCAAGCAACATCGGCCAAGCGTTCCCCGGGGCGCCTGCGGCGCTTAGCAGCGTGCTTCTTAATCTGGCCAGCACGGCCTGTAACTGCTACCTTGGCCCTGTGGTGACACCATTGACCACATTGTTACATACAACCACCACAACGACGCAAATAAACGATATCTCATCGACTTCCGTCACAGTCCCAAGCGACACGACTACTCTTGTCAGCTCGGTCACCAGCACCGCAGTTATCGACACGACGATCAGCACGACCGTTACGGCCACAACCACAACCACTGCCTCCGTAACCGCAACTTCCGTTGTCACTCAGACCGTCCTTCAGACTACCACGACTGCTCAGGCCACTGTCACCGCCACATGCGCAAGCGCCGCGCCCACCTTTGCCGTGCAGGTTATAGGAGGCGCTTACAACGGCGAGTACCTCTATTCCGCACCCTTCGTCAATCAGAATGCCGACCTCGCCAGCGCCAGCGGCTCCATCACTCCTCAAAGCGTATACACTCTGACCGGCACGGTCTTGTCGGAATATAATGGCGACACCCTCACCGAGCCAGCAGGCCTGGCCTTCGGGTACGTCGAGTTCCGGACGATTGACGCCTCGGCTGCGGGTGGTGAGGTTCCGGCCGTCTGTTCGATCGCCAATAACCAACTCACATGCGTCGCCGGATCCGCGAACCAGTTCGGCATATGCAATATCAGCGGGCCGGTGCTCGTCTTAACGAGGTCGGGCTACTATCCCTCGGGTTACGGGTGTACGAATGTAGTACTCTCCGTGATACCGCTGTGCATTTCCCCTTCTTGAACCGCTCGCGGGGCTGCTTTGACGATCTCACGAACAACGATGACCATGAATCAGGCCGGTTCCTCTACGACGACGAGCTGGTTGCCACCGACTTCAGCGTCGCCGCCTCCGGACATTCTACGTCTGCGCTGTGACAAACGATGAAAAGATGAGCAGCGTTTACTTTCTCTGGCTCGCCACTCAAAGGCATCTTCTGACAAGCTGATGAGCAAGACCGCGAAGCTTTGTACCGATCGTTTCGGAAGTCCTTTAGCGTCACTTCAACGTAGCTTTCCAATGTCAAATTTTCAGAACAAGCCACCAAGTATCAGGAATTGTGCAGCTGCTTCTCGAGGAATCGAATCAGCGCCACGAAGATGTATCCCACTTTGGATCGCCGCCGACGGTATCCGGGTGTTTGGAAATGAAGTTTGCAACGTCGCAACACCTCGCCAGCCAGATGACGCCTTCGTCCCGTTTGCGTACCATATACTGCGTTACCGTGTCCATAGCTTCTAATCGTTCAGCCGTGTTCGTCAAGAATGGATGGAACAGCGTCGATACGTAGCCTCCGGTCTCAATGGCATTGTCGATCTCAGCTTTATACCTTTCCACCAGAGTTTTTGAGCTCTGCGGTTCGGCTGGGAGCTGGCCCTTCATCTTCCGGAGACCGGAGAAGGCGTCCATGTAGTAATATGCGTCTACTGTACTCCACCTGAACGGCAGAACCACGATGTGATCTTTGCCCCCCTGTAGTGATACTAGAGCGGCGTCCTCTGCAGCAGGACTGATGTAGTCTAAGCCATAATTTTTACATAGATTGAGCGTGCGGTCGCCGTGGATGATGCCTCCCGGTGGTCTGAAGCCTCGATAGCGATCAACGACTCCCTCACCCTCACCTCCCGCTGCGGTGAAGCCTCGCAATCCTTCCGCTCCAAAGCTGCGCTCAAAGTTTGCTTTTTCAGCAGCCTGGTCAAGCTGGTTCCACGCTTCATGTTGCCAAGCATGCCATGCGATCTCGTGGCCAGCTTCAGCAACCTGACGTACGGCGGTGGGGTAATGGGACAGATTCCATGACTCGATGAAGTATGTTGCGTGAACGTCATACTTCTTCAGCATGGCTAGGAACTTGGGCAAGACTTCGGTGACGGAGTAGTGCGAGCCTACGGGCTGGTCTGCGGGCCAGAGGCCACGGTTCAAGTCTGCAGCCTCCGCCATGTTGTCTATGGTAAAGGCGATGGCGGCTTTCGCACCATTGGGCCAACGACCGTCTCCAGCCATCGAAATTGCTTTGAGTCTGCTTGCTATACAACTCGGATCGGCAGAAGTGTTACAGGTTGACCATTGCGCAATGAAGTTGGGGACAAATGACTGAAGTTGCCCAACGCACAGACCGCCTGACGCGCTCCTTCCCAGTTCGTCTGTCGCGAAGCTACTCTGACTTCAACCAAGCCGTGAAAATAACTGAGGCGGTCGTTGGTGAGACGTCGCGAATGTGTTTTGAATGACCCATTAACGATCGGTAATTCTCCTCACGCACGCCATCTATCCTCTACACTTGAGATACAAAGGCAAGATGCCGGTTATCCCTAAATCCAAGGTCATATGCTTCGACGCCTGAAGTTGCGGTGTGATGTAGTCATCGCTTGATGCCTCGCTTCGCAGACGCCTCGTCATTATGCCCAGTCCCAAGCAACCCCAGAGGAAAGATCCACCCGCTCGGAGATTTCTGGCGGAAACGAACGCTCATGGCAACGCCGTAACGCCTCGCCGCCGAGAAGACCCGCTCATGATACAGCCAAACACCCCTCTGCCGCCATGCCTATTAATACCAGGTAGGTCAATCACTCCGGCGCCTCCCCACCCTCATTACTGCCTCCCTGACTCCCCCTCCCAACCACAAACCTCACCCTCAACCCACTCCTCCTCCTCCCCAACCTCTCCTCCCTGACCCTAACCACAACATCCGGCGCACTAGCACTCCTCCTAATCTCCGCACACCCATTCTCGCACTCATCATCGCAACTCACCTCCATTCCGCCTAGCGGAGGACAGCCAGGAGACTCGCAATCCTAAAGCATGTCATCCTCCGCCCTCTTCAGCTCGAAGTTCGGAACCTCATAGAACCACTCCTTCTCCTTATGCCACCGATACGCCTTGAAATCGACGCCATACGGTTTCGGCTCGAGACAATACAACATGCCAATCGGTACGTCCAGATCGGCCACCTCCTCCCGCTTGAGGCCTCGAAAGTACGCAAGCAAAACGCGTGCGACGCTGCGGTGGCCGACCAGCAGGACATGATCGGTCATACGCTCCAGCTCGACAATGACCGGACGGAGACGGTTGATGATATCGAGGTACCCCTCCCCACCCGGCCCGGGGTAGCGGTAATGCAGTTTATCCCTTTTCCGCGCGGCGTATTCGGTCGGGTGCTGGGTGCTGATGCACGAGTACGTCAGGCCTTCCATGACACCCGCGTTCAGTTCGTCCAGCATGCGCATCTGCTTCGTGTCGTACTCTTCGTCGTTGAAGAATTGCGCGGTTGAGATGCTGCGTTTGAGCATGCTGGTCCAGACGCAGAAGGCTTTGGGGGTGTAGTCTTCGTCGAGAGCTGAGAGATCGGTGGCGGAGCTTGTGGTAGACGTGCCGTTAGGAGCTGAAGTGTTGGCGTTGGGTCGCGGTCGTTCCGCTGTGGGAGATTGTGGGCGGTAGTAAGGGTTCGGTGGCGTCGCGTCACCGGGTTGAGGCGGGAAGTGCGTCTTTCTCATATCTTCGATCTGCTTCATATCCCACTCGTGCCGCTTCTCGTCCATAAACTTGGCCAGACTCTTGGCATACTGCACGCCTTCGGGTGCCAAGTCGCTGTCTCCGCCAATCTTACCGGAGATGTTGTCGTGGCTCAGACCGTGCCGTGTGATCCAGATTTGCCGCGGTGCGAGGTTGAAATTGAGAAGATAGTAGTTCGCCTGTGCCATCAGGAAGCCCTTGATTTGGTGTGATATGATCTTGCGGCCAACATCAATCATCTGAATGTACGGCATATGATTCTTCTCCTCGTAGTCGCCAAGTGGTACGTATGCCTTCTCGTACACCTTGATACGCTTCTTGAAGTCTTCCAGTGCAACCACCGGGTCCATATCGCGGTAGTCCGGACCGTTCAGCTTCAGCCGCATATTCGCTTCCAGCAGGTTCTCGTCCACGCAACGCGATTCCAGGAATAAGACGTTCAGGTCCGGTCCTGCCCGCTCCCGAATCCGGTCCATCACCATCTTTCTCCGGTCAAGCGTGCTGTTAGTGGCATCGAAAATACCGACACTGCCGCCCTTGTTAAGGATGTAGTCGAGCAGCTCGTCCAACGTTTCGCGGGCAACCTGTTCCCGGATCTGCGACGCCTTCGTGTTGTCTGGGTCGAAGAAGCTGCTATTCTGCTCCATCGCCTCGTCTTCCGGCTCCTTAGGTACGTTGGGCACAGCCTTTTCCTGGCCTGGAGACTTCGGCTCGCCCATATCTGGCATGTTGATGTTGCGCTCGCTGTCTTGTCTATCGTGGTTTGTGTGGCCATTGATCTGATTGGGTGGCGGATGTAGAGATACGGCAGTTTGTGGTGGCGTTACTGGCGCCTCAAGCTTGGTCGTGTCATTCAGGATGATCTGCGCGACATTGGGAGGGTCTTGCGTTGCTTGCTTTGGCGGATGTGCGAGAGTGTGGCCGATTACGCCAGGCACTTGAGTCGTCTGTATGCGCTGCTCACGTGCTTGCTGGCTCTTGGTCTTCTCTAGCGAAAGCGGTCCTCCGGCGACATGGCGTCGCCTCTCGCCCACGTTGAAGATCTTGGTGTCGTGCTGTAGCCAGTTGAGGTATCGCGCAAGCTTCTTCGTGATATAGCTCTTGCCTCTAGCCGGTAGACCCACCATCACGATGACCAGCTTTGCGCCAACATCTCGCTGCGCTATCCGTCCGTCTGGCGACACCTTGCTCTTCGTCAAGCCTGGAATATCCAGCGTTGTAGGCCTTACTCGTGGCGTGTTTGTGCCGGAGTTCTGCCTTCTGGGCGGGCCGAGAGTGAGAGGCTTGCCTTCCTCAACCGGAAAATAGTCGCCTTTCATCCTCGGACTGCTCGGCGCAGTGGTGGTGGGTGTGTCGTTCATCGCAATGCTCACGCCCGTCACTTCCGGCAACGTGCCGTGCATCGCCGCGGCCAGCGAGCCTGTTCGCACCTGTGGCACGGGAATAGTCTTCGCCGTGGCAACTGCTTGGCCCACAACTTGCGCCTTGGCCTCTCCATTTGGCAGCGGACTCAACGTCCGATCCAAGGTGTTGCGAAGCTCTTCCACCCTCTTCTCATCGCTCGTACGTCGCTGATGGTTGGTGTCGGCTTGCTTATCTGCAGCGCCAGTCGTGACGCCGTTGGACGCCATACTGCTCACGGCCGGCTTCATGCCAAGCAGTGTGTGTTGAGATTGTCGTCTGCGGAAGCGGCCAAGCTGAGAATCATCCGGCTCAACACACGAGCACTTGCCCGCGGTATGTATGTTGCCGACAGCCTCTTCGAAGTCAGACGGCGGAGTGGTGGGCGAAGAGGATCCAGTCGTGGAAGTTGATGAGTTGCTAGTATCGGTTGACGGGTTGAGGAAGAGATTCGAAGGTGGACATGCTGCCTGGGTCGCGTATGACATCTGATGCCTATTAGGGTAGATGCGGTGGAACGTGATGAACGCGCAAAGCGCAGAGTGTGATGCGTGACGGTGGTCACTTGCGCTGGCTCACGTTAGAAATCAGCAGCAGTTGTGCCACCACTTTCTGCTTCGCGAGTGCGCTTCTAGCCGCAAGCCGACAGAGGCTGCAGGGTAACTCCGTCCAAAGGCCGACCCTGAACGGCTATTGGCGTGTCGGTGCCGGTGTACTTATCGATGAAAACTGGGATGTTGTTCCGCGTAGAGGACTGTCGTCGGAGTTGTGGTCGAGGACGCGCTGGGGGTGCTGGAGGTACGGATTATGTGTGCTGAGCTCAGTATACAATATCCCTGCGTAGACTTCAGACGAACTGCATTCGGGCGTGGATGACTCCGGCGACAGGCACGAGCCTCACCTCTGTTTTGGCGGGACGCTGAGTTCCGGGCCGTTGGTCGGGAGAGGGTGGCACGCTGTGGCTTGAACTCTGAAGTGCCCTGGCTCGATTTAGTGGTGCAACAGAAACAGTAACTCTGTAGACGTTGTTGTATAGCTGCAGTCGAAAAAGTTGAGTGGTGTAACATCTTGATAGCTCGCAACAGACAGCTTCTAGGCCATGCAGACACGCAATCTGTAGGCGGGCAGCAACCGCCTTCCTGCAGCAACATCCCGCTCTACCAATCCATAGACGCACCTCCACCACGCCCCGCCAAGCACGTCCGCAACAGGAGCCGCGCTTTGGACTCCAGCCTCATCAAAAGCGCTGAATCTCCGCAAGCCTTATCTCTCGGAACAACTCAACCATTGCGGAGGACGCAGAACGCACGTGCATAGCGTTGCAAAGCATGCTCAAAGACAACCGGGCCGGCCTGCCTGCTGCTAAATGTGGATGAAAATGCCCCCTTCCCCGCAATCACCTCCGCTCCGCATAGACTTCACATTCCTCGGACTTCGCCAGCGCTGACCATGCCGCCGTCCTTGCGCTTACTCGGATGAGTATTGTTGAGGGAAACGTTCCCCGGATGTCCGCATTCGCTACACCGGGCCGTGGAGTTGGGGCGGGATGGAGGAAGCGGCTGGTTACTGTTTCAACCGCGGAGTCAATGCTTATTAGACGATCAGTATCTCCTGCCGTCTCTGTCTGCAGCCTCCATATTATGCTGGTATGTCAGTGCTGCCGGGTGTGCATGCTCTATCTTCTCGACGTGTGAGCATTGAGACATATCTTGCAGTCTCCCATCAGGTAGCCGCTATGCCAGTCGCATGCCAGCCGATTGTGGTAAGCTACAATGGACGCAGAAACTGAGAATCTGTCGGCCTGCTCTGATTACAGCATCTATAGTGGCCTTATGACCCAGCGTAGTGCTAATCATATTTCACCTGGCCTTCATTGCGGCGATTGCCGGCCTTATGACCCAGCGCGATGCTCGTATAGCACTCACATGCACTTCGCTTTAGCGTTTCCTGGCCTCATGAGCCCGCGCGGCGCCTAGGATCTCTCATGTGGACTTCACTTCTGCGGTCGCTCCTGCCTCATTGCGCGCTCTCTTGCAGACTAATACGTGCTCCTTAGCTTTCCCACATATATAGAAGCTGGCCGATGAATCTCTCCCGTTGCACTTTTTCATCCACAAACCATGACCAAGCCAGCGAGCATGGTGCCCAAGAAGACCGCGGACCTTGCTCAGCAGGGGTCTTCCATCTTTCCATTCGAGAAGCTGCCGGCAGAGCTCAAAAACAAGATCTATTTCAACCTACTCCAGTGCGACACCCAGATTACAGTCAGGCGCAGAACGGTGCCGAAAGGCGATCCAGCGAGTACACGTCGTGGCAAGAAAAAGTCAGAGACCGCACCTGTCGCATTTAATTGGCAGAAGAATCGGCGGACGCGAACCTTCTCGTTTGGCAGTCATGGCGCGAGTATCCTCCGCACAAGTTCCACCATCTACAAGGACACGCTTCCGGTGCTTTACGGCGCGAACCGGTTCGCTAGCGAAGGTCTCTTAAGCATGGTCGACTTCATTGCCTCAATCGGCCCGGGCAAAAAGCACCTCCGGGACATAGCTCCAGCAACCTTGAACTACCTCACTCTGGCCACTGCTACGAACTCGTTCGCAAACCTCGAGCGGCTAGAGCGCTTGTGCCTTTACGTTGTTGCGGACTATTGGAGGAGTGCCGAAAGCTCGTTTCAAGAGCGTCAGAAAGGTCTTGTAACATACGTCAAGGCTGGCCACGCGCCGGAACAGCGTCGGCGCCTGTTCGACACGATCCACTTTGTTGTCCGCAACTACCATCGCATGGATGTGTACACTGCGCTGACTGGAAAGGAGCCGGAAGTGACGGTCGAGGAGCTGCCGGCCTGGCTTAAGCGACGCTTGGAGAAGTGTCTTATCGAGCGGAAGATTCTGAAGCCACTTGAAGATGGATTGTGAGGGCTAGCAAGCTTACCAGAAGGAATGCAAGGTGCAAGGATCTCTAACGACACCTTTTCAGCATACGTCAGTCTCCGGTTGGAAGGAAGTACGGTTGGGACGCTAGGGATGGGGCTGCACTGAGGCTGCGAGCAAGTCGAGGCTCAGATGCCCAACTAGGTCACTTGGGCTAACTTGAGAACAAAAGTTAAGTACTTACAATCACTTCCCAGTATCACTATCGACTCTTCACTGCCTTGGCTCACTATATGTATGTAACTTTCCGACACGTTGACGGTTTGTCACAACATTAACCTTTGTACATGCTCCGACCTGCTCAATCCGTTCTCTGAGATACGGCAGACATCTTGACTAGACAGCTCCGGATCACTGACAGCACGACTTCGTCGCCTACTGGTGTTCTGTGAAAGACGAGCAATCTACGCGATGGATCTAGCTATCATCGGCAAAGACCTTACCGCCGCCGTCCTGAAGGCTCTTAGTCAAGCCAAAACCGAGGATGCGCCAGTCGACTACGTGAAGCTGGGCTCTGAGTTGGTTAGCCTGGCGCCATCCCCACGATTTGAGCAGTCTGCAACCTACGGCAGAAATATCTTCCCGTTTGAGAAGCTGCCGCCCGAGCTACGACGCAATGTCTACAGGATTGCCTTTACTGCAGAAGGCCATATTAAGATCATGATGCACTTCAAAGACAGCCCCTTCGTCAAAAACAAGTTCAAGCGATGGGTCACGGACGCCCAGCACGCAAAGCTTTATGCTCCACCACCGCCACGTAGCTGCGCCGAAGCAACCATTATTACCAAGACTGAGGCAACGAGCCCGTACACCAGTACCTCTCGCGCAGATCCTCTCCGGCAGTCCAGCCGCCTCGCCACCAGCTCAACTAGATGTCCAGCCTATGGCGCACAACACAGTGTGACTCTCCTCCGTGTGAGCCGAAATGTTCTTGCGGAGGCTGCGCCGGAACTATACGGTGCGAACTGTTTCACCTTCGGCAATCCTTACTGCTTTGCGAAGTTTGCGGTCGAGATTAGAGACAACGCCAAATTTCTACAAGACATCACGATTGAGAGTATTAATCCCGTACACACGTACAGGACATTACTGCAGCCTCTGCAGACGACAGTGACTCTACGCAGGCTCGAACTCGTGCTTATGCGTCCTACAGGACGCTATTTTTGTCGAAAGCCTTACGCCAGCACCATGCTCTGGAAGGCAATCAAGTCATTGGTCTATGGCACATCGAAGGTGCAATGCCCATGTGGGAGCAACGTGAAGCATCAGGCATGCATCTGGTACTACCGTCAGAAGAGGTTCAATGCTATAGAAATCAATCTTAGCAATAGACCATACATCTTTGAGACGGACGAGCTGATCGGAAGTTCGGACACCCTCCTGTGGACTAAGCGGTCGGAGGGCGTGAGGCTCAAGGAGCGGTTACGGGAGTGCTGGAGGAATGACCCCACGGCGATGATAATATGAAAATCATATCTCGAGCATCATGCGAGGTGGGGGACTGAGGGTAGGAATGAAGTGAGGGTGTGGTCAAGTACGGCAGGCACGGGAGCAGCGGGATCTGCCGTTTGCTCACGTGCTCATCTCCTGTAGCCTCTAGGCAGCAGCTCATTCTTCCGATGTCAGCGTGCTTTCACTTCTTCAAAGCTTTGACATTGCAACACCTCTGTCCTGGAGCAATTCCACGCACCATGGTGCAACAAGGTGATGGTCAACGCTAGCTGAGCCATCAACGGAACAGTAACTGACAGTTGCATGCAGGATCTGGTAGTGCGCCAGACGCGAAGATGACCATCATCATAGCGCCAAAGCAGGCCGTTGACAAGGCTCTCGGTTCTCCGAGCAGCAACACAACAGCAGCCAGCCATTTCCGCTTCACCGACTTGCCACCAGAACTGAGAAACTCCATTTACCGTCTGGCCTTGGTGGCGGACAATTCAATCGAGATCCGCCGAAGACGCCGAGCAAAGAAAGGGCAACCACCATATTGGCTAGAAGCGAAAACCCTTCGAATGAATGGCAAGCAAATGCGAAAGCCAGCACTTCATGAGTCCAACGGTACCGCCGTCCTAAGATTGAGTTGGCAATGCAACCTCGAGGCAACGGCCATCTTGTATGCGGAGAACCACTTCATATTCAAAAAAAAGACCGCCTTCGTTCATTTCCGCAGCCAAGTGAGAGCAAACTCAACGTTCCTAGAGAGTTTTGAAATCAGAGACTGCAATCAGTACGCAGAAACCAGCCTTTTCGACGCTTTCGTGGGCTTCCCAAAGCTACGTTTCCTGAAGCTTTGTTTCCCCAGAGGTGTTTGCTACAAACCATACGCAAAGGGAAGGCTGTTCGGCCTTATCAGGCCGTTGCTTATGAAGGCTCAAACACCGGGTTGCAGTTGCGGCGCAAAGATTCCGTGGCCATGCATTTGCCGTACGACAGAGCAACAGAGATACTGGGACGCCTTACACTTCAGCGTCACGGCGGCAATCAGTCCCGCGGATCTCAAACTGCTCACGAAGGAGACGTGGGCGGAACTCTTGCAGTGGGAAGAGAAGGTGAAAAGGCGAATTGAGCGAAGGCTGGCGAGAGCGCGGGCTGAGCTTAGCCCATCTGATTCCGACGGTACGGCCAAGCTCACAGCGTCGTAGCCTCCACGGACACGACAGCTGTTTATGGACTGTCAGCGGCGAAGATGCAAGAGCGGACTACGTCGTAAGCAAGGAGTCGGCATTTTGCCTTTGCGTTCACGTGGATTATCTGCCAAGACTTCGGGCGGTGTTGGGTTCACAAGCTCCCATCCACATACCCGGACTCGTTAGTCTAGGCAACAGCTTCAGTATACTCCTGAATGAAGGTCCTCTCCAGTTTGTCTCAGGTTCTGCCGTCATTGATAGTCCTCGTATGCAGGACCACGTTGCCAGAAACAAGAACACAGCCAAGCTGTAATCTATTATACTGACCAGTACTTAAGCTAACAAACCGGGTGTATGCTCCTGCCAGTGCGGAAGGCCTTGGTTCAACCGTCGTCACAACGCCCAAGATGGTCGTCAATCAGTTCGTCAGCTCCCCGTGTACTGACACGAGAGAGGAGAGCCACTTCCGATTTAACGATCTGCCTGCTGAACCAATGATTTGCATCCAATGCGTGGCACTGGTCGATGGTACTTCGATCAAGATACGCCAGCAACAGAGGAAAGGGCTCGAGTGCCATCGTGAACCACCATCCGAGGGCGAGCTGATGCGCAACAAGCCGCTCAAACTGACGGTATTTACGGCGGCTATCATGCGAGTCAATCGTCAAACATACCAAGAGTCAGCAGCTAATTAATACACCAAATATCGATTCGACTTCGAGAGCCCGACCGCCTTCCGCTCGTTCTGCCGGCAGATAGGCGACCAAAGGGAAGTGCTGGAAGATATCGTGATTGGCGATGTCGAACTCCACGCGGGCGCTACACTCCTCAAGGGCTTATTCAACAGTGCGAAGTTTCGCCAACTCGATCTTGGTGTTCGCATCGACATGAGTGATGCATGGGTGAGCCCACGCTATCCGCTGTTTAAGCTGATACAGCCGTTACTCACCATGCGCGGTACAGCGGGCTGGCAGTGCGACCCAAGTGGAGCGCAAGCATGCGTCCGTCGTCCAGCAAGGCAGCGGGACAGTCTGGAGGCTGTGTCATTTGTCCTCTGGCCATTCCCGAAATCCTGTAACTCGAGGTTGAGGATCGATGGCCGGATTGATCAAGCGCGTGACAGGACGCTTGCCGATGCGGCGAGAAGGCGCGTGCCGAGTCGCCCGACCAGCCTTCTCCTTGCCATTCTTCGAAGACCACAACACCACTTTGGTCTACATGACCGCAGCCGGTGTTGTACAGATTCAGAGCACGTGCATGCAGAAACCAAAGTCATACTACGTGTAAGCGGATGTTGCTGGAGTGTACCCACTGTAGCTCTCAGTGCGCATGCTTCGATGCTTCGGCTTCCCCACTTCTTACCACCTCACCTCTCTCGTCTCCCGAGGTCTCGACTGTCACTGACAACAACTTCAGCATCGAGGTAGCTCTGTTCCAAAGCGGTAGGTCAATCTCATCAAGCTGTCCACTCTCTTCTCTTGTCAGTCAGTATCGCATCATGGCGTCGACCATGAACTTCGAAGTGCCACAAGCGCTCCAGGACTACCTAGCCGAGCTTGACTCCTTCATTGAACGTGAAATCCAACCATTACAGGATCGAGATGACAACAATAGGTTCTTCGACCACCGTCGTGAACACGCCAGAACTGACTGGGACCGTGACGGACGACCACGGGAAGATTGGGAGGCTTTGCTAGGAGAGTGTACACGGATAGCTGACAAGGCAGGTTTCTGGCGCTTTAGCTTACCAAGAGAATATGGAGGTCAAAACACGGAGTCGGGACGAGGTTCGAACCTGTGGATGGCTGTGATACGCGAACATTTGGCGAGCAAAGGTTTAGGTATGAAGCGCGCAGCGCTTCGGGCTGATGGGAGCACCGCTAAAGCTTATCTATAGGACTGTTTAATGACCTGCAGAACGAGCATTCCGTCGTCGGCAACTTCCCGGACGTCGTCATGGTGCAGCACTTTGGCAATGAACAACAAAAGCAGGAACTCATCCGTGGCCGTTTAGACAACAAGAACATCCGCATTACTTTCGGTCTCACCGAACCTGGTCACGGCAGCGACGCCACCTTCATGGATACTCGCGCTGAGATGCAACCCGACGGCAGCTACATCATCAACGGCGGCAAGATGTGGCAAAGCGGCATGCATAAAGCCACGCACTGCTTCATTTTCGCCCGTACCTCCGGCAAAGACGGCCAGGCGCACGGTATAACCTGCTTCATCGTACCGCGCCAAACACCCGGCATTAACGTCGAATCATACGAGTGGACTCTCAACATGCCTACCGATCATGCCACCGTCTCGCTGAAGAACGTCCACGCACCAGCATCCTGCATCCTCGGACCCGTTGACGGCGGCCTAGCGGTCGCACAAGCCTTCGTGCATGAAAATCGCATCCGACAAGCGGCTTCCTCTCTTGGCGCGGCAGTCTACTGTGTCAACCAAAGCGTCGAGTACGCGAAGAAGCGCCGGCCATTCGGCAAGCCATTGGCCTCCAACCAAGCGATTCAGTTCCCGCTTGTGGAACTTGCGACTCAATGTGAGATGCTACGTCTACTCATCCGCTCTACCGCCGCCGCGATGGACAAGATGCCTCATATCGAAGTCGAGCACAAGCTCGGAGACAAAGTCAGCATGTGCAATTACTGGGCCAACCGACTTTGCACGGAGGCGGCCGACCGAGCGATCCAGGTTCACGGCGGTGTTGGCTACTCGAGACATAAACAGTTCGAGCATATATGGCGACACCATCGACGCTATCGAATTACAGAAGGCAGTGAGGAGATCCAAATGCGGAAGATCGCTGGGTACTTATTCGGCTATATCGGTCCGAAGAAGGAGGTGACGGCTTCAAAACTGTAGGACAGGGCAAGTGCTACCGTCACAGCAGCGTCCGCACGCTTTCCATTTCCGGATGCGGCGCTTTCCGGGTAGTGGAGCCTCAGTTCAGCCTTTAACGTCTTGTAGGATGTTGCCCATAGTGTATATCATGTCGTTCACTCCCTTCTGACGAGCCACTAGCTGAGGAATTAGGCTTGTGGTTTTAGGCCTGCTGCTCTGTAGGGTTCGGAAGTATATGCCCACATGAAGTCCGATTACATCGTTGGCTCTGCCTTGATAGAAATTGAGGATCTCACCTCTTGTAAGCTTTGCAACGGCGCAGAGTACGGCTACGACGGGGATGTGCTTCGTCATGAGGCTTATCTCTTCGTAACGAGGAGTTCTTAGTAGGGCTGAAAGTCAAATACTCTCCTACCTGCACGCCAAATCCGGCGGAATATCTGCCTTGTGTGAGGTCGTGTCGATGGCATTGTCGTCATTGCGCAGTCGTGCCACGATCCAGCCTTGTATCAACCCGGCGAGAGCGACATGCGCGCCTGCAGCCTGTCACGACGCTACGGCACGGCGTAACATCGTGAGACGATGAGAGATATCGTGCGCTTGGGAAAGAGCGCAGGTCGATGGCGCTTGGCCAAGTGAGGCAGGAGCAGTATCAGGCATCAAGGCATCAAGGCATCCAATAACGCGGAGGTGAGCCCGCAAATGCAAAGCTTCAATCACCACTGCCATTCTACCTACCACTGGCACACCATACCACAAGCCACCCCATCATGGCATCATCAGCACTCCCAATCCCCCGCGGCACCTTCACCCATCTCTCCCGCCAACTCCAGCAAACCCGCCGCCACGCCTCCTCCACCACCATACCCGCCACCCCGTTCCCCGCCGGCCTCTTCAAACCACCTTCCTCAATAATAGCCCCCTGGAAAACCATAACCGGCGCCCGCGAATGGCAAACAAGCACCTACCACTACAACCCTCAAACCGCCGCCACCCTCCCCACAGCCGCGGTAACAGCCACAAACCTCCTGAACAACTACGCCACCATGATCCGGTCTCGCGGGTTAGCATCCACCGGCTCGAGCGGGACGGCGAGGTCTGCGGTGGCGATGCGGAGGAAGTCGTTTGAGAAGGTGTATGTGGGTGGGATGGGGGTGAAGGATTTCGGGGACAGGGTGGTGGTGGACGCGTTTGTGTTTGATGCTGTGGAGGCGGAGAGGGAGGAGAGGGAGAGGAGGGATAGGGAGCGGAGGGAGCGGAGGAAGGCGGAGGGTGGGCAGCAGGGTGAAGGTGCAGGGGCGGGAGGGAGGAGGAGGAGACGGCCGCCGCCTGGTGCTGGGGCGGTGGGTGCTGGTGCAGGGGCGAGGAGGTTTAGTAGGAATGCGGGCGCGCAGAGGGCTGCTGGAGCTGGGCGGTGATTATTCTGCGTGTGGAAGGTGCCAAGCGGAGGAGATGCGATCTCAGCGGTGCCACTTCGACTGCGTACACTTAGGAAATCGAAGTGTACGCCGCTCTACCGGCCTTCTCTTTCCGTGCATGGCGCGAAAGACCAGAACTGCTTTAGGTGCGTGAGCTCGCCGATTGATTCCGATGAGGCGAGGGTTGAGCCGTGGACTGGTTGTAGTCGTGGACGGTCACACTTGCGTTCGCCGAATATGATTTGGGCTTCCTTTCATGATCGCGGCACAGTGCGAGGCAAACGCGGACCCCATACACGTCAACCAGAACGCAAGTAGTTCGACCGCCACCGACCACTTAACTCATGACATTGAAGCGAGAGAGTGACCAGGAATGGCACTATTGTAGAACGGGAGCCCGATCACGTTAACACCACGCTCTCGAGACTATGACAATTTGACATAAGCGGATGAACAATCCGATGCGGCGGTCATACAATGCTACGCACTTCGACCCGTACGGCGTATCATCCGCGAGGGCTCCCCCGTTCCTCCATTCTCGCTCAAGCCTCCGCCTTCGCCGCCTCCACGAAAATGTCTCCACCCTTTCCAACCACCTCGCGCTCAAACTTCCCCTCCTCCCACCCAACCATCATAACCGCCTTCTCGCGGTCCAAGAACTTCACCTCATCCGGCACCACAACCCTCGAATACTCTTCGTCCTGAAACACGGCCAAAACATCCTCATAACTCTCCGCCCAAAACTCCGCGAAGCCGTCGTACTCCGCGATCGGAAGGCCGGATTGGCGGAGCTGAGAGGCAAGGGCGGAGTCGAGGTGATATTGAGAGTATTTTGTCAAGTTGCGCTGGACGATGGGGATGGAGAGGAAGAGGGGGGCGTGGCTGGTGGACCAGTAGGTGTGGAATTCTTCCGGGGTGAGGTGGGGGAGTCTGCGGATAAGGATGGACATGCGGACGGGCATAGTTTCATTCGGGTTGTGGTGGATGACTGTTCTAGAGGGTTTCTGGTGGTTTGATGGGAGGTGGCGATGACGGTTTTTTTTAATGGACGTTTGCGAGACTGTAGTGACATATGAAGCCTTGCAGTCCGAACACGGCATGCTTATATACCTGACCCCACAAGCGATGCTGAAGTTGACGAGCCTAATGGCCTTCAGGCGACATTGCGCCGTCTCGCGGATTCGCTTTCTGGAGTCCCGGAGATAGATGCCAAGACCCGGCTTCACGAGCGCCACGGACTGAAGGTTCGACTTCTCGCACGTACAAAGAAGTCCCATCCATGCCGCGAGAAGTTTTTGAACACGGTACAGCATTGCTCCGTCTCGATGTGCAATGGTCTATGTCATGACCAAATTATCTTGAAGCTTGAGTGAGTCGGCTTGGTGGCCGGAACCTTCGGGTCTTGAGACCCGGCATCGACGTGTCCGTTACCCAATACTTTTGCTGCCTCTGATGGAATGTCGAGAATGCGTGGCACGCAGGGCGTAAGTATGTTGGTGATGTGTCCCGGCAACCGCAACGAACAGTAAAATGAAGCGCACGGAGTGATGGTTGAGTCGGAGAGTCTGGGCGTGACGGCTAGGCTGCGCGACAATGTGGCTTAGGCATACTGCATCTCTCCTGGGTGAGCAAGCCGACACATCACCCGGTCAGTTCATGTGACGGCATTGGCAACTCCATCATTCACCCCGCACCCCGTCGTAAATTAGGCATCCTCTTCTTCTCCTTCTGCCCTTCCTTCACCCTCCTCCTCTCCATGACCTTCTCCCTCTCCTTGCCCTTCATGCCCTTGAACCTCTCCACCAATGCGCGCTCCTTCACCTCCTTCTTCTTCAAATAGTAAGGCGTCTTCCCTTGCTGCACCCGCTCCCTCTCCTCCTTCCGATGCTTCCGCAGAACTTCCTGCTCTCGTTCTTTAGTCGCTTGCGTCTTGAGGCGGTTCTCCATACTGTTGATCTTGCGTTTGAGAGTCTCGCGGTCGGAAGGGTCTTTGGTTCGCTTGAGCGCGGTTTGCAGCTCGGCAATCTCGCCGCGCTCGTAGTCGTGGAGGAAGGAGTAGGCTTTTGAGATGTTGTCGTTGGTGGGTAAGGCGGAGTCGTGGATTGCGTCGAAGCGTGGGTCTCGGATGACGCGTTTAGGGACGTCGATGACGGTTCGTTTGCGGGTGACTTGGCGGCGGGAGGTTTGGGCGGTGGGGGCGTGTTTGGAGGAGCGTTGATGGTGGGATGTTGTGTCTTCTTCCGAAGGCGCTGAGTCGGAGTCGCTTGCATCGTCGCGATCTTCGTCTACAGCCTTCTTCGCGAACCGCGATACACGGCGCTTTTGGCCGGCAGAGTGCACTTCTTCCGGTTCGGTCCCTGCAGCCTTCTGCTTCTTGATCTGCCTCAGACGCTTTCGCAACGCTTCTAGTTTCTCTTCATCGTCATCTCGTTCGTCAACGTCTGAGCCTCGTTTACGCTTCCGCAACAGCGCATCGCGGGCCTGCTGCAACGCGCCGAAGCTGACCGTGGCAATGCTTGCTTCGAGAACATCCTCATCATCTTTTACCGCCCCGTCATTGCCGGAGCCTGAAGCAGAGGCGTCGGCATCGTCCAAGTCATCGCCGCCCAGGTCGCTGTCGCCTCCCTCATCGGCCTCTTCCAGCTCTACACCTCCGTCACCGTCCGCATCGTCCTCCTCCCACTCGGGCTCCGCATGCCGCACCGGCCGGACGTTTCTCCCCAGTAATCTCGCTGGCGCCATGTCATACACCTCCTGCCGCTTGTGTGTTTGTCCGAAAGAACATCGAACAAACTCCGTCGCACGAAGATGCATATTCCACCTCGGCCTCTTTTTTCCGCTTCCAGCCACGTGAGCCAAGCTTTGCGGTTGCAGCGGGAGCTTGCGATGTTTAGCGACCGTTAGAGTAACAAGGATTGAGAGCTTGGGAGAATGACGTGTGATGAGGCAAGAGATCAATGCTTCGAGCGATTGTTGCTGCCGCAATATCGCCGTCGCCAGCGTCGACAACAGATGCTAGTATTCAATATATATTGATTGAAATACTTTCAACAATCCGCCACTCAGCACCTCATCACCCCTACTCACGCCTTATTGAGCGACGATGAAGATCTTAACGAAGGAGGAGGAGCGAGAGCATTACAAGTGAGTGCGCCGTCACGCGACCAGCCTTCACATCGCTGTACTAACAATATCGACAGTGCCACGGTCACGGGTGGTCTCATCGGCGGCACCGCAGGTGTAGCAGCAGGTGCACTGGGAGTCTACGCCGCATCCGCACGCTTTCCCGCCTTCAGATCGCTCACACTGCCCTTCCGAACCTTCTTGATCGCCAGTACAGGCACCTTCGCATGTTCGTTGTATCCCCCCGCTCACACCACCCCTTCCAGCCAAATTCTGACATTGTTTATATCGCAGCCATCGTCTCCGCCGACAGCTACTCCCGCTCCTACGAAGCCTCCCGCAACCCGGCCAAGCAATACGAAGATGAACAACAGTCCCTGCAGGACCAACTCCGCTCCCAACAATCCACCTACGAACGCACCATGTCCTGGCTCTCCAACAACCGCTACGGCGTCGTCTTCGGGTCGTGGGTAGCCTCCATGGCCACCGCCCTTGGCCTCGTCGGCAGGAACCCCTACCTCTCCACGCAACAAAAGCTCGTTCAAGCGCGTGTGTACGCTCAAGGCCTCACCATCGCCGTCGTGATCATCTCCCTCGCGTTCGAAACGACGGACTCGGCGACGGGACAAGGACGGTGGGAGACGGTGAAAGTGCTCGACCCCAACGACCCCACGCACAAGCATATGATTGAGAAGCAGATCCACCACGAGCGGTATGCGGGCGAGGATCAATGGAGGGATATGGTGGAGGCGGAGGAGAACCGGATCAAGGAGCGCGAGCAGGCGATCAAGGAGCGAGAGGCGGCGGATAAGAAGAAGGGGAAGAAGCCGCAGAAGCATCATGATGAGGAGCATGGCAAGCCGGAGGAGGCGAAGGATGACAAGGTTAAGGCGCCGTGAGCGTAGGATTGCGGGAATGGGTGTGAGTGTGGGATATGTCTTACTTGCTGGATTGAACCAGAATCTTACGGCTGGTGATTGCGGTTTCGGCCCGGATTCGTGCGCCGCGTGCGTAGAGCCGGATTTATGGGTCGTCGAATATGTACGTATGTAAGTGCTTGTCAGAACGCATGAAAGGCGCAGAATTGAACATACTACCAACAACCGATTACACAAGCTTAACTTACAGCAGCGAAAGGAGCAGCATGTGGCAAGGAATCTCCTCACGTAGTCGAGGGTGCAGGGTCGAGTAGAGGACTTCGGCGGCTCTACTATCATTTCCTTTCCTTCATTCTTTCTTATCTCCGAAAAGCTGTCCGGATCTGCTGCGGGAGCCGACTCACCCAGGATATTCATATCGACCACGAACTACGCCGCAGTGATTTGAACGCAAAGATATCAAGGGTCGAAGCATCATGGAGATGGCGAGGCAGACACTGCGGGACGGCACGAAATCAGTGTCGTTGGGTTGCGATGGGCGTCTGCAATTGGGAAGGCAGGCACAGGCACAGGTACAGGTATAGTTATGTTTGACCTCATTCCCTCTCCCCCGTCTCAGATTGGTATATGCAGCCGGGGCGAAGACGAAGAGTCGACCCTGCCCACAAATTGGGAACGAGGACTGGCCAGTCGAGGAAACCTGCTGCAGATAGGAGTTAAACAGAGGCAGGGCAGGGCAAGTCAAGTCGAGTCAATATGGAGCGAAACGCTGCGTGCGTTCGCTTCGTAATACTGCAAGGTCTGCTGTGGCTGAAGCAAAGCAGAGCAAAGCATAGCACACCATAGCGTAGCATGCATAAGCTACCGAACCGATCAGCGAATGAGGCTTGGGGAGCGCAACGGACCTGTGTTCATCCCATTTGATTTCCGCTCCTGAACGGATGATGAGAGGCTGCGTCTGCCCATCGCGGCCTATACAAGCAACCAAGAAGGCAATAGAAACGTGTGCCTCACCCATCTCGCCTCACAACGAGGACACGGGCTCTTACGCAGGCTCTTACGTACGCCGAAAGAATGCGAAGATGATTCTTGAGCGCAATCGCGAATGCGGCGCTTGTAAGCTTGAGAACTCGGCGTAGTATAGCTGAGCTGTTCTCGATATGGTCTCGAAAGCGTCGAGTAGTTGCGTAACTCTCTCTCTCTCTCGTCTCAGCGCTTCGCTACCGAACGCCACCGCTCCGAACGCCAAACGCTTCAGTACAGACCCATCCCATTCCATCCCATCCCAGACCAGACCAGCCGTTCCCAGATGCCACACCAACCGCCCATGCTCACAACACCACATACCAACTGCATGCTTGCCTGCGCGGCGACACGTCACCAAGCTCCCAACCCAAGCGCCCGCCCACTCAACGCACGTCCAGTCCGCTAGCCAACCAAAAACCCCCCCCACCATCCAGACACAAGCTCAGAATTCCATCCATCACGAATGCATCAAATCCCAAGCCCGCGCGCACAACCGCAAAAACTCCTCCCTCTTCTCCCCCCCACTCATCCCCGCCATCCAATCCTCACCCCCCTCCTCCCTCTCCCTCTCCCTCTCCCTCTCACCCATCCCCTCCCCTCCCCATCCTCTCTCTCTTTCCCGTTCGCCCCTCGGCGGCGCAAAAGCAAAAGCCGTCCGCTTCGCCCCGTCCCCCACCAGAACGTGCCGGCTCTGACTCAACGGCGAACTGCCGTTATCCCGCTCATACTCCTCCCTGCCCCGCCGTCGACTGCCGTTGAGGCTCGAGGTGCGGGCTAGGATGTCGGGGCGGGAGGAGGGGACGTCGTTCCCACTACCACTCCCACTCCCGCTGCCGTTCCCGCTGCCGTGATGGAGTTGCTGCTGCGAGAGCGGAGGAGCTTGGTGTTGGTGAGGAGCAGCAGCAGGCTGGTACGATAGGTGAGCTTGGTGACTGTAATACTGCTGGTGGTGCTGCTGGTGGTGCTGCTGCTGATGTCCTCCGTGCGGCGGCATGGGCGAGGGCGGTGTAGGGGGCTGCACGCCGCCATAATGCACCACTTTGGGCATCAAGTCTTCCCTCCCGCCCGAAAGCCCTTGCACCGCTTCCTCCGCGGAACGGTATTCGCGGCTTCGGGCGCTGCTGAGCGATCCGTTCTGGTTCTGTTGCGACTGCTGTTGTTGGGACTGTTGTTGGAAGGACGGGGGTGGGAAGCTAGGTGACGGGAGCGGGGGTGGCATATGAGCGTTATTGTTGTTGTTACTACTGTTGCTGCCGTTGTTATGATGGGAGGACGGAGATTGACCGGAGTAATTCCGCGGCGCCTCGAGGCGGTCATTAATAGCGAATACATCCGCGATAGGTGGGAGCCGATTATTCGTCTGCGTCGCAGGAACGTGGTGGATATGGCTGGTCTGACTCAACGCGCTGGGGCCGTGTTGCGCGTGGCGGGTGAAGGGGTGTTCGCCGGGTGCGAGTCCGGTGAAAGTTTGATGCATAGGCGCGGATTGGATGACGCGGTCGTTGGCGAATTGTGCTGCGGACGGGGCGGAGATGGTGAGGCCCGGTGGTGGACCTTTTCGGCGGGATGTGGTTGGGGTGCGCATGTTCATGCCGAAGAAGTTGCTGTTCTCTGGTCGGGAGGAGGGGTCGCCGGCGCCGCTGGTGGTGTTCTCGTGCGAGCTGCTGGGTTTCTGGCCCTTTTGTCTTGCCTCGATGATTTGTCTCTGCTGGTCTCGGACGTCGAGACTGCGCTGCAGTTGTTCTCGCATGGCGGGGTCGTGGGTTTGGAAGCCGGGTGACAAGCAGGCCAGGCCTACGTCGTGTATTGCCAGACCCGCCGAGTCTCGTGATGTAAGCGGTGCGGAAGGGCGTGAGGATTGTGGGCCGCGGTTGTTCGCCATGCTTGAGGATAGGTCGAGGCGTTTCGGTCGAGGTCGGGAGGATTGTAGGGAAGGCGAGCCGGGTTCTCTCTTCACTTTGACCATGGGTGGTGCGCCGTTTCGGAGGCTGTAAGATAGAACATCAGCGGTGCAAATTCATGACAGACTCGAGGTATACTTACGCATTAGGTGAAGCCTTCCCACTCGACGCTGACCGCTCGGCGGAAGCCGTAATCTCTACGCCAGCCGGTGAACCATTACTTCGCGCTCGTTTCGCAGCGGGAGGCTCAGCGCTCGGAGGGGCCGAGAGGACGGAGGTGCTGGATGGGGGCATGGCAGCAAACGGGGTGGTGGTGGTGGTGGTGGTGGTGACTGCGGGCGGGGCAGCCACGGCGGTCGACATGTCGGTAAAGGTGAGGTTGGCAGTGGACGTTGAAATGGTGAGGTCTTGACGTTGGCAATAGCGGGTCGAACCAAGACTGCACGACCCGAAGTGGGTTGGCTGTCCGTTAAGCGTTCGGGAAGGGAACGGTTGCAGTAGCACAGTCGATCGGCGCTGCAGGCGGAGAGTGTGCGGCGGCTGCTGGATGGCGGATGGCACAGCACGGCGCAGCACAAGCGGATCTCACGCTTTACTGCCTCGGCCGAGGGAGATGATGACTCGTTGGTGGTTGTCAGTTAGTATATCGTCTACAGTGTTGGTACTACAGGCAGAGGGGTGTGTTTGGAGGATTGGGACGAAGGCAGTCAAACGACATGAAACCCGAGCGCCGCACTTGCCCCCAAAGTAGGTGCAGTTCCAGAGTTCGAGTTTGGGGCCGCACGGACAAGGCGCAACGTGAGACGCACAGGGAAGCGAGACGTGTGCCAGAAGCCAGGGCCAGGGCCAGGGGGTTGGCGTTACCCTGATTAGCTGCAAGCAGTCAAGCCTCTCTAAGGTAAACGACGAATGGAACCGGTAATACTGCCGCAACGAGTCAATCAAATACTGTCTACGCCGCGTTGGTGTGCGGCACGGTGAGACATCTCCTTGGTCGGTAGATGGAGTGGCTGAGGCTGTTATTGCTTTCCCACACACACAAGCCGGGCAGGTGAATGCTTATTGCTCGGTGGCACGCCCGTTACAGGCGTTGCGCATATGGCACAGCGCCAAGATTCGCCCGTGTTTCACCCTCACGCCGCGGCTGCTTCAGCCCGGACTCGACACGCAACGTGACAGGAACACTCCAAGGGACTAAACTAAACGGTCGCCACAAACTCTAGCTAGTCTCGAGCTGAACATTGATCAGCATACGCTACTCTTGCAACAGTAGCCACGCCATACAAGTTACGCGTACGCGGCGTCGATTCATGGTGCGACACACTCGCAAACGACAGCCAATCGACCTGTTTCACACTCTTGACCCACTAGCGGGCGATCACTCTTCCCAATACACCGGCTCTGCGCCGAGCATCCCTGCTTCTACTCCTCTCTCCATATCTCTGCTCGCTTGCGAAGGAGAAACACGCGCGGCGGAGATCTTCCATACATACTCTCTATATCTGGCTGGGCTAAGGAGTACATCGCAGGGTGTTACGACGTGCCTCGGTAGTGTTGATAAAGGTGGTAAAGTGAGTAAGGATGGTCGAGACTGCACGATCGATCGCCGTGATAACGTGCGTGCAGCCGTCTCGATTCGGCATGCGCCCTCGGCCCAAAACGGCAGACGTTCGGGGCGCCGTGCTGACTGCACATGGCAATAGTCACTTCACACCCTATCCCTGGCGAAACCTGCTGTCTATGTAGATACAGAGAGACGCCACGATGTTCCTCACCACATCTGCTAGAGTTATACGGCCGTACGTGCCAACAGCCCAAACAGCAGATAAGTCCTCTTCCAATACTCGCCCGCACTCTTCTTCAAGCGTTCAAACGATGCATCTTCCACCTCCAACTCCTGCCTGAGTCCATCAATGGGCACAGAAAGTGGATCTTTTCCTTTGCCCTGCGACAGGAAGATGATTTGGAGGTAGATGGCGTCGAAGAGATGTTGCACGTTGCGCTCGCGTTCACTCGCGTCTTTGGCTCCCGCAGACTCATCCGAAGGAGCGTGGTCGCCTTCGTGTGATGCATGGGAATCGTCGTGGTGCCCGTTGATGACCGCCTTGCCTTCCACCTCCACCTCCTCCTCCTCCCCCTTCTTCTCCTGCTCAGACCCAGCCCTCTCAACCTCATTGACGCTCGCATCGCTCAACCCCGAGCCGTCCGGCGTCTCCTTGCTAAGCAACCCCCAAAACAGCTCCGCCAGCCTCGCATCAACCGTCCTCCGCAGGCTCAGCACAGCATCCGGACTCCACACATCCACCCCAACCTCATCGGCCATAGCCTTGCACAACTTCGTCAGGAACCTGAAAGTGGCAGGGGAAGGCTGAACGGGCAGTGGCGGCGTTCCAGCATCCCAAAGTACAGTAGGTGGTCGGTGTTTCCGCTTGAGGTCTTGACTTAGACGTACGAGGGGGAGGACCATAGCTGTCTTCACGATGTTATTGTGGAGGGTGGCTATGAGGTCGTCGTGGTCGCCGTCCGCTGTCTTGTCATCTGAACTGAGGCCGATGTGTGTCGCTAGGCTCTGTCGGCGCTCGTGCAGGTCGCGTAGAAGTCGGAGCAACAACGCGGCTTCACCGTACGATTCTGAACGTGCGCGGATATGTTCGGTCACGCGGGTCAAAGCTGCCTCGACGGCAGATCGTAAGGTAGAGTGTAACAGATCCGGATCGTCTTTGCACATTGCGACTCTCATACTCTCTCCGTCCGGAATATCGTCAAGGTCGATGTCTGCTTCGTCTTCCCACTTGACAGACCGCATTTGCTGGATTTCGGCTTGAAAGGCGAGCAAATTCTGCTCCCACTTACTCAGACTATTGCGGATAGCACGTAACCTCGTGTCTCGCCCATTCCGCCGCTGGATGATGGCTTCACGGAAGCTCGAAGCACCGTTACTAAGGTCGAAGTCCTCCACTGCCAAGCCCCATATATCAGTACCCGTCGCAGCCTCTGGCGGGCCTGTACCGATGGGCGCTTCAAGCGACTCATCACCGGAGCTAGCGCACTGTTTGGCCAACACGCACAGCTGTTCCATAAAAGCACCACTAACCTCCGTAACGGCCCGTCCGGTAATGAACTGCGGAAAACTACTCCCAAGCGCCAAATACCGAGCCAGTACTTTCTTCCGCAACCCCAGTACCGCTTTCACATCCGTTTCAGCCCGCACAGACTCCTTAACAGCCATGACCACGCACTCATGCGCCTGCCGCGACCACGCCACCAACGCATCTTGCACGTCCGAAACGAGTAATTGTTCATGCCGCACCCACGGCGTGAAAGCCCGTACCGCTTCATCCACCCAGATCCCGTAGACGTCCAGATTGAGGTGGTACAGCGACCGGATTTGTTCATCCTGCATGAGCGGCACTTTCCCCAGTTGAGCGAGGGAATCGGCGTACAGTCTCGGGAACAGCGCGCGGATGTCGGTGAGTGTGTGTTTGTATAGCTCCAGCATCTTCGTCAAAGCATCATCCCCGGTCGGCGACTCACGCACGTGTTCCATCTGCTCGCACCGCACCTGTAGCAAGTGATGCAGCACCTCTTTCGGCCCGGCGCTAGATATCATCGTGAAAGCGGCAAGCGTATTGACCAGGCTCGCCTTCTCAGTCCTCGGTCTAACAAGCGAGCGATCAATATAGGATCCCAACTTCTTCCTCAGTACCGCCAATCTCCGCCGTAGTTCCTCCAAAATGTCCGGTAGGCTCTCGGTGCTCTCCGAAACACTCTTAAGCAGTAGTCGAGCCAGCACCAACAACTTGGCCACAACCAACGCATCACCCTTCTCCTTCATGATCCTTCCCGCCGTCGTAAGCGTACTCTGTAATATCTTCGTCTGCGCCATAACCCTCCTCCTCCCCTCCCCAACCTCTCCCTCTAACCCCTTCCTCCGCAACAACGCCAACCCCTCCCCCTTCCTCTCAAGCACCCTCACGTTACACCCCCTCGCAATCCCACTCAATGCTCCCTCCACCCCCCGCATCCGCTCATCCATCTCCACGATCCGTTCCGCCGTGCCCAGTAAATCGCGATAGCTGGCTCCGACGAGCGAGCGCAGTTTCGAGCGGTTCTCATCGAGGTTCTTGCGGAGTTGTTGCTCCAGTTTTCGGACAACGGGGAGAGGGTATTGGAAGGCATCTTCCCAGGAGTTGAAGGTGCGTGGGTCCGGCGGTTGGACCGCCATTTGGGGGGTACGAGATGTGCGAGGTGGGAGGTGGGAGTGGGCATGCGGATGTGGTGAGGTGACGGCCGTGCCAAGAACTACGCTTTCGAGGAAAGAGTGGACGATGAACGGAACGCAGTACTTCACTTCTTCTTTATCCTGCACCCAATACTGTATATATAAGTAGGAAGTATGTGGTGATAAAGCTGCTTGGAGCTCAGACTGTCCAACGCTCCTTAAGAATCCTTCCATTTACACAGAAACGACACGCTTCTCTGAGGCAAACCACTCAGTAGCAGACCCTCTATAAGCGAAAACCGACCTTCCATACCCGACACCACGCACAAACACACACACGTCTCCAATCTTCACGCTCTCCTCCGCAGGAGCCTGCCTACCCGGTTCGTCCCTCCAGATCTCGACTGCATCCCACAACCCCTGCTCAATCGCGAGGCTTGCAACGCGCACGGCTTGCTCCATGTCGCCGACTTCCACCAATACTACCTTGGCGTCAAGTTTCCTAGCAACGTCCAAGATGCGAGGATAGAAGGTATCGCCGTCGTTGACCGGACACGTCGGCGCGGGATGCTGCGGCACTAAAGCCAACTTAGGTTCGTACAATTTCACGGACCTCGCTGTGGTATTTAGAAATGCTCGTGATGAAATGTAAGGCGGGTTCGAGATTAAAATGTCAAAGCAGGGTGGCGTTGGGGTTCCTTCTAGTGTCCTAAGGGCGTCTAGCACTGAGGGTATCCCGAACTGATGCGGAATGTTCGCATCGTGCAATACATCGGCCCGTAAGAAACGAGTCTTCTGCAGTGATCGCAGGCTTGACGGCGCCTTCTGCGCTATCAGCTGGGTGGAGAGGTTGTCCCGTGCCAGTTTGAGCGCTCGTTTGGATATGTCGATCCCGATGAGCCGAATATCCGTATCCGCACGGAGATTGTGCTTGAAGTATTCATGGTGGAATAGTAGTGGTAAGCAGCCGGAACCGGTGCATAGATCGAGTACCTGCAGCTTCCGTGGGAGTGAGCGGAATGTATGAGATTGGAACAGCAAGTCTACAAGATGACTGATTGAAGCTGCTGTCTCAGGCCTATACCAAGGACATCAGGAGACAAGATGGACAAAAGAGAATATGCTGTCCACAAACCTTGGTATAAGCACGCCAGGACGGCACTCAAGGCGCAAGTCTCCGAAATACTCGGAGCCTAAGATGTACTGCAGCGGTTCACCCTTTGCCCTTCGCGCTATGAGGCGGTTTACCAGGACATCTGCAGGGGCATTGTCCGATTGTATGCTGGAAGCGTGCTGTTTAAGCCACCGGAGCTCATTGCGAGCCGAATCGAGGGATCTGCAGATCGGCAATAGCTTTGCTAGACGTATGTCAGTCTGTTTGGCATGTCTCACCAGCGCGGGCGAAATGCGTGGCATTCATATGTGAAGCTTGTCGTTTTCGTGTGGACACATGCAGGAACATTCATTCACTTCAGCATTGACGTCTGCGGGAAGCGTGCCTAAGGCGCAACATTTTGCGGGGTCCCGCTGCCGATTGGTTCAAGCTTCTGCAGGGCCGCTGCTGTTCGGGAGGCTTCTAAACAGCACACGCCACACTCAGTTGCCTTGTACCAACTTCACGGCGGATCACGCCATTACCACCAGGAACAACATCGATATCGTCTCACTAACAACACCGCACCACCACACATCCTCGCCGCGCAAGTATTACATCTTTTCTCAGTACTAGAACCACTACCAGACAGAAGACTGCCACCATGAAGCTCACCTTCAAGGACTTGAAGCAGCAAAAGTTTACCATCGACGCCGAGCCTAGCGAGACCATCGGTGCACTCAAGCGCAAGATCAGTGAAGAGAAGGGCTGGGAGCCGTCTACCCAGAAACTCATCTACTCCGGCAAAATACTGCAAGATGATAATACCATCGAGTCATACAAGATCGAAGAGAAAGGTTTCATTGTCTGCATGACGTCCAAGCCCAAGGCGGCGCCGAAGCCAGTCGAGCCATCTACACCTGCACAAGCTCCATCCACACCCGCAGCCCCTCCCGCACCCGTAGCGGCACCCAACACAACCGCCGCACAACCACCTCCCACCCCATCTCCCGCACCTGCCTCGACCGCCGCCGCGGACCCCGCATCATGGAACGATCCTTCGGCGCTTGCTATGGGCGAGCAACGCCAGGCTGCAGTCGCCAACATGGAGGCGATGGGCTTCCCTCGTGATCAGATCGATCGGGCAATGCGCGCAGCATTCTTTAACCCTGACCGTGCGGTCGAGTATTTGCTGAATGGTATTCCGGCGAGTGCAGAGCAGGAGCAGAGAGCAGCTGCAACACCACAGAGACCAGCGTCAAATCAGCCGGCGCCGCAACAGCAAGCACAGCCGCCAGCGCAGACTGGCAACACAGGTGCAACTGGGGGCGACGAGCCAGTCAACCTCTTCGAGGCAGCCGCACAAGCTGGGCAGAGAGGAGGTGTAGGCGGCAACCGTGGCACAGGCGACCTCGCGGCAGCTCTTGGTGGGGGCCAAGGAGGTCAAGGCGGACAAGCCACCGCCAACGAGCTCGACTTCCTCCGTAACAACCCGCAATTCCAGCAACTACGACAACTCGTACAGCAACAGCCAGCCATGCTCGAGCCCATCCTCCAGCAAGTCGCTGCCGGAAACCCACAGCTCGCGCAAATGATCACCCAGAACCCGGAGCAGTTCATGCAGCTGCTTGCGGAGGATGCAGATGACGATGTTGCGCTGCCGCCGGGTGCTCAGCAAATAGCAGTCACTGAGGAGGAGCGGGAGGCTATTGAAAGGGTATGTCCAAACGAATGATGTTATGTGAGTGAATCTGGCTGATAAGAGTACAGTTATGCCGTCTCGGCTTTGAGCGGGATTTGGCGATCCAAGCGTACTTTGCGTGCGACAAGAATGAGGAGTTGGCGGCCAATTTCTTATTCGACCAGCCAGAGGAGCCAGAGGAGCCGCCTGCATAGTGAGCTACGGAATTGGGTCGAGCATCGGATGGAAGCACGCATTGAGCGTTCCCGAGGTGGTAATGGTTGCTCGAGCGTTGCGCTTCTACGGTTGACGCTATGCGCGTCTCTGCATCGATATGCGCCAAGGCGGCGTATCCGTGAGCCATTAGCTCGCTACGTCACGAACATTCTCTGACGAAGATGCCGGCCTCATTCTCGAGAAACAAGAGAGCTCTCACGGCCGCGTTTGCCCAAGTCTTAACGTCGCCGTGAAATTGAATCTTGTTTTCTTCCTATGCGTTCGCGAGCAGTGACTCGTTGAAGCATCGGCGCAGCGAATCATTGAAAGCACGGAGCACCACCTCTGCGAAAAGTTTGAAGCAACGACTCAATGATAGGTTGAACATAGGTCTAATGATCGACCCCTAGCTGTACGCCCGTCAATAAATGACCGAACCGCTTCCTTTTGCGAGTCCTTGGTCGTACTACGGGCTGGTTGTATTCATCGGACTTGACTCGGATGACATAGCTTCGATGATGGGAGGCAGGTCTTATAATGACATTACCAGTGTCCAGAGGATCACCGTTGTAACCACCTTTGCCTGCTGGACCCAGCCTACGTATTGAGACACGCTATCGCAATTGCAAGATGCGACAATCTGGAAACACCCAAATCAATATTGATGGTGGAGAAGGCAAGAGGGAGGTCATCAGAGTGCACGTTAAATGGCGCTAGAGGCTGGTGCGCAACGCTGATTGGACGAGGGTCGCTTGTTCCTCGAAGGACATGAATTCATTCTTTGTAGCAGCCCGTCTTTGCACCCACGCAGTATTGCCATTACGGCGTCAGTGGTTTCGTGATCTTATCCAGAAGCAGGGTTGTCAGTCAACAATACTCTGAGCGGTGTTTGTTTCAACAACGCTGGGCTGTAGTCAGTCACAGCTCGCCTCTAAGCGTTGCCCAAGACCGATTATTGCTACCACTAGCGACCCAGCAAGGACTGCGACGGTGAGATCGACATACTTGTCAAGACGCCGGTACGTCAACCTCCTTTTAACGCATGCTCGCCGATTGGAACGTCGTGGTTGCTGTTCAAGGGAGTATCCTCGCTCGTAGCGATGCCACTTCCGCTGCAACGATGATTCGCTGCGAGCCGGGCATGACCCGATACTTAACCTAGAAGCTCTGAACAGCAACCATCGGCCGCTCGCCCTTCGCATGCAGGGAGTTAGCGTTGACCTATTAACATGTCTGTCGCGATCCCTGGCATTGCTGGTTGTTGACAGCCTTGAGGGCTTACTGCCCCTTTGCATCTTTGTGGCGATCTCGGGACGACAGCTTGAACACTTCGATGGTGTAGAGCACGAACGACTCGCTAATTACCGTCGGTAGAGACCACACAATGTCCGCCGAGGTCGAAAGACCAAGCAGAAAGGGTATCAAAGGTCGTCGGATTGAAGGTCGCCCTGGCCGGTTTGACCCTTCGGAGCCTTTGCATATGACAACCCGCAGAGCCGCAAGGTCCGGCCCTAGTCACGATCCGCCTTCCACCAACGGCTCTGTAGAAGGAGACTCAAGTCCGCATGGTTCAGTGGACGTCGGCCAGTGGACTCGCGGACCCTGGACGCTCCCCTTCGAATACGACCCACCTACAATTGTGGGAGGAGACTATGTTCCGCAATGTGCAGTGACCGCCGCTCACCGGGTTTGCGTACCTGCGACATCGCAAGTTGACTACATTCCACCTTCCATCAACGGCTCTATTAAAAAGAACTCAAGTCCGCACGCTTCACCAGACGACGCATCAAGACCGACCACTCTTCACAACCAGCCAGACCAAGCCTCTCCGGATGCTATGCGGGCTGTCGGACCCATTGACAATGAGTCTTCAACACAACACAACCAACAGACTGTTTCACCTGCGCACCGTGTGGAAGAACAGGAGGATGATCTAACGACTGCGCCTCTTTTCACTCCGGCCGAGCAACCCGTGTACAGTCCACGCAAGAGAAAGCGATCCTCGCCTTCGCCACCAACGATGACGAACGCTTCGCTTACAGAGTCTTTACCATCTGCACCACGAGAGGCGACACCAGAAGCCGATCATTATGCGGAGCCGTCCCAACAAGACGGAATTGCTCAGGGTGAGGTCGATGAGGTCAATGATGTCGAAGTGACTGAACCATACCTCGTTGACGACGGCGGTACTGACGACGGGGCCGATACGGTGTACGACTTGACTGTCGGGGAAGACGCACATAATGCCATCGATGTGCCATCCGTCGAGAACACACCGGTCCGTTCCAATAGTGGCTCGCCCGTCTCTATCGCCACTGACTCAACTGATGTGGAACTACTGCCTCCGCCTGATGACCCAGAAGACGTCACCATGCTGGATAACGATGTGAATGTCGCAGCGGAAGCAGTGGACGTGGAAGATGCGATTGAGAATATTGACGGTGTCGCGGCGAACGGTCAGCGTCCCAAAAGAAAGTTCGGCGGCAAGCGGAGACGAGCAGCTCACCAGAATCTCAATGTCGAGATGGCTATGAGACGGCAACTTGAGCTGAAGAGGATGTACCGTACGATTGCTCGCGAGCTCAAGACTATGCTGGGTGAAGTCGCAGGCCGTGACCTGGACCAACTGCAAACGAACGAACAGCATCATGTGGAAGCTTCCGAACACGAGCACGTGATAGCAGGCTTGGACCATGCACTTGCAAGGCGGAAGGCTTTGATACGGAACCAACACAACCTCGATCTTCGTCTCCTCAAGCAGAAGCAACAGTACGAAGGAGAGGTGCGCAGAAGTGCGTGCCGCATTGTGATGGAGAATGCCAAGGATGCTGCTTTACACCGCTTGATGCACGATATGTTGGTCATCGGTCGGGAGTCTCACATAGCAGAGTTTGACATGGATGTCGAAACGGAAGACGAAGACGATATCATTCCGCCACCCAAGCACATGAGCTACGGCTTTAAACGAGGAGATCCAGTCGGCGCTGAGTGCGACTCTCGCAGCCGTCTCGCCATCGAGACGGAGCACGCTGTCGACAATCTTCAACGGCGCTTGATGATGGCCAACATGTTGCGTGAGTTGTCAGCTCGCGAGCAGCCTCCACCGGACGACTTCTTTGCAATTATGGATGATACGCGCCGGGAGGTCGCAAGCCTACGACATGAAGCTGTTGCAAACACCAAACTGCTCGCTAATGCTGCCACGGAAGTCGAGCTTGTCGCCAGTCTTACCATTCCGAATGAGCAAGCTTTCGGCCTGCAGCAGCTTGCGGATCTGTGCATGCGGCCATCGATCATCGCACCCGCCCACAAGCAGCCCGCTGTATCGCCTCGCAAGCCTACTGTTCCCAGGACACCGAAACGATCAGCGCCGCCACCTATTGTTCCACCACCAGCGACCCAGTCGATCACGGTTGAGCTCTCGCCACGAACTAGGCAGTACTTCCGTGATAGGTTCGAGAAGGATATGCCTCCTCCGCTGACACCGCGGCAACCGGATACAGTTCCACGGTCACCAATAGTCACACCGGGCCACCATCAAATTCCACCTTCACCTGTTAGATCAGCCAACAAGACCGCCGGCGTGCCACCCCTGACTCCGACGCGGCGCGACTCCGATCGCCAGTCAAACGTCTCTAGATCTTCGCTGCAGTCGAGAGGAGAACACCACCACGATCGAAACCAGCACGGCTTTACCGAGATCACGCAGTCCCCGCGGTCAGCCACGCGTCCGGAGCCAGACCACATCTACGCACATGCGCTTGCGGGTGCGTTTGACCGGCGCGCGCGGACAAGAAGTCTGGACGAACAACCATCGTTTGACTCCCGTTTTGCACCCAACGCTTTCGGAAGACCAGACGCCTCACCCTTTCCAGGGAATGAGGAGCTGGACAGAATGTTCAACCCTGAGAGATACGGACCGCTTTCGCAATTTCGTCGCCCACAGATGGTTGAGCGACCAAGAAGCCCCGAGCAGAAGGCGTTCATACCATTTCACCCAGCTATACCAGCCGATATACAACCGAAGCCGGAGGCTGATCGGTCACTGATACCACGCTCGCGGCAATCATCGGTCAGTGTCAAGGACGAGGCTCAATCTGAGGCTGGTGACGGCAAAGGCACACGCAACTTCGTTTTCAAGCATCACAGGAAGCCGAATAAGGAACAAAGGAACGGTCTGCCTCGCCGCAAGCGCCATCGCAGCGGCAAAGAGGCATTTGAGCACTCGACGCCCCGTGAGCGAGCTCAGAGCACGCAGCAGATCGCTAGCAGACTGCCACCATCATCGCAAGCGTCATACCCACCGAGCCCGGTTGATGGGTATGGACCTCCTAGGCCGCAATGGCCAGGTCCGACCATACAACCGAACGGCATCCCACCACAATCGCATATGCCACCGCCGCCCCGTCTGCCGCAGCATGAGCCACCTCCGCAAGACTATCGCCGAGACACGCATGGTTCCGGTCAGTACCCACAACATCGCAACAGCTTCCCCTTACCACAGCCCCCACGACCGTGGGACCGACCGTCTCCAAGCCCGCTCTTCGCGATCCCACAACGACAACAACCTGCCCCAAACGGTCCTCCGCCGCCATCGCCAAACTTCGACCGCTACCTCGACCGTCGTCACGGCTACCCCACCCCACCACTCCCACCCTCACATCACGGAGAGTATCAACACCAACACCAGCATCAGCATCAGCATCAACATCACCTACCTCTCACGCCGCAACAGCCACCGACCTCAGCGGGCTACGGGCAGCAATACGGAGGTCAAACCATAGCACCTGCGATCCCGGACCCGCGTCTGCACCCCCCGGGCTTCCGACCAGCGCAACATGACTTCCCGCCGGCTTTTGCGCAGGCCCAGACGCAGCAGCGGAATCCGAATCCGAGTCCTGATGGGCAGAGGAGGCGGGCGCAGAGTGACACTCATTCGCGCTCGACGAGCCATTGGAGGTCTTATCCCGGGCCGCCGCCGAGTAAGCGGTGAGAAGCTATCATCTATGGTTCTCTTTCGGTAGGCAGGAGGGGATCAAGTTCTCAGATATTGAGCGTGTGTCAAGGGCGTCGGGAAGATTGCACTTCTTACCACAGCTACTACTGCTGCATTTCAATACCCTACGCAAAATGGCTGGGATGGGACACAGACATTCTTGTATCGAGGCTGTCACCGGCATGGTGGCGGAGGGGGCATGGCTTGAGCTAGCCTGTAATCTGTATTACTACCTTCATCACACGGGCCCAACACAGACAATCTCCCCAGACTTCGTGCTAGCCACATGTCACACTGTCACAGATATATTGTCAGCAATCGATTAGGTAAAGGCGGGCCAGGCGGGTTAGGACGCCGTTGTACTGTATGTTGCATGTTGTGCTTATGTGCCGTGGTACCGCTGCGCCCATATCCAATGTAGGATTTGCTGACCAGGCTGACCGACGAAACACCTGCTGCGGACAGCTTGCGCGGCCCTCGACGCGTTGTAATCCTGCCGCCCGCCCAATTGACACCACACTCTAAATGAGCGCAATATCGAAAGTCTCGAGAGTCGAAATTCAATCATTTCAACGGGCAATCAACCCCATCCATTGCGATTGGCGGACAGGGCGCCCCATCGGAAATTTCGGTCGCAGATCAAGGCCTCAGATCTGGGTTGGGCAGAGCCTCAACACGGTATAGCGTGGCGAGTTGGTGCGAAAAGCAAGCGGCAAGCTGCCGTTCCCCTTCCCGCTGCTTTCATTTCGATTGTGAGGTGTGCGGAGGGGGATTGTGTGAGGGAGCAAAGCTCAATCTGCACGCTCTGCCGGATACACAACCTTGTGCGACACGACACGACACGACCCTTCCACCCCTTCTTCTTCTTGTTGTGTTGTGTTTTACGGCGACGGACAGCTTCACTCATTCAGCTGGCCCGCTTTCGCAATCCACTCGTTACTTGTATTGAGACAGAGAAGGCTGAGACTTGGCGGGAAATGCGCTACGTCAGACGTGCAGAATCTCCACAGCACACGGTGAGTCGCGCCTCCCCCAAATGTACCCGAACCGACGGACTTTCCCTTCCAGGGCCACGAACGTTGGACGTGCCTTGAGTTGTAACACTGCAAGCCACTTTTGGGTTGAGGGGGACGCGCGTTGCCCACTCATTGATTGCGTTCATCATTCTTTGTACTATCGTGCTAATACGTTTGGTTGCGATGCAGTCGTTACAACTAACTCCCTTCCTCAATACTACCGTACTGTGGTAATTTGAGTGGCGACTACTGGTTCCCGACTCGACACGCCTTCGCCACCACGCTCGCTACAGTACCCAACCACCACAATGGCTTCGTCTGGCTTCACCGGCCTCGCACGGCGCAATACCAACAAACGAGCACCTCTCAGCCATACGATTGCGACACTTCTCGTCGTATTACTAGTCCTCATAACCATCGCCTTACTACTCACCGCGAGCCTGCTCCTGATGCGCTACCGCCGACGGCGATCACAAAGACAGCAATCATCATCACTCCACTGCGGCGACGACGAAAAGCGCACCTCAACCTCCTCCACCTCATCCCACCACCGTCGCGTCATGGTCAGACCCTCCGAATCCACCATCGTGTACCAAGAAAAGCAACGCCTCATCGAAGACTCTTCCGCTCCGCCATCCCCCTCCGCCGAAATCCCGGAGATCCGACTCACGTTCCCCGAAGAATACGACGAAGCTGGCAAGCGACAATCGGGTCGCGTGGTCGTCGTGCACGTCGGCGAGACGAGCGTGGGGCTCGAGCCGGCGGCCGAGAAGCTGCCGGCGTATGGGGAGGATGCGCGCTTTCAGTCGTTAGATCTGGAGAGGATTGGTGGGCTTGTGGAGAATAAGGCGCCGGGTACGCCTGCCCGACTTGCTTCGTAAGGGAGTCGACTACTCGGAGGACATAAAAAGAGATCTGGTTTACGACCCGTAATGAGACTCGATTCCCTTCCGTTCTGTCGCCCACCTCTTCAACTACCGGCATCACCACTGGCTGGATTAATTACGCCGCGGTCTGGTCGCCCCCTTTTTTTTTTCTTCAAGCGATACACCGAGTCAAGGATGACCGACTCACGCATTGCATATACGGCGCATTTTCAAACCATCATCGGTACTGTTTTTCCCGCGGGGTCGGACGAGAGCCGTCGCTCCGTTCTTATCAAAGTCCCGTAACGGGTCACAGGGGAGTTTTGAGAGAGTAACAGACCAGAATGTCTGAGATCTAGCATGGCGCTGAGGAGGTCCACTGTTTATCAGACTGTGGTGTATGGGTATCATCGTAACTTTAGTGTCTATATATCTCGTACCACAGTCTGCAAGCCTGAGCCTGAGCCTGAGCCTGAGCCTGGGTATATGGCCCTTGCCGTGCTTGCTGCAAAGAAATGTTTCGAACCAGACACGCCACGTTCGTTGAAATTCTCTGAATTGTCGTGGGCCTACTCTTCTCATTCCCATCGCAATATGTCGTCGTCGACGACTTCAGCCTTTTAGTCGACCACCACCATGAAATGACCGGCGCTGCTCGTTCGCTTCGCTTCGGACCTCAAAGTCATGTCCCGCCCCGACCGATTCGAGCTTCGACTCCATTCACCAAGCCAGCTTGCCGAGACATTACGACGGTACACCCCATCGACCATGTTCGCAACTCTGACGCACTTACTCATCATAGCGAAGCGAGACCGGACGAAGTAGGGTAGAAGTGCCGTCCTTTCGGTCAGTATGGGCGACTGCATGGTTTGAATACGTGGACAATGACGCAAGTTTGCCGAACCATGTCGGCGAAGCGATAGCGACACCAAGTGTGCTGAACCATGGGTGACGAAAGCGCTTGTATCGACAACGAACGGACGGACCGTCCGACCACTGCCTTTCCATAGCCGAGACGATACGATACCATCCCATCCTCACCTCGGGCTGGCTATTTCAGTTCTAACGCTATCTACTCTAGACTTTCATTGCTTCGCCTGGCGAATCGTCTACACATTTTACCGAGCACGACTGAATGACTTTAGCCATGCACACACAGACGAATTAGAGGACATCCACGAAGTATCTTGTGAGAAGTCCGTACGTTACGTCGCAGTAAACAAGAGAATTGCTTGCGCCCCGTGCGTGGGAGTTTGTAGAAGTCAGCGGGGTTTTGTGGATGCTGTTTCACGATTACAGCATGATCTCCATTCGACCCGCAGGATTGCCCTCTGATGGATTGTATGAGGTTAAAGGCGTGTCTACCGACAGTCACGCCCAAGGTGCGAATATGTAGTCGACTTCCTGTTGCGTGTCGCGCAGAAAGCCTAACCGCATGCGGATGTGTCGGGTTGACGTTGACAAGACCTTGGCCCCGGCCACGGCTACACAAATTGTCTCGGGATGCTGCCACACGAGGGACAAGCTTATCCGAACCTCTGTATTGTCAACACGCCCGCAAGATCTCACAAGCCAGTCATATATTACGCTGCTACTTCCACAGCTCCCTTATTGTACACCGAGCATCATATAAATGGAAGCCGTTATGTTAGTACACCTTTTCCCGATCGAAAACGCTAATCATGCATCTTCTCCCACGCTATGCAATGCTTTCATACCAGTCGTGTTCTCATGCATCGTTACCTCACTGTAGCTGCCACATCATAAAGCCGCGCTATGCAAATTCCCATATCGGTCACGTTCTCCCGACGTCGGGCCGCGTAAACACCGGCGGAAGGGTATATCTCGTTTGCGAAGGCGGCCCTGTCACTTCGCCAAGCGGCGGTAAGACTGTTCGCGCGCTTGTCGGCGCGGTGGGTGGCATGGAGTGCGCGCTGTCTGCCCGCCGCCTGAGTGCAGAAGGGCCACTTGGTGAAGGCTCGGCGCTATTCCGACGCAGTCTTGTCTGCAATGGCGATACCGGCTGCGAGAGGGGCTGAGGTAGCTGAGGCAGGCTGTGGTTATGCGCATGGCTATATCTGTTTACTGCTGACAGGGCGGGGATAGAGGGAGGCGAGGTGCTTGCGAGTCGTGGTAGAGGTCCGGGAACAGATTGCGACGTGGAGCTCTGACCGGCGACCTGGAAGACCGGCACGTTGGCGCGTTGTGCCATCTCAACCTCGCCGATCTGCCAATGCATTGCCTCCGCGGCGCGCCATGGGAGTTGCATTTCTCGGGAGATCTTTTCCCACATCTCCTTCTTGAACCTGCATAGAATTAGCATTGATTTTCGGTAGAAGCATTGATAAAACAACCTACCTCTCGTACAGCCGCGCGAGCTTGTTCTTCTTCTCCTCGTCCCATTCAGCTCTCCGCTCGAGGTAGTTCTGATACCGCAACCGGCAACTAATCGCGCTGCGACCTGGCAGGTGCTTTGAGATGTCTTCCCATTTCATGCCGTTGTTGCGAAGTTCGATGATCGATGCGTCTTCGTCGGCGGACCATTTCGATTGCTTCTTCTTCGCGGGGGACTCGGCTGGGTGCGGCGGTGCCAAGCGCTTGTTGCTCGACCCCGGCGGATGTTGGAATGGAGCTGGTAGTGGTAGCCTGGGGTCTGGTAGGGTCATCGACGCTGGGTATTGTGCATAGCCCGCCACAGGAGCATAATGGGAAGACCCCGGTGGTGGGTAGAATGGATATTGCGCCGTCTGCATCACCGGATAAGGATGCGTCGGTGGGAGGCGAGGCGGTGCTATCAAAGGACCAGTAATGAATGCTGCTGTTGATTCAGTTGGAGCAACAAAAGCGCGGCGACCGTCGCTGTCCCCGTCCCTCGGACTGCTCGAGGTACGACCAGATGGAGTGCTTGCATTACCAGGCGGCGATGCTGAGGCCGGCCTCTCAAGCAACGTCCTGATATCCACTTTGGCAAGCGTGCTGGCTTTATCGCCAGCAAATAGAACAGGTGGTCGTACCTCGATGATGGGTGTCCTCGATAACTGGCCGTCGACTGCGTCGAAACTGCGGTAGAGCATGAGCGACAGCAATGCTTTCGGAACGCGGTTTGTTGAACAGCTTATCCACGATACTGGTGTGGCTGCGTCAACTCAACGGTATCAGGTAAGGGAGATTGTTGGTAAGAGCAACTTCGTCCCAGCATTCCGGAAGTCGTCACGAAGCGGCGTGAACTTATAACCCTCGAGCACAGGCGCCGTAGATGTTCACTTGCTGGTGACGGGCATCATGCCGGTCGTCGAGTCATACCTTGCTCGAGCGCTCACGATACTGTAGAAGGACCTTCAGCCAGATTGGACGGATGTGGTGCGGTTGTTTGAGTGCTTGTTTCACTTGATTATGGCCGAAACAGGCGGGTTCGGCATTAACGCAGGTCTGGGGAGTGCGACTAGAGTGTCGTTGAAGGCCGTGGCGGTGTCGTTGTTAGTAGGAGCCTGGAGGATCAGAAGCTCAAGGCAGTGGCTTAGCCGTTGGGCAGCGAACCACTTTGTTACGAAGAACCGGCAAAGCCAACGTGACTAACAATATGCATGAAATAAGGTAACAAGTCAAGGTGGAGACCCTGTCGTACCGCCAGCCACTGGCGGTGACTAGCAAGGGATGAAACGACGCTCAGTATGGTAGCAAGAGCCGAACCAAGTAAGGAAGGAACCACGAAAGGGCCAAGGTATGGGAACCATGCTCACCTAACGCATGTCGGTCGGCGGGAGATATGCGCGGCCAACGCATTGACTTTGAGGCGGACTGTCTTCGATGAGGCTAGGCTTCGAAGTCGACACATCTCGTGATCGGGCATATATGCTGTTGGAGTTGTTTCTTGTACAGTTTCCGTGGGTCCAATCTGCTCGCATTTTGGGGAATAGACTTCATGCGCGACTCATGAGCCTTTCCGTAGCGCGGCTCAGATTTGAGCGCCGACAGTAATCAGCCTCGTATCTGACGACGACCAATCGTCTTCGTCCACATCATCTGTAGCCCTATTGTTGGCTGCGATCGAGTGCTCGAGTGCGCGTGTGACCATCACGCTCGACTCGGGAGACTACAGCACAATAGGCGGTGAGGGCGACCAATCATTGGTAGGGGTCACGTTATGGGCTTGTTCAGGCCTTGCGCGTAGCTTTCTTGGGAACCGCGATCAGCGCATAGCCTGTTCCTGTTGAATGCGCAGTCTACTCGAATGTCACGTCATGAGAGACACACCCCGGCACTGGCGGTATGAAGCGGAGGAAGCCCCGTGCCTCCAGTGCCTCGGAGGAGCTGCAATGTCCGCAGATCACAATGGCCGAAACGTGTAAGCGTGCACGCTCGTGGAAACCCTTCCTAGGATGCGGTTCTGGGCCGGGAGAACAACACGAGGGCGGTGAAATGCCGATGTGCTATCCCGGCTCGAGGAAGGGATCTCGTGACACCATCTATCAAGTGCTTCCTGGACCACACTATAATAGGCGCATGATCTGAATCGAGCATGCCGTGGGAATGAGTAAGCGTCGCATTGCGACTCGACAGCTCACAGCACGGGTAGTGCGCCAAGCGTAAGATAAGTCGGCCCCCCCAGACTTTGACAGAGCTCTGGCTGCTATTGTCATTGCCGAGATTGTTCGGCGGTGTAAGCCATGATGACCTGTTCGCTATTGTGATGCACGATGACAGGGATGCCGCGTCTGCAAGTCATTGCGTGGGTCTAGCGCCTGCAAAGACCAACGCACGGAGCGCGAGTTCCAACGTTGATACATGCGTTTCCGATAGAAATGTGACGGCGAACAAAGCCGACTCGAAGCTTGGTTGATGGCTGCAAGTAGCCTATCAGCATCGAAAATGCGCATTGCTTTCGTGCATCGCCAACGTGTCAAGTCAGTTTGACAGCTCCCGATGACGACCGTCGTATTGCCGGCTCCAGTGTATATGGAGGTGGAGAAGTCGATAGCAGGCGGCCACGTAAGAGCAACTCGACGTCGGGCGGATAAAGTGCTGCACTCCACGCCATGCGGGTCCTTGGAAGCTTCTCAGGAACTGGCGCCGAACAGGTTCGCTGCGCCGGGGTCTTCCTTCCTCCCTTGCTTTAGCCTGCCGGTCCAGACGACATTCTGGCGGTGAGGCCCGTCGTTTCGTGTCCTCCTTCCGTAACGGAGTTGGAAATCTTGGTCCAAGCACGTCGGGCTGGCGGTGCTGGTATCCGGTGCACACACGACAGAGTTCAGCATGGTCGTTTTGGTAGTCGAAGTCTAGTGCAAATAGGAGCGGAAGCCGGCAGTATCACATTTTCATTGGCTGCGTAGAAGTAGGCACGGGACGACTGCACACATTACAGCATGTTCACGTGAGTGCTCATGACAAACGGCACGAACATCAGTAGGAGCAGTATCTCATACCACAGCTTCTGTCCAGCGTGAGTTCAACATGGCGACAGCCCACGACATACCGTTGTTGATTGTCGCGGAAAACTCGTCTTCGGAGCGAAGAATCAACCCTTCTTGGACCATCTCGCAGCTCAAGGGTCGCCTCGAGCCCATCACCGGTATACCGGCGAACTGCCAAAGCCTCTCCATCAAGACTGGCCAGCAAGCATCGCAACCCATACAAGCGCAACATGAGGACTCCACCCAGCTGGCTCGCTGGCCCTTACACGCTTATGCCGAGATTCATGTAGGTTTTTAGGCTTCCACTCGCATCTCAGGATCTCATTTGATATGTGACCAAACCTGCCATTCATAACGATCTTTCGCAAGCAAAATATGCACTTCTGCGATCCATCACAGATAAAAATGCATCAGCAAGCCGCTTGAAGCGCCCTGGAAACCCATGACCAGCCCCAGGCCGCACGACACGAGAAATTGTCATGAGGTAAGAATGACTAACGAATGGCAAGGTCTCAGACACACGTCCACCAGGCGCTCGAGCCAACTATACCGACGTATCTGCTGTAGAGAAGTATGAGATGCCACCGGCGGAATACGAGTCACGAACCGACAGCGTCCTTGCCTGGAAAAAGGCCCAAAAGCTCGGCCGCTTTGACCCAAACGCTCCGAGCATCGAGCAGCAGAAGCGCGATGCCACCTACCGTGAGGTCGAGCAGCGGGCTATTCAAGTAGGCTGTAGATGTCGGCTACTACCCGATGATGATGCGCGGAGAGGCGAGGTAATGTTCGTTGGTGATGTGCCCGAGATACCAAGCGGTATAGGCGCATGGGTGGGCGTGAAGCTCGACGAGCCTACTGGAAAGAACGATGGGAGTGTCAAGGGTGTGAGGTACTTCCAATGCCCTACAAACTGTGGCGTTTTCGTCCGGCCAGAGCGTGTGGAGGTTGGCGACTTCCCAATGCTTGATGAACTCGCAGATGAAGACGAGGAGTTCTGATCCGCTGGCGTTGTCATGGACATTGATGCCTGCTGCATTAGTCTCACAGAGCCTGCAGTCTCAGCGCGCAGCAGTACTGGACTCTCACTGCGTGCTGAATGACGATTAAGCGGAAACCATTGTTAGAAGATGAGAGGGCATTGCCACATACAAGCGCATGGTGACGATACACCAGTGCAAGCACAGCGCTACAGAGCACTCAACCAGCAGCGTCAAAGCCGTGTCAACACATTGATCGCTACAAGTAAGCCGAAATCACAACCCTTGGGCAAAAGTCAATCGCAGTGACAAATCCCTCCAATGCATTTCGGGTATCATCCAGCAATCCGTTACTCGACGCCAGCCGGACCGTCGACCTCGCAACCTTGCGCGAAGAATATCCGCGCAGACTTGGTCCGACTCTCGTTCGTAATCGCGTAATTGTTGCCTGCAAGACACTCGAGTCAGTCATTCAGTTCCACATATCCGATCTGAAACAGCGATCAGGTCATATGCAGGAGGTCGGCTCAACGTCGCACAAAGAGCGCACGCCCCAGCAACCAATTCGTATCCGGGACAATAGACGCTCAACCCGGTAGACAGCTGCGTCCTGCAACGGAACGGGTTCATGCCTCTGTGCAACGTTGCCTCGACCAGACTTCGCCACACCTGCCGCTCGCTGCTTGCGCTGTGCAACCATCGACGGGAGCATGCTTGTGTTGACAACGTGTCGCACAAACACACCGCTGGGGTGCAAGTCGACTGAAGGGGTCGTATTGTCCGAATAATGGAGTCTTTTGCGGTAAATTGACCGCTCATCTGCAACCGAGCCGCTCTCTGCTGGAGCCTCGACCACGTCCTGAACCGCGTGTAGATGGGATGGGAGGAGAACGGAACAGTCCAGCTTACCTCTTGGCACAACCCAAACGCCACCCTTCGCGATCGCAAAGGCATTCACCTCCATTCCCTCTCCACCGCCAATCTCAACCAAGACCTTGCCCTCATGCACGAAGAAACACATCTGCATCTTGCGGCTATTCTTGGCTCGCTTGAAGCCTTCCGGTGGGAGCTCGACGACTCCTGCGCCGAAGAAGGGAAGGGTCATGATCTTGGCGTACTTGAAGTCGGAGTTGGGGACTTCGCGCGTGATGATGCTTGGTGCGGCGAAGGCGAGGTCTGCGATATGAGTGAGCTGTTTTGATTATGCCGTCAACGTTGATCGGCTCACCTTCTCTGACTGGGTCAGTGGGATCACCGGTTTGTCGCTTGCTGTCCCAGCTCGCCACTGGCCCGGCAATGACTCCGACATTCTCTTCCCACTCGTCCGCGCATAGCGAAGCAGTCTCGTCCCTTTCCGCATCCTCCTCGTCTTCTTCCTCAATATGCTCCAGCTTGCTAATACGGGCCTCAAGGCGAGCGAGACGGTTGTTGTTCTTCTTACCGCCTCCCCGCTTTCTCTTCTTCGAAGGGGACTCTGTAGACTCGGCGCGAATGATGCCCTCGCACTCGCCATGTTTCCAAATGCGCGTCTCGTTCGCCCAGTACTGCAGCGGCTTGATAACGTTGCGACCTGAGCGTGTCGTTCCGACAGCATCGTCAAATGGTGTGGTGGCACGGAAAGACATGTTGTTGGCTGGGCCGATGCTTGCGCCGCGCTTCTGGCTGGCAGCTTCGTCTGACTTTGCCCGTTTCCTTGACTTGGCTGGACTAGTAGTAGCGCGTGCACGGCGGCTTGGAGGTGCAGTCTTGCGGCTCGCTTTTGGCTTTGGCTTTGGCTTTCCCTGCGATCGCTCGTTCGGCTCGTCATACTCCACTGAAGGCGCGAAACGGTCACTCTGGTCCTCGAGTAGCGCTGGATCAATGGCTTCATTGTGCTCCCTTGCCTGGGGGTCACTCTTGCGACGCTTGGGCGGTGCTGGGCTTGCAGGAACTCCTTCCTCCAGATCCTGGACTGTGGGCGCATGGTCGTCGTACTCCGTTGCCTCTAGTACTGTACTGTCCCGCTTCTTGCTTGGTGTTGGAGCAGCGACCGAGGAGCTGCGTGCTTGCTGTGCATTGCGCCCGAAAGTTCCAGTCTCATTCTGTGCTTTTTGGACCGCGCTCGGTAAGTCGCTGACGAACGAGTCCAGCGTCTCTTCCACTTCGGCCGTTGTTGAACGTGGCAACGGATCATACACGTCGTCCTCCAACATCAGCGGGCCCTCATCGACGATAGACTCAGACTCGGGTTCTATTGCCTCTGCTTGCTCCGTTATTGGGCTTGCGTTTGTCGGCGAACGCGCCTTCATCGCTGTATTCGTTTCTGGCGAAGCAAACGGATCGGGCTTCATCGCACTTGACCGCCTTAACGCGCGCTTCGGCTTGAACGGGCTCAGACTCTCGATGCTTTTGCGCACAGCGCCCGCTGCCGCAAAGTCCAGCATCCGGTTCGCTGGAGGCTGTGTCCTAGACAGATTCCGCACTGGACTCGCCGCGTTCTCATCAAGTGGCTGCAGCGGTCTACCAGTCGTGTGTGGCTGTTGACGACCAGTAGACCCTCGCTTCGGACTGCCAATTTTCGTATGCTTGGGCGTTGCTGCGCGCGGTAGAGGCAGCTTCGGCGTCTTGCGCATATGCAATGTTTCGCTGACATCTGGTCCAGAGCTTTCTTGCATAGGTATGTCGCTGCTCGCGTTGGTGTCGCTGAATGCGCGTGCAGGCGAAGCGATTGGCGAAGAGAAGATGCCGGAGACAGGTTCCAGGCCATACTCATCGCGTACACCCTTGTCAGGCAGTACAAGACCAGTTTTCCTTCCTCCGTCAGCGATAGATAACCACACATGTCAACAATTTGTGCATACCTCCCAACTTTGCCAACATCAAAGTACTGAGCTTCCGTCTTTCTGCGCAATCTTCCCGGCGTCAGTCTGCCTGGAGTAGTTTTGCCCTTGCCCTCCGCTTGCATGCCAACTGGGACTGTGTTCTCCTTGTCGACGTTCATCGTGTCGCCGCGTGACATCTATGCGAGCACGAGAGTGAGCGACAGCAGTGAGGAGTATTAATGCTGTTGCGACAAGAAGTGGATGTTGCGCAGCGGAGACGGATGTAAACAAACCCTCGACCCGATATGGTCAAGCGGCAACAAACGGATATCCCTACGGTCTGGCGCGATAACGCGATAAGCCCTGCGTTTCTTCAATCGAACGACTTTATCAAACAAGCGAACGTCCTCCGCACAAGTCCAAGCACACAGTCGCCAAGATGAAGACTTCGTTGCTGTACCTGACATTCATGCATGTCTGTCAAGCAGGGTTATCAGCATGGGGCGGCTACCAGTCCTACATCGCCATCACCAACCTGCGGAAGTACGAGGAGACGACGAAGAAGCTGGCTAAGTGGTCCAACACGGTCGAGGAGCAGCTTCATAAGACGCGGACGACGCAGGGCGCTGGTGCTGTAGCTGTGTGTATCACACGATGCTCTTGTAGTCCGGAATGCATTGCTTACAACGTGTAGATCCTCCTCTCCTTCATCGCTGCTACCACCCTGGCAAGTGTCGGCGCCCGATTGAACCCTTGGGTTCGGTTTGGCATCTCGCCTGTCATGTTACTCACAGTCTTGTTTGCTCGCGGGCATATCAAGAACTTCTGGGCGCCTGGTGACAGCAAGACGGTAGGCACCCGTATTCCTCTTCCGAACATGGAGGACTACAACGAAGCGCAGCGGCGCACCGAGGAAGTACTGGGGACGCTCGAATACCTAGAGTACGGGTGGGTAGCTACGACGTTCATTGCCGGCATGCTTGGCTATTCGTAAGATCAAATGCAGAAGATAACGATGACCCACTCTGCTCCGACCTTGACGACGAGTTTACCGTCGGCAGAGCTAGCGTCAAACCACAGGGATCGAATCGTATCACTCGTGGGTTGTCGTGGATGACTTTCAGTCACCTGTGTGCGCATTCGCTTCCGCGCTCACCGGCACGACCCGTATACCTTCCTCAACCGCAAACTCTGAGCTTGAAATGCTCGATGCAGAGTCTGTTCTCGGTGCATTTACCGATGGCGCGCTTTCTGGCTCGTGCAAAAAGTCGCTGCGGCTAGAACCCATGTCGCTACTGCCGGCGAAGCTACTCGGGTGCATATCCGCTTCGTATGGATGTGTGTGCAATGCTTGCGGCGCCTGAGCCCTGGGGCGTTGCTCATACGGTGACCACGGCGCGGCCATGTGATGCCCAGCGGTGTGTTGACTGCCTGCAGGATTGCGCGACCTTGGCCTGGTTCGACGTGTATGCACTGGTCCCGCCGCGGAAGGCATGTTTCCTTGCCTGTGTGGCACTTGCGGGCCAGCTAAGTTGTCCTCACCAGCATGTTGAATTTGTACCGGGGCTTTCGCGGACTTCGAATTCTCCGGAGGGCTTCGCGGTGCTTGTTCGGTCTCGTCGTGAAAGCTCTTGGACGACCTCCCAGGTGGTGTCAAAGGGCCGCTCACTGGATAGTACTGTGCCATCGGTGCGACCTTGGATTTTCTTAGCTTCTTTCCGTGTTTTGGGGTATCGGAGTCGACCTGGGGCGGTCTCGAAAGAGAACGGTCTGAAGATGCATACGAGCTGGCTCCTTGTTGCCACGAAGACTGCGAAGGTCCAGTGGTCCAGGAGGTGTCACGAGCTGGTTCTGGGCGATTACTATCACTACCCGGACTCTGTCCTGGTTGCCTGTCGTTATCACTACTGCCAAGGACGAAAGTCCGAGGCTTGAACGATGTTTGGTGTTGCGGCGGCCAGTACCATCCTCGATACCAGATACTTTCTCGGCCACGCTCGTTGATGTCTAGCCTGTGCTCGTAAGCTCCATTGATTTGGCGAAGTGGAAACCATGTGTCTCGTTCACTCTCCGTGACTTCCCTACTCTGTGATTGACCCATATCTTGTGGCAGCGAGCTTTTATAGTGACAAGGTCGGGTATGTTGGCGTGGTCCGGTCACATGACGCCATCGGGAGATCAACGTACTCATCGGCTTCTGGGGCTCAAACGCATCGGTCAATGCAGCAAACTCACCCAGGTCAACAGCGAATGAATTCACGCGCCTCGTCATTGCGTGACATCGTGGACAAATGGCCACACAAGCAGCTTCGCAGCAGTCACTGTCGTTCAGAAGACTTCGGCAGTCACGCGCTTGCCGAACCAGGACACCATCTCATCCTCCTTCTCTTCTTCAGCACCCAGAAAGAAGCCTGTGAGCTTAAGATTGTCAGTGGCATCTTCAGCCTCTGGCCATTCGATGCGACATGGCGCGCCTTTCGTCTCAAGCATCTCCTTGGCCGTGCCCCAACTGAATCGGCACTCGTGACCCCAGCCGAAGAGAGGATGCATGTTGCCTTTCAGCCATGTCGTGCAACGTCCGTCGGAAGGGTAGCCGGAGCCCCATGCCATCTCGCCGCAGTCCGCTATCTCGGCATAGGTTGAATAGAGAACGTCGAGCGAGGCGTCCCTGGTGACCTTGGCACAGACTGATGCTGCGGAAACGCAAGGGTACAGGCTGTCGGCCTTCTTCGCTACAGTGATCGACAAAGACGGGAAGATGCGTTCAAGTCGCTTCTGGTACGTCGCCGGCGGTCCGATAGTGTCGATGTAGACTTCACAAACATTCACCCCGAGGTCCAGTACCTGCTGGATCAGGTCTACGGTCGCATCCATAGCTTGCGCGTTTAAGTTGTAAGCTCCATTAGCTTTGAGCTGCGCAGCAGAGATGTCGCGAGCGGACATACTCCGGGTAGCCCACCCACAGTGCTGGAAGAGATCTGTCTGGGGCGAGCAGACTTTCTCCATCAGCTCTGAGCGCACAGCGGGCGTGAGTGCTTTCGAGTCGTCGAAATGATGCGTCTCAGCTAGCAATAAGCGATGCATTGGCAGTGGTAAATAGTACAATGCATAGACCATAGGGCCTGCCTCCAGTTAACGTACGTTCCAAGAGACTCGAAAATCCTACTCACCTAATACCGGCCCTCGTCCCGCTTCGTCAACACCAAGCACACATGCAGTGCTCATATCTGCGCGCAGTGCAGCAGGTACAGTGGACAGATGCGAATAGCTTTCGCCCGCAAGGATGCTGTCGCGATGGATTGACGGCGGCCTAAAAACATTTCCAACAGGCGCATCATCTGCAATGTCTTGGGAATCAACCTGACTGTCTGGTAAGTCGTCCATCCCTGCGACCGAATGCTCTAAGTACAACGATACTTCGAACGAACTTGACGCGTTTGGGGAAGACGCGTGGGACATCGAAAGCTGAAAGCGCGGGAATCGCTCCGCTCAGTTGACGGAAGTTGCCGGCGTCATAAAAGGGCACCTAGAGCATCCACTACACGCACAGAACAAGTGGTACAAGATCGATATGATGCTCTCCCGGAGTTAAGTCGTTTGATTGTGCCTCAATCCATCCCGCGCCTCCATGCACCTAAGGAATCCAAACAGATGCGCCTTTCCAGCTGTGTAGGCAGCTATGCATGCCCTGGGTATCTCTCCGCCTATGCTGCTTTTCCGCCATACCGTTCCCTCAAACGCCGTAACTGATCCATTCTGCTCCGCCAAGATGACGGATACTGTGCAGAGTCGTTCCTCTGAGTCCACATTAAGCTCATGATGCATTCATTAAGCGCCAAGCTCCGCACCATGCCCGGAAGCGATGCACCAGAGACGACTTTCTCTTCAGCCGCTGCCGATAGGTTCGGGTAATCCGGACGGGTGAAGACCTGCACCGTATAGAACCGATCTCTCTTATCCGTATGAACGTTCTCTGTGCGAGCCTGCATGAAGTTCGTTCTGGCTGACGGCGCAATTACGATGTAGACGTAAGTCAGTTGCCCAGGAAACATGTTATAAAGGGTGTTAAAGTCATGAGGAATTCCCGAGTTGTTGAAGATGATGGTCACATGATCGTTGCCAACGTGCCGTTTCTTACGGCCGGTGTTCTCGTGGGTGTCATCATCGTTCGGCATCATCGTTGTAACATGATAGACTAGCTCCGTGACATCGTTGTATCTCCAGACCATGACATGTTCGCCATCCGCGTCGTTTGAGCGATCTAACCCCTGAGTATTGAAGCCGGCGCCTTTCAGCCTCTCAACAGTTCCAAGCCCACTGACAAACTCTCTGTAGTCCGTCGAGCCAGATATATTTAGGAAAACTCGATCTGCCGTTGTTTGCCGCTCGCCGATGTACATTACGCCAGCTTTGTGCGAGTCCAATGCTGATGTGCGGTCGAACGATCGAATCGCACGAGTGACCGCGTCGTCTTCAGGCAGCGTAACAACACCGCCAGTACCAAGAGTTGAGAAGTTACTAGGTACGGTGATGGTACCATAAGTGATGCCATGGTCATCGGCCGGTACGATGCTGAGAAAGTCGCCAACATCTGATTGTACAGTAGCCTTGGTTCTCACGGCGCTACCAATCGCCGGTGTCACGAGTCGATGGGTCGTGCCAGACGGTCGACGTACGGTCACAAGCGACCGACCGCTCCGCAGTGATGTCTTCGTACTGATCAACAGCATCCCAGCAAGGCGTTGTCGCTCAACAAGGCGACCTTCCCAGTGGTCAAAATGCAGATTGCTTCCATTCAAGGAGCTGGTAATATCGCCACTAGCCTCGGCGTCTTTTCGGTCCATCATGTCCACCGTCACTAAGCCTTGGTCTTCAATGTGAGCCTGGCCGTCAACATCGTAAGTCAAGCAACCCGTAATGTAAGGCTTGAGCTGGTCCCGGTGCTGCTGTTGTAGGGACATATACCAGAACGTAATGACATGGTGCGCCAGCGCATACACGTATTCGGGAAAAGCTTCTTCGTCCTTCGTGGTTGCCGAGCTGCGTTCAGAGGTTGGCGTTTGCCTCCGTTCAGCGATGGTCTGTACTCCTCGGGTAGTCTGTAGATAGTTGTAACAAACAGCAAATATCTTCTTGTAGTCGTTCACGGTGAAATTGTGGTAGAGGTCAGGTAGCCTTGAGAGACCGGATAGGAACTGCAAGACATGGATAGCGAGATACCTCTGTGTGACCATCTTTGTCATCTTGTCTACCACGTCTTCCATGTACTTGCTCATAATGTCTGGCACTTCGTAGCAGCACACGGTCAAGGCGTGGATGCAAGCGATGCTGACCGTGTGGTCGCGCGAGCCTGCGGTGTCGTTGAAAAGAGACACAAGATCGGTAATTTCGTCCTGGGACATTGCACGATGATAGCTCAAGGAGGCGACCAGTGTCTGTATTAGGTGTGAAATGATGTAGGCCTTTCCCAAGCCAGTATGTAATGGAGGCTCCGTGAAGCTGCTTGACTGCAACACTCCGCGGATGGTAGCTTGAACCTCTTTGATGAACGCCATTTGACCGGCGAAAAATGTGTGGTTGCCGACAAGGTATTTTGTCTGCTGAAGGAAACAATGATAGACATCCCAGTTGTCAGCACCACGCCGAAAAGCGTTCAATATGGCGGCGTGCCATGTCATTAATGTTGGGTTGGGTGTGATGGAAGCTGTGCCCGTAGCAGTGAGACGCTCAGAAAGCGCATCGTAGCGAGTGTAGATTACGCCTGTGATGTCGGCACGCAAGCCGAAGAGAAAGCTGGCGACATCGAAGGAGAAGGAAGCGACTTCGCACAAGAGATCGAATATGGGCTGGTTTGGCTGTGCGAGATACAGCTGGATCAGCATCTCGGCCAGGGTGTGTTTTACGGCCGCTGATGTCGTGAAATCCTTGAGAAGCTTGGCGTATGCCCTTCCCATCTCTATCGTGACGAGACTGTGGCTTCCGTTCAAAAGCTGATGAGTGATGAGACCTCGTTCACTCAGAGCACGCAACTGCTGCTCGTTCCGTGCAAAGGCAAACAACTGCGGGATCAACGCACGATAATGCTCAGGCTTCTGCTCAGATGCTGCGAGTGGCCAGCGATGAGCAAGGCCACTTCGCCACGACTCCTCGGTCATTTCATGGCCGAGCTGCAAGCATAGCTCGAAATAGGTATTGAAAGCAGATGGCTCCATTGGAAAGTCCTTAAGACCGAGCAATGTCGAAAGTAGAGAGATTCGAGAGCACTGCAAAGCCACATTAAGCACTTTCGACCAGCCTCCATCACCTCTGAGCAGTGACACTCGAGCGTCACTAGCCAGTAACTCTGCTAGCAACTCTGCGACGTGCTCTAAAATGACGGCATCCATGGTACGACTGGTCAACTGCTCCAGACGAAGAATCAAAATTGTTGGATTGATCAACGGCATGCCTTCTTTTCTGCTCCGCAGCATTTCCAACATCAACATCAGCGCACCAGTGGTTGTGCTGAAGCCGCTTCTAGACTCCGCATTGTCGCTCAAGGCAGTCAGAAAGGCTTCAACCAGCAACTCACCAATGTGAGATTCCAGCAGTCGCGTTACAGTGCTCCACACGGCGGCTCCGAGCTTCCTGGTCCTCTGGGCTCTCGATGCGCTGTAGTAAGCCTGTGCCAGAAATCGGACAATCTCGGAGATGCACGCGACTGGCAGCAGAGCATAAGTGAAGGCAGTGTTGACGAAATGTAGAGCTGCCTGCAGAGTGGCGGAAGAGGTCGTGCTCTTCGCCTCACAAACTGCTCCAAGGAGACGAGCCAGCGCCTGGGGAGTGAACCACTTCGCTTGTTGCTGGAGAAGTTGAGAAGCATTGTTAATGGCACTCTCCAATGTGCTGGTCCGTAATCCAAGGTGGTCAGGGTTGGTCTCATCTTGAGCGTCACCACCTCTCATATGCCGACGGATTTCCAAAGTGAGAAGTTCGCAGACCCAAGGCTCGAAGGGTGCAACATCGCAGCCAGACAATGTGGTGGTTGGAAGCTCGTGCGAAGGGCCGATCGACCTCCGCAACGCCGACGAAGTGGAACTATCATCGGGATCCATCGCATGTCTGCGGATATACGATAAAGGACGGATCATAAGCGGTGCGCATGCCGTATCATGCCGTCTGGCTCAATTGAGCAAGCCTCTTCACGAGGTCGCCCGGGTTGTGCACCACCAGGTAGGTGCATTTTCCGCCGCATCGTCTTGCGGTGCTCATGCATTAATGATGGCCATTGTCTGCCACTTGCCGTGTTGTTGTACAGTTCTTTAGGAGGTGAGCTTTACGCATAGGGAGGTTTTGAAAGAATTAAGTGTCGGCACAATTACTGCGGGAAAAGGGCATGTTGCATTACGTCAAATTTGATTACCGCTCACGCATTGGTCAGGCGAAGATGGGGTAATCGAACTTCACCTGGAAAAGCCATATTTTCGTAATGCAAGCGATGACTATTGTCGCCTTTTCTTCGTGAATGCACAACGCATGCGCACTGCTAGTCAGCTGGTTCGTGACAAAGGAGTTGTGGGAAGAGACTGCCGCAGCGACAGCATTAAAAGGGTTCGGTGGAATTGATGCGAGAAAAGCTACTTTCATTACCTTCTGGTACAGCCTGCGGACGACCACGTCGTCAACAGCTTCGTTTAAAGTTCCTGTACCTAGGCTGCTTTCCTCGGTCCCCAAAGCGTTAGAATCCACCTCTACTTGTGTGTTGGCTGCCCCCGTCATCTGCTAGGCACATGCTAGGCTTGCTGGCCGTGAGTCGCTCGAGTTGACTCAGCGACCCGGCAGGATGCTTATGTACAGAGCATGAACCACACGGCATATGCGCAGTCATAGAAGACGAAGTACTTTGACGCTGCCGCTCCGTCACAAGGTACTGATTGTCAGTTGTTTAGGGCTCCTAAGATGGGTGCAAATCCATGGCCTGGTATCCATATGGGTGGTATAATTGTACGAAGACATCTTTGATCGCAAAAAGCAAGCATAAGGAACTGTGAGATCCATCGTGCTGTCACGATCACGTTGAAAGGATGCAGTCATTGATGTCTAGGACCTGGACTACTCTGTAGTGCTGTTGTATTGGGAATGACATGTTCATGACGTAGAAAGTGAAGCACCAGCCATTATCGGCCTTATGGTACCAAAGTCCCCTTATGATTTCCAGTATGGTGATGACTCCGGTGGCCGTAGGAGAGTGTTGTTCGAGAGGACAGGCGTTTCGGGCAAGACTCTTGCCCGGAATTGTGCCCTGAGCGGTCGGTGTTTCGTCCGATCGAAAATGCCCGACTTTACGAGACATGGATCGCTTCTCTCCTATTGCGCCGGTCGCAATACGTGTGGTTGTATTGCCCGTAGGACGCATAGAAGCAGAGCGCTTTGGTAGGATCGTACGTGGGCTATGTAAAGACGCCTCTATCATCAAACTCAGCGACAGCCAGTCGCTTTTCTTCGACTATACCACCGCGCCGCCGAGTGACAATGAGCAGCTATTATCCCCATACGAACACTGCCGTGAGACGCAACTGGTCGTCGGAGTTAGCAATGGCTTCAGCGCCAGTGAGAACGAAGAAGAACAGCTTCATGCAGCATTGGAACGGCTAAGAGAGCAATATCCGCGAGTAGTACATCGCCATCTGCTGCTGCTACCACAGCCCGGAGGAGGAACGGTAGAAAATGCAGATAATGTAACGCGCGTTGCGAGAGCGGGAGAAGACGAGGAAGGGCTGGCTTTTGCAGACGCCCTAGGCAGCGTCGCAAGCAGCTTTTTGCGTGACTTCAGCGCCTATGCATCGGCTACACAGGCTTTGCTAAGCATTCAAACCCCCTTGCGACCGTCGAGGAACTTGCAACGACCCCTTAGCTTGCATAGTGACGAAGGCAGACCAGTTCTGAATCATACGGATTCGCCGCAAGCTGCGGAAGTGACCAGTCCAGTGGGCGAGAATCCCTCTCCGCCGCCATCGCGCAGTGTTCGCTCACCACCACCAACTCCCCTCGAGCACGTACAACAAAGCCCTATCTCGCGATCAGACAGTCGAGCCAGCACTAAGAGCAGGACCGACATCCGGCCATCGAGCCTAGATCGTGTCCAGTCGCCACACCGCCACAGTCAGGCCGCTGCACCACCGTACAATGCGAAACTTCGCGGGAAAGCCAGAGTTGGCATCGTTCTCGGACAAGTCCAGCTGCAGTCTGGCCAGTGGCAGGAAGCTTTGCACACTCTAACAGAGCACACACAAACCGCGCGCAAGCTCTCTGACTGTTTGTGGTACGCCAAAGGGCTGGAGTGCATCGTTGTGTGTCTGCTGCTTCTCAGCGAATCTGGTCAGGACTTCCAAATACCATCAATTTGCTATCCGCCAGCAGACCGAAACAGCTCAGCGCACGTCCAGAAGTTGTCATTCAGCCAGCCTGCCGACTGGCGGTCCAAAGAAGCCGTACACAACGCCACACTCAAGCGTTTATCGAGCTCCTTGCCGGAACTTCTCAAGCACATCCTGAGTTTATATGAAGCAGGAGAAGGCCAGCTCGTACTTCCGACCTTAGCTCTTGGGGAAGTCAAAATCCGCTTTTGCAAGCTATTGACGACCCTCTTCCACTGTCGCGGCGAGCTTGACCAGAATACACTCAACGCCCTTATAACTGACTCCACGAAGGGTTTGCCCAAGCATCCAGTCGGCGCTGGTGAAGCAGCCAACATCCAGCGGTCGGACATAGCATCTCTGGCGGAAAATGTGCAGCGGACGGATATGAGCGACATGCCGATCGCGGAGCAGGTCCGCCTGCTGGCCGGTGTCGCTGCAGTACTTCTGTCGATTGATTATAAGCGTAGGGAGGCGCTTGTGCTCAGAGAGATCCTCATCAAGCTCACGGAAGGTCTGAACCAGGCACGCAAGATTGGCGCTGCTGAAGCCGGCGTCCATCCGGCAGCGAGCCTCTCTGCCGACACTGGAGCTCTCGCAATCTCGAACATCGCGGCGCAGAGCAATGGTGTCAAGGAGATGGTAGAGAACCTCGCGCAGCTTTTCGGTATCCCGCTCGGTGAAGGTAACCTATCAAAGCCATCTACCGATCCCGCCAATTCGACAGACTTGCCGGTCGGTCGCACTGTGCCAACGTCTCAAGTACTTCAGTCGGTGACAGACGAGCTGCAAGGAATGTTGACGATGACAGAACAAGAGCAGTCTTCGCTTGCTTTTGGCTCTGCCGTACTTAAGGCTGAAGTCATCAGCGCCATCCTTGCCTTTAGCGAGGCCCAGCCCGATCCACAGGGCGTCATCAGGGGGGCCGAGGCGTTGCTGAAGGCCGTCACGCCGTCAGCTGCCATTGACACGATCCCGGATGCTGGCAGTGTGCCGCTGTCCAAAGAGGAGCAATCGCGCCTTAGCAACACTATCTTTCGCACCATCGGCGTGTCCAGGCATCTCGGTCTCGAACCCGTGGAAGGCACATACTGGGACCCTTTCCTTGTGCGTGGGCTTGTCTTCCCAGCTCGCAGTCCCGCATGTGCTTTGTATCCCTTCATCCGCGGAAGCAAGGCAAACGTGGTTGTGTCCACAAACCAGAATAGCGGTCCTATCAACCCTCTGCTGTACGACCCGAATGCCAGCCATCGCGCGGCGCCTGCTACTGTCGCTCGCGCGGTCATCCTCGGTAACCAACCCACTGCTGTCCAGATAACTTTGCAGAACACGTTGGAGGTGTCCATCGATATCGAGTCACTCAGCCTCGTTACCTCTTGCGAAGACCGGATTCAGCTAAAGACCCAGAACTTCACTCCCTTCAAGGTTCGCCCGTCACAGCTCCTCAAGACCACCATAGCGATCACCAGCACAGATTTCGGTGACTTTGAGATCAATGGCTGTCGTATCAAAGTTGCTGGGTGCCACGAAAGCACGTTTCGCATCCACGCTAAGCCTTACGCTTCACAGCCGGATACCCTTGCCAAATTGCAGGGACTGAAAGCACTCACGCCGGCATCAAGTGCACAGCCCTCGACGACCGAAGTAGGAACGCCTGTCGCTGTCCCAGCCAGTGCGATCGGCTGCATGCCTCTGATTGCCATCGACTCGGTGTCCGCTGCCGGTTCAGCAATCGCCCTTCTGGAGGGGCAGATGGCGGAGGGAATACCGGTGACCGTCCGCAATACTACGCACTATCCCGCGCAGGTCGTGAGCGCTAAAGGCAAATATGCCGCCGTTGAGGGGTTGGTTTCTGACGGCCGTGATCTTGGGCACGCAGGCCCTGTCATACAACCCGGCGAGACTCGGCGCTTCAATATCCGCGCGAATGGCGTTGTAGGCGCTGCCAACGCGGACATAGATATCTATTATGGTGCCGCGCCTATCAAAGACTCGGACAAGTATTTTCGCAAGCTCAAGGTGCCCTTACGTCTCACCGTTACGCCTGTCTTTCACCTCAGCAACCCCGATGTCTCCTCAGATGATGCTAGCCACGTCCGCTTCGCCTTCGACATCCGCAACACCTTCTCACAGACGATGCAGCTCCGCTGCTACTCAGCTCCGCCACCCGAGCTCGTCCGGGCGGACGTGGAGGGGATGGTGGCGTCTTTGGACGTCGTACGGATTTGTTTGCGGGTGCAGAAGGGGAGGAAGGGGGAAGATCTCCGCGAGAGTCTCGCGCGGAAGGTGGTGGTGGGTTGGGAGGAGATGCGCGGTGAGCGTTATGGGAAGGTGGACCTCGGCGGCCTTGTCACGTCCTTGACCGATGAGCAGGTGGCCTTGCTGTAGAGTAGTCGTTTTGGTCAAGATACCCTGTACTATTAGCTGCCCGGCATTTCAAGCTTGTAAGCCTGTCGCAAACTTTCATCGGCCTCTCCGCAGCTTACAACCCATAGCTGACTCGGGTGATGATTGAAGGGTGATAGTAACCACTTGACCCACAGTGGCTTATCCATTTAACAATGCTTTTGGGAGCTGGTGTTGAAAGCCGCAGACATCCTAGACCGATTATGTGCCTCTACTGTACGGTAGCTCTTACCACAGCCATTTCGACCTAATCAATGGATCGGGACGTTATAATAGCATATCGCTGTCCTAAGATAGTTGCACGATCAAATGCTTCTAATGGTCCTACAACAGCTTACTGGGCTTGCAAACGTTTGTGGAGCAGATCAACAGGAAGTACAACTATTGCAAAGAGGATACAATACTAATACATATCGGCAGGCTCCATAGTACCCTACGGGGATAAGCTAGAGGCTGGGATCAATTGTCCATACCGGTGCTCCTTGCTTCCGAAGTCACGCTTGTCAACAGGTTTGTCTTGGCTGGGAAAGAGAAAGATCACTCGGCTAATGTTGCAGCCAAACGGCAGAATGTGGATCTCGTATGAGGTACCGGTGGATAGATCTCGAACGCACAGGAACCAAAAGAGGGTAGAAGACAAAGAGAGTCGAGAGAGCCGGACGAGCGAGGAGTGAGGCGCGCAACGTATTCACGTCTTCATGTCAGAAGTCGTTGCGGTGCATGGTCCCACTTCCACTTCACTCGACTATAGCAAGATAGAGTCGTCCACAAGTTGTGGAAGGAAGACGATATAAGAGCTATATCGGCGCGCAAGTTGGTCAGCCACAACACCTTAAGGTGTGCGCCCAGCTACCTCAACTCTGCCCTCTATCGTGCGCTGTGGGACAACGGTGGAAACACATGCTCCCTAAGTCCGGGAAGGCAGCTAGTGAATCACTGCCGGCTATCGATGAAGGGCGATCGTTGCCTTTACGAGACTTTATCCTCCTGCCACTGTGCGGGATGTCAGTAGCGTTAGCAGCGGAATATCTTCGAAGTGCTTGGTGTTCTGGGTAGGACTTCTGTCCTTGATGTGTCGAACCTTGACGCCTCTTCGCTTCCCTTCATCAAAGATGGTCAAGCTTCGCGCCAAGCTCAAGCTCTTATGCAGGTCCTGCAGCCCAGCTCATCTAACCCAGAAAGCTGACGGTAACGCCAAGATGGCATGCCATAAATTGAAAAGACCCTCCATGGGCCGTCAGTCCGAGATCCTTGCGATACTAGAGTATCATAGCAGAAAGGCGGCAACGTCAGTCGACTGTCCGTCGACCGGCGTGAACGGTAAGTGAGGTAGGTCCCGCAGCCTGATCAAAAGATGGCACTTCTACCCAGCCAGCATCCTGCAGTAGCGACGGCGTCAGTCCCGAAAGAGTCGGCCCATGCCACTGCTCCCAGTATTCCATTGGTCGCATTTGTTTAAGTGCAACAGCTGCACCGGTGAGGGTAGCTCTCTGCGATGCGGCTCTAGTGCACCTCGAGCCATCTCCGTGACACCGAGATGCATCCCTATCCAGACCTCACCCCAAGCACGGTAGCTTAGAAGTGCGTGCGAGCGGATTCACAAGTCATCCAAACGGCGCGAACGGGCGCTCATCTATAAGTGCTGCCATGGCGGCGCCGCCTCTACCAGCCGGCTGGCAGTGGCACATTGATGCGACCACGCAGAAGATCATGTTCATGCACACAGCAACGGGACGAACGCAAAATCACTTTCCCAGTCTCGGCGACGAAGCGGCGTTTAGCATGGCACCTTCGGCAGTGTTCCATACAACCACGAATGCCCACACGACAGCTCCCTCAACAGCGGGACCGTTTCCAACTGCAGGGTCTCCGGCATCCGACTTGGTGACAGACGTCGCTGCCGGTGTAAGCTCCATGTCTTTCAGTCAGGAGAGTGTCCCATACGGAGCTGTGTTTACACGAAAGCCCACAAAGCGAAAGCCTGTATCGGGCTCTTCACCTGCCTCGCCCATGTCCAACAACGCGTCGCCGTATACGGCATACTCACCTCCGCCACCTGCGCCTGCTACCAACGCAACAGCGCCCGCTTCGGACCCTTCTTCACCATATGTTCCATACTCACCGCACGCGACGACAAGCAGCTTACCGTCAGCCTCCGCGAATGCATCTAGTATGCAGAGCGATTGGCAGCCGGTAGCACAGCCCTACGCCGCAGCACCGCAAAGTTCGCAGGGTCAGCTACTGAACCCACCGAGCGCCCTCGCGCCAACAGCTGTACAGCAGTCCATCCCGCCATTGACCGGCCATTCGCAAGTGACACCACCACCAGCTCCGCAGGCTCCGGTACAGCAGACCCAGCATGCTAACATTCTAAATGCTACGTCAACAACGTCGCCAGAACTCAGGACAATGCCTGGAGCTTGGCATAATCAGGAGCCTACGCCGCAGTCTCAGGCCAACGAAGCACCGGCTCCGCAGCCTCCACAAACGTACCCACCCCAGCCCGTGGCCGGTTTGCCAGTCCAGCTGTATGCACCATCCCCGGCAAGCCAGCATATCGAAGAGGCCGCCCCTCCGCTACCGCCTCGTCCCACACAGACAACTCCAAACCTACAGCCACCACCACCGAACCATCCGCCCGGCTTTCAGGCGATTTGGAACGAACAGTACCGGGCCTGGTTCTACGTGAACACGTCGACCGGTCAGTCTACGTGGACAAAGCCCACTGAGCCAGCATATGGTTCGGCAGACTCTCTAGGGCGGTACAATACGCAACCCCAGCCGGCAATTGTAAGTTCTTACCAAGCAGTAACCGCCTCCACTCCGCCAGTCGCAAACATCTTCCCTCCACCGCCTCCATTGACTGCGAACCGATACTCGCAGGCCGTGCCACCTCAAAGCCCTGGCCCACCGGCCTCCTCACCGCCAAGCGCAGCTTCTCCGACGTTCCCGCCTCCACCACAGCAGTATACTCCGATACCTGGTGGGCGACATGCATCAGTACCACTGAATGCTTCTCATACTGGCGATGCTAGTCACCAACAGCATCGCCCGTCAATGCCGGCGCTTCATGAAGTACAGACTCTACCGGGCTTTGTACTAGGTCAGCAAACTGAGCGTCCGGCGATGCACCACGTAACAAGTGCTCCTCAAGTGCTTCAATCGACGAATGAGCATCACGTTACGGCACCCGGCCCACAGATGCCTGCAATCAAGGAGACGCGGATGAAGAAGATGATGAACAATACCAAGAAATGGGTGAATGACCACCCTAAACTAGCCATCACGGGTGCTGTTGTGGGCGAACTGGCCGGTCTTGTTGTTGGAATTGATCCGCTCAAGGATGCACAGGCAATACATAACATGACGAAGAAGACACAAGCCGCCAAGCTTAAGGTTCAGGCGCAGCAAAATGTACAAGCATTGCCGAATGTACAGACGCAGGCGCAGATGCAAATGAACCAGCAACTCCAGAGTATTCAGCAAGCGCAGTTCATGCAGCAACCCCATCAGCAGCCGCACCAACATGAGCCGATCATTCAGGCTCACTTTGCTCAGCAGAACCAGCAGTCACAGTATTCTCCTCAGCCCAGTGTTGGACAGCAACCTATGCAACAGCAACAGCCGATGCAGCAATCTCACTCCGTACAATCGGTCGGAGGCACTCTGCACGCCATTCCGCCCATCCAATACGCACAGCAGCCAGTGCAGCAGGCTCAATTCGCGCCAGCTCCTGGAGCTAGTCAGCAGCCTCACCAGCAATACTATCCCGGCCAGCAACCTCCTGTCCCACAAGCACAATTTGCGCAGAACGTTGGAGGTGCTCAGCAGCCTGCCCAGCAATCTCCTTATGGTCAGCAAAGCCCAGGACAGCAAGGCCCTACGCAGCATGCACATTCTGATCAACCATTCAAAAACGCTCAACAATCTCCGTACAGCCACCCCGCTCAGACAATGCCTCAAAGCCAACATACGCAACAGCTACTGCCTGACCAGCAAGCTCAGATCTCACCACAGTGGCAGTATTCGCAGCCGCCCAGTCATCCACTTCACTTCGGACAGCAGCCCACAGAACACCAGACTCCGACCCAACACGCTCAGTTTGGACAACCTATTGAGGACACACAGCAGCCTCCATATAATCCATCAAGCGAGCCCATGCAACATCTCTACGGCACTCAACAAGCTGAATATGCGCCACCCAGTGAGCCTCCGGTGTACCAGCAGGCGCAGTACGTACACGACCAGCGCGGCACTCATGAGCCCCAACAAGCGACCGCCGCCTACGCTTCTGACAGCCAGCGAGGTCTTAGTCTACCGCATGCGCATGGATCTGGATTTAACCCGCTGCAAGCGTTCAGCGCGCTTGGAGGCGCCGCAAGCCTTGCGAACAATGTGGACGGCCTGTGGCAAAGACACGAGCAGAGTACTCAATCAGGCAATGACAATGGTGGTGATCCACTTTCTGTCATCAACAACAACAACAACACTGACACTGGCGGCTATGTGGACAATACTGTCACCACCAATCCGAGCACGAACACAGACACAAGTCAATTGAATGATGGAGTTGTCGCTGATCAGGATCAACTCCTTATGCAGTCGCTGTCTGAGGAGCAGGAGGCCGACTACATGACGGCTCAGGCGGAGATGGCGAACAGCTTTATGCCCGTAGACATCCAGTGAGGCCAAGACGTCTCATGAACAGTCACTGACGTAGATTTCATGCTGCTAACTTGACACGCTGCTAGCGGCGATAAGGAGTCCTTCGCGGACTGTTTTGTTTACGATAAGCGGCTCTCCAATCGAAGGCAGACGCGACGTGACCGTCGTTTGCTACGCGGCTAAGAAGCACTCGTCTCCGCCAGATGTGGATGATGCAGCTTGACTTCCTCACTTTTACGCCTGCTGTTCGTTGGAAAGCTGCTCACTGTCAGGATATCCGACCACGGAAGCAGTTGATTGGGGACTCTGGAGCATCACAACCATAACGACCGCACTATTCGGCGCGAGAGCAAGAGCGGCGACGCAGCCCATCACGCGAGGAACCATCCCGAGTTTGCGCGCTTTGGTCTAGATAGAATAATTCTGGGACTGTACGCTAGGCTAATATGCTGGAATCGGAACTGGACCGATCGGGCCCACGCTTGCACCAATGTTCGCCTGCACGAGTCAGTGTTGCACGGCGGGTCACAAGCTCTTGAGCTTACCTGATGCATGCTTCGTGGGCCGCCTGTAGGAAGGTAGTAGTCAACTGCGCTGTGGAAAACGCCGTAATTATCCCACATCACGATATCGCCTTCCCCCACAAGAGGCAAGCTGATGTACTCGGGCTTCAAAATGCGGTACTGGATATTGTGTAGGAATTTGCGGATCTCTGGGATGTCCTCGATCACTCGTGGCTCCTCGTCCGGACCGGATCGGATGTACAGTCTCCGTGCGCAGATGCCGTGGACTTGAAAGGCTTTCTCGCCTGTCACTGGGTTGACCCAGACGAACGGGTACTGTGGGTCATCAGCGTCGCTCAAGCAGCGACAACGGCTGTGGAAATAGTCTCACCCTCTTGACCTTGTCTTCCTCGAACTCGCCAATCTCTTCGATAGTGTGCTCCCTGCCCTGGATCGCAAGGCCGAGGCCATTGGCGTTGCCCTTGCAGTTCTCGATGGCCATGTAAGGATGCGGAAAGTACTCAACCCACGAATGATCAGCCATCTGCTGCTCCTCCTCGCTAAGCATGCTGTACAGTTGACTGGTGGAAAAGAATGCTGTGAGACCAGGACGTGACTTCATGCTCATTCCACTGTCGTCATCCCAGTGAATGGTGACATCGTCACCACTGGGTTGCTTGCAGGCTCGCAATGTTGTGAACCATGCAGGGTTCCGGTCGTACAAAGGTGCATCGATGTGCCAGCGCTGGAAGCGGGTATGGCCCGCTTGGAATTCTTCTTGTGGCAGCTCCTTAGCGTGGAAATCTGCGGATAGACCACCGACTGTGAGGTTCTTGAGACCGTAGTGGTCTTCGCCTTGGTAGCCCTTACCAATCAAGCGTACGTTCTCAGCGCCAGGGATACCGTGAACCTCGCGATTGCGCTTGGTAACATCAGTAAACGTTAAGGACAACATCGACTCGACCTACCGAGAGCATGCCGCCCTTCTTCTGGAATGTCTTGATGTCTCCATGGCTGTGGACTTGCTTGGCATCTGGATCGAACCGAGTAACGAGTTCCCACTGCTTGGCGGGAAGAAGGTCTTTCTGGCCCTTAACGACTACCACCTTGTGCGTCCAGATGGCATCCTTGAGGTGCTTGACGTCGGCGTCTGCGTCGCTGTCAGTTAACGCACGATAACAGGCTTTGCCTGCACATACCGGAAATCTCGTTGAGATCGATGTCTGTGATGGTAGCGCCGAACTACGACAGATTAGCATCGTATTACTTGTTTCGGATGAGAATCCACGAACATTGTACTGCTCCTTCGGGCCCTTGTTGAAAGGCTCCACGACAAAGCTGGGCTCTGGCAGAATGACGGCCGGCGACATTGTGTGGAGGAGTGGACTTGCGAATTGGCTTTGGCTGGTAGACTGTATGCTTGACTTCGATCCCTCACGCCTCAAAGCAACGGCAGAATGTGTAATATGGCCTTCTGGCCGTTTATGCCGTGCGCTCCTGGCCGAGCAGTTCGATGTGATAATCCGGATAGCAGTAGCCCTGGTCTCTCAGCCGTCAGTGAATGCAAGCCTCCAGCTTGCGGGCGCGAATACCTATCTCTGCGTGGCTTCATTCTCCTATCAGCCGATAACACTGCTACATTGTCTGCTGCACGAGCGTGCAGGCGCTCTGCGATCGTCCTTGCATCTCGGCCGATATGAGCGATAAAGCTAACCATGCACTTCTCGGCCGAGTGCACCATGGAACACACCCACCACTGCAAGATGACCGCCGCTAAACACAGTCATCGTCGAAACTGTTTCTGTACTTTGGTACAGTCTCTGCGCAGAAACGTAACATAAGGCACGAGGGCGTGAACAACCCTTCATCCGACCACGCCAGACACAAGCAACAACCTTAGCATTACGTCGAGTGCATTCTCTACATTGCTTCAGCATGGCAGCAACCAAGTACGCTCAACGAACCATCCCCAAGATCAGCCTTGCAAATTTCGACACCAGAAAAGACACCATCGTCCGCGAGATCTGCTCCGCAGCCGAAAATGTCGGCTTCTTCGCCATCGTCGACCATGGCATCTCCCAACCCGAGATTGACCACATGTTCAAGGCTTCCGAATCCTTCTTCGCGCTGCCAGATGAAGTCAAAGCCACCGTGCCCTGGAACCCGCAAAACGTGGGCTACGAGCACAAAAGCCAAATCCGGCCTTCCACCGGCGCGGCGGATCAGAAGGAATCGTACCAACTCCAGTTCGGAGAGAATATGAAGGGATTGTGGATCGGTGACGAACATCTACCCAGCTTTAAGCCTGACTCTTTGGAATTCATGCATAAAGTGCAGGCCGTTAGCGAGAGGTTGATGGTGTGTTTGGCGAATGGGTTGGGGTTTGAGGACGACTACTTTACCAAAGCGCACGATGTCTCACGGCCAGACTCGCAAAGTACGTTGAGGTTGCTTCACTATTATGCCACGCCGCGGACGAACGACGGCGTGATCAGGCATCGGGCGGGAGCACATGCGGATTGGGTAGGTAGTGTTCTCCTCCCCTAGCAAAAAGACATGCTGACTCGAATGATTGCAGGGTTTCCTTACGCTCCTATTCCAGAAGGAGGGACAGTCCGGTCTTGAGATATGTCCCGGACGGGAGGTCGTTACCGAGTTCGGGCACGGCGATGCATGGACAAAGGTGGAGTTTGGGGAGAATGCCATCATCTGCAACATTGGAGATCTCCTCATGAGCTGGTCGGACGACAGGTTCAAGAGTGAGTGGAACCACACTCGCCAAACCTTACGCTCCGCGGCTAACAGTTCCCAGGCACATTCCACCGTGTCAAAGCACCCTGCGAGCCGGACGATTATTACGGCGAAAGATACAGCATCGCGTAAGCCCATTCTCTCTCTCCAAGAGCACTACGTCAGCAACAAGCTGACCTCAGGATTAGTTTCTTCAACCAACCGCGGAAAGACACTCTCATCCAAGGCCCGAAGGAGAAGTATTCGTTAGTAACCGGTGGCCAGTTCACAGCCAACGCTATGCAGATGTACTATGCGGCGCTAAAGGCGAAGGTGGAGGAGGCTCAACGGCCGGTGGATGTTCTGAAAGATACCATGCCCGCGGCGGGGATAGCGGCTCCTGTTGTACAGACGGTAGCGTAAGAAAAAAACATCGAAAGAAAGCTCAGAGAACGAAGACAGACAGTTTGCGTCGCAGCCCCTCTCCCTCCCGCCATCTTCGCTGCCCTCATCGATCACCGGGCCGAAAGTTTTCGTGTGTGAATGTGTATGTATACACCACAGCTTCCCCTCGCTTCATCTCACCTTACTTCCGCTCTTTAAAATCCCTCTGATGTCGTCCTCCAGTACTCGCTAGCCCCTCAAGCATATATTCGAGCCATGCGAAGAGATCCTGCAATGTCGTGCCTGCCGGAGGTGCCTCTGCGGGCGGCAAGCCGGCGATTGTGTCGTTGCTCGACACCGCCGTTCCAGTCGGTAAGACAGTGGGCAGTGTCTGCGTCAACGCCGTGCTCGGGAGGGCAGAGACGATGCTTTCGAGGGGTACGACGGCGGAGGAGACGGCGGCGAGGAGGGAGGTTGGGACGGTGGCGGTCGTGAGAGTGGTGTGGGAAGAGTGAGTCGTAGTAGGGCTAATGGTAGTGGTGGTGTTGAGCGTGGTGACGACGGTGATGACCGCCGGTGGTGATACCGAGGCTGTTGGCCTGCTCGCAGATACGTGCGAAGATGATGCCGCCGGTAAAGCTGTCGAAGATGGCGTTCCAGACACCCGAATACTTGTCGACGACCACGCATAGCTTCCCACTAACGCGGTCGACGCAGACGCAGACGCAGCGGTAGTCGAACGCGCCACAGACGAAGATCCTGCCGCGGCCGTCGTCGTTGTGGCAGAACTATAAGCAATCGATACCGCAACGCCACCAGAACTAAGCGGCGCATATCCCGTAATAGCCACCTGAGTCTGGCTCATCGCCACAGCGCCACTGTACAAACTCGGACCCGGTATTTCATACGTGCTCAAACTCTGATAGATGTTGATCAGAATCCCAGAGTCATTAGCACCATACAGCTTCTGCCCCAGCGTGCCAGCCGGAGTATCAGTCCCGCTCCCCGTAATTTCCAGGTTGACGCACTGCGGGTAATTCTGCGCCCCGTCCGCCGTGCCCGCAGAGTGTAGCGCGATGATTTCGTGGCGCAAGACGTAGTTGCCCGGTGCGATGGAGGGAGGGATGGTAACGGTCCAGCTGTTGTTGTTGGCGAGGAGTTGATCCGAGCCCCAAGTACCTGGCTCCGTGGTATCGTCGATCAGTCCAACCTGATCGATCTTGAAGAACTCGAGGGTCGTCTTATCGACGTCTGAGCAGGACCCAGGGCATTTGGCGAGGTAGTCAATAACCGGGCCGTGGTGACTGCTCGGCCAGGGCGTCCACTGGGGTTCGACGACGTCGCCGGCGGCGATGCGGGCGGAGGTGCCAGCCGCGGTGGCGTTGCGGTGGCAGATTATGTCCGGATTGGTGTAGTTGCTCGGCGCTATGAAGCCATTGTCCAGGTCTTGTGGGCTGGTGGGAAGCCGTTAGCGTTGCGTGAACAGTCTTGTAACAGGGCAGTCCGCGGACTTACTCGGACCAGCCGATAACGATGGGTGGGATGGGGGAGTATTGGAACGAAGGATCGTAGCCGGTGTAGTAGGTGCCACCAGCGACGATGCCCTGGACATGTCCGTGTGCTGCGACGGAGGCAACCAGCGACGCAAGGATGGCCGCAGACTGGATGACTGACATGTTGGCGTCCGCGATTGACGGAAAGAACGGGGTTATTGTAATGCGGACGTGGAACGATAAGGATGACGGTTAAGGAGCGATGAGTGTCACCAGGACACGGAATGAACGAATGTGAGCGGTTTCTAGACCGGTGAAGTTGCTGCACTGCAGACAAGACGAAGAAAAGATGTCGATCGTTGAGTAAGAGAGTAGCATATTTCGATGGCGTTCCCCCGAGAATAAGTACGAGAAGACTTTACCTATGGCCACCGATGCATTTTCGCTTTCGTATGTCGTTTATAGCGATGTGAAGCGAGTAATACACGTGAGGCAGTTACCTGACATACGACACCGTATCGAGGCGTTTCATCTGTATGAATCGGAGCGCTGCACCAAGCATCCGCCAATGGTTTCCAGGCTTGGCGTCTTGACGTCTCAAGTTGAGCAACGGAGAGAACAACACACAAAGTCACCACCAGAGGTTTCGCATAAATAACCGGTATGATCGCTAAAGGCACTGCCACAGAAGATGAAGAGTACTTTGTCTGCGGTTTCAGCCAGGCTTGGCGGCGGCAGTAAGGTAAGACCGTACTTTGTTCCGATACATTCGCAGTGTCGCCATATTGCGCGAGCGTGATTGATTGCTTGGAGCATGCGCAAGGTGTATCATGTTGGTTGAGCATCATGTCGTCGGAAACTCGCTCCTTGAATTGTTGCGCGCTGTCGTCCGCATCACGTCTGAGCAAGTCTGAAGTATACTCGAGCGACAGATGGTGGAGTCGTGCAGTATCGACAACAATTTATATCGTGCATGACACTGATGGAGGCTGCTATTCGGGAAGCTCACCGGACAATACGCAGCTCAAGCCTCAAACGAAGGCGGAGGGGAGCAGTTGTCACTGCGATTGCGTACGATGAGCTAGTCCAAATGAAGCGTAGAGAACGACGGAGGCTCCACGGCGCGCCAAACCTTGCTGACTTCTCACACCAGCTTTGTCATTCACTTACGAAGCGACGCGGGACCATTCCGTTGTTTGCTGTGAGCTTCCGTCCGAAGTGCTACTCACACATCGATGGAATCCACCGAATGTGACCGGGTAGAACACATCGGCACTCGCAACGTTCTTACGTACGACCGTCCGGCCGGACGTGTTGTAAGCCACCCCAGCTAAATGCGGTGGAACGCTTGGTGATATTGGCCCCGAGCTACCGGGGGTGTGGCGTCACGCCTGGTGCCGAAGTCATGCACCCACCAGGCATGTATATGTGCCTCGTATGCCGCAGGGAGTAGGAGTAGGCTATAAGTTACGTACTCCTCTGTCCATTCCATTCAATCCAATAGTAGTATCGCCATCTACCATCCAGCCTTCTCTTATTCTCTCCAACAACATCTACTCCTGACCTTTGACTCATCCCTCCAATAGACCGGACCATCTCCGACATGTCCTCCCCAATTCAAAAAGTTGCCTTTGCAGGCGCAACCGGCTCACTAGGCCAACCAATCCTTCATCAACTCCTCTCCGCCGGCTTCACTATCACAGCACTGAGCCGCACGGCCAATCCTACCAACCTCCCCTCCTCCGTCAAGATCGCACAAGTAGACTACAACGACCCCTCCTCCCTCCAGTCCGCTCTCACAGGCCAAGACGCTCTTATCAGCACCCTCGGCTCAGCAGGCATCAAATCCCAGATCGCACTCACGGATGCCGCTATATCCGCGGGCGTCCGTCGAATCATCCCGTCCGAGTTTGGGTGCGACAACGATTTACCCCGGAACCGAACGTTACCGGCGTACAAACCTAAGATAGAAGTACAGGATTACATCATCCAGAAGACCAAAGGGACGCGAACGAGCTATACATTCGTCTACAACAACGCCTTTCTAGACTGGGGACTCAAGCCGCCGGGGTTCCTCATGAACGTTGCCGGCAAGTCAGCTGACTTATACGACGGCGGCGACATTGTTTTCACAGCGACTCCACTCGAGATGATCGGACGTGGCGTCGTGGGCGTCCTTCGCAACCCGGAAGAAACTGCTAATCGCAGTGTGCGGGTTCATGGAGCGGGCGTGACAATGAAGCAGATCCTGGCTCTCGCGCAGAAGTATACAGGTGGTGAGGAGGACTGGACGGTAAAGGAGGTCGACTGCGGAGCGATGGAGGAGAAGGCTTATGGGGTTCTGAAGACGGAACCCGGGAATGTGATGGCTTGGATTGTGCCTATGATTCGGCGGGCGGCGTTTGGTAAAGACGTTGGGAATGACTTCACTCACAACAATGACAACGCCGTGTTGGGGGTCAAGGAACTGAGGAAGAAGGAACTGGAGGAGATTGTCAAAGCGGCTTGTTCGTAAACAGGTCGTCATCCATGATTTCATGAACCTTTGGCGGGAAGTTGTGGCACTCCTACAGCATACTCCTAACCCTCAACCCCACCTTCTCTACCCCCGGATTCTCAACCCCATTATAGATATCCCTCTCCACGCTCCTCGCATTCACATGATGCGGTCTCAAATCCGCCACTTTCTCGACCCCCAACAACCGCATCGCCGTCTCCGTCTCCGCCTTGAGAATCTCAAACGTCCTCTCCACACCCTCCACCCCGCCCGCTCCGAGTCCAAAAAGCGGCGCCCGTCCAATTCCAACACCTTTAGCGCCGAGACAGAGCGCTTTGACGACGTCTGTGCCGCGTCTGATCCCGCCGTCGACGAAGACTTCGAGTCGGGACAGGACTTCGGGACAGTATTTCCGTATCTCCAACAGGGTGTGGATGGAGGGAGGCGCGGTATCCATCGCTCTCCCGCCGTGGTTGGAGAGGATGATGCCCTTGACTTGTGGAGCGTGCAGGCTGGCGATGTAAGCGTCTTCGTGTGTTTGTAGACCCTTGAGCACGATTGGGAGGTCGGTGTGTTGGCGTAGCCAAGGGAGGGTGGTCTTCCAAGTCAAATCCGGAGCTGTGCCGGCGAAGAGTGCGCGGCCGACTCCTCCTGCTCCCGCGCTGCCCGCTTCGATGTTCTCTTCCAATCGCATCGTTTTGGCTTGGGGATCGGGTGAGGTGGTGGAAGTGGAACCCTGCTGCAGCGAACTCCGCACGGGCAGATTCCCACTCACACCACCGGCGGCAGCACTCTTCGTCCGCTCATCGTGTTCCCGCTTCCCCGGCACCGGCGCATCGAGCGTCAGACACACAAACTTGATTTGCGGTAATCTCTTGATCCTCTTCAACATCTCCACGCTCTTCTGTCGATCCTGCTGAACATACAATTGCCACCCGAACACCTGTCCCTCTCCCGCACCTTCTACGATCTGCTCGGGAGTCTGACTAGCATTATTCGAGATCACCTGCATGACCCCATACTTCCCACACGCCTGCGCGATCCCGGCTTCGCCTGCGGGATTGCCAAGTCGAGCCATAGCGGCTGGGGAGACGAAAAAGGGAACATTGACGCGGTGAGAGAGCAAGGAGGTGGACGTGTCGCATTTGGTGCAGTCGATGAAGATCCTGGGTCGCATGAGGATGCGGGTGTAGACTGTGTTGTTTAGGGTTTTGCTGGTGAGGTCGTCGGCGGCGGAGTAGTAGTAACCCCATGCTTTTCTGCTTATCTTACGGGTTGCTAGGGCTTCGATGTCGTCGAGGTTTAGACAGTCGGCTAGGGATGTTGGTTGGTCTTCCTCGAGCTCTTTTGCTGGGCTTGGTGTCGCAGTTGTGTTTGTGTGAGAGGTGGTCTCTTCAGGCGTCTTTTCGCTCTTCGGTAAGGTTGTCGTGTCAAAGGGTCCTAGTTTCGCAGACTCGGGGAGGGATGATTCGAGGGTTCCTGGAGGATGGACGGGGTCATATTCTTCCGTTGCGTCGGTGCCGGCGAGTTGGAGGATAATCTTGCTGCCGCCCGGGTGGGAAGGGAGGAAGGAGGTCACGTCGTAGACATTGTTATAAAGAATCACCCAGCAGGAGTCCGCTGAGCGGTGTTGCTGCACTTCGTCGTATGTGTACGTTTTGGCCATTGTATGTACGGTGAATTAATGAAGTGGAAGGAGATGGCAGATTATATCGATCAGGTGACACAGATGCTATATGAGATTTAGACGAAGTCCACAAGTTGCAGCAGGAAAGACGTGCTTGAACGCTGAATGTGATGGAAGTCATCCATTGCAGTGTGGCGGAACCATTGCTCGGCTTCTCGGGCCAATGTTTCGGCGTCTGGAATCTGGATGGCCGCAATAGCCGACAACCCCGGCAGCTCGAACAATTGACCGTAGAGACGCTTCACCAACACCGAACCGTCTCGCCGTGTGAGTGACACAGGCGCAGGTCGACTTGACTCATAACTGACTCATGTATCCTACACTCGTCCCTTTGACCTCGACCGCCACCTCCTCCAAACCATCCACACCACCAATGCCACCAAACTCGCCCTCCCCACCAACGCCACTCCTACAGCTCTTCGCACAATATCGTAATACCTAGCCCGATCAGCTATGACCGGCATAATCGAATCAATAAGAAAGCGAGGCACGAACCCTTCCAACATCGTCGCGACAGCCGCTTTCCTCCCCTTGACATCTCCCACCGCACTTCCAGTCCCTAACCCATGCAAACCCGTCTCATCGGTCCGTCTTTCCTCCTCTGTACCTCCAACCCCAGGTCTCTCTACCAAGACTGTGGAGGCAGAAATACTCTCGCTTGCGGCACCAAAAGCCGGTTTCGCGTCAGGCGAGGTAAGTGTGGTCCCAGCCTGTAATTCCGCCCGCTTGCGCTCCTTAAACCTGTACGTCATCACCCACACAATAAAGCGAACATCTAGTGGTGTGAAAGTAGGGTATGTCCAAAGCGTCAGCGCGTCGTGCGGGGGTAGTAAATCTAGGAAGTCGGAGACGACGCCCAAAGTCAGACCCCAGAGGAGTAAAGGTCCGGGCTTTGGTGGGGTAGGGAATTGGTTGAAGAGGTCTGATGTGTAAATCCGATGCACCAGCGCCGTGTAGCGGGATGACAGCGTCGGTCGAATGTTTCGGTGGCTCTGCGTTTGACTCGGAGCATCAGGAGCAGGCGTCTCTGCGCTATGCAATGACTCCGTCGGCAACAGATCAATAGCAGCGAACAGCATCTTGCCCAAAACGAGACTCAACATCCACTTCCTCACCCCCGTCTCCTGGTTCGCCAGCCTGCTCGAAACGTCCTCAAACGCCACCGTCCTCTGCTCAGGCGCCAGTAGACTGCGCAGGGGAACCCAATGCGTCGCCGCCACCTCCGTAGGCTGCAGCCTCAAAGGCGGAATCTCATGACTCGTAAGTAAGAAAACATACGGACACAACACCATCAACGGCTTCTTGCCCCAATGCGTCGTCACGAGTCGTTGGGGTAGGTTTCCGCACTGTATGGCATGTTGGTTGAGATCTAGTCCGACTTCCTCGAGCGTCTCGCGGATAGCGGCGGCTTGGTCGGAGGGGTCGGCGGGGTCGCGTTTGCCGCCCGGCAAAGCGATGTGGGAAGTCCAGCGGTCGCCCTTGCGCGAGGCGCGTTTGATGAAGAGGAGCTCTGGTTCGCCATGTTGGACCCAAGGGTGGGAGAAGAAGGTGGAGAGGTTGTCGACTTTCTCATTATGTTCAGGCCAGTGGGCGTAGGAGGGTTGAATGCGGATAATGAAGGCAACAGATGCGCGGCGCTTTGTGGTTTCGGGGGATGGAAGCTCTGGATATGGGGATGTAGCAAGTTGGTCCAAGATGGTATGCGTCTGAGAAAGCAGCCTTCGCCGGGTGTCCATCGCTCGGACGTGGACCCCCCAGAATTGCTCCTGATAGGCGGAGATTCGATCCAGTGGTCAACAGTTGAAAGGGAGAGGTGGACAAATTAATGAGACAGTGAAGGAGAGGAAGAAGTAGACTTAGCCTGATGAGCGTGTCACGGTGTTTATGGCTGAATTGCTTTGTGGAAGTTGACGGTTAATGGTAGACTGAGGGAGGGTAGTATAGATTCAACGCCGAGTCATGCATCGGCTGACGGCTCGGTCCATGCTGCAGCTGCAGGCACGTTTTGCTGCAGCCAATGGCGCGTTGACGAGCTCTGAGAATGGAGCTGCAGAAAGAGAGTTTCATGAAGCTCTTTCCTTACCTCAATTGTCCCTTCCTTTCTCGTCAGCAAAGTTCGTTGCACCTCAATTTGGTACGTAAACAATGCGTTTCGGACGCACGCTACAGGTGTCAGCCTACGGACCATGGCGGGACAAGTACATCGACTACGCCAAGCTGAAAAAGCTATTGCGAGATGATGATTCGGCGCCGAGCTCGCCTTCTACCGCAGAACCGGCGAACGACAAGTGGACGGATGAGGATGAGAGCCGCTTCGTAGACGAGCTGGTCAATGTACAGCTCGAAAAGGTGCATGCCTTCCACAAGGAGACGTTAGGAAAGCTGCGGGATCGCACGGCCAAGTGTGAGGCTCGTCTCGATACCGTTGCCGTTGCGGGCGTGCAAGGGCAAGCTCAAGCTACGGCCGGAGCCGATGACAACAGAGAGAGTGGCGGGGCTAATGCTAATGGCGACGGCAACGACAACGGGAAGAAGTCGGTACCGAGCGAGCAGGAACAGAAGTCGATTCTGAAGGAGGTCCTGTCAGAGCTTGACAATATCACCGAGGAGACGAAAGAACTGGAGAAGTACAGTCGCATCAACTACACCGGCTTCTTGAAAGCTGCCAAGAAGCATGACCGGAAACGAGGTGCTTCTTACCGAGTCCGACCGCTACTACAGGTCCGCTTAGCTGCGCTCCCCTTCAACAAAGAGGACTACAGTCCGCTGCTCTACCGCCTAAGCGCCATGTATAGCTTCATCCGGCAACACCTGGACGGGGCTGAGGCTCGACACGCCAGCATGAGCGAGACGAAGGAGGGCCAAGACGAGTACGTTAGCCACAAGTTCTGGGTGCATCCGGAGAATCTACTCGAAGTTAAGACGTTGATCCTCCGCCGCCTGCCCGTACTGGTGTACAACCCTCAAACCTCCAAGATCGTAGAGGGCAGTCAACCGGATCCGTCAATCACCAGTATCTACTTCGACAACCCGGCCTTCTCCCTCTACTCGCGTAAGGTCGACCACGGCGAAGCCTCATCCCTGCGTTTGCGTTGGTATGGCCAACTAAACAGCAGGCCGGAGATCTGGATCGAGAAGAAGACTGTCAAGGAAGACGACACGAGCAGCGAGTCCCGCATCACCACAAAGGACAAGTACGTGCAACGCTTCATCCGCGGTGAGTATAACATGGAGAAGCAGATCCAGAAGCTCTCGGATCGCGCTGGCGCCGACAGCGAGGATGTCAAGTCTTACAAAGCCTCCGTGGAAGAGATCCAGAGCTTCATCAAAGACCAGAACCTTCAACCCGTGCTGCGAGCAAACTACACCCGCACCGCTTTCCAAATCCCCGGCGATGACCGTGTCCGGATCAGCCTCGATACCGATCTCGCCTTCATCCGTGAAGACGCGCTCGACGACAGCAGACCGTGCCGCGACCCGGACGCGTGGCACCGTACAGACATCGACAACAACGAGCTCGAATACCCCTTCTCCTCCATCCGCAAAGGCGAGATCAACCGCTTTCCCTTCGCTTTACTCGAGATTAAAGTCCGTCGCTCAGGCAAGCAGAGCCCTTGGATCGAAGAAGTCATGCATTCGCACCTCGTCAAAGAGGCGCCACGCTTCAGCAAGTTTGTGCACGGCGTCGCGGAACTGTTCGAAGACTATGTCAACACTTTTCCCTTCTGGCTGTCGATGGTGGAGACAGACATCCGCCGTGATCCGCGAGAAGCATTCGAAGAGGAGCAGGCGAAGAAGCAGAAAGAACGAGACGATGAATTCGCGGTCGGCAGTCTGCTCAAATCGAAACCGAGTTTCAGTCCGCTGCAGCAAGGGCAGAAGCAAGTTATCAGTCCCGCTGGCTCCCCAGCATTGGCAGAACAAGTGAAGAAAAGCCCCCGTGGTCCCGATGGGAAGTCTACCGACGGACTTGGCACGGTCGCAGCAACAGAACAAACCCAAATGAACGAAACAGCCGAAGAACCCGACGAAGACGAAACCGGCGTCACACAACCCAGCACCACCTCTGCAGCGGGAAGAGGCAGACTGAAAACCCTCCTTCCCTCCTCATTCAGCACAAGCAAATACGCCCGCTCCCGCCGCACCCCACTGCCCCCGGGCGTGACGAAACCAGACCACTGGATCAAAGACGCCGGTCCCGTGAAAGTCGAAGCGAAAGTCTGGCTCGCGAACCAAAGGACTTTTATCAAATGGCAGCACGTGGCCATCCTGCTCGCTTCACTTTCCGTGGGACTTTACAATGCGGCGGGGCAAGATAACACGGTCGCCCGAGCGCTGGCGGTGGTGTATACGGCTTTGGCGGTGCTGACGGCGGCGTGGGGGTATGGGATTTACATGTGGCGGTGTGCTTTGATTGAGAGGAGAAGTGGGAAGGATTTCGATGCGGTTTTGGGACCAGTGGGGGTTTGTTTGGGGCTTGTGGTGGCGTTGGTGTTGAACTTTGCTTTCAAGGTACGTTCTACGAGGAGTGTTTGAGGGTTTAGGAGGGGTGGTTGTGATGTGACTGACTGTTGGGTGCTGTATCAAGCTGTTTTGCGGGATCGGAACCCGGAGCAGCAGGTCGTAGCTGCCGCTGCGATGAACCGGACGTCGGGTTGGACGCATATGGGCGAGCTGAGATGATGCAAGTCGCGACTGATTGTAAAGTGGTTTAGAAACGGCTGGGTCGGTATGTAAAACCTGTATAGATGCAACATACTGATCGTCGTGTTGTCGGCGCATGAGGGGTTTCAAGGTCCCTACAGATTTGCCAAGACTCTGGCTTGCATGGACAAAGTGGCTTCCTTGGGGTGCAGGAGATGTGGCTGGCTGAAGACACTCCCATCTCGGCACGGTAGCTACTTTCATGGCTGCACATCACGCCACCTCTGCTGGGGTGGATGGTAAGCCTATCATACATTGAACACTATCTCAGGACTGCGTTGGTTACTTTTAGCTAAAGCTTCTCACGTGCAATTATGGTACGTCCTTAGTTGTGACCATGGCGACCTACCAGATCCAAATCGCCAACAGGAGCGGTACGATGCAAGAATATGTCATTCTTCACGAACCGCCGGAGGTGGCCCTCTTCACGGACACGAATACCACTACGCCCGTTGCCGCTTTCTCACTACCATGGATCAAGAGTTCTGCCATACCTGTGAATGGCATGCTGCAAGTTGATCTACCAGCACACCATCATGCAGTCTGCGGTACGCTGTCCGGCAAGAAGCTTGCAGCCGGCGTGGTAGTGACACAGACCGATGACATCGAGGTCTTCCTTGCCACCGACGATGACCCGGGCTCCAGAGCGAAGTGTGATTTGGATGACGCTGGGAAGCCGGAGATGTATGATCGGGAGCCGGATGATGGGGTCAGGGATGGTGCGTTTGGTATTGAGATGAAGCCGTATGATGGCGACAAGAACTGTGAGTTCATCGCTCCTGATTGTGTGTGTGAAGGTGGAAGTGGCACCGCTCACTTACCATGATAGCGTACATCTGGCTTGGATATGGAAAGAAGGATCTCACCACAGGCGTGATCGTGCCGATGGCCAGCTGGCCTTCCACTCCTGACGCTGTATTCGGAGTCACACCTAGTCTGAGTAGGTGGCGGGTAGGTACTGGTCAGTATGGAGTGGGACAGGCTGTTGGCGGGGCGTTGTTAAGTAGCTTTGCCTTGATTGACTTTGCGACGGCGCCTGATGGTCAGACTGTCGCTGGTGTTATGCAGGGCACGGACGGGATATTTAGGACGACGTTCCAGGCGCTTTCTGCTAGTAAAGATTGATGGCGTCGCAAGTGTTATGCTATTTGCTTTGACCACCCGCAGGAATAAGGCTTGGTATAACGATTGTACTCGTTGTACGCGAGAGCATTTCGAATCGCGTAAGACTTGGATTCAGCGGGCGGAAATCCATACAACAAGCTCTTCCGTCAATAGGCAGGAGGAGGTGAAATGGTCAAATCACCTACACCGACTCAGAATCGTGCATTGTATACAATCAGATTCGGGCTGTCCGCACTAACTGCAGCCACTCAACTTCAATGTTCTGGGCCGGGCTTCCAGCGCCACCACCTGCGCAGCCTTATTTGCTCGCTGTCCACCCCTACCATGTTCGATATGCCGAGCTGGCGCGAGGCTCCCATCACACCACTACTGCAGCATGGCTTGTTTGCCTTGTCTGACTCTTGGTCTAGCTTATCTGCACGACCACATATGCCTACTCCAATCACGGATCTGGCCAAGCCTACATGGAGACCTGGGTCCTGCGGTTCTGCAAGCCCACTGACGCTAGGCTTCAATTATGCCCTTCAGATCGATTATGTCTTTGGAGTTCTCAACATAGCTATGTCTATAACGGTCTCGTATTGACTGCCTCCCTCCAGAATTTGCCAAAATTCTAACCTTGCATTTTGGTACCGGACTCAGCTCGTCGTGCAAGCACTGCAATAAACATGAGCAGCCAGGTTCGCAGGAAGCCACTCCCGTCCTCTTCGTCCGCCGAAATCCACCTCCTCCCCACCCCACTTGGAACGCAGATTGCAAGAGTAGCCAACGACCGCATAGTTCCATCCACTCCCACTTCCCCTCGCCGCCCCCGTTGCCATCACTCCTTGCCCAAAGGTAGAATTCCCCGCGGTCCGCGCAGCGCACAACGCCGGACTGAATCGCCTCATGGTCGAGCGTGGTGTCTCCCGCTACTGGCGCTACGCCCACGTTGACGGCGAAAAACTGCCTGTCAATATACACGAGCTCCCTGCGGCGTCCCAAGTCACGGTTGCGATCCTAACATGCGGGCTATCGCTCTGCTTCAGTACCCCTGCACCTCCTCCCGCCGCCAATTCTTCCGCAGCAACCTCCGACAGGCAACGAGGCTACTGCTACTACCTTGTCCCTGAGGTCCCATGCAATGGACGAGAAATGCACGAAGACTTTGGGCATCAGTATATGATGAGTAACTATGGAGCGGGCACGGTGGCTCAAGATTGTTTCTGGCTTATGGGGACGGGGAAGAAGAGTGTTGCGCCCGGTGGCGCGTGGGCTGGCATGCCTGGAGGCACTGCCGTGGAGATTAGCTGGGGCTGGATCTGAGTCTATACCTATGCGGAGACTTCAGCGGTGCAGAAGGTCCAACATGGTGTAACGATGAAGACGACTGTAGATGTTGCGCGGGAGAGGATGATGCATGTTGAGAGGGAGACTTTGCAAGCCTTGGCTGTTGGAGGTTTCAGAGGTTACGCGGTAGCCGTATGGCCTCCTGCCATAGTCAATGGTGTTGTTATTGCTTAGTCTCTCATAATGTCAGAACACCTCTCCTTCTGAGCTCGAGAATCTCGAGACCTTGAGACATTGAGGCATAAGTTAAGCAGCAATTCTGACGCAAATGTACACCAATATAAGGTAAACTAGCCTGCCGGTTGCTCGGCTCGGCTCTCGGCAGGGACTCCAGAAGGCGGATCGGTTCCGCGAAGCAGATGTGGTGCACAAGTTTTTGGTGCAGCACACGACAACCCAGCTCAACATTCGCCGCCGCCGCCACCACCAGCGCCGACGCTGAAGAGCGCACGAACCCTCTCCAAATTACCCAACATGGCCTCCGATGAGATCGTCTGGCACATCGTACGCAACGCACCCTACTCCCACACAAAAGTCCCTCTCTAACAAACATCTCAGATAAACCAACAATTCTGCTCCTTCAAACTCAAACTCCCCGGCAATGCCTCCACCGTCCAAACCTCGACCAAATCCAACTTCTGCCGCAACGAACACAACGTCACCGGCCTTTGCAACCGTCAATCCTGCCCCCTCGCTAACTCCCAATACGCCACCGTGCGCTCCGACCCGGCCACGCAACGGCTGTACCTCTACATCAAGACGGTCGAGCGCTGTCACTTACCGTCGCGAATGTGGGAGAAGGTGAGGCTGAGTAGCAATTACACTAAAGCGCTACAACAAGTGGATGAAAGATTAGTGTATTGGCCAAGGTTCTTGATGCATAAGTGTAAACAGCGACTTACACGACTTACGCAAGTGAGAGTGCGAGCGCAGAGGTTGGCGAGGGAGGAGGAGAGGTTGGGGGAGAAGTTGGTGAGTCGGCTTGCGCCGAAGGTTAGACGGAGGGAGGAGGTGAGGGAGCGCAAGGCGGAGGCCGCGGCGAAGATCGAGAGGGCGATCGAGAGGGAGTTGGTTGAGCGGTTGAGGAGTGGCGCTTATGGGGATCGACCGCTGAATGTGGAGGAGAGGGTTTGGGAGAGGGTTATGGCGGAGATGGAGAGGGGAGGGGAGGGGGAGAGGGATGTGGAGGTCGATGATGGCGTGCTTGAGGAGGAGTATGAGAAGGAGTACGAGACTGAGCGGGTGCCAGGGGAGGCAGAGGCGGAGGTGGAATATGTGAGTGATATTGATGAGTCGGACGATGAGGCGGGCGATATGGAGGAGTTTGATGATTGGTTGGGCGGGCGGAGTGGGGATGAGGAGGAAGCTGGTGATGAGGATGACGACGGTAGTGAAGAAGAAGAAGAAGAAGAAGAAGAAGAAGAAGATGCTGAGGAGGATGCGGAGGGAGAAGATGCAGCGCTGAAAAAGAAGCTGGACAGTCTCAAGCGGAAACGGCCGAGCGCTCCACCACCCAAGGCGCGGAAGAAGCCGTCCAAGGGTCCGAAGATGGGTATCGAGTACGAGTATGTGCCGGACGTGCCATTGCGGCAGATGGAGCTGGCGCGATAGTAGCTGGCAACATCGAACATCAGACTCTTTTCTTGGGTTGCACAATTCCTGCGCCAAGAATGCCTCTCAGACACACAGCGGTCAAACCGGAGTCGCGTTTGATGGTTGCTCAGCTCCCAATTAGCCCCGGTATTTGCTCCTTGATAAACTCCACGACTGCATCAGGTCCCTGCTGGACTTGCAGGCCCTGCGGTAACGCCAAGGTCTTGCAATTGGGATTCACTGCCTTTGCCTCTGCTAGGACTTTGGAGCTCTGTTCGGGTGACCACATTGAGGCTGTGAACTATTCGCTATGTCAGCATGACATATACAGAGCAGGTGTCTTGGGGCGTGAACGCACAACTATATCCGGTTTGATCTGCTCGAACACACTTTTTGCTGCTTCGGGACCTTTGCCGATGAAGTCGAGTCAGTGATCAAGGCAGAGGCAGTAGGACCGTAAGAATCAGTTAGGGCTCACTCTCGGCATTGCCGGCATGTATGATGGTGTATTTGTCCTTGACGTCTTCCACTATCCGACCGACCAGACGGTATGCACGCTCGGGTGCGTTGTTGACTGTTACGAGTTTGTAGGGTCCTTGGGGCATCTTGAGTGGAGTGCTCTGATGGTGGCTCACTATGCAAAGCAAGAGGAAGACAAACACTACTATCTCTCGGTAACAGGAGCGGACTGGCTGGTGTTGTCTACCATTCAGCTATCATGTATATTACTTTGAGCAGCACCGACACCGGCTTCCTGGTGAGGATGGATCGAGCGAGCGGCAATCAGCGCGGCAGAATCTTGATCCACGGCCATGAGGGCGGTGGGATACCGTAACGCGTTGCCATTAGTGTTGGGTCATGCCATTATATCACTACGCCTGAAGCCGTCCGAGTTGGATAGGACGTCAGTCTATGGAGCGTCTGGTGTTTAGTACAGGAAGCAAAGATAAAGTCCCGCCACACCATTGCAGATGCCGTGCACAGCGGTTAATCTGGTGTGGCGCAGCCTGTGCTCTAACCGTATGCGCCACAGCATGCTCCACGTCACATGAACTGGACCTCTTAGTGACTCTCACGTATTTACCATATTCTATCACGAACATCGAATATAGAAGATCTCTGGCATGCAAGCTGACAGCCATGTAATGGATTGGATAAGGCAGCAGTAATATGTACTTGCAATAAACGCGCCGTTCTAGGTGCAGCATCAATCATGCTGCAACGCCGCTTGCTACTCCAACGACCATGCTTGCGGTCACTGCCCGTTCCACGGTTGCACCAACGGAGCCGTCTTCGCCAGGTCCGCCATGCAACGGCAGAGGCTGGCGAGAATGAATCCGGGCATATTGCCACAACCCCAAACGAAGGGATCCTCTTCTTCAACAACCTTCTCCCCCTCAGCATACCCTTTATGAGACTTCTACCCTTCGTACTACGCTCGAACAAGTCGTCAATCCTCCAGGACGCCGACAAGTGGATGCGTGTCGGCGCACTGTCACCCACGAAGGTCCTCGACGATGCCGTCAAGGATAGCAAGCTCGGTCTTGGCAAAGTCAGTGTCGTTGAGATCCTGCCACGGTTACGGGAAGCTGGCGCTTTTCTCAAGTTCCAACACCAAGAACAGGATGATCCCGCGACTGTTGCGGAAGCCGTGCGGCAGTATCTCCGAGCGCATCCTACCAGGCCTTGGTGGAACCCCTTCGACCCCGTAAGGGCAGGGCTCGTGGTGGGAAAGCCATGGGTCGAAGACCTTTTCCGCCTTCCGTCGAAACGGCTGAAAGTGGAGTTCCTGCCTACGGCCCCCGGCGCAGAAGTCGCAGAGCTCAACCAAGAGCAGCTGTACGCCTTCTTCCGGCCTTATGGCAAGCTTGCGGATATTGTGGTGCAGCCATCCGATTCGAAGATCATGCCACGGTTTGCCTATCTGGACTATTCACAAGTTGGTAAAGCGATCATGGCTAAGAACTGTCTTCATGGTTTTACTGTTCCTGAGCCCCAGGGAGGCGGCAAGCTTGGCACCATCTTTCGCATAACGTACGAGAAGCGGCGGCAAGGAGGCTGGATATGGGACTGGATTACGAATCACCCTAGGATTGTCTTTCCGATCGTCGTCGCTCTGGTTGCTGGTATCTCGGTCACCATCTTCGACCCTATTAGGACGCTCAGTATCAAGGCGCATATCACGCATTCATTCCATATTGAGGACAATGTCATCTTCCGCTGGTTCAAGACGCAAAGCGAGGATCTCCTTAAGAAGGTTAGAGAGCTGCGCCATGGTGTTGATGAGAGCGAAGCAGGCATGCAGGTGGTGTGGGACGACCGCAAGGCCGACATCGAGCAGATCCAGTCGTGGCTCATGGAGACGGCTGATACATTCATCGTAGTCCAGGGCCCGCGCGGAAGCGGTAAAAGAGAACTCGTCATCGACCACGCACTGCAGCGCAAGCAGGCGGCCCATCGCGTGCTCGTAGTCGACTGTAAACCGGTCCAGGAAGCCCGCGGCGACGGCCCCACTATCGCGGCCGCAGCGTCGCAGGTTGGATATTGGCCCGTGTTCTCGTGGATGAACAGCTTGAATGGGATGCTAGATCTGGCTGCGCAAGGCCTGACGGGTGTCAAGGCCGGCTTCTCGGAGACACTTGACACGCAATTGTCGAAGATCTGGAACAGTACCGCCGTGGCGCTGAAAAGCATCGCGCTCGAAGGACGCAAGAAGGACGACAAAGACGCCAATCTAAGCGACGACGAGTATCTCGAAGCCCACCCTGAACGGCGTCCTGTTGTAGTCATCGACAACTTCCTCCACAAATCCTCCGACGCAGGCGCCGGGCTTGTGTACGACAAACTCGCCGAATGGGCCGCCCGCCTGACCACCACCAATGTCGCCCACGTCATCTTCCTCACCAACGACCTTTCCTACAGCAAGTCCCTTGGCCGCGCCCTACCGGACCGCGTTTTCCGTCAGATCACACTCCGTGACTGCTCGCTCGAAACGGCAAAACGCTACGTAATCCACCATCTCGATTTCGACAAAGCCGAAGACCGACCCACGCAAGACGAATCTGACGAAGCGCGCAAACTCACCCCGAGCCAGAAACGCAAGGACCTGGCCGAGCTCGACCACGTCATCCCACTTCTAGGCGGTCGATTAACGGACCTTGAGTTCCTCGCCCGTCGCATCAAAGCCGGTGAGACACCTACAAAAGCCGTCCACGAAATCATCGAGCAATCCGCCAGCGAGATTCTGAAAATGTACCTTCTCTCCGGCGGCGGCAGCGGCAGCAGCGGGGAAACGCGGGAATGGAGTATCCCGCAAGCCTGGACGTTGATCCGCAGTCTCGCCGCGAGCGAAACACTACGCTACAACGAGATGTTACTCCTGGATGCGTACAAATCCGCCGGCGATCGAGCGTTGGCGGCGCTGGAGCAAGCGGAGCTCATCACCGTGCAGTCGCTTAATGGGCGACCGTGCAGTATTGGGCCCGGTAAACCGGTGTATCGGCCCGCGTTTCAACGGTTGGTGGATGATAAGGTGCTGGCGGCGAAGATGGACCTGGCGGTCTTGGGGGAGAGTATTGGCAACGAGAATAAGTCGATTGACGGGTATGAGCGGGAGTTGCATTTATTGGGCGAGCTGCCGAAGCAGCCGGGCGAGCTGAGGGGGAGGGTGCAGTGGTTGTTGGGGAAGATCGAGGCGTGTCAGGGGAAGATCGAGGGGTATGAGAAGGAGAGCGCTGGGTTGAAGAAGATTCTGGTTAGCGAGTATTGAGTGTCATTGGTGGAGAGGGAGGCAGAACAGGTGGACTGGGCTGAGAGCGTTCTTTGGTTAGGACTGACTGTTGTCGCATTTTGTAGGATAGATTTGGGATGATACCACTCAGCGATGCATTGTATTTCTGCTTCGACCTACAGCCCTTGCTCATGACTTGTGTCAAGATGATGAATGATAGCAATGGTTCATACGTACTACAGTCGGAAAGAATGTCGGGGCAGGCATAGGACGGCCTGCACATGGCGTGCACAGGAACATGTTGAAAGCGCCGACTATACTTTCAACAAAGTTAGGAGTGCGGAGTTCGTGGTAGGAATGATGTGTTACAGTCTGTTGTTACACAGTGTGGCTCTTGGTGGAGAATCTACCATAGAATCTCCGCAGGCTAGCCTGCAGATGCCATACCCTTCCCAACCCTTAAGCAGCGCTACTGCACAACTAGCATGGAGTTGCTGGTCCAAATACCGTTGCTAGTCGCCTGCTGGAGGTTGGTGATGTAAACGACCTTGCTGGTGCTGTTGCAAGTGACAACACCCGTCTGGCCGTGAGACGGTGCTGACCACCATGATGAAGGCGACGACCGCCATGAGGAAGGCCACGACCAACCTGACCAGCCGGCTCGTCCGGAGGATCCCGTAGAACCTGTAGAAACATTGTGTGGACACGACGAGACGCCGGCGATGGTCACATTTGCCAAGGGCAGATTGTCGTTGTAGTTGCCGGAAACGGTGATGTTGAGCACGTTGTTAGCGAAGGCGAGCTGTTCGTCACGTCAGTTGAGGCGGCTTCCGAGTGAATCTAAACACAAAGCTTACCTCGACGTTCTTCGTGGCGTTTGGCATCAGGCTGATTCCGTCGTCGAGATACAGCTCGCCGCTAGCCTTGCCGCTGCTGTCGAGCGCTACGAGCAGACTCCAGGGCATTTGGCGAGAAGTCTTTGTGGTGTTTCCAGCTTTCTGCATGGGGATGATATAACCTACAAGTAACGCCAAATGATCAGCAACGCTATATGCCGGGACAACAAACGAATGCGTACCTCCGCGCACATGGATCGGTTGATGCTCAAGTGGCGCATCAAGCGTCTTATTCTCGCCTGCCGAGACATTCACCTTCTCCAGCGTGTACCAGTCATACCAGATCGTTCCGTTGGCCACCCCCGGGAAGACACCTTGCACGCTCGTGGCAAGTGGTGCTAGCACTGGCGTAACCAGCAAAGCCGGGCCGGACATGAACTGCGTCTCCACCGCCTTCAGTGAGGGATCGTTCGGGAACTCCCACGGTAGCGCGCGTAGTACAGTCTGGCCGGCGACGTTAGCTTGGTGGAAGAGAGTGTAAGTATATGGAAGTAGGCTATAGCGGATATTCATGATACGGCGGGTAGCTTCTGCCGTTGTAGCCCACCGGTAGGCCTCCTGTGCAATGGTGTTGCGGCTGTTGTGATTGCGATACATCGGATACCAGGCACTCAGCTGCATCCACCGGGTGCAAAGCTCCATATCGGCATTGCCGTTGAAGCCGCAAGTCTCGACTCCGAAGTACGGAATGCCGGCAATGGAGAATTGCAGCGCTTGTGAAATGCCAAAGTACATATTGCCCCACATGGAGTTCGTGTCGCCTCCCCAGTGACCAGTGAAGTTGCCGCTTCCAGCGAATGTTGATCGGTTGATGAAGAATGGTCTCTTGCCGGGATAGACCTGCTTTAGAGCGTTGTACGTAGCATTGCCGCTGGTGTGACCATACAGATTGTGCAGCTCGTACTCGGTACTGTTGTACGGCCCATCGTTGTGGGTCGCATTTGGCGCAATTACTTGTTTCAGCAAGCTGTGGCCGGCAAGGAAGTTGTTGATGGCGTACGGTGGGAATGTGAGGTTCCGCACACCTGGCGTCGGAACAGTACGTCCCACCGTAGGAGTAGGCGTCGCAGATGGCGTCGGATACATGAGCGACTGCGACATCAGGGCTGAGCTTGCCGATGCTGCTTCGGTTGCATTAGTGACGTTGAAGAACTCCGGATAGCGATAATCGACAGCAACGCTGGTATTCGGATCGCCAGGGAGCGCAAAAGGCACGTGTATGGGGTTCTCTCCGACAAGGCCCTGCCCACAGCTGCCAGTGCAGAAGGACACGGCATCGTTGACGTCGAGCCAGAAGCCATCAAAGGAGACGTTTTGATGATAAGCAAGGATCTGCTGGGTCCAGAATTGCTGCGTTTGCGGAACGATAAAGTCTGGGAAGACGCTGAAGCCTGGCCACTCGACTCCAATGTAAAAGCTGTCATTACCGTTGCGTATATACGCGTTGACGGCGGCGCCCGCATCGTAGGTCGGGTAAGCGTCAGAGGCGTTTGCTGGGTTCGGGACGTAGATGTTCGGGTCAAGAATAGGCATGTAGTACTGTCCGTTCGCGTGGAGTTGATCCAGGAAGACCTTCCCAGGTGCTACATCGTAATGCCCAGGGTTGTTGGTGAAGTCTCGGTTCATCTTCAAGTAGTCTAGATCGTTCATGATGCCTTCAAGCTGAATGTTTTGGGCAGCATATGCATCGACAACATCCTGCAAGTTCGACCAATTTTGGTACGACCAGCGAACTTGGTGGAAGCCCAGGTGCCAATATGCAGGTAGATACGGTGTGTTCACAACACCGGTCTGATACTGGCTAATAACCTCTTTGGGAGTCGAGCCGGAGAGAAAGTACAAGTCGAAGCTGCCACCTATGGTGCGGTAAGTGATGCTTGTGTTGCGCATTAGCCATTCCTGACCGTGCGCGTTCCGCGCGTATACACCATGGGAGAGGGATTCACTGTTGCTGCTGTTGCCATACCGTGTCTCGAGATACACCGGATGAACACTGTGGCCGTTGACATCTAACTCCTGATCATTCTCGAGATTGTATGCGTTCCAGAAGGTCTGCGTGAAGTTGTTCGGAATGCGGAAGCCACGAAGGTTCTCCGCCAGACCGTAGATGTTGTAGTTCGGCACCATGGAAGTGACCAACTCCAAGAATTGATCCTCGAATACGATTTTGCTGCCATACGTGCTGAAAATGACATCCCCGGTACTCACTCGGGAGACCTGGAACTGGAAGCTTGGCGAATTGGTCCAGGTAAACGCGAGGTCACTGTTAGCCTTGCTGGCGCCCAGCTCCAGAGCTGGCTGCGGTGTAAGTGTTGGAGACAGGATATACAAAGATTGATTGCCGGGCACAAGGTACTTCGGGAAGATCTTGACAGAAAGACGTTCCTTACTCTGGTATTGAACGGACAAGGTGAGGTCGCGGACATCGTTTCCATAAGCATTGCAAGCAGGCCCGGCGAGCGTCAAATCTGCGGTTAAGCCGGAAGATCCGTTCTGCACATTAGACGCCGTGTAGCCGGGACAGATCGACTGCGCGTTCGGAGCAGTGAGATCCATGACAGTCGGCATCACACTTGGCGCGTAGTTGATAGACGAAGGCAAGATCGGAGTAGGCGGGAATGCAGGCGGATACTGAGGCTGTTGACCTGCAGAGAGGTTAGTCCAGAAGACAGTGTGCTGACAGGCTACAGCCTCAAAGTACCTGCAACCACAGCGGACAATGCCATGCATATCGCCGTCGTTAGTAACATCTTGGGTTGATTGCGCTCGATTAGCGCGTTGGCGAACAATGAGATGCACGGAGATCAGACCGTACCATTAGCAGCCAGCAGGTCGAGTCGCTGGAACGGCTCTTATATCGATCGCAAACAGCATTTAAGCCTTCACGTCATTCCATGAGTCTGCAAGTTCTATGCACAGTCCGTGATTCCGGAAGCTTGTCCCGCATGATGTCCAGGAGTGGACGTCCATGATTTGTGTACGCCAAGAAGATTTGCATGATGAGCGTTCATACTCCCGCATGCCGTCAATTGAGGACGGTCGAAGCAAAGGCTTTACCACCGCGTGCGAAGCGGAGACGCACTTTCGGCAGCCTTGCTGTACGTACTGCTGCTATGCACGCTCGGCAACACTGAAACACAGGTCAGAAGTAAAGATGGGGAGGCGGAGATCGTGAGATCGGCTAAAGTCTGTTGACATGCTCCATCTTCGCGGGGCATGATCGACAGGGCTGGGGAACCAAATGCGGAGGTGTCCTATGCTTCCGGATTCCCCAGAACGGAGTGCCATCGAACTCTGACACACCCATCGTGAAAGGGCCAAACATTTGGGTCTGTTGGAGGCCTTGCTCATCAGTGCTCGCAGAAGTTGAATGTGTCCTCAGCCAACACATTATCCAACTCATCAGCAATCCTACCACGCTCCGCCATCAGTGCCTCCCGTGTCTCGCACGCCTTCTCCCAACTCACCGGGAAGTCATCAACCACATTGACGATACGATCGAACAGCTCCACAGGTAGGGAAGCAAGCGGTTCAATCTTCCTGACTTCCTCCGCCCACCAGTCGCGCCGCTGAGGGGGCACGTTCGCAGTCGACAGTATCTTGATGTGAGGGTCAACCAGAAACATCGCCAGAATCTTGCGGTGTCCTGGCTTTGACGTATCTTGTAGGCCAAACTGACCGACTCGATGCTGTAGCACGTTCGGGAATGCTAGCCAGCGCCCCGGTCGTGTTAGTACCTTGCCGAGCTGCTGAAGAGCAGGCCCCTCCTGTTGGACTCCCCAAATTCTTACCGCAGCCTCCCATTCATTCTGCACTGGCACTCCAGCCAGTTCTGCAGCGTCTACCTGTTGGCGAAAATCAAGGTAGTTGTCGGTGATGTTTTGGCTGTCGTAGTAGAAGAGTGCAGTGGCGGCTATGTGCTCGTTGAGCGCACCCTCCACATGCCATCTACTGCCACTGTATACAGCGTTGTCGGGTGTGAGGTGAATGTTTGCCAGCTTAAAGATGATCTGCAAGCCATCGGGAAAGTCCTTGTGAAGCTCCAGACGTTGTCGACCAGCGTCCCTGAGGCGCTGCTCGAAGGAAACGTACGGATGCTTGGGAGAAGGATGGATTATCTGAGCATGGTCCGCATTCTCCTGGATCCAGTCATGCAGCCGATCAGTCACTGCCCACTCTCGTTCCCTCTCGTCCAGACCTTCGTCCTCGTCCTCGCCGTCGGAATTGACGGCATGCATGGCCTCCTCGGGCGCGATAAAGTCTGGATAGCCACATTCCTCAACGTGTATTCGCAAGCGGTCTGTGAACAGCGACAAACAGTCTTCCCAAAGCGGCACCGCCTTCTCCACAGCTCGCTCAAGCACCGTATACAGATCTGGGTGGCGGGCGTAATGAAGATTATTAATATAGCTCGTGATGCTCGCCTTGCCGGTACCGTCAAGATGGACTTCCGAGGGGAGCCACTGATAGCGACCCCATGGTGCAAGTGACCCAGCATTGTCCCACGATATCGTTCTCTCTATGGCTACCCCACCTTCGAGTGCTGAAGGTACGGGACAGACCTCGCCTAGACCGATATACTGTTCGGCGCTTTCGAGCGGCACGATACCGGTCTTCCAGACTCGCGACAAGCCGTAAGTCAGTGGGAATAGCGAGGGATGGAGAAGATCAAGCACTTGATGGTCGGACCCAGGGTGCCAGTCCTTCAAGCGGTCCGGGACGGTCTCTAATGGAGCCACCGCTTTCTGCAAGGCTGCACGAAGTGGATCGAAAGGGTCAACGTCTGCTTTCACGATAGTTGCACCAACATCCAGTACATGGACAAGGTCACGCTTCTCTTGATAGCTCGCTTTGTCTCGAAGCTCTTGTAAGCACTACGCGACCTAAAGTTAGCCTAGCAAATCCCGGTTTATTGGATCTCAAGTCCAACGCACATAGTCGAAGCATGCAACGCTAAGGTGACCTTCAGACGTATACTGTTGCTCCCGGTTACCACAGGCTTCGCTCCGCCATCTTGCCACTATGTCCTCGTTGTGAATCTTCTCCCACCAGGAAGGCTTATCGGTGATTTGGTTGATGAAGTCAAGCATTCGCTGCTCACGAATCGTGACACCACGCGTAGCGAAGAAATCAGCAATTGCATGGGGAAAGCGCTCGTGGTTGGAATCGTCCCTGTTCCATGGTGGCAATTGGTCCAAAGGAAGGCCGAAGCCCGGTCTTTGGAGAATCATAGAACGGTACAGGGCTTGAGAAAATATTAGGTGTTGACGCAGACCATGCAGCACGCTTGACACACAAATTCCCGCTCACCGATCGTCACCAGATCCTCTATACATTGCGGCTTCTGGACTCAGAAGGTCATAGTTGGACAGTGCGTAAAGGGCACGGAAGTCCTCAAATCAGTCATATGGGAAGAACAATCAGCAGATATCTCGTTCAGTAGTGCAATGCAATAGTACAGTGCCGTGGCATGAAGGTGGTTGCATGGTGAGGGACGCCGATTCCAACAGATACATACACATGTTTCGAGAAACAATTGGCGCGTCTCGTACAGTACTTTGTGGCGTAGGCGCTCGGGGCAGGCACACATCCGGAAACAGCATGGTCGTATTACCTCGCGACTCCGCCATCCCATCATTGTTCTTACCACATCTCCACGCGCTGTTCGCCCGTTCGTCGAAGCAGGTGGTAGTGGTGTTTTATCAAGCAAAACGTATGCATACAGTGCCTAGAATACAGCTAAAGGACTACGCACTACAATTAGTGTGACCTTCCCTTCGGGCTCCGCGCACTTCCCATCGAGCTGGTGAACGAGAATCTACCATTTCCCTCCGAAACCATTAGAACCCGCAACAAGAAACGTTACGAAGAGATCGCCACATAGAAGATGCCGCTGATAGTCGCAAGCTTGCCAGCAATCTCGCTGCTCTGAAAGATTGATGCAGGCACCATCCAATCATCCGGCGTACATTCCAAGCGTAGCTATCGCGTAGACAGCGTACAGAAGGCCGATATATATACTACGTCGGCGTAGAACATAGCAAGGGCGCCGAGTTAGTAATCTCATATCGTTGACAAGAGGTGTTGCGTGGTAAGTGAGCTAAATCCATGGAAACGGCGGTGACATCGATGATAGCTTATCATCACATCACCTAACCTGTGTAGAGGCACTTGATGAACACGCGGTATGCGTGGAGGAATTAGCGGTAGCCGGCGTAATTGGTGCGCCCGCCGCCATACTGACGCTCGCCAGAGTAGGTACGACTAAGCTCAGGGGCCCCGAAGTAATCATTGCCATAGCGGCTGTTGCTCCGACTGGGTGGAAGACTGTTAGCCGGACCTGGGCGCGTGGCGTAGGCGGGATTGCAGCAAAGCATGGCGACCCGAGAGCCGTACTTGGAGCCACGGAGGGATACCATGTGCTTGCGTATGTGAGCGGCGACAACCTCACGGCGTTGGGAGTCGGCTTGAGTGAGAATGTATTGGACGAGGTAGTTGCCAAACTGGTCACCGGCGATGTCGATGAGGGGCATACGGGGGCGCTCAAGATGAGCCTCGCATACGCGGTCGAGGTAGCGGTCAAGGAAGTCAGTGCCGCCAACCTTCAGGCACTTCTCTACGACCTTCGAGGCGAACTGATCCATGCTGTACTCGATGGCGAACCGAAGCACATGGTCAACGGCACGCGTGCGGTCTGGAATCGAACCGTGATCGCAAAGGTGCTGGATGCACCAATTGCCGAACTGGCCGTGAGCGACGACGTCAATGCTCGCCAAGACTTCGTTGATGCATGGACGCTTGTCTTCCTCAAGACAGTTCTCGAAGATGTTCTGTACGACAAGGCTGCCAGTCTCACCTAGTGCAACCTCGTGCCACATGCCACGTAACGCCTCATTAACGTAACGCATAATCTGCGGCGGCGAGTCACTCCAGCGGAGCTCGAAAAGTTTCTGCCAAACGTGGCAAGCGTAGCGATGGATCACGGTCTCCGGAATGCGGCGAAGCAGCTCGTGGACCATGATTGCTTTGTACTCTTCGGGAACACAGTCGAAAGCTTTCTGGACGACATGGCACCCGAAAGCGTCCATACTGAGGTTGAGTGTGTTGCCGCGGATAGCTTGAGCGATTAACATGACTTGCTCTGGCGTACCATGCTCGAAGCAGCGCTGCACAAGGAAGTTGCCGAAGCGGTTTACCATTAGTGGATACGCCTGGTCGATGATAGCCTGTACGATCTCTAATTTCTGGTCCGATGTGCCGACCTTGAGCTTCTGCTGGAGAAAGATGGAAGCCTGCTGGTCATTGTTGCACACGATCTTGTCAACAATGTACCGCCAGTTGCAGCTCATGTCACGGTCTAGCAAACGGCGGTAGTTAAGCGGCTCTGCAGTGCTCATATAGTTCACCTGCGTGGATGACGCGGGCGCTCCCCAGCCCTGCTGGTGATACTCGGCCGCAACCGGTGAAAGATTGCTTCTGCGGCTAAGCCCGCCATATTGCCGCGGCTGACGTCCAGCTTCAAGCGAAAGAGATGGTGGCTGCTGAGCGAAGCCTGGGTGACTGACAAACCCGAAAGGAGTGAGTGGTGGCGTGTAGCCTGGTCTGGAGCGAGCTCTTGGCATCATGGGCATTGGCTGCTCGATGATCGCACCGTCACCTCCACAGCCACGCTGCGGTAGCGGCGCCAGCTGAGGGTACGAAGTCATGCTCATGGCAAGATGCTGCGCCGCTGGAAATGGCGAGCCGATGGCCTCCTCGACCGTGTGTCTGGCAATGAGGCTCTGATCGAAGTCTGATTGCGTGAACCGGCTGCGACGGTCTCTGGAAAGCTGCAAATCCATCTGAGCCATGCGCTCTTGCGCCGAGGCGAGCTCTTTCTTTAGGCGAAGCACCTCTGCAGCATCCTACAGAACGTCAAGCGGTCAGCGGTTTAGATCACTTCTCGCTTAGCCTGCTTCAGAACAACGTACCGGACGACCGTCACCCGTCAAGGGTGGCGTTCCCGCATACGGATCTGTAGCGGCTGATGAGTCGCCGTCATCAACATTTTCGGCTTGCACATCCTCCTTCCGGCGCAAAACAGCTTGGTGTTCGGTCAACTTCGCGAGCAAGTCATCAACCGGATTGTGGTCCATCTTCGGCTTCTGCCGAACGGTCAGCGGTTCCTTTCAATTTGTTACCTACTGCAAACTACCTTGGGCGAGATGACATTTATTGACCGCGTCGTGGCCAGCGGCAAGGGCACGGCGCCAGTTGTGCGCTTTAAGAGTGTCTCCATGTGCGGTCAGCGAGCGAGCGTGTGTGTTTGCGACTGGCGGAAGATAAACGAACCTGGTTCTCCTCACTGCCAACATCCTCATAGACGTCGAAAGGTGCGGCGAGCGGCTTCCGCTTCACTGGCGACCCTGTATACTCCATGTCATTGAATACGTGCCGGGATGTTGGGCCTGCAAATGGACGGTGCGAGACGATGTATTGGGGAAGCAAACAAGCGCGGACGAGAAGCACTGAATTAGAAGCCGCCAAAATGGACAGAGATCAACGCACACCCTTAAGTGGTAGAAGATTCTGCAGATGTTGGATTTCGTTTGCGTGAAGGGAAGAGCGCGAAGTTGGGTTAGGGAATGAAGATGAGCGCAAGAAGTGGCGTTAGTGGTCAAAGGGGGAAGGAGGTGCCTTCTTTCACAGGAAAAGCGGAAGGCAGGAGTAAGTCGCACGTGTGCGGCCCGACATGAGGCTCACACAACATTCATTATCAATCTCTCTTTTCCATTCGATTTTGCTGCTGAACGTCACCTTCCATGAGTCACGTCGTACACAAGACACACGCCACGACTGGTGCTCAGCCTTCAGCATCGGATCAGATACCGCCCAACAACCACCCCTCAGCTAGAACACAACGGCCATTTTAGCCTTTTTCAAGACTATGGCCACCTCTACAGCGTGCGAGACGCCGAAGATGGCAGGCCGGTCTCGATTCCTCGAGCTTCCTCTTGAACTCCGCATGGTTATCCACAAGCACGTTCTGAAATCCCATACCCGTGTCGGGTTCAAGTTCGGAAGGAATGAAGTCTTCGCTTCACAGTGGCTGGTAGCGAATCCAACGTTCATTGCAGCTTCACACCAGCTCAACGCAGAATTCTAGTCTGCGCTCGAAGCGCATGCATACAACGCCGCCAAGATCGTCCACGCGCGTCGGAAACTTGGACTTTAGCAGCGTCATCCGCTTTCTTGCCGTGCTCAAACCAGCCTCAATCGCAGTGCTGTACGGTGCAAGCTTCTCCCGCCTTCAGCTAGACGTTTACGTGGAGGCGCCTAGCCACATGGACTTGGAGCAGTCAAGCGCGTGGCTACAGTATCGCGCTGAGACACTGACCACATTACATCACGTTACGATTGAGTATGTGTCGTTGACACTCGAGTGCAATACGATAGGGTGCCTAAGGCGCGCACGTGAGATATCAATGGACCTGCTGAAGTCGAATAATCTCCATGCCATGCTCTCAGCTTTGAACCGTTGGCATCACGCTTGACGGCGACGTCATGCTCAGCGGCCAGAGCTGGAGTGGGAGACGTTGCTTTGACGCTGGGGAAAACCACTCAAACGAATGACACAACCGATACCGGCTGTGACAGGCCCATGTACCTACCACTATCCACCTCGATCAGCGCTCCATCAGCTCGAACGCACTGTTAACGAGGGCGCCTGACACATGACGCTCGTAGTGCTAAACCACAGCCCTTGTGCCCGCTTGCACTTGGTATCGGCTGTGTGGCAGCAGAATCTTGTTGTTGCATTGACATGTATACTCCGCTTGCAAAATGCCATCCAAAGTGGCTTCGGTACGTCTAGGCAGAATGACCAGAACGGTCTTTTATCAGCTCCCAGCGGGCGGCTGTGTGGACCTGCACCAGCCACGTGCTTACTCTAGCTTACATGACGCTAGTACTGCAATCGGACTCGCCGACGGTGAGGACAAACGAAGCTTCATCTCCTATCATTGTCCGCAAACTTGTGCGTCCAGAAGCCTCGGAAATGCTTCTTGCTCCCTTCCTCATTGATCTACTCATTGTTAGCCTGGACCATGCACACAAACACGAGGTCATCGTACCATTTGTATCTCCTTCGGCGTCAACTTGAAAGTCATGGCCCGCAAATAATCACTCAGCCTCTGCTCCTTCCCCGACGTTGTGATTGGCACGATATCCTGATCAATACACCATCTCAACAGAATCTCAGAAGGATTAACAGCGTACTTCTTCGCGAGGCTCGCCAGAACATCATCAACCGGTCCGCCCTGACCCTTCGTAATCGGAGACAAAGGCCCATAAGCTTCGGTGGCAATACCCTTCGATTTGTTGTATTTGATTAAATCCGTCCGTTGCAGGTAAGGATGGAATTCGATCTGATTGACAGCAGGGGGCGTGTTGCACGATTCCAAGATCCATTCGAGGTGTTCAGGTAGGTAGTTGCTAACGCCGATGGATTTGGCGAGGCCTTGGGCTTTGAGGGACTCCATGTCGCGCCATTTCTGTTGGTGCTCTTCTTTGCTTTCGCTGAAGAACGGGGAATGGATAAGGTAGCTTCAAAAAAGTTCAGCGAGGTTTAATGCTAGGATCACGGTGAGTTGCCTAGCACGTACAGATCAACGTAGCTCAGTTGCAGCTTCTTCAAGCTCGCCTTCAGCGCACTTGGGATATCACTGATGTTAGTGATCACCTTGGTGGTAACGAACAGCTTCTCCCTTGGTACGCCAGACTGCTTGATGGCCGTGCCCAGTTCAGTCTCGGTCTTGTAGACCTCAGCACCGTCCTGGTGGTAGTAGTTCAATTTCAGAGCAAGCTTGACGCTGTCTATGCATGCTTGATCAATCTTGGACTCATCGCCGGACTTGTACCACGCTGTGCCGGTACCGTAGCCGAGCTGAGACGAAGTCAATAAGAAGCTACTTGATCGAGTGTGTGCTTGAAAGAGACGTCACCATAGGAATACTATTGCCATCGTTCAGCTTCAGATTCGGAATCGGCGTGTGAATGTTCGCCATTGTAGCCGAAGTCCGGGAAGGTGAAGGTTTGATAGATAGATGATGCCTGTGAGCTTGTAACAAAATTTGGCCGGGTGACACTCGCAGAGCTCGTTGTGTTCGTAAGATGAATGATACAGCAGACATGGAGTGCTCGTAGTACGTGGAAGATGCGGCCAACATCGGGCCCTGCGGGTAGGTGAAAGTGGGTAGAAAGTGGGGTTTCAGACGGATCGGCATGCTTGCTCCAGCTGTGAGAAGCGATGAAGGAAGGAGCGAGAAGTGTTAGACTCATAAAGGACGGAGTATATCTTTGGGGAGCTACATTCGCTACAAAATGCAGCAGATGAAGCGCAGCGCCTCGCTGTAATCTCAATACCGTCTTCTGTCGTCACATACCAGACCCATGAGTCTCCTCTTAGCATACGCTTCAGAAATGATTATCGCCGTTCAGCAGCTCTCTTGCCTCCCTCGCACCGGCGGTGGCCAGGTTATCTGCCGCATTGTTCCCAGCGTCCTTCGCATGCCCCTTCACCCACACGAACTTGACGCCCGCCAACCCTCTCTCCCAAGGACCGGGCGGCTTGCCATCGTCTTCCACCGCATCATCCTCCTCCGCAAAGTCCACGTTGCGATGCTGGTTCATCTTGTACCTCTCTTCAAGGTTGTCAATCACCTTCTGTATAAGATCGCGGTTCTCCACCGCCTTCCCACTCGCATTTACCCACCCGTTAGCCCTCCACTTCACGAACCACTCCGTGACGCACTTAATGGCGTAGTTTGAGTCGGACAGGATGACGACACGCCTATCCTTGGGCGCCACATCAAGCGCTCGCTGGATGGCAGTAAGCTCTGCACGTTGGTTGGTTTGTCGTGAGCCAGTCAAGCCTTCGGAAATGTTTCGCTTGTCCTGAGGCCCGAAGTAGACACCAACGCCACCTATGGCGCTCGCTTGGCCGTTGGAGAGAGATGAGCCATCGGTGTAGATACGGACGGGTGCATTATGCACTGGGCGGACAGCCTGGTACTTGACGCGATCCCGTTCGTCGGCTGTCTTGTAGCGAAGAGAGCCGCTGGACTGATCAAGGACGATGGTGGTGTCGAAGTCATCTTCTGCACCGTTCAAAGGCGCCTCACCAGCCTTGTACTCGACGGCATCCTGAACTGGCGGATCTGGCGGACCGTCCTCCTGCTTGACAGGGTCGGCTTTGCGGGCCTTCTTCCTGCTAGGCTCAGCTGTCTCGATGCTTTCGACGGCACCGTCTCCTTCGACATTGGTCTGCTGATGTTGCTGCTGATATTGCTGGCCCTCTCGGACGAACAGCTCAGCTTCTATCCGAGTCTTGAAGCCTTTGTGCTTCGGTCCCTTCCACCCTCGAATCTGATCCAGCACATCCTGCCAGTTCGTATATACGCCCGGCACCCTGCCGCACTGTACACCGTAGAACTTCTGCGGCGAGCTCGAATTGCCTAGGCCCACACCACTGCCACCGCCAATATCGCCGTTCAGGAAGTGCTGCGCCTCGGTCAAGGACGTGAAGCTTTTGAACAGGGCTTTCGGGTAGCCTTTCACTTGCTCCAAGCACTCGGTCCATGAATGGTAGATACCTGGCTCCTTGCCCACACGTACAGAGTAGAACTTTACCTGTGTGTCCCGCTTACGCTTCGTGCCGGTGGAGGTTGGGACAGGTGCAGGTGATGCTGGCTTGTTGACAGATGTGAAGCCGGGGCCGGCGTCAGCATGTGCCATTGCCATTGTCGGCCTTGTCGTGCGCACGAAAGAGCTTAGTACATTTGCCAAGCTACTCCATGCACATAGTGTTCGCGTGTAAGGTACACAGAGAGGCTTGGGAAGCCACCGGCCCAGCAGCCCGGCCTTCAGTAAGCCTGCTTTTACAGTGACGGTGAACGTCGTAGGGTACGTCAGAGGGTGTATGTATGAGAGCTTTGTAAGTGTGAGCAACAGTAGAGGAAAGTGCTGGCAGAGTCAGAGGAGATGGAAGAGAAGGAATGTGGGCAGGGGGCAAACGCCGTCGCTGGCGGGGCAGGCGGGTGTCAAGGGGGGTAGGGGTAGGGGTATGCAGGACGCACGGAACCTGCAGAATATGGTACGTTACGGGCTGTCTAGAAGCTATCAGTCTCAATGTCAGACCGCTTCAAGAGGTGCACTAGTGTACTAATGTAGAAGTAAAGTAGGAATACAGAAGATAGCGAGCATATTACAGAAAGTTGAAGATTGCTGTGATTGCGATTGCTCATCAGCACGCAAGGCTTGGCGCAAACGAGTACAACATCATCCAACAACTCTTGCTTCTACCCGACCCTTGCTATCTACTAGTGTTGATCTCGCGGCAACAGACGATATCGAGTCTTGACAGCTCCTGAGATTATCATGCTGTAGACACCGGCGCAACGAGCCGTGAATGCAACGATGTTTGACGTACGCCTTTTTTCTGTTTCACTTGCCGCTTCCGACGATAGTCGTACCCTGTAGATCGACACTAATGCATTCCAGACAAGACGAGCTTCGACTAGATACCAGCTCCGCAATCACCGTGCTCACTCTGTGGTCCTGTCGCCACAAGAGCTTACCGAAATCCGTGCAGCCCAACGCACCTTCGAAGGCGCCTATATTCGTACCTCGCTTGGCCAGTTTAGCTTCGCATTGGTTGTGTTGAAGATCTTCACCAGCGAGTTCTACAGCATCGGTAGGTGTCACGTTGTCGGTCGTGTCCCGCGTCCGCCGGAACGTATACTGAGACTGACCAATCCTGGATAGGAGCCCTCTTCGCTTGTTACGGCGCTGGCGTACTTGCTGTCAGCGCCTATAGACGCGCGCAAGGCAACCGGCAATTCTTCAGCGAAGTTGGAGATGATGGTTTGAGCAGGAAACGGTACGTCCCGGGGCAGGCTCCGAGCCACCCAACCTCCATATATTCTGACTTGCCGCAGCTTTCGTACTAGCGGCAACGTCGTCATTGTGCTCACCAGCCTCAGCGTGGCCGCCTACATTACCCTCTTAGTCCTGACCTTACGGTTGGATACGTGAGTACAGTTACCGGGAGCGGTTTACTACACTTGCAGCCTGCATTGGCGCGTCTTGCGGGAGAGCTACAATGCAGAACCATATCTTCCGGCCAATATGCGACCTGCAAAACTTGCCACAGCCGGCGAATCGAGAAGAGAGACTGAAGGTCATCATCACCAATCTTGAAAAGCAGCAGCAGAGTGCTCGGTTTGTGCCATCTCTCAGCCCAGACATAGATCGCAGCGCTGACCGACCGCCAGAGCAAGCCTTCTAAAAGAAGCCCGTAACGAGCTTGAAGCAATGAGGAGTGGTGGCAGTGATGCCGACGAAACGGACGAGAACAGCGAACCCGCACCACCGGACTACAGCAGCTTCATTACGAACTTAAACACACCATTTGCCGACGGTGCAAGCGACCCTTGTCTACCCACTGTAACGAATGTCCCAGCTTCGAACCAGCGGGTCAAGCAAGCGCTAGCGCCTTTAGAGGTCGACGTTGCCCTTCGGGTTACCCAGCAAATGGACGAATACGACAGACATGCCGCGCAGGCACGGGAGTACTACGTCAAAGCATTGGAGCGAGTCAGACCCGCGCCAACAGAAGCGCAGCCGACCCAAAGTGGTAGGATGCAGGTCGACAGCAGCAGAGACCCTAGGAGCCGGCCAACGGGTTGAGCGTCCTTTTGGACCAGGATGACGAGTGACTACGGTACTTCAATAGTCTAATATTTGGCACAATCGTGTCACAGCTTTCGAGTGACTACGAAACTCTGCGTGGAAGCCTATGGCAGCGACCATAGTGAACGGCCAGGTTCGTCTTATCTGCACAAACAGAACTCTTGCGATCGCGAGGTACTGAGTGACTATGGATTTCCAACGGATGCCGACGGCAGTAACCACGACCGACGCCATGTCTACGTGTGCCTACACGAACCAGAAGACTTCCAAGATGTGGCTTCTTCGACAAGGCAGACACATCGAATCAAGTAACATATTACATCATGAGCGATCCGTCCAAAGAAGCTAGTACCCGTAGTACCCACAGCACCGACGCTGCGGTTATGCCTACAAGACCGCACCTCTATGTCGTCCTTACCGCAGACGTTTCGGCCCGTGGAGACGGCGACGGCGGAGTCGTACTTGCCGGCGCCTTCTTTTCGGAACAATGGGCAGAAGACCGGAAGTTTGCAATTACACGAGACCATATCTCGCCGGAGAAGACAAGAAGCGTCGCCAATGAGATCATCGGCCGCACGGGCAGGCAAGGCTACAACGTCAAGCAGAAGGAGACCACGACGTTTCTCGCCTAGATCGACGTTATCACCTTAGAAGTTTGTCAGGCTGCAACAAATGACGTTTGTGGTCGTGACGACTCTTGGGACGGCGAAGTGGACCGGGCAGCATACAACGCTGCATTTGGGAGATCTGGACTTTCTAGCTGAACAGGTTGTTAATGGCGCTCAACGCGCATCAGGAGCTCTAGTCATGATCACAGCTTAGCCTTCAGCTTCTGCGTAGCTTGAGCGCTCGCCTTAGCCCTCTTGTAGAAGGCCTCAGCTTGGCGTATCCATATCTCACTCAAAGCGAGCTGATCGGTGCTTTTCTCATCACGATGCTGCTTTGCATACTCGCTGCGCTCTCGCCACGCTGTCAAATCCTGCTGCAGCCACTGGGCCGTAACCGCTGCACACTTCGCCGGCTTCTCGAATGGTAGCAGGTGTCCTGCATCGTCGACGACTACGCTTCGGACTCGATCATGAGCCTTGCCGCCGCTACCACCTGTCCCGATGCCAGTGCGATCGATCTTAGCCTCTCTCTGCGCTGTATCCGCAGACGGCCCGGAGGACGGGAAGACGTAGAGTATGCTTGGACGAACATGCGGAAGCTGCTGCCAGATGTGCACATCCTCCGGCCTATAGAACGGATAGGAAATTCGAACTGTCTCATTCAGATCCGGATACAATGTTCGCATCTCTGGTGCAGTCAAATCGCCATACTGGTTTATAAGGCCGAAACAACTGCGCCCGTACATCCAGGCCTCTTGCGCTTTCGTCGTCCGCAGAGTCACCTTCCCAGGCTCTGGATGTAGCAAGGTTGGTGTTTCGTGGAGGTTATGTTGCAGGAATAGCTGGTACACCCTAGGGTCCCATGTCCGCCAAAGTGACCGGAAGTACTGCTCACAGTCACTGCGAGAGGACCAAAGGTCGGGCCGTAGAGTATTGCGGTAAAACATGGTAGCAAACTCCGTCGCCGAGCCGTGTCCGATGATGGGGTCGAAGAGCACAAGGGAGGAGAGCAGACGAGGATGCAGTAGCGTCAGTTGGATCAAAGCGGTCGCGCCGGAGGAATGCCCTACCCCTACCAATGGCGGTGGAAAATGCTCCCGAAGAGTGTTAATCATGTGAAGGAGGTCACGTGGATGGTCGAAGAAGCTTGGGTCGTCGCCTTGGATAGCCTCGTTTAGAGCGCTACTCGCGCCCTGATTGCTGGCGTCCGCTATCCAAATCGAGCGTATTCGGAGGCTAGAGTAGTTCCACTGCTTGAGCATGTCATCCCACAAAGGTTCGTAGAGCTCCTTGGGAAAGCCGATAGCATGTGCTGCAAGGATGGTAAGATCGCTCTCGTGCGCTTCCAAATTGTTTCGAGGGATATACTGCTTCGCCTCCAGGTAGATAATGTCCTCATCGCGGCTCCTGAGGCCACCGCTGTACTCACGGATGTGCTGGGCTGGAAACCGGTGGGCTTTGACGAGGAAATTCGCGCATGACATTGTGTAGTTGCTGGGAGTAAGCAAGAGCTGGAAGGATGGGATATAAGTACCTTCCGGATCTGTGATCCTTGGCCCGCGGAGAAACGGCAAGGTAAGGCAGAGCAGCAGTCACACGGCCATGGTCATCAGCAGACAAGCAATGGCAACCAACACGGCCATAAGCGTTTGTGGCCGGGCATGGTATGATCGTCTCAGCCAGGTATGACCGGACATTCTACGGCTTTCCGCGGATGGTACAACGGCCACAACAGACTCCCAACACGGTATGAGTGTACACTTGGTTACACGGCAGCCTGTCTTGCATGGATCGCTTTAATCAACGTGTGCCACCGTCTGTAACCTGAAGGGCGAACCCGAATTCCGCTTAGCAGGTAGCATGATCTACAATCACTAAATCGACAGCGTAGAGACCCTCGTCGGCTTCCACGATAGCATCAGTGTTAACAGTGTGAACAGTGTGCCGCAGTCGTGAAGTAGTGAATAGTGAAGAGCACCATTAGGAAGTCGCATCGTCACAGTTCCCTTCATGCGCTAGTATACGGGCCAATACAGCCGTTTGAGCACGGTCAGGGCCAAGATCAGGGCGGTCTATGCCATCGTTCCATAACATGTGGACATCGCGTACAGCCTGCCGTCAAAAATCATACCATGTCTGAAAGAGCTCCCTGACCGTCCCATATCGGATCAGAGCTTTAGGCTTGGCAGAGGAGACGTCTTGTCACCAATCACTCACACACGCCACGTGACAGCTAAGGTCACCGGTGATGAGAAGGTCATTAAACAACAGCTTGGATGCAGTCTAAGCAGGATGTAATCGTGTCCGGAGTCAGCGCTGCTGTGGTGGGATGACAGCCAGCGTTCTCCACTGTAACAACAGGTCCTTAACCCATGGCTGAAGCCTTCCGTGCGCGGTCCCGAGGTGATAATCTGGCCCCTTGTAACAGGAACTGTGAAGAGCTTTGAATGTATGTTGAATGAGAACAATCACCAAACAACGGAGATGTTGTTCTCCCGTCGGGCCGGAAGTTATGCCTCAGGCTCTCCGGATTCGAAGCCTGCGAGACTGGCAGAGATTTCGGCGCCGAAATTGCTCGGAATGAGTGAACACTTCACCGCCGGGACATTCACGAAACTTATCCAGGTTCATCGCGGCCGGCATCTTCTAAGCATGTTCGGCCGAAGCGTTCAAGGACGCCTAGCATGAAAGAAATATAAGAGGCTCACGTAGGTACAAAGTATGCTTCCCTCATTACATCAGTTCAAATCCGCTGCATCTTGCACCTCCCACGAGTAATATAACGCAACAGACAGCAAAGACCAGTCACACATCCAGCGAGCTAGTCAACTCCTTCCGACAAGATGTACCAAGCACAGGTTTCCGCATGGGGCGAAGCACCCAAATACGTCGAGGTTGACGATGCACCTACACCAGGAGCAGACGATGTCCGTATCAAAGTCATAGCAACCGGCGTCCACCAGGTCGTCCGAAGCCGCGCAGCAGGTAAACACTACACGAGTGGCAGCCTCCCTCACGTACCTGGCGTCGATGGTGTCGGTCAGACAGATGACGGGCAGCTGGTCTACTGGTTCACAATGGACGCCGGCTCGATGGCGGATCATGTCGTCGTGCCGAAACAGAACGTCCGCGCACTACCCGCCGGCACCGACCCAGTGCAGGCTGCTGGGATCATCAACCCTGCACTCTCAAGTTGGATGGCGCTGAAGACGCGCACGAACGATCTCCCAGCCGACTTCACTGTGCTCATTCTTGGCGCTACGTCTGCATCCGGCCGTGTCGCGATATCAATCGCTCGGTCTCTTGGCGCAAAAACTGTCATCGGCGCAGCGCGCAATACGTCGGCCATGAAGCCACTAGAGCTCGATGGAACCATCACGATCTCGGAGAACGTAGAAGAGACCGACTTCAGTACCCTTGGCGATGTGGACGTCGTGCTCGATTACGTCTACGGACCATTAGTCGTCCACTTGTTCCAATCGCTCAAATCTGCCAGGCCAACTCAGTATGTGCATATTGGCGGCTTGTCCGGTCAACTGGACATCAGCTTACCTGCGGCTGTGCTGCGCTCCAAGAACTTGACCATCAGAGGCTCTGGACCTGGCGCGTGGCGCATGCGGGACGTGGCAAACACGATCGACGGACTGCTGGCACTGATTAAGGAAGTCCCAGAGCAGCCGGTGAAAGTGGCGAAGCTCAAAGATGTCGAGTCAGTTTGGGATCAACCGGTGACAGGGCGGCTGGTGTTCGAGCCATGAGTAGCTTGTCGTTTAGACCTCGGTTCGCATGGATGCTAGCATAGCGTACAGTACTTACCAGCGGTAATTATATAATGTCTATCTTGCGAAGCTCTCTGGGTTACTCCTCGTGACATCGTACAAGTATCGCGCGACACCGGCGCACACAGTGACTTGCAAGTTTGTGATACACTTGGGATACGTACAACACGGGGTACCGTTCCCACTTTCGATGCCTGAGCATAATATGCCATCGCCAACACAGCAGCCTAGATATGCGATGGGTGTGTGGGATGTATACCCTAGCATGCAGCCTTGAATTGTGCAAAAGTGATAGCCTTCACAGCACATACATCGGAAGACAATGATCACTGAACATTAATCGTAACGCCATGATCATGGTTGAACGCCAACGCCAGGTCTTGATACCTTTTTCGAAGCTCAAGCACTCACATCCACCGTCTTGATCGCAGGCTGGTATGTCAGATCGATCTGCGGCGCCGGGATTGGCGCAGGCACCTCGCTCAAGCTCGCCGGCTCGATGTGGCTCTTATACCCGTTGACTCTCAATCTCAGCTTCCTGCTCTCAGCATACACCACACGTCTCATCCGGTTCGTGCTTCCCAATGGTTGGTGCACCTTCAAGCCGTGCCAGGAGTTGACAGTGATCTTGTCATCCCACCACACTCTAAACTCCGGAAGCCACGAGTCCTGTGGTTCGAACTCCATTGTGGCGATCTGCTCGAAGGGGTACTTCTTTGCGTCCCATTCGACGCCGATGTCGTCAACGGGTTGCTCGTCCAAGTTCTGGAGCATTTGCGCGCAGAAGGAGTATGTGACTTTGTGCTTCATGTGGAAGTCGCGGGTGAATTGGGAGATTACATTGATTGGGGCGTCTTCGGGGATGTCGTCCTTTTCGATCTTCTTCTGTTCCTCGCCGAGAGGGAAGACGCCGTATTTGGCGACATAGTCACCGTGTCGGTAGGCGGATTGTGAGAATTGGGGCATGGCGACCACTGTTTCTAAGTCAGCTTCGTTGATCAAGGCCCGTGATTCGGTTAAACGGTACTTTGTTGCCTGGGAAGTTGGCTGCCAAGAGTTGCCACATCTGCGTCTACCCGCTCTGACTGCTCCTTTGCAAACGTAGGAAGGTCGTTCCAGTTCCGCTCAAGCGAGTCCGCAATGTCATACGTCGTGTTTGGGTCTCTTAGCTCCAAGACTGGGTAGTTGTTCAGGGTCCAGTCCTGCGTCTTCTTATCGTCACCCCAGATCTTGTCGCCCTCGATACCGAAGATCTTCATGCCGATACCGCGTGGCGCCGAGAGGTTGTCTGGTAGTAGCTTTGGAGTCAAGGATGAGTAGCGCATGATCATATCGTAAGTGCCGGGCTTCGCAAACATGCCCTGGGCGAGGTGCTTTGGAAGGTTATCGTGAACGATAAACTTGCCGAGCACGCACTTACCATGGTCAGTCAACGCACTTGGCAGTAGAAGGGTAGTATACCTACCCCTTGCGTCTTGAGATGTGTGCCTCGCAAGCAATGCATGTGCTCGTTGAAGTTCATCATTTGAAAGCGGTTGAACTGGTCCGAGACAGCCTTGATCTTCTCCTTCTCGCCAGGCTGGATGGTTTCAACGCCCTCGGCGTCCCTGGAGCGAGATCAACACCGAGTCCAGATGGCAATACCACAGCAATCGTACCATTTGATGTAGTCCCCCAGCGCAGACTTGCCATCTCCGCCGGCCTTCTTAGTGCCACTCGCAGGCTCACCTGAGTGGATGTTCTGCTGGACCGGTACAGTCTCGGTTGCTGACATTTTATCGATCGTCTTCAGTTCGTATAAATACTAGCGGCTTGCTGATTATGCGACTTCCTGCTGCTTGGGAAGCGCGACAGTAGAGAAGATAGATGGGGAAGATAGGAATGTAGGGGAGTATAGCAGAGAGCATGCAACGAAAACTGGCATCTGCATCGACATCACAGTCGTACTATTCCCGGACACACAGATCTAAGAAGTGAACCATTCGAAGCTCCATCTTACCGAACGTGGTCTCGAACACGGCAGCACAGCGTCCAGTAACCGGGTCGCCTTCGCAGAGTTCGATTTACCCCGCCGTCTCCGCAGCTGATCTTCGACGAGGTTGATATAGGATTTGGAATTTTGCTCAGGCTATGAAGGATAGACGCATAAGCTTCGAACGGAGTGGCAAGATAGTGGAGTAGCACAAAGGTTGTCGCTGGAGGTAGATGCTCGGTGCGTTGAATCGCGGGGTGGACGTTCACGAGATCGATTGGATGGCGCAAAAGCCACGCTAGTTAATGTGAGCTTTCTGCCGTCTGCTTCTCAACTTCACCGTCGCACACAAGGTACCGTACCCATTAACGCCGTGCTATGCTTAGACCATCGAGCGGTTCTCGCTATGTCACAATGAACCATGCGACAGCCAACGTACCAAGCACCGCCAACACGGTCAAGATGGCCGCCCCTGCTTTGTCGGCAGTCGTGATTGTGTCAGTATAGACCGCGCTTTCACCCGTGCTGGCATCAGAGTTGCCAGCACTCGGGTCGCTTACGCTCGTACCTCCCGTGCTGCTGGTGTAAGGAGCCTTGAGGTTGGCCAAGGGTATCATATTCGCACCAATCGCTGACAGCGCGCTCATCTGCTGGCCAACGCCGTAAGTATCATCCCATTTTGTTGAGTTCCAGCGGAATCCACACGTCACGCCATCGGTACCTCCGTCACATTGACCGGCTGCTCCTGTGCCTGAAGCCATGATGTACGGCCAGATGGTGTTCGCAGTGGAAGGGGCGAGCTGAGCGGCAACTGCCATCCAGCGTAGAACGTAGCCTTTGAAGGTGAAGTTGTCCGTATCACAATTCCCCAACGGCTCGCACGTCACCTCGACCATGATTTTGTTGCCCATTGTCTTCGGAAAGAATGTTGCTATGGTTTGGTTCAGTATACCGCTTAATGGGGTCAGCCACTTGGCATCCTCGGTCTGGTTGTACAGGAAGGCCAGTCCTCCAATGAAAAAGCCGTAGTTATAAGACCACTGCGTATGATCTGCAGCCGTGCAGTTTGCGGTGTCATCCGTCCCATCATAAATTTGGTATGTGCGTTCGTCGAAGAGCACAGACGCCGAGAACCAGTCCCAGCTTTCAGTAGCCCAATCGATGTAGGTCTGATTGCCAGTATATCGAGCAAGCCGGGAAGCCAACATGAAGAAGCCTCCCGTTGCAGCAATATTCTTGTAGTTGTAACCGCTGTTGGTCGGGTAGATTTGCCATCTGAGTCCTCCATTACAGGTGCTGGTATCCCATCGGCTCGCCTGCTCGTTGAAAACCGCTTGCGCCATAGCGAGCCAAGAAGGATAGTTGGGCGGCGGAGCAGGGTAGTTCAACTCAGCAGCAGTCATAGCCGCGTAAGCCCAAAAGACCTGGTCATCGTTCCCTTCAGTGGCGGTCTGATTGGCTGGCATAAAGTTTCCATAAGAACTTGCTTGGAATGTGATGGCTTGCGTGATCGCGTCATTGTATGATGTATCCCCAGTGTCTGCAACGGTAGATGTCAGTGCTCGTACGCGCAGTCAGTAGCTGGACACACGCTTACAGTACCAATAGTCAATCATTGTCATGCACATTGACCCAGCTTCCCACCAGTAGTATGGCTGCGGCAGGAGCCCTGGTGTGCCTCCCGTCTCATTCCCAGAGTAGTACTTCATCATGCCGTATGCCACCGTGCTTGCCACGCTTTTGATGGAGCTCGCGCTCATGGGATCTAAAGTGAGAGCGCTGCATGATCGAAGCACATAGGAGAGTAGCAGCACCGGGCTCGATATGTAACGCATGGTGGGAGGGGAGAAGGAAGCTGTTTGAGTTCTTCGACCGGATATATCCAAAATAAAGGGGATCTTACCTTCATGTTGAGCATCAACTTGTCGAGCGTGTTTGTTTGTCCTACACTCCCTCCATTCAGTTCGTCATCAGTCATGGAAACTAGAATTACGCCGCCAGTTTGTTCGTTTCGCACGAGCGTCGTAATGCGAAGTGGACCGCAGCTCGGAAGTCGGCTCATCACACGTGCAGGGCCGGATGGTGGCGCAAGCGTTGCCTCTATGGACGACGTTGGATGAGATGACAGCATCCTTCTGTCTCGTTGCATACAGAAGAGTACAGTACACACGCCTTGCTGGATGATGGTGGCTCGTCCATAGAGCCGGACATCGTCGCAGATGCGGAGCGTTCCTCCCAAGTGGAGTGATCTTCCTGCATATCCCTGGCCGGTAAGCCCGAAAACTGCACCCGGAACACCATACACTGGGCCCTTCTTGTAACAGTGGACGCCACGCTTCCAGGAACACCGTTGGCTTGTCACCAGAGCAAGGGTCAATGTATCGTAGACGCGAAGACTTCAGTAACAGCCTAGAATGAGCTTGAAAATGCTTGTTCCTGCAGTAGCGGTAAAATCTTCTGGTCTGTGACGCACCTTGGGCGGGGAACCACGCGACCATATTCGTGCCCACAGAATGTGTGGATCACAAAAAGAAGGCTTGGTGAAAGTGTAACAGTCGAACCATCACGGTGATAGATAAAGCTTTGAAACATGTCCTCCGCACCACGCAACCCTCCGTTCCGCGCCGGTGAGCTTCCAATCTAACAACGAATGCTCTCTACTCGCAGCTTGCTGACCCCACAGAACACATTGGTTCTTTACTACGACCAGAAGAACTCGTCAAGAAGCGATATGCCATCGCATCAAAGACAGAGTCGCCGGACTCGCTCGCCCCCGTCGAGCAAAAAGCCATCAAGGAAATCGTGAAACTGCAACAAGACTGCGGTATCCACAGCATCACCAATGGCGAATACAGCCGCCACCAGTTCTGGGGTACCTTCTTTGAAACGCTCCAGGGCATGGAAGAGATCAACCTGCGCGAAGGCGGCTACGACCAGAGTATCTTCCGCGCATACGCACCGGATGTAAAGTCTTTCATGCATGCCAAGACGATTCCGAATCAGGTTACTATTGCTACTGGCAAGATCAAGCACACGGGGACGTCGAGCTTTCTGCCGGAGTTGAAGTTCCTTCAGAGTCTGCTGCCTAAGGAGCAGTGGAAGGATATCAAGTACGTAGTCCCTATGCGGTCTTACTGAGCAAGGCTAAGTGTCGATCCTTGGCTGTAAGGTTGACGCTTACATCCCCTTCGTGGTATCACTTCCGTTACGGCCCGAAGAAAGCCTACGTGAACAATGCGTACAGCAACGACGATGAGTACTTTGCGGACGTTGCCAAGGCGTATCAGACGGAGCTGAAGATTCTGTACGACAACGGCCTGCGCAATGGCCAAGTTGACGACCCGAATCTGGCTTGCAGGTCTCCCTTCATGCGCTGAACTGTGGTATCAGACTGCTGACTGGATTTGTAGACTTCTGCTCGGAAGCAATGCTTGAGGGCTGGAAGAAGGATCCTGAGAACTTCCAGACGGCAGACGAACAGCTCGATGCGTATATCAAGTTCTACAATGCGTGCTTCGAGGTGAGACTTGAGTTGCATCTATGCTCCTGCGTTGTACTAACCTATTGTATACAGCGCCCGTCAGATTTCCATCTCGGCATCCACTTGTGCAGAGGCAACTACATGGGCTCGAAACATTTCAGCGAAGGCAAGGTGTACGCCTCATAACTTCCTACCTCACGCTAACAATGACCCAGGCGCATACGACCGCATCGCAAGCAAACTTTTCAACGACCTCAACGTCTCAACCTACTACCTCGAATACGACACGCCGCGAGCAGGTGGCTTCGAACCATTGAAGACTCTACCGAAGAACAAGAACGTCGTTCTCGGCGTCGTGACATCCAAATTTCCCGAGCTCGAAGACCAAAAGGAGATGGTCGAGCGGGTTTACAAGGCCGCCGACTACGTGGCTGAGGGCTCGAAGCAAAGCCGCGAAGAGGCTTTACAGCGGCTGTGCGTCTCACCCCAATGCGGTTTCGCCAGCCATGCCGAAGGTAATGCGCTTGAGCATGAAGACATGCGGAAGAAGCTCCAGTTGATCCGGAGTATTGCGGATGAAGTATGGCCTGGACAGCCGTAGGTTGCTGATTGTGCTTAGCGGCGGAGTTTCGGTGCTTCAACAGCAAGGCGGCTCCTAGGATTGACGGTTGTTGTATAGTTCAACACCAAAAAGTCAGGGCTTGTAGTACCATTGCAAGAGTCAGCGAGAAACAGAAAAGTTCATGCTGTACACTTCACAATCGTCTTCCGTCGTATATATACCAGGCCCATCAAGCCACCTGTGGAACCGAGACTGCAGGAAGTAAAAACTCCTGTATGGACACCATACCAACGCCTTGCCAGAATCCGCAGCACTGCAAGGGCACAACTTTCTTGGACCTCACCTCAGAACTTCATAAACTCAGTTGATCGGCCGAGATCCGATCTTCACTCCTATCCCTCCGCACCATACCAAGCTTATAATACCTCTCCTCGCCAGTAGCAGTCCGGCCACCGATGAACAACTTCTCCCCGCCAACCATACGAACTTCGCGGAAGCCTCCCGAATCCGAGCTGCTCGCGCTGCCTCTTCGTGCTCGTCGCGCTTCTTGCACAGTCGGGAAGCTAGGCTGGGGCTTGTTGGATGGTCCGTAGACCGGTAGTCCCGGCGACGGCGGCGATCGCGGAAGGTGCGTCTGCGGGCTAACAATATGCTGTAATGTTCGATCCTGTTGTTGCTGTTGCTGTTGGGTTATGTACGGATTGGCTTTCGGATTGATGGGTCGCGGACTGCTTGTTGAGACCTCGGTTGTCGGTGACTGTTGCGGTCGCGATGCTGGTGTAGCCGAAGTCCATATCGTCGCCGTTGATGCTACGGCCGCGGAGGTTGATATTGAGGGTGCCGCTTTCGGTAATTGTGATGGTTGTGCGCGGAAAGCGGCGAGGAAGTTGGCAAGGAATGGTCTTTGAGTTGGCATTTTGTCTTTCTATCGCAAGGCTCTTCACTTGGGATTGGCTTCTATTCGCTCAGTGACCGGCGCAGTGGGAGACGCTTTCCTACAGCCAATACTTTCTTGCACGTGAAGCGTCTGTCGAAGAACGTGGGTGTTCGATATGGCGCGAAAGGTTGCAGTGCAGTATATTGCTCGATCGCGCAATCTGAGACACAGTCGTGACTCTGTATTGGCTTTGCAGGCTCGGACATGTATGATAACTGGTCACGGCATATAACTTTCTGAGAGCATCACATGCATCTTCCCAATCCGGACCTTCCCGGGCCTCGGAACAAACTCTCTCCGCAATGCTCCGCAACCGACAGTGGCTCGTGCTCACCGCGATGCTTCCGCTGCCACTCCATCAATACTCGATGATTTGGAGCGAACCGTACCACTTGACGTTTCTGTCTGACGGCTAAGCGATACTACCTTCTGGCGACAACAAACCCGGCATAGCCATGAACAGCACACTTCCATAAGCGTACCAAGCAAAATTGCCCAGTGTGGCTTTCCGAGCCTCTTCCATATGCCCTTTCCCCGCAGCGGCCGCATCACTGTGACCTGGATGGCGGACGGCGTTTGTACACAAGCTACCACTGCCGGTGTGTGTGTGGGCTTCGACCAGGGTGACGTGACTCGCTGTTCCTTCACAAATCCAGAGGCACATTGCCACAGCAGGCTGCCGCAGTCTCCTGCACAGCGCGTGTAAGCGGATAAGCCTTGATAGGCGATGGCCGCTTCCATGTGCGCACAACAACCCAAGCATTAGCCAAAGTGGCTCGACGAGCGCGCATTGGACCGAGATTGCGCAGCAAGACTCGGCAAAGCACGACTTCATTTCTCGACGACAAGGTACTGGCAGATCGATCATTTCTTTCGTTCCTTCACTTGCGGTACAGGCCACCATAAGTGATATCGTGCCTCCGGCTTAGGTATACTGACGTCCGCAAACGGTGCCAAGTCCATGTCAGAAAGATCCTGCCCTTGCTCCTTCCCATACTGTTCGGCAAGACGCTTGAGCTGCGAGGTTTGCACAGCGATAGCTACGCACGTAGTCTCGAGCTTCTTAATCTCACGCTTCCACTGCTCTTCAGTTCCGACACACTTGACCTGCCCGGGCGTCACCTTCTTCAGCTCGCCAAGGGTCGACTTCGCTTGCTTGACGTTAACATCTATCATGCCCCATACCTCATTTAAGGGAACGGCTCCTAAAGGGTCCTCATGAAACTCCTCGAGGTCCGGTAAAGGGTCATTAGTGACCGAAAGGAACGGCTTCATCCGCGCTTCGTACAGCAGTCGTTCATCAGCATAGTCTCTTCGCGGTACACTTATCAGATGAAGCCTATGAAGAGCCTCCGTATAAGGCCACAACGCTTTCGCCAGGGACAAGGTAGCCTCGGCTTGCAGGCGTAGACTCCTGAGGTAGTCCTGCGAAGCCAAGCACTCCGCCAATCGACGGGTGTCGCGCTTTCGATTCAGGCTTCGCATTCTCTCCACAAGGAAATGCTCGACACTCTCCAGCAATCTTATTCGCTGGTGCAGTACCTTTGCAAGCATCCAGTACATCATGCACAGCTCGTCCGGCAGGTAGATGTCGGTCTCGAATCCGAGTTGGAACGTCCATGCCATAATTTGTAGTTTGTACAACTTCGTCCATGACAACAGCGGGTCAAAGTAGGTATTATCAAGGTGTAGAGATGACGAAAAATGCTGTAGTTCAGCGTCCGTCCGCATGGCTTCTGTTTCCAAGCCGTCCCAGATGGATATTGCTTGCGTAAATGTTCTTCGTATGCGGCAGCGGTTTTGGCAGACCATTCTGTAGATATTCACATACTCGTCAAGGGCCTTGTCCATGAAGCTCTCCATGATGCGCGCACAGCGATGCCGAGGATCGGATGGAACTTCAATCTGAAAGCTGTCCAAGTCAACAAGCGGGTCACCTGCCAGTACTAGATCGCGGATGTCTGTGAGCATGAGGTCGAAGAACGTTGTGTTGTCCGCTATACGCTCGCCTCCGAACAGAATCGTTTGCATGTGAGCTCGGACGAAAGTGTTGGGCTGTGGGTCACGGTAAGCAAACACCCATGTAGCTCTTTGGAGACAATGCGGGTCCTGGGTGATGGCTGGGATCGTTAAGCGACCAGCTTCCACAACATCATTGGCTATATTCTTCCACTTCGTCGTCGCATCGTCCCATGACACTTCCAGCATAGGCCGCGGCGGAGTGCTGGTCGCAAGTTGGCGCTGCACCTTCTCCGAGAAGGCTTCGGGAAGTGGGTGACATAGATCATGGGATTTCGCGACACCTTGGATTGTCTCCAGCAGGTCATCCCAAGGGTGTCTAGCGTCAACGAGGAGCGCGAGGTAGGTGACGATGAATCTTAGGCGGGCGTCGAGCGCGTGGCGAAGTTTGGTTTCGATGTCGGCCGCTGATAGCCACTCGAAGGCCTTCTCGACTTGAGTCGTTTGATCATTGGCACTGAGCCCCGGAAGCAGCTCGCGGCCGAACAGGTGCGTGACAAAGTCCTCTTCTTCGTAGAAGTTCTGAGATTGGACAGTATGCAGCACAAGTGCGCAACTCTTTATGAGAGCTAAGCAGTAGGCTCGAAGCACATGATGAACAAGGCCTGAGGACAATGTCGTGTTGTCGAGATCCGAACGGTGAAGCAAGTAGGGTGGATGATTGTCAGGGGATATTAACCGGTCCACGTGGAGGGATGTGAAGATGGTCTGCGAAAGTGGATACCCGTCATGCCAGGCAGCCAGATGGCAGAATAACTGATCCATAATCCATAGCACTTGCTCCGCTGGGAGATCAGAGCAGACGTCAAAGTCTGGCTCAAGAGTGTCTTCAGTTGGCACAAAGCCGCTGTCCATTTTGGGATCCATGATCTTCATGTGGCAACTTTGTCAGCATTACGCGCCATTTAGTGATCCTCCGCATCGTGCCTGATGCTCAAAGTATGACACTGCTCACCTCGAGCGCACTAACAGCTTCAAAGAGCGTGAAGAAGTCATCTTTGACCAGCTGGCCCGGCTGCAGCTGCTCTGCGGCAGTCGCGAACTCTTCGGTCACATCACGTATCTTCCGAATGGGAGGTCGAAGAACCCTACGCGTCTCACGCAATACCCTCTCAGCCGCTGTCCCAACGCCATTATGCTCGCCTTCGCCGGCAATGGCCAGCTGTGATATCTCTACGCTTATAGTCAGTGACAGATGGATTTATAGCGGTTGCTGGAGACAATACCATCCGCGATATCACCAGCGGACATTGCCACTCATATGTGCCATGCAATACAGCCGGAAACACATTCTGAATGATGTGGTAGAGGCATAGTGTACGGTCAATGAAGTGGGTTCTCGCGAAAGCTCAGGCCAGCAGAAAAGCTTGGCGCTTTTGAGTGAATACTATGTACACATGACTACACATGACTACAGCTCCCTGAAGGTTTCCTGCGCTCCCGCGCGGCCATCCACTACCTCTGTACGAACTGCCACACGGACTACCCATCCGGAGTGTTTGATCGGGCTCATCAACTTCACCATCCCGCCGCCCATAGTTCCTCTACTGCGATGATCCAGAAGCGTGCTGAGCCATAGCCTCAGTATTGGCTGTTGCCAGCGACTTGTTCTCGCCTTGCTTGCCGTTCTGTAGGAATAGTATCAGTCAAGCTCCACAACGCAGTACTGCGTCGGCGACTGCATGGTTGCAGCGTAAAGCCTCGGGGAAGTAGACGTACCTCCCACTTTGCGAACCTCAAGTCCATCTCCCCTCTCCGCTCAGCTGCCAGTCTCTTGTCATCCTTGAGCGAGCGTCGAACAACGCGCGCGGCAACGGCAAGGTAGCGGTTGTAGCTGTTTTTGAAAGGTCAGTCCTCCATGCGCGAACTCGGGCCATCGCCATCTCGAAGACTCACGTGATGCCTGCTGCTTTCCACGCGAACGCCATTGTGCTAGTTGCAGAACTGTTGGGCTTTCGGAGGAGGTACTGTGGGTTCGAGTGGTTCGACAACACTCAATCCGTGCAACTCGGCTGTCGGATGTGCTGAAGGGGTCGAGCTCCGGAATTGGTGCCTAAGGCTCAAATCTCACTGGACCAAATGGTCCGGCCCGATACACCGCCGACAATACCAATGGTTACCAGCAAGCATCTCCGATAGCTATCGTTCCTTACAATGCAACCATGATAGCCTAACATATAAGCTTGCAGCTTCCTTTTCAGGACCACCGCATGCATGGTGGGAAGTACTATGTTTCTCCTTCACCGAGGGTCGACAGGGTGCAAGACGTCCCACTTCCCACGCATCGCGTTGACGCCGCGGTCACGAGCGATTCAAACCTACCTATTAATACTGCTGTTCGCCGCATTCCGCTCGCCGCATTTTCCTCGTTTTCTCGACCTCAAGCTCGACCTGGATATTGAACCCTTCACTGTTCTGCTATTACCAGAACAAGCATAGCAATATGCACTCTAGCGAGGCCGCAGCGGCTACGCACGGCATGGACCATTCCTGGTTGCCGGATTGCTTAGAGATCTGCACCATGGCTCAATCACACCACAAGAAAGCTTCTGATCGTTAACGTACTCTCATTCAGCACGACCAGGTGCTTTAGTTCTCCTCAGTGGATTGGCTACACCTCCCACTCACTGCACGCTGTCCTAGGATTGGAGCCCCTTCAATGGACGACGCTGTGTCGTATCATAGCTATAGTGGCAATTCAGGCTCCGCTACCCACTTATTCAGTCATGTTACTCGGTCGCTGTTCAGCTGCACACCATCATGACCAGCTCGCTGTCGGCTGCTGTACCGCTAACCGCAGACTCAACGCCGTCGATACATCGTTGTCGTGGCGATCATAGGTCCCCGGCTATTCGCTTATTGAGCTCCAAGGCATTGTTGCGGTGAGTAGCTGATCCACATATTCATGCATCTTCCCTTAGTCGTCCGCGCTTTGACTTCTCGCCGTACATCACAAACCTTTCATTTGACTCCCCTACGTGCCTTCGACATAGCGTATATTTCAGCGCGTCACCTGCTAGTAAGACACGCCTAAGAAGGACTCGGTAGCATCAACGGCGTAGCATAAGACTGTGAATCTAACGCTTGATGGGTTATACGAATTTCACTGAATGCGCTTTGCGCTACTCTCCGCTCAACGAGAGTATGCAGGAGCTGTATAGCTGGCAAGGACCAGTTCGACTTATTCCAAAGGATCCAAGTACGCAGATCACAACAGCGGCATGCAAGATTCTTTGCGGGACCGGCTCCGACTATTATACATGGGCTCAAGCTAGCGGTACGATCACCACGTGGGTGCTTCCCATCATGGGTGTCATTCTGCAGGCACCATTCGAGTCAAACGCATTCTGGGAGACCGTGTGGTCCCTTGCGAGATGGATCGGTAGCCCCATTGCTTCGCTCAGCTACATCCTCTGGAACATCAAAGTGTCCGGCAAATGTGCACTGATGGCAGACATGGCAGCGCCATATGATAGCTTCGACGAAGATCGACGGAGCAATTTCCAGAGCATGCGCGACAGCCTCTATCTGCTGGCGACGCTCAATCAGTACAGCATCGCTCCCGAGGTGCTGTATACCAACAAGCACAACTCAAAGCCAGCAGAAGGTCTGCTAAGAGTTGTACTCTTCAGCAAGGATCTCCGCCTACTAAAGAGGAGACGCGTCACGGAGGAGTTGGAGCATGATCAACCTGTAGTGGAGGAGCCTGCATCCGGACCGAAGCTTCAGACACAGGGCATGGCGCATGTCACTGATCGCTATGAGCCACCAGATGAGCTCAACGCTATGAGGCAAAAGATCGCACAGCAACTGCGTGATACGCGACGGAAGGGTGTAGTCCCTGTATTTCTAAGCACACTCTGGTTCTTGTTCGCCATGGCTATATCGATCCAAAGCTCCTTCGGCTATGTCGGATCGAATGCGACTGCCCACGACTTAGCGCTTGGTTGCTTGCTCGCTTGGCTGCCGATCCTGATTCTGTGCGGCATCATCGATCGTAACCCAGTTTCCGCTGACGACATCAGGAAGAAGATCAATCGGCTCATTGATCACGTCCGAAAGTCTCTGATGGATGAGCAAGTTCGGAGGCTGTTCGCCGAAACGATCGATGCTGCCGAGGAGCGTGCACAGGTTGAGCGACGCATCAACGACTTGGGTGAGCAATGCGCTATCATGGGCAATGTGCCTTTCTTTGAAGGCTTCGCTGGTCAAGCTAGGGTCCGTTGGCATTATGGAGCAGCGCATCCAATCTTATGCGACATTGACGACTGCTACATCTCCGCCCATGGGCGGCATTGGCTGCGTGATGAAACTCGGGCGCGCATGTTCTTGGTGTTGGGCAGTCGAAGAGGGGGGCTGGACTGGCTCGACTACCGTGAGCTTGCTCAAGTGTCCACTGCAGTGTTCTATGTGCTCGGTACGACATTCGGAGCTTGGGTGCTCAGCTTTTACACCCCAACTGTAGGTCTTGGATGCCGGTCGGGATCATACATCGTCTTCATCGTCATCGCTTCCGCACTACTGGTGTTTGAGATTGTATTATGGTGGTACTTTGACGCTAAAAAGCATGGTCTGAAGAGGCTGCACACCAGGTTGTCATTCAAATTGGAAGGAGTCACCACTGGGACGGAGAAGGTGTCAAAGAGGTTGCGCGGCGCCAAAGAGAGGATCTTCGATGTTCTTGGTGATACCATGCGAGCATTGTTCAATTGGGTACCATCACGGGTCTCCAATGTAGTCGTCCGGAAGCTGAAGAGCATGTCTACGCAAGAGAAGTGGGATTGGTTCTTTTTCAGACCAACTGAGGCTGGTAACACAGTATACTTACTGTACAGGACATTGGCGCAGACATTTGGCTCGGACAATACTTGCGACTGCATGTCAAGCAACTGGGCTCCAGGGGGTGGCTACATGGACTTCAATCAGTGGAACACCTCTAACTCTCCATACGTCATGCGCTACTGGATCATTGGGACCACCATAGCCGTTACGGTCATGGGTATTGCGATGATCCATATCTGCCTGGAATGGTGCCTCCAAAGCCACCTCAGCACGTCCGATGCGAGAAACGCTGCCTTCGGCTTGCAGAGGGTGAGACTCTTTCGACGTTACACTTTCCCGCTTCGTTGGGTCTGCTATCGCATCGGCGACCTCACTCATACCACTGAGTGTGGCCTGGCAACGCTTTTCAAGCGATGGGGAGTGTTCAATCCCGACTATACTGTCAGACCGGTCGGACTCCGGTGGGCGAAGGACTCCAGGCCTCCAATGCTACCAAAGCTTTTGCAGCGGCACAAGGATGCATTGCCGTCGTCAATAGCTGCCAGAGACCGATCCTTGAGTGTCACTTCGTTAATGGTAGCCGGCAGAAAAGACCGTTTGTCCCGAGCCGGGAGCTTTCCGCTTGCATACGCTCGACCTGCGAGGACAAGTGACGAGACCGCCGACATACATCCAGCCTCACCAGTGACGCTACGGGGCTTCTTCGGCCGGAGACTGAGTAGTGTTGACGAGTCGAACTTGTCACCGCTTGGTACGCCGTTACCACCGGTTTGACAAGAAAGTATGAAATTCTGTACCCTTTCGAGCCAAGCGTACAATGCTTGATCGCTATGCAGCTGTTCTGATCTCTCGCACAGTCTAAGCACGTTCGCCATCCGCTGTCTACGACCTTCGGCCTCTTGAGAGCATGACCTACCCCATCGCTTTTGCCATCTCGACCTGGACTTTCCGGACCGGCTTCAGCTTGCTGTATGGTATGATGGTGTAGGCCTGGCAATCGAGCTGGGTCACTGTACAGATAAGCGTCGATGCATCGTCTCTCCTCCATGTCGAAGCCGTAACCATTCCCGGAAGGGCTGGTCCGCCGGACGAACGTAGAATCTCCGGATTGGTAAGCGTGCCTTCTCAAGGCGATGCTCCCACCTACTTCTCCTCCCTTTACCCTGCGCCATGACACATGCCTTGTTATGGGACTTCTTTGCTCAGCTAATTATGAGAAGCACCGCCACGATGCCGATGGCGGTGCCTAGGATTAGCAGAACAATCGCAGTGGTGGATGTCTCGGTCTCCTAGCGCGCGATCGAAGAGGCTGGACGTATTGGTAGCTGGTGCGCGGTGGTAGAACGAACGGTGAACGGTGCGAAGCAAGGACAGCATGGTTGCGCAATCGATATTGTCCACGTGCAAGACTCGGGTTCGTGGCTCGCTGTGGTTCGGCGCCGAGCTTGATTGGATGACAAGTGATGAAACGAAGCCTAAACAGAGAGAATAACACTGCGGTACAGGATATAACACACTCCCGGCCGTAAGTATACAATCCCATTGTGACGCAGGACAAGATACAACGTACAGACACAACGATACGCACGAGCCTTGTTAACAGAGCTGTCTCAAGAATCGTCGTACCTCCCGGACGTGGCCACGCAGAAAGGCTCCAAAATCCGCGACGCCAACATGCTTGTTTCGCTATTCGACCCGCATGGTGGGAAAGTCACCTAGCCAGCCCGTAACCGTGTTCCTCGACCCCTCAAATGCATGTATGTGCTAAAGCCATCATATCCAGCCAGACAAGGCGCCTTGGCAGCTATCGTCGTTCAGCTTCGTGTCGACAGGCGTATAACCGCACGGCTGATGGGACAAATGAGATGGATACGAGGGGGAGACAACTTTGCGTATCCATGGTAAATCCTTCAAGCTTTTCTAGGAACGAGCTCATGCTCTTACTTGTGGCATTGGACACCCTTTCCTATGCACTTAGGACACAAGTCGAAAGCGCCCTGTGTTACAAAAAGAGCAATTATAGCGAACGCTGCGTACGTACTTGGCGCACTCGTCGCAGTAAACGTGCCGTAAAGGAGGCTCGAAGTCTGGAATTGAGCTGCGCAGTAATAGCTCCATGTGGTGTTGCGCCTCAATGTCAGCCGGAAAGTACATCAGCAATTCTCTTGCTGAAGATCTCTTGTGTGGCTCGTCTCGTCTGCACGGATCGATCATTGTGTTGAAGTAGTCTTGCACTGCTGGATCCGTGCTTCTTGGCAGGCTTACCGGATGTCCATGAAGAGCGCAAGCGAGCTGCGCAGTGTTTTAGCCGACAGAATCCGCCACAACAATTCTGCTCTTCTGCAGACTGCCCTAGTAGAAGGCCAAGCTAGCATATGTCTGTTTGACTATTCAGAAGGTGCGCCGGTAGTGTGCCGATGTTCTTCAACTCTGGCGGTAGGGCTCCTAGCAGTTTTTGAAACTCCCGGCCAGAATTTCGGAAGTTGGTGAGAACAACGCGGCCATTCGACCTGATGCCAAACAAGGTCAAACCGACGACGCCCACGACAAGCCCTCTGGAATGGACATGACATATCGCGGTCACAATGTCTCGAGTCCAGGCTTCCCGCACGCGCCACGACCACCGCATATCAAAAACGTCCGCTCGAGTGAAAGCACTACTAAGCATCGTGCACAGCCCTGGCAGCTCGTGTAGGAAGGCAACCACGTGAGCTCCTGAATCGTCCAGAACGACGCCGGTAAGCGCGACCATTGTATTGTAAACCTGCATAGCACACAATGATTCAAGGCTTCTGCGGAAGTCTCTAGCTCCGTCATAGCCCCATGGTCCAACACCTGCAACAGCCAGCCTTCGCTGGACCCAAACCTTGCCTCCGGCGCGAACTATGCTGTCGCGTAGGCCTGGCTGAGACTGTACGCCTATACCTCGTTCCAGGTGTTTGGCGGGCATCCGAAGGTTCGTATATCCTGTGGGATCGTGTCGTTGTCAGCCTTCCGCGCCGCTTCCTGGTCTTCAGGGATGCTGATTATGTCGTATCTAATGGCGTACTGCCCACGGGACTCTTCGAACGGTGTCAGTAAAAATGTTTGTTGCGCCCGCGTAAAGCTCTGCATCTCTGAGGAGTGTTTCCAATTTCATCCCTAGATTCGGAAGCAAGCTCGTTATCAGCGCCTCCCATTGGGTCAATGCAAGTGTATCCTGCTATAGCCGATCGCATACTGGCGTTCAGGACGTTCGCAAGCACCGTGATGGACCGCGATTCCTCGAGTTTTCGAGTTACAAAAGGAAGTGTTTGTGCAGCCAATATAGAGGAGAACTTGGAAGCTCGACTGTGGCAACTATCATTAGTATTTTCAGTCTGCATTCGTTGGTGTACCGCTCTGGTAGATAGCTTGATATACACTCGAAAAAGTAGTCCGGTGCACCGGACGCAACAGAGCGCTGACGGTCAACGTTCCGCCTTGGTTTCGCTCAGGCAACCAATACAATGTCACGAACCAGCACGCTTGTCACGACGACTTGCAAGCTTTTGTGGATGAAAGCTTGTGATTCTTGATGGATGATGGGAGGCGTAGCGCGTTTGTCGCCAATGCTCCGTATCATCACGTGAACCGGCACGTCGCGCTTCGGCTTCTCCTGAACTTATTCCCTGACCCCGCGTCCCTCACTTTCGCAATTGGCTTTACGACAAACGCGACTTGTGCGCGTAACACTTTCCCCCTGCATGTCGCCGTTAATGTGGTCTCCATACTCTTGATGGATTAAATACCATCTTGCCATCAGCTTGGGCGTCTCGCATCAGCTTGTACCACTCTCACCAGGCTCCACCATGGAAGAGCCACCAGCAGTGCCGGCAAAAGACACGCCGAAGGGCGCCGACAAGGAGGGGCACGCTACCGCTGGCGCATCGAAGCGTAAGAGAAAGTCGGAAGACGACACGGTCTATGAGTATAACAATGGCCAGCCGGAGCCTGTCAACGCGCACGCCCATACACCGAAGCGGAGCCGCAAGCATGCGCAGCAAGCCGAGTATGAGGCTCCCGAAGAGACGACGCCTGCGGGTCAACGGAACCTCAGGCGCAAGAAGAAGGTCAACAATCTCTCTACGTTGAATCTGCGTCACGCAGCACAGCGCCAGCAGGCTGAACAGCAGCAGTTACGAGGGTCGAAGTTTCAGGAAGGCAGCTTAACCGACAAGCCAAGTCTGAAGCCACCAAGCGTCTTCACACGAATGATGCGGACGGAGAGCGGCAACATCAAGCAGGTTGACGAGCTTATGGAGGGTTACAATGAAGCACCTTCGGCAGAGGATGACTCGATGGAGTCTGCGATTGAGCATGAGAAGGCCTCCACTGCGCAGCAAGTCGGCAATATCACCGCCCACGCTGCGCCTAGACCGGGGTCGAACGGCTTCCTCAGTTTTGGCCGCTCGTTCGCGCAGACTTTTTCCCCCGTCAGTCTGTGGAACAAGGTGTTCGCCGAGACGAAAGAGGATCTACTGCGTCAGCAAGTCGAAGAAGCCAAACGCAAGCAGAAAGCAGAAGCCGAGGCTCGTTATGCGCAATTAAAGGCTGCGGGTCAGCTAGGCTTGCAACCTGTAAGTAACTTTGATACTGAACTACGTCCGTCAGCCGAGGGCTCTTTGTTCCAAGACTCCGCTCTGGACATGAGCAGCACTCGCACTTCGACGGAGCACAAGCACACAGTCTCGACTACGACCCAGCTTCTTCTGCCGCCACCGGACGATGTTTCCAGCTTGTCAGGTGGCGAGGTTCCGGAAACGACGGTGAAGCCGAAAGCTATGTTCAAATCTCGTTTCTTCAAGCGTCCTTCCATGTCAAGCCTCAAGGATGGCCTCAAGCGGGTAAGGTCGGACTTTAACCTTGCTGCCGCCGCGAATGGAGCCAACAGAGAATCATCATCCTCTGTCTCACCAGTCAAGCCAGACTTCGGCTACTCAACTGTCAGACGCTCGGAGTCAAAATTTGATCTGAAGCGGCAGCATAAGCTGTCAAAGCGCGTCAGTAATCTGGAGGCTAAGCTGCAACAAGCGAGGAGGGAGCTTGGCGAGGCATTGGTCGAGGCATCACCCGCACCCAAGTTCACGAATAAGTACGAGCGATTCACTCCACAAAGCACACTGAAGAGACCTAAGTTTGTTCCAGGGAAGTTGCCGAGTCTACCGAGTGAGCGGGTTTTGATGGCGGAGCAGATGGGCTTTGGTGACGACGAAGCTTCGCCGGAGAAGGTGATGAGTGAGGCTGCAATGGACGACAAAGCTGAGCCGAGCCCGTTACTTCCGCGTGTTGATGAAGGTGAAGAAACTATCAAAGCCCCGACTAAGCGACAATATCCGGTTCATGCATCGGCACTCTTCGAACCTGCTCCCAATAACATCGACCAACCACCGACAGCAGAGTCTGTTAAAGTGAACGACAGTCACCATAATTCTATCAATTTCCGGTTTCCGATAACTGACGACCCGGAGATGGATCCAAACAGCGTCACCAAAACTACAAGTGACGGCGTGCCGGAGACGGCCAAGCCAGCTAACTACGCCTCCCTCGACGCCAAGCTGAAGGCGCTCGACAAGAACGTCAAGCTTGCTGCTGCGACCAAGAAGCCAGCCGCTAAAAGCAAGAAGCGCAAGTCCACTGACGAGGGTGATAAGATATTCAAGCCCGGTAACGGAGATGACGATGATGGATGGGACGAGCCGACTCCGCGCAAGAAGCGTAAATCAACTGGCAATGTCAACGGTGACAGTCCGCAACCAAGGCGTACGACTCGCGTTACTGCAAAGAAAGCATCTCCGCAGGGCAGCAAGACCACCAACGGCACCGTCAAGGGCGGCGGGGTCGCTATGACGACGAAGGAAGGCGATATTGAAGCCCACAACGAAGACGACGAAGCTGCCGCCGCAAACGATGATCTCGTGGTGTCAATAGACACCAGTACAACTGCCGAGCTTATCGCGGACACACCGATGCGGACCAGCTTGGAGTCGCAAGGTCAGCCTCTTGAGCCGCTGTACGAAGTCGAAGAGGAGCTCTCCGCTGTTCCGCTTACCAGCGAGCCGACCAAACCAAGCGCGAAAGCCAATCCTGCTCGTTATGGCCACTACACTGCCCGGTCGCGTTCGAGCAGTCCATTCAAGCGCGCCGACACCATCCAGCCTGGCGCTGAAGAGCAGGTCATAACTCGCGCGGCTGAGGCTGCCCAAGACCTTCGTGGGCGCTTGGGCAGCCTGCCGCCTACCGACTCTATCAAGGAGATCGTAACGGTCGTCGATGAGACGGTTAGTGTCATTCCAGGTGAGGGTGGCGTTCCGGCTTTGCCCGATCTAGCCAGCAACGGTGACGACGGAGAGGTTCGCGAGGAGGTTCTCGCGGTAGAGCTTGGCATTGCAGGGAAAGCCTTGAAGAGGGGAGACAAGAAGTCGTTCGAGTGGCCGGAAGACGTTTTCTAGGCAGCTGACCGAGACTGAACTCGAGTGGCTATTGAAGGCTGCATTTCAGCTTAGGATTGGTGCTTTCGGCGCGTTCTCTACGACTGCTGTCTGCATCGTGCGTGCCAGGTATGGAGGCTTGCTGGCACTCTTGTTCCTGGAGCGAGCACTCTAGCCAAGATAGCGAGGCGTTGGCGGCCATAGTTATTGGCCACGACAGCGATATTGGTAGTATTGAGTTTGATGCCCATGTATACTTCTGCAATGTACGAGATCACCTTCATGCTGTTGCTTCTGAGGTCTCAGATGTCACGATTCATGGTCGGGCTTCTGGACTTGGGAACCTCCAGTTAACTTGAAACTCGGCTCGTCACTGGAGCTGTAGCTCCGTCTCCGCCATTGCATTCTGATCGTTTTCGCTATCTCTCCTTTGCGATTCTTCGCCGAATCTGCAGAGACTGTTGATGAAGCAATCTTCTCGTGCTTTCCTGTCAACGTTCGTATCGAAGTCGCATCACTCGTTGATAGGATAGCAAACCACAGCGCAAGCGCTAGCTACGGTCCCGAAATGGAGACGGTCACAGAGTCCGACGGCAGTCTCAATGCAGCATACCAAGTCTTCCATATCTCGGAATTACTTGAATTGATCCTACTCCAGCTCGCACCAAGGACAGGATCATCTATCCACGAAGAGATCAACGCGACACGGACTCTTCTGCTCAACCGTACTGTCTGCCGGACATGGCATGCCCTACTATCGACATCGTCCCCTTTGCGTAGGAGCCTCTATCTCACCACTCTCAGTGCCTCGGAGAACGTAGTAGATACAGCATACACTAAGAAGACCATCTCGCCGCCCGCTAAACCCAACCCTTGGATCCCGAATATACTGCTCTCCCAGCGCTCCTGGGGCTCCGCCTACCCCTTCGACAATGCCGCTTCCCAATTATTCAACCTCACGCCGTTTACACCTTCGGTCCCAAAGCCACGATACTGGACGTTCCACCTCGAGCTATCAAGGCCACAGTACGCTCGTCTACCTACATCAGGTCCGTGGAGAGATATGCTGGCCACCCAACCTCCCTTTCGGGACTTATGGTGCTCGCGGTGCTTCTACGAACTGGGCAGTGGACGAGCACCCTTCGTCACGCACCTGGACTATGACTCTCGGAAGCCAAAGACGGAGCAGAGGTTCACGCGACGTTGTGAGGGAGGTGTGACGTTGGGCGCGATTGTAGATGCAGTGGGAGAGGTGATGGAGCAGTATCCCAACGCTAAATGGGTCATGGTCGAGAGTCTGCGGGTTGGTAACGACTCTGGCGAGGAGTCGCTGGCTCGCGTGGACGATGATCAGCCTGTTACCAGGGCGTATATGCCGGGCTCGTCGTCGGAGAGGGAGTTTGGGTTTCAGCGAGAACATTACCTACACTAAGCACTTTACGTGTGCCCACATTACACCTCGGAGACGTGTATAGGCAGGATCGATCTACAATGGCTATGCAGCATGATTCGGCCCCCTAACGCGCTCACGAGACATACTCAGCTTTGCACAGCCCGCCGCCGATCGGTAGCTGCGTACCTCCAGGTGACAGTAAACTGTACTGTAGCGGCTCCTACATAAGACCAAAGCCGTTTTTGTGGAATCTATACTTCCACCTTCAGCAGCGGGACAGAACACAACACATCAGGTTGTTGTATCCTAGATAGGGAGAAGATGGGCTGCGTACCTTCCCAAGAATCCACCCCTCCTCCCCACAACCCCGCAATGCAACAGACTAAGCAATACTACGGTGCGCACCAACAACAACAACCACCACAGAACACATGGGCTGTGCCCGATGCTGTTCCTCCACGTCGTCGACGCCGCCGCGGCCGCGGTGGCCTTGCTGGTGGTGCCGGTGGGATTGCAGCTGCTGCGTGAGTCTTTGTGAAATTGGAACCAATATAGAAGCGTCAAACGTACTAACCACTACCAAATTCAGCGCCGGAGCCAGTAGTGGTGGTGGAGGTGGAGGAGGTGGAGGCGGAGGCGGTGGGTGCTGAGGACCAAGCTTCCAAGCCAAACTTGGCCCCTTGGACTACGGCTCAACGGCAGAATGTGCTTCCAATGTCATTAGTATTTAATTTCTACGAGCTGCAAGAACACTGCATAGCCCTCTGATACTTTGGCACATCGCCACAAAACCGTTCCTCCTCCTCCTTGCTCCAACCCCAAGACTCCTGGAATGGATTAAGCGCCATATCCATGACATGGCCCAAGATCTCCCTCTCACCCTTCTTCTCAACCCGCTCAATCAGTTCATCCAGAATCCAAGACCTCGGAATGAACTTCGGATTCACCGCACGCATAGCTCTGAAGCGCTCCTCCTTCGCTTCGGTGCTGTTTGGCCAGTCCTCAACTACCCTAGCCCGCCACTTCTCCAGCCACTTGGCGACTCGTGCGCGCGCGTCCTCTTCAGACCCTACGAGACCGCTAAGTCCTTCATGGTGGAAGAAGCGACCGGCAACTTCCTTCCGCTTCTCGTCCGTGTCGATCTCTTCGAAGCTGATATAGCTTAGCCGACGGAAAGTGTGATTGAAGTCGAGCTCAAGAGCTTCCATCGTGTCGAGCAGGTCTGAGTAGAGACTCTCGAAGTCTTCGGATTTGCACTGCTTCAGCCCCAACCGCGCAGTCATGAGGCGCTTATACTCATCCATGAACACAGCTTTGTACTCCTCACCCGTCGCTTCGATGAGTGTCTCGGCTCTCTTAACGAGCTCGTCAGCCCAGTCCTTACTCACACCCTCCTCCACAAACTCCTTCTCGTCTACCCTGTCACCAGCACCGATCAGCTCACCCAACGCTTCGCCAAGTCGCACGAGGTTCCACCAGATGATGCTTGGCTGGTTCTTGTACGCGTACCGCAGCATGTGATCATCGTGGTTGGGCGTGTAATTTGGATCGAAGTTGTCGAGGAAAGCGAAGGGTCCGAAGTCGATGGACAGGCCGAAGATGGAGGTATTGTCCGTGTTGAGCACGCCGTTGGTGAAGGCGTAGGCTTGCCAATAGGCAACCATGCGGGCGTTGCGGCGGGCAATCTCGCGGTATAGGCGGGTGTAGCGATTTTGTTGGTGCTCGTTCTCGCCTTGTAGCTCGTCTCGTGAAACGCTAGTGCCTGGTTCGACAAGGTCATCGGATCCGGTCTTACCGGGCAGCTTGTCCCAGCCTCCGAAGACTTCTTCCGCAGCGTAGTCTGCTAGCTTGCGGATCATGGCTCTATCGCCTCGTGAACGCGGCAGGTCGAAGGTGCCGAAGCGCAGCCATGACTGTGCGAATCGCGCAACGATCGCTCCTGGCTCGGTGGTCTCTCGACGAACGCGCGCTTCAGGCGCAAGCGTCAGGCTTAATGCGCGCGTGGAAGGAATGCCGAGCGCGTTAAGCGCCTCACTAACCACGAACTCGCGTATGCTGCTTCTCACCACTGCTCGACCGTCGGCAAAACGGGAGTATGGTGTCTTGCCGGCACCTTTCAGCTGTAACTCGTACCGTGTGTGACTAGTTGGGTTGGTCGTCTCGAACAGCGAGATGGCGCGGCCGTCGCCAAGCTGACCAGCCCATTGACCAAATTGGTAGCCGCCGTAGCATTGCGCCCACGGGTAGATGTCGGTATCGTTAGGTTCGTCGCCTTGGAGGGTGATGATCTTCTTGCCGGCAACAGTGTCCTTGAAGTCATCGGTCTCCACGCTCGCTGGGTCGATGGCCAGATCTCTCAGCGCCGCCTTTGAGACGCCCACCAGCTCCGTCTTCGGGAAGGAGTCCGGCCGGACGTATGTGTACGCCGCTTCCCTTACTAGCCGTGGGCCGAGCTTCGATCGTTCCGCTTTGTGTGAAGATGCCGGCGTCGGGTACTGTGGGTCCGGCGGCAGCTTCTGTGTGAAGTTGTTACTCTTGGGCAAATCGCGTATGCTGAAAGATTGTTGATGCCCGCCATCGGCGCCGTTGCTGCTGAAGTGATTTGCCATGCGTGCGATTCTTGCGGGTAGAAGTGCTGGACGACTTCGCCAAGCCTGCATGAACTGTGCAAGGAGATAGGGATGTAAGAGTAAGATACTGAGGAGCAAGGGGAGAAGGAAGGTCAAGACAAGGAGATATGGAAAGCTTCTCATAAGATTGTCAGGGTGGCGATCAACTTTGCTTGAAGAACCTTCGAACAGTGTGTCTTTGTGTCCCTTGCCTCGCCGTTGCTGTCACTCTGACCGAGCTGTTTCCGCCACCTTGAACCCTTGAATGCAAAAGTGACGTGTGAAGTCTGGGGTAAGCGGCTGTCGGGAGTCGGCCCGAAAAGCAAGGAGCAAGGCGCTAGTACTTGTTCCCAACTTCAGCTTCATTTCGTGTCAACACCGGTGACCATCGCCTGACGCTCAGATCGGAGAGCCGTAGAGTTGTTCAAGTGGCTGAACCGAACATGCGACTTTTTGTCATTCGAACAGTCCAAGTGCCGTCACTGCCGCCTGCAGGATGAACCTGGGCAGCATCCCCGGCTACTACTACGATGCCGAAAAGCAGAAGTACTTCAAGGTCCAAGCGGACCATGTAGTTCCTACTGGAGCCAAGTATGCACACTCGGAAGTCAAGCGGGAGCAGCGTCAGTCCAAAAAACGTAAAGTTGTTACTCTGCAACAGGAACGACGCTTAAAGCAGACAGTCCAGCGTGCACGAATGCATGACTCCCTTACTGCCTTGGGCTTACGAAGTGAACTTGGTCTTCGTGAGATCACAGGAGTGCTTGCAGATAGAGACGCTGCGTTCGTTGCAAATCTTCGTCCGCGTCGCCGTCGGGTTTGGGTTCCCACTGCAGGCTGCAGGATCGCTGGTACCGTTCAAGATTTCCAAACGTTTCACAGGACCCAGAACGTCATAGCCTACAGCAATCAACACTATGGCACAAGTGTTTTTTTCGTGGAGGGTCCGCCTTACAAGGACTCTTCCAAGGTGGGCAGTTCTGGTCAAACTGTCAACCAGCGCATTAACAGCTGGCCATGCATTGCGTTCAACAGTTCGCTCGTCAACTTGCACGTAGTACCACCTGACCGACCCATCTATCCACACGGCACGGAGGGTGAAACTCCGCTTCTCATAGCCGTTGCCCGCGAGCCCAAATCACCAGGCAACGTCTACCTTGGCGGCCCACACACCTCTCAGTCCATGTTCAGACTTGGTGAGCTGGCCTCATGGCTATGGGCGTCTTCACTGCACCCCGCGACTCTTCAACTGGCCGTCTCCGGTAGCGACGACGTTTTCATCCTTGATACCGCGACGGCAAGTGTCGCCCATTGCCTAGACATACCGTACGAAAGCCGCGATATCGCATGGCTGAACCGCAATACAGTAGCTTTCGGGACTCAGCCATGGTCTCCAGAGAGAATGAAGCCTTCGCAAAAAGCAAAGGTTAGCGAAAAGTACGCTCTCGCTCTGTGGGACCTACGTTCGCACGGCCAGTCATTTCGGTTTCTGCATGCCTTACCGCTGACCGGTATCCGCATGCCTGATAAGGAGGAGAGTAACGTGCAAATACTCGTCTCGGACAATCGTCGCATCGATCTCTACGACACGCGAATGGCTAAGTCGCCGCTACTGGGCTTCGACCATACGCATCAAGGGCCTCAGATTGAGCTTGACGTCTCTCCGAATGGTGATTTGGTGGCGGCTCTTGACGTGGGCCAAGTGGTGCAGACGTATAGTCTCCGCTCCGGTCGCCACGTGGAGGCGCTTCCCCAGCCTCAGAGTCACGACACGGCGATGATGACAAAGTTGCGATGGAACACGAGAAGTCCTGGCGAGGTGCCGTCTCTGCAGGCATGCCAAGGAGGAAGTATCGTCGAGTGGTCATGGAGCCCGACCGAGGAAGACGCAGAAGATTGCTGATTCCTAATCTGTGATACCCCAATAGCGTGTTATATATGATTTCCTGTCAGCAACCGCATATGTGCTGTTGGTCTTGCAATGACCGGCTCACCTTGCGGGAGCTTCGTGCGATGGAGAACTATTGCGTAGCTACCAGCCTGGCGAGGACGATGCCGGGCAAGCTGTAATTTTCGGGCATCCACTGCCTACGATGGCAGCGTCGAGCTGATTATATAGGTCACTGCTCACTTGGGTGGCAAGCATAAACTATGGCGGAGAGGAAGAACACTTCCCTACAACGGGGATACCGCATTGCGCTGCCGCAACGCCGGAACCTGAGTGCTAACGTGTCGTTTGGACGGCGGTGGTTGCTGCAGAGTATGTTGCCTCGCACTGACACACTAGCTCACCTGTACGCAAAGGTACAAGTTATGCACAAGGGCTCGCATATGGACTTGGAGTTGAATGGCCTCCAAAAAGCTGCCAAGGTTGCCGAATTCTTCCACAGCTAAACTCCATACTTCTTGCAGGTTATCTGTATAACCGCATACTAGCCCTAATGGCATTACTCCGCAACCGAACGCTCCCGCAGCTTTCTATTCCAAGACTCAGCGCTTGAGCAAACCCCGAGCCTCCAGGACGGACATGCTTCGTGGGAGGGGCACATGTGCGGATCTCTACCACGCAAGACCATAAACATCGTCAGATGACAAACCGGGATCGCCGTCGACTTGCAGCTCACGGCAGAGGTCGTCGGCCGTACGACATGTCGACCACGATCCTCCAGTTGAGATGGCCGTCAAAGTCAACGCTTTTCCGGTAAGGCCTGTGCGAGAGTCCGTTCTGGCGAAGGTGTTCTCCAAGCCTGGAACGAAGTCATCGAACAAAGGCGCACCCGCGGTGGTTGTCGTCGAGACGAACCCTGTGAGCGTTGTATCGCGTCGGAGCAGCTTGCATCACTATTCTACTAGACTAGCGAACTTGTTGTCAGACTTTGTAGCTTACGCCGACCAGTCCGAGGAGTTATTCTTCGATATACCAAGGGCAATTTCAATGCGTGCAAAGCGACATCTAGATCCGGAGAATCAGGATGCAAGAACATTCAGTCAACTTGCCAACAACAACGGGAGGAGGGGAATAGCTGCATCGATCGAAGCAGCGTTAGAATGTACAACAGGCACAAGACAAGCTGCGCCACGATCGCCTTCCTCGACTTTGAGCTCCATGTTGTCACACAGTCCAGTACAATGAGGAGGTCTGGCGGCGCTGTCCTACGAGGAGCTCCCCCGCCCGCTACACAACCCTTTCCTACGTTCATCGTCCGCTCGCCGCTTGAACCACGTTCCGAACGATCTTCACTCTTCGATCACCTTCCCGTAATGCCTACACTTACATGTGCGACACCTAAGCATCAAGCCTGTCGCAGAGGTACGATCGTCGTACTCCATATACACGCCGAATTTCCATCCGCAGTTTCGGCACTTTCTCCATGACTCGAATAGCTCCGCGATATCCTCGGCCAGATCGTCCTGCATAGCCAGCGCTCTAGTGTCGGCTCGAGAACGCTTCGTCGCCGCTTCTGCTGCTTTCTGTGCCTCCGACAATTTGCTCTGCAGATCAGCATTGGTTGCAGAAAGCGTATGGTTGGCAGTCCTTGTCGATTGTGCCTCGGCGCGGGCGACTATGAGCTCCTCCGTCTTCTGCCTGAGTTGATTTTTTAGTTTGCCCACAGCGTCATTGCATGTTTTGGTCACCGCCTCGGCGTCTGTTGCTTTGGCTTGAAGAGCTTTGAACTCTGCTTGCACGTGCGAAAGCTCGTCCTTGACTTTTGACAGTTCGTATTCGAAGGACGGTGTGCTCGCAGAGATTCCGTCTTTAGTACGCTTTATGGCAGCAGGTAGCAGCGTCGCCGCAAATTCCTGAAGGTGAGGGTCCACAGAGACGGCGTACATGAAAGAGTCGTCGCTTGTCAGCTGCTCAATGTCACCCAAGGCGAGTTTCAGTGTCTCAAGACGAAGCGGATCAATGCTGGAGCTCGTTGCACCGTAGACGGCACGGACGATGTCCACGAAGTCCCCGATCTCGATACGAAGATCGGCGTGGACAAACTTCTCCAAGGCGAGGGTCTTCAGGTCAGCAAGCTGGAAATGCTCGCCAATGGCGTAGACTCGAATGTGAGCTATCGCAGCACTCATGTACACCGGTCCGTCGATGAGTGAAGTTGTTGACTGTTCGTTCGCTTCAAATGGGCTGTCGCTGTGGCCTTTGACCCACGGCGTTTCGGAGCCAGTCACCTCATCAACAGTGTAGTCATCGCTATAGATGTAGTAGAGCATCCGCTCTACTGTCGCCGCATCGAACTGGTCATGCTCAATAATGCGCGTCTCGCCCTCCTGCGCGTCAGTATCAGCTGCTGAGCACGTTGGACGACTCCTACGAGGTAGCCTACCTTGAACGCAGTGTCGCATTCTTTAGCTAGGACGACTGATGCCGGGCAGACAATGGCTCGATGTACTCTGAACGATTTGCCTTGGCAGCGGATCTCCAAATCGGAGTACTCGCCGCGGATGAGGAGTGAGCTGAGTCCTTTCGTTGGGTGCTTCATCGTTACCGTGCTGATGGCCTCGTGTTGTTGGCGCGACCTGCATACGAGCATGTCGGATTGGACACGTGGTGCGCCAAGCCGCCATGTAGCCGCTTCCCCTGAAGCATCGTTGAGAAGGAAAGCACGACCGAGGTCTTGCTCACCTGACGGCCGAAGTCAAAGCGTTACCGCGCAACGTCGAGTGAGAGCGTCGCGATATAAGCCATGCTCTCCGCGTGGGCGGCTTCCTACGTGGCGATGGTGGTGGTAACTCAGTTAGCGTTGCAGGTGTTGCAATGATAGAAGCATGAAAGAGACCCAGACCCGTCATCAGCTTTTGTGAAAACCGCATGACGATGTGAAAAAGGTGCGCGATTGAGGCAGGAATTCATACTCCTGCCAACAGACAGGCAAGCTTGCCATTGGTATGAACTTCCATTGCATTTCTCAAACCTACAGCTTATGCTTCTTCTCGCCACTCGCAATCTGCCTGAACTGCTCTTGCGGCACGCCCGACAAAAAGCGCTCAAGCCCGCCGAACACCTCGTGCACACCCTGTGCATCCAGCGCCTCTCTGTCTGGCCGACGGATAAGGGCCTTGATCTTCGTCATGCTGTCACTGACCAGGTGATCGCCCATCCTGTCCTGCACCTCCTTCAGCACCATGTCCAGAAACTTGTCGCTCTCGCCCGGCTTAACATCCATCACTTTGTTGACAAAGCCGGTCTGCACAAGCTCATCACAAGTGATCCTCTTGCTCATGATCAGCGCCTCGTTCGCCTTCGCAATGCCGAGCCTCTGTACGAAGCTACGTGATGCTAGGCCTTCCGACACCAGACCTAGTGATGCAAACGGAGTTAGCAGGAAGGTATGCGGAGCTGCGTAAACGAAGTCCGCAAAACCGAGCAACGCCGCGGAGAGGCCAACAGCGGGTCCATTCAGAGCGGCCACGAGGATCTTAGGGAAAGTGTAGAAGGCTTGGGTGGTATTCAGGTTGTTCGCAACGAACGAGCCGAGCCACTGCTTGTAGGGGTCTTGACCCGCTACAGCGGCCCTGCTGATTCCGACATCCGCACCCCTGTGGCTCTTCTCAGCACGAACCGATCGTTGTGATATAAAGTTGGCTTACGCAGAGAAGTATCTGCCCTTGCCGGTCAGAACAGCGATGTATATACTGTCGTCTTTGGCAATCTGTCGAAGAAGCTGAGAGACGCGAAAGTAGTAATCTTGAGTCATGGCATTGAGCTTCTTCTCGATGTTGAGTGTGATGATGGCGACTTTGCCGCGCTGCTCGTAGAGTACAGCCTCTTCTGCACTTGGTGCCGCCATTTTGATGGTCCAGTAGCTGGTTGACAAGCTGTTTTTTCTCGGGAAAATGGTGTGGAAACGTGTAAAGTGAAAGCTAGGGACTGGTAGGGGAAGGTCTCACAGCTCGCACAGAGCGCCTACGTTCGCGTTAATCACATCCGCGGTCAGAGGACTATGGTGCCCGTGGTTGTCTGCAGTGAATGCTGGATTAGCCGAGGCAAGAAGAGGAGCAACAAGGGCACAATCCTACTTGCCCGGCGGAACCGCGGCAGATGACTAACGAATGACCGCGAGTCGCGTGGTCGACATCAACTCATGCCGTCTCCGTCCGTACTCCATCAATAAGTCTACAATACAACGCCATCGTTTGCAAGGTATTATAGTGTACGTCAAGGTGTGCACCATTCGTAATCGGAACGATGGGTGGACCCAACCTTGAAGTGTTTAAAGTGCGTCCCGCCACACGACCTGTGTCTGCGTCGCCTTCAAACTCCAGTGTTGACGAGTAACAGTTTGGCATGTACATCATGTTCCCCATCGGCATTATGTACTACTTTGGCACCAACTTGGACTCACGCTTCGCTGTCCCGGACTTCTGGCCAAAGGAGGGTCAGACGCATACCATCCCCTTTGAGAAGGAAGACATACAAGCAGAACTCGAACGGTTAAAGCAGAGGAGATTAGCTGCACGAGCAAAGAGGCTAGAGCTGCAGAGACAGGGTGTAGACACAGAAGTAACGGTGCACAGGGACGAAGAGGCGGCAAAGGCGATGCCGACGGAGATCCTGGACCAGGTGAAGACGGTGGAGCCGGAGAAGAGTCAATACGCAAGAGAAACGGGCAAAGGATGGTTCAACTGGTTAAGATGAGAGAAGCGTGTTACGGTTTCAAATTGAGCTCCGCTACTTACCGCTTGCCTTTCTGGTATGCGTACTTTGCCCGCCAATGCTCCGCAATGTCCTTCCGCCTCGTCACCCATACTTGGCCTGCTGGCTTGGACGAGATGTACTCGACAAACCTCTTCAGTGCTTGAAAGCGGGCCGGCTTGCCGATGATCCGGCAATGGAGACCGATGGTCATCTAGGTTACGATCAGCTCTGACGGGGACCGCCGCGTTGCGATCAGCTCACCATTTTCGGCCGGCCAGCCTGCCCTTCTTCTAACAGCGTATCAAATGCCGCCTGCAGATACTCAAAGAAGGCCTGTGGCGAAAAGCAGCCTGTCGGACTGTGGAACTTCAGGTCATTGTTGTCGTACCTAGCAAACGTCAGCGGGCCGTCTCGATGTCTCTTGGCGTGCGGTAAACGTACGTGTACGGCAACATCAGCATACCCTCTGGCTTTGGAGTTTCCGCTTCGGCGGGTACATCAACCCAGTACGGCAGATCATCCGCGTAGCTGTCGCTCTCCCACTTGAGCGGCACGCCCATCTCATGGTACACCTCCCACACAAGCGCTCTAGATCGCGGAGACAGCCGTCCATAATACCACCCCACCGGATATTCCCCTGTGAGCTCCTTCAGAACCTGGAGCTGTCTGGCAATATACTGCTTTTCGAGCTCTGGCGACATCGAATGGTAGTCGATCCACCGATACGCATGGCTTGCGATCTCATGACCGCCTTCTTTGAGTGCCCGTCCTACAGGCGGGTTCATCTGGAGAGCTTGGCCAACAGCGTAGCATGTAATGGGGATGCCGTGCGCTTCAAAAAGGTTCAACATCCGCCAGATGCCGACCCGCGATCCATATTCGTAGTCGCTCTCGGCGTTGATGGCTCGCTCACCGGGACGAGCTGGACGGTCCGTTTGCTCCCACAGTGCAGATTCGGATGCACTGTCACCATTCATGACCGACCGTTCGGCGCCCTAGGTCAGATGTCAGCGAAAAGGGAACCGCGCTGCACGCGCTGCGAGCCTGGAATGGGTGCTTGCACCTCTTCGTAATTGATCACGAACGACACCGCTATCTTTGCACCACCCGGCCATTGGGCGTCTGGAGGGTGCCGACCATAGCCGGTAAGGTCACGTGGGAAGTCATATTTGGTGTCCCGGAGAGGGTCTCGGTTGGCTGCATCTAGCGGAGGTGCGTCGTCCGCCATCGTGCTTACTTGCACTATCTACTCACGGCTCTTACAGTAGCAGCTTTATTCCTCATATTTCCCACGCGCTTATCTTCCGTTCCTCCAGTCTACGGCGAGCTTATGATGTCATACTGCAGCGGCCAGATAGACGGCCAAATCACATCTTCTTAGAACGCCGTTAACAACTCTGTTGTACTGCGAAAGCTATGCTATTTACGCGGTTGCGCATGGCCAAGCTGAGCGGCCTGTCCCGGCTTACGCGCAAGGCGCTAAATCAGGCCTATCTTCTCCTGTCACCCACCCTGTGTTCCGCCCTGTCAACCATGCGTCCGCGGCTGATGCTAGAACCCTGCAGTAGGCGCCTCCATTCCGGCTCGCCTTCACCGAGTCAGTCTGCATCCGCAGCGACATCTAACCACCCAGGCTCCTCCCGAAGCTCCGTGCCGTGAGTCCCCCTTACGCGTGAAGCGAAGATCGGCCATGTCGCGCGAGCAATTGGCGTTGGGGCACGACTCAGGCAGATCCTCAAGGCCATTCACCAGCTCCTTCATCACTTTGTTCACGTGCTGAAATCGGTCCTCCGCCGACTCTGCCTCGGCAGCACCGCTCGGCAGCAGCATCGCGCTTTGCGGACTCCAGGTCATATTCCAGCTGTTCGATCCTGCGAGTGAGATCTTTAATGTCGATGTCAGCCTTCAGCATTGCTGTGGAAGCCTCTTTCCCCTCTTTCAACTGACTGCGGACGACTTGGCATAGCATGTCGGCCGCGAAAGGCTGAGCTTCCTCAATCGCAGCGAGCTGGGTCATGAAGGTATCATCTTCCGTCAAGTCAACGAGGTTGCTAACAGCCACAGAGCGTAGGGCCTCCCGCAAATCGCAATCCCCGCTTCCAGATACCTTGTTCACCTCCTGACCACTTCGATAAAGCCGTCCAGTTCGGAGTCGTGAGTGCCGTGCACTGTGAACCTCTTGACCGCCATTGACTGGAGCTTGGGAAAATCATAGTAGTTCGCGGTACCATAGACGTGGGCGTGCGAGATAAGGATAGAGTTGCCGTTCGTCGCCCTACGCTCTCTAAGCTCAGCTGAAGTGTCCACCATCTTCTCAATAGCTTGGACGGCGTAGTCCCGCTTGTAGAGGTAGCTGACCATCCTCTCAACACCGTGTCTGCGTCGAACTTGGTAAGATTGATGACATCGGTCTCGCCTTCCTTCATCTTGCTGTCTCAGGCTCCTGGGATGACAGCAGAAGCAGAGCATACGATTGCCTTGTGCACCTTAGACTCACGACCAACGCAGATACTCGTGAGATCTGAGTACTTGCTGGTGTCCATGAGAGTGCTGATAGAGCGGAGACGGTCGAGGCCGTGGTCTGCAGCCATAAAAGACACACGGTACGAGCGCCCTTGACAATGAAGTGTTGGTCTTGTCGTGCTCACTTCCGTTGCGGGCTTGCTTCTCGTTTCCTTGCTGGGTTTTTGTCAATTGAGGCAAGTAAGCATGGACAGTTGTGCAGGCATTCTGGTTCTGTCACGTAGTCATTTATGTCTCGAAACCAAGCGAGGTGTTCTGCAAATCGCAAGCAAAATTTCATACGGCACGATTCACCAACCTGTTGCATGCACTGGATTCGTTGCATGAGGGCCCATTGCATGAGCATGTACTATCTGGTGTGAGGACAGGGAATGATAGTCGCATAGAACAAAGCACCGGAATAATCAGTTACGGTCCTAGGTGATCGAGCTAGTCGGAATGTTCCCAACAGAGCTACCGTATCACAAAACGTACATCATCCTCATCCAACTCGTCGCTATCCCAGCCGTCCTCCTCATCCCTTTGTGCAAGCTCTAAGAAGCGCTGTAAGCCATCATCTTGCGCCAGGGGATTTCCTCTCTGGTTGGTACCGTTTCGACCAGCACCCGCTCTCTCATGCCTTCGCACCGCTTGAGCCTGTCCCTGAGCAGGCGGTCGCGCTGGGAACGGGTTCTGTCTCCTCCGACCGTTCGGCCTTTGCCGTACTTGCGCCTCCACTACCGGTTCGTCGTTGAGTCGGATCTGCGCCATGTGAACAGCGATGGGTTCAAGTTGGGCAGCAGCAGCCGGTGGCGCAACCATTTCAACCTGAGCTAACTGAGCAGCCTCTGCCGCATCGGCCTCTCTCGCAGCCTCAATAGCCATTTGCTCCCAGCGTCTGCCACCAGCAAAGCCGCGTCCGTCTTCCGGACCTTGACCTTCATCGCCTTCCTCTAACTCCCAGAGCCGCTGATAACATTCCGAGCCCGGTTTGTTGAAATGCTGATACGGATTCCCTCCATCAAGCCAAGCCCCGCAAAGGTAACAGAAGTGCGTGTTGCATTGAAAGCAGTTCATGTGGTTGCAGCCCATGGTCTTTTGCGTCGGACTGCTGCAAGTCGGACATGGACTAGTGTGAAGGCGGATGTAGTCGTATGACGCCTTCTCCTCGGCAGACAGCTCTGTTGGATCACGCGGGAAGCAGCGTGCGAATGGACCGTGCCAGCCCATGTAGCAGACCCGACAGAAGGCGAGATTACACTTTTCGCACACTGCCAGCCTGTCCGCCGGGTCAGCTGGCGGACCCTTCGACGCTTTGCCAGAGGTAGCGCTGCCATCTCTGTTTGCGCCTGACTCTACGTGGTCTTCATCGCTGGAGGAATCGTCGCCAGCATACAAGGTCAAGTCGGCTGGTATAGGTGGGTACTTGTTGCTTCGGGCTGGGCTCTGGCACCACGTTCGAGGACAGTAGATCGTCGTTTTATCCGCCTCGAGCTTCTTCTTCCGCTTCATCTCCACGTAGCGGCGCACCATGCTCTCTTCGACTCCCATGGCCAATAGCTCACGAGGATGCAACGTGCGCTTGGATTCCCGTTTCCGCTTCCGGCCGTCTCCGGCCATTGCTAAGTCCTTGCCACAGGTTGGATCAAGGCACCGGACTCCGGTGATGTCGCCTTCGGTGATTGCGTTGTTGTAAAAGTCTTGAAGGCACTGCAAACAGAAGACATGCCCACACTTCTTCATGCGGTAACATCTAGTACCCTTTTTGGGTTCCAGACATATACCGCAATCGTAGGTGCCGGCGTTGAAGATGGACACTTTAGTCGCCTCATCGAAGTCTGTTAACAGCTTTTCCGTGGTCGAAGGAAGGACTAGGCAGCCGTCTGCGCACTGGTCGAGATCAAAGCTGCGCTCAACGGCTTGTTGGAGGAAGTCAACATAGACATATAAAATCTGACAGCGTCCGTATTCATTCCAGAGCCTCTCCACTTGACTCTCTAACTCGACCAGACGGTCTTTCGGCAGCCAGTCGTGTTGAGTGGTCAAGGTAACCTTTGGCGCAACAGTGCTGGGGTAGCCATCAGGAAGTGTCGACTCGATGTGCAACGGCGGAAGGTGCGATAGCTCAACGTCGCGTTCGATGTGGGCGTTGCCGTTCGTTGCTGCCTGAGCATAACTGCTGCCCTTGCCGTTGTTCGTGACTTGGGGTATGAACCGAACGAGAAGTGGCTTGGACGGAGTAACTGCAAGCTCCAGAGTCGCGCTGAAACGATCATGATCGATGTTGAACTCGGGGTAGATGGCCTCTAGAGACCCCAACTCCTCGGTCCGTTCGTCATCTTCGGCCATGAGGTTGAGCAACGAAGAACGGTGTAACTATATGCGCGCCGAGTCCAGCGTAGAAGGTCTCACGAAGGATTGGCAGTGGCGTGCGCCTTCCAAAAGCCGATGCTATCGGGACGACATCAGCAAATACGACTCACAAGTGAAGTGGTCGTACGAAGTTTGTACAAAGCGAACCGTAGCTTCTAGTCAGTGGCGACTGCGCGTACGGAAAGAAAGTGCTTTAATGAGTCGCCAGCAATGACTTCACCCAAATCAGCAGTTCGCCGCACGGACGGAGCGAGCCGGCGCTACGGTGTCTAAGAACAGGATCCAGAGTCACCTCCCCAAGAGCATGTTCACATTCGTCCTGCGCCGTCTACAGGTCGTCACTTAGCTGCTCCATCTCTACCGGGCGTTGAGTGAATCATGGAAGGCCCATCACTGGCATCTCTGTCACTTACGCACGTCCACTATGACCCCAACGATCCTGTATCGCATGCTTGCGCCTACCTCGCTCTCGTCCCTCAAGCGCTGGTAATCACATATGCCGCGCTGATTTGGAGTACCCGTGAAGTGGAGATCCTGCTTATGTTCGCCGGGCAGATGGGGTGCGAAGCCCTGAACTGGCTTCTGAAGCGATATATCAAGGAGGAGAGACCGACACGTGCGCTCAACCTAGGCTTCCCACGCGAAACCATACGTTGCTAACGGTAAGTGCAGAGATGCATGGGAAAGGCTATGGCATGCCCAGCTCTCACGCTCAATACGTTGCTTACTTCTCCACGTTCCTGACTCTCTTCCTCTTGCTCCGGCATAATCCTCACCATCCATATCCGTCAACGACGCATATTCCGACCCCTTACTGGCAGCGTCTGGCTCTTGCGGTCGCCTCGTTCGTATGTGCGGGAGCAGTAGCACAAAGTCGTATATATCTCAACTATCACACACCACGACAGGTCTATGCTGGCTACGCTGCTGGTGCAATGTGCGCAATTGCTTGGTTTGTGGTAACCAGCATAGCTAGGCATTATGGGCTTGTGGAAGCACTGCTAGAGACACCGCTGGCGCAGTGGGCTCGGTTGCGCGACCTTGTGGTCAACGAAGACCTGGTCGACGCTGGTTGGGAGAGATGGGAGGCACGTAAGCAACGGCGACGAACAGGGCTGGATGACGCGCAGAAGAAGCGAATATAAGCGGTCCGGCCTGCTGCTGCAGGTCTCAGAACTCATTCAGCTACGCCGGTGTACCAGCGCCACCGTACCGAACCTTAAGACGCAGGCTGACACGCCACCAGCGCGCCAACGCAGGCATATATGGACGTGGCTTGCATGGCTGATGCATCCCTCCGCCAGCCACCTGACTGTCTTACGCCTCACGGAAGGACTGCCACTAGCTGCATCTCCCTGGTGACCAAGCCGACTTCGACTTCGTAATCCGATGCAACGCTCCGATATAGTGGTGGCTCCTCGCTAATGCTGTCGTGAACCTGCCTTACGCCACCTCGGCGGACGTTCGTCTTAACCTACGCCAGCTGCCGTGCAACAAACTGGCAGCATCTTGTCTCAGCCTGTTGCTTCGTTGGGGGACAGCCATTAGCTGCGCAGCTTCGTCGACGAAGCGTTTGGTCGTCGCTACACTCTTCAGGGTCAATGTCTGACGTATATGTTGCGCCCTTTTGGCGGCCAGCCATTATTCGCAGGACATTCAGAGTCAGACGGCTTCTATAAGGCTGGCATCCTCAAAGGCAGTCCAGAATCAATCCAACGATTTCTCCAAAACCCTGTCGAGCTATCGATGTAGCGTCCTGTAAGCCAAGACCCATAACGAGCAGTCTCTCCTCACCGGGTCGCTTCATCAGTATAGCAGATGCTACGGTAGTACACAGCGTCTGCCCGATGACTTCGTCTTCCCGTTTCGTACCTCCAAGAACCGTAGTAGCTGTAAGGTCGCTTCTTGGCAGCAGTGCATTCTCCGGATCCGCATTTGCAAAGCTACTGTTGCTTGTCGGATTAAGAGGGTCAAGCGAGGCGGTGGCCAATGGAACGTGTACCCAGTGCGCCAGCTTGCCGGCTTGAGTGACAGTGATGAGTAGCTTGTCCGAGAAGCTGATGCTGGTGACGACAGTCAAGAGATTGTTGGCTATGCCACTTGATGTTTTGGTTAGAGCTGGGAAGGTGGCGGGCTCAACCGTAGTACTCTCCATCGTGTGCTGTTGCTGAATCAGACCATGTAACCCCTACCTCAGCAATGCGTTCGGCGGTTGCAGTTTTCTCACGGTAACCGCCATGCTCTGCTCATACCGCGTATAGAAGCAGGGCAGTTGCTTCTGCTAGCGCAACGCACGTCGGGCGGGGCCATCGACACGGCCCGATGGTTTTGTAGTCCGCGCCGAGATCCGAGAGATTCTGCACCAAGTTCGTACTTCGTTTGCCCATATTAACTGCCTCACTCAAATGGCAAAATATGTGCCCAGGGAGCGGAAGCGGAGGCGCCTAGACAAACAGCGTACGACGCAGCATGCTGTAGGGTCAGTGCCAGACGTGTTTATTCCGGAAACCAAGTCTGAACGTGAGATCAGGCGGGCAAAGCTTGCAGAAGAGGTTCGAGAGCAACAAGATGCCCAAACGAAGATCTCCAGCAAGAAGCGTAAGCGCCTCGACAAATACGTCGATACGAAGTTACGCAAGGAGGAGAACCTTGATCTGCTCAAGAAGCTCGCTCTGCAGAAAGTAGATACAAGCCTACTTCATAGTTCGAAGAAGCTTGGTCGTGTGAGCGAGACTAAGCGAGAAAAGTTCAGTAGGGCACTGCGAGAGCAGAATGCCGGGATTGGTGGCGATCACGACGCAATCTTGTATCAACATAGACCTGATGTCGACGCTGCATCAAGCGAAAGCAGCGACTTAAGTGAGGTCGAGCCCGCCACAACAGCTTTGCCAATTCCCGAGCCGTTGGAGGGGGCATCTTTTGGTGGCGGGCTCAAGCAGCCTCTAACGCTTGACGAGAGTGGGCGGCCGATTCTACGAAAACGGAAACGATCGAAGAAAGCACCCGTGAATGGTCATGTGGATCTAAATACAGCATGTGCTGTCCAAGCCGACTCGCCTCCTGCCCAGGAATGGGACGGCTTCGACTCCGAGTCAGAGAACGACGCGCAGGACGACATAGTGTCTCCGAATCTGGTGAATGACGACGATGAAACTGCAGAAGACCCCATGGAAGGCGACGATGAGAGCACTGAGCATGCTTCCGATGCTGGAGTTGCTTCGGAATCGGACTCAGAGTCCGCACATTCGATTGGTGCAACTAGTCATCGCGTATCAGCATTTAAGCAGTGGGCTGATATGCAGCGGAACACCGCACTCGACTTCACACCGTCTACGGCACCCACGCTCGACGCCGTTGCAACGTCAAACTTCAAGCCACGACAGCCGTCCCCCGAGGTTGCCCCATCACCACATAGCATTGGCGAACGAACCTCTCGCCCTGCCGCGGCCATAACGATCCCCCGTATGGAGGCCGTGCAAGCTGCTCGCATAGAGCTTCCCGTTGTCCAAGAGGAGCAGCGCATTATGGAGGCTATTGACAGCAACGCGGTCGTCATGATCTGCGGAGCAACTGGATCTGGAAAGACGACCCAGGTACCGCAGATGATGTTCGAGGCTGGCTACGGCTCACAGATCGGCGTACGCAGCGACGCCTGCGTGGCAGCTGGTCCGCAAAGCAAAGGCATGATTGGCGTCACACAACCACGGCGTGTAGCGGCTCTCTCCGTGGCTGAGCGAGTCGCAACCGAGCTTAGTCCTGCTTACAAGCATCGTGTGGCCCATCAGGTCCGATATGACACGAGCGTCAGCCGCGACACAGCTATCAAGTTCATGACTGACGGCATCTTGCTACGTGAAATTAGTCAGGACTTTGTCTTATCGAAGTACAGTGCGATAATCATTGATGAGGCGCACGAGCGAAGCGTCAACACCGACATTCTGATCGGGATGCTGTCGAGGATAGTGCCTCTTCGTGCAAGACTAGCAAAAGAGAAGCCTGAGGAAAGTTATCCTCTTAAGCTTGTCATAATGAGCGCCACCCTACGTGTTGTCGACTTCGTTGAGAACGGTCGGTTGTTCCGAGACATCACGCCTCCGATGGTGGAAGTCGAAGGAAGGCAGTACCCGGTGACTGTGCACTTTTCCCGCAGAACGCACCATGACTATATGGCGGAGACCGTCAGCAAAGTCGCTAGAGGTCATCGGAAGCTGCCACCTGGCGGCATGCTTGTGTTCCTGACCAGCCAGAACGATATCCACGCCGTAAGTAAGCTTTTGTCGGCTAAGCTTGGCAGCCCTGGAGACGCTCTCCTCAGCAGGAGGCCTGATGTTGTTAAGTCTTTGGAAGACTTCGATGGATTTGAGGATCACAGACGCAGCATTGACTACTTGGAAGGCGAGGAGGACGAAGACTCAATCTCTGACGCGGAGATTACCGGTTTGGACGGAGATGGTGAAAGGGACGACTTCCAGGTCGAAGACGTGGACCAGTCGCGCTCCGCACCGGGTGAGCGTGGTCTACTCAAACCACATATACTGCCATTATATGCGGCGCTGCCGTCAGCTCAGCAGCTTCGTGTTTTTAAACCACCTCCAGCGGGTTCGCGGCTCATTGTGCTCGCGACCAATGTGGCTGAGACGTCTTTGACCATTCCGGGCATCAGATACGTCTTCGATTGCGGGAGAGCGAAGGAGAAGCGATATGACATTTCTACTGGCGTGCAAACTTTCGAAGTTGACTGGATTTCCAAGGCCTCAGCATCACAACGTACTGGCCGTGCAGGCCGTACTGGTCCAGGTCACTGCTATCGGCTCTACAGTTCCGCCGTCTACGAGCAGTACTTTGCCGATCATACTGTACCGGAGATTCTGCGTACGCCACTGGAAGGTACCATACTGCAGCTGAAAAGCATGGACATCGATAACGTTGTCAACTTTCCATTTCCGACGAGTCCGGACGCGGTGCAGTTGGCGCAGGCTGAAAGATTGCTGCAGAATCTAGGAGCGATCAATGAAAAGGATGGCAGGATCACAGAAACAGGTCGACAGATCATGGCGTTTCCCGTGAGTCCACGGTATGGAAAGATGCTACTCCTCGCTTACCGCAACAAACTATTGCTGCACACTGTAGCGGTGGTGGCGGGTCTGGCAGTGGGCGACCTATATGTTTCAGAGGCCCAGCTTGGTGTCTCCGCTGTTGAAACAGCAAACGGCTCGAACGAATCTGACAGCGACGAGGATGACCGCAGAGAGCGACAAATTCGAAAGGCAGCAGACACAGCCGCGGAGAAGCGCCATCAAGCATACACACGCGCTCAAGCCACCTTGTCGAGGTGGGACGGTCAGAGCGACGTGGTCAAGCTCCTCACTACGGTAGCGGCGCACGCAGAAGCCTCCGCTACAAGCAAGCCCATCGCGGCAGCTAGCAAGCTTTGCGAAGATTTCTTTCTGCGTGAGAAGGGCATGAGCGAGGTCCAGCAACTTCGCCGTCAGCTGCACAACATCGTTAACGGACGGTACCTTGCCCCTGAGTGCGCGTTCACAGATGCACTGCCGTTGCCAGCAGAGAGAGAACGAAAGGTACTGAATCAAGTCGTTGCAGCAGGCTTCGTAGATCAGGTCGCCGTTCGGCTTGATTTAATAGACGAGACAGCGACAGCAGTATTCGGCAGGAAGCCGCGGCGTGCTGCAGAGGTGCCTTACCGAACACTGATTCCTTCCGGCGAGCTCGACAATTCGGCATCGCCACTGGAGCAAGAAATGCAGCGCAGCGTCTTTGTTCACCCATCGAGCGTGCTTGCGCGACTCAGCGTGCAAGAGATGCCTCAATACATCATCTATTCGCATCTTTCACAAGTGGCGGGCTCCAGCTCGAGTCCTGGCAAGACTTCCAGAACCCGTATACACCCCTTGACTGCAGTCAGCGCTAAGCAGCTGGCGTCATTGGCTGAGGGGACGCCCTTGTTGGAGCTTGGTAAACCAATGGGCAAGGTTGAGGATACAGAGCTGGCGAAGCGACGGTGTTGGGTGCCTGTCAGCTTGAACCCGGGAGGTGGGAGCTCAAGCTGGCCTTTGACGGCATGGAAGGTGGCGCAAAGTCGCACGAGTCGTGGTGAGTGGGTAACTGAGAGTATACTCAGTAGATAAGTACACACTCCAATCATTGGTCAATGCAAGTTAATCATAAAGATATGCGCTGACGGTCATTCTCGTGCCATTCGTGCTCCCATGATTCGGAAGTTGGAGGTTAACAAGCTTGTGATGGGGATCACAATTTTAATACAAGAGTCTCTATGGCTACCTAAGTGGGCTTGCCTTGACTGGTATTGATGGTTGCACGTGTCACAGCCGGACCGTCATTCCTCCTCTGCGAAACGATCCCTGCTCCTACGCCAGCGGCAATACGGAACCCAAATTGTCCCGCGCTGGACGCGAGAAGATCGCCGTACGTGCCGCACCACCATACACTGTCCTCTCTTGCTCAACATTGATAAGCACTAAAGCTCGAGGACATCCGACCATGGCTGAAGTACGTTGCCGCTTTCTCGAACTTCCGCCGGAGATCCGTCTGCACATCTACGACCTTGTAATTTTCGCCCACAACGACTCGTGATCAGGCACTACTCCGTGCGCCTGAAGTACAGTACCATGTCGCCACCGAGTACGATTGAGTTCGTCGCCGAACTGAACATCGGCCCAATCGCGGGGGCTGGCTGTAGGCTGCTGAGGACCTGCCGTGGAATATATCGCGAAGGCAAGCCTATCCTGTACAGCCCAGCGGTCCTGTTCTGGAACCCTACTCTATTCGGCATCACTCCAAGCCCCTTCCTGCCGCGACTCTCCGAGTTCGGCCGTTTCCGCGGTTTAGGCATGCTCCAATTGTACGTTGACTTCAACGCTCTGTGCGTTCGGAAAGCAATTCCACTCTGCGCAACTCTATTCAAGCACCTTCCCTGCCAAGGTCTGGTGGGCATACTTGTTATTCTGCTCCGTGTGGAGCGCAACAATTTCACGTCATCCCAAGAACAGCGTGCGAAAACCTCACTGGAGAGCGTTGCACAGTTCCTCCGCATGTGGCGCAGCGCTACCCAGGCTCGGACATATGCCGTGACCTTCAGTATCGAGGGGTGTGTGGAGGCGACGTATATCGAGAGCCAGGATGGCGGATGGGCGGAGGGAACAGTCCTCTTGCCAGGTATGGCGGAAGGCGAGGACCTAATTGGTAACTTACGAGACGCGATTGACACCTTGCGCGAGCTGACCATGCTCAGAATACCCAGCCGAGCAGAAATATGATATCGTGAATGAAGTGAAGAGAGCGCTATCGGTTCCGGCGCACACGAGCACACTCTGAATGCGGATGATGCATCTTCAGACAGTATGTCGAGACGGCTCTCATACGTATTAGCCGATACAAACGCAAGGGAGTGAAGGAGAGCAACACGGGAGGCATCCGGAGGATATCGTTGTAGCCGTGGACTTCAGTCAAGGTCTGGGCAGGCTTCTTCCATCTTTGCCTAACGTGGTGTGCGTGAGAGGTAGGTGTATATTCACGTTCAAGCCTGACAGCTTATTCACTGCGTTACAAGGTGGAGAAGCGGACGAATGCCAAAGAGGCTTGGCTTTTACGAGCGTGAGCACACTCTACTCAAGTCTTCGTTCATGTATGTAGTTGTCTCTTGCATCGCACAGCAGATGTGCCAGCTTCACGTGGATACCCAACTGTTTATAACGCTCCATTGGATGGCATGTACATGACCGACAGAGAGAAACCTAGAGCGCGAGGTTCTGTCGGAAGACACTGTGATGGGTACAGAACGGCAGTGCTGCAAGTTACGTGAATGTCATTTTGGCTAGCGATTTTACTGTCGCAATGCCTTTGCAGAGACATATTGATCAGCATAGCACCACCAATGGGAGACATGGCCGTAGGGACGTGTAAGGCATGGCACATGGTCACTAACAATATAGTCGCTCTGTATCGCACTAGGTAAACCCAGACTGGTCTCATGCTGTTGAAGAAGTTCCTCTGTCGTAGTTTCTCAGCCCCGGCTGCTCCCTCCAGAACCAAATTCCTCTTTCAAGCCTTGTCCGTGTTGGGCATGGATCGGCGAAACGCAACCTTCTCCACGACCGCACTGCCTTGCAAGTCGTCGGTCGAACGCAAAGCTTGGTATGGCGTACCTTGTTTGCTGCGCGTGCATTCCTTGCACCGTTAGCGACTATGTGCTCGCTACACCAGCAGGAGATACTAAACCACGCTATCATCGTGCATAAACGCATCGCCGCGTTGAAGCGGACTGTGACTGCAGGATGCCGCCGAAGAAGAAGCAACCGGGCGAGCTGCAGTTCGTCGTGACAACAAACCCTTTCGAGGCTAGCAGCGCAGTCAACAGACGTCGGATCCGCTCTCAAGCCGCTCTACAGAGTTGGCCAGAGAGACGTAAGCGGACCTTTCAACAACTCGACGAGAGCAGCATCCAATCAGGCACTTTCCATAGCCGGACGTACGCACCCGGACCAGCAGCAGAGGCGCCTTTGCCGAATCTTGAAGCCCCCGGGAACGAGACAGCTGCGACCGCGACGGTTCTTAAGCTTGAGCATCCACGGCCCAGCCTTCCGACGGCGCCACCTAGCGCGAATGAATTACCCACCCTGGGCGCTGCGGATGCACCGTCACCATGTACGCGATCGTCTACACCGGAGTCACCATGCCGGTGTCACCAATGCCATCCAGCACGGGACGCCGTATTACGGGTCGCTGAGCGCGAGATCCTCAAGCCTACGGGTCGGAGAAGGCCAGCAGAAGCTTCGAACCACAACACTGACCTTACGTTGCTTACTCCGCCTTCATCACCGAAGCCGCCATTCAGTGGCATGGCGGATCCTTTCAACTGCTACCCAGTCCCTTACAAGCCACTTTACGATGCAATTCTGCATCACATGCTCACTGTATTCGCCCCACGCGGCTGGCCGGCGCTGAAGATCACGACTAAAGAAGGCTTGAAATGGGAACAGTTCATGACCCAGCATGCTTTGGCAGACCCGGCGTTATTCTATGTGCGATTACTCTTCGCCTCTGGAGATTTGGTGAGGCTAAAGGTCCTGCAACCGGAAGTGTCCCACTGGCTTCGGATTGAGGCGATTAAAGCGATCAATGAAGCACTGCAGGATCCACAACGCGCCACATCTATTCCTCTTATCCTAGCGGTTGGCCGCATAGCATTCAATGAGTTTCTGTACGGTGACCGTAATGCGGCTAACACGATTCATCGGCCGGCTCAACAGAGAATGCTGCGGATACGCGGCGGACTCAAGGCTCTGGACACTATCCCAGAGCTGGTGAAGCGTCTCATGCGGCTCACAGATACGATTATGGCCAAGCAAGGTGGCACTGAGCGTTTCATCGAGGATGATGACACGAGTAAGAACTTCTCCATGGAGGCTAGCTTGAACGTACTGGAAAAGTGGGCGCCGAAACAAGGCCAGGAGTTGAGAAGGAAGATCAGTATTTCCGACCTTGTGAATGACTGAAGCTTCAACAACGAGTCCCCGAGTTCCAACCCCGGCCATATTCAATATAAGCTGAAATGACACCTGTCAATCGTCCAGAAGCTGTACCTTGACGGCCTTCGCAGACGGCGTTGTTGCTGCCTCAAAGGCCGCCTTGCCTTCCTCAAGCGGGAAGCGGTGTGTCACCAGCGGCTTGAGATCGATCAGTCCTTCAGATACCAGCGTGATAGCCTTAGGATAGGTCTCTCTATATCGGAACTGGAACCGAACATCAATCTCGCGGATGGAGGCGTGCATGAAGGGTATCTGTTGAAAGTCCTTCCCAACACCAATGATAAAGACAGCACCGCCGAACTTGCAGGCCTGAACTCCAAGTCAGCGGTCTGCATGTGCCACCCGGACAATGAGGCACACACGTATATGCCGGTATGGACACTGCTCTCTACGCCCGTGCACTCCAATACCAGCTGCGCTTCTCGGCCCAGCGCTTGCTTGACGCGCTCTGCGTTCTCCTCGGCGCCTTGGTTTGGCTCAATCTTTACGGTGCGAACACGCGGCACAAGCGACTTCGCCATGGCAAGCCGATACTCGTCAATGTCCGTGATCACGAGTGGAGCCGCACCGGCGGCATGGGCTGCTAGCAAGCTCACCATGCCGATGGGACCAGCACCGCAGATGACGAGTGGGTCACCCAAGCGCAGCCCGGAACGATCAATACCGGCGAGCGCAACAGAAAGCGGCTCAAGCAGAGCGCCTTCCTCGAAGCTAATGCTGTCCGGTAAAGGATGGAGCCAGTCTTCTGCGTGGGCGTGATAGCGCCGCAGAGTCCCATGCACAGGCGGGGAGGAGTAAAAGACGATGCTTTTGCAACCGTTATACCGACCCGTGCGGCAGGCTTCGCAGGTTGGCTTTGAGCAGGGTATGCCGCATTCGATGGCTACACGATCACCTTCCGAATTCCAAGCGTAAGCACGGATAAGCAAGAGATGTTACGAAACCTATGGACAGATATACCGATCTTTAGCCGTTGGACGTCGCTACCTGCCTTGACTACGACGCCTGCACTCTCGTGACCGAGCCCAAGATTGCGGTCGATGATTGAGGTACTGCAGGCTCGGGAGGTCAGCCGTTAGTGATGCCCTAAACAGCAGGCATGAATGAATCGACCCTATTTTTCCAGCTTTCCAGAAATGCACATCGGAGCCGCAGATGCCAGTAGCGCGAACATGGACCAGACACTCATTTGGTCCGGGCTCTGGCGGAGTGGCATAGACAACGATGAGTTGATGGTCAGGTGTGGTTTCAATGGCGATGTTGTTCGGCTTGCGGGTAAGGACCTCGGTGACTGTGGCCATGTTATATGCGTTGTTTGTTGGTGTCGTCAAACGAATCAAGAGATAATGGTATGGCCGGGCGAACAAATGCTGAGCTTGTCTGTTGCCTTAAGTACCCCTCAGAGTACGTCTACGTCTATCTGCAACGCGTACATGCAGAGCGCACATTTCACCTGCTGATCGACACGGCGTTGGCGGTCGTTGCCGACGCTTGCTTGCTGCAGACACCGCACGTCGTAGAAAGCCGCTGCCTCACCCTCCATACTGCGTAGCGACGTCAACGCCTGGTGGGAACAGGGGTCGCTACTGAGATTGGAGCGCTTTCATATCGAAGCCGGGCGTCGTTCGAGTGATCCTAGATGTTTTCCATGTTCCACTGTTGCAGTGGTCATCAGTATCTCTGCACTTCTACTTCAAGCCAATAGCCAAAGCGAACAATCATGCCTTTGCAAGAAACTACTTTGATTCTCTAGATTCTAGCTTTTGATCTATGCACAAGACGTACATAGCAGTGAACCTGCTCAGCAAACCCGGAACCAACTCCGCGCTAATGCGCAACACCAAAGAACTTCCGCACGGCTCAGCGTTTTCGAAGCCGACGTAGTACGCATCAGACCGGGGCAGAACGGTCACTTACTCCGAATCGTCGGCCTCAACCATGACAACCCTCCTGCTCTTCTCCTGGCCCCGGGCCGACAGCTTCGCCGGCGCAAGACCAAGGCCATTCCTGTTGCGGAAGAAGAGCACCTGCGCGTTCTCGCCCTTGGCATTTTCCATCGGCTCAACCCACTGGCACCATCGCGCGCTGTTCCACATGGCCCGGATGAAGCCAAGCGAACCGCCGCGGGTGTCGGAGCGGTAGTGCTGGCCCATTATGGGCTTGATGGCCTCCGTGGCCTCGTCGGCGTGGTAGAAGGGGATGGTCGAGACGTAGTGGTGGAGCACGTGGGTCTCGATGATGCCGTGAAGGAGCTGGCGACCGATGAAGCCGAATTCGCGATCGATCGTGGCTGCGGCGCCGCGGGCGAAGTTCCAGGCTTCGCCAGTGTAGTGTGGGAGGGACGGGTCGGTGTGTTGGAGGAAGGTGATGGCGACTGAAGAAGATTGAGTTAGCCGCTTTCTTTATGTCATTCAGTGTGAGATCGCTTACCTAGCCAGTGGTTCACCCACAGATACGGAAAGCCGTACCAGACCAGGAGGTTCATCCAACCGTAGGTGCTACCAACAAGGTACAGGACGCAGCCGGTGATTAGGAGGCCGAGATCAGAGAGCAGGATCAGATGCTCATCCTTGCGTTCGTACAATGGGCTGCTTGGCAGGAAGTGGTTGACCGAGAAGTCTCCGTTCCTCTTACCAATACCCTTACCCTCGATCTGCTTTTCGTGGTGGTTGTGACCTGTCACATTCGCCGCGATGTAGTACGGCCAGCCGACCAGCTGCTGCCCGATGAGCATGGTTGCAGTATAGAGCGGTGTGTCCTCCAATAGCTCGTGCATCTCCTCCATGACATAGCCCATGCGAGTCGCGTGCTCTTCACGGGTACGCGGCATGAACACCATGTCGCGCTCCATGTTCCCGGTAGCCTTGTGGTGCTTGCCGTGGCTGATCTTCCAGCTGAAGTATGGCACAAGGAGAGCAGAGTGCAGGATCCAGCCGACGGTGTCATTGATCGTTTTGCTGGGTGAGAAGGACTGGTGGCCACACTCGTGCGCAATCACCCAAATGCCTGTACCGAATAGACCTTGGAGGAACGTGTAGCCAGTCCATAGCAATGCGCGGAGTGGGTAGGATGGCACGTACTCGGGCGTGCAGAAGGTGTTGAAGGCGTAGAAGGTGGTTGCCAAGCACGCAATGTCCCGAGCAACGTAAGATAGACCGCGCACGGCTGATCGCTCGAAGCAATGTTTGGGGATGGCATCTCTGATGTCCTTGATGGTGTAGTCGGGTAGCGTGAACTCGTTGCCGTAGGTGTCGAAGAGCTTCTGCTTTGGCTCTTGCTGGAACTCTTCCACTGAACCGAGAGACGACAGTGAGGTTGACGATGCTGAAGCAATGGGAGAGTCGCCGGGTGAGCTTGTTGTCGAACTTGCCGAGGTGGACGGTACCGAGTCGACAGTGATGTCGGTAATGTTTCGTCTGAGCGCCGCTCGAGGCGGCAGCGCGGTGCTCATCTTGACTTTGGGTGTGGAAAGTAGGATTCTATGGTGCGGAGTGGCAGAGACGAGGTGTACGGTGTAGGAGTAGCGACAGACAGTGTAAACAGGATACTGCAGAGGTATCGGAGAAAGTCGTTGACTTCTGTTCGCCCAGTCCACGTGCTCGCCGATCCAGATGCCGTTGAGCAGTCGTGTGCGGCTTGGCTTGGCGGCGTTGGGATGTTGTACCAATGGCACTTGGCAGAAAGGCGAACAAGGAGCGATAAGCCTGGCCTTTTGCTGACCGGTAACACACTGGAGATGACGCTATAAGGAGTGGAAGTGTCTCGATGTTTCAAGCGGGAGAAGGAGCGACAATCTTATGGACACATGTTCGCTGGCCAAGTGTTTGGCGGTGGATAAAAGCGCAGGAGCGGTAAGCCCACCCAAAATTTACTGTAGGAGCAACTCCAGACAGTAGAAGCGATGCTAGCGCCCACCGCCGTTGACGGCAGGGACTCCACAAGGGTCTGCGGCCAGATCGCCCCTCAATCTGCCTGACTTTGCATCGAACGATTATTTTGGCGGTGCGCAGCTGCTTTCGCCGCTTGAGCAGCGTCATTGCTCACGAAAACTCGGGCTTGAAAAAGTCCTGCTCCGCCAGTAGTTAGTGAACGTGAACGTGATGCAATGGCGATGACGAGCCGCTCGTAGATGAGGGAGCCAATCTGAGCCTTGCGCAGGACCGAGGCTGCGGGAGCCACGAGGGGACCTGCAGATTCAGCGCAGATTCCTGCCGTCCGCCCGCATTTGCCCCGCCACAATACGGTCAATGGCGGCAAAATGATGGCGAGCGCTCGAGGCGAGAGACGGCCGTCGCGGGGCAGACCCTCTCAACTTCCATCAGAGAAAGTGGCTAGTGCTCCCTGACCGCCACTATTCGGTTGTTGATTTACATGTAGTAAGGAGGTAAGAAAGTGTCCAATCTAACGATCTTTGCGCAGAAAGATGATCACGGCAAGTGACGGCGGGATTGTCGCGTGGGCTTGGAAAGTGACCTTTGATGCGGTACGAACATGTGCGTGAGAGGCAGGCAGTCATTGGTCATTGATCTCCTCAACATGTGAGCTTGTCTTGGTATTCAGCCAACGACTTCGACATGTGAAGATGCACGACATCGGGCGCCTTGAGCCACAGATGGGAGGTGTGGTCCCTGCAGGAACATCACATCAAGGTGTCTTCAGTCATTGAGACTGTGTGGTTGTCCGCTTGAGACATGATTGATTGTTCCAAAAAAAGTTGTTTCGAGTTGATCCAGCTGCCAATATGGTGCAGAACGTGAACCGACCAACTAGTAGCATCAACATTGTTGAGCTTTTCCCCTGCCTTCCGCAAGTTGAAGTGCGCGCTGACACGACCTCACCTCGCCTGACCTCACCTCATCTGACTTCAGCTGATGTTGAAACGTACACTTCCCATCTCCGACGCCTACGGCCGGTCCGGCCAAAGCTCGTGTGCCACATCTTGCACCAACTTCAGCTTGGCGAACATCTTCTCATCTGTCATGCCCTCTGCGCCGACGGCGACACTGGCAAACCCACACTGAGGACTAATGCCAATGTTCTGCATCGCATCCTCAACGCTGCGGCCCTGGCCCTTGGCGATGATCTCCGCGGCCTGCTTCACGCGGCTCTTAATCAATTCCGCATCTTCTAGCTGAGGGTCTTTGGTGGTGACAACGCCGAGCACAACGTTCTTATGCTTGGGCAGGAAACGCAAAGGCTCGAAGCCGCCGGACCTTGGGTTGTCGTACTCAAGGTAGAATGTGTCGTAGTTGAGCGTCTTGAAGAACTGCTCGGCGATGGCTTCGTAGCTGCCCTCCGAGAAGTGCATGGACTTGGAGAAATTGCCTTGACGAGGAATGTCAGCTTGCTGAATGCGCTCGCAGAAGACACAAACCCACCTCTGCAGATGTGCAGACCGACGTGCATGTCCTGCGGCCGATCGGCAATGCAGTCATTGTGCGCCTTAAGATACATCTCGAACATCTTGTCGGTATCCTCCCCGTCATCCCTCAAACCCTTCAGCATGTCGTCGGAGCAAAAGTACGCCAACGTCGGATCATCAATCTGCAGATTCCGCAGACCCTCGCCATGTAACGTCCGGATCTCCTTCCTGTAAGCCGCGGCAAGGTCGTTGAAGAAGGCTTCGTCGTTCTTATACACCTCCGTGTTATAGCACTTGCCCTTCGCCAACCGGAGGTGGAAGTAGCACGGCGGCGGCATGGTGAACTTGCATTCACCCCACTGCTCTTTCGGCACGCATTCTCGCAATAGCTTCCAGTTGTCTAGGTACGGGCTTTGCGAGTAGCCAATCTTACCCGTGCATATGGCAGCCATGGGATACTGCTTGCCCGCCTTCTTCAATGCGGCAATGGGAGCTGCGCTCAACCTGGCCAGGTCCCATGGCACCGGTGATACCTCTTCAAAGCCATCGAGCTTCTCGAAGAAACCGGAGAAGTAGTACTTGCGGTCGAACTCGCCAGAGCAGAGGGCGCGTACGCCATGGTCCTGCTGCTGCTTTACCACATGGGCAATAGCTTTCTTTTGGGTGTCTCGAAGTTCAGCAGCTGAGATCTTGCCGGCATCCGCCTTCTCTTGGGCTTCGGCGACGTACTCAGGGCGGATAAGAGAGCCGATGTGATCAGCATGGAACGGGAGCGTGCTTGCCGACATCTTGGAAACAGAACAATGAAAGGGTACGCAGATCACCACAGCAAGAGTAGAATTGAAAATACAATGTGTACCTACAGCATCCCCACCTGGCTGTCTGTCTTCGGCGCGGACCGTCTCTGCTCCAATCCTTTCGCTAGTCAGCAGAAGGCATAGCGACAACTACCGTACCAATATCTTTGTGTCATGCAAGTGAGCAGAGTTTGATGCATTGGCGCGCCCGAGAAGCGGACTTGAGGAAGCGGAGTTCGGCAGATGTAGAAAGCTCAAATGGCGGCGTCTATAAACGGTTGTTTATGCCTTGGTGCCTTATGCTGCGAAATACGTCGGCCTTGGCCTTTCTCCTCTCTCGCTCTTCTTTCACCACAATCGAGTATCAAAGGTGCGCGTCCCACCGTGGAAGCGTCAGGGTAACTTCTCAGGATACGACGTCTCGTTGAGTACCCTCCTCCCATCGTAACGTTGGCCAATGGGCTTGCGGGGTGTTCTCCCAACTGCATCCTCGACAGAGGCTTAACACACTTAAATGGTCGCGTTAACCCAACCCTTTGTCGCGATGCTACTCGTATCGTATCGTATCGTATCCTAGTAGCGGATGTCTCCCTTCGCTTTCTTCACTTGTCTACCTCTCCCTGTCCCGTTTTCATTCTTTCCTTTGTGGCTCAAGTCAATGTAACTTGCAAGAACCACAGCTTTCTTTACCGAGAGCATAGTTCCGGAACAACGAACGAAGGCTTGCGCTTCATTCCATGGCGCCATCTCGCCATACGGATCCGGGGATGCTTGACACCCCGCCGATTTGGAAGACGGGCAGGCGCGAATTCGAAGGCCTGCAGCACGCTGAGATGCCTGAGAAGATACCCCTTCAACGGCGCCTATCCTGCCGATCCAGGGGATATACAGGTACCGGGGTACTCAAGGCGTGGGTCAAAATGGCTTATCTTCATCGCCGCGGTCCTCGCGGCACTCCTCGGTTTGGGAAATGGCATTGGCATAGGGTACGCGACGGCAGACAGCAATCGTAGCGTAAGGTAAGATGTCCAACGCGGAGACTGCGGACATTCTCGTTCTTCAGGCCGATTATTGGAATGTTTCCACCTACAGCAGCGGAGGCGACTCGTGAATGTACTAGTACACGCACCGTCACAATAGCGGCAGGCTGTGGCACCGTTGGGGCTTTAACCACTGCGACCAGCTACCCGCTCAACACCGCCAAATTAATCAGTGTCACATCATCCGCTGCCACTGCGGTTGCCATCGCCATCGCCATCGCCAGCACCAGCGCAACAACTTCGCCCGTGACAAGCGGCACAACAGGTCTTGCAGCAGTCCCATGCAACATGACCGGCGCCAATTCAAATCTTGCATACACCTCAACAGCAAACTCGTCGAAAAACTACACCTTTGCCATTGAATGCTTCGCCGACTACCCGAACCACATAGCAGCTTTTGACGGCAATAACATGGTGTTCGATGTGTAAGCAAACGCCTCTTCAGAGCCGAAGACGGACAAAGACTGATGCGTTGGACTGCGACACACTGACTGTCTACTCGGTATGTCAGTGTATCGAAGAATGCGTGAAGTACAACGGAGGCAGCAGTGGGAAGCACATGTGCCAGGCGGTTTCTTAAGACGCTACCCTGACGTCGTGCGTCTTACACGCAGGGAGGAATTGTTGATTGAAGAGTACGAGGGGCGTAACTTCCAGTGAACCAAATTGGGAGTTCATGCCAGCGCTTGTCTCACAGCGCGAGGAAAAGGCTAAGCCTACCATTCACGAGACTGTACGCAGCGGTCGGCGGACGGCGGTGTAGGAGACTTCCGCATCGCTAGGACGCAAACGGTTCCGGGAAGATACGGTCACCTTGAGCGCAGGATATCGTCAGCTGGTGGAAGAGGCGAACGTCTCACTTGGATGACGAGCGAAGAGCGCTTCATACATGTAACATCACAGGGCTGAGGCTCTGCGGTGGTGGGCCATCGTAACAGGCTGTTGATTGCTGTGTCAAGCCGGCCACCAGCGGCAGTCCGTGGGAGCGGCCGGGCACGCGGCCAACATGCGATCAACACTTTGCAGACCGGCGATTGATAAAGTGGTTAGTATGGTTCGTAGAGCCATGCAGAGCAATGTTAGCGGCCATGATTCAGGCGGTTAAGGACTGGCGCCGTGCAAAGTTCCTACATTGCAGAAGTTTGCGAGCAAAAGACGGACACTGTTGCTGTCAGGCGGAAGTTGCTTGCCACGTGACATATTGTTGGTGCCTTAACGCCTAATCACCTCCATGTCTTGTCTACTTCAACCTCGACCTCACCATCTTCCGCATATGGGTGGCCATATCCGCCAGTAATAATGTCTCGCACCTTCAACGCCATCTCTCCGGCCGCCAACATTGCTCAAAAGTACGGCGTCGACTTACTTAGCCCAGCGCACAAAGCTCCTCTCCAGTCACTCCTAACCAAACTGTACCGCAAACCTGTCGAACTGAACCTCATCAAAATCCGCCGTCCGCAGCTCGAATCCGATGTTCTAGCATCATACGTGGCCCAACGTCTCGGTGACCGTGTCCTTCAACCACGCAGAGTAATCCGGGATGCAGCATGGAAAGCGCAGCTTCCTTCCGCTCGCGTGGTGACGGAGCTGCAACAAGCCAAAGCTCAACGAGGCAAGACTGTTAGTAGCACCGAGGTGGAGAAGAGCTCGTCTTTTGGCCCGCTCCGGACGCAGACGAAGAGTATCATACGCGGCCTGAATCTAAGTCAAGTGAGCAGTATCGCGGTGCATGCGGCAGGACGTCTGTCGAAGCGTATCACAGCCAACAGGGCGCAGAAGAAGATGGCGAGACGGGGTGCAAACACCAAGGGAGCCGGGTATATGATGAGAGGGTTCCAGAAGTCGCATACGACGGTGGGCAATGCAACTGGAAAGAGACGTATCGGTGTTTATGGTGTGAGGGTGGATGTTGGGCATACTTGATTGGGCTTGCGTAGACACGCCGTGCTTTGGGAGGCCGGAGTACCAGGGTCAGTGGCGTGCGAGGGCATGAGCGGGCCCACTGGGAGGGTTAAATGGGACATGCAAGACACTGCTCGCGCGCCGGATGGTGTTGGAGACTCCCAAGGATACCTGAGCAACATGCGTCACGAGCTCGCAGTGGCCAAGCAAGCTTTTACCTCCATAGAGCTCGCCGTCTGCATGTCAAATTATCGGCTAAGCATCACCGGGATGTGGTTGGCGATGCAAATTCAGATCCGGAAAACAACGAATGTGGTTTACTAGTGGGAGTACGAGAGCGGGATGAGGTTAGCTCGAGGAGTAGGAGACACGTGAAGCGTGGAATGACAGGTCTCACCTCTCCCGAGCATGTGTAGACGTGTGAATGTCTTCCGACCTGCTGTGGAGCTCTGGGCGTAGCATTAATATCTTGTAAAGCACGCGAAGCTGCCAAGCATACTCTCGTGTGAGATAGAGCGGCAAGTGCGACCGGTGGTTGATTGTTCCTTCCGTTGCAGGAAGCTCATGGCCACAACACGAGAGTGACGCGCAATACGGCCGAGCCTCTTCACGCCTCAAACACCCCAACCAACATACAACAGTATTTTGTGCAAGACGGGCCACAGGCTTGACACACCGCTGGCTATGGCCTTCACAATTAAGATGGCGAAGGCGAAGAAGAAAGGCAAGGGCGCCAGGAATCTGCCGCATCAGATCTGTGACGGACAGCACTGCGTGTCCATAAGCGGCCATTGCATTCATGCAGGCTGTGAAGAGCTGCTCCAGCTCCAGCTGTATGACTTGAACAATGAGAATCTGTCGCTCTCTCTGGCCGTTGACATCCGCAGCGAGGCTGACACCAAGCTCTACAATGGATGCGGCTCCGTGCAGTGGACTCGTGAAGAGTCGAAAATGTACCATCAAGCTATTGCCTGCATTGCTACAGACACCAGCCCGACGACCCCAGATTGCCATTGCACCTTCTGTAAAATCCACACGGCCCGCGAGGAAGCAATTGTTTGGCGCAAGAAGCTGGCTGCAGCCGAGACCAGACTCGACCTGCTACGAACGTATCAAGCGGCCAATGATAAAGACGCCGTTGATACAGCTGCCGAGAACCGGTATGCTGACGTCTTGGGCTTAGCTGCGCTACGCTACGCTGTTACTGACCTTACATAGCTACTTTGCGAAGGGAAAGTACTTTAATGTAACCGGCAGCTTGCGCGGCTATGGCGCGGCAGCACTCAAGCCCAAGCTGCAGATGCAGAGTTCTTACGATGTTGCGGCTCTGACGACAAACAGTATGATTAGCAAGCCAATCAAAACCGCGGCCAGAGAAAGCGCACCTAGGTTCACCAAGGCCATAGCCGCTGGTGTCGACAAGCAGGCAAAGGTCGGCGCCAGCGGTGATGGATCGTTGCAGAGTTTGCTGCAGTACATTCAAGCAGATACCGCAGAGCGAGAGGAAATAGTGCGGTGTGTTCTCGCCACGGCGGAGGAACTGCGAGCAACGTTCAACAGCCAGTCTGCGACATGCCACCAAGGCCGAGCAAATGATGACTCCAGCGATGTCGAAACTGGTTACTTAGAGAACGACACCGACGAGCATGTGAAGTCTGATGAGGACGATGAATCTTGAGCAGCTGGACGTATCTGGTAAGAGGTCATGGGGACGTAATCGTTACGAACTGTAAAGTTGCCAATGTACACCGAGGCTTGTGCCAGCTGCCTCACGCAGTAACACTGCGAGCATGCAACAACTCGGGTTATGAATTTCCAATGAAGCTCACCTTCCCCTCTCATCTTGAAATCCCTTGTGCGTCTCCCTTCCTCGGCGGTGTAGTGAGATGACTGGCCGGCTGCACTAGGCTCTTCGTAGGGCTCCCTTTCCGTGGACTCGTCCCCTGCCGTGCACCAGGTGCAAAGTTGCCCACTGGCGGTAGGCGCGGCGAGCTGGCGGTATGCAGACTCTTCGCTGGTGAAGAGAACGGCAGCGTGCCTCCTAGCGGCGTCTGAAAAAGAGCCTGATCCTCCATCTCTTCGTCTACCTCAACGGGTCTGCGTGACCCCCAGTCTGCCGTCACACTTAGCAGCTCACTAGTGATCTGGTCTTCGTGATTAGCGAGCATGTCGCTTATGGTGTCATTGTGACTCTGGAAGAGCCTGCCGAAACGCCTCTTGGGCTTTCGAGCGATCTCCATTTCCCAGAAGCTATGTCTGTATGAAATGAAGACCATGGAAACATTGTAGTACCATCGCGGCAAATCCTCATTTGTAGGTGACTTGCAGCTTTGCAATGATACGTCTTCGATGAGAGAGATGGCTTTGGTTAGCCGCTCGGTCGCACGCTCCTCGTTCGCTTTGATGAAGTTGACGATCGCGCCGTGGCCGGTATTGGTGCCCATGAGGATGACATGCGTAGCTTCATTCGGCTCGATGTAGTTGTCCCACAGGTAGGCAAGCACTTCCGTAGCCTCTTTCGTCCGTGCTTCGGCCTTGTCGCTATCTTGGTAGTCTTGTGCATCCGATACATCAGTGACATACCGTGGGAGGTTGACATCGATGACTGCAAAGTCTTCCTTAGCAGCCCAGTCGACGTATGACTTCACAATATCAGTCTTGGAGCTGTTAGCGAATCCTCTGCGTCTCGCAGACTGAGGCTATCTGCACTTACCAGCCAGAGATTGTGAAGCTCGATCTTGCCTGTCCGCGGATCAGGCTCTGGTACTATGCCAGGCGGCTCGTGCAAGATCACAAAAAGCGGGCGAGCCTCCATGTAGTTAGGACTAATACAGCTGTCAGTCTCCACCAAATACAGGTATTAGCCCGTAACATACGTGGCAAGGACCTGATTCTCGAACGACTTCGACAACTTATCCCGGTGAATGAAGAGCGGCGTCATCTGGTGTTGCTCCCATAGCTCTGCAGCTTGGGTCCTTCGCACCAAATCGTGCATTCTCTCCCCGTGCAACGGACCCGCAAGCTGCGCAGAGAGGTCTTTCGGGTAAAGGCAAGACCAGAACTTACTCTGTTGCCGTGCGACCATCTTGACATCTTCCACCCCACTCCGAGTTGGGTTGAGATTCGTCAGACGGTCCGGCGGCTCGCCCATCAGTGTACGGCCAACGGCGCAGGCTGAGCGAGCAATTGACTGAAGGTTGTAACCACCCTCGAGGCAGACAGCCACCTTGCCCTGAGCCAGAGACATGAGCATATGTGTCATGTGAGCGTAGCCGGCGGGAGTGACAAAACAGCCACCGAGCATATCGCCTTCCGCTGCATCGAAGCCTGCCGCAATGATCACCAAGTCCGGCTCAAACTCGGTAGCAATTGGCATGACCACCTGTTGGAAAGCGTAGATGTAATCGGCATCTCCCATACCGTAGTTTCGCCACGGTATATTGACGTTCCGCCCCAGCGCAGTATCTCCGCCGCAGTGCAGGTGATCGCCATAAGGGCCGCGTTCATCACGGTACGATCGCTCAGGATAGAAGTTGCCGCTCTTGTGCACGTGCAAGGAGATATATAGGACATTCTGGTCGTCATACGTCGCTTGCTGGATGCCATTCCCGTGGTGAACGTCCCAGTCAAGAATGAACACTTTGCGGCAGCGCTCGCCAAACTCTCTCTGACAGACCCGGGTGGCAATGCTGACATTGTCGTAAAAACAAAAGCCTTTCACGTCTTCGCGCTCAGCATGGTGGCCTGGTGGCCTTATGACGGCGAAAGCATTTTTAACCTTGCTTAACATGACTGCTCGACATGCCTCAATTGCGCCACCAGCTGATAGTGCGGCGCAGAACGGCGTATTCGGTGATATGTAGATGGAGTCCAACTGTCTCTGACCAGGATGTTGGACAAGATCCTCCAACTCTTCAGGACTACGGGTGCTCAGCGTCTGAATCCAGTCCCAGTGTCTCTCGGCGTGTACTAAACATACTTCCTCCTTCGTCACTAGTCGGGCGTCTATGCGGCCCATGTAGAAATTCGAGAAAGTCCCAAATCGCTTCGCCCATGCCAGGCCAGCCTGTACGAAGGCCTCGAAGATCGCGTGTATCCTGCGCGGATCCTCAGGATGAACATCATCTTCCGCAGGATTGACTTCGCAGTGAAAGCGCATGCGCACATCATAAACTAGACCAGTTTGTGACGTTGCGTAGGGCAGAGCTTTGAACTTTGACTGCTGCGGCTTGTCTTCCTTCGGATCAAGCTTGTCAAAGACTTCAGCAGCTCGTATGATGCCTGCACCTTTCAGCGTTGCCGGCAAGCTGAGGACGAAATCATCGTTTTCGGGTTTGATCACAGAATCTGTGAACTGAGTGAACCTTTCTGTTGAGACGAGGACATCTCCGTCGCCATCTTGCATTAGATCATCCGGCTCGTCAAGGTCCATATCGTGTGGCAAACGTAACACGGTCGCTCACACAAAACGGCCGCATGTCGCTCCGTTGCTGGGCCTCGATTGCCAACGGGCGCGCACGCTTCGGCTGCGCTCTGCCAGCATGTTAGCATGTGCTGCACAGATTCGTTTCGATAAGATTCCCGAGCCACAACAGGTTGCCGCACTGTAGCGTGAACAATAGCTAGAGAAGATGGCAAATGAAGCTTTATCCTCGCTCGTGACAGCGTCAGCAACCGGCGCACAATACACTTACCGCGAACAGCTGTCAGAATACCTGTTAGACAGGAGAGTATGTAGCAACTGCTGTTGCAAAGTAGTCATCGACTTGTTCCATTCCTTAGTCGAAATACTAATAAGTGAATTATCAGAGAAACGATAATTTAGTCAAATAGTAGTATTCGTCCAAGAGCGGCTAGCGCTAGCTTGCTTAATTAAGCGCTATATAAGTCTATAGATTTCTAAAACGCTCTATAGCTATCTTTCTCTAAATCTAGTCTTTAGTTTTAGTAGAATAAGAGTTAGTTAAATCTAAGAAATCTATAATATATTCGCTAATACTTTGCGGATCTAATTAGACTCTTCGAAATAGTTATTTAAGTAGGCTTCTAAGATATATATATATAATACGCTACTTTTCTTTAATCTTAACGTAAATCTAGATATATACCAATACATAGCAACTGTTAGAAATATACAGAGTACAATATTATAATAACAACAAGAACGTCGATTTTGGAACACTTCAGGTCTAGAGGCATTGTTATAGATTTAGTCCGGCAAACAGATATTGCAAAAGCACTTACTCACATTCAGTCTGCGGTGAATGCTTCCTCTAGGTTCAATTGCGGGTGAACAGTTGTGAATCGCTCCACGTATCTCACTGGACTCTGCTGCCTGCACCTACGGCTCACTAGCCTGATGAACAAGGTCTTCGGCATATGCTGATGATGATAGTCGTATCGGGAAACACAGCAAGGGTATGCCTCACACGCCGCTCGCAGCTGCCGGCTATGTCAGAGCATGCGATTGGTGTTCGCATAACATGAAGTGATATGATAGCCGGGTGATAAGGTACTGCTTCTGACCGGCATGACAGACACATGCTTGCGTATCATCGTCAAGACCGCACCAATGCGATTCGACCGCCAGCTTTGATCGTTTCGCCCTGTTGGACGAGCACCTTCTCAATCTTTCCATGGTTCAAGTCGTCTGGTGCATTCACATTGATCTCAAGCTTCATAGCCTCAAGGATCGCTATGACCTGCTTCGACTCGATGGCGGTTCCCTCCTCAACCAATACCTTCCAGACATTAGCTTCGACCGGTGCATCGATGCTCGAAATTGCTGGATCTGTACACGTTCAGTCACTTGTCAGCAGCCAAGTACTGTCTTCGTGGACTCACCAGCAAGCAATGCGTCGATTGTGCCCTCGTCTGGCTTTTCCTTCTCCTTCTCCTCCCGCCATTGCCGCAATGACTTGTTCTCCGCATCGATCATCTCCATTTGGACCTTAGCCTGCCTTTCGCGCAGCTGCTGCACCTCACTCGCTGTCTCCTCAAGGAGCCTATTGTGCTCCGCCATATCAAACTCAACATCCTCCCATTCGAACTCATATAATCCAGCACGAAAGCGTCCGAGCTTCTGATTCAGCTCTTCCTCGCTACATTGATAGAACGTCAGCAGGTCGAAATCTCGAAAAAGCCATGGCTGCTCGATGGAGAAGCCAGCCTTGTAGCCGAGATAGTCGAAGCAAGGAACCGTTCTCGCTATTATCATATAGCCGCCAGGCGAATCGACAGGATATATTGAAGCACATGAACCGCCCCATCCGAACGTGCCTTCGGGTGTAAAGACCCGGCTTGGGTTCGTCTTTGGACATGACATGCGCTGTCGAGGATCGACCGGCAAAGAGACAGTATTTCCACAATAGAAGCCGACCACGACAGCCATCAGCGTGCCCTTCAGCATGTTCTGCTTCAGCTGCTCAGGAGTGAAAGCGTTATTCTTCGCCACAAAGCCTAGGTTGTCTGGCAGATAAGGTGCGTGCGGTCGCTGAGTCTCCATGTAACGCTTCGTGGCTTCCGATTGCTCTTTGCTCTCGAACGAGAGCGGAAGTCTGAAGCGCCGGCAGGGTACTTTGATCCTGCTGAGATCTCCGAGTCTATCTTCAAGCATCTGCAGATGCTCAATCAGCTGATTCCGCGGAAGTTTGGCTCCATCGTAGAACAGCGTAATTGATGTGCAGCATCCGACTGTGTTGATCAAGCTTTCTTTTAGCCATGAAGGTGCATCCGGGGATCGCAGAGCCTTCTCTAGCGCTGTCACTCGACAACGGTGGTTGAGGTCGAACTGCTCATTGCCATATTCAACCAGTATGAAGTCATCGCCGCCCTGCCGGTATCGTACCTGCGGCTGGTTCTCTTGCGGAGCCCTCTCCCAAATAACTGCTTTGCCGTAGTTTCCAGTCGTGTCATGCGTCAGCTTAAGTGCGTGCACATCCTTGAAGTTGCCAGTCTGTACACCGCGCCTGATACCCTCAAGGTACTCAGAAACTTGCTTTCGAAGCTTCAGTGCCTCGTCAAGAGATACTGGCCCGAAGCGGACCGTGTTGCCTGCTTTGACCTGGCCGAGCTTCCACCAGTCGGCGCGTATGACGGTCGTAGAGGAGGCGAAGCCACCAAAATTGGGGCAATCGACGACGAATAGGCACGGGTCATCGCCAGTCCTAAACGCGACGCCATAACTGTCAGCCAGAGTCCAAGACTTGGGCACTTCTCTAATTACCCTTTACGTACCAGTTAACCGCACCAAGTGGATAACCATATTCGACGACATTGCTTGGATGAGAGCCGCCCTCTCCGCCATCCTTTCTTGCCCATTGCGGCGTACTCGGAGGTATAAGCCGAATCGCGCTTCTACTAGCATTGTGCGAGACTTTGAGCTCGCTTGAGTAGATCATGGTGATGTCCTCTTTCGTAAAGTAGCCTTCTGAGTGTGGACCAGGCATGCACATGATCTCCCACGATTCTGGATACGTGGGGCGCAGAGAGTCCGGGATCGAAGGGTGTCCACCAAGCGTGTCGGGCAGCGGTCCGACAATCTCCAGCAAATCGCCCGGAGCCAGAGCACGCCCTTGATAGCCACCAATGCCTACTAACGGGCTTGTTGCTTTGGAACCGAAGTAATCCGCGACACTCGGAAACCCTCCGTAGACCGCAAGGTAGGCACGACAGCCGCCGCCTGTTGTCTTCCCAATTCTGAGCTTCTGTCCTGCCTTGATGTGCTTTCTCGTCCACATTGGGACAGCGTCACCGTCCAAGGTGAACTCCATAGGCGCGCCGGTCAGAGCGACGACGGCGGGACCGACGAACCGTAGCTCTGGGCCGCTCAGTGTGATTTCCAAGCCTTCAGTGCCGGCATCGTTGCCAACAAGCATGTTAGCGCAGCTGAGTGCTACCGGATCCATCGCTCCAGAGTGCGGAATCCCCTTGCCTACGCTTGGTCGTCCCGGAAGGTCTTGAATGAGCGTATAGGCTCCAGCGCTGATAACGTCAATTGTATGTGGAGCATACTTAAAGTCATTTAAGAAGCCCGTGAGTGTGTAGCCAGACTTAAATTTTTCACTCTGCACGATCGCGGCCAGAAACTCAAGGTTTGTGGGAGGGCCGCATATGCTGGACCTCGTAAGCAGAAGCTCCATCCCCTTGATGGCAGCCGCTCTCGTTCTCCCATGGTTCATCACCTTAGCCAACAGTGGATCATAGCTGGGAGATACTTGAGTGCCAGTGAAAACCCAAGTGTCGATTCGTGACCCTTCTAAATGCTCCCACTCCACCTTCTGCAGCAGACCTGGGGAAGGCGCGTAGTCCCGCAGCGGGTTCTCTGCATACACTCTCGCTTCGATTGCGACACCAGTTGGCTTCGAAGGCTGCAATGACCGCAGGGTGTCTGCCGAAAGACCGCCCTTACCACAGAGCTGAGCATCGGCTTGCCTGAACATTAGCTCCACAAGATCGACATCATACACCATTTCAGTGATGCCATGCTCGACCTGTAGGCGCGTGTTCATCTCCAGAAAGTAGAAGTCGCCCGACTTATCGTCAACGATGTACTCAATGGTTCCTGCAGAGCCATACCTGACGGACTGGGCAAGGCTAACAGCTGTAGCTCCAAGCTTGTCTCGGAGTTCGGGATGTTGCTCGACAAAAGGCGAAGGGCACTCTTCAATGACTTTCTGATTCCGTCGCTGGATAGAACACTCGCGCTCGCCGAAGTGGATGGCTTCACCATCGCCGTTGCCGAAAACCTGCACTTCAATGTGACGGCCTTCAGCTACAAAGCGTTCGATAAATATTCCGGGATCTAGCATTGTCAGTCTGGGTGATTGACGAAAGCAGAGACACCTACTCTTGAAGAGAGTCTCGCCTCTGCTCCGAACGGTCTTAAAGCCGCTCCTCACTTCGTCGGCATTGTTGCAGACGACAAGACCCATGCCACCACCTCCACCCGTGGCTTTCAGCATGACTGGAAAGCCGATTTGCTCAGCCTCGCTGATGGCATGATCTTCAGAGTCGACAAGCCCTTTGGTTCCTGGGACAATCGGCACACCAGCCTTCTCCGCAAGATCGCGAGCGACATGTTTGATGCCGAATGCTGCCCGCCGTCAACAAATCGTACCAAATTGACGATCTCACGCAGACTGACCTTCGATTGCCTCCGGACTCGGCCCACACCAGACTAGTCCGGCCTGACCAACAGAGCGTGCGAAATTTGCATTTTCGGACAAGAATCCATATCCAGGAATGATGGCATCAGCACCTCGATCTTTCGCAATGTTGATAATCTTGTCACCATCCGTATATGCTGTGTTATTAGAACCTGGCAGTAAGATGGCTTCGTCCGCCTGAGACACGTGAAGTGAGGCTGCGTCCGCTGAGGTGTAGATGGACAAGGTCTTGATCCCCAGTCTCTTCGCAGTCTTAATGATTCGAACCCTGAATGTTGATCTTGATATTAGCCGCTTTTTGCGACGTTCAAATGAAGAGGACTGTGTTTACGCGATTTCGCCCCTATTGATTGGTCGAATGACGTTAGAGCGTTTCCGGAGTCGCGCATCAACCTGATCTTTCGGTTTCAGTGGCTTCTCACCGGTTTGCAATCAATACAGTCTTCAACTTCTCCATCCCGTCGGCGTCTCTGGCTCAGGAATGGTGAGCCCAGAGCGTCGTCTTCCAAGACTGCTTTTGGGAAGTCGTAGACTCTCGATAAGAGAAGACGCCTGTTCGAGTGAGGGGCAGCCTGTCCGGCACACATCCTGCCTATCGCAAAGCTCGACACTCTCAATGAAAGCTTGGTGGACGTCATCCTCATCCGCTCGACAAGTAAGTCCGGGTAGGGCAAGCTCTATCCTCATTACAGCCGTCCAGTCATTCATTATCTTTCACGCGATATGGGCCCAATCACGAAGAAGATCAACATTAATGTTGATTTGGGAGAAGGTTACGGCAACTTCAAGTGCGGGTATGATAGCAATACGGAAGGTTCCACAAAGATTTGCAATGCCAATCGTTCCTAAGACCAGATGACGAGCTCATACCGATGATTGACCATGCCAACGTGGCTTGTGGCTTCCACGCTGGCGATCCGCTCATTATGCAGGAAACCGTGCGGACCTGCAAGAAGCATAATATCGCCGTAGGCGCTCACCCAGGCCTCCCAGACATCCAGGGGTTCGGGCGACGCGAGTAAGATGGAACCCTCCCACTGGCCTTGCTACAGACTTACCCTGAGCTAGGATGAAACTAAGCCCCGATGAGATTACGGCGATGGTGAGGTATCAGGTACCCAACCGATTCCTTGTCCGCTGCCGTCTCTCAAACTTACTAAGTCTCGCATATCGCGGTCCCTAGATCGGAGCGCTTAAGGCTTTCCTGGACGCCGAAGGCATGCCGTTACACCACGTGAAGGTGGGTAAAGACCTCTATGCACTCGGGCGCACTCTAAACTTCAGCAGCCGCATGGGGTGCTGTACGGAATGATGTACCGAGACAAAGACGTCTGCAGGGCAGTGTACGAAGGCGTTCCAAAAGGTGGAGGTCACAATCACACAAGACCGCCAGCCTGTTACTAAGAGTCTTGTCAGGGACACCAGTTTTCGGCCTCGCAGGAACATATCACGAAGACTTGGCGAAGGAGCTAAGCCTGCCGTTCACGGCGGAGATCTATGGTACTCCTTTATACACGAAATAACAGAGCTGTACTGATGCGCCGGCAGGTGACGTGAAATACAACAAAGACCGAACGCTCGTCATCGACCGCAAGAAGAAGTTAGCATGCCCAAGTAGCCAATGAATGTATATGCTAACAGTGTGCCAGGGCATGGACCCCCGAAGAGACGAAGAAGCACATCTCTTCACTGGTCGACAACTCCTCCGTTACTGCAGTGACGGGCGAGGAAGTCGAGCTTTCGTTGGGCGAACATGACGTCTCGCTCTGCTGCCATAGTGACAGTCCAGGCGCGGTCCAAATCGTCACAGCTGCGCGGGAGATCGTGGACGACTTCAACAAGAAGCATGATTATGTCTAAAGTAACCCCTCTTTCTTGACGAGAGTGTACATTTAGGTGCGGACTGGTCGCGAAGATCAGAAATGGTCAAGTCAGGCTTTATCGTAGTTATAACTTGACATCACTAGTTGAACTCAACAGTCACACCCTTCTCAGCGCTCTCCCTCGCCAATTCGATCACGCGAATGCCATCGCGACTCTGCTCTGGCTTAACCGCCACCTCAGCCTCACCTCGGATCGCCTTGACTACATCCTTGTAGTAGTCAAGGTAACTACCCTTCTGACTCGGATATACGCCGTGGTAGGGCGCCGACGGACTCCCGCCTTCCTTGCTAAGGTCACCGGCGTCCAGCTGCTTCTTGCTCGCAACGTAGCCGTGATAACTTTCCGGCTCGACGCCGAACTTTGGGTCGTCTACCTTCATGCCTGCGAAGAGATGATCGATTTGCGGGTCCTCGCCGTTCTAAAGCGTGTTAGCATACCACTGATGATTTCCGTTACTGAGGTGACAATATACCTTAATAAAGGCACCCTCAGTACCCCGAATGATAAACTTAGGGATCTTGGACATGGGCAAGGGAGTCACAATCGTCGTCTTAACGGTACAAACCAGATTCTTTTTGTCGCCACCATACTGCAGGATGACGGTGAAGGCATCGTCGGTCTGACTCTCCATTCTTGTCGCTCGCCACCAAGCCGTCACACTTTTCGGAGGACCAAACAGAAGTAATGTTTGATCGATGCTGTGAGTGCCAAGACCATAAAGCATACCTTCACCAGCTTCATAGCCTGGCTTGTCCCACTTCAGGACCCACTCAGGCTGGTCAGTATCGTAGTGGTTTTCAAACTCGGTTACGGTGCCAAAGGCACCTTGCTGCATAAGGTGTTGCAGAGTCCGGAAGTCGGAGTCGTAGCGTCGATTTTGGAAGACGGTCAGGACCTTCTTTTCTTGCTTGGCGAGGGCGATCAGATGATCTGCTTCCGCACTGCTGACGGTGAATGGCTTTTCAACGACGACTGCAAGGTCATCAGTATCGGTTCGTATGAATGATTGTGGAATTAAGGTGGCAAACCATGCTTGCCAGCCTTCAGGGCTTTCTCGGCATGCTGAGTATGGATCTTCGAACCGGTACAGACGATCACCAGTTCGATGTTCGAGTCCGCGAAGAACTCGTCCTCAGTACGATGCCATTTGGCATCCGGATAGTCCTTCGTGCAGTGCCCCCACGAGCCGGCTTCTGACGGCTCCTTGCGCTGCAGGAAGGCACAGACTTCGAGGTCAGGGTTCGGGGTGATGAACGGAAGATGGAAGCACTTGGTAGAGAAGCCATAGCCCATAAGACCAACTTTGATTGGTGCCATGTTCGCAGGCTTTGCTATGGTGCTATTGTACCTGGTATAGATGGTGAGATTTGGGGGCTGTCGAAATGAGGCTCTGCAGGCAGGTACAGTTCGATAAGCGAAGCGTAAGTTGCAATTCAAAACTGAACGCATTCTGATGAGCAGAGTCGTCGTTGATGGTTGTCTTCAAGCTCTCCGCATTGCCCGGCTAAAGCCGCCGGGTAAACTGTGAAACTAAGGCGATGTCACAATGTGTCGCTGGACGCTGCGAAGAAGGCACTTGAGGAGAAGGAGGATGCCGAGTACCGGAACGGCGTAAGGCACTGACTCGCGCATACTGTCTGATGCCTTTTTGTCGCGTGAACACCGTGAACAGGCATTTGGGAAAGCTTACTTACCTTTGAGGGCAGCAAAGTCTATCGCGACGTAGCAGCACGCTTGACAAAGTCGCACAGTGGCACTGCACATAGTAGCCTCGCTCGATAGGATGTTGTGTTTCGATTATTTCGAACCACCGCCGCCGCTACTTCGTCCAGCAAGCCAGCTCGCAATGTCGAAGTTTTGTACCGCATTGACAGCCTCACTTGTTGCTCGATCCCTCTCGCTCTGGAGCTCAGCAGGCGCGGCACGTTTGCCACGTTGCATCTCTTCGATCTCTGCTTTCATCTCCGGGTCCACTAGTTACCGTCAGCATCCGCAATGACACACAACCTCAAGGGCACACAAGGTGACTTACGCATATCCATCAGCTTCGGCAAACCGAAGATGAACACCACCGACACCAACCCCATCAGGATCATCGGATTCTTCAGGAAGCCCAGTATGTCGAAGCCCCCTCTGCTTTGGTAAAAGTCCTTCTTGCTAGTTGGTTGAACTTGCACTTTCAACTCATCCCGACCTTGTCCATACGCTGGACCTTTGTTGTTCCACTCGTTGCCTCTGAACGTCTGCCAGGCCTGGATCGTCTGATGCTGCGAGCCATCCGCGGCTGCGCCCACGTCAACTCGTAGAGACGGGAAGAAGTAGTCGCGGCTGTAGATGGTGAGTAAATAGCTTGCTTCTGCAAGGTCTCCAAAGGCGAATGTGCTGTCTTTCCTTATTGGCACATCATAGTGCACTCCTGCTGGGCCGATCAAGACCGCGTGGGTAGAAGACGGTAGCGTTGCCGGATTGGCGAGTAAAGGTGGTGATGCTGGGATCGACACGGTCAGGCGGGCAGCATTGGCGATGCTCGCCAGGAGCAGGAAGAGTATGCGCCACTGACTATGCATGGCGATGTATGGTCTGGCTGCGAAGGCTGACAATGCGAAGATTTAATCATCTTAAAGCATACCTTAGCGAGCGCATCATGCTCTGGCATCAGTGACCCTTGGCATCACATGGCCGACCGTACCAGCACACGTATGGTACATACATGTACATGTACTCTTGACACGCCGCCTCTGAACCAACCCATCCCATAATCTTTGTAACTTCCGTCTCACCAGTGGTCCACTTGAGAGCTTCCTCCAACCAAGTGACGTGGGAACCTGCTGGCAACGCTGTAATCACACGAGACATAATATCTTCCACCTCGCCTAAGCAGATTGCTCACATGGAAGCATCGAAAGATCACCTATCCCTCCTTGGATTACCGCGTGAATTACGTGATCACATCTACAACTATGTCCTGACAGTCACAAGGAAAGCGCCGCCCGGCCCATTTCATGCAGGCCAGCGTACGCGTGGGCGGTACTCCATCCACTACCACGTGGGGTCCACAGGTATGGACTTGCCCAATATAGCCTTGACATGCCACCAGATCCGCGAAGAGGTTCTCGATCACGACCAGACCCATGCGGAGCTGGACATCATGATCCGGGCGTATCTCGTAATTCCGACGTGGATCGTCCTTCCTGCTATCCTCAAATGCAGACAGCCACTTAATGTTACCGTCAATCTGCGCGTATTCAGTCCGGAGGGGTTCCACAGTAACGATGGCTGGCCAAGACAGCCGGGCGAATGTTTCAGAGCATTGTATTGCCTACTCTACGAATACTTTATTGCGGGACCACGCTTCCACTGTGATCGCACCCTCGATCCTGCAGATATCAAGTACTCGATAGGTACGTGGAGCGAGCTGTAGTCCCCATTGCCGTCGTTTAAGATATAGCTGACACTCCTGCCCATCAATTGTCAGGCATACTGACCGTGAAGCTCAAGTCACTCGATATTTACACTCCAGCCGTCTGGCCGACGGTCATGCGGAGTATACTTGGCAAGCTTAAAGCACTGGCGAGCACTGGCATCGTCTCTGGTCACGTAAAGACAATCCGTGTCTACGCAGAGTATCATGGCAGTGACGGGACTTGTCAGATCGTGGAGAAGGAATGGCAAGTCGCAAGTACGCTCGACAAGGCAGCTTCGCAATTGTGGCGAGCGCAGGGCTTTCCTCCTCTGCATTCATTCGAGCATGACGGTGGGGATGCTGAGATCTTCGGGATCCAACCTTGACGGAGAGGTTAAGATCTGACTGAGACAGGACCAGTGGACCTTGGCTCAGATCATGAATATCAACAGCCTCTCAGCAATGTGAGAGCCATACATGGTGACAAGACCATCCGCGGACTTGCATTATTGGCCTGTGGAAGCTCAGACTGGACTGCGATACAGCCAAGCCTGTTGATGACCAGCAGGCGAAGACGAGAATCGTCAGCAGTACCACTGTCAAAATTGCAGTCATTGCCGTTGCTATGGTAAATGATACGAACGGTACGGTATTATGGTGTGCCAAGGGCAAGGAAGACTGTCTTTTTCTGATTGGCACGGTTACTACCTTCAAGTTGCGTATATCCGTGTTTCGGTCCTTAACGGCTTTCAAGGTATGCAGCGGCACGAAAGTGTCTAATGCCTTCGGATGGCATGCTTGCATGTAGGAGCTACGATCGTCATCTCTGTACCGCCCCTCCACGGACGGGCTAACAACGATCTTCGAAAGTTCCACGGTTGGTCACAGCAATGGCTGTTCTACACGCAAGCTGACCGCATATTGTAAGGCAAGGAACGGGTTCGGCAAGGCGCCAAGCTTCGTATATACTCGTCCGAGGTCCAAAGCTGTAATAGCGTAACAGCACCCTGTCCGCACCGCAGGAAAGCTGAGTAGCAAGAGCGGACAAGCACTCCGCGTCAACCGGCTGTCAGGTTCTCGCAAAAACCCTTGAACTGCAGCGTAGTGCCATTGCGGCTCAAGCATTGGATTTTCCTCGCACGCGAGGTGAGGTGAAGGCTGGCTGACTAGATTGTGGCGCGAGCTTTCAAGCCATGCGGTTTGCTGCTGCAAGGCTGTCGCTTGCATGCATGCACGCATCGGTCACACCTCTGCTGAACAGGACGTACCAAGCTGTAAGGCTCCAGCAAGCTTTGTATAGCTTTGCTTATCAGACAATGGCGTTTTCCTGCCAATTCTGCGCTACCCTGCAACGAGGCGCATGTCCAGACCCGTCTTCTGGCCTTGGTCAGGAGACCCGTGATTGCCATTGTATGGTACCAACAGCCCACAGCGAAGTTGCGCAGCAAGCCACATGCTGGACGCATTCACGTAGTCGTCCGCAACGTACAGTTCTGCGGCCCATAATAATGCAAGAGGTAAGTGTGCCATCCTATACTTCGTGTTCCATCTCCCTCGCTCTCGTCCTTACGAGGCATCCATACTTAACGAGCTATTACGATGGCGACCGTTTGCAGACTCTTGAGGCTGCCCGCCGAACTTCGTAATGCTATCTACACATTCGTCGCAACAGCGGATGCTTCGCTCCAGGTTCGGAGGCCGAAACAAACCGCAGTAGCTGAGACATGTTTTTATTCTGTCGCTGGAGCAGGCCTGGCGCAGACCAACCGCCAGATCAGGCATGAGTTCTACGGCATCCTTAGACATACAGCGCTGCGACCCGGCTCAACTATCAGCGCCGCAATCTACGGCTTCGACTTCAGCAATCTCGCTGCCGCTGTGCAAAGCCTTACCCAAGACGAGCTACGTGGAGCCAGTTGCAACCGCAATTTCAAGGCCGAGTTGTTCGTCTTCGATATCGGCAAGCAAGAAGTCAACAACCTCAGGCAATGGCTCGACTTCTGCGACTGCACCAATACTGACGTCCAATACACAGTCAAATGGACGCGCTTCTCACTCGTCGACATGCGATGTCTGGAGCCCCTGCTTCATGGACGTTCTGAATGTCGGAATATGTGGATCGCGCTTGGTGGGCCCTCCGTAAGTCCTTGTCACGAAGAGCGATGGTGGCCAAGGCGCTGACGGTAGTAGTCAGACCGCACAGATGCTTCGACACGGTTGTTGGAGCAGAGAACAGTGGCTGCAGAAGCAGGCCACGCGACTCATTGTCCCTGATGGAGCATCGTTCTGCGGTGCATCGACCACTGCGAAGTGTACGGGCAAGGAGGACGAAGTCAAGGAGACGGGATAAGACTGAGCGAAGGGCTGTATGCCGTTCACCGCATCGCTATATACATAACATGTAGAAACAATTCACGGCAACTAGTTGGGCCGCTTTTTTGCTACAAACGTAAATCGAATGTGCACGGACCTTCCGAAGCTTAACCGCCTGAATTGAAGCTTCGGAGGCAGCTCTGCTACACTGCGAGACATCCTGCACTATCACCGTCACGTCCGTTTCGAGAGGCATGTCTGACCTTCAAGAGCTGTTCGCTCGCCTGAAGACTCAGAGTTCCGATGCGCAGTCGCAGTCACAGCCACAGCAGAACACGCCCACGCCCTCCATCTGGGCTGCACCGCCACAGCAGCAGCAGCAGTCGGCGACGCTGAGCTCGCCCTTGTTCAGCCCACCAACACTCACTTCCAACCCCATCAACGTCCCAAACATCATCAGCCCTGCACCGCCCAAGTCGAGTCCGGCCAATCCAGCTCCAGACCAGCAGCGGACGAACACTCTGCTCAACCTCCTCAAATTCAACAACCAGCCAGGCGCTCAGTCTGGGCCGATAGCGAACTTGCAGAATGTGGGAGGCAATATTAGGACCAGCAGCGAGTCGTTCGGCGGCCTGGCCGGCGGCGACAGTGCCACTGCGTCACGCCCGTTGTCGGCGCAAGACCTGATGGCTTCTCTGCAACGCAAGCCTTCTGCGCCTGGCGTGCTGCCTTCACCGCTAGCCGGACCTGGTGCAGAGAGGAGCAATTACGCTCCACTACCAACATCTGTCAGCAATCAGCAAGATTTCTTGCTCAACCTGCTGCGAAAACCAAATGCGCTGAAGCCTAGCCAAATAGGCGATTCGGAGAGTGTGCTCCCCTCCGTTGAGAAGCCGGATCCATCTGTGGATAGATTGGCGCAGAGCTTGGCGGAGACATCTTTCCAGCAACCAGCCGCGTCTGCGGTTGAGCGCGAGACGACTCCAGTACGCCAATTTGGCACGGTTGCCTCCCGCGAAAATACGCCCTTCGATGCACCGCAACCGACCAAGGCTAGCATGTTCAGCTACGTGAACCCTTTCGATCAGCTTCACTCTTCGTCTCCGCTCAATCGCACTCCGAAGCCGGAGGCCCAGGCGGAGACTAAGAAGATAGAGATACTCAAGCATGAGCGGGAGGTATCGGCCATGAACGGCGACAGTGCTGGACCCGCAGCAAAAAGCAGGAAGCTAGACAACACTGCGATTGGTGATAGTGAGAGTCATCATCACAGCGTTTCCGAGGCTGTGGAGAATGTGGGCGAGAAGGTGGACAAGGAGGTCCGCGAAGCTTTGGCGCATGCCGAGCAACCCGGCCAAGACGCCACTGTCAAGCCTACTGAGACAGCGCCCACGACCACGAAGGGCATTCAGAAACAGACCGCGCTTGGAGACGACGAGATAGAGTCAAGCTGGGAGAGTGCGGAAGACTCGGCGAACGACAGGAAGGGCGAGCATCAGCAAAAGGTCAAGGTGTACAACTTCCCAATGAAGCCTTTCGTGTCTATCAACATCACAGGCCAGCCTGAGAAAGCGACTCCTATCCGCGCGGATGACTTCATGGTCATAGCAAAGCTCACGAAAGAGTTCGACCAGATGGACCGAAGCTTAGTGGCTGCAAGCCAGTCGCACATTGTCTACGCGCAAACTGCCACGAAGAAAGACAACCACGGCTTCCGCGTCATTAGACAAGACACCGGAAACCACAAGCAGGTTTTCCGGTCGAGCGGCGAGCGCGTCTTCAACGTGCAAGTGTGCACTCCGCTAGCAGAGTCCGGCAGTGATGTCGAGAGTGTGCTCGCAACAGGAGTCAACGGATCGGTCTTCTGGACTTCCCTGGCCAAGTCCGGAGCAGACTCATTCGATGACGAGGATCTGGAGTCGCAAGGCTTCATTATGCCTGCCGTGGCTACCGCCGAAGAGAACACTAGTGGCTCCCCGGTTAAGACCCGCGCGAAGTGCAGCTCTCGCCATGCTGAGTTCTTTGCAATGAGTCGCAGCAAGACTATCCACATTATCGCTCCGGATGCCGTCAAGGAGAAGGTATACACCAATGCGAAAACCCGGGTAGTAGACAGCGAGAAGTTCCTTAACGAGCACGGACTGCGCATTAATACTGGGAAGGCAGGTAAAGACTTCGCGTTCTCCGAAGACGACAGTGTCATCGTCAGTCTCGACAAGAGCGGCGTCGTCAAGTTCTGGGACATTCGCGACCTCACGAAGCGTGCCTTAGACATTTCGGTAGACAAGCGCGAGCCCGTCGAGCTCCGCGATCCGCTCTGGAGCTTGACAGCGGTCGCATCGGGCACAAAGGCGGATGAGAAACCATCAGTCTCCTCCGTTATGCTGCTCGACAAGGAGCGACCGCATACTAAGGGTATTGCCCTACGTTACATGCTTGTCGGCTTCAAGCAAAATCACATCCTCCAACTGTGGGATCTCGGTCTTGGGAAGGCCGTTCAGGAGCTTCGCCTACCGCACGAGAAGGACAGTGATGGCTTCTGCAGCATCAATTACCACCCTAAGACCGGCATTATTGCGCTCGGGCACCCAACGCGCAACAGTGTCTACTTCGTTCACTTGAGCGCACCAAAGTACAATGTTCCGTTCACTGATCAAGCGGCGTATATCAAGATGCTTGCGAGACACGATCCTAATCTGCCAAAGCCGGAGAGTACGGCCATTATGAGCGGGCTTAGGGAGTTCAGCTTCGACAAAGTCGGCCAGCTTCGCAGTCTGGAGATGCTTAAGACGCCAGTCGACAATGCGTCGGAGAAGGGTACCGTCGACGAGACCCAATTTGAACTGTACGTCGTGCACTCGAAAGGTGTGTTCGGTACCCCAATCAAGAAGACGGATCTGGGCTGGGACGCTCAGAGCAAAATGATTGAGCCAGTGGACGCTGTGGAGACGGGTGTCATCACTGTGACTGATCTGCGCTTGCCATCCGCGAAAGATACGTCCGTAGTAAGTGAAGCCGCAAGTGCTGTTGAAACGCCATCGAAGAAGAAGGAAGTGAAAAAGCAGGAAGTGGCGAAGCCAGTAACACCAGCAACGAAGCCGGGTGATGCTGCTCGCACTCATACTGAAGCTCCAGCAGCAGTTGCACATAACGGCACTCACACTGCTGCCGAACTTCCAGCGCAGTCGAAGCAGATACCAGAGGCCCCAACGTCCACTCAACCTCCCGTCAATCCGCCAATCATGACGCCAGAGTCCTATGCCATGGCGGCTCAGCAAGCAAAACCACTTCCTGACCAGACTGATCGCACCATGCCTCAGCACATGCCATCTTCTGTAGACACAGCTGCCGTCACGCCCAAGCTGCAGAACGGCGCTCTCGCCCCTGACGTGGCCGCCGAGGTTCAGGCCGCTCTAACCAAGCAGTTCACTTCGCTATATCAGCGTCTAGATGCCGATAAGCGCGTCTCTGAGGCCGCTGGAGCGGCGAAGCAGGATGCCATGCTCCGATTGGTGTCTAGTACGCTCACCGAGAACGTGGAGCAGAGCTTGCATCGCATCATCAATGCAAGCATCGAGGAGAAGGTCATCCCAGCTCTTACGGATAACGTGACAAAGCTCGTCGACAGCAAGTTGGCCGGCTTACTGCCGCAGCACCTCACAACAAGTCTGCAAAAGGAGCTCAAGGCGGCTTTGCCATCGGCATTACAGCACACCCTCAAGGATGAGGTGATCCACCGTAACATCGCAACTGCTACATCCAACCAGGTGGCGCCGAAAGTGCAACAGCAGGTTTCGAATTTGCTCCAGCAGTCTCTACCAACTATGGCGACGCAGGCGACGCAAAAGATGGTCGCCGAGCTCGAAACTCGTACAACGCAGCGGCTGAAGCAGGCCGAGCAAGAGCGCGAGCAAGCGAATGCGCAAATTGAGCAGTTGTCGACTCTGGTGCGCGGCCTGGAGCAGACGATCAAGAGTATGGCGGACAGCCAGGCCGCGTTCCAAGAGCAAATCCTGCGCATGCAGCAGGCCAGGCAGGAAGAAGAGGTCAAGGCCGAAGCGAAGCCCACGGCGTCGACGGAGAAGGAGGTCGATCCACAGAAGGCGGCGGAGGAGGAAGAGGTGCAGCGGATCACGAAGTTGCTGGTCGATAATGAGTTTGAGCAGGCGACGATAGCTGTAAGTGTCTCTCGCCCCCATTGATGGATCGGTGGTATGCTGACGAGTGCCGCAGTGGCTTCAATCGACCAACCAAGCCAACCTCTTCGACAACCTCTTCGTGCGGGTCAACCCGCAGTACCTGCACCAAGTCTCTCCCCTCGTCTCCCTCAGCGTCTCCGCTGCCGTGACGGCGACGCTGGACACAAACATCCACCAGCGTCTGGAGTGGCTTGGCACTGTGTTGAGTTACATCGACCTGCGGGACGAAGAAATTCGGGATGTGGCGCCGCAGATTATGGATGTCTTAGGGTATGTAAAGTCCTCCTGATTATTGCCTTGCTGTGCGTCTGGGATCGATGCTGACAACTGGTGATAGGCAGCGGTTGCAAGGATCGTATATGGTCGTCAGCGAGCAGAGTCCGAGCGATCCGGCGGTGCTGAAGAAGATTGCGGCGTTGCATAGGCAGGTGAAAGAGATTGGAAGGAGGGCTGGGGAGTAAGTGGGCGTGGAAGTGAAGATGGTGTATTATGGTGTCGACCGGCGTTGCTGGATGGTCCATAGAGCTGTTTGCTTCGCACCTTGCTATTGCATAGCGTTGGAGCATTGAGCGGCTGACGGATGCCCGCCCAGCGATGATGCTGTATGATGGCTGTAAACGACGGCAAATGTACACTGGCGTAGCATTACGTGCACTTAATGAGACGATGGAGCTGAACAAGCTGTTCTCCGGCAATGACATTGCGAGAGACGCTGCCTCTTAGGGTCTACGGGTCGTTGCGCCTGTTGTCTGCTTCTAGACATGGCCGATAGCGACGTCGAACTAACAACGACAATCTGTGAACGCCATACCCGAGCCATGTACGGCGAAGCTTCTTACCCAACATCGGCACGCCGCACATCACACTGTTCACTTTGGCATACTTAATCATGTAACCACACAACTTGGAGGTTCGTCGCTGTGCCGCTCGTCCTTTGCCCCATTGTCCAAATTCCAATCGACTTCCGTGACTGCATTGCCGTCCAACTGCTGAGCCGGCCGCTGAGGCCGTGTTGTTGCGAGCAATGCTTTGATGTTTAAGCATAGGTTAGGCCATTCGGCAGCAGGAAGGAATGCCGTTGTAGTAGCTGCTTCGCAGAATGTGCTTCGTGGGCCCTGTCAAACATTGCCATCCCGCCGTGGAGACTGCTGCGCGACATGAGAGAGCGTTCATGCATCGCATGCTAGAACTGCCGCCATCCTTCGCCACCTACAAGCATTTTACTGGCAATCTTTCGGTGTTCCTCGCTTGGTTCAACCCACACAGTGGTAGCATCAGCGACGATGTTCGTGCCAAACTTCTGCCTGCACCATTCTACGAGAGCAGCGATCTCACGTTTACTATCTTGCTCGAGTGCCCTGATATCTCCCACTTTCTCCTTCCTCAACTTCTCCACCCTCCGAAGGAAAGCCTTCGCATCCTCCAACCCACCAGGCCAGACATGCTCGAAGACTTCGCTCTCTGCCACGTCACCATACCAAGCCTCGGTGTTCCGGTAGTCGCCTTCTATGCGGTGCAGTAGGCCGTGAATGTACATGCCTTCATATGCGGGCTTGTTCTGCATGTGGCGGCAGAGAAAGTGCGCTGAGGGTAGATCTGCATTGAGGAGATGAAGTACAGACTCAAGGGTAGGGTGCAGTGAGAGGGAGGAGATGGCGTGGCTCAAGGTTTTGTCATGGGGAGACGGTGAGGGTGGAGGTAAGACAGGGTAGCCGTATGTGGCTGTGAGATCGGAGTAAAGAGTATCGAAGTTGACCTCTGATGGGGCTGACATGCTGGCCTGTTGCTTTTGAGGTGTGTATACTGGAGGAAGATAGTGATTTGACTTGAGGTCGCTTACTTACGGTTTCGGGAGTCGATGTCATCATGTTTGACCTTGATCGAGGTGGCACAGCTAATGCGCTCCAACTTCTATGTCAAAATGAGCGCGCCTGGCAGGGATTACCACCCTCGTACTCGTTCGTCACGCACTCCACGAACACTTTACCAGGACATTGGAAACGGTACGAGAAGGTCATGCACAGAAAGTGAGACGGAGAAGGTGGCTCGCACAACTCTCCGCGGCGAGCGCACACTCCCGCTCCCGCGGTCCGCGCTTGCATTGCTCCACGAACAGAAATAGAACGCCGATCGATCTCATGCACAAGACGTCATGGTTCGAGGTGAGCACGAGAGCAAACAGGGATGGGGATGCGCTAGACAGTTGGCAAGAGCTTCTTTCCTCCAGCATCGTCCCGTCCTCTCTTCAGTTGGTTCGTGTAACATGCAGTTGTAATGGTGGGCAAACGAGAGCTATACCGCGCGGGCAGCACGTACGGCCAGGGTACGCAGCACAAGGAGCGCAGGTCCAAGCAGAATGAGGATCTCCGGCCCACGTCTGAGGATGATGTAGAAAGCGGACTGCACTCTTATGCGAATGGCCATGCCAACGGAGACGGTCGGCCGAGACCGCGAATATGGCGCTTCAAGGATGCCGCCGACACCGCTATGGAAGACAAGCGGCGAGAGGAACTGAAGAAAGCGCTACTACATGGCATTGACCGAGACGGCCTAGAGAACTTCCGCAAAAGCGACGATGAGCTCAAGGCGATCAAGAACAAGAAAGTGCGGGCTTTTTATGAGGCTCAAAATCAACGTCTAAACGATTGGCTTGAAGTGGACGCTGTTGTGATGGCGGTAGCTGACGATGTGTTGGAGTCGATGGATCCTGATCCTGACCGAGATGGCATCCAAGAGCGATCCGGAGGTCTGCAAGCTGTCGCAGGCAATATAGGCGAGCTTCTGCCGGAAGAAGAGAGAGAGAAGCGCCAGAAAGCGGCCACGCGTGCAAAGTGGGCCATCAACATTAATGTCATAGCCAACGTTCTGCTTCTCACGGGGAAGATTGTTGCTGTGTTCAGCTCAGGCTCGCTCTCACTAATTGCCTCGCTTGTCGACTCTGCCCTGGATCTTCTCTGCACCATCATCGTCTGGACGACGAATCGACTGGTACAATGGCGACTAAGCTCACTCCGCAAGAAGTTCCCAGTCGGCAGACGTCGCCTCGAACCGCTTGGCATCCTCGTATTCAGCATTATCATGGTCATATCCTTTTTGCAGATCCTGCAAGAGTCAGTCGAGAAGATCATACCGTTGCATGGTAAGGCCGAACAGCTTCCTCCTGTGGCTATAGGCGCACTGTTGGCAACGGTCGTCATAAAAGGAATCATCTGGTTCGGCTGCGTACCAATCAAGACCACGCAGGTGCAAGCTCTGGCCCAGGACTGCAAGACCGACGTAATCTTCAACACCCTCTCGCTCCTGTTTCCGTTCATCGGCGCCAAAGCCAACGTCTGGTGGCTGGACCCTGTAGGCGCCGGCCTCCTTTCGCTCTTCATCATCTACGACTGGGGTGAGACGTGCTTCGAGAACGTCACCCGTCTGTCAGGGCAAGCTGCATCCGAGAAGTTGCAAAAGAAGCTTCTGTACCTCGCTTATAGGTTCTCGCCCGTCGTGGACGGCTTCAAGAACGTTACATCGTACCATGCGGGAGATGGGATATGGGTGGAATACGACATTCTGTTGGATCCGAACACGAAATTGAATCGCAGTCATGACGTGGCGGAGACGCTGCAGTATTGTTGCGAAGGCCTTGACGAGGTCGATCGAGCTTTCGTGACGACAGACTACAGTGCTGGCGGTCCGACTGGTCACGCGCAGGACGCGGAGAGGGCTTGATCATGCTCGGGCGGGTTTTGGTTGGCGTTTGTGCGTCACTCGCTGCATCGTATGGAGACTTTGGGGTGGAGTAGTCATTCCGGATTATGCATAGCGTGTCAGGACTACTTGTAAATTGGTTCAAAAGCGCTGTAGATTAGTGTACGTTATTCGGAGGGCTACGCAAGTGGCATTGTCGGATCAACATCTCCAACAAGGCTCAAGCTGTTGTAGAACTCCTCTGCATCTACGCGGTATATGGAGATTGCTGTAGTCGAATCCGAGATCCTGACGCTTATGCTTGGCCGTGCTTGATCTTCGCAGGCATTAAAGCTTGGATACGGCGGCATATCCGCTGACATGCGCCAAGAGAGGCAATTTCCAAACAACGCCTTTCGTTGCCAACAATCTTCCACCACAATCGCTCCTGAACCGCTTACAGGCACCATTTCACGTGTCACTTTCCATTTCCCTTAGGCTATTTGAAGCTCAATCACATGATCGCATACAGCGAGGGATTCGGGCTACCCGTTTTACTATCTAATAAGCATTCGACAGCAAGCTCTCAGCTTATTCAGCGCGGAGGCGGCCGGATAGAGGTCTGGTGCTGGACACCGGTCTCACTCGCGACTACTCTTTGACAAATTCAGCAATCCTGGATGTATTCCGTGGTGTGACAATAGGCCCGCCTCTTGTATAGTGAGATAACAAGTGAGGGTACTGCCGGCAAGCATTACCTGGCGATCTCCGCGCGTCGAACGCGCCTACCGCCGATCTGAAAGGCCCTGCAGCCTTTCCGCCACACCTGGAGAGGAAACCGCCATGTCGGACTACTTTGCCTACGGGCGGCGGAGGAGTGTTGCGACTCCCGCTGCAACCCCTGGTGGTCGCCTTAACGTCCCTCCAACACCGGGCGGTCGCACACCAGGAGCACCTCCCATACGGCGTATGCCGTCACGAGACAGCTTGAGGCCTCCTTCAAGCATCAGAATCCGAAGAATACCTTCACAGACGCCGCAGAGTACCCGCCCCAACTCCGTAGCCAGCAGTGATGGCGCACCCGAAGCACTGGATTTCGCGAGCAGTGGTCGGAGAAGAAGCTCCTCCGCACCGCAGCGGTATCAGCAGAGCCTTGCGCCCCCTGGTATGGACCTATCGCGACAGCGCACTGCCGATGGTATCGACCACATGGGCACCATCACCGAGGGAGTGGCTCAGAATGCGGAAACGCCTTACTTCGATGTGGGAGAATCTCCTAGACCGCTCACTCCCTCCGTCAAAGTACCAACGCCAGGCGGAGAGCCCATCTCACGTGTGGCGAGCGCGAGTGCCATTCATAATGCAGGTACCGCGGCGCAGCGTAACCGTGGTTTAAGACGCCCTCGAGGTGGTGCGGGTGGCAATCGTAATGCGGATCACAACAATGCCTCGGACGAGTACAACTCGGATATAGTCGACCTACTGGACTTGATAGGTATGGCCAGGGAGAAACGTCTAGTATCCGCCGAGTGGTTCGGCTGACATCATGTTAGACCCCGAAGTCAGCACCATCGGCACGCTTACCAACGTGCAGAATTCTCTTTTTGTCCCAGATTTGGGCGGGTTACTTAACCGCCGGCCCACATACGACCTGACAATGAGGCCTTCGGACCTGGAATCGCGAGCTCGATCGCGTGCAAACACTCGAACCGGGGCTCGTCCTCCATCTTCCCGCCTACCTACCATCCAGCAGGAAGCTTCCGGGTCGCCCGGCATCGAGTTGCAGCAGCCTCGCAAAAGGCGAACATCAATCTCTTCACGACTTAGCGACTCCCATTATGCAGTGTTGCCGCACGGTGTTGACTTGGACGACTGGAGTAAGGAAGAAGTTGACGAGCTTAATGATCACGTCCGACACCTACTCCATTCGCGAAGGGAAGGCTTTAAGCGCGGCATGAGGGGCTTCCGCAAGTACTTGAGTCGTCCGCTTGGGTTGTTTGTGTTCCTCTACGCCACGTTCGTGACACTTTTTGGTGCTGCTTGGGTGTTCTGCTTAATCGGATGGATCTACGTGGGCTCAGAGCAGGACTACTTCATCAACGTCATTGACAACATCCTGGTTGCGTTCTTCGCGCTGATGGGTGACGGCCTGGCTCCATTCCGAATGGTGGACACTTACCACATGTGCTTCATTGCGCACTATCATCACCTCACCTGGCGGCTACGGCAGGAGAAGCATCTGCCAGAGCTTGTCGACCATAACGACCTGCCTGACCACCGCCTGGATGCGGAGGCAGAAGAAGATGCGCTCGATCGCGCAGAAACCGCCGAGTTCTCCGTGCTTTCGCCGCGTCAGCAGCGCCGGTTACAGTACCACCAAGCGAAGTTCAGCAAGGCACACACGATTCTATAGGCCTCACGAGACTGGCACGCATCATGCTTTCCCATTGCGGCTCCTGGTCGCGGTCGTGACTTTGCTCGACTTTCACAGCATTTTTCAAATCGCGCTGGGTACATGCACCTGGTCGATCAATTACAAGGTCCGACCACAGGCACTCACAGCTACAATTCTAGCCTGCTCGCTCACTTGCAACATCACAGCAGGTATTTTGGTCAGTATCGGAGACCATCGCACCCGGAAGAAGGATGTCTTGGAGCGCATCTTCCGCCAAGGCTTGACGGAAGAAGCTATTGAACATGTACAACAGAAGCGCAAAACCTTTGAATTACAGCGGGATGGCGCACCGGATATAGTGGTGGATGACGAGGCTGTTACTAACGGCGCGAGTACTGCTACTGACTTCGCTAATAAGGAGTCGTTTGCGGGGTCGAGTTTGGATCAGCAGCGAGCAAGTACTTACTCTGGCACTTAGGATAGTCCAATAATTCACCATTTGTTACAGTCCCTTCGAAATTTGCAATGCTGCAATGGACCATGGTAGAACAAAGTTTATGACTAGATTGGACCACCGGACCGCGGATAATTTGCAACAGGATCCTGCGGCTCGCACGTCCACCACCAAAGCTTCATCGAGCGACGAAAAGCGTGCCGTCATCCTCCAGCGTAGGGTTATTGACAGGCTGGTTTGGCCGAATGCACATCCTCCGGAATCCTGATCGTACCATAGTTTACCAACTGCGCTTACGAGGCTTCAAACCGCTTGGCGACGTTGGCGGGCTGAATAGGCTATATCAGAAGTCAGCAGCTGACCGCACGCGATTTCCATGAGACTCACCAGTAATTTCGGCACAGATGTGATCGCCGCGTTCGAGCTGACTAGGTAGATATCTTGCGTCGTGTTACGCAAGTTATATTTCGTACCGCCGAACTCAAACAGGAAGCCTAGTGGGAACCCAGCATCAAAAGGCTCGGCTGCTTCGACTTCTTCGATCTCCTCCGGTGTCAATTGGATCGAGAGAGCTTCGACGTTGCCCTCAAGGTGCTCGATCTTTCGGCCACCGACAATGGGGAACACGTAAGGAGTCTTATGCATGACGTACGCCAACGCAATGCTGGTAATCACCGTGTTCTTCTTCTTGGCTATCTCATTCAGCACTTTCGCAACGCGCCGGTACTTTGGATCCTGCTCAGGGCCCATCTTGCGGCCTTCGCGCTCAGGATCGTCATACTCTTCGGCCAGCTTGAACATGCCGCGGCCCAAGGCACCCCACGGAGCTAGACCCATGCCTTCTGCTTCGCACATGGGAATGATGTCCCTTTCGAAATCGCGCACAGCTGCATTCCACAAGCCCTGATAAACGCTGAACTGGGTGAGTCCGTGATGCCGCGCATACTCGTTGCATTTCACGACGATCCAGGCCGGGCAGTCGGATATCCCCAAGTAAAGGACCTTGCCGTTAACGATCATATTGTGCAGACCGTTCATTAGCTCGGGAATGGAGGTGGAGAAGTCCCACCAGTGCACGTAAAGTAGGTCAACGTAGGTCGTCTGCAGCTTTTTAAGGCTATGCTCGACGGAGAGCCGCAGCGACTTGGAATGGTTGCCTTGGAAGTTGGACTGGAGCTTCTCCGGAGCGTCCTGAGGTCGAAAGCCGATTGTGAATTTCGTGGCGAGGACGATATCGTCGCGGTTGTTGCGCTTCTGCATCCACTCGCCGAGCCAGCTCTCGCTTTCCCCGGCCTGGTAGTTGTTGGCGGTGTCAATGAAGTTGCCACCCTGTTCGTAGAAATAGTCCAGCATCCCGAACGCGGTTTCCTTGCTGCATTCGCCCATGAATTGTTGCCACGCTGTGCCAAAGTTCATGGCCCCAAGACATAGGGGAGAGACGCGGACTCCTGCGGTTGGCGAGAGGATTCTGTGGTAACCTAGCAAGCTGAGCGGTTTCTTTGGTGGTCGGAATGCCATGACTGGCCTTGGTTCGCAAAGAAGTGAAGAACTCAACGAATGAATCGATAAACTGCTGATGCAGACCTAGTGAGAGCGAATAAGGAGGGGAAGGGGATTCTATACCTGGCCGCCTACAGGATGCATTGACGAACGGTGGAAGTCCACCATGTCGGCGTTAGGAGCTCCTGGGCTTGTCGCCGAGCATTTCCTCTTCCTGTTGGGCATTGAGAGCTCTATTGGAGAAGAATTTACAAGGCCATATCCAATGAATGAACGCTGCTGCGAGGTAAGCTCCATCTGTCATTGCGCGGACTGCGGCCGCGTCTTGCTGGACAAGGTATTAGAGGTGACTTCCGTACAAATGACGAGACTCTATCATGATAAAGCCTAACTCCGCATTCCTGACTCGAGCGCTTACCGTACTTGGAGTGATGCTTCACGTGCTCACTTTCGCATCGTTCATCAACGGTCAAAGAGTGGCTCTCTCGACCAACATCGTTAGAAACGTTGTTTGACAGGTGCAGTAACGTCAAGGGTGCCGGCGATGAAGGCAACCTGAAAGGATCTAGTCTCCATGATGATCTTCGCTAAGCGGACAGCGAATCATGCAGCTTGCCATTGTCGCGTGGCGCATCCCCCGAGTAAGCGATCCCTTTTGGCGCCATTGTCAGCCGCTCTGGTACTATACCTGCAAGTATCGTAAGTGCGATGGCGACGTCCTTCCCTCGACTCCGTTTGTACATTCACAGGCAGCTTTGAAGCCATGCATGAGCTGCCCAAAGATCTAACCAACAGTCTCCGCTCGTGGCGGGGCAGCGCCTACGGCGAACCGGACAATCTTCGCGATTCACCAAGTGTGCTGGAGAAAGGACCGGAATACTATGGAGACAAGGAGTTCGAGCGGGCATTGTCGCCCAGTGATCGCTCGATAATACTGGTGAGATTGGTCCAGACGGCACCAAATCTCACCCTGCTGACGTCCGGCTCGAGCATCCCACAGCTTCTCGTCAAGCATTGAACCAGGTAGCGCAGCAGCAGCAGCAACCGCCGTCACCGCCTCAATCACATGAACAGCAACAATTAGCGAACCAACAAGCCTTGCAGCACCATGAAGCGCTGGACCAGCTACATGATCTCCCACCGCCCCGAAAGCCGTCGGTGCAGACGAGGCTCCCTCCAAAGAAGCAGGCTACGATGCAGACGCCTGCATCCGCAGCGAAACAGAGTATATTCGACCAGGCCAAAGTTGGTATGCAATCGCGGGAATCAAAGGCCGGATGGCTATTGCACCAAGCGCTAACGACTATCTGTACGCCCTGCAGAGGACCCTGACTCCGCCGCCAATCGCCTTGACGATGACCTGACCCCATTAGCTCCCGAGGACTTTTACGAGCTCATGGGCATGCGCGCACCGCCTGACAAGCAAACGAATCCGAAGAACCTCGCCCTGCGAAACGGCCTCTACAGCAGGATTCAAAAGGCGCATCATTACATTCAGACCAAATACCGCCTCTTTGATGTCTTTACCTACATCTTTCTCCTCTTACAGCTCATCTTGAGCGCTGTATTCATCATTCTCGGCAGCCTGACGAGGGTCAACACGAACATTGCCATTGTCGTGCTGGGAGCTGTCAGCACAATAATCGCTGGGGCTTTGACGATTATGAAAGGTCAGGGACTGCCGAATCGGCTCAGACACACTCGTGATGGGCTGAATAACGTCATCTTTGAGGCGGAGGAGTTGTATTGGGATGTTGGCGCAAGTAAGCCGGTTCTGTACAAAGATGTGAAGAAACTCCGCACGGACTTCTTGAGGGTGATGGAAGAGGCGAGGAAGAACCATCCCGATACCTGGAACTCGATCAGTCAAGGCGTGGCAACTGGGTTGAAGCCACCTAGTAGGGCGACGAACACCAGCGTGCCGGCTGCGGCCACACCACACCCATAAGGGAATCGAACCGGAGCCGCATGTTGACTGAACACAGTGTTGCTCTATGTACGGGTCCACAGATAAACCAAGCTGGTCATACTGTCCGCAGGCAAACACTAGTCATGTTGGGCGCATATTGATGGGGAAAACGCACCCACGGCGATTGGCATTTTTTTAAGAGCATGCCCCGCATCTGCGCATGCGTCCATCGGTCACAGCGCAGCTTATACGATTGCTACAAGATTGAGAACATGCTGCTCAGTGTTTTGAACACCTAGGGATGACGTTGAAAGGACGAGTGCAGACTGAGCACGCTTCTCATCGTCACATTTCAGGCTATATGCATTTTCGGTCATCTTGGCGCAGTACGGGATAGCTATAGCTGCTGGAGAAGGTTTGTTGGCTGGTCGAGTGTTTCCGCTGCCAGCGTTTCTACCGTTACCGCAGCTGCATGCGTACGGAGAGTTACGCCAAGTAGCTGGAGCTAGACTAGGCAAGGCGTATGCAATTCCGATGGCGCCGCGGAGCAGGAAGACCACAACCTACTAGCTCACGTTGATTGCAGCTTTACAGCATTGACGGCCGAGCTGTTTGAACATCCCACTCATTGTCACTAAACGCAGACAATAACAATGGTCAGCTTCCTAACAGCTAGAAACACTATGATCGCCAGTACGTACAATTGCGCCATCTACTGCAGCTTCCCGTTCGCGCCGCGGCTTGCGGACCGGGTACACGGGACGCCGCGCACGCCTCTTATGCAAGCTTACCGATGAATCAACAACAGCTCTATCCACTCAGATGTATCGTCCGGAGCATGGTGCTCGACAACACAGGCGCCATGACCCCGCATCCCTCTTACACTCTTCTTCCTAAAGCTGCCGATCTCACGCTCTCCTGATCCGCATTGCCCACTTCGAGATGCCTCACTGGAGCTCAAGCTCGTCCTTCTGATGCTCACTGCTGCAGGCTCGAATGCTGCGGACGTAGTTTGTGGAGCTTGCGTATGCCTGACGACGTCTGCCTCCAATCGCTCAGTCTCCGATGCGAAGCCAACAAGTGTGCGCGTACAGCATTCCAATACCATTGGGGGGTAGCATGCGTTCGTGGCTTCCACCGCAGCTCTGGGAGGCTCCATCGGACGCGGACCCCTCAAAGAGCAATATGGCGTTTCTGTCGGATACAAAGCACAAAACGCCTCCTGCCTTTCCTTCTCTAGTTCGACATTTTCAAGCTCCCACATTGCAACAGTCATGTTCGTCAAGGCTCTCGTCGGCGTTCTAGCCGCTACGGTGGGTCAGGCCCTCCATCAAATCCTGATGCCACTGACAGCAGCAGGCCTGCGCCGCGTCCAATGTTCCTCTCATCTCTGCCAACAGCTGGGGTAACGGCCGCATTGACGTCTTCGGTGTGGCAGCGAACGGCTCCATTCTGCACAAGTACCATGGTCCAGATGGATTCGAGCCCCTCAATCCTCCCTTCGAGAACTTCCTCGGCAAGGTCATCAGCACGCCTACATCAGTGAGCTGGAGGGAGAACCGCCTGGACTACTTCGTCGTTGGCACCAACGGCTCGCTTTATAACCGGTTCTGGAATGCCGATGACTCGAGTTGGCAACCATGGCCCTACCACGAGGTTCTCAAGGGATCGAATGAGGGCAAGGACTTCGTCAGCGTCAGTGCGGCTTCTTGGGGCTCGGGGAGACTGGACATCGTAGGCATGACAAAGAATGGGTCGTACCTTCACATGTACTACGATGGAAGCAATGTAAGTCTCGTAAGGCGCTGGTGTTTTGATCGCCTGAGTCATTACTGACGCATACACTTCCCATACAGTTCCAGGGCTGGGAGACCTTTGGCGGCAACTTCAGCTCTGCGCCGTATATCATTGCTCCCTGGAGTAAGCAAGCTCACTAGATATGCCCGGTGACATGCTGACACCGCGACAGAGGGTCAACAACGCTTTGATGTGTTTGGGTTAAGCAGCAACGGCACCCTCGTGCATAACTATTTCGACGGTAGCAACTACAAACCTGGATACGCTCAGTGGGAAGCACTTCCCGGCCCTGTCAAGTAGGTCGTCCAGATCTGACACGAGGGCTCCCTTGCTAACCTCTCATCTCATTCACTCCAGGATGACCAGTGCCCCTGTCGCCTCGAGCTGGGGCGCCTCGGATCTAGACGCCTGGGCCGTAGGCGAGGACGGCCAGCTGTACCACACTTATTGGCGAGGCTCTGACTACGACGGGTTCGAGTTTCTCGGCGGAAACTTCACGTCTACTCCCCGGGTGGTCCATTGGGGTGCAAACCGTACGGACATCATCGGCCAGTTCGCGAACGAGACGCAGTACCGCTACAAGTACGGCTACTTCAATACCATCGAAGGCTTCTGGCAGTGGAGCGACTGGGCCCCGAAGGGCGGCGACTTCGCTTCGCAACCCGTCGTGGTGTCTTGGCAGGAGGGCAATTTGCACATCCTTGGTGTTGGAAATGATGGCGTGCTGTACTGGCAGATGTACTGGCCTGGTCAGTGGCTGCCGTCTGCGACCGGGTACTATCCGCTTGGCAATATGTCGAATCCCTTCCCGTCCACTGAAAGTCGGGATGACCAACAGGAGAAAGATGTTGAGACGAGCAACGGCCAGATCGTGATGGGATCGTCCTTCAAGCAAGGTCTCTGAGTGAGTTGACATGCCAATCGCAAACTTGTGTTACGGCTGGCTGAGAGGATGGCGAGGCTTGCTTGTCTGGGTTCTACTGCACCCCGCTTGTGGGCTTGCTATTACGAGGGTAGAAACCTATCACAGACATCATTCGTTGATTGTTCTACAGACAGTGGTATCGGAAGACTACATGTCAGAGCAGTATGACTGACTCCGGCACGTCTACGCAAAGTAATAGATCCATGTAGCTGCCACGGGCAGCTGACGAGCTCCTTCCCACCATGAGACCGCCAGTCTCCTTTTCAGCCCGCGCAAGTTACGGTTATTCGTGCAGTCGACATTGCACGAAATCAGCTAACGTGCGTAAATGACAGTCAGTTGCTATCCAGATTGCGCTGAGATCATTCCGCCAACCTGCGGCTCCATAACGGTTGGGTAGTCTTCGCGAGACCCTCGTATACCTTGTTCAGGAGAGGTTGTCAATAATATGGAGTTACCTTGTTCACTGTAATGCTCTCGTCAGCACAATGGTTGGCTCAATCATGCGGCCAGGCCAGCCGCAAGAGACCGTGTAAGTGCTGGCGGAGAAGATTGCAATGGACACTCTACACTTAGCGTTTGCATGACATACAGTACGAACTTAAGAACTGCGGAGAAACTGTCAGCAGTCAATGTTCATTGCTTGTGTGTATTATTTACCATTCAACCGCCAGCAGCTATGCAAGAGAACGCTCAGAAACCCATACATACCGGCATCCACTCAACGCCCGTATGCTTTGTCCGTATCGACACTGCTCCTTTCGTGGCCCGTTCTGCAGCCAATCGCAGTTTGAGTGGTAGTCGTGAAACCCATCATGAGCCGCTTTGCTTCCCAGCCTTCTCCATCGCCCTCCTGCCGATATAGTCGAGCCTGCTTCCTATCATCGTGATAGCATTCCCCTACCACACCGCCCGCAGCTTGGCGTAGCCATTGGCATGCGAGAGCCTTCAAAACCGGCTTTCTCGGTCGTAAGGCCTGCGCGTTCGGCTATGGTGGTACCTCGGCACTCGAGTAACGAGCGAGGCGTGCACGCTCCCATCATCTTGAATAAGGTCTTTCCACCAAATATTGCACAATCGCTCACGTCAGCTCGTCAGCCATCTTTTCGTCCTCCTCGCCCTCAGCACTCTTCGTGCCTTCTTCGCTCTCATCCAAACTACTACTTTCACTACCCGTAGTCTCCAGCTCAAACCCTTGCGTTCGATCAACCAGACTGCGATAGTACTCTTCCAGCACCTCCGGCTTCGGTACGATCTTCCAGTACACCCTCTGCAAAAACTCCAGCTCCAATGTCGCAAGTTCTGTGACTGGTATACCACCAATTCGCGCATACGTTGGATTGGTCCAGAATGAATCGCTGAGACCCTTGGCGGCTACCGTTGCTGCCGTGATCAGAAAGCGATGTACCGTTAGACTGTTAATTGTGAAAGCGGGATAGAGCGCGCATATCCGGTCAATGTACCAGACCATGCTCAGCAATATTGGCGGAGATAGCGTTGCGTGTTGGATGAGGCGCTGAAGGTAATCAGAAACGCTGATGCCAGGCGGTGCGCGCGAATGGAACCTTGTGAGCTTGCCGTCTCGCAGCGGAATCCGGTCGTTCAGCCTTATCAGCTCCATCAACATGTTTGATATCAATATGCCAAGATCCTTGGGGTTGCAAGTTTCGTACTTCAGCGGCATGACCTTGACGGTGCCCGGCTCCGGCCGGGACCGCTTAGGTGCCGAGGAGTAGCCATGCGTTGATCGTGCTTCTTCCGGTTCGGGCTGCTGCTGCTCTACAGCCTCATGCTTCGCCAGGTCAGTCGTACTTGCATTCTGCGAGACCGCACCTTCCAGTTCTGGATCTGTCCGCGGTTGCGGCTCGCTTGGCGGGTTGCGTGCCGCAGAGCTGCCTGCTCCGACGTCGCTCGAGCTCATCTGCTGATGGTGCGGTGACTCCGACCGCGTGCTTTCCTTCCGCTTCTTCGCGCTGCCCGCCGAGCCCGGAGGCTGTGCGGCTTCGGTCCGGGTCACGGCCACCTTGTGCCTAGGAGCTGTAGGTGGATAGCCTTCCGGACTGTACTGTGTGGCAGCGTCAACGTATGAACTCTGCTGCCGTCCCTTCTCGCCTTCCGCAGGTTGCTGCTGTTTGGGAAATCGCGTTGCTGCCACCGGCGCATTGAATGTCCGCTTGGGCGACGAGAAGGGTCGGGGTGATGCTCGCGGTGAGCGTGAGTAGGGGGTGTTCCGTTGCGGGACGAGGAATGGGTTGTGCGGCGAGCCGGCGGGTGAGGGCGAGGATGTCAGCGTGGACATCGCCGTGCTACGATGAAGACGGTGAAGTCGGATTTTGCCAAGATTGAGTTCGGGTTCAGAGTGTCGATGTTGTTGCAGCGCATGTTAGGCGGATAGCGCTGTATACGAAGTTGCAGGTGTTGCAAGCTGCAAACAAGCGTATCAATGGGTCGTCAGAGAATGCAAGTCTTATGATCAAAAGTACAAAAACTTTGTCGTCATGGGCAGACCCAAAGCTTATGAAGGCGTCGGCCAACAGTCCGGCATTATACGCCACGTTTTGCCAAGCATCAACCAAAACTACCGTCTCCGCCACCGCAGACCTCCGACGCGCCCTATGCTACTTTTTGTCAGCCTTGTCCCACAGTATTGGACGAGCGCGTCTCGTGCAACTCAGTGTTTTGACAAAGCCCCCGGCCACTGTAACTTAAATTGATCATCGTTGCGCTAGAAGAGCCGCATAGAGAGGTATCAAATGCGAATGGTTCGCGCGTGTGCCTTCCCGATTAGGAAAGCGGAGAGAACGCCTTGACTGGGTTAGTGAGCGGGCATAATTCCGGCGCTACTCTTCAGAGACACCTCCGCATTGCAGAGTCGCGTGCCTACTTTGATTGTGCACCGCCGAAGCAGTTCCTTGACACTAGGCTCCAAGCCTTACCCACTTGTCAGCGTCTGGGAGCTAGCGACGGCATGTTATGATGGAGGCAGTCCATCTGCTGGACGGTGCTGTGTCCAGCGACGAGCAGATTGCTGCATTGAAGCGTCTCAAGAATGAGCTAGCAGGCCACGACCAACGGAAAGAAGCGGATATCAGAGATGGATTGCTCGTGTCGCTGGTCCGCATACTGTCTACGACGTTCAACCGACTGGATGGACAAGGCGCCTACGATGGGGTGACGATGAAGCACGACGATGAGCTTCGGCTGCAGGCAGCCCTGGTACTTGGGATATTGGCAAATGGAGGCACTTCGTTCGTCAGACCATTTATCGCTGCTGGAGTCCCGGATGTGCTCTCGAGCATTCTTGAGATCATTGCTCCACCAAAGGTAGTGACTGCGACTTTGCAAGCTCTAAGGAATCTCTCAGTGGCTTGGAGTGAACTCAAGGCCGCATCAGAACCGTTACCGCAGCTTGACATCTTCAATGAGCACAGTATCGATGCATATCAGATCATCATTACGCAACAGGATCGCTCTGCTTCTGCGACCCAACAGCTTCGGCTGGTTGCTGAAATCATAACCTTCGCTGCCGATAGCGAAGAGGTGAAGGCGAGACTCGCATCGTCAGACGCTACAGGCGGCATCCTCTTCGCGCTTTCGGATCTTATTTGCGCGTATGCAATTGCAGCTTTTCATCTCGAGCCTGGCGAATCTCCACGCGATTTCTTGACGCCGCCACGTGCAAGCGCCATCCCAAGCATCATGACTTCGATATGTACCATCCTGTACGGCTCGAGCTCCCGTATCTACGACTTCCTCGTGTGCGGAATGTCCCTGCGACTGTTCCGTGGTTGCTCGGTGGAAACAAGCCGCACTGCCCGTGATGGTTTCATGGTCATGGACGGGGAGCCTCTCTTGCCACCACTGCACGTTCCTGCTCTGGGCACGACGAGCTACATGGGCACATCCCGAACCTTGTCTGCCTCGGCAGCTTGGCAGCCGCCTGGCCGTCGCTATATGGAGGCTCGGAAGCACTCCAACGGCGTGTCTCTCCCTCCGAACTCTGCAGGCTCAGGCGAGCTGGTATCCTCAGCAGCGTCACCAGCGCAAATGGAAGACCCAACAATGGTCTGTAATCTGCTCCTGTTGATAGCGCGTTCTACGTCAAGCTACGGTAGGCTGGTCACTCTCAAATTGCTCGCAATTGTCAACACAGCGACACATCCAAACCTAGGCATTGCTCCTGCGCGGTCCGAATCTCTACAGAAAGTGGCGGAGCGGGTGAAGCAAATGGCGATGTTAGCTGTGCCACTTGCTGTTCGGCTTGTTCAGAATGCGAGCGAAGGCAAAGGCTCGGATGTGCACTCCAAAGAGCAGTTGGATGCTCGCCTGGTCAAAGAAGAAGCCTGTACTGTCCTCGCGCTGCTCATCAGCGAACACCCATTGCTTCAGATTGCCGCGGTAGACGCCGGAGCGATCAAGTACGTCTGTCCGATCCTCAAGAAGAGTTTCGATAATGTGGTTTTGTCCAAGCCAATGTGGTCAGCCAAATCACTACATGCCCAAGAGAGCGATGCGCCGCACAAGAGGCTTGGCAGCAGAGGCTTGCCATCCGAGATTTTGCACGCTATGCGCTGTCGCCGGGGTGCGCTACAAGCGATTGCCGCACTCGCCGACAAAGAAGATCTTCACCGCAAAGCCATCGTCGAGGCCGGCGTGGTGAGCTGCATGATTGATTCCCTCAAGCCATTCCCACCAGACTTTGCGCAGAAGCTAGCGGCCAACCGCCGTCAGGTGGGACCAAACGACGGCAACACCGTACCTGTCATTCTTGCAGCGTGCGATGCTGTGAGAACCATGTCACGCAGTGTCAGCCTACTCCGCACCAGCCTTATCGACGCCGGAGTCGCGAAGCCGATCTTCCAGTTGATGAGTCATCAGGACCCAGAAGTGCAACTGGCGGCGACCAATGCGTGTGTGAACTTGCTTCTTGAGTTCAGCCCGATGCGGGACGACCTGGTCTCGGAAGGTGTGGTCTCGGTACTGACAAGGCACGCTCGGAGTAGTTCTCCAGCTCTGCGTCTAGCAAGTTTGTGGGCTCTGAAACACTTAATGATGAACTCACCGAAAGAGCTCAAAGTGCACACGCTCGAAGAATTAGGTACCGGCTGGCTAGTCAGCGCCATTCAGGGCGAGCAAAGGGAAGTCTCTACGCTGCCAGGTGGCGGTGTTGGACTGAGCACGCCGAACGCCGCTGGAGAGCAGGTAAATTTACTAAACCCTTCTAACATGGACGTGGATGATGCGCCGGGCGGGATGAAGGACTGGGACGATGAGGATGAGGACGAAGATGGTGAGGTCATGTACGATGAGTCGTCCAGCACGCATTATCAAGCCTCCCAACTCCGCTCAACCCTCAACCCGCACCCCTCAGCATTCAATGGGCACAAGTACCTCGCATCGCCTCATGAAGACGAGCATAGTTCGGCACTCAACGCGCGGCGCGAAGACGTTGACGTGCAGGAGCAAGCACTTGACTTCTTCCGCAACTTGATCAACGGGGATGACTGCGCCTCCATGTTCGATCACCTACTGCAACAGATCGGCAGCACGAAGATCTTTGAGCTTCTCACTACGAAACTTGCACCTCTCCCAAACAGCGCACGTCTGACCGGCAGCAATCGTCCAGTGCACAACTCAACTGAGATCATCAGCGCCGCCATCTCCGTCGTCCAGCACATAGCCAATGCGGCGCCACGCCACAAGCAAATGCTGATAGCGCAGACACCACTACTGCATGCCTGGAAGGCGCACTTCAACCATCCGCATGCGCGCATCCGGGCACAATGTGTCTGGGGCGTTATTTCGTTGACTTGGATGGAGGACGACTCGGATCGCAAGAACTGTCGTTTGAGGGTGCAGGAACTCGCGAGCGTGGGGATCGTGGCTAAGGTGCGCGAGTTGGCGAATGATATGGATAATGATGTGAAGGAGCGGGTGAAGACCGCGCTTATGCAGATTGACAAGCCATGATCAAACGCACTCACTGATAACCGATGTGCTGTTTCCACGGCATTCGAGGCTCGATCATGGTCTGGAGACTTATTAACATGATGCGCAAAGGAGATGGCGAAGAAGTCAGACCCGGCGCTGGCAGGCTGATCAACGCTACGATTTCGGCGGGTTGCAGACCTCGCGCCTCTGAAAGAGGTACCGGGTAGCACACACCTAGAACGTGCTGTGTTCATGGTATGCCCACCTATTCCAGGATCTACGTGGCTTGTTGCGCTGACGGTCTCCGTGATAGAACGCGGCCAAAGTACGGTTACAGTAGGGGAGGGCCTTGAACCGAACATTGCGAGACGTAGTAAAGCCCGTAGCGGGACGATGAATAGTGGGCTTATACTCTAAATCCCGCTAACCGCTTCATATCCACTCGTCTCATCATAGGGCCTCATACACGGTTCTGATCAATGCTTGTAATCCATACGCTCGCTAGGGTCAGCAAACTGATCATACTCTCTCTGACTGGTCTCTCTCGGCGGCTCCACGTCACGATCACCAGGTGTCGGTTGATACGCTGGTGGCAAGAGATTCGGATCATGGTGAGCGCCCTCCGCGGCTTGTAGTGTCTCCCACAACTGCACGCAAGTGCCTGGCGGTATCTGAACCTGCCCGCCGAGGATCTGCTGGTTGCGGATCTTCTCCGAATGGTAGAATCGCTCGTTCTCGGTCGTGCGCTCCACAATCACCGTGCCGTCAATCTGAACGCCAAGGTAGAGGCCCTTGGACTTGGTGTACGTCCAGACCGGCGACTGGCGCTTGAAGACCTCGGAGTCCACGGTGCTTCCTCCGCCGAGCGGACCGACGGCGGCGGAGATTTCGCCACCCAGTGTAGCGCGAACACGGGTAAAGCCTTCCATTCCATGGTCGTTGTTAATGACGCAGACGCAGTCGTAGATATCTGCGCCAGCTACGAAGCCCCAACCGAGCGTGTGGATGAGGATCCCTGAGGGGGGCGACCATTGGCCGTTCGGCATCTTCGCGACGATGATGCCACTGCCGCCCGCACCGGACCAGTGCAGACCCATCCTCATGACTGTGAAGATGGCCAGACCTCTCGCATTGCGGATCACTTCCGGTGGGATGTGGTCGAGAGACTTGTGCTGCTTCTTCTCGGTGCCGTGTTTGCCGCCTCCTTGCTCCGCTTGGAAGCCATCGATGCCTGTGGCTTGTCAGTAAGGCTGTAACGGTACAGGTGGACGGAGCAGTAGGCGTACAGAAGCTGCGCAATATGCGTGCAGCCTTGTCCGCTTCTTGGTCCAATGACGAGGGCCAGAAAGCTTCCGCGCCGAGCTTGTTAGTTAGCTTGTTGACGGGCACTCCTATCTTCTGGAACCATTTGTTGCTCTCAGATTTCGTCTTCTCCCACGTCGACTGCTTGGATGATGGTTGTTGTTGACTCGCCATAATGGTGGACACAGACTTGTGCTACACAAGAAGTTGGATGGGCACTGTTGACACTTGTCGTGATCAGAATTCTAGATACCTTTGTACATCTAGGTTGCCTTCTGCTGCTTACACGTCAAGGTGGCTTAGGCAGGCACGACAATAACTTGGTGACTGGCGGCTGCCGACGCGCATGTCGCCAAGCCCCGCGATGTGACGCAATATTTGATCTCGGACCAGACCATGCGACGTAGAGAGGAGCATCCGCATTTTCAGACACGCATACATCTGGATCCAGGAGTTGCCAGGCATTAGAGATGTTCCTGGTCAAGAGTTGGGCGGGTTCCAGCGGTAAAACTTTTCGGAAACACCCACCAAGTGGCGAGCAAGCTCTGGGCAACCACGGCCAAAACTTTTCGTATCTATGAAAACCAGCAGACTGCATCTCAATTGTCCTCTCCACAAGAAGGGCACAACTGGAACACTGTCACTGAGGTTCGCGAACGTTGGTGATTGTAGGCTGGCTCAATGCTGGGTCACGTGCATTCTCCGTATTGGCGCCGGCGATAGCCGCTTTGATTCCTGAAAATGGCAAGCACAATATGGAACATGTTTGCGAGCGCTCGCACCTGCCTTTTCACACTTCTGGCAAACATCCGGAGGTCACTCCTTCCGACGACACTTCTCCACAATGTTCTCATCAACAATCTTCGCTCCGCGCTCTTGCGCATCCAGCGTGCAATCATGGCTGCACACATACGACGCGACTCCACGCAACCGGAGCCTCTTGTGAGGCGGATGGTGCACTTGAAGACCAAGGAGGAATGCCGTTTGGGCAATGAGACGATCCGGGTCTACACTGTAGAGCTGCCTAGTAAGCATGCAGAGGGGATTTTGAAGTATTGAACAGTCGCCGTGCCAGTGTTTGCTCATCATACTGACACCGCCGGCAGAGTTATCAAGGAGAACATCGAAGGCCAGGATGTTATTGACCTGCAACATCTTCGCCGCTTCGCCAAGCCAAAGTATCTCCCGCCACACGTGATTGGGGAGCGTGACCTCGTGAAGGAGATGTACGCCGTGTCACGCGCATGGGAGAGCACGCCACCGACCATGATGCAAGCTGGCCGTGCCACCTGGGAGTGGTCGCTACCCGTCCGGAAGCGCACCGAAGGACGTCCACCAACTTTGTACCTGCTCGTCTGCCCGGCAAACCTCATCTCACTCAAAGATGTGCACGACCTGCTGTTGCAGCATCCGCCGTTCTGTTCATCTGCTGACTCTTGGGCTTATCCGCTTGAGATCAAGGAGATCACAGTGCCGATGCTAGCACCAACAAGCCCAGAACAAGCGGCCGAGTGGTCGGAGCTATACTGGCCCACATTCTACCGCAAAACCAATCCTTTCGGCGCTCACCCGAGCAGCATCAGTAAGGCTGAGAGTGAGCTGCAGGAGCCAGCAACCGACAATATCGCTCTCCCGGACATGATGAAGCTCGCAGAGGAGGCAGGCACAGCGACCGAGAAGCTGGGTTACGGCATTCGTACGGGCTGCGTCATTGTCGAACGTGTTGATGACAAGACTGAGATTATCGCCGTCGCCGGTGACGCGCGTCTCAAGCCGCTTCCTAGCGAGAGTGGCTACGACGCTTCCTGCGACGGCAGTATGGTGACTGACACAAGCAATGAGAAAGGCAAGTCCGGCGGCGCCTTTGCGAAGAAGACAGCACGCAAGAAGAAGAAGCAAGCCGAGCAACGTGCGGCCAAAGCTCGTGAGGACGCTTCTTGCACATCAGGTAATGTAATGAGCCACGCCGTCATGCGCGCTGTGGGTATGATTGGCCGCAAACGCTTGCGTGTTGCCTCCTCGACCGTCAGCAAAGCCGCTGCGAAAGCCGAAAGCGCCTTCACCGCCGTTGGTCTTGATCATGATGAGCAAGCCCGCGATGCTTTCTTCCTCGACCTGCCTCTTACGCCTCTCGAGCAGCAATACTTCGAGCGCGACAATCTTAAGCCAGATGGCTATCTCTGCCTGAAGCTTGAAATCTTCCTCACCCACGAACCCTGCATGATGTGCTCCATGGCGCTCGTGCACAGCCGTGTCGGGCGCGTCATCTTCGAACACCGCATGTCCCGGACCGGTGGCTTGACGGCCGAGATGGTTAGAAACGATACCGGTCCCGTCGGCCTCGGATACGGCCTCTGCTGGCGTAAGGAGCTCAATTGGCAGTTCATGTGCTGGGAGTACACGGCAGCCGAATATGCCCTGCGTGAGAAGGAAAAGGAGAAGGCTCGGGTGCTGAACGGTAACGATACTGAAGGCCCCGACGAAGACCATCCCGAACAGAATACTACCACCGCCACAACCATCTGCACATCTAATGCCATTACTGGCTCTCATGATGATGTCAATGCTAATTTGGGCATGCCTAGCTTTACGAGCATCCACGTCTAGAAGACGCGGTGCCCTCAGGGGAGCTCCCGGCGCAGCATGGAATACGCGAGCACGACCACGTCAGTATCCACGTCAGTACTGGTAGAGACAGCATCTTGGGCGAGCGCGACGGTGGCGTCTGGTGCGATCGAGACTGCAAGCATGACTACGGTGACGTTCTCTTTTAGCGCAGGCGCATGGGGTAATGACAGAATGCGATGGCCTTACGGCAACGGTAAAACCATGCGATGTATTGTAGCTGACCTGCGCGTGGTGGAGAAATGTAACATAGCGAAGTACGAGAGATCTGTATGCAGACCACCACCGATTGATGCAACCCAACTCTATCGTACACATGCAATTGTCCATGTTACCAATGCTCTCATATGTGTCGTATTCATCTAACACCACAGACCCAGTGCCAGCCAGACTCTCTACCAACTTCATTGCATAAGTCTCGAGCGCGCCGCAAAGCGCTCCCAATATCGCGAGACTACCGAACCGCAGCGAAATGCGAGATAGCGGCCTGAACGCACTATACCACAGTCGCCCGCCTCGCTCCGATCTTCGGAGCATCCTTCCTCTTCGCCTCCTTCGCCTCCTTCAACTCCCTCAACTTCCTCTTGATCCCAAATTCCTGGCGTGGCCGACTCGCAATCTCATCCGAAGTGACGTTGCCGTAGAAGCCATAGACCGCCGTATCGGTTGGTTGCGTATACCTGTGGCTGTCTGCCCAAGCGTGCAGAGCGTTGAGGTAGTGTGCTTCGGACGGATAACCTTTATAGGGTTTCGGTACGGTTGTGGGGTCTGCGATGGTATCTCGGCGCTCGAATGCTGCGCCGGCGGGGATACGGAATGGGGAAGAGGAACGTGCTACTGTTGGCGCTGCTCGTCTGATTGATGAGGCGGGAGAGCGGGCGCGGGGTGTTCGGTCGCCATCGCCGTAGATTTCTGTTATCATTGAGGCTGATTCTGATGGAGCAACGCTGTCGGCGAGAAGGTAGCGACGGTCTGTTTCGGTAGATGGGCGCGGAGGCTCCAGCGTTTGCGTCGTTGTGGAGGTCATGGTGGCGGATGTGCGAAGGCTGTTTCAGTGACTGACGGTAGAGGAGAGGCTATAAGGTAATGGAGGTTGGAAGTAGGAAGAGTGATAGCGAACTGAATGCTTACTGTGGCAGTGATGGATCTGGGATCTACAGATGAAAACATAGCGTGTGAGGCGATTGCCCTACGGCGAATGCGATGACATTCTCCGGATGTTCATCATTCACTCATTCGCAAGCCCCCACCATCCCACTCACGCTGCACGTGCGAGCCAGCGAGCGTTTGTGGCGTCAAGCATCACCAAGATCTCGCCAATGCTGCGGGCCGTTGGAGCCGCCGGCCGAGCGCTAAAGCAACCACTTCACCACGCGTCCCAAACACTTCAACGTCAATCAGCCAGTATCGACATAAGCGTCGGTCTTCTCCCAATTCCATGGGTCTTCAGCACTTGCCAGAAGAGCTCCTCACGCTGCTGGAGCAATGGCCGTGCAGAGAACAGCAGCTTCGACAACTGTCTGCTGTCCTTTCCGTAAGCGGCTGTAGAAGCGAGACAAACGCAACAGCTAATTCTTATCAAGCCCAAACTTCCAAGTCCTCATGCCGTCGTTGTTCATGGACCACACGCGACGGGCAAGACTGGCATCGTTAGATCCCATCTCGCCAACAGCAAACTCAAGCACGCATTCATCGACTGCAGAGAATGCGTGACTGGCCGGCATCTGCTTGAACGAACGGTCGCAGTAGTCCATAATGCCGTAACCGGAGACGCAAACTCGTTGAATGATCGATGCGAGAACGTCAGCGCTCTTGTTGTAAACCTGCAACGGCTACTTGACGGTCGCGGCAAGTTTGCGCTTGTTCTTGACGGTGTCGATAAGCAACGAGAACCGTCTCCGACGCTGCTACCGGCTTTAGCTCGTTTGGGAGAAGTGGTATGAGCGTACCTACGGGAACCGTTGAGAACAATGCTAACATCACAAGATACCTGACTTAACAGTTGTTCTGATCGTTCAATACCCGCCCCCCCGCTTCTTGCACCAGACCGGCATACCGCACACATACTTCTCCCCTTACACCCGCAATCAATCGATCCACATCCTCTCGCAGAATGCACCCGACATCTTCATTGAGCCTCCCCCTGCCGACCTGGAGTACGATGAAGATGTCCACCAAGAAGACAAAGCCTGGCTATGGCCCCGCTTCTGCGCCGCAGTCTGGGACTCTCTCGCTCAGAATGCCGCAAGAGATCTTCTGGCTTTTCGTGAAGTCTGCCACAAACTCTGGCGGCCATTTGTAGCACCCATCATCAGAGGCGACTTCGGCACGCGTGACTTCAGCAGGTTACTGGTGGCTCAGCGAAGGCTATTTCAGGATGAAAGCGTGCTACTGGATTCAGTTGTTCCCGCCGTTGCGTTGCCATCGAATGTCAGGCGTGAAGGGCACGAGCTACCATATTATGCTAAATGGCTCCTTGTAGCGGCCTACCTTGCTTCGTTCAACCCGGGAAAGCTCGACGCGCTCTATTTTATGAAAACCACCGAGCGCAAGCGGCGGAAGAAAGGCGGCGGCACTGCACGTTCTGGCGGTGGGCGCCCGTCGCAGAACCGCAAGATGCCGCGACATCTCATGGCCGCATCAGCGTTTACGCTCGATCGGCTGATGTCGATTCTACACGCTATCTTACCGCATGATCTGCGCACGACCATCGACATGTACACGCAGATTGCTACGCTTACTAGCTTGAAACTGTTGGTCAGAGGTGGAGGGATTGGGAGCAGCGACCCGTCCGAACCTGGTGGTAAATGGAGGGTTGGACCAGCAGTGAGCTGGGATTATACCCAAGCGCTTGCGCGCAGTCTGGATTTTACCTTGATTGACTACCTGGCAGAATAAGCTGACCTCAAGGAGGTAAACGCACTCTCAGGGCCACAGTAACCGATCCAGCTGCTCGTGCCGTTTCACTGCACTCGCAAAGTCGACGCCGCCGTACTCAGCCAACTGTCCATCGGCGTACAGATCGTAAAGCTTGGCAATGTTTTTGGACCTTGGTGGAAGCGACTCCTGCCACTCCTCAAAATCCCAGTCGAGTGTCTCGACTGTATCCGTAGCGAAGGAGTGGACCTCAGTTTTGATTGCGGACTTGTCACCTTCCGCGGAGAGATAGACGCCGTTTTTGTTGGTCACGCGGATCTCGCCCTTCTCACCATTGATGGTCCAGACAAACGGCGTGATGCCCGGAAACGGAGTACTTCTCCGGAAGTTGACAACGAGCGACGCACCCTCTGCAACGTAGCTGGATGCAGACAGTGTGCCGTGTAGTGACAGCAAGTCCGGTACGTCACATTTTGCACTCCGCTTCGCGCCGGTCTCGGCGTCGGTGACCGCCCAGTCTGGCCGCTGAATCTGGGTATGTGCATTGGAGCTGACGTATTCTCCCAGCACCGAGTGAATGGTGTCGATCACTTGAGTGTGTCAGCAACCAGACCCTGCAAAAGTAGCGTAATATACCTACAGTGTCCGACTGCGATAGTAATCGAGTTGCCTCCAATCTGCTTATTCAGGAAGTACGACATGCCTTCCGAGACGGTATCACGTGCACTAAAAATCGAGTATGCGTCAACCTTGCTGCTTAGGACTTTGCCGATTACCCCATCGCGTAGCGTGTCTGCCAGCTTGCGGATGATCGGTGAGACCCTGCCCTGCAGACCCACGAACGTGGGCGCACCCGTCCGCTCAACCAGCGTTGCAAGCTCAGCCGCTCGCTGGGCATTCTCAGCCAGAGGCCACTCTACGAAGGCTGCCTTGCCGGCCTCAATGCTCGGCTTGACGGTCGGAAAGTGTACATCTACGCGGGTAGTGCACGCGACAAGGTCGATGTCCGGATCAGCGGCGAGTTCCTGAGGAGAGCCGTAAGCCTTTACATCTGGCCCAAGATCGAAGCTTTCGATGGATCGTTTCGCGGCCGCTTCACTCGAGTTGAGTAAGGCGACGATTTTGTACTTCTGTTTGCCCCGATTGGAAAGAAGGTAAGGGAGGTGAGCTTCCGTTGCCCAAGAGGTTTTGGCGGATTGGGAGAGGCCGATAAGTGCGACGCGGATGGGAGCCATTGTAACGGCTGGATGCACTCAATGCCTGCATCTAGGGTGCTCGACTCAAGCAGCTAATATACAGGCGGTGTTTGCTGACTAATGTGAACTCTCATGCGTCGGTTGGTTATGGATGGAATTGTTTCGTGGTCTCAGCTCTATTGCACCATTCGTGCTGACAAATGCTTGTATAGCTCAATGTTTGCCGCCATCCCACAACATAAGCACGCTGTCGCAGCCCTATACATCATATGTCAGCCTATCAACTCAAGTTCTTCATGGAATATGTTGCAAGAGCTTGCGGTGACCCCGGGATGATAGCGCGCCTACACGGTTCCCACAGCTCCCGTCCGTTTCATGAATTGAGCATGGTGGTGAGTGCTGTCTAAGTGGCTGCTACCGACCATTCCAGGTGCTCTTGTTGACATCTTCTCGCGTCCGGCTGTCAGTCGATTCCAAGCTTTGTTGCCTCCATGGTACACCCATAAAACCTCTGCAGCGACGAACCCTGGACCAACCATATGCCCGTTGTGCGTCTCCCGCTTGCCTTGAGTCTCGACAAACCGCGCATTGCTCGACATTTCCAAATGCGCACGCAGGGCAGCTTCGTCGACAGCGGACATGTCTTGGAGATGGTCACGTAAAGCGTTGCGCGCTTCTTCGGTGCCGTAGCCGTGTTTGACGCCGTAATCGTAGCACTTTGCAGTCGGCTGCTTCGTTGCAGACGATGATGGAGAGTGGACGGTGCCCAAGTATCCTGTTGTTGTTTAGACGATCTTTGAGCAGGACAGAACTGTCCAACTGCAGCTCCGCTTCTCGAGAAGCAATGTCAGACGCTAAGGTTTCAATCATGTTGACCGCCGTCCACTCGTCATCAGACAATGCAGGATTTGCACTGAGACCGACAATATCACAGTACGCCGCGGGGATTGCCGCGTTCGTGGATACGCCCAGTAGCGATGTCCAGCCTTTTGGCACTTTGTTCGCAATCGGTGCGGAGTCTACAATCATTTGCCGAAGACCTCATCAGGATAGTCTGCCAGATACTGCCCGATCAGCACGCCGCCGTATGAGTGGCCGACAAGCAAATAAGGCGGAGCAATGTTCGCTATCTGCAGCATTTGGTGCAGATCTACAGCGATGTTCCCGGCTGTAGGCGGTTTGGTAGGTTGATCAGATCTATAATAGCCGGCACGTTCGTACGAGTAGACGCGTGCTGTGCGAGACACAAGGCGTTGGACGGCGACCCATTCCTCCCAGGAACCACCTAGGCCGTGCTCGATGACGATGGCAGGCTCGCCTGGTCTCTGCCGTGCTGGTCCGGAGGCTTTGACGAAAAGGTGATGGCCATCTGGGAGTTTGACACGCCCTTCCTTGTGCGCTCGTGTCCAGTCGACTTCAACCATGCTCAAAGTACTGTATATCAGTCTCGGTCAACAATATGGGAGAGGGTATCAAGGCGCTGCAGCTGCTTCCAACCTTGAAGTACTATGAAAGGTTCTGCTACATGCCTTAAAACCGGATTGTGACGTTACCTGTGAGCGCAACGACTGCCTCTTCTTTGAATGCTACAAGTTGGCGAGGGCAACGAACTCCGGTGCCGACGGCGTTCGGTTTCAGACGTCACCTAAGCGTGATACACTCTCGTCAGGATACCTCGCAGTGCCGCCGCTACAATTCTCAGCGCTCCCCGCAGGACGTCAACGTCTTGCCGATTAGCAGAATGTGTCGAGCTTGAAGGAAGATTGTTTGCGTGTCTCCTGTCAACCACGTGCCCCACAGCAGAGATACACCGTTCCAGCCACGTTGGCTAAACTTCGCGAACGGGGGTTGAAACTAAGGGTCTCCACCGAATTTTCCGACTGGTGTCAGCGATGAAAGTGCTGCTGTCAGGTACGGGACTGTACTGCTGGTTATGCATTGTCTGACCGTGTCGTGGGTGTTCCTCGATGATTTGATCGTCATCCACGCCTGCTGTGCCTGTCATGACAAGGGGTAGCATGATGCCTTGATGAATCCAGCCTGTGCAGTGGGTTAAATTGCGGGGTAGTGGCAGCAGCGCCAGTCCCTTAATAGAGAGAAGAGACGTTCAAGCAGCTCTCGAGTCCATACGTCGTCGATCAGCCAAGCTGCGAGTCAGATGACAGCATTGCAACATCGCGGATCTGCTCACCACCCGCCGAGTGAAGCTCACCTATCACCAATGCCTCGAGTCTCAGTAAGGTAGAAACCTTATTACCTCCATAGGCGCTCGAATTGGGTACAAGGAGAAGGTACATACCGCCCGTGCCCCGTGCTCAATTTAGGGAACCTGCTATCGTTCACACGCCTCCACACTGGCTAGCGTCGCGAAGAACTGATCCTCAGCCCTTCCGAACCTCTTGCGAACACATTGCCAGGGTCGACACAAAGTCATCGTTATCCTTCCATGAAGAGCAGTCGTATGGGGCGGTTAGGGTGATGCAAAGGATCGCCTAACACCGGTGGACTGCCGGTCTTACCGTACCCTCCAACATCTACACTATCAACCCGCCTAGATCGCACGGACAGCGCTCGCGACCAACGTCTCTGCACCGGCGCTCGCTTTTCTCGCCTTGTCGCGTCATGGCATCACGCGACAACAATGGAGGCGACATGGATGCTTGGAACGATCCGGTCTTCCAGTCCACTACCTTTGACGAGTCGATGGCTACTGACTCGCCAAACTACGACTTCACCCTACAGAATTTCACTCACTTCAACGACGCTTATGACGACTCTACCGGCTTGAATCACCGCACACCTTCGAAGACTGGCTGGGACATGGTCTCCACTCCAGCGGCTCAGCAGCAGCAACAGTTCGTCGGCATGCCTGTCGGCGCGTCTGCGGAGAGCTCCAGCCAGGACTCTGCATCTGACTCGTCGAGCAGGCGAAAGAGGAAGGTAACAGAATCACCAATGTCAGACACGAACACTGAGCTCGGCATCAAGAAAGAGGATTCCATGATTGGAGGTGCGCATATGGAGAAGGTGCAGTCATATGGCGTGCCTACTCGACCCATGAACCAACTTTCGCTCGATCCGGAAAGCGCGATGGATTCCAGCTTCGACTTCAACAGCGCCGCTTCAAGCCCAAGCGCGCCGCGCGAATACAACCAGGCTGTTTTCAGTACTCAAGCCCCGCGTCTCCAGAACAATACTGCGCTTCATCGCTACCAGCCGTCGCCGGTAAGTGTGAGCTCCCCTCACGCCAGCATGCGTTCTGATACTGACTTGACCAGACTATTAATCCGCATATCTTCGAGTTTGGTGAGAACAAACCTGCTGTCACCGAGGCGATGTTACTGAGCGGCGCCTCGCCGAATGCCGTGACTTCGACGCCTAGCTCTGACAGTAACGAGCTGTTCGGCACTAATTCAATGTGGGGTGCACTGAACCCAACATGGTCAGGCGACACAATGAGCACTCAGTACGCTTCTCCAGCGACGTACCGCTTTCCAGCATCGCCCAGCGTGAATGGCACGGCATCTTCGGTAGTTTCGCGCGGGTCAGTAGCACCGCTTGGCAGATGTCCATTGTACATTGCTCCAATCTCCACCAAGTCTCGCGTGGAAACCCAGATCAACGTGCACATGATCGTGGAGAACTTACCGGCAAATATCGAGTGGCTGCATTTGCCACTACACACCATCGCCAAGTCGAAACTGCTTGCGAAAGAGGATTACGACAAAAGCAGAGTACTTGAGCTCCACGTCTACCTTGTCTGTACAAGCGCGATGCAGAACCCGCAACTACGGGAGAAAGCGCTGAAGCGTGCTGCCGCTCAGAACAACTCTGCAATCCAGCGCCGTGCGGAGCAGCAAAAACGCACCGTGGACGAGGAGAAGAACGACCCGAAGAATGTGGATGAAGCTGATAAGCCATTGAATGGAGGTGAGGTGCGCATTTGCACCAACTGCATACAGCGCGAACGCAAACGAGCAGGCCGCAAGAAGCTCAAGAAAGAAGAAGAGCAACAGCACTGGGAGCGTTTTGAAACCGAGCGTGTTGTCGTGTTCAATTCGAATGAGTACCTGCCATTCAAGCCCTATGATCCGAGTCAGCGCGACACTGCGCTGAGCGACGATCAACCGTATTCGCCACCAGAGGGTGCGATGCAGGTGCAGGGTGCCATGCGCATTGCGTGCTACTGCCGGCACCAGAGTGAGAAGGAGGGTTTCCGTGTCATATTCACGATGAAAGATCAGCAGGGTAACGTCGTGGCGCAGCAAATGTCGGATTCAATACTGATCACGGACGATCACAAGACGCACGGATCAACCTTCCCTGCCGGACTGACTGGGGAGATGTTCTACACGAACCCGGACTTCGCCTCGCCTGGTCTTACTACTTCGCAATCCATGATGCATCTCCCACAGCATGGCATGCCGTTCAACACGTCCAAGTCCATGACCGATCTTTCAGCATTCGGGCAGCAGTTCAACCCACATAGCCACATCCACCAGATGCCAAGGTCCGGCTACACATCGCAAGCAACATCGGCTACCATGACGCCCACGAGCTTATCAAGACCAGCATCGCCTACTGGTGCAGGCCAGATGGGACCTAACAAGAAAAGGAAGTCGTCGGGAGCCGCGAACAACCATAAGCGTCTGCCTAGCGGCTTGCAGATGACACCACGTGTTGACACGAACCAGCCACCGTCGTCGAACATGCCCTCCGCTATATCCATGACTTCACCAGTGTTCTCACCCTCTGCAGACGGCTTCGGACAGTCATACATGACGATACCGAATCATAACGGTCCTGCCCAGTTCTACGGTAGCGGTCCGCCAACACCAAGCGAGAACTACCAGCAAGGCGGGTTCACGGAGGCGCAGCTTCAGGCGCACTTCAATCGCTCACAGAACGCGCAGGCATACTTCTCGCATCCTTCGTCTGCTGTGCCCAGTCGAGCCCAGAGTCCGACGCTCCATCCATCTCGGCCAAACCTCCCAGCATATGCCCGTCACCCGATCCAGACTCCTACGAACATCCAAGGCCGGCACGCATACCAACAACATCTCGCCCACGCATCTGCCGGAGCCGACCAAGACCAGATTTCGACGCCAACGATAACCAAGATCACGCCAAATGAAGGGCCGACCATGGGTGGGACGGAGGTCTCTGTCTACGGCTTCAACTTCCAAAACGGCTCCTCGGTGATGTTTGGCGATCAGCAGGGCATCACAACCTACTACGGTCCTCAGGCACTTCTAGCCATCACTCCGCCGAGTAGGCCCGGCGGCGTGAATGTCGCAGTCGTCCCTTCTGCTGGCCTGCAGCAGCCTCAGAGTGGCCAGTATATGGCTCATTCTGGCAATCGCCAGATCTTCACCTACTCGGACCGGGATCCGCAGACGATGGAGAAAGCGCTGAGATTCTACAGTCTGCAGCAGAACGGGTCGGCCTCACAATGGCAGCAGACTGCGGTGCATGCGGCGCAGCAGTATACCAACCAGGAGCTCGGTCAGAGCAATATGAGGATTCAAAGTGAGTACTAGGGTTGCGAGCTTTTGTTCCATATCGCGGGCAGGCAGGCGGGCAGGCAGGCGGTGTTCAGTGACGACGACAATCCCAGGGCCTGGAAGCGAAGGCATGCCGGTAGCGAGGCGCAAATGATTCCAACATTGACATGGTAAGCACTGACGTAAAATCTGGTGGTGGGCGCAAAGTGAGGTGAAATGCCGCCAACAGAGCGGATACTCCGGACCTCGAGCGGGTCTAGAAGACGATCGGCTTTCAGCATGGTGTTGAGGGCGCATGCACGTTTCGTTTCTCCAGCCGGTGAGCTCATAGCACAACGAAGCAGTGGACATAGCGGGCTGGCGCTGAACGGAGTTCAGCTATTTCTGTGTCCGCCATTGGGCAGCAACGCTGTGTATATGCTGTGTTGATAGCCCACGACGCTGTACAAAGCACGAGCGCTTCCGCCTCCACGTACTACAGCGATGCGCTGGCCGTCGTTTTGGCGATGTGATTCCAAAATGCTTCCACTGGGCGGTACTCGGCTGCTGCAGTGAACAAAGAATGCATGATCATGATAATGCCTGAGGGACTGAGTCTGCGGCACGTGGAATCGTTTCATGCAAGCCTGACGGACAAGTCACAATGCGGTTTTCGCAAGAGGCTTCCTACGGGCATCGCCGAGGATGCATCTCGACGCGCGATCGTCGTATTGGCATTCCCGAAAAGCTGCCCCTCGCACGTGGAAGGCCGTTGGGCTTGCAGCTCTCGGCATTGTCTTGGCTCGCCGAAGACGCCGTCCGCGTCAAAGTACTGGGTTGTTTCGCCTCCGCTCTGATGGCGTGGCGGCGTTCATCGCTAGCGTTCTGTTGTGTGACATCGAGCAGTGGATGGGTTTGCGAGAGACGTGACCAATCGCCGAATAGTGCCCTTATCGACCACCTTTCTCGGACTCTGGGTAGTCAGCGTATGCAGGCAGCCGGATTGAGGGACTAGTGGAAGTAAAGTTGATTGGACCCACCACACGCAGGTTGGTGTGCATGACGGAGAGCAAGGTGGACTTGCACATGTTTCGCGCAATGATCACCCAATGAGGGAGCAGGAACAAGCGACTGTTCGACCGTCTGATGGTGGTGCGAGCCGGCTACACGCTGGAAGTTGACAGCTCTGTTCTGTTGCTGCTCGTTTGGAGTTGCTGTGAGACCAGAGACGTGCTCACTCATTACAAGTGTGCGATGTAGTGGCGTAGTCCGACCCCGGCTCACCAGAGCAAGGTACTTTCTCACGAAATCAGCCTCCAAAGCGATATACGAGCAGTGTGCCAGAGCCGCCACCACAGTTTGTTACCGCGAAGAGTAGCTGCAAGGGGCGTTTGCAGTCGGAAGTATCTAAGCGAGGCACTAAAAGCTCTCTGTCAAGATGAGCTGGGGGGTCAGGACGCTCAAAAACGTGCCGCTACCCTCCCGAGTGGCTGATCTATCACACCATGTAGTCTGTAGGTCCATGTTCCCAATGACCGATCTGAACCGATGTCGTGGATCAAGGTCAGGCTACGACAAGCATTGACAGTAGTCACTGTTGCCGTCGACGCGGCCATGGGTCGGAGCGTGCCCGTACTCAGCCTGAGACAAGCCATCCATGAACTCTGGTGGGCGGTAAGCACAAGCTCAAGAGATCAGCGACCGTTGAGAAGATCGCGGACTAGACCGCTAACGGGCCCGCGTGACGGTGTCGGTAAAGTCTCCGAACCTTCGCGGTGAAGTCCACCGTTAGCATCGATGGTGCTGTTGCCTTGGTTGGTTTTCGTTCATTCGTCGAGACGAATAGCCTTTCGAGCGATTCAGTCTTTGCCTTTGGCGACGCTGCATCCTCTTGCAGCGCCCAAGGCGTTCAGCCTGGATACCGACAGCCCGTTTTTTCAACTCTCGTACCCTCGGTTACAGCGCCAATACGCTAGTTGCGGCCCGGGAGCCCAGGGTTAAATGAACGCTTGGACCGGTCTTCACCAAGCGGTGCTGCGGGTGTGGAGATCGCCCGAGTTTCGTGATCCCGCCAATACTGTACCGCCTGCACCGTCTGCTTTCCCTCTTCTACTTCCTTCACGACGTTGACTAAGGTCCTTCATTGCAATCGGTCACCAGGTGGGAGGGCTAGGGCTAGGACTTGTTGCGGGATCCGGAGCAGGACAGGACACGAATTTGTTTGGTTTGTTCCGGTTCGAGCTGACGCTGCATTACTCGCTTCCTCGGACAGTCGCCGACCTTTGGGCATCACTCGCTACGCCTTTTTCGTCTTACGATTCTGTAGGATCCAGGGAACCGGATTCTATACACGGCGTCAAGGACACTTGCTCGTGAGCGCGTCACCACCAGGAATGTGATTGTTGTCTACAGTCCCTTGCATTGCTGTCTCCCAGCGCGCTTGTCAGGTCATCCTTCGCGCCGTCTACCCGGAAAGTCTCGCTCCAGGCCCGCTCGCTTGGGTTTCCGATTCTCCGCCTAACGACCCTTCCACCAGGTTAACAGCACTGCGGCTGCGACACGCTGTCGGTGGACGTGATTGTTCGTCGTCGGCTGGTTGTATACTCAGGCACCCGTGTGCGCCACGCAGACTTCACGCCGAACAAGCCCATCGTGTGGATCTCCGGTCAACGCAATGGCTTCACGACGCCCTACAGTCATCCAGGTAGACAATGAGACCACCAGCTCGGCCTGTAGAGTTACCCAGGAAGGCAAGCAAATCACTTACCGTCTCAAAGTACTTCAGCAACCGGCGCGTGCTAGAGCATGCGGCGCAGGCGCGAAATGTAAGCGGCTACTTTAATCTCTGTAAGCGACACAACTGACTGAACGCAGCATCTGCGGACAGACGTCCTGTCGATCCACCGCCCATCGTGGAGCTCAAAATCTTCGATGGCGAAGGCACCGACAGCGATATCACATTCCACATGAATGCTAATTACTTCCTCTTTGCAACCCTGGAGCAGGCACGCCCGATCGCTCATGGTCGCGTGCCTGACGACAAGCAGCAGCGGCTTACGGTTCTCACTGGAACGCCTGTTGCTGGCATGGTGTACCTTGACCGCCCTGAGCCTGCTGGTTACTTTATCTTCCCAGATCTCTCTGTCCGCCATGAGGGCAAGTACAGATTGAGTTTCAGTCTGTATGAGGAACTGAAGGACGTTAAGGACGACACTAAAAGCGAAGCGTCCGGTATCCGGGCCGGCTCCCCTGCAGACGCCCATGTCACGCACCGCCTGGAGGTCAAGTCGGAGCCCTTTACTGTGTACAGCGCGAAGAAGTTTCCCGGCCTTACCGAGAGCACAGCACTCAGCCGGATGGTGGCTGATCAAGGGTGCCGGGTCCGCATACGCCGCGATGTGCGGATGCGAAGGCGCGAGACGAAGTCAGGCAAGGACTGGGATGAGTACGAGGATGAGACGGCGCAGGCTCGAGCGCGGCTGTCAGCGACACCTGACGTGCCCTTCCGGGACCCAAGCTTACCTTCAACGCATGGCTTCATCGACCCCGTTGCGAGACCAAGATCGGCCAGCAACGCGAGCCACCAGTCACTGATTGCACCGTTGTCTCGTCGTACCTCTAGTCATGACATGGCGCAGGGATTCCAGCCTTTTGGTACGGCGCCGCATACGCCACAGAACGTGTACGCGCACTCACCTCAGTACGGACCTCCACCAAATCAACTGTACCCTCAGCCAGCCTATATGCCGCAACAACCGCCGGCCCCATCGAGCATGCACCCGCCACCGCCTCATTATCCCCAGCAGAGTTACCAACCTCCACCCGCGACTGGACCGCCACAATCGGAGTACTATGATTACGCGCCTCCGCGGCCTCCACCAGCGCAATACCCGCAGACCTCGCCTACCGCCGAGTTCTCGCGAATTCCGCGCATGAGCGTAGACTACTCGTCTCACCTTCCGACTGACTCGCGACGACCGTCTGCAGCGTATACTGCAGCACTCCCCCCGCCCCCTCCACCAGTCCATTATCCTTCGCAACCACCTACGCACCCATTTACGCCTACTCACACCTACCAACCAGCTCCACCGCTACCACGGCCTCAGCACGGTATGTACCTGGAGTATCAAGGCCAGCAACCGATCTTCGGCGCTCAAGATTCCTTTGCGAGCCGAGCATTACCTCCCCAGCCCGTCCAGCCTCCAGCGAGAGCTACTGGCGCTTCTACGCCGTTGAGCACATCGCGACTATCGTTTGACCAGCGGACAAAGCCGCAACTACCGCCCATACAGATACCAGACATGTCTGGCGCGATCGATCCTTCGCCCTCCCAAAGCATGCCATCTGACGCGCTGTTACCGACAATCTCCGTGCATGACTCTCGGAAACGCCACCACGGTTCCGTCTTCCGGGAGCCGCATCAATATGAGCCGATGCGGCAAGGCGCGCGGCCAACCGACACTTACGCAACGAGTCCGATTGCCATTGGCAACGACGCGGACGATTGTGACACCGCCGAAGGTAGCACCTTCCCAGGGAAGGTCATGGAGTACCGCCGTGCGAATGGTTTGCACATGAAGCGGATGTTACCGAGGCATAGCGGTGAATGAGGTTATGACAACGTCTGAGAATGCAGCTTTCAAGAATGTGGTGGTATTATTTTCTGGCGGGACGAGTGTAAAGCGCGGTGTCCCTGGGCTACTGGAGGCGGTTATTTTGAGTTCAGTTTTCATCACGTCGTCTTATTGGTTCACTAAGAGCCTAGATTGGAGCTTGCGGGACTTGGTCAGTTTGGGTTGCAATTTGGGATGACCGCCTAGGGAGGCTGCCGGCATACGTGCAACGGCAAAATCGCGCGGATTTTTATGATATCCCTTACTATGTATATGGCCATCTGGAAGCGAAGCATTGTAGTGCACCAACATGCGCATAAGACGCTCCATTTCACTGCAGCCCACCTAACATGCATGCTTAATATGCTGACAGACTGTGTTTTTCAGCGGACCGCGTGCCGTCTCCGGATTGGAAGCAGCGTCATTAGCTAAGAACCACCTTGTAGAGTTCAGGCTTGACGTCGAGCTTGGCATCTCCTCTTTCACTACAGGTGATGCTCAAAGAGCTTGACGAGCAAACGCCAGCTAACATCCTGCCTAAAGGTCCAGCCCGCGGAGCTTGAGGTGTAAAGGGGGCCCGTCATGAGCGCGATAGCTCGGCACAGTCTCGCAAAGGTACATTAAGTCGGTGCAGCCACCTCATCTGAAGGTTCCGGGACTAACACGTACTGCTACTCTTACAATGTCGACCTCCAATCCAGCACCTGGTGTGGGAGGCACTGCCAAGGACGGTGGCCTGTCCACTGCCGCTACGGTGGCAGATGGAGGCCCCTCTGGATCCAAGCAGGACGGACAGTACCTGCCTGAGGATATGGAGTCTTCGGAGACACCGTCCGTCCTTCCAGGATCGAGGAAGCTCGCAAAGTAAGCGCTAAATAGAGGTAGCTATACTCGCAGCGAAGCGAATGCGAAGACAAGCAACCATGCTCCCGGAGTAGGCGGGACCGCTCAAGATGGCGGTCTCAGTACGGCGGCTACTGTCGCAGATGGTAGGTTCGTTTACCAGAAAGGGCAGATCATGTGCTGACCGCGTCGTTGTTCTTGTATAGGTGGGCCCAACAACAGAGCAGAGGATCCGGACTACAAGCCGCCGTCTTGAATAGCATGAGTTGATGTAGGCGCAGCACCCGATGCTTGCGTGTAGCGTAGCTTCGTCGGATTTTTTTGATATGTGCAAACCCATCAACAGATGTTGTTTTCCTTATCGATATAGTCGACGAAACGTTTTTCGTCGTCGGACTCTCGCTACCGCTTGATGGCCGCTATATCTTCTCAGCTCGATAGAATCTTCTCTACCCGGCGACCGGGTAGCTTGGGTAAAGTCGGCATCTTGACCTCTCTGCCGACCCTTTGCACCTGTGCAACAGCATCACCCAGTAACACTCTCACCGCGCCTTCCAGCCTGCGGTCTTTCTTGCGCCTCATGTAGAGAATGACAATCCAGAGTATGACGGCGTCGGCGACCAGAAGTTGTACAGCCCACCATCCAAAGCGCAACAGCCAACCTAAGAGACTGCGTTGTCGTTGTTGCTTAAGGAAGCGTCGTGACTCAAGCTGTTCTCGAAGTGCGGCAACTTCCGTGGTGAGCTTTATCAGCGAGGACTCGATACGTTTCCGCCACCGAGCCTCGCCAGGGCGAGATGTCTGAGATCCTATCATAGCATAGCTTGCATCTTGACCAGCGTCGCCGCCGGCAGCGTCTGAGCTGGCACCCAAGTCGCCTTGGTCGACCTGTGAGACTCGCGCATCAACGAACTCCTCCTTCTCCTCCATAGCTTCCTCATCATCAGCTTGCGAGACGGGACTTAGCACCCTCATCCGCGATCCAACTCGAGGCGTCGGAGGTTCCATCGCTGCGGCTGAAGAGCTTATCCCACCGTTACCGGAACTGCTGATGTAGCCGCTCCGTTCCAGGTTCTGAAGCGGACTACTCCGTTCACTGTCGCCCGAGTGCTGGCTATTGTTTTTGATCTGGTCCCAAACAAACTCAAGCTCCTCGACTAAATCGCGAGCCTCGTCGGTGCCGGAAGCGTACTCGTGCATTGTCTGAATGAGCTTCTCGATATACCTCCGCTTTGCCTCCGTCCTCGTGAGACCTTCGTTGTTTTTCCACGCGTCCCACTTCTCTTGCTCCTTTCTCAGGCTTTCCTCCGACATCTGGGCAAACGCTGCAGAAGAGGCTGCTGGCCGTGCTGATAGCGTGACCACATCGCCTTCCATTGACTGCTTGTACAATCCATATAGGGCAAGCCGGTCCGCAGACGGTGGCTTTGTTGAACCTGGTCGGATCTTGTTGACAGTATTGAGCGCATGGCCGAAGACTCTATCGATCGAGTCCGCCATCTTAACCGAACAGTCTCTGATTACGTGAAGCCTTCAACGGTGAGGCTTGATATCTGGTCACAGCTGGCCCAGCCTGGACAAGCATGATGCAGATTCAACTCGTCTTTACGGGAGGCGCTCTAGGAATGAAGAGGATATAGAGGTATTTCTGTAGCAGTACATGTGAGAGGTACGAATGTGTCCAACCTCGGCTCGGGCAAAGTCATGACGGAGGGTTTGCTCAAAGCTCACCAAGCGATTGATCGAATCATACCAACCACTTGATAGCGCATCTACACCGTACTAGATACTAGTATGTCGAGAACATTAAGGTTCGAAACTATCAAACGCGACGTCTGTGGTCACGCGAACGGGATGGTCGCAAGAAGCTGTGACGCCTTGCTTGTTGCTCTGTCGCCTCGGATAACGCCATCGCATCGCTTCTATATAATGGGTATCGAATGTCTTCCCAGAACGCCACCACTATGCCAGACAATTCGTGGTGTCCTAACACTTATTCTTCCTCCTTGTCCTTGCTGATAGCCTCTCGCCACTTCGGTCCATACTTGGCCGTGAGTAAGACTCCGGCAGCCGCCAGAACCAAGAAAGCCGCGCTGATAGTGCTGAACCAACCGACTCCTATGGCTTCGATGACCGGCAAACAAGCAGCCGAACCCGCAGCAGCGAAGAAGTATCGTATCACATAGTTGCCAGCCACCACCTCAGCGCTCTGCTTTTGCATGACATCCAGACAATAAGTATTCAAGCTTGGGAAGCAGAACAGCTGCGCAACGCCCTGCACAAACATCACGATGACCGGTAATGGGATGCCGCCGACTCTCTTCTCGATAGACCAGCCATAAAGGAGCATACATGCCGGTATCACGACTCCCATGGCGGTCAAGCATGAGTGCAGCCGATCTTCCGGTACGCGTACACCGCGCTTCTCGATCCACTTCTTAACCACCGTATCGGCCCATCGTCCGCCGAAAAAGGTGCCCACAAGGTAGCCGCAGCCTGGTGCAATGTAGAACAGCCCAGACTGTAGCGGCGACGTTAGCCCAAACCGTGGGTTTAGGACGTAGCGGATCGGTGTAAGCAGGCTATACATGTTGAAAACGAGACTACTGCTAGCTATACCAGCAATAAGTAGATTTGGGAAGCGGAAAAGCTTGATCACCCTCCACGGATTGATCCACAACCAGAGCTTGCGCACTTTTTGAGGTCGTGAGAGTCCAACAAGGTCCGCTTTACGAGCATGATGGATCGTTTCTGGCAACAACGCCACCACAAGCACTGACGCCGCGGCTGCAAGGGCGGTTTGTAGCCAGAAGATGTCCCGCCATGGCCGGTAGGTAACGATGATGCCGCCAATGAATGGACCCAGGGCTGGACCTATCAGCGTTCCGCTTAGAAACCATCCGTAGGCGGTTCCTCGTTCGACTGGTCGGTAGATGTCCCCAATGACCGCGGCTCCGACGCTCAGAAAGGTAGTCCCTTGAAACGCTGTCAACATGCGAAAGACGAAGTATGCCGCAAGGCTCGGTGCTGCCGCAGAACCGGCGCTGAAGGCAGTAAAAGTGATTGCGGCAATCGCCAGGGGCCACTTTCGTCCAAATGTCTGGCCGATTGGTCCCCATAACAGTGGTGAAAGACCCATAAATACCATATATAGTGCGTTAGAGATATTGAAGATAGCGCCGGTAGTGTTGAACGTTGCTACAACTTCGGGAGACGCCGCTAAGATACTGGTAGAGCTTATAGGAGCCAGGAACGAGCAGAAAGAGAGGATGGACACAATGACGATCTTACGGCTCGATGGTAAGCGGTCGTAGATCTCGTCACCGTGCTCGTAGTGTGGATTTTGATGAGTATCGGCTGCGTCGTGTGTAGAGACATGCGACCGTACGTGGTGTAGGTTCGGCCGTTGGTCCTCAAGATCATGCTCGACGTAGCTTGCTTCTTTAGTAGGAACCTCTTCCGGCCGTTGAGTCCTGTCATATCGCGCTGCAGGTACCGGGAGAGGTTCCTCAGCTGACTCCAAGATGTGATGTTGCTTTTCGGCCATGGTGCTGATGGTAGCGCATGTATTTCATAGATAGTGGTACAGGTCTTGTCCAACTCGCGGAGCAGTGAGAGTACGGTTTGGTGGTCGCGAAGGGCAGCAAGTACGATAAGAAAAGAATAGAGAAAAGTAATCTCCCTTACCTATAATACCGCATGCAGGCGACGGTCAACATACACCGAGTCACCGGGAGCCATTGGCCGCGCCGAGGTCGGTGGGCGCGAAAACATCGTCTTTTGGCGACAGAAAGAAGGTTTTCTGGCAACCTCGGAAAGCCCCGACGCGGGACATGGCGGACAATTATCCGCATGCCAAGCGAACCAATTCCGATGTCCACGGGTGGTTAAGCAGAGAATGAGAGTGTGTGTGATACACTGAGATTCTGAATGCGCCTCTGGAGGCGATGATCTGAGGTCAATACCTAACGCCACCATGCAATGCCAATCTAATTGCGCCATAATGCACGTGCACATGGAGCGCTCAGCTTGGATGCCTGCGCGGTGCAACAAGCTTCAGAAGATCCTTGATCCGCCAATCATCAACGACCGTTTCCCAGTCGTCAGCCAGCAGGCCGTATGTCTCGTTATCATAATTCTCGGGCTTTCGTGGGTTCAACGCCCAGTAACCCCAGTCCGCATCCACATCTCGTAGGTACTTCATCAGGTTGTTCCAGTAATGGTGATCACCATCATTGCCGCCATGCGGGGCTCCAAACTCGCCCACCCATACCGGAGCAATGTCGCCACGTAGCAGGTAGCCCCAATTGCGCTCCATGTCGAGCGCGAACGACGGGTAAGGCCGCTTTCCATAGGGTACAAGCGTGGACCAGCCGGACCACTTGTAGACGTGGGCGCTATAGACCACACGCTCCGGTATCGAAAGCTTTACGGGTCGTTCACGTGCGCCAGAGCAGTCGTTAGCAGACCCAATGCCTTCGACAAACATCAACCAGTTAGGTTGCATCTTCAGCAACTCCTCGCTGGCTTGCTCAGCTGCCGTTGCCCACATATCCCAGCTCATAGTACCCCAGAGGCCTCTGGGCTCATTGCGAAGGTCGGCACCAATGACCAGTCCATTGTCAATGTGCGGCTCCATGATCGTTTTCCAGTGCTCGATCCAGCTTTCCGTGGTTTGCCGGACTTTGCAAAGGGAGCCATACTGATCATTCTTCCAGCTAGAGTCACAAAGGTTCTTTCCATCACACCAATGAGCATTTGTGATGTGGTTGTTTGGAATTACCACAAGGCCGGCATCGGTCATGGCATCTACGCAAGCCTTGTAGACATCTAATGCGCGTACGCCGGGCACTTCGCCACCGTCTGACGAGTTCTGTTTCGCCCCGTACATTTCAATCAAGTCCAGGTTGGATGATATCAGCTCTGGCGGTATGATGGCGTTTTCGATGACCATCTGATCTGAGTATGGGAAGCGAACGCTGTTGAACCCCATCTCGCGGATAGTCCGCGCAATGTCATCTCGATGTCTGAAATCGAGTCCGCCTGCAACAAAGTAGACATCGCTCGCGCCATACCAGTTGATGGAAGCTAGCTTCAACCGCTTGCCATTGGAGTCAACAATGTGTCTGCCCGCCGCCCGAAATGGTGGCGAGAAGTTCTGGTCAGACTCCATTGTGGGCTCCGTTCCTGTAAGCACAGACTCCATAAGAACCCGCTGCAGTGGTCGAGCTTCGGTAAATGGTATGCTTGGTAAGCCAATGAATACCGTAAAGGCGACAATGATGGCCCAGAGAGAGAACGTCGTTCGATGCATGTCCAGCTGCGGGGCGGTGAACGCGAGCAGAAGCAGAAGCGAACGTTGTGGGAAGCCGGCGCCTGGCCACCTCTCACTTCGAGGATAGGTGTGATAGAGATGCCTTGCTTGCCAGAAGCAAACCAGCGAGCTTGCTGGTGAGGACCGTCACCTAGCTTGTAGACGAGAACACTGTCAGAAGCAATCAACAATATCTATCGACCATTACGCGGAAGCGCTAATAATAGGTCCGCCGCAGGGTCGATCACGCTGCCGATAACCGTACGATAGCCGCCAAGGCTGCAACCCCTCCTAAAACTCCGCTCTGGACTCGAACAATAATACATGATGAGGAGGAGGAACCGGCCTGGGCCGGTTGCGTACCAGTCGCCTGTCATACTCTCAGAAGCGATTGGCAAAGCCATGCGCTCCACACAGCGCAGCTTGTGTCAGTCGGGGCGATGTCGTCCACCATAAGGCACACTTCAAGTGCAGGTGTGCGGAAGAAGAGTGCATTTTCTTGCGAGGCATGCAGACGCCGAAAGGTGAAATGCGATGGACGCACGCCAGAATGTGCTTGCTGCGTAGTACGTGGAGAGGCGTGCGTCTACAAACAGTAAGTCTTGTCTGACATACTGCACATTTGACGCAAGCCCACTAACGGAGGCAAAGGTCACCATCTCTATCGTATACTAAAACCCTGGAACTCCGTGTTGCCCAACTGGAAAGGGCTCTCGCGCAAGTCAACAACGCCGCTTTCACCACAAACGAAAGCAAGAACGTTGCCCCTGTCTTTGAGGATGTCGCGAACGCCTTCGAAGGATTTCAAATTGACGAGGCCGGGCGTGTTTTAGTTCATGGACCTACGAGCTTCTACCACTTAGCTCGCGAAAGCTCGCCGAAGACTTCACCGTCTTCGTTGCCAGGTGAAGAAGGCGGGAAGGAAAGGCTTGTCAACAGTGCTTGGACTGCTAGAGCGTTCGAGAAGCTGTCAAACTTGCCAGAGCAAACACAATATCTGCTCGACTCGCATTGGTGCTGGATACAGCCGCTCTTTAACTTCGTGTACCGTCCCGCATTCACACGTGACATGAAGGATCACGGCAAGTATTATTCAGATGCTCTACTCAACGCTGTGCTCTCACATTCGGTCCGCTGGTGCAAGCTTGTACCTCACGAACAAGGTGTTCATTTCAGAAAGCAGGCCAGAGAAGCTCTGATGGCTAGGATTCAAGTAGGGCACGCATCGATACCGGACGTTCAAACCCTGCTCCTGCTTTCTGCTCAGGAGTGCGGGCATGGCAACTTCACACAGGCTTGGCTGTACAGCGGGATGGCGTTCCGCTTAATCGAGGATCTAGGCATTATATTTGACGGGCGCAGATATGCAGGTCCGGTGCAGTTTACCACGGAAGACATCGAAGTTCGCAACCGGCTGTTCTGGTCATGCTACTTCTGGGACAAATTGATTGCGCTTTACCTTGGCCGCCTACCAACTATTCGGCAATCAAAGGTCAGCCCACCACGACATATACTCGACGACACTGGTGAAATTGACGTATGGATGCCGCATGGGATCGAGCACTCCCTCGCTACGGCATACCCCCCTCACCAGGCGCATGGAACTTCCTGCTTCACTCAATTCTGCGGTCTTGCAGAGATCCTTGAAGTCGTACTTGTTTCATTGTACAACCCAGTTCAGCAAAGTACGCCGTTACAGACTGCTAATTGTGTCGTGGAGCAAAGCAGAAGACTGACGGAATGGTACGGTGGACTTCCAGAATTTCTCAAGATTACTGTATCGGCTGTTCCGAAGCATTGTCCGCCGAGTCATATTGTGACTCTCAACTGCTTGTATCACACTATCAACATCCTATTGCACAGGGCGATGATCACCAAGCATTGCGGAAGGACGATGACCAGTCCTGCAAATGAGGCGGAGCATCTACGGCAATGTGTGTTGTCGGCGACCGCAACCACCATTATCTTTGACTTAGCAGTAAGATCTTTCGGGGATGGACACGTTGTAACATGCCAAGCGTACACGATCTATACCTCGGCATCGGTGTTCTTGCTACACCTACAAGCGACGAAAGACTCCGATTCCATTACCATTCAACATCTCAAGTATTGTGTCAACGTGCTGGAGCGGCTGAAGAAGACGAGTCCGGGTAAGCTCTCGCGGGTCTGGTCCACGGACTTCTTACGTGTGTTTGCTTGCTTGATGGCTAATGTGGTACCTGCAGTAATCACCGCTCCCTTGTCACTCATTGAGAAGGAGTTACAAAAACTTGGTGTGGACCTTTCGAGCCCAGTCTCTGGGACTACTCATGACAACACAACGTCCGAAGCCGCAGACCTGGCGGAAGAGCCTATTGCATCTGATGCGTCCTTCGCACCGGACGGCAGCGCTGGCCTCAACGATTTCCAGAATCTGGACTTCGACATGGACACATTCGATATCACTCCGGAGATGCTGAGCGCAATGTCAAGTATTGAGCCGATGAGTGCTAATGTGAATGCATGGAGCGAGTTCGAAGATATGTACGTTTTCAACTAATTGGATCCAATCACACCCGTTCCACATGTACATATGGCTCCTTGTCAGCGATCTTTTCGGTTTCTCCAACCGGATCGAAAGGCTCGGCAGACACCTTGTTCCTCCAGCACATCCACCAGGGGCCCTCGAACAACTCGCCCATCCGTTCCATTGGGACACCCTTCGTTTCAGGCGCCCACAAGCCTAAGATGACCAGGCCAAGGGCACAGATTACGGCCCAAAAGATGTAAGCTCCCCACACGTTCAGGCTGACGAACATGTTTGGGGTCACCCTCACGACTGCAAACTGGAAGAACCAGTGCAGACACATGCTTGACGCGTAGCTCACACTCCGAATCCTGGTGGGGAAGACCTCGGTTCCGTACAGATACTGAACGGTGCAAAGCCCGATGGACCATCCAACAGCATAGATAAAGATCGAAGCGATGGCGGCATCCGATGCGGACTTGTTGTGAGCCGAGCCGTCAACGCCCATGTATGCCGCCATGTAGATGTGTGCTGCAAGCTGGAGGGCTAGTCCGGTAAGGAAGCAGCGTCGACGGCCGATGACATCGATGAGACCCCAAGCGAACACCATCGTGAACACGAGCTTGACAATACCGTAGCAGCCGGACGAGATCAACGAAGCGTTGCTACCAGTTATGCCGGCGTAGTTGAAGATCTGCGGGATATAGTATGTGATTCCATTGCCACCAGACCATTGCGCAACGGTCTGCATGGTCATGACCAAGAAGAAACGGCTACGGTAGTTTGGAATTGTAAGAATCTCGCGGATAACCTCTCGCAGGCTTGTGGCGGAAAGGTCGGCAACGCGCGCTCTCCTTTGCGCCTCGATCACTTGGAGCTCTTCGGCCACGGCCGGGTCTGCAGTGCTACTGCCGCGAAGGCGCGCCAGTGCAGCGACCGCCTCATCGTGGCGATCCTTCGACGCCAGCCAACGTGGCGTGTCGGTCATCCAGAAAGAGCAGATGAGTGCAAGACCCGTCGGAATCAGCGGGACCGCCTGGACAATGCGATACTGGAGCCTCGTGACCTTCATGTGCGCGTTCGCGGCGTAATTGACGAAGAAACCTGGAACGTGTTAGTACCTAGCGGAATCAATGGTAGGGATGGCTACAACTTACCAAGCGTAAGGAAGCTCAACAGTACGACCATGTAGAGGCTGACCACCAGACCTCTGTTCTTTGCGGGCGCAATCTCCGAAAGGAAGAGCGGAGCCGTCACGGTCAGAGCTCCAGCTCCGAGCCCACCCCAGATCCTGGCGAAGAGCATGAAGCCATAGATGCCACTGGCGAAAATCTGCATGAGGATACCAGTTGCCCAGATGCAAATGGCGCTTTGGAAGGTGCGCAGGCGGCCAATGCGATCATTGAGTAGCAGCGCGATTATGGAGCCGAAGGCAGCACCTAGCACGCCGAAGGAACTGATGTTTGCTTTCCTGCTGGCAAGTCCGGATGGATTGTGCTTCCAATGGGAAGTGTTGAGATTGAAATCATTCTTGAACGATTGCAAGCCGGTGCTTGCGGAGAAGCCGCCTTCATCGTAGCCTACGAAATGATGTTAGTCGATGTGGCATCGATCGTGGCCAACGGCCTGGGAAGGGTTTACCTTTGGGAATGCCGGCGCAGGCAATGACGCATAGAGCAAAGTAATAGTACCAGTGGATTTTACCCATGATTGGCAAGGTTGAGAGAAGCTTGTTGCTTTCGAGAAGTGCTGAGGATGGAAGACCAGCATTTGGCGGACGGAATGGGAAGACTTATACGCCCACGAGGTCGGCCGTTCGGCCTCTCTCCGCACGTTCTGGAGACTTGTGGAGTTGCCGAGACGCTTTTGACATGAGCACGCGGAGAACGTGCAGTATGATTATCAAGACTAGGCCGGCCGTTTGCTGGTCTGCTCCAGCGGGTTGGCTTCGGGGTGCGCAGTTGACTTTTCGCCCCACATTCGGCCATCGTCCGGCCTCACGTGCGACACTAGTCTCGGTCATCGTCCGTGAGGGCATGGAAGGGCTCCTGTCCGATACTGGCAATAGAAGTCGCCAGACCACCGAAGCTCCAGCGACATGCTTTCGACCGAGCCTTTTCGTCTGAGGACGATCTCCACCCAGACACCGGACGAGCGCGTTGCATTGAAGAGCCACGAGCCGGTAGGTGTCCGTGGATTGCTACACACAACGTACCCAAGTAGCCCGCAATTCCTGAACATTTAACTCTCTTCTGTCTGCACTGCTAAGATGCTACACATCATCATGTACAAACTCAGCAACCTCTTCTTCAGCTCGGTCATCATCCTTCAGTCTCGACTGTCGGTTGCGAAATCATCAAAACTTGTCGAGCTACGAGACGAACTCTCATCTCTTGTGGCGCCTAGAGATGCAACATGCTCTCTCACTCTAGCTCAGAGGCTTCCCGACGATACATGGGATAGCCATATGCACATCATCGACCCCGATCGCTACCCACTCGCCCCAGGTGCTGCCTACGTGCCGCCTGTACACAACATATGGGATGCGGTCGCCAACGAAACCACGTTCGGAATGAAGCATATCGTCATCGTGCAACCCTCCATCTACGGCTACGATAATACGGCTCTGCTTGAGTCTCTACGAGCGCTAGGCCCTACGAGAGCACGAGCAGTGGTCCAGTTCCAGCCTTCCATAAACCGCACCACACTTCAGGCATGGCATCAGCTAGGAGTTCGAGGCGTGCGCTTGAATCTCCAGTCCACCGATCAGACAGTCAACGCCACTGCCTTTGCAGCTACCTTACGACAGTATGCGGATATCATCAGGCCTCTTGGCTGGGTGCTTCAAGCCTACATTTCCATGGACCTGATTGGCGCTCTGGAGAGCACCATTCGCGACCTCGGCGTTCCCTTCTGTGTAGATCATTTTGGTCAACCTTCGGCGTCACCAGTCAACTCTTCGGCGAAGAACTTCGATCCATATACAATCCCTGGGTTTCCCGCCACGATCCGCCTTCTTCAAGGCGGACATATGTGGGTCAAGTTTTCGGCCAATTACCGTGTAAATTTGACGGCTCACGGTCTTGAGACCGTAGGTAAGGAGATACTGAGGGTACGGAGCGACCGAGTTGTCTGGGCCACCGACTGGCCGCACACTCGTTTCGAAGGCGTGGACATCCGACCATTCGAAGAGGAGGTGTTGGAGTGGTGTGAAGAGATAGACGCAGTGGAACAGGTGTTCAGTACCAATGCGAAGTGTCTTTGGGGTATCTATTCATCAGCTCAAGGTTGCCAGATCGTCTAACGGACTCTCGCGTGAGTGAGGAGATCATGTGAGGTAGATAGATAGTGTGCAATGCAAGGGGAATTACAGTGAATGTTTTTGAACCCCACAAATAGATCGCTTGAGATACCTATCATTCTGCCGCTCTAAGTCTGGCACCTGTAGTAAAGCGCAACGACAACGGCTCAGTCAAGGTGCTCCACGCGCGGACACTTTCCGGACGTAGGATTACACGAGCAAGCAGTCGTTGGATCGGGCAATGTCCGAAGGGGCGGGCTCAGCACCCCTGTGCGGCACGAGCGGTCCTTGACGGTTACAATGGAGCCGACGATGCGAGCTGGGTTGCTTCAGAGCCAGGCTTGCGCGGATATTACTTACCAGTGTCCACCCAATCGACTGAGCAAAATCTTCCAATGCCGACCACTATGGATCGACGACCATCGACTGCAGTGACGCTGTTCGCCGGAAGCATAGCTGGAGCTTCAGAAACCATTTGCACAGTATGTGAAGCACTCATCCATAAGCCGCAGACACTGATCAGCCTCACAGTATCCGGCTGAGTTCGTCAAAACACGACGACAGCTGCCATCGACCCGTAACCTTTCCACACTTGCAATCATTCGATCGACATTATCGACTTCTTGCTTGAAAGGGCTGTATTCCGGTTGCACAGCGCTTGCAGTGTCCAATGCAGCCAAGAGTGGTATTCGGTTTTACAGCTTCGACGCTTCTCACAACTATTTGTCGAAAGCCGTGCCTGCACTGCAAAAGTCGCCTTTGCTCAATGTCTACGCGGGCTTGTGCGCAGGTATCACGGAAAGCATTCTTGTCGTTACACCAGGTGAGACTGTGAAGACGAAGATGATACACGCTTCAGCGCAGAATGTTGGGCCGAAAGCCTCAATCGTCAACACCATCCGGCAGGTAATTCGCAGCGAGGGTGTTCTTTCGCTCTGGCGAGGCCTAGGACCTGTGCTGTGCAAACAAGGCACCAACTCAGCGGTGCGGTTTGCGACTTTTGGAGCCTTCAAAGACCGTCTCAACTCAACAAGCTCGCTTCGTAACACCATCGGAAGTTCTGGTGTGACGTTCCTTGCCGGTGCTGGGAGTGGGGTGGTGACGGTGTACGCATCCATGCCGTTCGACAACATCAAGACTCGCATGCAGAGTATTGGTAGCATGGACCGGAGCATGTTGACCTGTGCGCGCAAAATGCTCCTCAGCGAAGGCGTGACTGTTTTCTGGAAGGCGACGACACCAAGATTGGTGCGGTTGACACTCAGCAGCAGCATTACCTTTACGGTCTATGACTGGGTGGTGAGAGCTTGCAGATACGCAGCGGATGGGCCGATTGCAAAGCGAACCACAATAGCTGTGTAGTATGAGAGTACGCTTGTCCACGTGTTACAGACCAGTCTGGTTTGGCAAGCAGAGCCCTGACCTTGCGTTATGGCGGCCTAGTCTTCTCGCTCATGTTGCTCGTCAACGATGGCTTACGGCTTGCGGAAGCGCTCGTGGGCTCAAGAGCGACGCTAAGGTCCGATTCCTTATTGGCCGCAGTCATTCGGGTCACACTATTGCCCGGACCATTTTTCTCAAGATCTTCCGCTGATCGCCGTGGCGTCCCGTCAGCAGCTGGCGGCGTCGCAGCTTCGAGCTCCTCCTTTCGCACTAGCCCTTCATCTTTTATCAACGCGCACAGCAGGAAACAGAGTCCCATGACTGGAACACACCAAATGAAGACCGCTCTGCTCGCAGTTGTGTACGCATGCTTGACGATCGCTTGATCCGCAGCGGAGTACCCAGACAGATCGGGTGCCGCAAACGTACTATTTGCCAGCGAGGCAAGTCTTGTGGGCAATGACCCTTTCAGAACGTTCGCTAGGATTGCGGAGGACACTGCAAGCCCGACCGCGCCTCCGGAACTGCGCAAGAAGTTGCGGTTGCTGACAATCACGGCTCGCTGTGCCTTCGGACAGTGAGCCTGCAGAGCCACTAGCGTTGGCTGAAAGGTCAGCCCCGTCCCAACACCAATTATGATCAGGAACAGCGCAATCCAGCCAAAGCTGATGGTTTCGCTTGCAAGTACAAGCAGACCAGAACCCAACGCCCAAAGACCGAAGCCAGTCCAGATGACTTCTCCGTACCGGTTGACCTTTGACATATAGAGACCGCCTAAGGTCGAGAACGAAGACTGCGCTCCAACGAGAGGTAATTGCAGAGCCGCTGCAATCAGTGGAGTTTTCCCACGGACATTCTGGAAGTATAGCGGGATGAAGTAGAGATAGGAGTAGTAGCAAGCGCCGAGCAAAAAGGATTGAGCAAGCATAGCGGCTACTGAGACTCTCGTGAATATGCTGAGCGGCATCATTGGAAGCTTGGCCCACTTGCCTTCTGCCAGGATGAAGGCAAACAGGCAAGCACCGCCAACCACGAACATGGCAATGATCTCTGGAGATTCCCAAGGTGTTCCCGGATGGCCGCCAGATGACACTGGGATCAGCAGCAGGATCACCGCGGCACTGCCAAAGAAGAGACCAAGGAAGTCGATCTTAGCAAGAGTGTCTCTGAGATTCAGTTTGGGCATGTTGCTGGGAAGGTAGATCCAGCTTGCCACAACAGTGACCATGATTAGAGGCGCCAAAAGGTAGAACAGTCCACGCCATGTCGAATGCAGAGCAAAGGCCGAAGCGATTAGAGGTCCAATAGCGTTACCAATTCCTATGCAAGCGCCTAAAATGCCCTGATACCTCCCACGGTCTTGAAGCGTTACGATATCGCTTACGATCATCATGGTCAGACTTGTAATGCCGCCATTCGCAACGCCAGCCAATCCACGGAAGATATAGAGCATCGTAGCATTGACAGACAAACCGCACGCCAAGTCACTCAACGATAGTAGGACAAGCGCCCATAGGAGGACCGTCTTTCTACCGAAAAGATCGCTTAGGCGTCCGTAGAGCACTTGAAATACGGTGTTCGCTATAAGTGCACTGGTTCCAGCCCAGGTTATCGTTGAGGAGGCGTTCAAGTCCCGCGCAATGTCCGGTAGCAAGACGCCAATGCCATTCTGGTCGATGAAGCATACCAGGAGCGCCAAGTCCATGATCAGAAAGACAAAGATGAGCTGTTTCTTCGGCAACAGCTGTGTCTGGTCATGAAGCGCCGCTTCTGCATCGCTGACTTTGTGGCCCATGGTCGAGGCAGAGACTGCGACGTCAACGTCAGTTCTTATTGTTGGGAATGCGAACCATTCGATTTGGACATAAGAGACAGCGAAAGGTATACAACAAGTGCCACAACGCAGTAATTACAAGGCTTGGCCTATATCCAGCTCTGAGCACATCAGTGTCGAAGTAGGCGGAAAATGTGCCGATTGTTCCGTGGTTTTGCCTCTAGCGTCGGCATACCGTCGTGTCGGTGAGATTTGCGCCCATGGTGCTTGGCCGCACTTGGCCGATCTCGGAGACTACGCATATCGATGTGTGGTCGGCAGGCAGGATGGTCTTCTTCTGACAGATGTGGATCATGAGGACGATCCTTGAGCGTCCGCGAAGATAGGCAAGTTTTGAGCCGAAGTCGAGCGCACAGACGGTGTTCCACGGCAAATCCCGACCCTACTGGGCGGCGGCGATCACCCGCACTTCACATCCCAAAGGCTTCATCACTGCTTGCAGGATATAACGCTCGGAAGTCTCTAGAACTATTATTTTCAGCAATCGCCGAGTGCCCGTGCTGGGTTACTGGTGGTGTCGCTGAAGCCTCGGTTGTTGCTGCATCATTGTTTTGCATGGATGTAGTTCTCTTCAGCTAGAGTTTCGATGGCCGGACATCTGCTTCCTCAAGGCCTATATGCCACGCAAAGCCGTCCTCAGAGCTTGGAACCTGTGTTTACTCTAGACAGTCTAACGTGCGGACCGACAACGGCGGGGGACTAGTGCTATGCGCTCAAGGGGAGTAGCACAACACCTAAGCTCACCAGACCACTCTACGATTTGTTCCTAGCGGTGCACGCTGGGATGGCGCGACGTTTGGACACAGTGTCTCGTGAGCCCATGCAACCGGTAATTGGCAGGTATTGTATGGACCAGGTCTGGATGTTTGCCCATATTTACGTCTGCTTCCGCCAATATTCAGCGCTCTCACGAATGACTTTCTGATCGAGGCCGGTAAGCGGACCAAGAATCTCTACATCCTTCTGACCGCATTCAATAACTTTCCGGCACGGCAGTGCCAGTGTCATGTTCTCCTCGTTGCCTCGATCCGTGAGCTGCATAAGCTGCTCCTCAGAAGCAGCATACATGATACGTCCGATATTGGCCCAGTAGCAAGTTGCTGTGCACATGGCACACGGTTCCCAAGTAGTGTATAGAGTACATTGCCACAAGAACGCTTGACTGTAATGACGCGCTGCAAGACGGGCTAAGCAAGACTCCGCGTGGTTGACGTGGTCGATGTTGCTGTGGGAGAGAAGGATTGTTTCGTTGTCTGATGCCACGAGCACGGCGGCAAAGGGTTGCTTGCCGTTCTCGACGCCGCGCCTCTGGATTACGAGGCAAGCTTCGATGGCTGTTTCCGATTGAGCGGCTGTGGGGTGCGGCGGTCGCTTTGGGAAGACGTTCAAGGTTGCCATGACAAGTCACCAATGTAACTGGCCAACCCATCCTTCACCATGAACTTCTATGCGATATAAATGTAGAAGTGTGGTCAAAGCGCGTCAATTTTGACGTCATTGGTGCTCAATGCTCGAAGTGAATAGTCATCCCATTTCGCATATAGTCGCGTGCCTGCCAGTCTCGAGGTGTAATCTCTTACCCACGCTCTCGGACTAGGTGTCTAAATTCAAGATGTTCAAGAAGAAGCCTCAAATCAAGCCAGCCGCACCTCTGCGCTCATCTGACCGCAGAAAGACCGCAGACAGCATCATAGAAACCTTCCAACTCTCCCCACCAACACCATCAGACGTGACACCCGAGCAAAAGGCCGAGGCAACTACAAAACACACAGCTTTGCGGAACTCCCTGTTACCCGACAACGTCCAGTCTGCTCGCTTCACGACCACACATGGCCCGGATCTCAAGCAGGTCAGTGGGACGGTGTATATCGGCAGCCATGAAGGCGAAGATGCAAGGATACTGTGGTGGCAGGTCGACGGAAAGATGTACCCTTCCGTCTACACATTATGGCGTAACCCGAATATCGTACCGTTACTACATACGCCGGACATTGTGATTAGGAAGCTGCAGGGTGGAGCCGACCTTATGACGCCTGGGCTGGCAGGTGGACCACCATTCTCTGCGCGTGCGAAGAAGGGCGCGGTTGCGGCTATTGCTTCAACGGAAAGGCCGAGTGTACCGGTTGCAGTGGGGGTGTGTGCGATTGAGGTGTCGGCGTTGGAGAAGGTGCAGGGACAGCGAGGGCATGCGGTGGAGAATCTGCATTGGGTTGGCGACGAGCTGTGGAGTTATAGTCCAAGTGAGAAGCCTGGTCGGAATCCGCCGGAGGAGATAGAGGGCTGGCTGAAGGAATCGGATGACCGAGGGCTGGGGGCGGGGACGGAAGAGCTTGACCTTGACGAGGCGGATGGCGAAGGTGGTGTGAGCCTTAACGGGCACTCTGATGGACCATCTGCTGAAGGTCAAGCAAACGGTGAGCATGCCGAGGCAGGCAATGCGGAAGACGCCGAGACTGTGCAAGAAGAGAGCGCTCGGCAAGGCTCCTCTGAGATGTCGCAGAAGGAGATCGACGATGCGTTCCGAGCAGCCTTCCTGTATGGAGTCTACCATCATAAGACCACACAGTCTTTAGCACCCAGTTTTGGCCTGGTCTTCCCGCTTTCACAGTCATCCACCATGAGCAACCTCATACAACCCTTCTTACCTGCCTTCACACCCGAACAGAGCAACCAACTGCAAATGAAGAAGACGAGCTGGAAGAGCATCAAGAAGTTCGTCAAAGCCATGGACAAGGAGAAGCTCGTCAAGAGCAAGGACAAGGATGGCAATGAGACGGTCATCATTGATATTGACTTCAATGACCCCACAATCGCAAACTTCAAGCCCTACCGACTGCCCAAGAAAGAGACAATGGCTGGGACCTCGCTCGGCAGAGATGACAAGGCCACCGAGCAGATCGATACCGGAGACGACTCCGTTGGACAGAAGCTGCAGGTTGTCTCGTACTTCAAACCCACAACGAAGCTTCAACCTCTCTTCGCCTCAGCTTCCAAACAACTCTTCACGCCACCCGAAGTTCGCGAAATCATCAATGCTTACATCGAGCAAGAATCCCTCCTTTCTGAAACGAACAAACGCTTAGTCAGACTTAACCCGACGCTCGGCAATGCGGTGTTTGACGGTAGCGGCAGCCTGGACAAGGAAGTGCTAGCCAAAGGCTCCGTTCCGCGAGACGCGCTCATCGACCGCATCCTACACGCCATGAACACCTCTTACGCAATCGTACGAAACGATACCGACGCGTCGGCAGTCAAAGCCAAGTCGGGCACGCCGCCCAAGCTGCAAATCACGCTCGAAACGCGCTCAGGCAACAAAACGGTCACGAAAGTCTCCGGGCTGGAGGCATATTACATCCCTCCACGGCCTTTCGCGGATGAGTTGCGGAAGGTGTGCGCGGGCAGTACGTCTGTGGAGCCGCTAGCGGGAGCGACGAAGAAGAACGAGAAGGAAGTGATGGAGGTCATGATTCAGGGCCCGCAGCGGGATGCGGTGGTGAAGGCGTTGGAGGGGAGGGGCGTGAATGCAAGGTGGGTGGAGGTGTTGGATAAGACGAAGAAGAAGCGATAGCTCGCGCATCATTACCCCGCGGCACGGCTGCACTCGCAATTCGTGCGGCTCGGTGCATGTGCAGCCGCAATCCTCCCGCCACCATGGGGTCCAGCCACGCGGAAGCATGTGAAAGCTTTGGCTTGTGAAAGCTCGTGAGAATGCTACGTCGTCCAGCTCAACTTCAGAACGTCTTGCATAAAGATGCACAACGTTTTCGACACACACACACACACGATATCGGTGGAGTTCGTTTCGATACCTCCAACCGCGCCCATCGTCTGGTCTTTGAAGGAACCTCAGCCGCCAAGCAGAGACGATCTGTCGGAGGCTCCGAACCGAGGCACCTCCTAGCCTATATTCAAGGCTTCACAGGCCTGCCATGGCCCTTGGACGTCAGATGATGCTTACCATCGCTTGCCTTCGCTCTCTGCTTGCTTCAATCTCCGTGTCTCCTTTCCCCCTCTACATTTCTGTTCATCATATGCTTGAGTATCTCGAATAATCTCACCATATTGCAATATAAATCTCATCATCTGCTGTTACCAATTCCACCATCTGCCACTGTCAGGCTAATCTGCGAGGTATAATCGAGTTCGGCAGACTGGTATGATTGGAGATATAGCACGGTAAAAGGAGTATTACGAAGACGGTCTCAGATCCACAGTTAGTGGCTGGTCGGCCGCATACCCCCATCTCTGTGCGACACGGACCCGGCAGGGACCTTCAGTGCCACCAAGGCTCCCTCTACCTCTACTCCTTCGCACCTTCCGCGGCCAAATCCAACATGTCGTGCTTGGCGACAGCAGAAGCCGCCAAGATCTACGCACCACCGCCGGTGGGCGCACCGCACAGCGTATCCGTCGCCGGGACCGAGACGCCAGGCCGCTCCCCAGTCTACAGGCACTGGCGACAGAAAGATGCAGGACCCATACACACGCTCGATCCGGCGGTAACGACCATCCACGAGCTCTTCGAGCAGACCGCGAATCGAGTGCCGGGTAAGAGATGCTTGGGCCAACGACCCTACGACGCTGCGAGCAAGACGTGGGGACCGTATCTGTGGGAGACGTATGCACAGGTGCAGAAGCGGAGAGCGGACTTTGGGGTTGGACTAGTAGCGCTGCATGAACAGGCCGGCGCGACTGGAGTACAACATGGCGTGGGGTTGTGGTGTCAGAACCGCCCCGACTGGCAGATTGTCGATCTGGCATGCGTTTCCCAATCCCTATTCAGCGTGTCCATCTACGACACCCTCGGCCCGGACACGACGGAATACATCATCAACCACGCAACACTAACCTGCGTCTGCGCATCGCTAAGCCACATCCCCACCCTCCTGAAAATCGCCCCGCGCTGTCCCACCCTCAAATTCATCATCTCCCTCGACCCCCTCTCGACCCCCAACGAACTCCCCGGCACCTCCAAGCAAGACCTCCTCAACGCCATCGCCGCCCACCACGGCATCCAAATCCACTCCATCCACGACGTCGAGGCACTCGGTTCCGCCTCCCCGCGCCCCTACCACCCACCCCAACCAACAGACATCGTAACAATCAACTACACCTCCGGCACGACCGGCACGCCCAAGGGCGTCGTGCTGACCCACGCCAACGCCGTCGCCGGCGCCAGCGCCGCATTATCCTTCACCCGCGCCGCCTCCAACGACGTCCTCTGCTCCTACCTCCCGCTCGCGCACATCTACGAGCGCGTGACGGAACACTCATGTTTGTGGTCCGGGGCGTCGATCGGGTATTTTCACGGCGACATGTTGAGTCTGGTTGACGATTTCAAGTTGTTGAAGCCGACGACTTTTGTCAGTGTGCCGCGGTTGTACAATCGGATTGGGGGCGCGATCAAGGCGCAGACGGTGGAGCAGACGGGGGTGAGGGGCGTGGTGTCACGGCATGTTGTGAAGAGTAAGTTGGCGAATGTGGCGGATCCTGATCCCGTGAGGGCGACGAATAGGCATACCCTCTACGACCGCATCTGGGCGCGGAATGTCTCGTCGGCGGTCGGGTTGGAGAGGGCGCGGTTCATGATGTCCGGTTCAGCACCCTTAGATCCATCCTTACAAAACTTCCTGCGCGTCGTCTTCTGCAACGAAGTGGCGCAGGGTTACGGACTGACCGAGTCCTACGCCGTCGCGACCGCACAACTCGCCGGCGACCTAGGCGTAGGCCAATGCGGCGCCCCCTCCATCGCCTCGGAAATCTGTCTCATGGACGTGCCGGAAATGGAATACTACCACACCGACAAACCGAACCCGCGTGGCGAGCTCCTCCTTCGCGGCCCGACCGTGTTCACCCGGTACTACAAGAACGAGACCGACACGAAAAAGGCCTTCACAGAAGACGGCTGGTTCCGCACAGGCGATATCGCCGAGGTGGACTCCCTCGGCCGGTTTCGAATCGTCGACCGCATCAAGAACGTCCTCAAACTCGCGCAGGGCGAGTACATCTCCCCCGAACGCATCGAGAATGTCTACCTGGGCAATCTGCCCTGGTTGGCGCAAGCGTACGTGCACGGGGATAGCACGCAGGCGAGTCTGGTGGGCGTGTTTGGGATCCAGGCGGATATGTTTGCGGGGTTTTTGGGGAAGGTGTTGGGTGGGGGGCAGGTGAGTGGGAGGGATGTGAGGGCGTTGGAGGCGGCGGCGCAGGAGGAGAAGGTGCGGAGGGCGGTGGTGAGGGAGTTGGCCAAGGTGGGACGGAAGGCGGGGTTTAATAGTTTTGAGAATGTCAAGGCGGTGAGGTTGTTGGTGGAGCCGTTTACGATTGAGAATGAGCTTTTGACGCCGACGTGAGTGTTATACTCTTCTCTATTTTTTGGGCAGTGCGGTGTGTTTGCTGACTGATTGTTGTCTTCTAGATTGAAACTCAAGAGACCGCAGACGGCGAAGAGGTATCGTGGGCTGATTGACGAGATGTATGCGGAGGTGGCGAGGGAGAGTACGTCAAAGGCGAAGTTGTAGTGATGGTGGGATGGGAGTGTGTTTGGCAAAAGCATAGCGCATGGCGCGGGGTTTGGATGAAGATGAAGGGGATGTCTGTTTGGTGCGACTGAGAAGGACCACAGTAGATCGTAGAGTAGACCGTACAGCTCCCGAGACAGGCTTGAAGCTAGAAAGGGATATACCGCATTGGGTGGCTGTCGTTGCGCCTAACCTAGTCATCTACTAACGGAGTCTTCGCATTACGTGGCGATGTTCAAAGCATCTATCATGCAATGAAGATGCTGCTTGGCTGGGTGGCAATGGAGGTGGACGCGTGCGTGTACGGATGGCTGTGCTCGGCGCGCTCAGAGCTGCAGGCACTGCTTTGCGATGACGTCGCCGCAGCCAACTCAACGTTCTCTGTATCTCATGCAATCATCGTCTCACGTGGTTGAGAAGAAGGAGGAAGCATATGGCGGTGCAAACCGTGTGGATAAGTGTGAATGTTCATGTTGCAGGGCGTTGATGTTGTGGCGCAAAGACTGGCCCTTGGCTCCCCAGCACATGACCCCAGATGCAGATGCAGATGCAGATGATGTAGGAGCGAAAGTCAAGAATTGCGCGCGCGACGCGGGCCAGAGTGGCTGGAGCTTGCTTTCACGTCCCTGTATGTCACATGCGGCACACAAGCGACGATCGTCATGCATCAGGTGCGGCTTTGCTCTTCAATGCAGGCAGGCGGGCAGGCGGGAATGGCTACATGTACATTAGCTTGGGAAGCTAGGTACATGTAGCCTGCTCACATACAGTACTGAAAAAGTTCACCCTCCTGACCCGTCTTCCTCTCCTCATCAATCGCAATCGCGACTCAGTAGTCATTCCCCATCATCTGCCCACGCATTCCTCACCTAAACATTCCCAAACCAAACTTCACACACCAAACCCTTCAAACGCGCTGCGCGTGCATCGAACTTCCCACCCCGCCATCTCCGTTGGACCTAACCCGCGACTGCGACAGCGCCAATAACGTGCAAACCGAGTCGCGTTCACACCCGGCAACACCTGAACCATCGAAAGAAGACGACGACATGGCAATCTACGACTCCCGCACCTCAGTCCTCATCCTGCGCATCCTCCAAATCATCCTAGCCCTCATCGTGCTAGGTCTGATCGGCTATGGTATGTATCCCTCTTCCCCATCTCACCATCCATACCTTACCACTGACCCGCATGCCGCGACAGCCTCCAACTGGTGGACCGGCCACTGGCACGCCACCTCCCCCTCCCAATTCAACTTCCTCATCTTCACCTCCGCCTGGACCCTGCTCGCCCTCGTCTACTTGATCGTCGTCCCCTGGCGCTTCTCCGACACCCCCGCCCACCACAAATTCGCCATCCTCGGCATGGAGACGCTGACGATGCTGTTCTGGTTCGCCGGCTTCATCGCCACGGCCGTGTTCCTGAGCGATCGCCCGTGTTGGGGCAGCGTGTGTGAGGCGGCGCGGGCGGGGACGGTGTTTGCCGCTTTTGAGTGGTGAGTTACGAAGACAAAGGGAAGTATATTATGTTTGGCTTGCTAATAGTTCGGGCGGTGTAGGGTTGTCTTCGCCTGCTCCTTCGCGCTCTCGGTTATGCATGTCGTGCGTACGAGTGGGAGGACGAGTGATCGAGGCAAGGCCGATCCGAATCTGAATGTTGCCGAAGGGGTTTAAAGATGATGACTGACAGCCGCTGGGCCCGGGTGTGCAGGTCGTTTATGAAGGCCGAACGAAGAGTGGAGGAGGGGCTTGTAATGAATGATGACTGCACGTCAACCAAGCACGCACGAAGACCTGCTATTGAATGCATGCGCGATGATGGCTGGACGTGAGGACCAAGGGAAAGGGAAGGGATGATGAAGCGTTATGACTTCTTAGCATATCAATGATACCACCTCGCGCGTTGCTGCTAGCGGTGGCGTTTGACATGTGTAGTAAACAGGGCCAGAAATACGCTGAATGCCTGAGGGTACGCGAGATTCTGAGCCTTCAGTCAGCGCCAACACTCGCCATGTTGAACGCTGCCAAAGGGTGTGTTGCGGGAAGGAAGAGACTCCTTCTTACTTTAGTAAGGTGGATCACGTGCGGGTAACGTTTTGTCATCACAGTCCGGAAGAGGCGTCGTAGGCGCAGCGCCGCCTGGCTTTCTCGGACCTTCTCTTGCCGCTGTCACGCTACAACGTCCATAACGGCACATGGAGTGTGTGATCACGTAACCAGACTAAGTACAACCATCTCGTCCTCTATTCTTCTCTCATCCCCACCATCTGCGCCATACCTCTTTCTCAACGCCACCGTACACTGCGCTATCCAACTTCTAACATGACAGCGTGCGACTTACTCCGACCGGCAACCCCGGACGACCTCGAACCGCACTCTCACCCTTCGCCCACCCCCAGCTCAAACCTCGACATCGACCTCGACAGCGACAGCGAGCCAGAAGAACCAGCACTCACCCTAACCATCCACCTCCACAACAAACCCATCGACCTCCCCTTCTACCACCCCGACGCCACCATCCAAGACCTCTCCGACACAGTAGCAGAAACCCTCCACATCCCCCCGGCCAACCAAAAGTTCCTCATCACCCCCAAAACTGGCCTCCTGAAACCACCGTTCAAAGACCCCTCGCTACCCCTCCAAACCTTGCTAGACAAAAAGATCGTCCTCATGGGCGCCACCACAACCGAAGTCTCCGAGCTGCTGGACGACATCGCCCTCCGCCAGACCCGCATGCTGAAACGCCGCGAAGCCCTCCGCGCCGGGCGGAAGGTCCAAGCGTCCAAAACTCGCGACTGGAAGAAAGTGCAGGACGAGAGCAGATACACCTTCCACACCCTCCGGCCCCTCCCCTACCTCCCCAACCCCGCCAAATCCCTGCGCTACCTCGAGCGCCTGCGCGACGACGCCGGCATCAAAGCCGCCATGCGCTCGCACGGGTTCTCAGTCGGATTACTTACCGAAATGAATCCCGCCGAGCATACCACTCACGAGTCCAAGACGCTCGGTTTGAACAGGAATAGAGGGGAGGTGATCGAGTTACGTCTGCGAACGGATAGTTATGACGGGTATCGGGATTACAAGGTCATCCGCAAGACGTTGTGTCACGAATTGGCGCATAATGTGTTTGGGGAGCACGATCGGAAGTTTTGGGATTTGATGCAGGAGATTGAGCGGGAGGTTGAGAGGAATGATTGGCGTGCAGGAGGTCATTCGGTGGGTGGGGAGGAATTCTTCAATCCGCGCGATGAGGGGGTTGATAACGATGATGTGGATGGTGGGGAGGCGGATGAGGGGGGGTGGACGGGCGGGGAGTATGTGCTTGGGGTTGGGGTTGGTGTTGGTGGTGCTTCGTCCATGACGGAAAGCAGGAGTGAGGAGGGGCCGTTGAGTCGGCGGGAGATTTTGGCGCGGGCGGCGGAGGAGAGGATGAGGAGGCAGGAGGAGGTTAAGAAGGCGAAGGCGAGGGATACGGAGGCGAAGTGAATGGCCATTATCCCTTCGTTACTAGCTATGCCTGTCAGCGTTCAAGCGAGGCGTCTTGGGAAGCTCCAGCTGAATGAGAATTTGATTTTTGGCAATGTTTGTCTTTGGTCAATGCTTGTGCTACCGCTACTGCTGCTCTTGTTGTGGAGCTATTCTCTACACTGCGCTACGCTATACCCAACAAAGTTAATGACATACGCTCGTCGCTCGCCGTCGACCATAACGCTTTTGGGGGTATCTTATGCTGAAACGCCAATCAAAATGCACCCCGTAACGCCTCGCTCGTGAAAGATCGCTCATGTCCATGCTCATGCTCTTCACGCAAATGCAATGCCCGCGATGGCATCATATGCCCGTTTTCCCTTCCAGACCATCATCCCGGTCAGGTCAGAGCTTCCCAGCGGATCAAAAAACACCAAGTATCTCGCACTCTCACCCAGAGCACGGGCATTCACCTTCTGTTCTTTTCCTCAGCATATCTCCCCCTCCTCCGAACCCTGCTAAAACGCCATCGCACCACCACCACCACCACCGGCCTGGCCCCCAATCTTCAAATCCTTCTCCACCGACGCCACCTTGGCGCAGACGTCAAGCACCCTACCCTCCAGAACCTTAAAGCTCGTCTTGAGCGGTAACATCGCACTCTCGCCTTCCTCTCTCAGCACCTTCACTGCTCCATTCGCTTCTCGGGCTTCGTTCTTCGCTGCGTCGGCCAATCTCCCTACTGTGTCGAGCTGCTGTCGGATCAGCTGCAGCGTAGCGTTGCTGCGTTGGTCAGTGCTGCCTTTACTGGCCGACAACGTCGAGAGTGACCGCCGCAGTTCGTTCACGGATGTTGCGAAATTAGCGGCGTGCGGCCAGACGGCGCCGAGTTGATGCAGCATGGCCGTGCAGACTTCGTCGGTTGTGAGGTTGTCGTACTGCTGTTGGAGATGCCTCGTGGCGTAAGTGAACTTCATATCTAGCTGGTCCATCCTCCGAACGCACGTTGGGTGAGATGCGGGTGCATCCGCGATACCACTGCTCTGCGGCGGTGCAGTTTTGGGAGTGTGAGTGCCGATGGGCATCGAGGATAAGACGTTGACATTGCCGTTTTGCAGTGCACTTCCGGTAGAGCGGGGTGATGGTGGCGGCACGGAGCTTCTGGGTGGATCAGGTGTTTGCGTATGTGCCTTATCTAGTCTGGCCACAGCCGTGCGGACAGTCTTGAGCTCATCCATGACTTCTTCCACACGCGCAACAGCCTGTTTCTCGGCCTTTCCCTGCAAGCTGGTCCGCAGAGCATCGATTAACTCATCCGTCTTTTTGATCTTCTCCGCGAAAGAGATGTCGAGGCTATCTACGCTAGTCTTCAGAGTCGTCAGTTGCCCGGTCAGAGTTGTCAGCCTCCCATCGATGTTGGTGAAGGACGCATTGACAGCAGCAATATTCGGAATGTTACCAGCAATCTCCTGTAACCGATTCTCAGTGGCAACGCGCAACTCCTCTGTCGACTGGTCCATGCCATCACAAATGTGTTTAATGAGTGCCTCGTCCTTCTCTTCCATTTGCCGCTCGATCTCGGTCCTGATGGAAGTAGCCACATGGTCCTCCATTCTTCTCTCGAAAGCATTGAAGCGTGCAGCATCTCCTACTGACTGGGCTGGAACCGAGCCGCCAGCGGGCAGACTTGCGAGAGTGCTTCTGACAGCCTGAGCATCAGTTTGCAGAGCAGCGACGCTCGTTTCTAGCTGGTTCATACGCTGATCGACCGAGATCTTGTGGTCGCTCTGTATCCGAGCTGCGATATCGTTGACAAGCACGCCTAATTCCTTCACGCGCTTGGCAATTGGTTCCTCGCCGTCTTCGTGTGTCGCTTGACTGAGTTCTCCGACATCTTTTTTCATCTTCCTCATCTCGGCAAGTAAGAAATTGACCTTCACTCTAATAGGACTAGACTCGTTGATAACATGTTTTGGCTGCTCAATGTTCCCGCCGATGACGAATGCCTCGAAAAACTCAAGCCTCCTCAGCAGGAACTCAACGTTTTTAGCTAGTGCTGCATGGTCTGCCTCTACTTTGACGACACTCTCCTTCATGCTCTCACAATCTGGAGGCGGCACTTTCGACAGCGCACTGGTAGCATCTGCAATGATAGAAACCTTGCCTTCGATTTCTGGAATGCTGCCTTCTATGCTCGCGACCTTGGCTTTGAGGTCTGCGGTATCCGCAGACACACGTTCGCATGCGAGGTTTGTATTCTGGCATTGATTATCAAGGTTTTGGCTGCGGTGCCGGAACCGTTTATCCAGGTCAGTGCAATAGAGCTGCATTGCCTCGTTGCCCTTCTTCAGCTCAACAACAGTGGCACGCAGTTGTGCGACTTCTTCAAGCAGGGCGACTGAACTCTCCGTGTTTTGTGTTACACGTGACTTAGCCGGCTCAACTTCGGCAGATTGGCCAATCATAGCAGCAATAGCTTCCACATGCTGCCGGTTGACTATAACCTGCTCATCTACAACTCCTTGCAGGTCTTTCAGCTTCTGCTCGGCAGAGCGTTTCGCTTCAGTCTTTTGCTCCTTAAGTTGAGGTAAGCTGGGAAACCATTTCCGCATAGTGCTGTATTCAAGGTTGGCCCGCTTGACTTCAGCTTCTGCTTGTCCCTTGCTTAAGTCCAGTCGAGCCATGTAGCTCACTTGCTTGCTGAAGTCCATCAAGACGTTCACTACGGGGTTTGAGCTGTCATTTGTAGGGTTTCCCGGGGGCGGTGGGGGCGGAGGCTGTGGAGTTGTGGCAGTACGCAAGCTTCCATTCGCGCTTAACGGAGTTGAACGTCCACTTTGAGCGTCGTCGTGGACGCTGCGTTTACTTCCTATACTATCGGACGAGTTGACAGAGAAGGTGTTATTTGTGAGACCTCGACTTAGGATTCGATTGTCATCTGTCATTGGAGGAGTCATCTTTGTTGATGGGCCGTTGCCAGCGTGTAGTGAGGACCGTCGCGAACCATCATTTGAGGATGCTTTCGTAGAGGAGCCATTGGGCGGATTCGGCTTGCCCACCTTTCTGAACGCTGCACCTTCAGGCGAGCGGCTTGGCCCACGCTTCGCACTCGGCGGCGGCGGAGGGCGCCTGCGTGGGTCCATCGACAAACGACGACCACGTCAGTTGTGAGTACGTTGATGTCAATGGGCGGTGTTTGAACGCATTAGAGAAACGCGTGCGTTTACTCAAAGCAACTGCTGTTGGTTGTGGTACTTCACATTGCTAGAACATTTCCACGGCCATATGGACGCAATGCCACTGAAGTGGAGCTTCACCCGAAGGTGAAGGTGCAAAGAGTGAGTGACGACGGGAAATTGAATGTTTATTTAGGTATAGCAGCATTCCGCACCTGCCTTTAGCGTCACGCCAAGCCGCTAAAAGGGCTGCGGAATGGAGCTCACGTGCATAATCACATTTAGCATAGCGAATGAGCGGATTAATTGATATGTGGGTGCTGTCATAAAGCAGTAGCTCACCTTCTACCGAGACGGTCGCTAGTCGAAACTAATTCTTAGCCGCCAAGGATAGGTATAAACTGAATACTCTAACGCGCTAACGTCGCGAAGATGTGCACGGACGTATAAGCGACCGAAAACGCGGGAGCAACTTGCATATGAAGGAATGAACGGAGCACACGTGATTGACCGTTGCAACTTCACATACCTAACAGTAGTACATCCACCTCACTTCTGAGCGTCTCGGAGCGCATACTCTCCCCCATCATGGCTGCGGTAAGTGAATGAAGCGAGCAATATGCCATACTCAACAGCAGCTGACCGCATAGCCTATCACAACCATTTCCGATGCCAAAGACCGCCAACAAGGCCTTAACCTCATCGCGGCTCACTCCCACATCCGTGGTCTCGGTGTCACCCCGGACACTCTCACTCCAAAGCCAACCGCCGATGGCCTCGTCGGCCAACAGTCCGCGCGCAAAGCCGCCAGCATCATCCTCCAGATGGTAAAAGAGGGCAAGATTGCTGGCCGCGCCGTCCTCATCTCAGGCCCGCCGAGCACAGGCAAGACTGCCATCGCAATAGGCATGAGCAAAGGGTTGGGCGAGAATGTACCTTTCACCATGCTCGCCTCGAGCGAAATCTTTAGTCTGGAGATGAGCAAGACGGAGGCATTGGAGCAGGCGTTCCGGAAAAGCATTGGCGTGAGGATACGAGAGGAGAGCGAGGTTATTGAGGGCGAGGTGGTCGAGATCCAGATCGATCGGTCCGTGACGGGGAACAACAAGAGCGGTAAGCTGACGCTCAAGACGACGGATATGGAGACGTTGTATGACATGGGCACGAGGATGATCGATAGTATGACGAAAGAGAAAGTCATGGCAGGCGACATCATCAGCATTGACAAGGCGAGTGGGCGGATCACAAAATTGGGACGCAGTTACACAAGGAGTAGAGACTACGACGCCATGGGGCCGGATACGAAGTTCGTGCAATGTCCCGACGGTGAACTCCAAGTCCGACGTGAAACCGTGCATACCGTCAGCCTACACGAAATCGACGTGATCAACAGCCGCACGCAAGGTTTCCTCGCCCTCTTCTCCGGCGACACGGGCGAGATCCGTAGCGAGGTGCGGGAACAGATCAACACCAAAGTCGCCGAGTGGCGGGAAGAGGGCAAAGCGGAGATTGTGCCGGGCGTGCTCTTCATCGACGAAGTGCACATGCTGGATATCGAGTGCTTCTCCTTCATCAACCGGGCGCTGGAAGATGAGCTGGCGCCGATTGTCATCATGGCGAGTAACCGCGGCTCAACGACTATTAGAGGGACAAGCTATCGGAGTCCGCACGGTTTGCCACTCGATTTCCTGGACCGCGTGGTCATCATCTCCACGCATCCGTACTCGCCCGACGAGATCCGTGAGATCCTGTCTATCCGCGCGCAGGAAGAGGAGATAGACATCTCCCCCAATGCTCTGGCGCTATTGACGAAATTCGGACAAGAAGCCGGGTTAAGGTATGCGAGCAATTTGATCACCACGTCACATTTGCTGGCGCAGAAGCGGCGGGCGAAGGAGGTGGATCAGCAAGATGTGCAGCGGAGTTACCAGCTGTTTTACGACCCTAATCGGAGCGCGAGGTTCGTGTCGGAGTTTGAGAAGAGGTTTATTGGGGAAGACGGGGGTGTTACATTGGGTGGAGTTAATGGGGTAGGGCATGGAGATGCTATGGAAGTGTCATAGGTCTTACTCTGAAGTGAATGGGGTGGCCCTGTGTACCAACAAGCGAGGTGTCAGCGGCGCTATATCACCAGATGGCTGCAAGAATAGCCGCATGTTGCGGGACGAGGGCTTGATATGGGTGACTGCGAGTCTCAGCCTTGCGCATCTCCGCAATGTGCTAGACTACCGCCACGCCAAGATCAACCACCGCGAGCAAGCCTTCGACCCCAATTATACGAGCACTACCCTCCGCGCAAATGATCCGGTGCCAGGGCGCGGATCACAAGAGTGCCTAATCAGCGCCCGCAAGCAGTTCTCAACAGCCCTACTCGGATCGCTCTAATCCTGCAGCTCCGGAATCACGAGGCTCATATCTTCAACCGCTTTCGCCCGATCTAGGGTGGCCACGGAGAGTCAGACCCCGGAGCCGCTTGTGCGACCTAGATAGCGTCACGGTTGTCCTCCTCTAGCTCGTCAATTTGAATCCAACTAGGACCGGTACCGACTGGCATAGTGTCCGCCGCACGCTTCTTCGGCAGCACCATGGTCGCGGTATGATCTTCGTCTGCATCAACGACTCCACAACGGCGAGGAGTAGATTAGGTCAGTCTTGCGCCCGCTGCAGGCTTTCTCGGCCAAATCACAATTCTGTCCTTGTCTCTGATCTCGTACTCAAAGACTGCCATAAGTGTGATTAACGGTTCGCCTCCAGCGGGTCAAGAGGCGCGCCCCATACCAAACTTGAGACACTGGTCACATAGTCCCTGCCCACAGCCACATCGTGCTTCCCAGTCCATGTTGTAGTGCCCGCAGCGTCGCACGTCTTCGTGAAAGCACCGACAGCACTCCCAGCCCCCTGGCATGCGTTCCAACTCTGGCAGGGGCTGTGGCAATGGCGCGGAAATTTCGTGGTGGTGACAATGAGGGCAGTTGGGATGCCGGCAGCCGCGTTTGATGTGCTTCGTGCGAGCCATAGGTTGTATATCTCGGGACTGTTACGGGAGGACGTAGTCTGGGCAGCTAATTGATTTGTCTTTCGGCGGATTGAGAACGAAAGGGACAGAGGGACTCATGTGCATCCTCACAAAGGCACAGTGAATACAGTGGTCATGTGATATTGCTTGCTATATAAAGCCGCGCTTATGAAGGTGCATGAATGAAGCCTTGTGGGAGAACGTGTAAAGGCACACGTGAGTAACATGCGTTCCAAGACGTATACTCGGTATGGCTATTCTCACTGAATCAAGATGAGGGAGAAGGGAATATGAAGACTGAGATGGGGGATGTAGCGACCGTCGGTAAGGAGCATCTTTCGTCGAGCCTACCCTGCTGGGTGAAGCTCTCCATATATCCAGCTACGGCGCGTGCGACTTGCTCTGCGGCATATAGCAGAGGAGCCTTGCATGGAAGGAGATGTTGCAATGATCCTACAATAGATGCCGGTGAATGAGTTGAAGAAGAGAAGAAGAACATTAGGAGAGGCAGGCCAGAGGAAGTTTTGATGTCGTCTGCAGCGGCTGTCCCCGCCGAGCTAATTCTGGCCAATCATGCATTAAGCTGGGCGTTCGATGCTTCACTCCATCCGAAGCGTTGCCACTGCAACATTCACCACACCTCCCTCTTGCGCATCTCTGGTCACCCGGCGGCGCCAAGATGTTTGCGCGGTCATTACGGCAGTCGTCGAGGCTGGCGAGTCGCAATGCGGCGCGGCCCTTCTCCTCGAGTGTGCGGCGGCGAGCGGAGGTATGCACACCCCATGCCGCCATACTACTCCGTGCCTATACTCATATTTCATGTTCTGTGCTAGGTCGAGCTCACGGTCGACGGCAAGAAGGTCAGCATCGAAGCTGGCTCAGCACTCATTCAAGCCTGCGAGAAGGCCGGCGTCACCATTCCCCGCTACTGCTACCACGAGAAGCTCATGATTGCGGGCAACTGCAGAATGTGCTTGGTGGAGGTGGAGCGAGCACCTAAGCCGGTCGCGTCATGTGCATGGCCGGTGCAGCCCGGTATGGTCGTCAAGACGAACAGCCCGCTTACCCACAAGGCAAGAGAAGGCGTGATGGAGTTTCTGTTGGCCAACCACCCGCTCGACTGCCCCATTTGCGACCAGGGTGGCGAGTGTGACTTGCAAGATCAGAGCATGCGTTACGGTTCGGACAGAGGGCGTTTCCATGAGGTGGGCGGTAAGCGTGCGGTAGAGGACAAGAATATGGGTCCGCTGGTCAAGGTACGAGACACATGCATTGGCGGAAGCGAGAAAGGCGCGATACTGACTGATGATTGTAGACATCGATGAACCGCTGCATCCACTGCACCCGCTGTATCCGGTTCGCAAACGACGTCGCTGGCGCACCCGAGCTCGGCTCAACTGGCCGTGGCAATGACCTTCAAATCGGTACTTACCTCGAGACAGCACTTGACACCGAGCTTTCCGGTAATGTTATTGACCTCTGCCCTGTCGGCGCACTATTGTCCAAGCCATACGCATTCCGTGCTCGCCCTTGGGAGCTCCAACACACTGAGACAGTTGATATCCTTGACGGTCTAGGAAGCAACATCAGGGTTGATGCACGAGGATTACAAGTCATGCGCATTCTACCAAGACTGAACGACGACATCAACGAGGAGTGGCTCAACGATAAGAGTCGATTCGCCTGTGACGGTCTAAGCACCCAGCGTTTAACGACTCCTCTCATTCGGCGAGACAACCAATTCCAGCCTGCGACGTGGGAGCAGGTCCTGGTTGAGATCAGCGAGAAGTTCAAGGAGCTTCAACCGAAGGGTGACGAGATCAAGTTCATCGCTGGTCATCTCTGTGACACAGAAACACTCGCCGCGGCAAAGGATCTTGCCAACAAGCTCGGCTCAGAGAACCTCGCACTCGACCAGCCCCAAGGCTCGTCACCCGTCGCTCACGGCATAGACATCCGCTCAAACTACGCTCTCAACTCCAAGATTACTGGTGTTGAAGAAGCAGACTATATCCTGCTCGTCGGCACGAACCCAAGATGGGAGGCTGCTCTTCTTAACGCCCGGATACGCAAGCAATGGCTACGGTCTGACCTTGAGGTCGGCATGATCGGCGAAGACTTCCCGTCCACCTTCGACTACGAGAAGCTCGGCGCAAATGCTGCCGACCTGAAGACCGCACTCTCCGGCGACTTTGGCAAGAAGCTTGCATCCGCCAAGCGACCCATGATCATCATCGGCTCCGGCGCCATTGAACACCCAGATGCCAAGGCCATTTACGAGACCATCGGCAGTTTCGTTGAGAAGAACAAGGGCAGCTTCCTCACCCCTGAATGGAACGGCTACAACGTCCTTCAACGCGCCGCCGCTCGCACAGGCGCCTACGAGCTCGGCTGGTCGGTCCACAACCCAGAGTCCGCTAAAGTCACGCCCAAATTCATGTGGCTCCTCGGTGCGGACGAGATTAGTCAAGAGGACATTCCTAAGGACACCTTCGTCATCTACCAAGGCCACCACGGCGACCGCGGCGCCCAACTCGCCGACGTCGTGCTCCCCGGCGCCGCGTACACGGAGAAACACGGCACATACGTCAACACCGAAGGCCGCGTCCAGCTCGGCCGCGCCGCAACCTCCATCTACGGCGCCGCGCGCGACGATTGGAAGATCCTGCGCGCCGTCTCCGAAGCCCTCGGCCAGCCTCTTCCCTACGATGACGTCGAGGCATTACGAGACCGCATGGAAGAAATCTCCCCGGCGCTGCGACGCTATGATATTGTGGAGCCGGCGAGTCAGGCCATGCAGGCATTGAGCAAGGTGCAGTTGGTGGATCAGAACAAGGGCAGTAAAGTCACCGGCGAGGCGTTTAAGCCGGTGATTGAGAATTTCTTCTTCACGGATTCCATTTCGAGGAGTAGTCCTACCATGGCGAGGTGTTCGGCGGCCAAGGCGCAAAAGAATATGTACACCAACTTCATGGCGCCGGGCGAGCCGGACCCGCAGGTAAACTATGGGCCGACTGCCGCGGGTGCTTCTGCGTGAGGCTGGTGGTTGACTTGTGGGTGCTCCGGATGCTGCGTGATGCGGACAAGGTACAGCAGAGTGTACAGAGGCGCCTGAGGCGTTAACGGGGCTGGAGGAGCGCATGTACATTGTATGAGCACTTTAGCAAGACAACTTTTTACAGCAAATGAAACATCCTCCCGCAGGCTGCACAGTGGCTGGCATTATCACACAAGGATAGTCGTACACAGCAAGTACCATGAAGTAGTAAGCTGCCAACCAATACAGCCAATGCGGTCTTTACTTGTCTACACAGCCGGCTGCTTCGGTGCGTCAAGGTCACCTTGTTGATCTCCATTCTCTGGCGCACCATTCTGCTGCGGCTTTGTTGCAGAAGCTTTGAACGACTGCTCAAAGTCTGCGATGATATCATCAATATGCTCCGTGCCGACAGATATCCGAATGAGGTCCTGCAAAACGAGGTCAGCAGAACGGCCTTCCGTCTCCGACGGTGCAGTACAAAGTACGTACATCAGTCACGCCACTGCTTATCCTCTCCTCCTCCGTCAGCTGCTCATGTGTAGTAGTCCACGGGTGAATCGCCAGCGTCTTCGAATCGCCCACATTCGCCAGGTTTGAGATGAGCTTGAAATTATCTACAACCTGACTGCCGGCTTTCTCGCCACCCTTGACGCCAAACGACAGCACGCCGCCAAAGCCTCGCGGCAGGTACTTCTTCGCTAGCTTGTGGCTCTTGTGCGACTCCAAGCCTGGGTAGCTCACCCACGCTACATTCTCGTTCTTCTCCAGCCACTTCGCCAGCTTTAGCGCATTCTCCGCATGTCTCTCGCACCGCAAGCTGAGTGTTTCGACACCGAGGAGCAGCTGTTGCGCCGCGAATGGGTTGAGTGCCGCGCCGAGATCACGCAGAACCTCCACTCGTAACCGAATGATAAACGTCAACTTACCGAAAGTATCCCAGAACCGCAAGCCGTGGTATCCGTCGCTCGGCTCAGTCATCTGCGGGAACCGTTTCCGAGCCTCTGGTGATCCCCAGTCGAAATTGCCTGCATCCACCACGACGCCGCCGATCGTTGTGCCGTGTCCGCCAATCCATTTGGTCGCGCTATGAACGACTATATCTGCGCCGTGCTTGATGGGCTGGCAGAAGTACCCACCAGCGCCAAATGTGTTGTCCACCATCACCGGCACCCCGGCCTCGTGCGCCACCTTCACAATAGCTTCGAGATCCGGGACGTTGTATCGCGGGTTGCCGATAGTCTCTGCGTATACCACCTTCGTCTTGTCATCGATCAACTTCTTAAACTCTTGTGGATCGTCTCCTTGCACAAACTTGGTCGTGACGCCCAGACGAGGCAGGAAAACCTTGAACTGGTTATAGGTGCCTACAATGAGAGCATAGGGTCAGCCAGCTCGCATCCTGCTTTCAGCTCTCCGACTGGGTTTCGTAAGTACCTCCGTACAGGTTCGAAGTCGACACAATATTGTCGCCGGCATGACACAGCGCAGCAACGGCCATGAACTGTGCCGACTGGCCGGAAGATGCGGCCAGCGCAGCGACTCCGCCTTCTAGTGCCGCTATCCGCTTCTCCAGGACGTCGACGGTAGGGTTCATGATGCGCGAGTAGATGTTGCCGAACTCCTTGAGGCCGAATAGCCTCGCCCCGTGGGCGGAGTCATTGAAGACGAAGGAGGTGGTTGCATAGATGGGTGTGGCGCGGGATTTGGTGGTTGGGTCTGGCTCAGCGCCTAACAGCGTAGTGTCAGCGGTGTACACTTGTTATCAAGTCGACGAAGTGCATGGAAGAGACCTTACCGGCATGGAGCTGCAGCGTCTCGAACTTGGGAGTGATGTCTTCTCCACCCATCTTCACGACTTGTTCACGAAGCTGTTGAAGTCTAGAGAGAGGTTTAGACGAGGGCATAGATTGTGGAGAAAGCGAGACTGAGTAGTAGGAAACAATGGAAGTGGGTCCGCCTACCGCGATGGCTATTGCGCGATTGTGGGAATGGTCAATTTGGTTCCTTGATCCGCGTGTGGTATGGTGAGTTTCGTTGTCGTACCCCGCGTTGGATCAATGCCACACTTTCACCTGCGGGCAGCTTCAAGCTCCAAAGCACCTCATCCGGGCTACGCTATTTCCGGCAGGTCAGCCAAGCTGCCTTTTCGAGCTGCCTCGGGCACATGGGCTTTGACGTCTGCAACAAAGATATCTCAGCTGTCGTGGAGAGCTGCGAGGCAATGAAAAACCTTGCCAGATCACCTGTTAGGGGCGCTGCCTGTCCCTTTGATTCTCACACGGCGAGCCTTCGCTGTTCGCTGACCCTTCTCGTGATAACCATATGTCAATGCCGCCGGACATGCCTCGAAACTAATGACTAGTAGCCAACTGGTACGGCCTGGTGTCTTCATCCGGGCTCAATAGTCGACTTGGTAGCTGTGCCCGGTCTCGAAGCACTTGGTCCCGCAGCGTCATCGCCTTCTACAATGTGTGCTTCAGTCATTCGAGTGTCTCGTATCACCTCGAACCTGAGGCCTGCGCTCTCGTAATGTGTCTCGCATGAGACGTATGGTTGCACAGCCTCCTGGCTTCCGCCTTCGTTTGTGGTCGGGGCTTGCGCCTGAACGGTCACATGAGGTAGAGCGAGTGTCCCGAGTCTCAGTGGGACTAAGACAATGCCGAGGACAGTGTTATCCATGTCTAGGGTGACTCGAGCTCGTCGTCTACCGCCTACGAGCCATGCCTCCCGGTCAGCCTGTATCTCGATGACGAAGCTGGTCTTCGAGTCCAGTTGCTTCGAGCCGAAGACGCTAGAAGCGCTCCAATCAAAGGTATGTCGTACGCTGATTTCAGCAGTGACAGGTGTGCCGAGTATCAAGATTTTCTGTCCCGGCACGTCGATATAACCTTTATCCTGTACGATCATCGACGCATTGAAGACGATGTCCACTGTCGGAACGTCAACAGCAATGGTAACGCATCGGGCGACTTTCTCGGTCAGAGCGCCTTCGGTAGCAGTGGCGATTGTGATATGCTCGCTGTGCCACTTCTGCAAGCATGCTTCGACGTCTGGTTTCGCGCCCGGCGGTAATGTATCGATGATATTGTTCCAGCCGAACTCCTGGAAGGAAGGCATCCTAAGCTGCTGCGAAACGGCACTAAGCTCCACATGTGGTGCATGCAGGAGTCCCCAAACCTTCTGATCCATGATAGGGCATAGAAGATGTCGCAAAGGGCGACAGCCGCTAGCGTTCAGAAACTCTGCGAAAGACTCTCGCACCGTCGTGGCTATTAGGTCGACGAAGGAAACGTATTTCACATCCAACGCGAGAGAAGCGTTGCGCTTGATCATTTTGCCAGAGGATGGCGCCTTCCGGAAGATTTTGTACCTTAGCCTGGCTGGCATCGTTTCTGTGATCGTTGACGAAGCGCTGGGTACTGAAGATGCCTCGACAGTGTAAGCCATGGACTCGCGCAGATGAGTGTCAAGCACCAACAGCGGCGCGGGTCTTAAAGTACGCAGAGTGAAGCTGGACGTCAGGTATTTCATCCGGAACCTCTCGTTGACTTCGACATCCAGCGGTAGCTCGTGGCGCAGCACCGTTGAAGTGAGGTAGGTAAAAGGACCTTTCGGTGTGCGATAATGAACCTCGAAGCGCATGGAGATGTCTGGGGTTGCTTGGTCGACCGTATATGGAATCGTGATGAGAGCGGATTGGCCCGCCGAGAGACTGCTCATGGCAAGCTGACCCGGCTTGCCACCCCCGCCGGATAACACGATGCCTTCGAGATCCGCATCCGCAAGGTGCAGCCTAAGCCCAGCAGAAGTTGGCTTGATCCGCAGGTCGACGCCTTCAACCTCGTTCCGTCCACTGCTAAGCGTCAGTAGGAGATGGCGGGGCTTGTCAAGGCGGATATCTCGGACAAGTTCGGCCTGCAGGTTGAACGAGCTTTCGGAAGGATATAGAAAGACAGACGACTGTAACGGCTCGTTCCGAACGGGCGCTGGAGAGCCTATGCCATTGCCGTTCACTAGCACAGTAGGCGCCTTACTTGGCTGAAAGTCCTTTACGAAGGTGAGTCCGCGCGCTTTCAACTTCAAGCTTCCGAGCAAGAATGGGCCCAGCGCTGACGTAGAGCAATCTAGGTTGACGTCTACAAGGCCTGGCCGGACCACGACTGATCTAGCGCAACGAAGCATAATCACCTGAGCTGGGTCCTGGGCTGCAACAAGGCTCGCCGCAACTTCCTCTACCTCGACCGCATCATCGAGGACGTGTCGTAAGCGCAGGCGGAGCGTGAATCCATCCATGTCATCGTGGTGGACTATATGTTCATCGAATTGCACGTCGCCGAAGAAGTCCTCTAGGCGACAGTCGAGCTGGATTGAATGGGCAGCTGAGATATCAATGGCCTTCTGGAGAACTCCTGAAACATCGAAATCGTCGTAGATCTGAGTCACGAAGGATGTATGGACCATTCTTTTCTTAGCAACTTTCGATAAGAGCTTCAGCACAGCTTCCAGGTGCTCCAGATGGCGCTGCAGTTCCTCGAGACAGCTGATGTATACAAGGAGTAATTCAGCTTCCGTTGAACTCCAGGTGTCTGCTTCGAAGCTTGGTAATAAATGCCGAATATAGTCCTCTGCAGTCACGGTGTCACCTTGCTGACGCTTGAGCAGCGCCAAATCGCCAATGATGAGATCAACCGACTTTGATTGCGTGGCAACAGCGTAGTATCGCATAGCCTGATCGCTCAGACGCTCAAAGGCGGACTGGAAAGCCTGCTCGGACTCTAGGGCGGTGGCTAATGACGGTGGGACGAGTGCGATAGAAGCCGACTTTATAGGCTCCGTTTCTGGAGTGGCCTGAATACCACCAGCACTTTCGGCGCGCTCGTCATTGTTCGAGGCGTCCAGCTCGACATCCTCCAATCGAGGCTTGCTGTGCTCTACAGCAGCCCAACCCGCCAGCCAGCCGCGGTGCTGCGCCAAGTCCTCGAGCATTTTGCGCTGCATAACAACCAGCTCAGCACGGTAGGTTGCAAGCTCCGGTAGCCCTGGGATGCCCGCCGCCTTCGTGCCAAGATCGATCTCTGAGCCCGTAATTGTTCCCGCAGACTCTTCGCTCATGGCCACAGACGGCCGGTGTAGATCTGGTGCAGACTGACGGACGGCTAGGCTGCTAGACCGCTCCGGATAAGGACTTGCGCCCATGGCGAAGCTGAAGTCGGAACGCTGAGGGGAGGTGCCATTAACGAGCGGCTTACTGTTGCTATCTAATTGTACCAAGTCCAGCACTGGTGCAATTGTTTCGGAAAGAATGTAACCAGCCACTAGGTATATCCAGGAATAAGTGATAGCGTCAACATCATGTGAATTAAGCGCCTTCTCGGTCGATTTGGGCATGCTTTGAAGCTCCTGTCGCAATGATCGAGCGCTGTTGGGTATAAAGCTTGAGGCGCGCCAGCAGACCTCAGAAATGAGCACAAGGTCTTCGCTTGAGTCGCTGGACCTGGCGGCACCGAGCTCGGCATTTGCGGCAGCGGTATTGGCAAGCCGAAGTATCAGCGCCTTTTGTCTGATGAAGAGGTAACAGAAGAAGTCGAAAACGGAGATGTTGCTACGGACAATCTCCTCTCGATAGTCTTTGCTGAACAAGCCAGCTCCTGAGCTATGCTGAAGGCCGTTGGAGTCACGCTTCATGGCTCCATTCATGGTTGCTTTCGAAAAGCCAAGGATTCGGTCAACGATATCATTGGTGTAAGCGGCAAAGCTAGTCGCAGTGCCGTCAGCCTGTCCAGATGCAATCTCGCGGACAGCAGTCTCCAGACCAAGGGAGAGCTCGTCGTATAGTGCCAGTGCGTCTTCGACGAGGCCGATGCTTTCCAGAGCTTTAGCCAAGCCCTCTTTATGAATGAAGAAGGTGCAGAAGTTCCACCCTGGTAGAGACCGTCGTGACTCTTGCTCAGCAATGTCAACTTCGTACTGCCTGACTCGCGCATCGAATGGGCCAAGTATAAGGACCTTGAGCTTGTCCAGAAGGTCCTTCCATGAGAGCTCCCGCTCCTGAGTCGTCTCTTCCAAGGTCTCCGCAACGGTCGGTGTAGGCAAAAGATCCGGAGGCATATTCTGCTTGAGTAATCGTATTTGCGCCACTCGATCCACGCCAGCCTTGCCAGAATCATTGAAGTCGGCCCGTAAGCGGTCAAATACCGTACGTGGAGGCTTGCCTGGGAACTTGACATTGCTCGTCTTACGTTCCTTAAGCTCGTCAGGTTCCTTCACTGACTCGCGCCATCTTGGTTCGCTAGCGGCAGTAGTTCCTGGCACAACAACGTGCAATATCAGCCATTCAAAGGCATCGTGATTGTCGCCTGTGCTGCTTTCGGCCTGTGTGCTGTCTCGTAGCCATTCCCGTATACGCTTGCGCTCCGTGTCTTTATACGTATCCTTATCATCACATCGTAATACATAAAGCTTCAAGTAAGGTGAGGTTTTGAGGCCCGGAATTTGGTGCCTGCGCTCCTTCACCGCATCTCTGCGCCCACTCCGCACGATCTCAACGCTGGTGGGACCATTGGAATCGAACCGCTGTATGGGCGGCCGCAAAGCAGTCTCCGTGAACTTGTCGGGCACAAAGTCTACATGTAATTGGCGGATCTGGCGCAATGGCCTGGATGGTGATTGCCAGTTCAGGTTTCGGAGCGGTAGGCGACCAGCAATTTCTCTTGAAATTAACGGGAAGACTCCGGACGGGTCATGATATTCCACTGTCGTCCAGTCAACCTTGTGTGACCGTCGGTATGGAAGTAGTTGCGCCCAGCCCTACCTGTGACCTTGGAGCTCGACGACGCCTCCATCGCTCGAGCATTCATGGACGGCTCCGACTCTCTTGACTTGCCGCATTGCGCCCGTGTCGCGGGTTCATATGCGATCTAGCCGTGCCAGATGCGAGTCCAAGGCACCCACGTTGTCGGTCTCTGAGTATTAACCATTATTAAAGCCACGCGGAAAGGGAATGGTTGTTCAGAGGGCATTGGCGCAATTAAGCTTCGGGGGACGGAACGGGCGATCGCATTGAGCAGCCGCATCACCGCGCATGCTGCTGCTCCTAACTTTCTCCATGCTCTGAGCGTCACTTCACCAAGCCATTAAATACAGGAATCATGCGTCGCTCACTGATACGGATGGTATGGTCACTGCCAACGTTGTGCTAATGGTTACTAACAGCTCGTGAAGGCCCAATATGGGCTCGAAAGCGAGGGAGCGCGAGGTGTCCGCCCACCATTCCACCGCCGGCGAGTTGACTACCAGTCCTTTAAGAGCCAGTTCGGCCCGGAGTATGTCATTTCGATATCGAATTGCGGTATATGAGGATGCCTGCTGACGCATTTGGCAGGTACAAGATTGGCTGGCACGCATACGGCTTGAACATGACACAAGCGACAAGATAGTACGCACCCTTCTTCGCACCACAAAATGTTGCTTGTCGGTTTCTTCGGCCTCCGCTAACCGCTTGACTATAGCATGAGCCTTGCTGCAGGCATGGGTATCTCACTAGGCATCTTCGGCATCTTCTTCCTCGACGCTGTTCCTCGGGTGCAGAGAGACATTCTGCAAAAGTTACCGTTCATTGGGAGCTACTTTGTGCATGAGGTTCCCCCGGAGGACAACCCCTTCTAAGCGAAAGCTGACTCGCTTGGGGTGCTTAACGGTAATACATTCCAGACTAGCAAAAGCAAGAACGCATGTACACTAGCTCCAGCGAAGCTCGACAATGCTACAATAAATCAAGAGACCAAGACGTCTGCTGGTGATGTTTGCTGCATATAGCAATGTTCAATATGGTCGGGGCTCGCAATTATCGGAGACAGGCCGCACCTTGCAACGTCTTGCAACCTTAGAACAGCGAAGGCGGCGTCTCGAGTGCACGGAACCGGTACGATAGTACTGCACGGAACCGGTACGATAGTACTGCTCCACATCCGGGGTGATAGTCATTAAAGGCAACTTCACGAACTACGTTGCGTGCCATGTTATAAGTTGTTACTATCTTCGCAGCCCGCTAAAACTCACGGAGTCTCCAGATTTACCTTGATAAAACCCACGAATACTTACTGCCGTATGATCAGCTACAGTTCTCCAACGGTTACTCGAAGTACATGGCTGGGTGATGGAGAGATCTTGCTGCGAACCGCTCCCCAATGCCCATCTTGTCAGATGAAGAGCATCCGTCAGGAGATGGCACGTTTAGTTGCCACTAGCAGTCACCTAGCGCTTCAATGTTTCTTGCATGTAAAGGAACTGTACACCGAACTAGCCGTTGAAGGAGGAACAAGCGTGACCTGCCCATGTACAAGGTCAATGGATGCCATTGCGCCGTCCATGCTGTCCATTATCGTAGCTCACAAGTGTTAAGAGCTCTCAGGCGAATTACTCATGATCCATCAAAGCGCCGGCAACGGGGCACTTCTGGACAGGCGCATCATTCGGCACACTGGGGTGCTCGTGCACCTTGCCCTCGTGATGCTCCAACTTCGCGTTCGTCACCGGGCACTGCTTGCCGGCCTCCGCCTCCGTCAATTTAGGATGGGTAGGTGGCAGGTAGGCGGACACTGGGCCCACAACCGGACACAAGGCGTCCGTGATGCCATCCTTCTTGGTCACGTTCTTGAGCGCGGGGCATGCACGCGCATCCATTGCTTCGTGCGAGTCCTTGGGGATAGTCGGGCTGCTTGGGTGGTTATGGATGACACTGCCAGTGTGGTGCGAGACCTTAGCGTTCGTCACCTAGGAATAAGCCGTGTCAGTCTAGTTGCAGAAGCATCGCTGCTCCTAAAGGGTGCTGTACCGGGCATCGCGCCTCTGGGTCTGAAGACAAGGCTGGGTGGTCTGGAGGTAGGACGGTGGTGGTTGTTCCAACTACAGGGCAAACGGCGGCCATTCTTCCGAAGTGACTATTGGGTATATGCTACTGGAATGGATGAAGAGCAACAATGCTAGGTGTTGCTGTGATGTTGGAGCGCCTGTCAGACTCGCAAACAGGGCGGTGTTGACAGGCTATCGTAACCGCGGTGGTTCAGGTTGCTGCGGGGCGTCCCACCCACCCACATGATCTCGCTTATCACATACTTTAGGCCGTGAGGTGGGTCTGACAAGCTAGTGAACGAACTCTCGTTGATGCGGCGAATTGAGTCACCTCTCTTAGTCGACACGGCTTTATAGATACTTTTCACATTGCTCTAGCACTCGTCCAGTTGAAGTCTATTGTCACTCTCGCTCACCGATAAGTGGACGTTCCTCCACTTGGCCGACGCTTCTGAGAGTCGGTAGCACTGCAGGATCATCTGGGAAGCGTATGCTTCTGTGCCAGCCAATAGGTGGAGCGGTAGTAGACGTCGGAGTCGATGAGCCATCAAATCTGCGCTCTGGGCTCGCCATCCTCGACCTCACTGGCGACCGTGTCGGGCTGACAGCGTGAACACGTGGTCCGTCCACATCTGAAAGCCTCCTTTGCGATGCATCACTCGGCGGCCCAGCGTCAGCAGGAGCAGACACGGGCGGGTTATTGATAGAATGACCGATTAATCGCGCATCTTTGGGAGCCGAGATGTCAGGTCGCGCGCCACCATGTCCGCCAGAGCCAGATGCGCCGCTATTGTTCTCCTTGTCTGCCGCACCATTTCGGATGCCACCATGCTTGCCATGCACCGTCTTACCAGCCGGCCGCGTGATGTCCTCCAAAATGTGCTTACCAACCCGGGCAATACTTCGAGGAACCCAACCGTGAGTTTTCGATGAAGGTTCGCCTGATGCGCCAGTCGTTGTACGTCGCCTAAACCAACTCTCGAGTTTGCGTTCTTCGATGCGTGCGTCCTCGGCGAGGTCGGGTACATTTGGCTCTTCTGGGTCGTCTCCGCGCGCCATACTTGGCGAGGCAGATGCCCGTTCTGACGAAACCGCCATGCTAATGGTACGTGGAAGGTAGAAACCGAGCTTTCCAAGCGGGATAGAGAGCCCATGCACGAAAATGGAGCACACGGCCAGGAACCAGATAGTAACGTTCATGACCTCAGACAAGTGCGCTGCATCCGGACGCTGCTCGCCATTGACCTCGATGCCGCGCAAGAATTCCCGCGAGATGTAGAGATAAAATATTGCGCTGACTCCGATTGGCCCGAAGAATCCGACGAAGGTAGCGTGTTGAATATGCTCGATTTGAGGGATCCACTTGTGGAAGGCTAGAACCATTGGTAAGCGTCGAAGCAGAAGCACGAGAATGCCGAGAGGAATTAGCCGGTAGATGGGAATAACACCGTTTGCAACGAATTGATGCCACGGGCACACGGCTCCAAACCACATGAAGATGGAGACGTTAAGTAGCATGTCGATGGTTGGCTGCAGACTATCGTCCATTGTCTCAAGACGGAACCAGTCGTCCCACGTGAAGGCGTTGCCGGCAATGAAGCAAGCCAGAACGTCGTCGGAACCGAGCATGCCAACTGTGCCGACGATGAACAGCTACACAACGTCCATCAGTTCAAACTTCTGACATACGACGTGTACGTGCTTACCGCAAGTGTGATAGCAAAGACGAGGAATGACTCTCTGTCAACGTAGCGTCGCTCTTCCGCCCAGTGCAGAAGCTCCTTTGCGATCCAGCCTACCGCGGCACCGTAGGCAACAGACATGAGAATTGTGTAGCACCACGTCTCATAGAACCACAATCCAATCGCGGTGCCACCATTGCCAGTAACGCCCAGCCCGCCATAGCCGACGTATTTGATAAGGTACAGCGCCAGGAACAAAAAAGGGTACCCTAGGCCGTCGTTCGCACCAGACTCAGCGATAATGATCTTCTGCAACGGCGGCGGAATGTTCTTGTCTGCGAACTTGCCCTTTACGATGCTGTTCGAGAGCACAGGATCCGTCGGTGTAACGCTTGCGCCTACAGCAAGTGCGAACAAGAAGTCGATCTTCGGCACCAATGCCCACACGAGCAGGCTCGTTGATATCCACATACAGCACATCCCTGGACCCAACAGCAGACTCAAGCTCTTCCATTCCTTCCACAGATACTTGCTAGGCAACTGTACGCCTGCAAGGACCAGCTGCACGCCAAGGACAAGGCGGGTGAAGTAGAGCGTGACAGTTTCGAGATCGACCTCGTTGTCATTGGCATACTGCAACGGCTTGATCCAATTCGTCGCATGAGGGCTGAAGACCAGACCAGCGAGAGTAGATATGAGGGCCTCGGAGAGATAGAATTTCTCTTTAAGCAGGTAAGAGACAAGGCCGAAGATGGTGATGAAGCCACCGAGAGTGGCGCAGACGATATTGAAGTTGACGACCGCGAGAGTCGGCATGGCTTCTGAGGGTGTAGACTCGCAAGCCTTGTCTTGGGAGGCTTATGGCGGTCCGAGACACTTGATAGGGATAGAGTCCCAGGGGTTGCGTATGCTTAGGTTTGAAGTTGGTTTCCTTGATCAGACATCAAGCATGCAATGCCGATGCTATCGTACTCGCTTGGCGGTCTTTTTAGCTATTAGCCGTCGTATCTGGCTAGGCTTCTGCCCAGGATAGCTGGGACGGAAGGCGCGTGTTATTGGATGCTGAACATGGTGGTGTTCTGTACGGTAGGTAGCGGCAGACGACGCCACCTTATCTGAGATGGGAAGAGTAGGCTTTGCTGAATGGTCCGGTCACAGGACGAGTCCGCGGTTAATGTCGATGAGGAAGATGGAGCGGCGGAGGGAGATAGGCTTTAGAGATGACATACATACTGCCACTGGAGATGCAGCGTGGGGTCTCGGCATTTCCCACCATTTCCACCTCTTCTATTTCCTCGACCACCATTTAACGACAACACATGGTGTCGTTTCGCACCATGTACCATTGTCTCGACCTGGTCGATCTGTCAGATGTCTCTGTGCGACACGACATGAGAATGTGGCAGTTTGAGTGCGCGATCGTTCTAACAAGCGGCCCACCTAGTCGGCGAACTCTCGAGGCTAAACATTAGACCAACATGCTGTTATAGGACCAATAGCGTGGTGTTAGCATATCGGATCGCGAGAGATTTCAAGTTCTGTTGCCATATCTCAAGAGCATTGCTAAGGAGATGAGCAACCGTAAGACCACATACAATAGGATAGCATTCCTATGCGATCACTTTGGGATCATGCCAACTTGTCGCGTGAAATCCTGAGTTCCAAGGGCATCGTGAATCAATAGCTGCTGAGCAGCCTTGGGGACATTTTTAACCGTACTTTCTTCGGTCTTGACGGCAAGCTTCGTTTCAGTGACTTACGGTGAACCCAGTAGGCGCTTGCGTGTCGGTAAGCTTTACTGTCAGGAGAAACATGCAGCCTGTTCGGAGCTCGTCTCATGTCGATGTTCGCATCGGTCCTCAAGATCGTTCTACCTCGCAAATCCACAGACCCGGATCATTACTGTGACCCCTTGGCTCGAGTTGCGTTGCGCGCGCGGAACTCGCTTCATGATAGACATTGCCGTGGCGAACGGCCGCACCACGCGAGAGTTGATTAGCAGGGGGGTGGTCACCTATGTCTCACGCAATCGTGAGAGGATCAATACTTCGCTCTATTGTCGACTCGCAATATGACATGAAGCAACGACGTTGGAGCTCGGATGCCATGCTTTTGCTATGACATGGAGCACCCATACGATGATGAGCTTTTCTGGCGTCCTAGCACTGAGCATTGCTTCGACAAGGGGAATTTCATATCCGCTCATTTCGGCCCTCACAATGTAGGTGAATGCTCGCAAACGGTGAAGAAGTGATCGACGACCCATCATATGACTAAGTCTAGCAATGCACATATCATGTCTGGACGTTCCATACCTGCATGCACCTACTCAGGTACCGGCTAGCACTACATACACATGGCATAAATCGTGAGAGAACGAACAGTTGAGTTCATTGCCTAGGTCCTCGGTGCTTGCCCCCGAACCCCTCATCAAGCTTCTTAGGACGCCATTTGAGCATGTTGTCCGTCATGCGTCTTAACGCCGTCAAAGATGAGCGAACAGATTCAACGACCAACTAGATCACTAAAGGGCCGCGTAGCCATCGTTACCGGAGCCGGAGCGCTCGAAGATGGCATTGGCAACGGCAGAGCTTCAGCCATCCTGCTGGCCGAAGCGGGCTGCGACGTCGTTTGTGTCGACATGAAGATTGAGCTCGCAGAACGGACCGTCGAGATGATCCACCAGGACGGTCAGGGTCGAGCAATCGCCTTCAAAGCGGACGTTACAAACGAGAACGACTGCAAACTTGCCGTTGAAGTTGCATTGAAGCGTTTCGGCAGGCTTGACATTTTGGTTAATGTTGTTGGTGTTGGTGGCGCGACAGGTACGGCAAAGGAAGTTGATATGATGGAATGGGCGAAGGGGATGGAGATCAACGTTGCGAGTATGGTTATGATGTGCAAGTACGCCATTCCCGAGATGGAGAAGAACGAAGGGCAGTGGCGCGGCAGCATCGTCAACCTGGCTTCTGTCGCGGGCTTACGAGGCGGCAATCCCCACCTCCTCTATCCGACGAGTAAAGGTGCTATAGTAGTACGTTGCCATTCACGTCAGCGTATGGACGGGACGCACTGACGTTCGTAGAACATGACCAGAGCAATGGCCGCGCATCACGCTCCGCAAGGCATTCGTGTAAACTGCGTATGTCCTGGCATGGTCTACACGCCGATGATGTACGGGGCCGGGATGACGGAGGAAGCTCGCGAGGCGCGCAAGAATCGGAGCTTGCTGAAGACAGAGGGCAATGGGTGGGATGTAGGCGCTGCGGTGCGTTTCTTGGCCGGAGACGAGGCGAGGTGGATGACGGGTGTGGTCTTGCCAGTCGATGCTGGTGCGACAGTCGCAGCTGGAAGCGAATTGCCCAAGTCAGCGAGCATTAACCCGCCGAAAAGCTAAGCAATTTGTATGGCAACCTTCCCAACGTGCGATCCGCTTTCGAGGTACTTGTACGCCTCCAGGATGTCCTCTTTGGTGAACTTGAAAATCTTCTCCACAGGCATTTGCAAGTTCTTACCGCAAACAAAAGCGACAAGATCGTCAGTGAGCTGCTTTGCACCCACGTTGATACCGCGTACAATGCAGCCTTTACCGAGCACCAGGCTTGCCACATCCGGCATCTCCTTCGCCGGCGAAAGGAAGCCAATCACTGCGATGATTCCGCCTCGAGCGACGCATTCCACGCTCTGCTCAATGGTGCCAGAACCGCCGTTTTCGAAGATGATATCGACGCCTCTGCCTTCGGTGATCTTGTTGGCTTCAGCCGCCCAGTTTGGGTTGGTCTTGTAATTGATGAGATGGTCTGCGCCGTACTGCTCCTTGGCCATCTTGAGCTTCTCGTCTGACGAAGAGGTGATGATTGTTATGGCTCCAGCAGCCTTTGCGAGCATCAAGCCGGTCATGCTGACACCGCCTGTGCCTTGAAACAGCACGGTTTGACCTGGCTTCAGCGGGTTGTTGCCATATAGGGCATTCCAGGCTGTAGTGCCTGTGCAGACGAGACCGGCCAGTTGTGCCCAGTTTAAAGTGGTAGTCTCTGGAATCTTCACCAAAGATCGTGCTGGGACGGCAATGTATTGCCGAAGCATGCCGTCTATTGGACCACCGAGCCCATTGAGCCAGTCTTGCTCGGGTCAGCGCGCTGCGGCACAGCTTGTATCCGGGCTCTGGACTCACCCTGCTGCGGCCCGTATAGGTTAGAAAGGTCAAAGTTCGCAATCACCCTGTCACCTTTCGCAAGCCATTTCACAGCATCGCCTACTTGCTCGATCGTTCCTGCGCCGTCAGACAGTGGGACAACGTCGTCCTTGACAGGGAACGGATATCCTCCATTCGCGATTACAATGTCACGGTAGTTCAATGTTGTTGCGTGTACTTTGAGCAGAACCTCATGCGCCTGTATCTTTGGAACCGGCTCGGTCTTCTGCTCGAGCTTTTGGTAGCCAGCCCCTTTAGATGGTAGGCGATATACAGTCTGCTCGGACATGCTGACATAACGGGGCGCGTGAAGCAATTCCCTGCAAGTGTAAATTCCAATCGAGCGTGAGAATTGCGGAGATCTGTTTTGCGAGCGTTGAATATCGCAGCTTTACCTCTCGTCCCTTGTTGCCGGACAATCTGCAGCTCACGTCTGGGAGATGGCCATTTGAGCTGACATGACGCCGGAGGCTCAAGGGGCCACTTGTGCTTTTACAGAATGATAATAAAGTACTAGTAACTCCCAATGACTCGTGCCCTGGTCAGGAAGTAGGAGCAGAAACGAGATGGTGCAGCATCGATACATGTATCAGCCCTGCAGCAGCCCCAAATGACGCCACGCCGTTCGGATCGCGGGCCCGGCTTTCTGGGCGATGCGCCAGGCACTCCCGTACCCGAGCGGCTGATGGCAGTTAGCAGAGGAGAGTAGAGTACTGTTCGTGCCTTCCAGTATCACACAGTCGCCGCCTGTTCGCGCCCTCCTACTCACGTGGCTGCCGTGAGCCGAGCGACGCAGATGGTGAGCGCCGGCCGCTCAATGCAGCGCATTGTTATTGCGAGCGGGCAGCTGCGGCGTCTTCAGGGCTGAAAGCGAGGGTGAGCTTCAATGCCACATGTGAACAATAAGACATGTATTGACAATGATGCCAGATAGAGCCATTTTCACGCGCCTCTGGAGACCTACATTCACTACTGACCGTCTCAGGCACCGCCCGTGTCTTGGAGACAGGCTGACACTCCAGCTCAATGTCTACTACCAACATCATCCAGCCCACATATTCAGCAGTCAAGGTTGACTGTGTACCTATTCGACATCCATAAACATGCCAGGCGTGCAAGAAACTAGCAAGACCGCGCCAGAGAAAGCAGCTTCAATCGTGCAGGACCATGGGGATTTGGATGCCATCAACACGGCCATCGATCGCATGCGCGCGGTCACTGAGCCTGATCCGTACGTGCTCACCATCCCTCAGGACGTTGAGCCTCGCTATCATCATGCCTATCAGTACGCGGCGACTCAGTGGCTACACCAAGCTCCGTTTCAGTGGAAAGAGGGTGAGCTGGTGCAGTACCAGACTTTCGTGTATCACGAGCCTGGTAAGGAGATGTATGTGCAGCATCCAACGAGACCGAAGGAGCCAACAGATGGCGCGTTAGGTCAAGCGAAGGGACAGGTTAGACCAGCAACTGCGGTGGGTACGCCGAATACGAACGTCATGCCGAAGAAGACGATCAGCCTAGATGCGTACAAGAAGAAGCAGACTGGTGGCTCGACGCCTGCGCAGCAAAAGCCTAGCAAAACCGAGAAGCACGCTGAAGCTGCGCCAGCCAAGTCCGCCGTCGTTAAGGGACCGTCAGAGAGAGTGAAGGTTGAGACGGAGGAGGTGCTAGCCGCGGCGGCAGCGGCAGCGGAAGAGGACGCCGTCGTCTCTGACCCACCAGTCAAGCCAGATGCTGCTGATGTGATTCGCAAGCGCAAGCGGGAGGCTGAAGATACAGTGCAAACTAAGCGGCAAGCTGCAATTGAGCAGGCAGGCGAACAGCCTGCGGAGAAGAAGGCGCGTACTGAGTCACTCCCCCATGCGCATGAGGGAGCGCGCACTGAGTCACTTCCGTTTGCGCCTGCCAACACTAAGGAGGCACCACCGCTCCATCATAACGAGTCTCCACTGCCGGAGAAGGCCGCCACGCTACGGGATGACAGGCAGGAGGATGATGATGATGCAGGGTTGCCGCCGAGGCTGTCGCCTCTGAATGAGTCGTCTCTGCCCGAACGTCTTTCACCTACTATACCTGCCAATATCGCTGCGACTCTGAAAGCGCGGGAGCGGTCCAAGCATACCGGTTCCGATAGCTCTACGTCAAGCGTGCTGACAAAGAACGGCAAGCTTACGCCGATACAACCCACTGAAGGCGTCACGAAGCGGAAGTCGCCGATTCCGCGCAACGGCTTTCGTGCTCACTCCAGCTCACCTGCCATGCGCTCGGATGCGGAAGACAACGGGCGGTCAGCAGCGATATCTGCGCCGCCGCCCCGCGTGCAGACTCCCGAGCTGTCACGGGAGGACAAGATTACGGTCGCCAAGGTTATGGAGACAAAGCGTACGCAGACGCCGGAGCTTGTCGTTAAGTTCAAGGTCAAAAAGCACCAACGAGAAGCTGTTAGGAGGATCTTGAAAATGCGGCCAAATCCAACCAGGACTGCTGAACTGTCCGCTCAACAGACAAATACTGTTGTTGAAGAGCCGAGATCTGACAAGCCGGCAGCAAACGCGGCGAAGAAGCGCGATCCTAATGCGAAAGGTGTTGCGCAGAGAGTAGGCCCGCCTCCCGCAGCAGTCAACGGCGCAGCAAAGCAACAGGAAAGCAAGCGAACCTCTAGCGAAGAGCGGTCGCACACACAGAGTGCAGGACCGGTGACCAGCAGAAAGCGACCTGCGCCATCTGCCGACACCACGAAGCCGACAGAGGCAAAGAAGGACACGCCGAGGCAGGCCGAAACCGCAAACGAAGAGCCTCCAGCTAAGCGCAGGAAGGCGCCTGCCGACCTTGAGACGACCAAGAACCCAAGCACGCCTATTCAGCCTGACCTACCGTCGCCCGCTATGTTGTCTAGCGCACATAAGTCCCAACAAGCCACGCCCAGCTTCCGCAAAGACCACCTCTCAGCCATCGCCATGACGCGTGAGCATTCCGTCCACAGCAACGCAGATACGCCATCAGCGAAGTCGAACACACCCCTCGCGGATGGCCACGCCTCGCAACCCAACGGTACTAATACCGCTAGGCCGCCGTCCAGCCAGCCGAGCAATAAGACGCCGTTGCAGCAAGCTTGGGAGACGGAGCAGAAGCGGCTGGAGACTCTTGGTCGAGACCTGAAGCATGCCGCACAATCTCACCTCAACGCCCTCAAGCTCGTGCACTCAGATCCCGCCGCTCCGTTGAAAGAGCAGAAGCTGGCAGCAGTGAAATCCATTGAGTCACTGCTAGCCTACTTCCTCGCCTTCACCTCCGCGGACGAAGCCGCACTCGCAGCCGACCCCAAGCAGCCTCCGCCGAGTAGGAATTGGCGGACCTTGCACGGCTTTTTCAGTTTCGTCAAGCGGAGTTGCGAAGCCTTCCCACTGCTGAGCGGCTTGGCGAGCCATCTTGGCGTCGTTTACTGCGGGCATATTCTAGACTTGTCGACGCTGTATGCTGCCAATGCCAAGAACCTTGGTCTGGATGCGGTGGCGGAGACGCATCGGACGCTGCTTAGGAGCGTTCGAGAGGGCGAGGAGAAGCTTGATATTGAAGCGTTGCAGTCTGATTTTCCTGTGGCGTGGAGCCGGCGGGCGAAGGGCGCGGTGGCGTCGAATGCCGTGAAAGCCGGCGCTTTCGCTGGTGCGTATAAGCTGCCTCTAGGCCTCCAGAGTTCGCCGGTCGTGGCTACGAGGGCCGGTTACACGATGCTCGAGGAGTGGGTTGGGAAGCAAGGGATGGAGTACAGCTTGCAGCTAAAGCTTTAGTCAGTGAGCAGCTTGTGGGTGGATGATCTAACTTTAGCGAGGCGTTTTGGATGAGACCACGGGATGATACCCATATGGCATGTTGAGTGGCTCGAGTGCATGATCAATTCATTATCATTATACAACATTATCTTCTCGATTTGTACAGGGCATATATGCCACAGCTCTTTCTTGGCCACGGTATCTGTCCATTGTGTCCTTACACTCTATATTTATCTTCTAGTGCGGGCCAAGGCCGTTCTGGACGAAGTAGTTGTTGATCGTACCGTAGGTGAAAGGGTGGCTGTACTCCAAGTTCAGGCCGTGACCGGCATTTGGCACAATCACCGCTGTGCCGTTGACTGCGTTGGGAAGCGTAGTCAGTGCTTGCTGAGGGATGGAGCTGAAACCCGGGGGAGCCACGAGGCAGTTGCCGCCGCAGAAGGGAACGTCTCTGCCGCCGGTGATGATGAGAACGGGCTTCGCGATGTGGTTTACGCTGGCAGTCTCGGCGCCGATGGTGAGGAGCTCGCCAACCGTCACTGGCTGTCCCAAGGAGGTGGATGCCAGCGTAAGAAGGTTCGGGTCAAACATGCCGGGCGCGAAGAAGTTGGTTTGCGCGCCAGTTGGGTCGCCTGACGCGAAGTAGCCGTCCACGTAACCGGACAGTGCGGGCATGGTGTTTGCTTGGACGAAGTTGCCGCCTAGCGCAAAGTAGGGGACGAAAGTGCCGGTCTGCGAGAAGCCGGTGAGGGCAATCCCGTCGGAAATGTTCGGGTACATGGCCGTCAGCGCGTAAGTGTGGTCTGAACCGAAACTGTGGCCGACGTGAACGATCTTGTTGAACCTCCTGCCGCCAGTGCACTCAATCTAAAGCGACTGTTAGCGTCCTTCACGCGTACAGAGCGATTGAGTGGTGGACTTACAGAGCCGTTGCGGAGCATCTGGGTGAGGGCGCGAAGAGCATCAACTTCCAGAAGTGCTTGGATCTCGTTGACTGGCTCACCGTGCTGGGACATGCCAACGCCAAGGCGGTCCCAGCTGAACGTGCTATAGCCATATGTGTCCACAGCTTCCGCGACGTAGGAGTAGTTGAAGTTATTGTAGCTGACGTCCCAGTAGGTGCGGTCGAAGCCAATGCCGTGCGTAAGCACTTGAACAGTGTTGGCAGATCCATTGTCGGGACGGCAGTAGGTAGCTTCGATGTTGTAGGTGCCGGAGACGGTTCGATAACCGGTTAAGGTGGCGGCGGAGTAGTTGCCGCCTTGCTGGGTCAGGTTAAGGAAGAAGTTGGTAACGTCGATGTTGGTGACTGGCGTCGTCTGGTTGAACACGCCATTACGGGCAGAGAGCTGGACAGGGACAGTGAAGTTGGCGCATTGCCTTGCTTCTGCGAGGCTGGCGATGGCCGCAACAGCGACGGCAGTTGAGAACTTCATCTTGAGTAGTATTCTAGGACAGGAAAAGATGGAATGGAGAAAGGTACCTACGGAATCGGCTGGCTAGGGGAGCGTGGCACCTAATATGCAATGCGGCCATGCGGCGTTTCGCCAGGTGACGTGAGGCCGATGCAGGAACAGTCGCGGTTAGAAACTCTGTGCCTCAATTGATTTGAGAATGTCACCAAAGGTGATCGGACTGAAGTTGGAAGTGATGAGCCAAGAGCGGTTCGTGTGCTCCAGAGCGGCGGCACGGTTCGCAGGTCACATCTTGGGAGCCAATGGCAAGCGGAAGACTTCAGCACGGTAAGTCGATCGTTCGAAGGCTAGAGAAGCCGCATTATCGAGCCTTTCCAACAACGGTATGAGGTGGAATGCTAAAGTCAGGCTGCGGATGAACTTGATATAGACGTCATGCTCTTCGATCTGCCGGTAGCCCGGTAGGAACCGAGACGCGTGGGATGCGGCTGCCGGAACAGCTGCACCTGCCGGCCGGTATCGAATGATGCATCGTGGAAGACCTGCAAGCGAGCCGGTAACTGCTTGCCGTGCAGCAGCAGTCGACGTGGGATGATAAGGGCATTCTGGTGGCTGCAGGCAAGCCAATAAGTGCCATTGGTAGAGTGGTAGACATACCAGTGGTTCCCGGAGCCTTCCGCAAGCGGCATTGTGCCGCGGAGCTGCAGGATCTGAAGTTTTTTATCTCCATCTGCATCTCATCACAGGCTTGAGCTTAATTTTGAGTCAAAATCAACATTCTGGGAAGTGAGCGTCAAGTAACCCCTACAGCATTGTGAACATGGCATCGGCGAAGAACAGCTCCGCCGTTGACGGAAGCGTGGCGGACATTGCGCCCAACAACCCTCTCCAGTCCGACTTCAACGTTACCGACGACAGCAGCATCGACTCCGACGAGCGTTATCTGGTACGGAGCATGAAGTGGTCGAGATGAGAAGCATGTAGTATTTCCAAAAGCGCACTGAGTGAGTTGAGCTTGCATCAAGTGAAGTTGAGTCATGGTACGCCGGTATCTGCGCCTGATCCACCTGCTCATCAACCCTCGCTCTGCGCGCTGGGAGTGAGCATGGGGAGGCGTAGATTGAGATTACACGGCATGAACTTGGGCATTCACATGCGCGAAAGGAGATGCTATGACCATCCATCGATGCCCCCCCCTCCCTGTATCGCGTGAGTTGCTAACGTCCAGAAGCGTGCGCTTGGGTATAAGCAGGTACGGGTCCTCACCTAATGCGCTCCTCTAGTTCGACGCTAACACCATCAGTCTCTTCACCGGCAATGGCAGTTCTTTGAGAGCTTCGCCGCAAGCTTCGGTGTGTGCACTCACTGTGTGACGGTAATACTCCAGCTAACAGCAGCAGCCGCGCTCTACTCTGTTGGTGGCATTCGCACGACCTTCACGATTGGTGTTGGCGCTGGTGGACCCGCAGCTTATTGGTTCGAACTTCGACTGTCCACGATCTTGACCACGCCCATACTGATCCAATCTAGGTCAAGCTACGTCGTGACTTGCATCTTCGTCTTCATTACGGCTGCTGTGCTCGCCGAGATCTGCTCCGCATTGCCAGCTGCGGGTTCGATCTATTTCTGGGCAGCTGAATCTGGAGGACGGCGCTATGGTCGACTGTTCGGCTTCATTGTCGCTTGGTGGAGCACCACCGCGTGGACGACTTTCGTCGCCAGCAACTGCCAGGCGGCCGCCAACTTCCTGCTCTCCGAGATCACAGTCTTTGGCTTACCCTTCTCGACCGATACTAGCGACATCCATTTCCGCGCCGTGCAATGGATCGTTGCGGAGTGTTTCCTTTTCCTCGCGGTCGGCATGAACTATCTCAACCCGAAGACCTACCGTACGATCTTCCGCATAGCCGTCGGTATCATTCTCCTCGACTTCTTCTTGAACATCATCTGGCTGCCGATCGCCGTCTCGAAGACATATGGCTTTCACGATGCCCGTTACGTGTTCACGCAGACCTTCAACGAAACGGGAGCGCCACCTGTCTGGAACTGGATGCTTAGCTATTACGTGACGGCTGGCATCTTGGTCGGCTTCGAAGCTTCCGGACATATATCTGAAGAAACGAAGAACGCCAGCGTTGTGGCAGCTCGTGGTATCTTCACTTCGGCTGTTGCTTCGGCGATTATCGGCTTTCCGCTGGTCATACTCTTCTTGTTCTGCTTGCCGGATCTCGACACCCTCTACAGCCTTGGCGCCCCTCAGCCATTCGTCGAAATCTACGCTATGACCATGGGACGAGGCGGTCATGTCTTCATGAACGTCGTCTGCATCTTCGGCTTAATATTCAACACCACCGTTGCTGGTGTCGCGAGCTCTCGACTTATCTGGGCTGTTGCCAGAGACGGTGTACTTCCATTCTCAGGCTGGATCTCGCAAGTGTCTGATAAAAAGGAGCCAAGGAACGCCATCATTGTGATGCATGCCGTGGCGGCGCTGCTACTGTGCACTATCTTACCCTCGCCGGTAGCCTTCACGTCTCTAGTGTCTGCCGCTGGCGTGCCCACCATCACCGCATATGCGCTCATTGCATTCGGCCGAGTCTTCCTTACGCCAAGGCAGTTCCAGCATTCTCCGTGGAGTCTGGGCAAGTGGTCGCGTCCGCTCACTATCATCGCGTTAGTGTGGAATCTGTATCTTGCAGGCGTGCTCTTCTCGCCCCTGGCCTTCCCGTGAGTATTGATGAGTCGCGGCACGATAGGGCTTCGCTAACACCTTTGCAGGGTTACGGGTGAGACTTTCAACTACAGCCCTGTTATCTTCGGTGCCATTACCATCTTTGGCATTGTCACTTACCTCGTGACGCCGGAGGAGCAATGGCTGCCTGCTGCACGCCTCGGCAAAGTACATCGGCTTGAGGAAGAGCGCGCGGAGTAAGCGTTACGAAGAATGTGAAGTGGACTGCCGATGTTGTGGCTCGAGTACATTAAAGCAACAAGCGGGAATGTGACATGTTCTCACTGCCCCAGTGGACAGCGATCGATACATACACCAGACCTAATGGTCTCGGCGTTTTTTGATTATGCTTTTATGAGCACTTTGCACTCCTGTACATCATTCACTTTCGTTAATCGCTTTGGGAAGCCCTGCATCATGTCTAGCCTCCGGCTCCCTTCCGTTCATACTCTACTTTTCGTACCACATCTATACACCGTACCTCGGCGAGCTCTCGTTGTACTGACGGTATTGTGTGATACCCTGGTAATCCTTGCCAAGGTTGCCTTGACCGCCGTAATGGCCACCCTGACCATTGGAACCTGCTACCGATCCCGACGAGACAGCGTTCGGGCGCGAAAGACCAAGGCAAGTCGCCATCTTGTAGAACACGTCGATAGAGTTGTAGCTGCCGCCAAAGATCTCTTGGCAGGGACCAAGAGCGTAGACCGGAACGTCTGTGAGGGAGTGGACACCCTGGTCGGCGTTGGTAGGGAGAGTGCCGTTCACGACGAAGCCAGTCGGGCTGTCGGTCGGGTTGACGTAGTAGTCGGTTGCCGGGAACCCAGTAATGTTGGTAGCCGGCAGGCGAGGACCATTCTTGTGGACTTGGTAATCCTCGCGATGGTCCGGGTTGGCAGAGAAGCCCTGAGCGAGCGTGTAGCGCGGGTCCCAGTTGCTTGGGAAGTTGCTTGAACCGTATGAAAGGCTGCCGGTGTTGATGTACTGAGACTGGCCTGAGTTGGCATATGTCCCAATAGCATTGCGCTTGGCGCGATCAGTGCGCTGGGCATTCATGTATTGAGAATCAGAGCTGCCGAACACATCGAAGCCGTGACCGTGGTCGGCGGTGACAAGGACCAATGTATCGTTGAGAACGCCAAGCTGGCTCAGGTGGTTGATAGAAGCCTTCAGCGTGTCATCGAGCTCGAGAAGCTCGCCAAGCGCGCGGTCGTAGTCGAGTGTGTGCATCTGCTTGTCGATGGAGGCTGCCTCGGACATGATGAACCAACCATTGTTGCCGCTGCTGTTCGCACGGGTCTGGAGGACATCAATAGCCTTCAGAGTCATCTCCTTGAGTCCAGGCTGATCAGTGGCGTTACCGCCACGGCAGTCAGGACTATTCTTCTGCCCGCCGTAGTTGGCGGTGTAGACGTTGCGGTCCAGCCACTTCGCCATGTTCGAGACGGAGAAGATACCAAGGATCCGGCTGCTGTTCGATGCACGCTGCAGTGAAGTGTTGTTCTGGACGACGGTGTAACCGGACCGGTTGAACACATTGTAGTAGTCCTGGCCTTGATAGGTGACACCGCCGAGGCTAGGCGCGCAGAACTGCTCAGCGCCGCCACCGAAGATGACATCTGGACCGTTCCATGCGGTCCATGTGTAGTTCACGATACCGTGGATGAAAGAGTCAATGACTGCGCCGTACTGGCCACGGTCACGCGTATGGGCTGTGAGGGCGGCAGGTGTGGCATCAGCAATGAAGGCAGTGCTAACAATGCCGACATGGCCTTGGTATAGGCGGTAGAACATCTCAGCGATCGTTTCGACTTTGGGATCGTCAAAGACATCAGGAGAGGAGTCTACGTAGACGTTCAATGCATTGACTGTGCTCTTGTGGCCAGTGTACAAAGCCGTGGCAGAGTTGGCGGAGTCGGTGATGAAAGAGTCGAGAGAGTGCGTCATTTGGTGTCCAATAACCGGCATCTGGTCCATGCCTGAAAGACATTCTATCAGTGTGCGTACATCAATGAAGCAAGAAGAAGCCCCTACTCACCCATTAAACTTTGGTACCTTCCATTGATCTGCTTGTGAGCGATCAGACGAGCAGCCGTGATCATGTTGGTGGTCATGCCATCTCCAATCTATCCCATCACAAGGTGCGGTCAGCGATGCAGTTGCGATCGTCATAGGGTGCCACTACTCACAAAGAGCAGGATGTTCTTTGTCCGGCGGACGGCGGCAATGTCACGAACAGTCCAGTACGCCGTAGTCTGCGTGCCGTTGTAGTAACGCAGAGTGGCAGCATAGACACCCGGCTCAAAAAGCGCAACGCGACGGTAGGCCTTCGCGGCCACGTTCACTGGTGTCACAGCACGTGCATCCCGAGCGAACAGATCGGTGTAGTAGGTGAAGTTCCAGGTCTCCAATCGCGGCTCTTGCACGCCGAAGAACTGCGCAGCGGGCACCGGGGTCTCGCCGACCTTGCTGACGAAGAAGGTGAAGTTCTGGTCTGGGCGGCCGCCATTGAAGGCCTCGGAGCCATTGACTGGTGCGTGAACCTCGAGCCGGATGTCGAACAACTGACCTGCGAGGAAGTCCTGCTGGTCAGGTGGGAAAACGCAGCCTAGTGTCGGGCAACCACCAAGACGCTGGAAGGTCTGCGCATATGCAAAGCTGGCGAGCCCAGCGGCTGCCGCAAGGGCCGTGAGACGGAAAGAGACCATTGCGAAAGCCGTACTGTACCTCGATATGCAGGGAGGGGAGCAACCTTGATGGAAAGAGGAACCTACAATAGCTATATAGCTACCGACCTCATCGCATCACTCTGCCATCTTCTTTTTCATCCACTTAGCTGCAGGAACCGCGCACCAGTTCACTGGGCGGTCCAACGCTTGTGCGGCAATACTGCATGCTTCGACCGAAGAAGGCTTGTGTCCTGCCAGACTGGGTTATGTCGAAACCTGTCATAGACCACGAGGTTGCGATTTCGGTACGCCGTCGACGTCAACTTCGCCGAGACAAGCAATGTTGGATCGCTTTACCAAGACCGGCGAGCTTGGCCATGCACAACGTGCGCGAGCGTGCTCCATTGTGTTTGGTGCGAGTCGCACAATTCGATCGCTGGAGAGTTCGCCAAGTTGCGCCGCAAAGTCTGCTCGCTAAGGGCCAAGAGACCAAGACTGTTGCCGGTGTAGGCCAAGGAGCGCGAACAAGCAGGCTATAAAGGAATGGCCGTGCTTGTAGCAATGCTTTTGCGTGGGAAGCCACGTGCAGTGAGGATGGAATTCAACTCGCTCACTGAACGTGTGAGGTTGCATTGGCTGGTGTAAGCGTGCTGACAGTGGCGTGGCGTGCTCAGCGCAACGCAGGCGTCGAGAATGTGACCCAACGACTTCCTCGGCCACAATATCCCCCATACAATGCACTACGTCCGCACGTCGCGCGAACTACAACATGATATCGTCCAGGCAACGTTTTGCAGCTCCGGCGAGGGTTGTTGCATACACGTTCAAACCACGACGCATCGTTCAAAGTTCGTCATCATCAGTCTCTTCGTCCTCGTACCCGTCGCCTGTAGCAGGCTTCGCTGGTGAAGGTTGCGGCTCGGTGCTTGCAGCCTGGTTCGCTTCTTTGCGCTTCGCAAAGGGCAGCTCTCGTCTCGGCGGAGGGACACCGTCACGATCAACATCCATTGCTTCAGTCTGCTTCGGACCTCGTTTGGATGCTTGAGTTGCGGCCGGCATGCTCGATTGGGGCGCGTCGAAACCGTCATCTTCATCTTCATCACGATCACTGTCAGCCTCGTCCGGAGGGTCCTGATCAGACGCCTGAGGCGTCTCCTCCTCCAGCGTCAGCTCGTCGTCGTCGTCTTCCGTAGCCTCGTCGTCATCATCCTTCATAGCCTGCTGTTCCGCCGCCGACACTTCGTTCGCTTTTCGCTTGCCTTTTCGCGAAGCACCGGCAGAGCGTCCGTTTGCAGCTGGTGTACCATCGATGTCTCCGGCCGCCTTGATGTCGGACTTGCCACCCTTGGCAAGCAATCTCTGCTGCTGGCGAATCTTGAGCTTCTTCTCATTGATCAATACAGCGAACTTCTTAAGAAGCTCCTCTTCGTGCGCTTTCTTCGCCTGCACAAGGTCATCCAGTTGGCGATTCAACTTCGCCACCTGCTCTTGGTGGGAGGCTGCCGATGTTTGCAACGCAGTCATCTGCTCGCGGAGGCTGTCTGCTATCGTCACAGCAGTGCAGGCCCAGTCGAAAAGGCTCGCTTCTTCTTCCTCGTTCTGCTGCAATCTGATCGAGCCAAGACGCTGCGTGATCCCGCTGATGTTCTTCCGGATCGTAATTGTCAGTTTGTCGCCGCTGATAGCAGCCACAGACTCCACTCCTTGCAAATCAGTTCGTTGTCCATCCGAAAAGTCATGGAGCAGTGCACATTTCAGGATAGTCTTCCACTCTTCGAGGCTGCCGCTATAGTTGCTCGCTTGTAACGACTTGACGTTGGTCTCTCTGATATTCGTGGGGTAGACGTGCTCGCCTTCTGAAGCGACGAGCTTTAAATCCAATGATTTTGACCCTGCTTGAGAGACGCTTACCAAGAGGTACTGTCCTTCGGCATCGGTACGCCGGAGACGTAGAACCTGCTCGCGGGGGGTCATCACCTTCCTTGAACGGGCGACAACCACGCCCTCTGCTTCCGACGCTGAGGAGTTCTCTCAATATTATCAGTATGGTTAAGCTACAGTCCTGCTACAGGATTGCTTCAAGGCAGCCGCCACCCTGAACCGTGACAGTCTCGATCTTGTAATCTATCGATCATAGCGGCTTCACGGACGACAAATTTCCGCTTGAGAACTACGTCCAACACCCTTGTGTTCCAATGTGCAACCACCGTTTTGCTGTCAGCAACGTGCTCGCCGTTGCGCGTGTGAGACCCATGCAAGTTGCTCAGATCGGCTAGCGGGCCTCGCGGGAAACGGCGGCCGGCGCGTCTTCAGCACGCACGGGGCACCCAACCTCTCCAGACCTTCCCGCTCACCGCAGTGACACTTGCACCCGCACCTGCATGCACCACCGCGCACATTTGAACTCTCCGCTCCACGCGCAGTATACTGCCGTGGGGTGAGATTGTGGAGAGCTTCCGACGAAGGCAAGGAGAACTACGTACGTCACCGCAATGATGGCGGTTGACATGGAGAGCGAGAACTGGGATGAGGACTTTCAAGGCGACTTCGCAACCTTCGCCGGGACAAGCATAGGCACGGCGCACACGCAAACGAGCATATCTTCACGCCTGAGCGTACACTCGGAGTCTCTGGCGGGCGACGATGACTGGAATGTGGTGCTGGAGCCTAGCGACGAGCAATCTACGCACAAGGCGATTCAGTCCGCTCAGCAAGCCGGCATTCCCTTGCCGAGCAATGTCCCGTCGAGCGCATTGCTGGGCGGCACTATCAAAAGGCTTGGGAAGAAGAAGTCGCGACCGAAGATGGGAGATGACTGGGCGGGTGATCTGGAAATGCCTGATAGCGCTCCAGGCGGGCTGCAGTTGAAGCAGCCGCAGACGTTGGTGCCCGACGCCGATGACGAGAACTTCGACGACTTTGATGAGTTAGAAGGCAGCTTGGGTATTCGATTTGCGGGCACGAACCGCGATACGAGGAACCGCAGCTCTTCTGCTTCGGGCCCAATGAGTCCTAGCCTTGGCTCTGCGACCGCAGAAAGCGACATGGACGATTTCGGCGGTCTGGAGCTACCGGAGGGTCCGATGGACTTCAGCGCAATCATACTGAAGAAGCGACACGCTGCAGAAGCCGAGTTGTCTGATCTATCCCAGCCGTCTCCGGCTATTGAGCACCCTTCGACAATGAACGTGCATAAGAAGTCGAAGCTATTGTCTGACGACAATGACGACTATCTGAATGACTTCGACCTTGGCGGAGGGAATATACTCAACAATAGGAAGATGAGACTTAACAAAAACCTCAAAATCAAAGATGCGAAGCCTGCCGTACCGGCTCAGCGACCGGCAACTACGATCAACTTCCACGACAAGCCCACCGACAAGCCTGTGCACATGCGCTCGCATCTGCCGCGCCCTGTGTCCGGGACTAAGCCTGCAACTTCACGGCTGGAGCCCGTCCTCGAAAGCGGTGCGTCTAATGTAACCCGCGAGCGGCGGCAGCCCACAACCACTGGTACTCAGCTCCTCCGCTCGAAGCGCTCCATGCCCGTGCTACGTAACCAGACATCAGCACCAGCAACGCAAAGGCCATCTTTCATCCCAGCCGGAGTGTCAACCCATCAGAATCAGTCCAGCTCTGCTCAGCGAGCGATGCCTTACCACCTGCGGCGAGAGTCCGACCCTAATAGGCAAGGTGCACAATCGCCGCCACCTCGAGCACCCTCACGCCTGTCCAACGCATACGTTCCAGATACGCCATCCAAGTCTGGTGCACGACTGCAGCGGAGAAACGACGCACCGGCAGCGCTTGCAAGAGAGGCTGCCACGAAGCGCAATCTCACGAAGCCTGCGCGCAGGCGCAACTTCGGAGACGGCACTGAGCTTGAGGTTTTCGATGATCTACCTACGTCCACGGCGAAGGAGAGCAAATTCCTTAAGGAGCCTGTGACACGACTAGGTACACTGAAACCCGGCCTTCGACACACGCAAAGCCGCACCGATATCCGGGATCCAGTCAAGCGGCCATTTGGGATACCGGAACGAATGATGACGCCAGCGCCGCCGAGAACGCCAGTGAGTCCGACTAAAGGGTTCTTTGAGGGGCCACAGAAGAACACACCGAGCTATCTGCGCGACACAGCTGCAAGTAGAATTGCGCGCGAGTCGCGACTCGCCAATAATGCACGCCCACGCAGCTCTGGACCGCTTCAACAGATGTCAACCAACTGGCAAGCTCAGATCGCGGCACGGAGTCCGGCTGCGAGTCCAAGCGCGCAAAGGCAGAAAGGCAAGCGACCTCAACCGAGGCTGTATAAGGATACATCGGGTTTTGATATGTCGCACAGTGAGTTGCTGGACACGCCCCGGGTGAGATATGTGAATATGCTGACAAAGCCTGGCTCTAGTCGAGAGGTCCAATATGATTTGGAACCCACAAAAGCTACAATGGGAAGGCAACGAGAACGCGACAGCAGCATTCGAGTTTCCACCGCCTTTGCAGACACCAACGCCTACTGGGCATGTACAGACGTCCTACATGGACCGGGGACCGCACATGGCACCCTCAGCCTCTCCGCCCCGGCCCGCTCTCATCGCACCCATCTCTCATGCTGCCGCCGGCGTTCAAGTGAACGGCGGCATGGTCTTCGACCCACGCCAAATGAAGTGGCTCAAGCTGAAAAAGGACGGCGGGCGCGATCTCACTGGCCCTATCTCACCCTCTGTGACCGACGGGGAGGACGAAGACGACTGTTTCGCGGGCATTGAGGATCTAAAGGATGAGAACATGCCTGCGCTTACGGGTGGCTCGATTCGTGATGGTGGAGGCATGGCGAGTCCGGTTTCGATGGCTGCAGCCGGGGCGGTGGATGTGCATGAGGAGTTCGATTTGGGGCCGCAGTTTATCCGGTTGCAGCGGGAGGAGGAGGCGATTTGGAGGAGGAAGTGCGAGGGTTGGTTTGTTGGTGGGGTGGCGAGGGAGGAGGATGACAGGTGGAGGTGGGTGATCAGGGAGATTGTTCCGCAGTGAAAGCTGCTGCCACTCCGCTCTGGGCTAGTGCAGCCTTGGTACACCGACCTTTCCAACCGGTCATGTCCTGCGCATACAAGCGTTCTAACTCAACCTTGTACAGTCTCATACTGGCCTTGCATTTGCGGCGCTGGTGGGTGTAGCAATCTGTGGCGTGAAGCTTACGGCGCGAAGGAAAGATCCCAAAAGACGCTGTTCAAACTAATATCAAGGTACTGTTTACTCTCAAACCTCGCTGGTAAGCACTGTTGTGTCGCACCATAACTGTGAACCTTTGTTTTCTCCGCATCGGCAGACTCCCCATCCCGCGTTCCATGCAGATGGTCGCTACAAGGCGGGCGGAATGCTCAGCCTTCTCATCCCTTAACCCCACCCACTTCTGAGAAGCTGATCATTCCTTGTTACCTCCCTTCCTGCCGCCCTTAACCTTGACCATCTTCGGCGGATCGGCAAGTGTCTTCTCCAAGCGCGCTTCTTGGTTCAGAACGAGGTCATCGGGCAGCTCCAACAATTTGTCGGCGAGGACCCTGCACCGTGCCAGGTCTTGGGCATCTCCCGCGTGAGAGCCTGACCTCTTCTTCTTCCTGTATTGCGCGAGCAGGACTTCTGTGTCTTCCATCATGTACTCCGCGAGCAGGTGGTCTGCATCTTCCCCAACATCCGGGCTGTCATCTATGGCATCTTCGACATTGGCATGGAGTCGGCGTTGCAGATCCGGTGTCTTGTGTAAGAGCTCCAACTCTGAGGTGTCCTGTGCTCCGCCGCCGAAGGCGTTCGACTCGCTAACCCTTGGGAACGTTGTCGCGCCATGACAGGGGCTTCCCGGCGGCAAGGAACCATCCTCGGGTCCAATCTTGGATCCCACCTTTTCGGCTGGCATGTTCGAGTTCGCAATTTCTGTGTCGACTGATTCTCTATTTGTGCGCATGTCGCTGCCTTTAGCATTCGCTGGGATGTAACGAGCTAGGGTGTTTGGGATGCAGCCGGCTTCGTTTCTAGGGCGCCTTGCTCGATAAAGCGTGATATCGAATCGCACCTTATCGACATCGTCGGCGAACCTGGCTGCAATATCCTCGAGCGACATATCAATTTGGTCCGCCGAGACGATTTCGCCCTGCTCCGCGCTTTTGCGGTTCTTCCGCACGACGACAATGAAGATCTCATTGGTATCCACTCCGTACTGCGCGGTGTTGAATGTATCGCGAATTGACTGCCGCCAGAGACCAATATGGCCAAACTCCATGGGAGGACGGATCTCATGCTCGTCGTCATCGAGATCTGGTGGAGGCGGTTCCTTCCAGCTCCAACGCTCCTTGATGTCGTCATCTCGCACGTTCACCAGGCGGTATGTGCATGGCACATTCGAGTACGCGACCGGATCAGGAACGTATTGTTGGAGCATGGTGTCTTCGAGACTGAGACCGGAAGGCTCGTCGGCCAGCACCTGAGCGGCTGTCTTGCCCCACCACATCGGACGTTTCGCGGTGCTGTAACCTCTGTTCGCGGCGCTGGGGTTGTAGAAGGATTTGAATCTGCTAGCAGTAAATTCCCTCTTCATGCATCGGTACAGGCAGGCAAGACGACTGAGCGATTCCATTTCGGTCTCGTGGCCTCCGCTTCACTCCTTGTGATCCTTGCGCAAGCCTAGTGGAAGCCCCTGCGGACCTTCCCCTTCGAAGGCTTTCGAGATCTCAAGCGGCATCCTCTGTTCCGTCAGGTCACTGAAAGTCTTCCACACCTGCTCCCGCATAGTTGTGGTCAACTCTGCGTCATCGGAACGACAGTCAAGCAGGATGGTTTCGACATCCTCGCCGTCGTACCAGCGCCATAGCGCTGCTCGCCAATGATAGACGACGTGAAGAATGTGAAGGTTTACAATACCGTCTTCGTTGCATCGAGCTTTGGCTTTGTCAGGACGATGACTCTCGAAGTGCGCAATGAAGTCTCCTGTATCCGGATAAGTGTTCATGACCTGCCGATAGACTCTAATGAGAGCTTCGGATAGAGTTCGCTTGGATGCGGCAAGCCCGATGCCCTTGAGTAGATTGTGGAATGCACGTTGATTGGGAAAGCCATGAACGCCCGGAGCCGTGAACTGGACGGCATCTCCATGATAAGGTACCCGGTCGTGGTCTCACGCCCATCCATTCTCCACACCTCCGTGTCACCTTGTAGTTGGATCGGCCACTTCGGATCATCGCCGCTGGTGACCATCGAGCAAGGTCTCCCCTCAGCCATGATAGCCTAGCCACGCTGCCGAGCGCGGGATAGAGACAGTGAACGCGAGTTTCAGTCGGAAGTTCGCTCGACGGTCGAAGGCCTTCGAGGATTATTGGCTGAGAAGGTCGTAGGCTAGAGGTTGATGTTTGAGCGAAGGTCCGCAGAAGAACCCGTTCGCTCAAGGCGAGGCACGGCGGCACCGGCCGCTAGCGCGGCGTTAGGCAACCACGTGAGTGGTTTGTCAGCGACGAAAGAGGCAGGAACGCACGGTCACGTGCATGTCTGTGGTTAACGATCAAGGTGGCGGACGGAGCTTTGCGCCCAGTGATGGCACCTCTTTCAGCGCAAGACATCACAACCAATCACCAAGTCCTCACGCCGCCTTCCCCTTCCCCCTTCCCCTCCCCTGACGCCCAACCCTCCACCTCTCCATTCCAAACGCCACCCCCACAAGACTCAACATGGGCACAACAACAAAAAGATGCACCGGCCCGACCCCAAAACTCTGTGGCGGATCCCAAGCCGTAGCACCCGGATAATAATACGCCGAAGCCTGAGTAACATAGTACGCCGCCCCGACCACACAGGGAGTGGCGAGATGATCGTCGACGGCGTTGGAGGAGGAGACCCAAGTTTTGTAGAGAGTTAGCAGGCCGAGGTAGGCGCCCATGGACATTGTCTGGCCGTTGTGGAAGCGGGCGTGGCCGGGCCAGAGGGGGTTGTAGACGTGCGTGGTGTTAAAGTCGGCTATGTAAGGAGCTATTGCCGTGACGAGGCTGACGAGGGTGAGGAGAAGGCGAGGGGTGTAGAAGGTCATATCCTTTGATGCTGGTGTGGCCATCTTGATCTGGTCGTAAGGGTTGCTGGAATCCACTGGCGCAGCACCGTGATATTCGCGTGATGTTAGGGAAAAGGAAGGATGTCAATTTAGTATGCGGAGAAGTTCGATGAAGATAATCTGCGCAACATAGACATATATACCTGACCTTCCGCAGGGACTACCATCAACAGCATCAAACCCTATTGACTCGAAGCATTCCTGTATTCGTCCGAGCGCTCTCCTCCTCGACGAACAAGCACGAAAGTTTGGCCGTCCGATGTGTCAATGGCCGGAGGTTCGGCTTCTCGAAAGCCGACAACTGACGAAGAAGGCACATCCACGTGCAAACACCGCCCGTGGTAGGGTGTCGAATGTCAGAGCTGCTGGTTCTGCCGAAAGTGGACAGAGAGACGATTTAGGAGTAGAATATACAATATCGGCAAAGCATACAACTATAGCATATATTTCGAGTCCACCTGAACCAAGCTCGAGGCCGTAGCCGAGCAGTAGGTCGATAGTAGTGAACAACCAGCTTGCCGTCTCAGAACAACTGCGAAATCCGTGCAGCAGGGACGCCAATCAGATGCAACCGCCACGGAGACCCCTCCGGTCCGTACTCGAATCGCTGCCGTCCTTCTGTGGCGGTCCGTGTCCTTATACCAAACGCCATCGCCATGCCTCAAAGCAGTGTCAGAGTGCAGCAAACCATGCTCCTATCGATGCCCATCCGTCCCCTGACACCCAAAAATCGCCCACCACACATCACAACTCCAAACCCTCCCCACCCCCAGCAAAATCCCTCAACACAGCAACCACCTCATCGCACCGCGCGACCTGCGTCCGCAACTGCTCCTCCACCTCCCTCCACCGCCTTAACGCCTCCAAATCCCCGCGCGTCAACTTCTCCTCCTCCGCGCCCCTCACATCCCCCCGCTCGGCCTTGTCAATGACCGTGCGAAACTTCTCCCTCTCCGTCTCGAGCCGCTGCAAACACCGCGCCATAGCCTTGTACGTCCACTCCACCACCAACTTCCGCACGCGGTCCTCGTCGCAATACCAGAGGAAGATGGTGTTGGAGGGTTGACGGCGGCCGTCTTTGGGCAGTTCCTGCACGTCGACTATACCCGCGTATTGCAGTTCGGTGAGCAATTCCCGCACATCTTTGATCCGCATCATGGCGAGGGAAGCGATGGATTTCTCTTCCAGTTTCCCGATGGAGCGCAGCATGCGGGTTAGACGGAGGTGGTGTTTGGAGTAGCGGGAGGAGAGGGTGGTGTCGAGTTCGGAGGTTATGAGGGTGGAGGTTAGAGCGGGGAAGTTGATGGACCAGCCGCCGTGGGAGCGGGAGCGTTGGCAGAACTTGTTGGGGTGTTCGGCGAGGAGGGCGAGGTGTTTTTCGATGAGGTCGTGGCGTTTGGTGCGGGTCTGGTGGGCGGTGAGGCCGTTGGGGATGGGTTCGTCGGAATCGGAGTCGGATGGGTAAGAATGCTTGACGCTGAGATCCATGGCTTCGATTTTGGTCTTACCATTCTTTCCGTGAGATTTGCTGGTACCGTTGGGTTGATGCTTGAATTTGTTGCCGGTGTCGATCGCTGCAGCAAGGTTGAGAGCTGGGTCTAAGATCTCGGCAATCTCGGTCACGCTTGCCACGGCCAGAGGAGGTGATTCGGAGTCGGCGTCGTCCTCCGTTTTGCTTTCCACTCGCATACTGCGATCGTTACGCTCCACCGCTTTGAGTAGGGCGTCGTAAACTGCACCAGTCACGCCACCGAGTGCGCGCTTAGCCATATGACAAAGACGGTGACTGCGCAGGGCGACTGTACACCTAGCACAGTCTACGCGTACTATGAGATTGTTCTGCAGCTTCATCAGTGACTGCACTCTGCTGGGGGATCAGCTACACAGTACCGCAAGCTTCGGGGCCGACGGCTCCGTCGCATGGCCATTCGGCAGGTTGCCGTTAACCTTCAAGCGCTTACTCGGACCGCCAGCATGGTTAATGGCACGTTTGATGCTGCCTCGCGACTCGTAATCCTGATGCTCATCGAAGGCATCATCGTCTTGCCACTTGCGCTTGAGCTTGTCGACGGCGGAGGAGAACTCTTTCTGCTTCTTCGGGCCGGTAACCTTACGGTCAGGAAAGCGATCGACGATGACGGCTTCTTCAATCTCCTCTTGAAGGTCGGTGATGGGCATGAAGGCTCGACTACCCACTTTGGCGAGTATGCCATCTTTAATCAGCGCGCCGAGGATCGTGTGGAACTCGTCCGCCTCCGTAACGTGCAGATTAGTCTTCTGGCTGACAGTCTTGGCGTCGCCGTTGTTGAGGCCTTCCGTTCCATGGTTTTCAGTCGTCTCAACTCCACTGTCACGCTTGGAGCCTGGAGTGAGCCCGTAAGCGTCGACGAGGTCCCCAACACGAGCATGACCAAGCTGTAAAATATTCTTGACAATCTGCGCTGCGCCATCACCGTATCTGTCAGCGACAAGCTCTATAATGTTCTGATGCCGCGCGAGGTTGTAAGCATTGCGCCAGTTGATCGAATAGTAGGTGAAAGGTTCGTCTTCGGGGCGGTAATGGAGCAACAGCTGCTCTTCTAAAAGTGTAGCCAAAGCCGAGCGGACACGACGAATGGGAACGTCTGCGTAGTCGGAGATGGCGAAGGTGGTGAGGCGACCGTGTTCGGCGAGGATGGAAAAGATTTGCTCGAGGTTTGTTAGCCATGCAACCCGTGCGACTGTTGGGTAGTCGAGGATGCGCCTACAGCAGAGACTTCGCCTAAGTGGTTTTGCACGAGGATGGTGCACAGTTCGGCCAAGTACTTCAGTCTGTATTAGCGATGTTCTGCCAATTGGCCTAAAGAATTGGCGCACTTTTGCCATATCGTTGTAGAGTGGTGGTGTGGGAGGAGGTGAACTCTAGCGACCTCTCACGTCTGCTAGAGTCTGCAGTCTTGCTATCGCCGACGTTTGCGCATGGGTGCAGCGTCTCGCGGACGGTGCAGGAATCTACGGTGGCTGAGTCAGAACATCTTGGCTCGTCTTCTTATTGACACCGGCTTGTGTACAGCAGCGAGGGAGCAGCGTGTGGGCGGTGGGTGACGGAGGGAAGACAAGACAAGCGAAGCTCACCTCACCTGAGTGTGACACGACCAATTCAGAAAGACTCGAATGCCGCTCGGTGGGCTGCTTCGGGCCTAAGGCATTCAGGCAGTCAGGCAGTCAGGCAGCACAAAAGCCAATGGCCCGAGCTCTCCCCGTAGCAACTTCGGCAGCGGCAGCAGCAGCAGCAAGAAAGGCCTTTGAGCATTGAAGCTCACCGTCACTCTCTTTCTCTCTCTCACACAACCCTCATCACCACCTCTTCGCCATGCGCCCTGCTATACGCAATGCTGCTCGCCGGGCATGGCAGCAGCAGCAGCGCAGAGGACTCGCCGCGCCCGCCTCGGGCTCCTTCCAATACCAGACGGGAGAGGCGCAGGGCATCAAGTTTGCCAGCAGAGACCAGCCCGGCCCCGTCGGCACCCTCGCCCTCGTCGCACAGGCCGGCACGAGATATGAGACGGCGCCCGGTCTGGCCGAGGGTCTGAAGTTCTACGCTTTCAAGGTCAGCATACCCGCAATGGCAGTGCCAAGACAGCGTAGCAGGCAGACTGATGCGTGATGCATAGAACACCGAGAGACGGTCGACGCTGCGGATACAACGCGAGTCAGAACTCCTCGGCTCGCAGCTCTTCTCATACCACTCGCGCGAGAATGTCGTCCTCGGCTCCAGGTTCCTTCGCGACGATCTACCCTACTTCGTCGAGCTGCTCGCGGAGGTGGTCAACATGACCAAGTACCAATGTCCGTCCCGCTGCCCACTACAATCCCATAACATATGACTGAATGGAAGTCTAGCACACGTCGTCCACGAAGAAATCATCCCCCTCATCACCATGGACCAGAAGAAGTACCTCGCCAACACCCTCGACATGGCCACCAACTCCGCCTTCGGCCTCGCCTTCCACCGCGGCCTCGGCCTCCCCGTCCGCCCCGCCTCCTCCATCCCCACGAAACGCTACCTCACCGTCGACGCCCTATCCACCTACGCCAAATCCGCCTACTCCAAGCCCACCTTCGCCGTCGTCGGCAACGGCATCGAGCACTCCGAACTCTCGAAATGGGTCAACGAGTTCTTCGGCGACACCGCCGCCTCCCCCGCCACCAAACTCACGACCCAACAGTCCAAGTACCACGGCGGCGAAGAACGCATCGCCCACGCCTCCACCACCCAATCCCTCGTCATGGCCTTCCCGGGCTCCAGCAGCCCAACCGGCCCCTTCTACAAGCCCGAAGTCTCCGTCCTCGCCGCCCTACTCGGCGGCCAAAGCACCATCAAGTGGTCCCCCGGCTTCTCCCTCCTCTCCAAAGCCACCACCTCAGCACCAAACATGCACATCACCACCCGCTCCCACATCTTCTCCGACGCCGGCCTCCTAACCATCGAACTCAGCGGTCTCGGCTCGGACATCCGCTCCACCGCCCCGCAGGTAGTGGAGACGCTGAAATCCGTCGCCCAGCAGGGGATCAGCAAAGAGGACTTTGCGAAGGCGAAGGCGCTGGCCAAGTTCAAGGAGTTGGATTTCGGGCAGGAGACGGCGGCGGGGATGGAGTTGACGGGCGCCGGGTTGGTGCATGGCGATAAGGCGTACCAGATCGATGAGATTGCCAAGGGGTATGATGGCGTGACCGAGGAGAAGGTCCGGCAGGTGGCGCGGGAGGCCGTGGAGGGGAAAGCGAGTGTGAGTGCGGTGGGAGATTTGCATGTGCTGCCTTTTGCGGAGGAGATTGGTTTGAAGGTGTAGAGTGAGTAGGAAGAGAGTGAGCTGGCGGTAGGGTATAGAGGGGTGCCTGCCCACCCGTTATTGGTGGGAGGGTGGAAAGGCGCTGTTTGATGTGTTTGGTAGGCGTGTGTACTATACTACCAAAAGAACTCACAAACATGTACAGCAGATGCGCTTCGAACTCTCTCGGCCTTTGCTTCAGCCGTCGGGCGAAACTATAGTCAAGCTGGAGCTTCACCCATCAGCTAGCTGGAAGACATTCTTGCAGCTGGTAAGTCTTTTTGGATTGGAGAACGTCCGCTAACTCGGAGCAGTGAGCCGCGTAGGAACTTTTATATGGAGTAATAAGCGATGCAGAGTCGGACAGCCTATTAGCGCGAGAACCTTTTCAATAACAGGGATGTTCTTGGACAGACTTGCGTAGCAAATTCATTATTTCAACTACTCAAACGGGCCTGCAAGTCCTTCCACGCCGCGTCCTCCAGGCTTCCTTGAGCGACGTTCATAGCCACAGCTTGCAGACTCGCCTCACGCTCTTCTAGATCGTCAAGGAAAGCACTGAGCTCCTGCGCCGATTGCTCGTCGGGCACGCCCACTTTCGTCTCTTCGTTCGGCTCCCAAAGAATCTCGGACGTCGCGATCTGAAGACTTAGCGCATTCGCCACCGCTTCGCCGACAGACTTGGTATCCTCCGGCTCCGTCGAAACCACTATCCTGCCTTCCCCATCGTCCTCAACGTCCATAGCACCCGCTTCGAGCGCGGCATCAAGCGCCTCCTCCACGCCAACGCCCTCCTTCGCCTCGAACACTATCCGCCCTTTCTTCCGAAACAAATAACTACACGGCGTCGCACTGCCCCCATTCTCCTTCATGATCAACCGCACATCTGCCAGCGTCCGCAGCTTACTATCCGTCTCACACTCCACAATCACCCCCACATTATTCCGCAGAATCCCCTCGACTGTGACGCTCTCCAGACTGGCACCACTGGTGCTCCGACCCTGTCCCCGCGCGATCGCGGCTTCGATTGAGGTCTTTGCGAAGCCTTCGCGTTTGGCTTTTGTGATCAGATCGGCAAGACGAGCGTTGCTGTTCGGCTCCGGGCCGAAGAGTTTGGAGGCTGTGGCGATTTCTTGGGCGAAGATGGAGCGCGCCCGGTTCTTGGCGGCGTCGGTTTTCAGTTTGTCGTGTTTGATTTTGGACCAGCGGTTGTGGCCGGAGTGAGTTGGGGGGCTGGTGGTGAAGGGACGGCGTTGGTGGAGGCATGATGGGCACGCTTCGATTGTTCGATACGACTGGGATATGTAGTATCTGACGTTGTAGTTGAGATATGATGATCGCTGGAATCCTCTGCTTGGCGCCATTGTAAGAGTCGTGCTTCTAGTTGCAAGGAACAGCTGTATTGCATATATGCACGCGAAAGTTGCAACTACCGAATCGGGACAGCCATGTGGTCCGTGCATCGCATATTGGACCCTTATGTGAGCACGCGTTGCTCGAATGTTGAAGCCTTGACAAAGAACATACGATACACTGTCTAGCCACACATTATACACCTTACTCGACAGTAACTGCAACGAAGGCAGTGCCAACTATATTGGCCACCGAGCGTAAGCTTGAACGCAGCAGGGAGCCACGGACATTGTCAGCCGCTGGGAGAATGAGGGATGAGCACAGCCAGAGATGGATACCGTGCTCCAAGGCCAGAAGACCCATACGCCGACAATGACGACTTGGATCTGGACCAGGACGAGCTTGACCCTAGACCCGTGATATCATCACGCAAAACAAGTGCAAGCCGCATTAGCCTCGACTTTGGCGGACGGATACCGCTGCGCAACCTGCGCTTCGGCGGCAGACGAAGGCCGAAGGATGAAGATGCGGAGGACCGAGAGGCGCTGGTTGGTGGCGATGAGAACGCGCGCAGAAGCAGCGCAGGACAGGATGGGAGGCCGGAAGGTTTCACGAGCGACAGCGGCGTGAGGCGCTTCTCACAGTCACTCTTCGATCTTGGTGAGTCTGGGAAGGGGCGCAAAGGCATATGGCGCTTCCTACCTTTTGCAGGCGGGAAACGTGGTCTCCCTCTGCCATCAGCGGAAGCGGTGGAGGAGCCCGAAGAGGACCATGACCCATCAGCCACCCGCTTGATCTCCGTGGGTCGAAAACAGGCAGCACGCTTTCCGCCGAATGCCGTCAGTAACGCGAAGTATACGCCTTGGTCGTTCTTGCCACGGACGCTATGGAACGAATTCAAGTTCTTCTTCAACATGTACTTCCTGCTCGTCGCACTGTCGCAGATTGTCCCGGCGTTGAGGATAGGCTATTTGAGCACCTACATTGCGCCGCTAGCTTTCGTGATGGGCATCACTCTGGGCAAGGAAGCATACGACGACATCTATCGGCGAAAGAGGGACCGCGAGGCGAACAGTGAAGCCTACAAAGTGCTGCGATTTGAGGATGCTACCGCAGCGGCACCGGAACCTCATGGCAGCAAGAAGAGGAAGATCAAGAGCATATCTGAGCGCAAACGCGGCAAGCGAAGAAGAGTGTCCGATGTCGACGGTAGGCTGTCGGACGGCGAGCGCGAGGAGCTAGCTACGGAGGATTTCTCAGCGCCTTCCTCAAGCGTACGAGAAGTCATTAAGCCGAGCCGTGATCTCAAGGTAGGCGACGTGCTGGTACTTGGCAAGGATCAGCGTGTTCCCGCAGACGTCGTCATACTGAAGAGCTTCTCTACCGAGGCAGCTGCGATGGAAGATGAGGATGCGGGCTCGACTGGCGGCGTTTCGGATGCCTCGACGCTTGTTGACATGGGCGAAAATGCCGCGCAACCCGCCAAGCAGATAGAGCAGGAAGCTGCTAAAGGCGTAACCCTAGACGATCAGACGACTACCGAAGACGCATCAGGCGGCGGCGAAGCGTTTATACGCACGGACCAGCTGGATGGCGAAACGGACTGGAAGCTGCGACTTGCATCGCCGCTTGCTCAGACACTGCCGGCTAGCGAATATATTCGGTTGAAAGTGACTGCTGGCAAGCCCGATAAAAAGGTCAATGAGTTTGTTGGGACCGTCGAACTCCTGCCGAAGTCGACTAGGCAGCCTTACGATCCACCGGTTAGCAAAGATGTCAGCGGTGAACAACCGCTTGATGCCGCTACGCGACAAAATTCAAGCCCGTTGAGTATAGATAACACGGCCTGGGCGAACACAGTGCTTGCTTCGTCAACCACTGTGCATGCTATGGTAGTCTACACAGGCCCGCAGACACGCGCCGCATTATCAACGTCACCTTCGAGAAGTAAGACCGGTCTTCTGGAATACGAAATCAACAGCTTAACGAAGATTCTATGCTTCTTGACCGCTGCGCTGTCGGCATTACTCGTACTGCTCGAGCGGGTAGAGGGGCTCGATGCCAATCAGCGGAAGTGGTATGTCGCCTTCATGCGCTTTCTAATCCTTTTCAGCACAATCGTGCCCATCAGTCTCCGGGTCAATCTGGATATGGGCAAGTCAGTCTATGCGTGGTTCATTCACCGTGACGCAGGTATACCGGGCACGGTAGTGCGGACAAGCACTATTCCGGAAGATCTGGGCAGGATTGAGTATCTGTTGAGCGACAAGACTGGCACACTGACCAGGAACGAGATGGAGCTGCGGAAGGTTCATGTCGGTACCGTGAGCTATGGCGGTGATGCTATGGAGGAGGTGGCAAGCTACGTTAGGCAAGCATTCGCATTGTCGGAAGGCGCACCCAATAATACTCTCTGGACGCCTTCAGTCGGCTTCGGTGGATTGGACTCGACAACGCGTACACGAAGAGAGATCGGTACGAGAGTCAGAGACCTGGTGCTTGCGCTGGCGCTGTGCCACAATGTCACCCCTACCACCGAAGACGGTGAGAATGGACAAGCGATAACCTCATATCAAGCCAGCAGCCCTGACGAGATTGCCATCGTGCAGTGGACCGAGGCCGTGGGTCTGCGGCTGGCGCATAGAGACCGCAAAAGCATCAGCTTGAGATTGACGCACGACGGCCGCATTGTCGTGCGAGTGGCGATACTCAATGTCTTTCCTTTCACTAGCGACAGTAAGCGCATGGGCATCATTGTGCGCTTCTTTCGCGATGCCGACGGGAAAAGTACGGATGGTGAGACTGTCTTCTACCAGAAGGGCGCAGACACAGTCATGTCATCGATCGTTGCGGCGAACGATTGGCTAGATGAAGAGACTGGCAATATGGCGCGCGAAGGCCTGCGGACGCTAGTTGTCGGTCGCAAGAACTTGAGCCGCGAGCAATATACGACGTTCAGCAAAGCCTATGCTGAAGCAAGTCTGAGCCTCAGTAACCGCGATGCTGCGTTGGCACAAGTTGTGAAGCAGCATCTCGAGAGCAAGCTTGACCTTCTAGGCGTGACCGGCGTCGAAGACAAGCTGCAACCTGGCGTCAAACCATCACTCGAGCTTCTACGAAACGCGGGCATCAAGATATGGATGCTAACGGGTGACAAAGTCGAGACGGCACGTTGTGTAGCTGTATCCTCCAAGCTTGTAAGCAGAGGCCAGTATATCCACACCATTGCCGGCCTAAAGAAGAAAGGAGCGGCACTCGATGCGCTGGGTATGCTGCATAGCCAGCAGAACGCTGCCCTGCTTATCGACGGACAGAGTCTGGCCATCTATTTGAAGCACCATCGCGAAGCTTTCATACAAGTCGCCGTCCGCCTGCCGGCCGTGATCGCGTGTCGCTGCAGTCCTACGCAGAAAGCGGAGGTTGCGCTCTTGATTCGCGCCTTTACCGGCAAGCGCATCGCCTGCATTGGCGACGGCGGCAACGACGTGTCCATGATCCAAGCCGCTGATGTCGGAGTCGGCATCGTGGGCAAAGAGGGCAAGCAGGCCTCGCTCGCAGCAGACTTCAGCATTACGCAGTTCGCGCATCTGACGAAGCTGCTGGTATGGCACGGCCGGAATAGCTACAGGCGTTCCGCCAAGTTAGCGCAGTTTGTGATGCACCGCGGTCTGATCATCAGCGTCTGCCAGACCGTCTTCAGTATTGCAAGTCGTTTCGAGCCGATCGCTCTGTACCGTGACTGGCTGCTGGTGGGCTACGCGACGGTGTACACCATGGCTCCGGTCTTCTCGCTTGTGCTCGACCGCGATGTGGACGAAGGCCTGGCCAATCTGTATCCCGAGCTATATAAGGAGCTTACCACTGGTCGGAGCTTAAGCTACCGCACCTTCTTCGTGTGGGTCGCTATCAGCATCTACCAAGGTCTTGTCATCCAAGGCGGCTCAGAGGTGCTGGTGCCAGACTACTTGGATGCGTCTTCGCCCAACATGCCGCCGTCGACAGATACCGTAGGCTTCAAGCGCATGGTGGCAGTCTCTTACACGGCCCTGATCGTCAACGAGATCTTGATGGTCGCGATTGAGATCACAACGTGGCACCCGATAATGATCTTCAGCATAGCGGGAACAGCGGCTTTCTACTTTGGCAGTCTGCCCTTCTTGGGCGAGTATTACGACCTAGGATACTTGCTGCGTATGAGCTTTTGGTGGCGATTCGTGGCGGTTACGGCTGCGAGTCTAATACCAGTGTATGCGGGCAAGATTATACGAAGGACTGTGAAACCGCCCAGTTACCGCAAGATACGAGGTGTGTAGGAGTATTATATTGTACAATATTGTTACGTCACCTCAATTCAAGGGTGTTATCAAGCTACATCCCAATCCAGTAAACCCTTCGAGGGCTGTGCCTTTCGCTTGTGTGAAGCCTTTATCTGGAGTACATTCATCCATCATTGCTCGTGGTATCTATAATACATGTACTCATGATAATACCCACAGCTTAGGTTGCGCCAGTCGCGTTCAAATTGGCGTTCGGGTAAGCGGCCGCGGTAAAATTGGTAGCGGTCAGGTTGGTATCTCCGGGCACAATATATCGCTTCGTTTTGGGTAAGGTATCGATGAAGCTCTGTGGGAGGTTCAAGGTTTCCCTCACGACTTGCGAAGGCGTTAATCCAAGCCATTGTGCGGCACTAATAGAAGTCAGAGGTTAGCCAAAGTTATGCAACACACAGATGGAGACCAATCAAGTACCTGATGTCAATGTAGCGCGGCGCTTGCAAAACTTCCATGTACACTAGCGGCTCTGAGCCAGTGTTCTCGACGTAGTGTGAGGACGACACCGGAATGTAGCCGACATCGCCTTCCTGGTAATCGAACGTGCGAGAATTGGTAGGGCCCGTGAAAACCGTAACGCGGCCTTGGCCGGCAAGAAAGAAGTTCCATTCGTCGGACGTCAAATGCCAGTGGATCTCGCGCATCGCTCCAGGGTCGATGGTGAACAGGGCTACACTGAAGTTGTTTGCAATTGGGAAAGTAGTTGGGTCGACAATCTTAACCGAGCCGCCGGGGACAGTGTAGGGCGCTTGGGCGGACCAGTGGTAGCTGTACGATTGATTGCTTGGGAGCTCGCCAGCGGGACCGTTTACGCTAGCACGGGCTTCCTCCAGCGTGCCCTCCATAGGCGAGCCGTTAAAGATGTACTTCTGGTCGGAAGGCAGGTTTGCGAAGGTTGAAACGTCGGTCTGGAAGTTTTTCGCAAGGACTTCCGTAGGATTGCGGAGAAAGAGCTCAGTAACCAAATTCGTGTCGTCTTCGGAGAACTCGCCCTGGTTGAAGACCAAGAGGAACTCGACACCTTCTTCCGTTGCCTGGATGCTGTGCGGTACACCTGCTGGGAAGAACCTGTGTAATGTCAGACACCACGAAAAAACATCAGCTGCGTTGACGGAGCTACTAACCAAAGATCACCAGCTTGTAGGTCGTCAACGAACGTTTCGCCGTTCTGGTTCACTGCAGAGATGCGCACGGACCCGGTGAAAATGTACGACCACTCGTTAGCAGAATGCCAATGGAGCTCACGATAGGCATTTGGAGCAAGCCGCATGTCTACACCGGCCATAGCGGTGGCAATAGGAAGCTCGTTGACGTTCTGCTGCCGTGCCCACCCTGGGTTACCGCCTCCAGTACCGGATCTCGTAGATGAGAGACCCATAGGCCACTTCGCATTCGGAACATCGCCGGAATCAGTACCAGGTCTGGCCAGCGCATCTGGGTTTTGCTGCTGGATTGCTTCGTTCCGCGGTCCGGGATCGGTTGCGCCATTTTGTCCTCGTATTGGTTGGGGATTGGGATTGCTTGAGAAGTCAAGATACGGGCCTTCATCGGCGTCGGCCGTCTGTCCTGGTGCTAGCGTATAATCACCGACGTAGTTGCTCGCCGCTCCAGTGGCATACGGCACGCCGGGCCCTAATACGGTCGCAGAAGCCGAGTCACCTGCGTTGCCGAGCAGGCTTTCATCACCATAGACGTCGCCAGAGGAGCCAACCGGGCCCACTGCCGCGTAGGGGATGTTGCTGTTATCGATCTCCGGGCCATTAGGCGAACCCACAATTTGGCCTTGCCGTTTCTGGATCCTGGAGGCTGGCCTTCCTAGTGCGGAGAGGGATAGCTGGGACGCTACGACAGCGACAGTAAGAAAGCGCATTGCGGCTGGACGTGAGCAACAAGGAGAAGATGTGTTCGCGACATAGGAGATGGAAGCATTTCGTAGACTTAGTACTCGCCTTCGGCACGTCTACCGAAGTATGACGACCGATCGCCCAAGCGAGCAGCGACTATACCGACAGGCAATGTACGTCAATGCATGCGCGGCTGTTCGTCCGGCTCATATCGCAACGAGTGTAGCGAGGTGTGAAGTCACTGATGGCAAGAGATCGATGACGAAAATCTTGCGGATTTAACGGCCTGGTCGACTGGGTTCTCCGCACATTCTGACCGAGATGCAGAGCGTGTCTTGTGCGCGCGAGCTGCACAGCTTCCGGAGTCAGTTCCGGGCGAGTGTCACGCTCGGATGAGCTCTCGGTTTGTTCGAAGACTGCATCTAGGACGGGATGTTCCTGTATTGTGGGGCTAACGCTGTCACAGCTGTCAGAAGCGGGAGTATCGGCTGGAGCGGACAACCCTGTTACGCAGACCTGACTGGTGATGTCTGCAAACAGCAATGCCGTGGAGGAGCCGCAGGTGAGTCGGCAGATGTGCCGGGACAGGTCCATGCATCGGAGCTATGTTTGTTTGTGGGGTTAGTACTGACGCGCAGCCCTTCGCTATGTGGCGGTGTAGCTGAGCGTTACTTATTCTTGGGTCAGACATCGAGCCATCGGCTCCTACCGGCTGCGGGCCGCTGACACCTTCGCAGACCTCACTTGCCTTCGCTCCATCACCATGCTCTGTACGACTCCCAGTAAGCTCTTTACCTGCGTGGTATCACAGTCATGAAATACTCTGACACCACTTGCTCGCTGCATTCAAGGTCGGAGCACCCACAAATGTCGGTAGAAAGTCATCTCGACGCAAGTCATCCCTAGCACACAAGAGGTGCCTAATGTGTTTACAACAGCATCTGCCATGCATCGTGTAGGGAGCTAGAGCGGCGACGGACGCGTTGTTGACCATTCGAACGATCGGTAGCTGCATTGTTCGGCGCCGCACACATCGCCGTAGTGGCGACGTCTCTGCTGACATCCTTCCCTTGTTCCCTTCATCAATCTTCCCACCAGCTTCGCTTTTCAGTTTCGATTTGGACTACTACGCGCTTAGTTGTATAGCGCTGTCTCGACTGACGTTTTGGGGGCCATAGAACAGGAAGGCTCTGCAGTGCGTATGGAGTCTAAAGCACCACGTGGTAAGGGAACCTCGTTGCAGCCAAATGAAGTCGAGCAGCTCCCTGGAGCAGCAACGTCTTCTCTGCGCCTTGCTGTGATGAGGATTGATCGTTACAGCATGCGCTAAAACATGGCTGACATGCTGCTGACTTGGCAGAAGGCAAATCATGCTCAACCCCTGCGTTTGATTGCGGTTTGGGCGGCAAATGCGAGCCCGTAAGCCGTACACTTTGGTGGTATAGCTCCATCAACCACGGCAATCCAGAGAGCGAGCCTTAGCGCACTGACAGCCATCACGAGTGGGCAGTACACCTGCAGTAGCGCATCCTGCATGCAGCAATAGGGCTGGCGCCACACAGCCACATGCACGCTAAAAGCGTCGATAGACACAGTTGCTCACTTTATTCGACCATATAGGTGGACAACATGGCGATCTGTTCGAAGGTAATATTCCTCTACCGCACTATCATCGCTTGCGTCAGTCAGCCATGCCTTGCTTACGTTCCCTTGCCGCCTTGGCAGCATGTGTCTTATGCGCCACCACAACCGCCAATGCACAACCTCTCTTACTACGACAGGCGGCTCAAACTTCGATAATTACTGCGTCTCCCGTTCTAGAGTCGACGTCGACTGCTCCACTGAGCACCGTCCGTCTGTCCGTCCAAACAGCAAGCTCGAGTAGACGGGTGACGCCGTCGCAACAACAAACAGTGTCGTGGGCAACTGGTGCTGCAACAAAAACAAACTCCAGCACTGCGTCCACCAACTCATTAGACTCTGCAATCAGCACTCAGGCTATCGCGCAGCCGCTCAGTACGGGGTTGCCACATCCTTTTCGTGGCGTCAATATCGGCAGCTGGCTGGTGCTCGAGAAATGGATGACACCCGACGTATTCTCTGGAACCAATACTACGGATCAGTTCACGTTCGATTCGATCGAGAATGGGAAAGCAAAGCTACAACATCACTGGGAGACGTTCTTCACGGAGAATGACATGGCACAGATAGCCACGTGGGGTCTCAATGCCGTCCGCATACCCATCGGCTACTGGGCGTACGACAACACGGGCACCCGGTACATTAGCGGTGCAGATGCTTATCTCGAGCAGGCAATCGGCTGGGCTCGCAAGCACGGCATTAAGGTACTTGTTGACTGCCACGGCTCGCCTGGTTCTCAGAATGGGTTCGACAACAGCGGTCAAGCCGGTAGCATTAATTGGCAGTCGGGCGATAATCTGCAACGAAGCATTGACATTCTCGTTACAATGGCGAAGAAGTACGGCTCAGTGGACTATGCCGATGTCGTGTTCGCACTCGAGATTGTCAATGAGCCTGCTTCGTGGGCTCCGAATGACTTCAGTGTAACACAACAATGGGCGCAGCAAGCATACAGCGCTGTCAAGGGCGCCTCGACCAATCCTAATTTAATCGTTGTTATGCACGACAGCTTCGAAGGACCTGCATTGTGGCAGACCATTGGTGCTGCCATCAACGGCCCAAACACAACATACACGGATTCGCATTTCGCTCTTGATGTACACCTCTACCAGAACATGATGCCAGATGATTCGAAACTCACACAGCCACAACACATCAACAAGGCATGTTCCGACTGGAGTACAACCGAGTTTCTCTCTCCAGACTCGCATCTCCCAGTCTTTGTTGGCGAGTTCAGTGCCGCAACCAACATTTGCGTGAACCCGGATAACAGCACCATCGGCGGATCTGAATGCACGATTGATGGGTGTCAATGCCTCTCCAACGTCCCCATGGAGGATTGGTCGGCAGGAGCTAAAGTCTGGACGCGGAAGTTCTTCGAGGCGCAAATGCTGACATTTGAGCGGCATGGAGCCGGATGGTTTTTGTGGTCGTACAAAGTTCCTGACGGAGGAGCATGGTCGTTACAGGTCTTGATGCAAGAGCTCTACGACGAGGGTGAAACGATTGGGAGTCGGAAGTATCCTGATGTGTGCGAACTAGACGCTAGAGCGTAAGTGCGAAGGCTGGAGTGACGCCTCTACCTACGTGTAGGAGAGATGCATAGCGACGGAGTTTTGGCGATTTGCGCATAGCGACGGTGTTTCGGCAAATTGGAGATCGGTTGTTGAGCGCTTGGCATAGCGAGGAGATTTTGGCAACGGCGCCAATCCTTCGAAGATACCCATTTAGCATGAGTGTGGTTTGGCGAAGGCGCATCATGTATGTCTTTGATAGAGGTGGGGAATCGCTCCGCAAATCTTTCAACTGGCTGTCTTTGCGCTACGCTATTTGTACATAGCCCGGCGAGCCTGTTCGCTCAGCCTGGTGATGCTATCCGGTTAATGCTACAGTGTGCAGAAAGCGCTAAAGATACAACAGGCAGGACGCTAGCGCTGATTGAGCAAGCATAACACTCCTCGTGGAGCATGAACGCTCCTGGGAGTGTTGGAAAGACACCGTGGGTTCGCAGCAACCAACCTCTCACTCTTCCTAAGAGCGAACAGGCGCTCCGTCACCCCTCGGCGCACCCCGGCCACGTCCACCACGACCTCCCCTAAACTCGCCATCACCGCGCCCACCACGGTCGCCTCGGAAACCATTACCGCGTCCGCCTCGACCACGGTACTCACCATCGCCTCTGAACCCGCCACGACCGCGACCACGGCCTCCTCTAAACTCACCGTCTCCACGACCCCTGCCCCGGCCACGAGGATGACGGTTCGGAATCTGCTGGAAGCCGTCATCAGCAGGCGCGCCGTTCTCAGTTGGAGCGTCAGTCCAGCCGTTGGTTTGTGAGACGGTAGAGTCCGCCGTGGCGGCGTTCGACCATGCCGTCTCTTCCGTCTGACCAGCTGGCTTAAGATCCCAGCCGTCAGCGACTTGGTTGCTGGTGGTAGCTGACTCGGCGGCAGCCGCGGTGGCGTCATCGGCCCAGCTTGTCTTCTCCTCGACTTCCCCGACGGTGATAGCTGGCGCGAGGGCGGCAGCCGGCACATCGACTTCGTCGTTTGGACGCGGCACCATCTCGTAGCTGTCCTCCATGCCTTCCTGAGCAGCGCCAGCAGTGGTGTCCCAGCGGTCGCCGGCCTCGTTACCAGCTTCGTCGCCGGCAGAGACTTGGACTGGAGAAGTGATGATGTCTTCGCTATGTACTGCCGTAACGCCAATGGGCTGTTCGGCAGCATTCTCAATCTCTGTCAAGCCGGCATGGGCGATGGTGGGGTCAGAGCCAGAGGGCACCGTCTCCTTGGCGGCAGGTCCAGTCTCCTCAACGAGGTCCTTGTGAGCTTCATTGACCGAGTCGACCCAGGCTTCTTCCGTTTGGAAGGGTGCATGGTCAATGGAGGCTTGGCGGATTTGGGAGTCTAGCCTATATGTTAGCAGAAGTCTAGCCATTACAGGCTGTAGCGTTGCACATACACTTGATGGGTAACAGTGTGCCATCGGTGTTGGGCACCTGCTCATCAGTGCCGTCAATGATGCTGACGGCCGTATTCACCGCCTTCTCATCTCCACCGTAAACGAGCAGCAACGCGCCCTCAAACGCCATATTCTCGTCGGAGACAGCCTCTTCCTCTGAGTTACGCTTAGCGGCTGCAGTGCGCAAGAACTGCGTAAAGGTCAAGACTTTTTGACGCAGCTCGCCAGCACTCGACTGCAGAGCCTGCACCCTTGCCTCCTCCTTCGCTTTCTCGAGCTCCTTTTCGTGAGTGGACGTAAGCTCCAGCTTCATCTTCTGCATCCGAGATTGATAGTCTGAATCCAGCTGCCTGAATACTTTCACCTGCTCTTCCAACGACTGCACTTGAGCCTGCAGCTGCGGCTTCTTCCCCGCTGCGGCTTTTTGGTCGGCATTAATCTTCTTCTGAGCTACCAGCTCGTCTAACGACACGCCAGGATTCTCGCTGATAACGGTGTCGGTCTTCTGCAGTCCGGCCAGGCGTTTGTTGGTATTTCGTATCTGCTTTTGCAGCTCTCGAATGTGAGGGTGCTCATAGCTGCCATTGGTCAGGTCGCCTGCAGGATCCGAAGCCTCTTTCACGTTTGTGTCTGGTACAGCTGGGCTTTGCACGTGATTAGTAGTGCCGTTGGTGGTAGCACCGGTCTCTGCCTTGGCCTTCTTCTTGCGTGCGGATTTGGACTCGCCGGGCGCTGTTAAAGGGAGGGGGTTTTCTATGGCGGAGTCGGACATGTCTGAGGTGGGATGGGACGTGTGCTACTAAGCAGCGTGACAGCTTTGGCGTGACTTAGGTATGGTAGATTGAGGGTAGGTTGTCGTGGGTGTTGAGAGCGTCGATGAGTGCGTTCTGCAGGTCAGAGTGTTGCAGCTCGTTTGTCGAAGCACGCGAGCATTGATAATTTAAGCTTTCAAGCAGCCGAGATGCCGAAAGCGGCGCAGCGGCCCGATCGTTAGCCGTACAATTAGTCATTGCTCGTGATGGCTTCCTCTAAAGCGTACATTCTTCTGGAACCCGTCTTTCAGCACAGTAAGCTGAGGGTACTTGAAAATGGCTTTACGGACGTCTCAAGCGCTGGTGAAGCGCTCGGCTGACCAGGCACTCATGCCACCGCCACCAACGCGGCGGATAAAGCGTCCTAAGAATGTATTGAAGGAAGATGTCTACTCAGATGCGCTCTCTCACATCATAGCCCGTGACTTTTACCCTGGGCTTCTTGAAACCGAGGCGCAGCAAGAGTATCTTTCCGCGTTGGACTCAAATAACAACGAATGGATAAGAGAAGCAAGCCGGCGCTTAACGCAAGTTATGACTCCAGGGCCTGACGGCCGGCGGAAGATGATGCCGTTCACACCACGAAGGACAGCGGCAATGCTGAGCGAGACTCCGAGAGGATATACGGGTGGAACCCCTTCGCGCACTCCGGTCGACGTTGATCACTTTACGCCCGAAGAGGAACGGCCGAATGTAAATGTCAACATGAGCCTGGCATCTTTCCAGGGGAAATACACCTCGGAAGACAACGAGAGCTTCTACGGCGTACTTGATAAGCAGAATCAGAGACGAGCAAACAAGTACGCATTCTTCCACCACGGCAATAAGATACCGACTGCCCGGCAAATTGCGCATAGGGCGCGGGAGCAGAAGCTTATTGAAGATGGCAAACGACCCAGCATTTCGACGGCTCTGGTGACTACGAACGCTGGAGGCGAAGAACGACTGGCTATAGCTCATGCTCGGCCGTCAGAGGATCTTGATGCACGGCCTGCATCTCTGGACGGGTTCCGTAACAGTGAAGGTCCACGCAACCACTTCATGTTTGGTCCTGAAAGCGTTGAAGACAGTATGAGCACACGAGCTCAAGAAGCTGAGCAAGCGAGTAACGCACCTCCTAAAAGTGTCACTTACACTGCAACCCGCTTCCAAACGGACCGCCTTCCGGCCGAGGGCGCGGTGCCTCCCAGTCCAAGCATCAGCGCAATCGATGCCGCGATCGCCGGCCGTCCCAAGCCCACTGAATCGGAGGCAGGATATAGCGGCGCGGAGACACCACGAGTAAACGGTTACGCATTTGTAGACGCTGAACCCACGCCATCCGAGCTAGGCATACCCGTGACAGACGAAGAGGCCGATGCAGCCGAACGCGAGGCAGCAATGGCATTACTCCCGAAGATTGAAGAGGGCAAGCCCAACCCTTTTCATGTTAGCGAGCGAAGTAAGCGTGAAGAGCTTCATCATAGGTTGGTGGAGAAAGCGGACGCTGGAAGGCGGAGGGGTGGCCGCATGGAGCAGCTAAGAAGTTTGGGTATCACGCCCGGAGGAACGCCAACGCCACGGTTTTCGAGCGCGCCGAATACGAAGAAACAAAGGATTATGACGCCGGCGGCACGGATGCTGGCGGCAAGCCTGGGAACGCCGAAGAAAGAGCGAAGTGGGTTCGATGAGGATCGCGACAACCAGAAGGCGACGCCGAAAGTGAAGCGGATGGCGTAAGGCGAGAGACTGCTTGTCTTCAGGACCAATGCGTGTCGCCTTCTTCTCGTCCGGTCTACGGTGCCAGATACCCTACCCTCGGGCTCTGATGCAAGTATACATATATACATGCAGGCAAGCAACTCCAGGCTATCGATAAGGTCGAGCTCCTGGACTGCAGAAAAGCCACTGTAGGGCGGCCCGACCGAACTTCACTCGGCGGCTCGGGAGTGGAGTGGCACCCGCCTCAAGCGGAGATCTTGGAGCGAAGAGCCGCATTAGCGCACGTGCCGCAGATGCAGGTACGCGGGACGTTGAAGCTGTGCCTTTAGGCGTGCAAGCGCTCCAAAAGAGTCGCTTCTTGATATCGCAGATGGCGGCCGGGCGAAAAGTACCTTCGAAATATGCTCCAATCGTCACAGAGCGAGATGCTACCCATCAATGAAGACAGATTGCCCACCCTCATGTTGCCCCGTCATTTCTCCAGTGCTTCAAGTAGGAAGCGTAGTAGTACCCTATGATGTGTGGATCATATGCTGGTTGTCTTAGCCGTCAACAGCCACCTGTAGTTGACCCTCTGCCTCTACTGCGTTATTGTCGAGATCTCAGCCCTACAGCCTGGTATTCTAGATGCACAATGTAAGTCTTGGCAAAGTGTGGCGCTAGCGTGCACGGACCCGCCCGCTTTCGGTCACTTGGTGCCCACCTCTCTTCGCAGTGCGTTCATCACGCAGCATCGTGTCAGTGTGCATCGTCAATCCCGGAATAGCACCAGCATGCTTTCCGTCACTGCTACCATACACCCTCGGTACATCCTCACGAACTAGGACCACCACCGCGCGGTAAATTGAGGCCTATTCTCGGTGCTCAGGCGCAGGCACGCCTGCAGCTTGCCGCACCGTGACTCGAACACATCAAAGGCGCCATTCGTGTGCCAGCAAACCCCACGCACACCTTCAGCCATGGCTGCCAATGCTGGCACGCCGCCTGAAGGGCCGATGGACCCTACTATGGTACCCATAACGTCTCCTGATTCGATGCGGGACGTCAAAACCAGCAGCGAGCCCGCCGCTTCAAAGCCGCAACAGCCGACCAGTGCCCTCACTCCTCCCACCAGTGAAGAGATGGATCATGAGGAACACAAGAAGACGCATGAAGAAAGTGACCTAAGCGACCTGGATTTGGATGACGATGAGGAAGACATCGAGCCGGACCATTACTGGGATGGCGGAAAGATTCCCGTCTTCAAGCCTACGTTGGAGCAGTTCAAGAGCTTCCCCAAGTTCATTGAAAAGATCGACAAGTACGGCATGAAGAGTGGGATCGTCAAAGTCATACCACCGAAGGAGTGGTAAGTGCGGTGCATGTCCGACGGAGTGCAAAAGATTTACTTACACCGTTATCTCAGGCGCGACTCATTGCCGGCGCTGGACGAATATGTCAAGCGCATCAGGATCAAGAATCCAATCACCCAGGAGTTTAACGGGACGTTCGGCACCTACACGCAACAAAATGTCGAGAAGCAGCGCTCGTATAATCTACCGGAGTGGAAGGCTTTGACAGAAGAGACACAGCATCAGCCACCAGCCAAGCGGGGTGAGCGAAGACGCAACCAGGAGAAGGTAGTCCGTGGTGGCGGCCATCTACGTGGTCGTGGTGCTGCGGCTGCTGAGACGTCGAAAGAACAAGACGACAGCCCACGCGCAAAGAAGAAACCAGGCCGTCCAAGTCGTAGAACAACGCAGAAACCCGCCGCCAACGATGAGGATACACCTGCATGTGCTGCGACGCCACCAGCCAAGGCGAAGCCGGGACGGAAACCGAAAGGTGCTGCCCAAGGAAAGCCTGGTCAAGCGAAGTCGGTCACGTCACGTCGTTTGAACAACACTGCCGAATCCGTGGACTACGTTGATGAGGAGGCATTCAAGAACTTCGACTACCACCTTGACGACGTTGACGAGTATACGCCAGAGAGATGCGCCGAGCTCGAGACACATTACTGGAAGTCACTTGCCTTCAATCAGCCCATGTACGCCGCTGATATGCCCGGGTCGCTTTTTGACGATACCGTCGCCAGCTGGAACGTCGCGAAGCTCGAGAATCTGCTCGATGTACTGGGTACCAAGGTGCCCGGCGTGAACACAGCTTATCTCTACATGGGCATGTGGAAGGCTACCTTCGCCTGGCATCTCGAAGATGTGGACCTTTATAGCATCAACTACATCCACTTTGGCGCCCCGAAACAGTGGTACAGCATTTCGCAAGAAGATGCTCGTAAGTTTGAGGCAGCCATGCGGCAAATATGGCCCATGGACAGCAAGACTTGCGACCAGTTTTTGCGACACAAGACGTACCTCATTTCTCCGGACGTACTGCTGAAGCAGTATGGCGTCAAAGTCAATAAACTAGTACACTATGAAGGCGAGTTTGTCATAACGTACCCGTATGGCTACCACTCTGGCTTCAATCTAGGCTATAACTGCGCCGAATCCGTCAATTTCGCCACCGAGTCTTGGCTCGAGTTCGGCAGGATTGCGCGGAAATGCAACTGTGAGGCGGACAATGTCTGGGTTGATGTCTCGGAGATTGAGCGCAAGCTGCGTGGCGAGCCGACACCGGAGTATTACGAAGAGACCGATGACGATACGGAAGACGAGGATGGCAATCTGCCAACTCCTCCCGCAAGCGTCAAGGGCAAGGCGCCACGCAGCCGCAAGCGCAAGCGAGACATGAAGGAGGAGAAGCCGAAGAAAAAGAAGAAGATTCGCATCAGGATCCGTGCGCCGACTCGAGAGCCTTGTGTCATGTGTCCGAACGACAATCCGTGGGAGCCGTTGCTGCCGACTGATACCGGTAAGAAAGCGCATCGTGCCTGCGCACTCTACACGCCTGAGACATGGATCGAGAGGGACGAAGCTGGTGAAGAGAAGGTCTATGGCGTTGCTGGGATCGACCGCGCGAGGCTGGAACTCAAGTGCAACTTCTGCCGCTCCAAGCGTGGCGCGTGCTTCCAATGCTCGTCGAAGAAGTGCACCCGCGCCTTCCACGCTACTTGCGCTGCGGCTGCCGGCGTGCTGGTTGATGCAGGCATGGTGCCCACATTCGGTGAAGACGGCACGGAATACTTTGAGGAAGGCTACGACTTCCGGTGCAAGTACCACAGGCCGCGCATGGAGAAGAGTATCACCGTGGAGAAGATCGAGGCGAACAGCAAGCGCGTTGAGAAGTATGGTCGCGAGCTCAAGTTCAACGATGTGGTGCAGGCGCAGTACATTGGTGCTGAAGTCTTTGCTGGTTTGGTTGTGGAGAATCGGCCAAGCGAGCTGAGTGTGGTCGTGGATGTGTTGCCGGAAGGGTACGTTTTGCCTGCATCTATCATTTCAGAGCCTAAAATGCTGACAAGTCCACGCAGTGACCGCGTGGAGGTGGAGTACAAGTGGCTCAGTCTTCTTCACCCGGACGATTCGCAAAGACCCAAGCCTTCGGCAATCGCTATTCCCATGCCGCAGGGGATGAACAAGAAGGCCGTCTCCGTCAATAACCGGCAAGACGGCGTACCTACTCAAGGCGAGGCCTTTCACGAGAACCCTGAGTATAAGTGGCACGACTTCTACAATATGCATATGCCACCGCCGGATTACACGTCCAAGCTGCTGCAGACGATAGGCAAGCTTGAGGTTAAGATTGACGCTTCTGATACGCTCTACTACTACCTCCCCAAAGCATCTACGGAGTCGAAGTGTTTCTTCACGGATAATGCTGGCAGCAAAGTCGCGGCGCCGAAGGGTAACTTCCTTGACCGCGTGAGCAAACCTGCCCATCATTATGTCGCTCAGCGTCAACAGCAGCTCGTGGCAGCTCAGCAGCCAAAGCCTTTACTTCACGCTCGGCCGCAGCCTGCATACCAAGCACCGCAGACCGGGCCGACTTCCATCGGCAATCCTGCCAATCGCAGCGACAGGCCTTACGCGTACCAGCCGAAGGAGCCTACGCGGCCGAACGTCTTGTGGGGCGTCGATCAGAAGGCACTTGAGACTCAGCGCTCTTTCCTCGCTGACGCCGAGCGTCGCTCCTCGCAGCAGCAATATAGCCTACCCCAGCCGAAACCACAACACAACTATCAAGGCAGCGATCCGGTGCGCAATGCGCCTCTGAGGCCATTCGCGCGAGAACTTTATTACTCCACCGCCACGCTGCCCGCCGCATATCCTGGTGAGTACTCCGGCTTTACCCAGGTTGTCCGCCGGCAGAGTAACGGTGCATTAGGGGCGCCGCGGCCTGGCTCAGAGACGGCCGACTTCACCCCAAGCTACCAACCTGTGAGCGCGCAACGAAAGGAGATCAAGCGCGGCGCGCCTACTGTCCCGGCGATGGGGGGGTCTATGCCACCGAATTCGTACTCAGGCAGCAGTAGCTCCCGGCCGTCGTCAAGCGCGCAAAGTGGACAGTCTCCGGCTGGCGCACCGCTTACGCCTGCAACCACAGTTAGCTCCGCCGTCACGAAGACTTCGGAGACGACGCCGCCGGGCTACCTTGACAACCTGCAGAAGTATCCATATCTGAAGAACAGCTTTTTGAGGAGAACGGCTTACATCTCGCCATACGCGACTGATGATGGTTTCTCAGAGAGCTACCAGCCACTCACATTGGACCAGCAACCTGCGGAAGAACAGGGCTTGCATACACCAACGCCATGCACTACCGCTTTCGGCTTTGACAACGGTGGCAGACCGGTTAGCCACCAGTGGACTCCGCCGTCTCAATTATGGCATACCACTAGCAACAGCGAACAGCCGCAGTCACCGCCGCGGCAGTTACAAACTTTGCCAGCACCACAATACATGCATCAACCGCAACCGCGCCAATTTCCGCAGCCGACTTACCAAACGCCTTTGGAGTTCCGTCAGTCGTTCTCAAGCCTGCCGTCCGCAGCTTCACGTGACGGCGCGCAGGCTCGCATGCTGAGGGACCAGGGCTTTGGCTACTCCCCATACGCTTCGACCAACTACGCTCCTCGACAGCCGCGGGGAAGTCAGTACGACACGGCCAGAATGTGGGACAGTCCCAAGGCTCCCACCCCCAGTCCGCTAAGCGATCAGCATGGCACTCCCGGAGTGTACAACAACAGCCATACGCCAACACATAACAGCGGCTGGGGTCCAGCAGGCCCGCCGGCACCAATTCTGGGCGGCATACCGATGCAGCAGCAGGGTTCAAACGGGAGCGTCGGACACGGCCCGACACTGCCGCAAATGGCGGGAGGCAGTGAGACCTGGCGGTACAACTAGCAGTTGTATCCTGTGGATCCGCGTCTTCTGCAGCTCAGGGGACTTCGGGGCCCGTATCCGCCCTATTATTGATCGGGATTCCTCAACGGGGAAAGAGAGAAGAGTTCCCGAAGCGCGAGGCTATTGGTTCATTCGGCGAAGTTGCGGGTTTTGCGACTTGTGCCATGGCTATGATAACGACTCATGGCTTGCTGGCTTTGCTTCAGTACGACAGTGATGTAGAAAATGGCGTTGGCGGGACGGTTGTATCGCTGTATCATATCAAATGGTGCCTGCCGTTCGCTCCACTTGTGAGCTCTGAGTATTAATCGAATACTCTCCGCTGTATTTAAGAGAGGTCAAACGCATAAGAATGATAATACACAATCTTTTCCGTGAGCTATGAAGATTCTTCGCTCTTTGCTATTTTTAACAAGCTAAACCGCTGTCGTCTGTGACGCCGGCACGTCTGCGCCATGCTATGATTGAGAAGAATTGTGTTGTACATGCTCCACACCCCTAGCCTGTCTTGAGCCGTGCCCCGTTACCAGCCAGTGTGCCTTCCGCCTTCCGTTTCCCCAGCGAGCTTTCTGGCGTTGCACTCCTTTGCCTCTGACCAGTCATGCTCAGCGCAGCCGCCAGCGAGCCTCCTCCACCACCACCCCATGGCTTCTTCATCTCCTCCACGCAAGTCGCATGCGCAGGCTTTCCATTATAGTACACGGCGTTGGTGAACACCCAATCTTGCAGCTCCTCACTGTAGCTACTTTTCATCTCCTCCTGACACACCGTACAGGTCAACCGAGTAATGCCAGCCGGAGCACGGATGTACTGGTCCTGCGCTCCACGCTTCTTCTGCACCGTGGCAGCCGCAGTAGTATCCGCCGCTGACGCCGTGCTAGGGTCAAACTCTGGGATGCTGATCCACTCCACCTCGTCTAGGAACCATTGGCGGTGCTGTCCTCGGCTGGCGTTGGGGTCTGCGAGGCGCTGGTTCGTACGGAAGTGCCAGTCCAAGTGCCGCTGCTTCTTCGCTCGGCCTTCTTCGGTGGCCAGGAAGCGGCGACCGCAAGTTGAGCACTGGTTGGGCTGGTTGTCATAAAGGGCCTGCACAAGCTCAGGACGAAATGTCTTTAGTGCTGAATTACTTATGGGTATTGCGGCCTTGCTTTGTGTTCCTGCGGGCTGCGCTGCATGGGTAGTAGGCGTGCTGTTTTGCGAAGGCGGCAGGATTGATTGTAGGGATGCGAGTAGAGACGTTGTCGAACTAGTATTTGGTGGTGGTAGCGTACTGTTCTGTGCCGGAGCCGTCTGTGGTGTGGTGGAAGGGAGGCTGCTTAGCACGCCACTTTTGCTTAGAGCGGCGAGCAGGTCGGCTGTGTTGCTTGTCGGCGCTGCCGTGATGTTGTTCTGAACGTTGTTTAGCTGAGTATGGGGCATATTCTGCAGAGCAGGGACGGCTGTGCGCATCTGCGGTGTGCTTGGCTTCTGTCCGTTTGCAAGCAATGCTTGCAGTCCGTTGAGTGCGTTTGGCGCAAGAAGCGGCGGCGCTGTATGGTTCAGCATTGATGCAGCAGGTTGCGCGAATGGTAAGGTGCCTGACCCAGGGTATTGATAAGCTTGTGACACCGAAGCCGGTGGTTGGTATGGCGCTGGCTGTTGCATCGCTGGCGTGGCTTGCCACTGAGGCGTAGGTACCGGCGGCTGCGGACTACGCCGTGGATCCGGGGCCACGGCTGCCAGTGCTGTCACCTTGGTTCTGACTTCTTGCAGTGCGGCATCTGGAACGGCTCCAGAATCCACGACTTGCTTCAACTTCAAAAGCGCATGAAGCTGGGTGATCAGGCCTTGATCACTCGGGGAGGCGGCGAACGCCATCTGCAAACGCGAAATGAGAGCACTAATATCTGCTCTGAGGGTGCTGACATCTATCATCGGCCGCGCCGCAGGATTCAATGAGAGGAAGGGCGGCTGCTGTTGTGGTGTCGGAGGAGGCATTGCGGGCTGCCACTGTTGTTGTGGTGGAGCCGCCTGGCTGTTGCCGTAAACGTATTGCGGATACTGTTCGTGTTGATTGGGTGTCGGAGGTACTGCATACTGGCCATTGTATTGTGGTGGAGTTGGAGTACTTCTGTATGGCGGCTGCTGCACTTGTCTTTGATTTTGCAAAGCTGCTGTCTTCGCCTTGATAAGCGCGTTCTCGATCGGACGAACGATTTCCGGAGGAAAGACGGGTCGGTGATCCATAGAACCAGGAACAGGTTCCTTCCAAGTCTTGAGCAGACTGTCCATGGCCCGTCGAGTCATGCCATCCACCAAAGTGTACGCCTCCATAAACGTGCTGTACAAATTCCGGCCAAGGTATACGGTATACGGCGTTCCGACATTCTTAACGATGCTGTCAAGAACGTACAAAGCGGGCAACTTTTTGTTCGGGGCGGTCTGCATTGCGGTCAGTAAATGGCCATTCTGCAGATATGTGAGGCTGGACCACGGACTGAATCACGTGACCTCGCTTACTCACTGTTTTGATGTGGTTTTCGAGCACTCTCGAGATTGCTTGCGCATACTCGGTATACTCTCGTGCTATGCTCGTGAGGTTCCCAATCTCATATCGGTCGTTCCGCGATAAATCTCGTAACGAGTCTTCAAAGTCAACCGCAACATCAGAGGTGCCCGAAATGGAACCTCTCGGCGACAGGGCAGACATGACGATCACGCAACGACCGAGAGCAGAGCAACATGCACTGGAGGGAGTAGGACTCTAGTGATAATAACGCTCAAGATGAGCGCGACGGCGTGAGAAGCGCTGCCAGTGGTACGAACAGCCACCGCCTGGCAGCAGATGAGCTTCCGTAATGCTCGTCAGAGAGGGTTCGCACTGAACGCTATTGCGGACACAACAGTCCTCCGCGGTGAGAGTGAGGACCCGCGGCAAATAGATGGCTAGCGCTAATTACTATCCACGATGCCGTTTTCCCAGCAGTGAACGTGCGAACCCCTAAGTGCAAACCCAAAGACTGCACAGCTCTTTCTGCCCGGTCCTCCGTTACACGCGTCCTCCTTATGATAACCTGCCACCAGCTGATTTAAAAAGACGTTCTTGATTGAGAGAAAGTGTAGGGCAAGGTCAGTCTGGTATGCGTATGCTTGAAGTGTACAGTTGCAGTCTCGGTGGCAGTGCCAGTCGCTTTTGTTGTAGTGCCGCTTCACGTTTGTTGTCGTAAACAATCACCCGAAGTATGTGTGGACCTCTGTTTATAGCTTGCAATGGTTGGAGGTGAGACGCTTAACACGACGATGGAAGCTGAGGACAAAGGAAGCGCAAGCGGCTGCCTAAGGCAACATTTACGTCAACGAGTGGACCGACCCACTTAGCAATTGATCGCAGGTGAGTTGGACTTCTCTCTCTGCGACTTCAACATAAACGTGAAGACATTAGGACTTGACTACCTACTTGAGAGACCGCTTGTCTAAGATAGTCTTTCTGGCTGGGTGATATAAGCATCAATATGAAGTTCACACTCGGCTTGTTCATACTGACCCTGCTCGCTGCACTATGCTTCGCGACGGCGCCTCAGAAGCAGTACATCATCAGCTACCCACAAGATACACCGGTCTCAGTTCTCGAGGATGCCAAGGATGCGATCGTGAAGGCTGTGAGTCATCCTGTGTTCGATGCTCATCAAAGTCCCCACTGACCCTCGGTCCTGGATAGGGTGGCGTGATAGAGCATGAGTACAACCTTATCAAAGGCTACGTTGTCAGAATGTCGGCCAATACACTCGACAAAGTGCAAGCGATGGGTTCCAGCAACAACGTTCTCATCGAAGAAGACAAGACCATCAACGTCGCCAAGTCGTGATCGAGGAGGAAGTACCAAGTATGCGAAAGTAGTGGCGTCCAGTTACGGGGTCGCCGGACCCCCAAGGCTCCTAAACGCTTCAGGCAAGCCTTGACTGAACCATAACAAATGGGTCAAAAAGTACAGACCGTGCGAGTCCGCTAGTTATATACTCGAGGTCGGCAAAGGGCTCGCTAGACAGTGCAAGATTCCGCTTGTTGGCCGCGTTGGACGATGTGAAGCACCAACCTGTACTAACTGAAGGAAAGGCATAATGACTGGACGATACATGCAGGTCGGCGTTCACGTGCATTAGTAGGTGCGAAGCTAGCTCTTCATTGCCCCAATGTACTTCCAAATGCGAACTATCAGTACAGACCAAGCACTCTGCAGGACCTCCCAAAGATTGCCGCCACATGTGCAGGGTGTGTCACGCATGCTTACACAACGAGTGACCGACTCTGCGAGGTGAAGCAAGAGCGGTTACCGCATTTCATGGCTTGCAAAGCGACACCGACGGTGACTTCCGGACCCTCTGCATGCCCACATCCATCAATATTGGCCCAGATATGGTTCCCTTTCACTGGCACTAGAAGAGGCGAAAATGTGGTCGGTTGCTCGGAGACTTCAGTGGACAACTTTGCTGCCCCGCACGACCTTCGAGAAACCGGAGCTGGATCGAGACCCCGCGTAAACCTGGAAGTTATGCTACCGTGCTGCTACTCCTTCGGAAGGAAAACTCGCTATCGAAGACCAATCCTTCCGTCTGCAAACGATCGGCCAGAAGTCCTTCGTGGACTTGCATCACGATGCTATCCAATACCGGCCCACGTAGCCACGGCCACCACGACGGCTGACTGCTCCGCGTTAGGGCTGAATTACTCATTGGGGCTAGCCTGATCAGGGTGTCGCATCAGACTGTTGCGGTTTCCTCCGTGGCTGCAGCTCACTTCGCTTAATCGTCCTTCGCTATGCGCCAAGCATTGTAAGCGTACTTAGACTAAGCCGAAAGCGCGAGATCCTTGTCTCGGCTGCCACGTGCGAGTTCCATTCTTCGGGATGCCGAAGGGAAGGAACCAATGATGGATGCTGCCGGCAAGAGCTCCGACCCTGTCCGCCTAGATGTCCACTGCGGCGTCTCCGCACCATTACTCGATACGGACGGTGTCGCGAGCGACGACCGGTCTAGACAGAGTGTGTGACGGACCACCAAGGCAACCCTTCGCGAGTCGCTCATGTGCACGAGCCTATCCCTCGCAGCCGACGCACCCGGCAAGGACATGGATCCGCAGAAGCATGGGCGGTCGCTCGTCTCCTCCGCGGCTGCTGTGCCAAGCTTATCGCCAACGGCGCCGTCCGGGAAACGACGAACTGGGTCTGTCACTAGTGATGGAAGGTCCCTTTCCTTGCCCTGACATGCTTAGGAAGAACCAGAGACCGGTGAATGTTCTTGCCTGCCGATCGTGTGTGTATCACTGGTGGGCACTATCAAGGCTCTTGGCAGTCTTAGCCCTGGTCGCTGCACTCTAGCTGAACACAGCCGTCGCTTGCGCTCGAGCCTTTGTGAAGCAGCTGAAGTAAAGCCTCAAAGGAGGGCACATAAGGCTTTCAGGCTGCCAGATCAAGGTAGCATAGCTTTTGCAACAGTAGGCGGTCGTAACTGTGCCCAACAAAGTCTCTAACCGCGCAGCGCAGAGCTTCACGTCTCCTGCCTGTACTGGAACGAGCTGCTCCGTGAGGTATAACACGATCCCAAATACCACGGTATCTCGCACGGCATGACAGCGATTGTACCTGGTTTGGGGCATTCCCTGATGGACTATTCAATGCCTGGAGATGCGAGTGAGCATATGTGGGGCCATCATCAGTCAACCTACATGCTGCTGCCCACCTTGACGAACGGTTGGTCCCATTCGCAGGGATCAGAAATGGGTGGCATGCAGGACGGCGATCATCCAGCATTTCATTCGCTTCAGCGCCTCGATGAAATCTACGGCTCGCCTGTTTATGGCAACCTGCAATCGGATGTCGACATGGCGACTCCCTCGAGTGCTGGCTTCCCTGCAATTATGCCCAATAGCCATCCGGTTGTGACTCCAAACTCGGGCAACAAGTATCTCAACGCTCCTACAGATCAAGGTAACGGCTCGGTCTCATCGCAGAGTCCTCGTAGCACACACGGCCAGGTTGGCACGCGGCGCCATCGGAATAGCGCCGGAGCGCAAAGCAGCCTTAAGCCGCCGCGACCGCCGTTCGGCAGGTCAAGCACAGCTCCTCAAGCTGGCGAGTCCGCGGCGTTCATCAAGCGCTCCCCTGCCAGCGACGGCGACGATGAGGACTACATACCGCACGAAGGCGGGAAGGGCCGCGGCAGAAAGCGACAGCGCATCCCTCATACCGCTGTTGAACGTCGATATCGTGAGAATCTCAATGCTCACCTTGATCGGCTTCGTGAGGCGGTGCCGGCGCTCGTAGCGCGCTCCAAGGGTGGCGATCCATGCCACGAGGGCGTCAAGCCGAGTAAGTGCGAGATATTGAATGGTGCCATCGAACACATAGGTGCGCTCAGCAAGGAAAATCAGGCGTTGCGGAGCGAGATCATGCTTCTCAAGGCGCGTTATAATGATATCGCAGGATTCTACCAAGACGATTCTTGAAATGAGATGTCTAATGCTCGGGAGGGATATTGGCGTTGGCGCTTACTTTTATGCCACTCAGGTGTTACATTGGCTCTTCCAAGCTATGCGGGATAATGAAGGTTCACCCGGGTGGAGGCAGTGTTTGAGCGAAGAGCGGGCGATTTTCCTCACATCAATGCTACCACGCATGTCGTTGGCAGAACGATCAGCCGTGATCCGAAGCGTAACTGTAGAACTTAGTAACGACTTAATGCTTGTATATATATTCGGCGGAGCCTGCAAAGGAAATCTTGTCTCTCGCGCGCATATTTCGACCGTTGGCTACTCGTCACGGAAAAGCCATCTTCCTCCATCGCGCATCGCTTCTCGCCATCTTTCCTCGACTTTTTCGCTTACGACCTCTCGAGCTCGGATACGGTCATCCTCGACCTCCTGTGTTGTTGGCATTTCGGTGCGCCAAAAGCCAGGTGGCGTGCTGCGTCTTTCGAATGCGTTCCGATGCTTGCCGTATTTGTTGGCGAAAGCACTTGCACGAGCCTCAAGTAACAGATGTTGTCTCTTGTCATGAGAGTATGCACCAACGATCTGCTGCCAGTTGGATCCAAAATAGGCAGTGAGCACCTCGGAATCGGATCCAACATCAACCCCACCTGCCTGAACCATAGCGAGGAAGTCAGCACCGCAACATTCAGGCTTGGTGCATCCTTTCAAGCACCGCCGCTGGTCACGACCCCTGAGGGTGTCCGCGAAAGCATATTCGGCTCCCAGATATCTCGGGTTGATCTTGAAGTCTTCGAGACGTAGGCTTTTCGGAGGCCGTAAACGAAGAGGCTCGTCCTCGGGTTCTACTGGAGGCGGCGATTTCTCTTCACGCTGTGCGGTCTCTGGGCGCCGCACTTGCGGTGGTAATAACGGCCTGGCTCTTGTATCCCGAGTTGAAGTCGAAGCATTGGACAGCTGCGCACGGTTCCGCTTAGTCCTCACCAGCGGTTCTGACACTGGTGTCGGAAGCTTCTCGACTCGGGACGTAGCTGGAGCTGGCGTCCGGCTTCTGACCAGGCGCTGCCTATCCGGTCCTGTTTCATAGAGCAAGCCCTTGAGGCGATCGCTCGCACTGTCACCGTTCGCTTTCGGCGATCCATAGGCCTTGACCTCTTTGGGAGATTGCAACTTTTGACTTTCGCCATCTTCCGACAGCAAAGCGGCCTTGCACGCTGCTTCGCGGTCGCTACGTTCGCAATTAGGCAAAGGCCGCCACAGACTGCGATCGACATAGGCTGGGATGTTCACGCTCAAAGGGCGCAATGCGCGGTCATTGCTTGCGACGGGCTGTATAGGCCCACGCGCTAGCGAAGCGCCTGACGGCTGGTCGCAATGTCGCACATCATCAACAACAGCTCCATGCATTTCGCTGTCCGATACGGAATCTTTGGCTGGTAGATGCAATGGGCGCTTCAGCTCTTCTGATAGAGCGCGCTGCTGACCATCCGCCAGCCGCCGTCGCTTCCGCGGTGTGTGGTATTGGTTCGCAAGGGCGCTGAGATCAGAGGTCTCCATATGGAAGAGTCCATGACGTTTGGGTGGGCTGCTGAGGTCATCACTTTTGATCTCAATAGCACCGGAGGAAGACTTTCGCTCCTCCTTAACGCGCGAGCGCGGTGTCACTTTGTGGAAAGCTGTACGACCTCTCCGTTTGATGGTCCGTGCAGATATGACTATAGGCTCGCTATCACTACCTGATATGCGATTCGGAGGAGGCGATAACCGAGGGTTCTCAGGACTAAGCCCAGGTTCAGTAGTTTGGCTTGAGCTTATCCTCACCACTGTTGAGCTGAGCCGAGCGGGAGTAGCTCCGTCGTAGCCGTCACGCTGCTGGACACCGGTGAGTATTTTTATTGCCGATCCGGCTTGCTCGTTACTTGCCGGAACTGCGTCATCGTGGGTGGCCAGAGACTGAACGGTATGACTCGCTTGGGGAGTGCTTCCCTCGTGGCACTCGAGCTCCCTGTCTTCATGCAAGCCGACAGAAAGACTCTTGGGAGTACCTGGGTTCGCGTCGTTGGCGCCAATATGGTCCTGTGCCCTTTTGCGCCGCTGATGCTCAACATATGCTTTCCATTGGCGGGCGTTCTCTTTTGCTGCTTCGTACTTCTTCACAGCGAAGTCACGTTGACGTTGGCATCTTTGATAAGTCTCATTAAGCTCACGATAGCGGGTGTCGAGACTTTCATAGTCGACGTGTGGTACTCCAACTGCGATGCCAGCTTTGGTCTCCTCCAAGCTACTCGAGACCGGGCTGTTACGGTGCTCGCGCTTAACGGCCACATCCTCGTTCTGCGAGTCTGCGAACCTAGCCCGCAACAAGGCATTGTCTGCTTCCAACTCCGAGATTCGCAAAGTCTTCTGGCCGAGAAGCGTCAGTACCCGGTTGCAGTTGTCGCAGTAACCATCAGCATCGGAGCGCGCCATAATCTGGTCAAGACCATCTCACGGTATCGACAGCAGTGGACTGTGTAAACGCATATCCAGACCAGTAACAGTGTAGGCCATCGCGCTCCCGTATAGAGTGATGTTAACTCTCTGTTGACCTGATGCCTGCAGGCGCGCCTCGAAGGTGGACGCGCCACCTCGGCACGGGCGGCTTTGTTCCGGCGGCCGAACGTGCCGAAACCCTGGCTCGCCGCATAGGAAACTCGCCGTGATGGCGAACAAAGCACTACATTTCAAAGCACATCGCCTGGTGACACTGAACGATATCATTGGCACCGGGAAACCAGCAGTAAAATGAAGAGGCAGCGTGATGCAGATGAGATAGTGTTGCAGCCTGCTACAAAGCGCACAAAGACCTCCCGCGTTGACCATCTGTCACGGCTCAGCGATGAATTAATACTCCGTGTGCTCGGGGCTTTGTCGGTGTCACAACTCATAGTCTGCGAGAGGTAGGATTCCCCCTTCCCCCTATACCTTTAGTCGAGTCATCATGCTGAGCGTGGCAGACTGTCTCGCAAGTACAGATCCTTGGCTGGTGATAATAGCCTGTGGAAAGGCCTGTACTACCACAACTTCGTGCGGCCTAGAGCGACCAGGCTACGGCAGTCCAGAGACAGGGACGAAGTTGACGGGGACAGATTCCTAAGCTCGGGAGGCTCGCGTTGGCTCGATGACGAGCATTTGGTTCGTCATGAAGGTCGCACGAATTGGAAGAAACAGTAAGTGGAAGTTCTTGGTGTTGGCACCCGCAGCATCAGAGTGCTGACATGGTATTGAGGTTTCGACTGCGGCAGAATTGGCAGAAGGGCAGTGCTGTGGTCAATGAAATACAGGTGGCGGAGGAAGCCAGCGTACCACCCACTCTTGTCCAGATGAATGACGGTATAATCTATATGGCCGACCGAACAGGCTTACGAGCCTGGTCTGCGAAGGGCTCACGCAAGATGGTAGCTCAGACATCTCTAGAAGCCCTTAATGGGTCACCACCCACGACTCTTGCAGTGGGACCTGGACTAGACGATGAAACGACAACAGACACGACCGCAATCATCGTTGGATCACAAAGTGGCGCATTCAGCGTGTTCACTCTGGACAAAAGGGAAGCGGACCTCTGCCATCTGTGTACGCACGAGCCTTCGACCAGTGGTACCATCTCTTCCGCTGCCATTGCCTGGCCTTATGTGGTTACAATGACAGCCACGCAGTCACTGTCCTTCTATCGCTTTCCAGAACGGCCGCGGCATACTAATAATCGGGTGCAGCCGCGGTTGCTACATTCTCTCAAGTCGCAGACTGTGTATCCTCCACTTTCGGTCTCCCTCCGGCCTTCTCCATCTACAATCACAGTCTGCATAGCCTATACTTTGCCGACATATCTTTCTGGCTGGACTTTTGGCCTTCAAGAAATCCGTGTCACGCCTGGAGGCGACTTTCTAGGCTCTAGAACAGCGTCTGCGATCGATCAACATTATCGGCCCCTGGCGTTTGCTATTCCACCCATGATACATCACATCACTGCAACTCAAGGCTCGTTAGCAACGGCGACTACCTTGGAGCTCAGGCATATCCACTCAAAGCCAACTACGATCTCCTACGCACATCCTTATCTTTTGGTATCTCATCCAGACAACACACTGACGCTCTACCTGGTGAAATCCAACGCAGAGACTCTACACATCAGCCCAGGTAGTAGACTCTGGGGCCATACATCCTCGGTTTCCGGCGCGCACGTAGGCGGACGCGGTAAGGCCGTTTCCGTAAGTCAAAGGGGCGACGAACTGCGATTGTGGGAACTAGAAGGTGGCTTTGTGTCCTCCGCCGCACGCAAGCGATTAGCTAGCGGCGACCTGAGTGTCCAAGTCCAGCCTAGTGTGGCAACGTCGACCAGCCAGCGTCCAGGACAAGGAGATCCGAATACTCTCGGTCTGGCGATGTCCGTGAGAAGCAGTTGCGCCAGGGAGCAAAGTTCCTCGGAGTTAACTCTAACCAGGGGCTGGATTGGCTTTGACGAGGAGAACGTAGTAGTGCTTGAGGAGCAGAGCCAAGGCAGGCAAGCACTGCTGGTCTACGACTTCACGTGAGAAACGAGCAACATTATATGTAGTCTTTGTCCAGGTTTTGATAATCCCGTCAGATAAGACTTCATTAGGTACTCTCGTGTCCCAGCACGTGTAAGATAAAACGCGCTCCACTAGCGTACGGCTTCCGGCTCGTCCCACAGACCCTTGAGGTTAAACTGCATCGAAGGACGTCAAACGCTTTACTCGCTTCCGACTTGACCACATCTGAGACAACCCTCAATTTGATCGACTTGATTGATCAATGCTCAGCGAGGTACGATTCCACTCCATCCCTTCAGTTGTTCGTGTCAGCATATTCTCTTAGAAGACACCGGCGAGAAGCGTATACGTCGACATCGGCAGGGTCTGAAGGCTAGCGTGCATGCCTGCATGTGGGGATTCACAAAATTCATCAAGCAACGGCTGACGACTTCTCTCTGACAGCTGCTATCTCCACCTTGTCACACCTCAAGCGCTGATACCACAGCTTTATCGACTCCCAAGATTTCTGTCTTCTCACATACAATTCACTCTACACATGTCTGGAAACATGGAGTACGCGAGCGGCAACCGTGGCTGCTACAACTGTAAGTCTCTCATGGCACTGATGACGGGAGCCCATTAGCTTCTAGCTTCAGTGCGGACTTGCCATCCAGCTCACCTACGGGCGGCTGTGTCTTCTCGAATACGCGTGGCTGATGAGCGGAAACAGGCGGTGACACAACGCACCAGGCACGCGACTGCCCGTCGAAGGGAAGCCCCGTAAGTATATCTGAAAGCTCTAATGTGAGCCTATGCTGACAGCAAACAGACTTGCTACAACTGCGGCCAGAGCGGACACATGTCGCGCGAGTGCACCGAGGCTCCTAAGGACAAGGTGAGTAAAGCTTCATCGTGCCGTCTTCGTCTGCTGATTAATCCAGACGTGCTACAACTGCGGCGAATCGGGCCATATGTCTCGTGAGTGCCCGACTGCGGCTGCGCCTCGTGCTGGTGGCGGTGACCGCGGCGGCTTCAGCAGTGGCGGTGCCAGTAGCGGCCAAGAATGCTACAAGTGCGGCAAGGTAGGCCACATCGCCCGCAACTGCACCCAGGGTGGTGGCAGCTACGGCTATGGTGGAGGCCGTGGTGGCGGTTTTAGTGGCGGCTACGGTGGTGGTGCTGGCGGTGGCTACGGTGGCGGCGGCCAAACCTGCTATTCTTGTGGTGGTTTCGGTCATCTCAGCCGTGAGTGTTTCTGGGTCATTGCTTCGGACTGTTCTCCATACTGATTCACGTAGGTGACTGCACACAGGGCCAGAAATGCTACAACTGCGGCGAGGTTGGCCATCTTTCCAGGGAGTGCCCGTCGGAAGCGTCCAGCGAACGCGTGTGCTATCGATGCAAGCAGCCCGGCCACGTCCAGTCCGCTTGCCCGAACTGATCAAAATTTGGCATTGAGAGGGACGAGCAAACGCCTTGAGCTACCAAGCCAAAACGACAGCCAGAACCTGGAGGACGATCCTGCCTAGGAGCCGAACAGTTGAAGTCCATGAAGGGAGAGGGTCGGCGGAGAAGGTGTTTGTATGCTTTTCGGGATAGGGTCACCCATGGCCGGCGTCAGTCATAAGCTTCTTCAATCAATGCCGCAAAGCAGCACCGGAGCGTCTCTCGCGAGGCAACCGGTCATGCGGCGGATCCGCGAGCACTTCTATGAAAGACGAATACCGGAAGAAAGGCTCGGTACGCAGAGCCGAGCGTTACTAAGCCTAGAGCCACCAGCTAGCGGTATCTCAGCCAAATGAAGTTCGTACCATCTCGTCATTCGTGTCGCAATGTCGGCCACATAGCCTCATTAACACATCAAACGCGCAAATCACGTCCGTGACAACCCAATCGCTTGTCATCTACCCAAGTAATCCGCTAACGCCTCGCTAGAATGCTGGTAGTACAACGCTCGCAAGTACGCTTCGACGCATGTTTATAGTCTCGTTGGTGAAAGTGGCCTGTTGAACCCACCAACTCTATTCATGTACTGCCGGTATTCGCTCTTCTTGACCTTGTGAACTCCATAGTTCTTGTCGTTGCCGGGCACCTTCGTGTTCTTCGTGCTCCGAAAGGACTTGAAGCCCATCTTCTCGAGCATGCGCCTTTCCACCTCCTCTTCGTCCAGGTCTTCCATCTTGATGTCGGTGCTAGGCTCTACCAAATGCTCGAGCTTGGGCTGGGTTTCATTCCGCATGTTGGATCGGTCATTGAACGGTCTCCTGTCAGGCCCCGGCCGCCCTCCCGCTGGCTTGCTTGGTGGCTGCGCATGACCGCCTCCTCTCCCTCGCTGCGTCGCTACGGGTCGGCTGCCTCCGCCACCACGCGGCGGTCGATATGGTGAGCGGTCTCTGCGATGATCGTCCCGACGGTCTCTCCTCAATGGCGATCGTGAGCGGTCTCTGTCTGCGAACGCATTAGTAACATGACTATTGTGGTCGCGTGACAGCGCGCACAACGTACCGTGTCGTGGTCGCGCATCTTGTCGCCTGCGCTCATCAGGTCGGCCATTCCTATCCATGTCTGAGCAAAGTCTGCAAGGGACGTTGACTGTAGCGCAAAACCTGCGACATCAAGGTTGTTCGGCAGCAGTGATGGTATGCATGTCGCATGACTAATGGCAGCGGAGCCTAAGGCAGCACATCAGCGGTGTATGTACCAAGATATTTCATCCTCGCGACCTCGGGCGTCTTGCCTTCCATTGTTGCAACGCTACTTATGCACAAGTCGCTTTCGTACTAAGAGCGACATCGAAAGTAACGAGAGTCGGAGATGGCGGATTACAAGGCTGACGAGGTTGCCTCCTCCGCTGGGGGTATGCTTGATACCAACGGCGGAAGCTAACGGGCAACCGCTTACTGCTCGCTCAGGACAGCAGCAGGACCGCTCGTCCACTGCTCGAAAGACAGCAGCTGGAGACGGCAGAATGGAGAACAGTCTCGAGATGAACAAGGCTAACAAAGTCGAGACTACGGAGGCATCTGATGTGGCAGGCCGCAAAGACAAGGGAACCGGTACCGGTCGGATTGAGAAACTTATGCCTGGCAAGAAGTAGTATCCTGTTCAAGCGTACGATAATCAATCACCAAACATGTAGCTGCACCGTCTTTACCATATAACGATTTAGCATTAAACGTTGCGGGCTTGCGATTTCTGGCAAACAAGCTGGAACCATCTCTCAGCTCCTAGAGGACCCATGCTGGAGTTGCTTCGCCTGGCACTAGAATTTCTGCTGGTGCATCCAAGGACACTAGGGCAGGAATTCCATGGCTTTCTTGCTAACAATTCGGGCTAGAGCTCGGAAGTGTCATAATGCGGCTTGGTTGTGGCTGCCAGTCGCTGCGAGTATCGTGGAAGTGCTTGACAATCCCAGAAAGCGCACCCAGGACCTGTGAGGGCGCCCGAGGAGGCGAAGGGTCGAAGCTAGGAAGCTTGGAGGTTGCGGGCGGCTGCTCTGTTGGCTGCTCTTCGTCTGTGACAGCGGCTTTCTTCCTCCTTGCCTTTCCGGCGCCGCTCCGTCTCCATCCTCTGCCGTGCAGTCTCGTAGGCCGATGGTGACGTTGCGACACTTGATGTCTGCCATGATTCGTCCTTGGTACCTTTCTTGCTGCTTGGACCACTTCTAGGGCTGTCCTCTGAGGCACACTCTACGGCCTTCCGTTTCCTTTGCGGAGCCGGCACGGTTCGGACTCCATTGTCCGGCTAGTCTGCAGTTGAGATGATCTCGCCGAGTTCAACAATGACATCCCACAACCCGGTGATGACCATTTGTGGAAGGTATACACCGAATGGAAGACACAGAGTCCGGTACAGAGGTGGCCAGCAAGCCAACGCCTATCTATCCTGAAAAGTGACGAAAGCGTCGTGTCACTTCGTGATTGTCTCGTCCCCACGTCTCGGGAGACGCGCCTGCATTGAGACTGTTCAGGAAAGTTGTACGCAAGGATGTTGCGGAGTTACATGTCTTCGAGATCACTTACTGATGGGCACTACCGGGACGGCAACGCTCGCGCTCCCTCACACTCATGGTAGCTGCACCACTCGAAGTCCATGTTCGTCTTGCATAATGCTTTACAAAGTCAGGACACAATCTCTCGGTATCCGGAACGCCTTGCTAAACGGACGACGCACGCTACTTTTTCCCGGTATCTTCCTTCAAGCTCACGATGCGGTTCAAGATCACGTTCTCCTCGGTACTGTCCTTGTCCAGTGCAAAGAAGGCCGTTCTCAAACCCTGGAACCTTACGGAGCTCTTGTCCACAACGCCCATCGCCTCACCTTCTTCCTTCGGCCATGGTGCATTGTGCTTGACGTAACCGAACCCACTCTCAATCATGGCATTTGGGTACACCACAAGCGACTCCGGGTTGAGATTCTCATGATACCCACCATTTTTCCAGTCCAGCTCATTGGGTTTGGCCGACTTAAACAGCGGATTGAAGATGCGCGCTTCAGCCATAATCGGCGATTTGTGAGCGGGAGAGTCTGCCACCCAGTGGATGCGCGCCTTTCCAGGTTGCACATCAGCACCATACTCAGCTAGTACTTCGGTAACTTTGCCGCTTGTTGAGTCTTTTGAGAAGGAAATGCACCTGATCGGGTGCTCCGCGTTCAGCAAGCCGACGGATTTGCCTGGTGCTAGGCGGAAGAAGTCCGGATCGTCTTCTTCCCGAAAGTCGTCGCGATCAATATAGATTGTTTTCGTGAAAGGGACCTTGTGCGTGCCTTTCTCCTTATCCTTAGGATCGAAGGGGACGTCACGCTCTTCCAGATGATTATCCGGCAAATTCGTCAGGACGACCTTGACGGGGTCCAGAACGAGCATGAGTCGAGGTACTGTACGTTCAAGATATGTACGAATGTTGGCATCGAGGGTATGAGTTGCAGTGTTGGCATTGGCTTTGGTCACGCCAAGGTCAAGGACGAACTTTTTAAGCGCACCCGGCGGTACGCCGCGCCGCCGCAGTGCGACCAGTGTGAAGAGCCTTGGGTCGTCCCAGCCTCCAACTGCTGGTGGTATCCTACGTCCAGTACCGTTAGTCGCCGCTTTGGCTGCCTCCGCCGCCGGTTCGGGCTCGTGCTCGCCTTCCTCCGCCAATGTCATTTCGTCCATGTCGTCTGCAACATCCTCTGCATCCACGCCATTACTCATCGTAGCATCATTTGCGACGGTTGTCCCATCAACCAGCGTGGCAATTTTCCGCTTGGACAGTATCGTACCCTCGACATTGAGCCGGCCGTACTCTCTCTGCATTGGACCTTTCTCGTCACTGCCTTCGATCTTCATGTCCAGAGCCTCAAGCAGCCAGTTGTATGCAGGCCTTAGCGTTTCGAATTCGACAGTGCAAAGACTGTGGGTGATGCCTTCCAGAGCGTCGCAAATGCAATGCGTGAACTCGTAGGTCGGGTATATCCGCCACTTGTCGCCCGTACGGTGGTGATGGCTGTTTTTCGTCACGCGGTAGGCCGCACAGTCCCAAAGTGCAGGATTGTTCGCATAGGCTTTCAGCTTGTCCTTTGACCTCTTCGTCGATGGCGAGTCCTCCTCCTGAATCTCGTATTCCTGTGGGTTTGTTGCGAGATACTGCTTCATTCGCAGCACAGCCTCGCCCGGTCGGTACTGGCCATCTTTCATTGCGCGGAAGTCTGCCAAGTTTTGCTCGACTGAGCGACTCCAGTGCGCACATGCTACCCGTGAACCGTGTTCGCCGTTAGGAAGCTTTCCCCGTCCTTTCTTGACTTCGTCCGCCGTGCAATGACAGACGTAAGCTTTGCCCCGCCGTACCAGCTCCTCAGCCAATTCGTAAAGCTTGTCGAACTCATCAGAGCTGTATGTGATTTTGTACGGTTCAAAGCCCAACCAATAGACCATATCCTTGATCGCAGTAAAGTACCGTTCTTCTTCCTTGGTCGGATTGGTGTCATCGAAGCGTAGGTTGCAGACACCGCCACGACTTCGCGCGAACCCGAAATTGACTGTGATGGCTTTCGCATGGCCGATATGGAGATAACCGTTCGGTTCTGGCGGAAATCGGGTATGGACATCCTTGACTGGCTTCTCATCGTAGACACCCTTCAGCCACCCCTGCTGGAACGGGTCTACGGGCGCTGACGGGCCAGACGATGCAGGCTTGACGGCAGCTTCAATCTTTGCTTTCTCCTTCGCCGCCTTTGCTGCTGCTTTCTTCGCTTCTTTCTCTGCTGCACGCTTTGAAATCTTCGGCTCTCCGTCGGCGGAGGCCATTATTGGTTGGATGATTCTTGCAGTACGGCTGAAGTAAGAGGACGTTGTCCAACAAGGTATGGGCGGAGACTTGATCAGACGGATATGAGTGGTTGCTATGTGACTCCGAACTCTTGGCAAACTTCGGCGATGACCGTGCGCCAATGCGTAACTTCCCACTTTGTGAGAGCGAGACTGCGTATTCACGTCAACCGACATCCGAGAAGAGTCCACGTGCGTATTGAGAGGGCAATGTTTCAGTACTACCACATATATATTTATGCGAGTCCACGCAAATGATTGCGCTGCATCCATCTGATAGCGTTCCCCTCCCTAACAGCGTCAAGGACTTCATTACCAGATCTCTAAGACATGGAACGGAGCCCAGTCCGTCAGGTCACACAATTCGCATCTGAATGTCGTCTAGGCGAGCTCATCTCAAGTCGCGTACAGGTTGCCAGCAGTGTAAGAAGCGCCGGATCAAGTGCGACGAACATGCCCCGTGGTGCCAGCGATGCGCCGAGCGCGGACTTGACTGCAGTTACAAGGAGCTGCAGGGTGCAATTGACAAGCTGCAGCTCCTGACGGCGCCAGAAAACGCTCGCTATGGGCCTTCTGCATCAGATACGTGCAGTAAGTCGAGCCAGCCTAGGCCAGATGCGTTGTTAGAGCGGACCACTGTCTCTGTTCCCGAGGAAGTTGTGGAGTCACGGCGGGACATAGGTCCATTCACCCTTCAAGACTTTGCGCTCTTTCACCACTTCCTGCTGCATACGTTCCAGACCATCGGTCCCATTGATCGCGACCATACCGTGTGGAAGACACAAGCACCTGAGCTAGCCCAATCGTATCCCTTCCTCATGCATGCCATACTCGGTGTAGCAGCTGCTCACAGATCGTCGCTGGATGGGCTACTGCACAGCACGGGGATTGACACGGCGCGAAAGCACTACACTGCAGCCCTGCGCCTCTTCCGCACTCAAGTCAGCGAAGTGGGAACTACTGATGCCGGTTGCGCGTTTTTATGTTACGCCATGCTTATCAGCGTTCTTTTCCTTAGCCTGGAGTGTGAAAGACAGCATGATGGCGACCCCATCGACGACTTCGCCAACTTACTTAACATCTTGCAGAGGTCTAGTAGCGTGTTGGAATCTGTCAAGCCGGCTGTCAATGACACAGCATATGGACTGCTGCTACCCGGCCCAAGCAGGGGCGAAGCACATTCCCTTCCGGAAGACCTCGGGCGATCACTGCAAAGAATAGAGAGTTTGATACAGAGTCCCGACACTACCGACCCTCCAGCGACAACAGTTGAGTTGTTCGACGCGCTCATCAAACTTAGGACATACCACACGTACCAGCCACTTCACCCTATCACTGGGGCAACCCTTCTAACGTGGCCTATGACCGTGGTTCCAACTTTTGCCGAACAGGTGCGGCGTCGACACCCTGCAGCTTTGAGTATGACTGCTTCTTGGGCGGCGCCGTTTTATCATAGCCCTGGAAAATGGTATGTCGGCAAATGGCCGGAAAGGTTGATCACTTCGATATCCTCCAACCTTCAGGCTTTGGGGAAAGCCGAGCTGGTTGCTTGGCCTTTGGCGCAAACCATTGCAAAAGCACCAGGCTGAACGAGCGTACAAGACTGGCAGACTGTAGTTTGGGATCCGTGAACAGCGCCTCAGACGCTCAATATCCGGTCTCTGCTTCACAAGACTCCTGGAATAAGATCCGCCCGCCGCCCTTCGCTAACCTCGCCTCGACCCGTCAAACCAGATATATCTGCGGGAATGCTGGTTGCTGCACGAAGCGCTTCGACAGGCGACAAGCCCGCTTCTACCAGTAGTCAAGCGCTCTATGCATCGATACGCCATGCTCAACGTCGAAGGGAGAGTTTGGCTCTTCGTAACAGTCTGTACCCGCCAGTATCGGCACGCCGGCTTGATGGAGGGCGGTGGTTGATTCTCTTGCGTTCACATACGTCTGCTTGCCAATACCATTTCTGCTGTTTCGAACGATTGCTAATACTACGGTGGGCTTCAGCAGAAGCGGAGCCATGCTGCTCAACGGTAGCTTCTCGGTCGTTTCGTGCATCATGCACAACATCGGCACGGAGATCATCTTACCAACAAGCATGCGGTTTGCCATGTTCAAATCCACGGCTTTGTCGAGCGGAAGATGCGTGATGACATCGACGCCAGCATTGAGCGCCATTGTGAAGGGTGCATAGGAAGCAGCATACGTCACCACCCTCTTTTGGTGCTTGTGCGCTTCCAAAACTATGGCATCCATCGTAGCTTGATCCGGACCGGGAATATCTGCAATAAGGTAGTCTTGATGTAGTCGGATCCATCGGCGATCCGGCTCTGCACCCAACTTCGCGCGTCTTCCGGACCCTTCAACAAAGACTCTTCGGCCATTGGCAGTATACAGCTGTGCACACTCCCTACTTCCGTTGCTGGACAGCCGGCGGTGCGAATGTTCGGTAATCCTTTTCGTCCAGGTAGTCCAACTCGCCCACGCATTCGCTTCATCTTCTCGATCGGAAACATGGCCATGTCCGAGACGCTGGTCACGCCATGTCTCAAGATTTTTGCAGATGTTCGTCATGGTCAACATGCAGATGTGCGTCTATCAAATCGGGAATGAGAAAGCCACCTTGTCCATCAATGATGGTTGTCGCTCCTTCCACATCGCTACCGATCACATTGCAATTAAGGGTGACAGACTGCGAATCGGTGAACTCATTGCTGTCAAAAGCTCGGACGTTGTTGATGACTGGCCTCGTTTGGTCGTGCTTGTTGCCCCATTGACGCCACTGCTGTAGCTCCCCTCGGGGCACTAGGCACCAGCATTCGCGCGGGCTATGTCTGTCTTCAAGATAAGGTCCAGTTGGGAGTCTTGAAGGCCAGAGCGTGTTCATTCAACTCGGAGCAAACTGCGACCCAGATGGGTGGCTGACTATGGGTTTTAAGACTCTAGGACTCTGTGTATATGGATAGCTTACTCAATGATCCGCAGACTTACAGGCATTCATATGAAAGCTACTCGACCACACCGTTAGCTCCGTGAAGCACGGGATGACATCCTGGCCGGCGTCGGTAGTCGAGTACTTCTGCCGCACGATGGTGGCATGCTAAGGCTATGCTTTCAGCCCATTGCTTCCAATTGCGTGGCACCGTTGACAAATGTGTGGCGGGAGCCAAAGCTTGTGTGAGCTCCGACCTGATAGCAAACAGTGGCAACTTGTGGCCAGAAGTAAGCACTCAATATGGAGGCTACCAGAAGCAATCGTCTGGAGAGCTACTGGTCGTACATCTAACGCTGAGCAGTAAGTTTTGCGTTGAATACGCACCAATCGGCTTGCAGATATGCATTGATTCGGACCTGACTGTCAATGCGACAATAATTCAACACGTTCTCCTACGCGATCGACCATCGCATCTTGATACGATATCCTTCCCTCAACTACACGAAGAAGATCGATGCCCAAGACAACTTCCGACGGGCGATTACGGTACGGTAGCTTGCCCCGCTTTGCCTTTGTATTCACAGCCCCAGTGACTGCTCGATCTCTCTGCAATCCCCCATGAATTGCAATCCATCAATAAAGATCCCACAGTAGCTGCAAATACAGATGAGGATATACTACCGGCGTACATCGCATGTTATCTGTAGACTCAGCCAGCTACCTGGCGCGGAAAGCTCGATTTGATTTGTCTTCGCACAAAAACAACGGCTTAGTGCGTATTCGTGCCTGCCTTGTCCGGCGTGGGGGTTATTGGCAGAGTAGAGGCCGGCAAAACTGTCGAACTCGGGCACGGTAAACTTGCAATTTAGCACATCAGGATCCCAAGCCCTTTGGCAACTACCTGCCGAGCTTATGCAAGGTTCCGATGGCCAGACTCCCCGTTTCTGAAATACCAACGCTCTCCCTGCTTTACAAAATCGGCAAGCTGACCCCACCTACAACATCGGGGGAAGGTGCAAGCTCCAAGTACAACGATAAAATCTCACTCATACGAACGGACATCACAAAGCTTGCGACTGATACCATAGTGAATGCCGCGAACGAGTCGCTTCTCGGTGGCGGCGGCGTCGACGGTGCAATTCACTCCGCTGCCGGCCCAGACCTCCTCGAAGAATGCCGCACTTTGGATGGCTGTAAAACTGGCGGTGCCAAGATTACGAACGCTTATCGGCTGCCGTGTAAGAAGGTCATTCATGCCGTGGGCCCGGTCTACGGCACAACGAAGCGTCAAGGCAAGCACACGCAGCTGTTGTCAAGCTGCTACACCAGAAGCCTGGATCTTGCTGTCCAGAACGAGTGCAAAAGTATCGCCTTTTCGGCACTAAGTACCGGCGTCTACGGCTATCCCAGCGAAGAAGCGTGCGTTACAGCTATCGCTGCGGTCAAACACTGGCTTGACAGTGACGAGCAGAAGGCGGAGAAGTTGGATCGTATCGTGTTCTGCTCGTTTCTGGAGAGGGATGAGAAGGCTTACGAGAAGCATATACCGTAAGCTCTTCGATCCTTAAAGCATTGTCTAAAGACCAACGCTGATCGTCCATCTAGACGCTTCTTCCCTCCCGCAGATGCTGGCCGAGCGACTGCGACAAAGGCTGACGAGCAGGAAGGGACGAATGAAGAGAGTCCCGAGCTGCCGAAACTGCCTGACGTACCGAAGAGTGAGCCGCTGGAGCATGGGCAGCCTGAACCCAAGAAACCAAAGGTTTGACGCGAGAGGCAATTCGCTGAGGGCTGTTTTTACGTGGTGCGGGATCCATTTGCTCTGTGCCTTGGTAAACCCCGTCGATAAAGCATAGCACGGACTGCGTCGCCTCAGTGACACTGACAGCGGTATTCAAGGATACTGTTGCTCCTTATAATGATATATGGTTTCACTTCAGAAAAGAGTAAACCATAACTCAGCTGTCAACACCGATCCCACCACCACCGCCTCCGACAGCCCCGTCGACTCTCCTAAGGAAATCTCGGAGACGACCGGCTTCCTGCTCCCCAAAAGCACCTCGCTCACTCTCCACCGCCGCCACAAGCGCGGGCAAGCTCTCCTCGACCTTATCTTCTGGCACATTAGTGCAAAGTGACACAACCTTGCGGTACATGCCCTCGAGCTCACTGCTGCGGCTCTTGAGCTCATCTGCCTGCTTCCTTAACTGCTCATTCCTCGCCACGTACGCATTGAGCGTCGCTCGCAGAGACTTCGGTGACGGCACTCTGTTCTCCAGCAAGTGGCGTTGGGATGCGTTGGGGGAGCCTCCTGGCGTGTTAGAGGCGAGGATATCTTGACTGCTATGGTCTAGCCATTCGTTGTCGAGGTCGGCGTCAGAAGTCGTTCGCTTTGCGGCGTTCGTACGTCGTTCCGCTATGGCACGCTTAAGGTTCGCCACTTGAGCTTGTCGTTCGCTTCGGAGCTTTACACGCTCTTTTAACTGCTGAAGATGCTCGAGGTCGGCTTTCTGCAAGGCGCTGAAATTGCGGATCTGTACGTTAAGCTGATCGATCTGCTCGGTGCGTACGCGCAACAGCTCTTTGTGCGCGGTAAGGTTCTGAGACAACATCGCAGACATTGCTAAGACTGTGTTAGCTCGGAGGACGTAGATCTACAAGATTGCCACTTACTCTCTAGCATATCGTGACCCATATCCTCCACCCTGGCGCCCGAGCCGTCAACACCGTCAGACTCGCCGTCAACGACCATCGTGTCCTGTGTGCCGATCGGCTGCTGAGTGTACTGTTGACTTGACAGCCCGCCATTGGCGTAGGGCTGCTCGCCTGGCTCAAGTCCAACACCAAAGTCTTTCGCGCTGACGCCCTTATTGTTGGGCATGTTCGGGTCTGCGTGGATCTCAAGCAGCTGTTGGATGATGCTCCGATTTCCAATACGAGCGACGAGATTCAGCGCGGTATTACCGGCCTTGTCGCGCGCATTGACAATATGGGACAGAAAGCGGACAAGGGTGAGTGCGCCCTTGTGACTTGGCGCTGAAGCTGCAGACTCCTGGCTGGACATGTCTCCATTCGCACGAGCCTTCATGTTAGCCACTGCAGCAGCAGCCACAGATGGAGCACCTGCATGGTTCGCCGAAACACTCGGCTGCGTGCCTATGCGGACAAGATACTCGAGCAGAGCCTCCAAGTAGTACTTGCTGCTGGGTGCTCTGCCTTTGATGCCGGAAGACACTGCAATATGATGCAAAATGGTCCGTCCTTGAGCGTCACGCACTTCGATGAGCGGACCAAAAAGCTCGAGAAGTTCCGGGAAGCACGAATTCTCCCAGCAGTTGTTGACAAGTACGGCACTGATTAGTGGCGACTGACCAGCAGCGTTGCCACGCCAGATGTTGGCTCCTTTCTGAATCAGCAGCTTCAACAACGGCACCTTGGCGAGTGTGGCAGCCCAATGCAAAGCGTTGTTAGCGGACTGGTCAAGAGGCATGTTCAGATCCTCGCCGGACAGTCTAGTGAGCGCCTCATGCGTGGCGTAGTCCGAGCGTCCAGCATCCGCGAAGAGATCCAGAACTAAGCTTAACTTTTCTTGTTGCTCATCGTTACTGGGTGCTGGATGTGGAGGCTGCGCGATGGGCTCGCCGTCACGAGTGAGCTCGTGGCTTACTCCGCCGTCGTAGAAGAAGCTCTCATTGGGCTCGGTTGGAGTCACTGAGCGCATGGACACATCGAGCGGCAAGTTTGGCGGGCCCATACCATCTTGGCTGTCATGCCGCATGCGCTTCCTTGGCGGCTCGGTGCCATTCGGCTGCGTGCTGTATCCGGAGTCGAACTTGGCATCAGCATCGCTACTCATCTGTGACGCCGCACTCTGCTGGCTCCCTGGGAAAGCATCCTGCTGGGACGGCGGCCGAACATTAGCCGGTCTTTGCGCGCTTGGCGGTCGTGGTGCCGGTGACTGCAAGCGGGCTGCCTTGTTCATTGCTGCGAGCGCGACAGAGGTGGTAGGCGAGATGTTCGAGAAGAATGTTCCATTAGTCACTGGTCCACCCTGTGGAGGCCTGCTGTCGAGATTGGTGTTGTAGAAGCGCTTTCGGTTGGCAGCCATAGCCTGCTCCTTAGTTGGCGTCTCCTGCCCATGACCGCCTGAGCCGTCAGCAGTCACATCGTAGTCCAGGAGTGGCCGTAAGATATCTTCCACGCCGTATTGACGGCAGAACTCGCGGCCTCGCCGGTAGCTGATCCAGGTTCCTTGGTACTTGCCATAGCCGCCTTGAACCTTTTCGTGCTCGCCGGTCAGGATCTCCTTCTCCAGCACCTTGGTGCGCTTGCCCTTGTCGACGCCTGCGACTTTGAGAATCTGTGTTGCATTGAGCCAGCCGTCGCTACGGCGGCGCATGCAGGCTACTCCGCCAATCTCCATCTCATACACTGACACGCCCGAGTAGACGGCCTAACATGATCAGCGACAGAAGCATCCCGGAACATCGCCGCTAACACTTACGGTGTATATCTGTGGCTTCCCAGCATAGTCCCGGACGGGACCGTAGCCGTCGCCAAAGCTCCGGAGATAGCCGGGGTTTGAGACTGGGCCATTGGGAAAGCCCTGACTGTAGACAGGCTGGCCTGCAAGTTGCGAGTCGAAAGACAGATTGTACCCGTGTCCGTAAGGTGCACCATTAGGCTGGCTGGAGGGTCCTTGTGGGGAGCCAGCGGGCACCATCTGGGTGAAGGAGTGCTGCGGGGTTGGAGGCATCGCGGCTATGGAAGCCATCCAGGCTGTGGTCAATTGTATCGAGTACTGCGGTGGGAGAGTGCAGGTGTCGTATGGGCTATCATGCCTCGTTCCAGTTGGGCACTATCCGCACTCGGTTCGCTGGTTGCGCGCGAAAGTGCCACGCTGTTATACGCGGTGGACGTTAGGAACGCGTAGTGGGCTTTGCGGGCCGAGAACTGATAACGCTCGGATCACGCTGTGGCCTCCCGCACAACGAGCATTCATGATTGGCAACTAGGTATTCGGTGACATTGAAGGCATGGCTCGGGATCTGATTGCTTTCAGTTTCGCATATGCAGCGATGGCGCGCTACCTCGCCACTCCACGGTACCGCCCGGTGCCTTGCTCGCAGTGCTGGTGCTTCGCGTCCGTTGTTCGCAACGGGTTTCCTGTGTAAGGAGGCGTCAGTAATCGACAGCGTGAGCACTAAGCAGCGCCATGCTCCTGCGCAGTATCCTGGTAGTCTTGAATCAGACCAGGCCCGCCATCTTGTACGTGCTCTGTTACGCGAATGTTCCTACCTACCGGATTCTCAGGCACGGAAATGGATCAAAGGTCATGTAATAGATCGCTTCAGGAGCTACAGCTTCAAGACCTGGAAGCATCGGAATGACCCTGCCTACGGTGAGCGACTCCGGCAGAAGCTGGAAGAAGCAAGGCATGCCGCGTCAGTCTTAAGACGTGCCAACGAGGGTGAGCGAAAGCCGCTGCTCAAGGTTCTTCTGGTGGCTTATGGCCGAACGGGCAAGCGAAGACACGAGCTCATGAAACCGCTTATGCCTGTGTCTGCTCCTTTAGAGCAAGGCCAGTCTATAAGCCTTAACACGAATGGCAGCAACTCCACTTCCGAGCAGTCTGCGGGAGCGAAGCGCACAACGCAATCACCGATGACCCGGAAACCCAGTGCACGAGAGGTCAATCAAGGCCAGTGGACCGCTTATGTACCTGACTTCACCCCACAGCTACGCGCTGTGTTGCAGTCGCAGATCCGCCATCCTCCACCGCACTTGACCCGGCCCATACTGCGTAAGATGGCACCTCAGCTCGAGGAGCTGAATTCCTGGATGCGACCCATGCCGCTATCCCGTGTGAAGAACCAGGTTGAGAAATGGTATGCAGAGCTTCTAGACAAAGTTCATCCGCCTTTACCAGTGCCGGAGTGGGAGCGATTGCGAGACTTGGCATCCGGCCAGCAGACTGAGCGGTTCATTCCACGAAGGACCTTCGCCGGGTTGAAGAAGCCAAGTGCGCTGGAGCTGGTTGTCGTTTTCAACCAAGCTGGTGTACGCAAAGTGTTCGAAAACAGAGAAGCTCACAGCATTGAACCGCGCTACATACGGCGCCTCTGGTTTCAAGTGTTCTTGCAATGTCCTGCCATGGAGTGGGATACACAGAAGGCGGAGTGGAGCGTAATATGGGGCCAGCAAGCATTATCTGCGGTCAACAATGCGCCTAAGGACAAGTTACCCACCGTTTGCTGCCCGAACACAGCATGCGGAGCGGAGTATTTAAAACCTGTCAGCGCAGAGTGAAGCCATTAGAAGAGGAAGCTTGGCATCAGTGATCACGCACCGCTGACAGTGATGCACTGATGCTTCCTCTTCTCGGCTAGACCTTCCGTTTGCGGCTAACGAGACTGCGCGGTACCTGCAGCAATGTTTCGAACCTTGCGTCTCCACCGGCCAACGCCCTCCGAAGTGCAAGAACGATCTCCGCTTAGATCTCGTTCTTTGAAGTGACACCAACCATCATCCTTCATCTGCTCTTCGCAACAATGGCAGACCCAATGCAGCCTTCGATCACTCATGCATCCGCAGAAGGTACGGTTGCGCAGCTCGGTTGTTGAATCCCAGCTCACGCCTAAGCAGATGTGCCTCACATACTCGCCATGATCAAGGAGCTCGCGTCCTACGAAGATGCCCTCGACAAGGTAGAAGCAACCGAAGACAGTCTCAAGCGTACCTTGAGTTTTGCGGGGTCAATGCAGCACACCAATCCAGGCTACGCCAAGACACTCGTCCTTCGACTGCCCGTCAAGCCCACAAACTCCGATGACGAGCCCGAAGCAATAGCGGGTATGGCGCTCTACTTCAACAATTACTCCACCTGGCGGTCACGGCCCGGTATCTATCTGGAAGACTTATTTGTGCGGCCACAGTACAGGAAGAGAGGATATGGGAAGATGCTGTTGCAAGCGCTGGCACAGGAGGTGGTAAGGATCGGAGGGGCGAGACTGGAGTGGAGTTGTCTGAGGTGGAACGAGCCGTCATTACAGTTTTATGCAAGTCTGGGAGCGGAGAGGATGGAGGACTGGGTTGCGCTGAGGGTTGATGGGAAAGCGTTAGAGGACCTGGCTTTCGGGCGCACCGAAGCAGTCAAGACATAGCCGTGTCACGCTCGTCTTTCTGTGCCTTGAGCTGGGGTGCTCCTTCCGCGAAGCACCGGAGCCGCATAGCGACTTTCCCAATTAGCGGCGTTACTTGAGGCAGGCACGCATGCGGGGCTTGCGGCGCACCGGCGCTTTGAATTGTGCAAGGGTGCCAACAATCTCTCACTCGCATTGGATATTATCACTGGCAGCGGCATGGCACCACACGCTTCGTTTGGTCAACCCAGCCAGCTTGGGCACTCCCAGAGCTTGCAGCGCACATCTTCTACAGGGAGCGTTGCACCTACGGGCAGACTTGATGAAGCAAAGTATGTCCCGTCCCATGCAGTGATCGCAAACACAGGACTAACATGCGCAGGCTCTTCAATCAAGAAGCATTCGCAGATGTAGTTGTCAAATATGGCTTAAGGGAGAAAAAGTGCCACAAGCTCGTGCGCTCCCTCATCCTGACACCGTTACCTGTAGGTCGCCCACTAATCTGATAACAAGATCCTCTGCAGCAAGTCCGCATACTTCAACGATCTCTTTGGCCCCGGGAAGAACTTCGCCGAAGCGAACACCGGCGTCATCGAGCTTCACGACGATGACGAGGAAGCCGTTGAGGCAATGCTACGTTGGCTTTACACGTTTGACTACGAGGACCGTACTTCTTTCGCCGAGGTCGAGGGTAACGCGACGCCAGACTTCCATCTCGCAGTCTGTCTAGTCGCGGACAAGTACCTCCTCACGCCGCTTTGCGACGAGGCACTATCCCAACTATGCAAGGTGCTCGAAGGTCTGCATCACGGCCAGCTCGTGAAAGTCATCGAAAAGGTGTACTACTCTGAAACCGCGTATCCTGTGTCGGTCACTGCCTGCGTGGACGAGGTCCGCAACGCCTTCATGTACCCTCTCCTTCAAATGGAGGACTTTCGCGGCCTTCTGCAAACGGACGGGACTACCTGCCTGTCCGTTATTGACAAGCTGCTCGCTGATGCAGCGAAGGCGGCAACTCGGAATAACGCCGCTATCTTGAGGTGGCACGCGCAGCTTGCGGCAGCAAACAGTAAAGCAGCAGCTGATGTGAAGGCGAAGAGCGATGAGATCGAGAATCTCAAGAAGGGCTTGAATACCGTGGCTACCACAAATCACGTCCTCCAAGGTCAGTTAAATGAGGCAAAGGCTAAGCAACAGCTCTCCAGGAAGACGTTCACTATCTGCAAAGGCTGCCGGCGCCGTCAGCTGTGGCCGGAGAATGCGTGTGGGAGAAAGTGTGACAACTGTAAGAACATCTTCGGAGTGTCCGAATGTACAGAGATATGGTCGAAAGGTTGATGGGTGAACGTTTCATGGTCGCAGATGCTCACGGGATGTTGGCCCAGGGATGGAGCCTGAGGGCCGCTCAAGTCATGGTGCGCGCTCACTAGAACGTGCACCGTAAGCATTGCCGGGTTCATAATTACCTCATGACCTCCTCCGTGTAGAGAGCAGAAGTGAAATGATGTAAGCCGCAGTCGATGTCGACCTGTAAAGGTAGTGGCACCTGAGTTTACAGCATGTGGAAGGCACAGCAACACGCTCACTGAACTGCATAGCCTCGCATGGACTGCAGATTCTTACGTCCATAACAGCTTACCAAGAACAAGTACATCACATAGGAAGCCAACATCATTCTAACATGGCGAAGACGCTTGACGAGAGGAGGCATAGAGACGCCTTTCCTTCACGATAACGCAGCCATGCTGATTTCAGTAGTCTTTTCAACAACCCGGCGTATTCGGACATCACGATCAAGTTTGGCTCGCGAGAAAGAAAGTGTCACAAACTCGTACGTGCCCGCAGCCGACAGTCAAAACTGCCATACATTGCGCTAACATTCATCTCACGCATAAGATCCTGTGCCTCAAATCCACCTACTTTGATGAGCTCTGCGGCCGGGGCAAGGCATTCGCGGAAGCTCAAACCGGAACGAGCGCCATCGAGCTGCATGATGATGACGAAGACGCAGTCGACGCGATGCTGCGCTGGCTTTACACGTCGAAGTACGACGTAGCCAGCAGTGAGACTGCCCAGGTATCGCCTATGTTCCACCTTGCTCTCTACACGGTTGCCGACAAATATCTCCTAGACGATCTGCGTGATGAGGCATACGACCCGGTTTGTGGCGCTCTGGACAACATCTCCGTCGCCGAGCTAGCAAACTACATAGAGCATATCTTCGGCCCTTCGGGGACCTACCCCTGTCGCATCACCAACAAGTTCGCCGAGCTGCGCGACAAGCACGCAGGCGCTCTTCTGGAATCGCCACAAGGCCGGAAGCACATCGAGGCGGATGGTCCGCTGTGCATGGCGCTGATTGATAAGTACCGCATGGCTGCTAAGCATGCAGAAGAGGAGGTAGCTGCCATCAGAGCAGTAGCCGTCCCTCGGTACGAGAAGCGCGTACTTGCGATATGTCCCATCTGTAAGCGTGAAGTGCTGTTGCGAAGTGCTTCGTCCACATTGCACTGCATCTGCGGGTACATTGGCTCGTCAATGCGGCTGAACCATGTCAGGATCACCGAAGTGTGGGAAATAACCGGGAAACAGACCGTTACGGAGATGGTCAAAGCCGTCGCGCCGGGCATCTAGTGAGAACCTCGACTTGGAGAGGCTACCGTCACATCACAGTGGCTGCATCGGAGGATTCGACACAGCGTACATACGCTGGCTATGCCTTACACTTGTACGCCACACTGCGAACCTGGCTGTAGACGGCAAAGCACTTAGCAAGTCGACCAGAACGACATGAAGTAGTGCTCGCCACTGGCATTAAACCCAGCTATAGCTCCACCATGGGTTGGCGATTAGCAACAACTTCACTTCTGCAAACTCTCCAACAACCCTTCATCCTTCCTGGTCTCGACTGCCTTAAACACAGCCCCCACAACATCCACCCCTCTCTCCGCACGCTCAAAAGCCTCCGGACTCCGATCTGTCAAAATCTCCAGATCAGCATCACTTAACAACCCCTTCCCCTCCTTGACATCAATTCTCTCCCCATCATCTCTCCCTAGCAACTTCTGCAGCTCAGCAATATCCGCGCCCGCAACTTCCTGCCCCTTCCTAAACCTCCCCTTCTGAACTACCAGCTTTTCCAACCTCCGCTTACTATCCGCCTTTTCGAGCAACATCTGCTCGACCGTTCCTTTCGTGGCGAGGCGGTACACGATCACCGGCCGCGTCTGCCCGATCCTGTGCGCGCGGTCTTGCGCTTGGAGATCCTGTTGTGGGTTCCAGTCGCTGTCGAAGAGGAGTACGGTGTCTGCAGCGGCGAGATTGATGCCCTGACCGCCTGCTCTCGTGGAGAGTAAGAAGACGTTGGCTTCACTGTCGGCCTCGTTGAAGGCGAGAATCTGTTCTTGCCGCTCTGTCTGCGGGATCGAGCCGTCGATGCGACATACGGGCCACCCTCGCAGCTCGCGACAGTACGTCTCCAGCAAGTCGAGCTGTGTTTTGAATTGCGAAAAGATAAGGACTTTGTGCCCTTTGCGTAGGAGCTCGGGAAGCAAGCGGTCCAGGAGAAGCATCTTGCCGGATTCGGTAACGAGTGTTTCGTTTACTGGGGTTAAGTCGTCTAGATCAAACGGGTAATAAAAGTTGTGAGGCGAGTTACAGCACTGGCGGAGTTGCATGACAGGGTTCTGCAGCTTCTTTTGACTGATTTCGCGCTTAGCGAGGGCGAGTGTCTTTGCGCGCTCGGTCTCTTTTTCGTCTTCGCCTTCGTCGTCATCATCGTCAGGCGCGGGCGAGATTGCACCCTCCTCAAGTTCTTTAAAGTACTGCGTATCGGACACCTCTTCATATGTTCGGCGCTTCTTTGCCTTCCTTGACCGTGCGCCAAGACTACCATTTGTGGCAGGGGTAGAAGCACGGCTCGACTTGGCGCTTTTGTTCGGCGTGTCACCTGCATCAAGCGCCTTTCGCTTCAGACTCCGGCTCCTTGTGCTCGCTGGTGTCGATCGACCACTGATACTCTCCACCACCTTCTCCTCCAGAAAGCTTCTACTGTTGCCTTCCAATATAGCTTGATACAACTCCCGCTGCGTCTGCGTCAAGGGGGCATATAGGACGTACTCGCGCTTCTTCGGCAACGATGTCTCGACATCAGCCTTTACTCTCCGCAACAGGAATGGCTTCAGGATCGCGTGCAAGCTAGCTACGAGGTTCTTCTTCCGGTCCTCGGACAAGATCTGCTCATACCCGTTCTTCTCCTTCAGCGCGCTGAAGTCGAACCACGACTCAAAAGACTCCAGCTTGTCAAATATGTTGGGCATGAGGAAGTGCAGTAGCGACCACAGCTCTGCGAGATTGTTCTGGAGCGGAGTACCTGTGATGAGGAGTCTGTTGGCAGATTGATACGACTGCAGCTCCTGGATAAGTCGGCAGTTAAGGTTCTTGATACGATGGCCTTCGTCGATAATGATGAACTTCCAGCCGTAGTGTGCTAGAAACTTGCGATCGTTCATGCAGATCTCGTAGCTTGTGCAGATGACAGGAAAGTCTTCGCTGCCCGGGTTACGAAGGCGTTTCCGTCTGATCTCCTCACGCTCCGGCTTGCTTCCGTGGTACAGCACCACGGGGATGCTTGGCGTCCACTTCTTGAACTCTGCGACCCAATTGCTGGTGGTACTAAGCGGTGCTGCAATCAGAAAGGGGCCATTGATGCCTTTCTCCCGCAGGAATGCTATGAAAGAGATTGTCTGGATTGTTTTGCCGAGACCCATCTCGTCCGCCAAGATGCCGTTCAAGCCATTCTCGTACAGCGAGGTTAGCCACTCTAGGCCTTCCAGTTGATACGTCCGCATCAAGCCTCCCGTGACCGAGTCAGGTTGCTTCGCGGATCGAAGGTCCTGCATGCCGATGTCTCCGGGCTTGACGCTGGAGTCTTTCGTCTCCTCCGCCAGTGCTTGGGAAATGGTTGTCTGACCCGCTTTGCCTTTCACGTCTTCCTTCTTCACGTAATCGGAGATCTTGCCGTTCTTGCCGCTTTTGGAAGGCCGACCTCGCTGTGGGAGCTTTTTCTGAGGCGAGGCTCCCCCTCCAGCCTGCTCTGCCGTCTCCTCTACAATGACAGCATTGCGTGTTGCGCGCTTTTGGCTCGCTTGAGCCACCTCCTCTGCTTTAGCCTCACGCTTCTCTGCACGCTTTTTACTCTTTTCGTCCTTCGCTGTCTCGGCTTCTTCCTGCTTCGTCATTTGCTCCAGCATGATCGCCGAGTACAACTTGCTTTGGCTGAGCAGGTACTCCAATGCCTTGTACTTTGTGTCTACTGCGCCCGGTCCACCTTTGAGGTCTTGCTCGCGCTGAGCGGCCAACTTGCGCTCCCGCTTCTCATCTTCCTTGCGGCGCGCCTCGGCCATGCGCGCCTCCTCCCTTCGCATCGTTTCGCTGTAGTCGCCATCGTGCGTTTCGGGCGAAGTCGGAGGCGTGCTCATTGCCACATCCTCCGTTTCGGGAGACATTGCGCGATGCTTAACGTGAGACACTGGAAACCAACGCCTCCAAGTTCAAGTGCAATTCCCAAGACAGACGCGACCTTTGCGACTAACGTGAGGACAAGGGAGAGTTGTGAGCTTACCCTGCCCTACCCTAGGCACGCTACATGGACCTGTGTTCCTTCGTTCGACGTGGAACAGGACAGGCAGGATGCATCTGCAAGTCCGAAGTCAGGGACACGCTTGTCTCGCGTGACGTCAACGCGTCACTCAGTCTAATGGGTCATTGTGCATAGGCGTTCTCCCTCTAAGTGAACAGCGGCTGCCGCTTACCCTCGGCTTCACGAACCAGGTACGATCTGTTACTCATCATGTTTGTACATCGGTTTTATCGACAAACGTAAGGTTTTACGGCTCTAGGTGACCACTCCAAGGTCGCATTTTATTATGGCTGGATCAACGCGTCCATCTCTTATCGAAGCATGCGCGTTGCGAGTTTGGCCACGATAGCAAGTTTTGGCTGATCCTCAACACTTCTATAACCAGAGATAGAAAGCTCATAAATCCGGGTAAGAGAGGCTGCAGCGACAGACGCTGTCTCAGGTGTATAAATGCGACTACATCCACTCACCGTAAGAACCTTTTTGCGTGCATATAAGCTGTGCCGAGTCGCCAGAAATTGCCACTACCATTCCCAACGTGGTAGCGGCCTTATGCACGCTCCTGAACCAAATGGCGGGTTTGGGCTGGGCAAGAAATGGCTTCGAAATGCGTGAATTAGGAAGGTAACGACAAAATAGAAATGCATGCGACCGCAGCGCATGCTACTCACTATAGACGACCTCGACGACCGCCGAAGCGCAGCGATGGACGGACTTTAGAAACACCATGTAAGTGCTTTCGCTGTCGTCCAACAGGCTATCGTCACCGTGGCAGAGCTGAAACATGCAGCGCTTCCTACCAGAAGGAGCAAAAACATGCAGCGGCTCATGCCGGGAGCAGCAGAGACATGCAGCGCTTCATACCAAGATGAGCAGAAACGTGCATGTTCTCGACCTCATCCTGCTGCTGCTGCCGTTGGCGCAGGAGCCGTCTTCTTTACGCATTACAACCTGTATATCATGCTATCAGAACCATCCCAACCAACTCCTCTGATCCCTTCTCATCCCGTACTCTCCAATACTTCTTTGTCGAAAGCGAGCAAGAACATTGCAAGACCGGCGATGCAAATCCAGCGTGGCATGTGGGTGTGGAACACCGCACAACTGCTCACCAACACGTCACAAATCGACAGTCTCGTGGCAACTGCTGGCAATATCAGCATCACCGACCTCTACCTTTACGTGGCACCGACCTGGTGGGATGACAAAGGCAGCGACATTGCAGGATTCAACAGCAGACTGAACGCTGCCGGTGTTCGTATGTGGGCGCTCGACGGCGACGCAGCGTACATCGACGATGCTACTGCCCAAGGGAACTATCTCAGTGGCCTTCACGACCTGGTCCAGTTCAACCAGCAGGTCGACGCAGACGCTCGCTTTTTCGGGTTTCAGGCCGATATTGAGCCCCAGGACACGGCAGCTCACGAAACGTACTTTTACAATGGCATTGTGGAATCGGATCTTACGCCAAACCAAACCAACTCCCGCGACACGCTTTTGTTGCAATGGCTGGACATATTCAACCAGTCTAGCACCCTCTTGCGCGGTAATGGCCTGCAATTCGGCGCAGCGCTGCCCTTCTGGTTGGATAACTACGACGGTGAGCCACTTACAGTACCCACGACGGACGGGAACCGCACTGGCATCATGGACCTCATCATGCCGGTAGTGGACGAGTACGTGATCATGAGCTACAACACGCATCCAGAATCGGTCGTGTCTTTCGTCCAGGCGCAAGCGGCCTATGCCTCCGAGCACAGCCAGCAAGGCGAGAGGATGCCTCGCGTTCTCGGCGGTGTCGAAACCGAGCAAGGTGTTGGCGCGGGCGTCTCATACGGTGACACGCCCGGCAAGCAGTCCAGAACGGTCGTACTCAGCGACATAGCCGAGATTGAGGCTAACCTCACCGTGTTCCCATCTTTCGGTGGAATGGCTATCCATCATTGGTCGGCTTGGGAGGCTCTCGGGCCGTGAGCCTCCGCGCCGCACGACCATATATGCGGTACGCAATAGGCCGAGATATGGGGTTTGAGGCACAGCGAAGGAGACATGATGATTGTCATAATCTTGTACATAGTATCGAAGATGACACTGGAGGGAAAAGCAATTGGTTGGAGTTCTGGAATTCTGCTATGTGTTGAGAGTGAGAACATGCCATGTACCCTGTACTAACGTATTATGTATTATTATACGCAAGAGACCCACCGCCTCAAACCATACTCCTTGCGGAGCTGACTACTCTATCATCGCTCTGATCGGTTCTCCACGAAGCCTGATGCGACAATTCGTGTTCGGTACTAAGCGCGAAGTCGAGAGAAGGCTGCTCGCCCACAGTCCGCAGCAGCATGTCGTTCGAAGCTGGCGATAGCAACGTTCGAGCCGCGGCTTGCTGCTCAGCGAAATCGACGACGTCCGATTTTGGCGGAATCGGATTTGAAACAACGGGCGCAAGCTTCGGAGCAGCCGTCATGTCATATGGCAATGCATCGGATGACTGCCATGGCAAGTCGCCAGATCGTCTGGGCGTTGACGGAGTGGTGTTCTCCGTGATGCTGGCCAGACGCTGGTTAGGTTGAACGTCCAGCGGCGATATGCTCATACGGCCACCACTGACGGATCCAAGCCTTAGACCTACCGCTCCGACCGTCATCCTGCGTCCACTCATCGCTTCTGCTGTGTTTGCAGGGCGGCGCTCATCAAGACGGAGAACGACTTCTACAGCCCTCTCATCTTCGATCACTTTGGGATGCCTGGCAAGTGTCAGTTGACGCGGACAATCAAACAATGTGGTAGGCTGCTTACCGCTTCGCGAAGTACTTCGCGTATTTGTATAGCGAGTAGTAACACGATCCGATGTTGACAACCGTAAGGATAAACTTGTACGGCATGTAGTAGATGTACAATGCCACGAAACCCACACGCTCGTTTCGTAGCCGGAGATGGACTTCGTTGAAGATCTGCGGAGACGTTAGTTAGTGTGGATGCATGCGCAGGCAGTGGCACATACCGTAACAGTGACGAAGTACAGCACAAAGGTCGCGGCCGTGAGGTATCCAGCAACAGCCGGCCGGACGATGAATGAGATGGGCAGCATAAAAGGCGCGATCAGGTAAAGCAGTGTCTCGTACACCTCTTGAAAGACGAATAGCTTCGCTCCGAGCTCCCAGAAGCCGAGTTTCCACGACCCGAGAATGTAGCCCATGTTGTAATACAGGCCGTTGACGAAGAAGAAGTTCCATCGGTAGAAGCGCTGCTTGAAGATGGTCATCTCGCCGAAGCCACCGCGAGAGCCACCGCCGGAGAAGAAGATGGCAGGAGGAGTCTCAGTCTCGACGAAGATGGCACTGCACATCTTGATGCGGCAGCCCAGTTTACGCGCGACATGGCCGAAGAACCAGTCCTCGCTGACGCTGAAGCCGGGGTGGGTGTAGAAAGTCTTGATCAAGAATTGCGTGTTCCACAGAGAGATGGCCCCATGCGCGAATGTCGCAGAGCCAACGAAGCCGGCGAACTGGCGCTGCAGTCCACTGAGCTTATATTCGAGGTCTTGCGCCTGGTGGCAGAGCGTGCCTTTCGTGGAATCGGGTCCGACAGATTTGATAGTATAGCCGATGCAGCCGACCTTGCCCTTCAACCGATCGCTGACGATCGGGAAGTTCGGAGGCAGTGAACAGTCATCGTCGATAATCAGCACGTTCTCGAAATGCTTCGCAGCATAGCAGCCGACGAATTGCGCAACGAGTTTCGACCCAATAGGCGACCAGACATGGTTGACGCCATACTGTTTGCAGACTTCCTCGGTATTGTCCAACGGCGTCGGGCTGTTGCCGTTAGCGACGATGAAGATATGATCTCGCGGGAAGATCTTCAACGCAGCTTCGAGCGTAGGCCTGCCGGTACGTCAGTCAATAACAGCGCGAACGTCAGCGCAGTTCAATGTACTACTTACCCGATAATCTTGGCGGACTTGTAGCAGGGGATCAGCAAGGCGACATTGTGAACGTTCGGCGTCTTCGTCGCATCAATGTTGTTGAGATCCTCAGGCATTGGAGGCTCCTTCTCAAAAAGCATAAGGAGTGGCGGGAAAGCATATCTGTCACTTATCAGTTTGACTGCCTGTTAGGACGAACCATACACCACTCACATGATTGCAAGCCCAATGGTTACCGACCACGTCCCTGCCACCACAAACTTGTTGCTGACTACCCAATACAACCACCATACCGTACCTTTCCACAATGGAACTCCAACCAGCACGAAGTAGATGAATGCAAGGCTCAAGGCGTATACCGAGTACTCGAACAGTAACATTACCCACTTCTTCCTCTTCAGGTGCTCGCCTCTGCTCTTGGCCTTCTCATACACGTCATTCAAGCTGCTGCGTCGGAAAGCGTTCGTGACGAGTTCCTTGGCAGTATCCACAGCGTTAACTACCGCTCCAGCCGCCATCTGCACCACTGACTGTTTCCTGGATGTCTCGCTTCGCATGGTGCCGGACCGCTGCAGTGTTCCTGTCCTTGAAGTCCCTATTCTTCCTAGACTACTCGGTTCGCGTGCCGTCTTCTCATTGTACTCAGACGGCACCATGCCATCTTCAGGAGATACACGAGCAAGGTAGCTGTTGTCGACAACATGGTCGTGGTCTGCTAAGGGATCAAGCGTGCTTTCGGGACGCGGTAAAGGTGGCCTGCCAGACGCCCGTAGATCGTACGTACTCAACTTCGTAAACAGCACAGTGTTGGGCGCAATCTGCTCCTCGGGAATGGTGGAAGGCTGCGGCCCAGACACTGTCCTAGTCACTGCTGCGGGAGGTAGAGATGGCGTTGAGGGGACGGTCGGCAAGCTCGTCTTCTGCCACCGCACGCGCTCGGGAGGCAGATGTGCAACGGTGTTCGATCGTTGATCATGACGGCCGTGGTTGAAGGCTTCCGCACGCTCAATGCGCTGTTCCTGGGTAATGCTGTTCGATCGCTCAACCTGCCGCTGCAGCCAATCCCTCTGCGCATGCGCTATTTGTACGATATCGAAGTTCTCTCTAGAATCTGATCGTACAGACGCTCGGCGGCCTACACTCGATATCCGCCGGTCGTTGGGTTCCCATTCCTGGTTGCCGCTGACGGTGGCCAGGAGGTGCGCTGGCACAACGATGTTGTCTCCGAAGGATACTCTACCGAAGATTGACGACGAAGGCCTCCGTCCTTCGTGGGCGGTACCGTTGGTCTGGCCATCATCGACGTTGGTGCTCGGTGTGTCACTTGACCGGGGTTCATGTTCAAGGTCAGACCCTGAACTCGAGGATTGGCTCATCTGAGCTCGCTGGTACACAAGAAGGAGAAGCAGAGTTGTGTGAAGTTAGGAGAGGGTTAAGTTGGTTAGGGTATACGCAGTAGAGTACGATTTTGACTTCTGGCTTATGAGAGAAAGAATGACTGCTAGCAGAAGCCGATCACCAGAGAGCTAGGGATTGTGGAAACGCCTTACTCGTATCCACCAAATTTTCTGGGGCTTCAGATGGCATATGTGCTTGACAGAGCCCGCCTGCAGACCACAGCCACTACATCATCCAAAACAATGTCAAAAGGAACGGCGTAACCATTGAAAGGCAAATAAGCAACTTGTAAACAAGACCCGTGACAATGGCATTAGATCCCGGCCGTGCTGCGGACACCATATTTGTAAGGCTGATGTAGTGAACCTGGAGGGAGGCCCGAATGATCTGCCAGGTTTTAGGTGAGGCTCAAGCACGCGGGTGGCAATCTGCATTGTCGTTTTCCTATTGCGTTGCATACTTCACCTAACCAGGCAGTCGCAGCATCGTTCCTTCAGAGTTAGAGTCTGTGCTTCGTCATGCTTTACGCAAGAGGGAACGATTGTGTCCACAGGAAGACAGCAGTGACATCTTTGGCATCGGAAACGCTATGCCTGTTCCTGCGCACAAGCCGATGGCGGTTCCTGCACCGTCATCGCTGGCCCAGTGGTCGAACTCAGTCTTCATCGTGTCATTCGGCGAGAGCACTGCAAAGTTTGTCAGAGCCTAAGTCGCTGTCCGTGGTCTGTCACTACCGCAATGCCATTCGTAAGCATTGTATTAACCTCAGGCGTCGGTAGATTCGTCCGTGCCCGGGCGCTTGTTGCTTATTGCGTGCCAAGCCAGACTTTTACCAGATCAAATCCAACAGCGCGGCACGCAATCCCGCCCGCCCGATCGCGTGTGCGGATACAAGAATGGGCCAGCCCGCCCATGACACCAGATCCAGAGCTCAACGAGTCGTGTAGCCTGCAAAAGCCCTGCAGTGATCTGTTGACCAGCAACCCTCTTGACTTCACTTATGTCTTGCGGCAAACTCCAGGCTCTCAGCCACCACCCGGGCTTCTCCGGGCGCCATGTTTCAAGTGGCATTTGAAAGATATGGGAAGCGAGTCAGGACGCACAGAGAGATCACGATGCTGTTGTGATTGCCGCAAGCTGTTACTGTCGTAATGCGTCGTCGACCAAAGCAGCCATACCTAAGCGTTTGGACCTAAGCCATTCTCTGCTACTCTCAGGGTACGTTACAGCATTACTGCTTCTGTGCTGTCATCCATCAATGGAACGGGCGTCGTGACAACTCAGCGTTGTTCAGGAAAGTGATATCCTTGGAATGCATGAGGCGTGTCAACCCGGATCGTACAGCACGTCGAGCTACGCCGCTCCCGCCTCCCTGCATCTTAGAGAGGGCTATAGCGCGCTCAACGCCATCTCGTCCCTTCCCGAGACATAGCGCAATGTGATTGTGATTGCGCCATAAAGAGTCTAAGTCAGTCTGGTTCGAGGGATCCAATGCCGATGGAAATGCCGTGATTTGCTTTCTTTGATCCCGGCAGAACAGGATGAGGATCAGTAAGGTGAGAATAAAGCTCAACGTGCTTGCCTCCCGTCAACGTCTACGCGTCGATCCAACATCACTAGCGTGATCATGCTTGAAGCCACGGCCAAGATCGTTCGGGCTTTCTACTCCACATACATTACGCCCACAATATTGATGCCGAAGGCAGACTACAGTATTGCCCTGTCATCTCCTACATCTCTGCGATGATGTGAGTATCGCTTATCGTGACTCCACGGACTCAGTCAGGAAAGTTGGGGCAGCTCTCCGCCGACTGTGGCGCAGTACAGCAGCTGCTGCATCCCGCATGGCCTTGACTTCACCGGTCAATGAGGAGGCTCTTACGAACAGCTTGAGCCTTGGGCAGGCGGGCGGCCTCGCGAGCTCCCCTCAACAATCACCGAATGTACTGCCATAGGAATGCATTCGGTCTTGCTGTAGTAGTTCCATCGTGTCAAGCGACTACTGGTAGCCAACCTCTCAACCAAGGTCTCTCGTACCCTTACATTCCCCATGGCAGCGACAGACCCCGAACCCAACTCCCTAGACACGCTCATGGCGGAGCCCTCCTCGCCCTCCACCCTCCCACAAAACTACTCATTGCACCTCATCACCGATGACGGTCTCCCCAAATACGACGCCATCATCCCACCGCAACCCTTTGCCACCTCTTCCTCAGGTAGATCCTTCGTCCTGACACTTTCCCACTGCGCACCAGGCAACATCAACAAACGCAACAAAGTCCTCTCCGGCAAAACCATCGAAATCATCACCGAAGCCATCACACTCATCCCAACTACCAGCTATCGTCAACTAGTCCTACACTGCTTACAGCGCGTGGACAAGCGCTTCGAAATCAAAGTCCAGCCGGGGTGTGGTCAGAAACTAGGAGGCGGGTTCGCGGTATGTACGGGAGGTGAGGATAGGGAGGCTGAGATCACTGTGCAGGATGAGGAGGGCTGGAGGGCGGCGCGGGCGCTAATGTGGGAGAAGCCGGAGGCGAAGGTGAGGTTTGTGTTTGCGCTGATTCCAGATGCGTACAGGGAGACGAAGGTGGAGGAGAAGGAGGCTAGGGTGGAGAAGGTGTCGGAGAAGGAAGTGAAGGGGAAGGCAAAGAAGGCGAAGAAGGTCAAGTGTGTTGTCATGTGATGTAACCTTGGCTGCTAGCTGTCACGATTGATGTTTAATGTCAAGATGTGCCATGACTTTGCTAAAGCCATGCGGCTTTCTCGTTGAGACCGCGAGTAATACTACCACTGCTCCTCATCTACCCTCACTGCGCTTCCTCAGCCTCTGCCAAACAACACTTCGATTCTTCGCCACCCCGATCGATCCCAGCGTCCTAATCAAGCCTCCTCTTCTTTTCGCCTCCAGCACGAGCTTAAACCCTGCTTCATCAGTGCATCGTCCTGTCTTGCCCTGGCAGCTCATCGCCTCGAAAACGATAGCGCCAGGGCGACCGCTCATTTAGATGCTGCCAAGCTTTGCCGAAGCGGTTGTGATGCTTTCGTAACGGTCTGCTCGGAAGAGTGGTGAGGACAAATGAAGGCCATAGGGGCGTCCTCCCGTAAGCCAGGCTGGTGGCGGTAACGAAGGGTCACCATCCAAGTCGCAGAAAGGGCGGGGATGGTAGAGGATCAGGGCGGTGAGGATATGGGAGGAATCGAGGGAGAAGGTCGGTGCTTCGAGTTCAGAGATGGTGGGTACAGGTTTGAACTTCGGAGTTGGGGTATCGCTGATGCTGTCACAGGCGACGGTTGTTGGTGGTGTTGACGGTGGAGATGGGTGTGAATAGGTCATTCGGCGAGTCTGCCGATATTGTGACGCTGTCGCTCGAGGATGACCTAGACGCTTCGCCCACTAGCATGGAGGCAGTAGACGGAGTTGGCGCAGTCGGCAGTGGGCTGCCGGTAGGCCTTCCTCTTCCATCACGCCCATCGTGTAAGCCTCGTAACGCAGTAGGCGCAATGATAGCGCTGCTGATAGCTGTTCTGAAAGCGGCGCCGAATAAATCTTGCGTACACCCGACGATATGCCTCACATGCAGATTGCAGGTTGCAGATGCTCAGTAGAGGCATGCTTGGTGAAGCTGGAATGACGCGGCGTCATAGCAGATTGGACATACGTCTTTCCCAGATGGTGCCGCCTAAATTCCACCTGCTCAGAGTCACAACACTGACTGCCCATGTCGAGTAACGGTCCTGCAAACGATAGATACGCGCGCCTCAGCTGCTCCTCGCTCCCCTCCTTCTTCCAGGCCTGGCCCTTCCTCCCCGTCCGCCTCGCTGCAGCACGGGACTGCTCCCCACGAACGAGCTTTCCAGCAACGAGCTCGACAAGTTCAGACTTCCTGGACTGCGCGGCAGTGACTGGCCACCACCAACATGAGCGCGCATCCTCTCCTGCAAAGCGCCCAGACTCTGCACTTGAGCCTGCAGAGGCGTGCCTGGGCCGGCAGCAACAGCAAACTGCGCAGGTGGAGCGGCCATCCGCCGCGTCGCACGAGCAGACCGTCTAGCGCTCTGGATGGCGAAGGAATCTTGGAGATCGCTGTCGGAGTCGCTATCCTCGACTTCGGTATCGGTATGCTGATAACTGCCCGCCTCTGGGACAGAATCGTCCAAATCACGCTCGATCCCTAGTTCTGCTTCTTCCTGAGCGACACCCGTAAGCTCCGCTTCTTCCATCTCCAACGCCTCCCTCACCTCCGCCTCCTCCTCCTCCACAGCGTCAGCGTCCTGTAGTCCCTGCTGGTGCTGCTCCGCAACCATACTGCCACCCCCTTCCACCAAGCTCTCCTCATTGAAGCTCACCTCCCCAACCTCATTCTCCGCCGCGTCCGGAATCTCCTCATCTAAGTCCCTCTCGACTTCGCCACCCTCTCCACCACCACCTTGCGCCTGCTCCCTCGCCTCCGCAATCTGCTGCTGCGCCTCCATATCCCTCAGCCCGGCCTGCTGCCTCTCCGCTTCCTCCGCCTCCGCCCGCTCCGCCGCTTCCTCATTCGTAGCCTGTAGCGTCTTCGGCACGCCTGGTGGTCGGATCCAGTAACTGCCAAAATTGCGTATGGCTGCTTTGCGCGCAGCGATGGCTGCTTCATCCGCGTTGAGGAGCGCAAGCGGGGAGCGGGCATTATGGGCTTTGCGTTCTTCATCGCGACGTTGTTGGAGGAGGCGCGTGTGTTGGGGGTTGTTGCTGAGGGTTGTTTGATGTGGTGGTGGGGATTCGGGGCGGGGCCGGAAGGCGGTGGGCAGGATGGGGGTGGAGTCAAAGGGAGGTGGGATGAGGGGAATGGAGAGCATTGTGGGTGCGATGTACCGGCTAGCCTGTTATTGCATCTTACGCTCTATGATGTGGAAGGGACTGTTGATGCATCTCGACCTACTGTCCGTAGGAGCTGAAAGCGGAGCAGCGAGTGTCGCGTGCAGTGAGTGCTGCTGGTTTCACGAAGCTCTTGTTGTCGCCAAGACACTCAGCAAGTCACACTGTATGCAGGAGCGTTCGCATTGCCAAACAAAGAAGGCACGCTGTGGAGCCGTCCCAGTGCGGAAAGCAGCCGCTTCGAGGACAACAGTGAAACGTCACCCACGACTCGACCAACATCCACGCGGTCATGGCGTCAAGGTAGGTCTGCCACCACATCTGTGAAGTATACACACCGCTCACAACTCCACCAGATTCCAACGCGACTCCCGCTCCGCCCTGTTCTCCTCCTACGACGCCGCCCAAAGCCACCAACGCTCGCGCCCCTCCTCCGCCGCCGCAAACCCCACCCGCAGCACCCCCTACTCCACCCACCACAGCAACAACAGCTCCCCCTACGCCTTCGGAAACTCATACAACAACAACAGCAACAACGATTCCACCCAGTTGAGCGCACAACCACCGTCAGGCGCAGGCTTCAGCCCCGCATACGCAAACGCGTACCCAGGCAGCGAGCGACACAGCGGCGACAGCGGCTACGGGAGTAGCAATGCCGGCGCTGGTTTCCGGCCCGCGACGCCGAATAAGAAGGGTCAGTACAGCGATGCCGTGATCGATGAGCTGGAGAGCCAGAATGAGGATCAAGTTGGGGAGATGGGGAAGAAGGTGCGGATGCTGAAGGATTTGACTGTGGCAATCGGCGACGAGATCAGGGATAGTACTGCGTTTGCGGAGAAGATGAATGAAGGGTTTGAGAGCACGCGGAATCGGTTACAGGGGACTATGAACAGGATGTTGAGGATGGCGGACCGGACGGGGATTGGATGGAGGATATGGCTTGGCTTTTTCGTCTGCATTTTCTTCTTGTTTGCTTATGTTTGGCTGTTCTGAGCGTGCATGATGCGAAGTGTCTTGACTGCAGTGAGTGTCTTCATGATGGAAAGCGTGTATGATACGTGTAAAGTACGAGCACACACTCGAGAAATCGACGGGTGATATGTGATGAAACGTAAGCGAATTCAGCGTCGACTGCTCCTGGTATGACTTTTCGAAAGCTTAGGGTGCTTCATCAGCCTGTCCACCACAGTACTCGAGACTGGCTTTTATCTGCTGCTATAACACGCATGTCACTTCTCCATGAGCGTCCCCTGCTCACGAACCGTGATCTACTGCAGCCCTCGTAGCTCATTAGGACGGTAATGAAGGTATATCGTACGCCCGATTCCATGCTCAATACTCAACCACCGTCCTCCAACGCCATTCCGCCAGAAGCTCCAACAATCATCCCATCATACAATCATCAAACAACAACCCGCGCTGACCGACTCTCAACTCCCCACCCCACCGCCATGCGCCCTAACCTCAACTTTGTCCAACTTCGGTACCTCCCTAGACAACAACGCCCTCAACTCCGGCGTAACAACCCTCTCCTTCTCCGCCCCAACCCCCGCACCGACATGATCGCCCACCGTCCTCTCTCTCCCCGTAGTAACCGCAACAGCAGTCGAAGAACTGCGTCTCCTCGCCCCACTCCCACTCTCCGCCGACGCCTGCCGCGGCCTCCCATCAACCCCCGGACTCGTGGCCGGCGGCGGCGGCAGGGGCAACGGTACCCTCTGCCTCGCCACCGGCGCAGCGGGGAAACTAGACTTCCGATCGATCGCCTCCACAACCCTCTGAAAGCGCTTGAACAGCGCCTCCGCCCTGACCAGCGTAGAAGGCAGATCGATACTCCCGCTCAACTCATTGACATACTTCAACACCTCGTCGAAGCCCTTCAAGTGCTCCATAATGACATTCCGATGTTTCTCCAGTATAGCCATGGCGACGAACAGGTGGAAGTTGGCGGAGAGGAAGTCAGTCCAGAGAGTTTCGTAGAGACGGAGGATGTCTTCGAAGCTGAACTCGCGTTTGAACCAGACGAGGAGCATGCGGAAGAAGAAGAAGAAGTTTGTGCTGTCGAGCTTTTGCAGGTGCTCGTACAGTTTTGGGTCGAGGAGCTGGCAGAGTTGGTCGAGAGTTAGTAGCTGCAAGCGCATTCCGCTTTGGTCTCGAAGGAAGTTCCGTTCCATGCGTTCCATGAATTTGACGAAACCCCAGAATGCCACGGCGTCGTCTTGTTCGATGGCGTAGATGGGCGCGAGGAGGTCGGACATCCCTTGCACATAGCCCAGGTCGCGGTTGTACTCGTTGTAGGTTAGTAGCATGTCCTTCATCTGTTCTAGGTGGACGTTTGTGCCGGCTTCGGCAAAGGGGCTGTCCGGGTCCGGGTGAGGGATGTCTTCGCCGGCGAAGAGGGGAATGTGGCGGTCGGTGCGGTGGACGTCCTTTTCTACGGCAGAGACGGCACGGTCAGTATGGACTGTCAGTAGCAGTGATCCTAATGTGAGAGGGAAGGTAGTTCGCTTACCAATGCGCATCTTCTGCTCCTTCCACCACTCACGTTCTTCGAGCGTGCCTTGCTCGTCGACCATGCGCTCCCACCATGCCCCCTTGAGGCGGATGTACTCGTCACGTAGACTGTTCATTTTGGCACGCCGCTCCTCTTTCGTCGACGTCCAGTCGTATACGCCTAGTAAGAAGAGCCACGCCTCCTTCCTTGCGCCGTCATCTGTTGCAAGTCCACCATGGAAGATGCGCTCTTTGACCTCATCCGGCGTCCGCTCCAGGCGGCCCGTGCTGGCATTGAAGTAGCCCTTCCACTCCTGCAGCGAGACCGGCTTTCGCTTGTCGGCCAGACTAATGTTCTGAGCGTCCAGATCCAGTATCTCGAACTCGCCAACGCCGGTCTCCTCCATCTCCAGCACATCCTTCGCCGTCCAGATGCGCTGGTTCCGCTCCTTCTCCGACTGCTCCGCAATGCCCATAGCCCATCGTGCCAAATACAGCCTTGCAGAGTCGAACTCGTCAGACACCGTCTGCACTTGCGGACTCTGCATCAATCGCTTGACTTGTGGTGGAAGGTTCTTGTTCTCGGCAACCGCCTGCGCCGTGCGGCGGGTGAAGGTCGTGACCTGCGCCATCTTCTCCAAGAAGCTCCACCGAGCTTGCTTTAAGGCTTTCGTAACCGGGTCCTCGCCTTGCTTGTGCATTGCAGGCTCATCCTTGTGCTTGCCCTCCAGCACATTGCGCACATTGTGTGAAGTCGGCTTCCCGCCACTGCCGAAGGACAGCTTATCCGCATCGTTGGGATCGATCAGATAGATGCTAGGCTCCTGCGCCGATCTTTCAACATGAACGTAACTCTTCAGCCATCGGATCAACTCATCTCCACCCCAGAACACGCCACCGCTGCCTTCGGGTGAGCTGATGCTGAAGTTCTCCCGCTGCAACCGCTTGCGCTGCTCGATCGTGCTCTGGCATTCTGAGTCGTGGAAGAAGAGGGCTGGGAAGCTGTCGCCGGCGCGTGTGTTGATCACGACGCTTCCATGCCACCAGCCGGAGTTGGGAGGTCGGACAAGGATGCTGAAGACTTCGCTGACGGGTACAGAGAAGGCGTAGGTGCCTAGACTGGAGCTGTGGGTTGTCGTAACAGGAGGCGCGGGGACGAGGGGGGAGTGTTGAGGCGGAGAAGGTGAGGTCGAGCTTTCCACTTTCGCGTATGTAGAGCTGGCCTCGCCTAGACTGCTTTCGGGCACCCATGCGAGCAGGAGACTCCTCCTTTGGGCTCTTCTGGCACTTGGCTCAGGACTTGTTGACGGAGTTGTAACATCGCCGGCAGCTGGCTTCTGCTGCATCAAAGCAATATAACCGGGTACATTGTCCCTTGCACTGGAGGTGGGATGGACGTAGACTTTGCTTTTCGTGTATAGCAGCTTGACGCCTTTGCCGCTCCTGCTGTGCCTGATGGTGCTGTACTCGCGCTCGGAATCGTCACTCATGTCGTAGAAGCTGGCGGTGGGTGATGGAGGACTGGGTGGATCGCGGGAGGCATCTTCGATGCCAGCAGTGGAGGCCATATTATTTACTGAAATGATGGCGGTGCAGCGCCGACGCTATACCCAACTACCTATGTTGGAGGGTGAGTCGAAGGCTGAGGCCTACTGAGAGGCGAGCCACAGCCATTGTTGCCTTGCAGCTGCGGAAGATGAGACACACATCCGCCCGCTGCGCATGACGAGCGTGGAGGCGGGGTTCATAGCCTCTTGCGCCTCACGATGGCCGCGGCTCCTGCCGAGACAAAGAGGCCGCCACAGATCTCAGTTGCATGTGAGGCGAGCCAACAGTACTTAGAGTGAATGCATGTATACAATAATACAATACAGGTTGCAGGAGGGTAGCATGTTCATGAGTAAAATGTAAGGTAGCCTACCTCATCTTTGCTCCCAGTATTGATGGGTACGCTTGAGCCCCCCCTCAAACTACACCGGACTCCATATCAATCGAATGTGCCTCGATATGCTCTATGCAGCGAAGGTGTTGCAGCGAGAGTAACGCTGATCGTGAGTATAACAAGGTATTACGGAAAATTGGTGAATGGACTGCTGTTCGAAATGTGGCATCGGAGGTGGTTGTTCTCCCGGCGCCCATGACTCGAAGTCGGGCTTTGATGGAGGAGGGAAGGGCCGAGGCTGCGGCAACTGAGCAGGCAGTTTTACCTAACGACATGTAACCCATTACGGATAAACTCAACATTCAAGCCTTCCAGGGTTCTATTCTTCCGTAGACTGTATCCAAGCATTCCAACATCACTCCTTCATCATCAGTAGCGTACGGTGACTTGCCCGACTCCAAGCCTGGAAATCATTCGGCGAACACTGTTAGCGACCACCGTTGAAGCCGGCCTCTCTGCAGCCATGAAGTTGCTATACCCGACGTCGCTCAAGCTGGACGTGTCGAAGTTAGAAGGTTTCGGCATCGAACTGCATCCCTACGATGTGAAGCAACAAATACCCGACAATCTCCTCGATGCCGAGGTCTTGGTAACATGGTGCAACAGCCCGGACAACTTCAAGCATGCCGCCCAAAACATGCACAAGCTCCACTGGATCCAATCACTCGCCGCCGGCCCCAACGATGTACTCAATGCCGGCTTCGACACGAAGAAGATCATGGTGACCACCGGTTCAGGCCTGCACGATCGAACCGTTGCAGAGCACACCCTCGGCTTACTCCTCAACGCCGCGAGACGGTTCTACGAAATGCGCGATTACCAAGTCCAGGGCAAGTGGCCGCAGCATCTGGGTGGTCCGCAACCGGACAAGGTACCGGGCACCTTTACTACGCTGGAAGACGCCAACATCACCATCTGGGGCTTCGGCAATATCGCCAAGTACCTCGCTCCCTACCTGACCGCCATCGGCGCCAAGGTCCGCGGAGTAGCTCGGCACGCCGGCGTGCGGAATGGTATAGAGATCTACAGCGACGACAAACTCGCCGAAATCCTCCCAAAAACCGACGCCCTAGTTATGATCCTACCCGGCTCCGAGTCAACATACCACGCCCTCAACGCGGACCGGCTCAAGTTGCTACCCAAGCACGCCTGGATAGTGAACGTCGGCCGCGGGACGTGCATCGACGAAGATGCTCTCAATAGTGCACTCGACAACGACGCCATCGGCGGGGCGGCGCTTGATGTTTTTGAGAAGGAGCCCTTACCCGAAAGCTCGCCGTTGTACAAGCAGAAGAATGTCATCTTGAGTCCGCATGCCGCAGGTGGTAGGCCACGGGATGCCGAGCAGTTGATCGCCGACAATTTGCGGCGGTTCATTGCTGGACAGCAGTTGAAGAATCTCGTTTGACTCGCGGCGAAGGCGGGCGCCTCGAAATTGTGAGGGCTCGCCTTCGGGTTCTGTAGAGCAGCGTTTTACGACCAGCGGTCCTCGATGACCCTGGACTGACTCTCGTGCGCATGAAGCATTCGGAGCGGTTGATCTTCGAATTAACGACGTGTCCCCTACATACGGACGAGGCAGCGTCGGCACTTTGCCGACCATGAGTATAGAGATGAAAACAGCGAATGCTGCTTGCTGTGATCGGCCGCTGATGCGTCAATGATCATGTACCTCTTCCAGTCCAGCTACCATTCCAGACTCCCGCATCATCTGTGCTCCAGCAGTAGCATGAACCAGTAAGGCAATACGTGACCGCTGCATTGTTCCCTCGTCGCGGCTAGGCGTTGAAGATCTGTTTCACTGCTGAAGTCTTGCAAACCCGCCAGCCTGTTCGACTGTATCGGCTCTCTTGTTGCGCTGCTTACTCTGCTCCATCCATCTAATTGCGGCGCGATCGTTGTCTGCTGATCTCTGCCGGCGGAACCAGAGGCCCATATCCGGTCAAGCTTTTCGGTCCTGTTCGTGCACCGCATTGGGAGCGCGTTGAGTATCCCAAGACAAGCAACCTACATCTCCACATGGTAAGCGCTTTGCAAGAATGGTATTACGGATCGTGAGCCTACCTCACGGCGTTACCGCATCAACGCATTTCGACCGGGTAACAAGTTACCACCCATAGTGGCTTTGTTGGAGTTGTTCTTAGCGCTGCTGTCGCCGCTTTCGTAACATTACATGCTGCACTCAATGTGCGTTGTGCTTGGTAGCATGTAATGGTCGTCGTGAGTTCGCCTCACTGTCGACCATCACGGATCTCGCCTCATGCTGTGGCTAGGTCACAGAGTCTGGCATGTTCTGCGGTGCGGAATCGTGATGGTTGGCTCTAAGATCCTGATCGAGGGCTACGCATGGCAGTGCTCCGGAATGTGGACTAGCGCACGCGTTGGCTGCACATTCCGGGCTGCTGTCTATGACGGTACGAACACACTTTCCTTTGAGTGCTCGCTCCCCAGAGCATAATTTCTTCGTAGCTATGCCATACCGTCGTTTGCCTTGCTGCCCACACACGCGTCGAACTTTTGGAGGCATGGCATGCAGAGAGCCGTGGAACGTTCTTCTTTACGCATGGGATGGCGGAAAAGCTTTGTGACGTCTGAAGACTATGAGGACGAGCATGGAACGATGAAGAAGACTAGAGAAACCGATTGAGTCTCGTTATTTGATCGTTGGAGAGGGTACTGCGAACGCGTCGCACGGTATTCGAGGCAGCTGATGGAGTTGCTTGCACATTTGCCAGCTTGGTGAGCTGCGGTCTGTCGATTGACACGGCATGTTTTCGAGTGCCCAATCGATTCGTTCAGATTCTCCGCAAGTTCGAGAGCGGTAAAGGACCACAGATGCTGCTTGTTGGCTAGTATCCTTCCGGTGCCGGGCCTGTCGATGGCAAGATGTAGGCTGGTGCTGCAACATCTCTTAGCTGTGGCGACATGTTCTAGGTGTTATGCGAGACTGTCCACAAGTGATATACCGTCACAAGCTGTTGCTTGATCGAATCCACGGCAAGACTGCGTGCTTGCCGTTTGCGATGCCAAGAAGTCGCCCTCCTAGCCGAGATTTTCGGTGGCTGCCTGCCAGCCAGACACAATCAGCGAGCCTCGACATCGACTTTGCACTACCAGCTCGTATCAACACCTCCTTTAGCACAGAACACGAGTCGAACACAAGCTCATCGACTCCCACGCACCGCACCATCCGGCAATGGACGCGCCACGTCGTGACGATGTGAACAACGAAAACTCTCTACCTCACGCCGCACTCGACTCATCGGTCACAGATCGTAGGACAGACAATCGCGTGTCAACATCTCGGTGGTTGTGACTAACAAGCTCACAGCGTTCGATCCGCGCTATGTTCCTCGTCCGACTGCGGCGCCGGCGGAGTGGCACCAACTTCCACAAGGTATGGTGACCTGTTCTTTGCAATGTGCCTGAGCGCTGACGTGATAATAGTCTGGACTCCCATGGTGCTGCCAAACAACATCAATTCGCCTCCAGGTGAGCTGCGACTCTTGTGAGATTACACCAAAATGCTGGTATTGACACAGCGCGGTGTCCGCAGTCCTCAGTGTTGCGCAGGCACTGGCGCTTCTTGGTGCTCCTGCTCCACCTATGGCACCGCCAGCACCGCCCATCCTCACCCTAGCAACAGCAGCTCTAGCACCACCCGTCTTCACCGGAGTCGCTCTTCCTCCGCCCTCGCAAGACAGGATTATCGGCCATCAGAGCGGTGTTGCGGTGCGCATCGCGGCGAACACGGACTACGGCAGGGTTCTCGACGGGCGACCACCGTTCAATGTTCGTCCGCCTAAAAATGTCGACATCAGCATGAAGGAGCTGTGCGTCTTCTTTCCCAACTGGTTCCAAAACCCCGCTGTCGTCTGTCGTGCCTTCCGCAACGGCTTCCGCCGCAGACAGCTCGCGACGCTGCAGCTCGAGGCTGTCGACGAGCAATATAATGAGCTAGAGATGAAGAAGGCAGGGGAACGCCTCCAGAAGCAAGTCAGCCAAGGCGCCAATCTCATCGATGGCAAAGACAAGAACGCTTCTTTTGATCTGACCGCCTTCAGAAGGGCGAAGGGCTTGCAAAACGACCTCACAGCGAATCGGTGGTTGTTGAGGGACGAATATCCCGGCCAAAGCAACGGCGCAACCTGGCGCGATATGACGCTGGTTGACATTGCAAGCTCCGTCCCAAGGGTCAATTGGCCTCGCGGAGGAGATAGGCTGCTGTTGACGGAATGTCTGGCCTACGCTGTCCGGCATCCACAGTATGATCTTGACACCTCGCACTGGGACTGGATCATCCAGCACCATCTGCAGCATGTTGCGCTGCCGCCTGCGCCAAACGCGCCGGACAACAGAGATACGGAGGCGCTCGCTCGTCTGTTTTAGGCTCACGAAAGCAGGCTACATAGTAGGAGCCGGTCACATTGACGGTGGAGTTTTGGAGAGGATACGGTTGCGTTGACTGTCGCGTCGGAAACGCGCCGAGTTGTGGTACAATACCACTGTGAGCTTGGTGTAGAGCTCACAGCGTTGCGATATTGTTTGCAAAGCGGGTATTGCGCGCACAACGAGGCGCGGCGGGCCTCTTGTTACCGTCTTTCGGGCATCTGAAACCAACAGGACAGACTTGATTTACCAAGGCATGCACAATGAACTCAGGTCGTCCACAGACAACACAGGGCTCACCATTATGTTATCCCGATCGTTCGCTCTCACAGTATCGCACCGTATACAGCGTAATAGCGCCGTAGCTCGCCAGCGTCGTAGAATATCTGATCGCTGATCGATCGCAAGCCATGCTATGCCTTCTCTCCCGTTTAGGAAGGCACAAGAAACCGGGAAGCCCCACCAGACGCAGCGCTAGCGCCGGGTATGCACATTGCTGGAGCTGTGGTTGGCTGTGCGTTGCGCTAACGTCGCCGGAGACTCAGACGGGCGAGGCCCTGCGACAGCGTAATGCTTCCAGAGTATTGTCCGAGCTCGTGAATTGCCTCGCTGTGCAAGTCTTATTAACAGTGCCAAGCGTTGTAGAAGTGAAGTCTTCAACACAACCGACACTTCCAGAGCAACAGTTTGTTCGCTTGGATTTCCGACACCCCCTTCTCAACACTTCCTGCGACCACCTTGACTGGTATCCTTCCTGTCCAGTCCACTTGCTGTAGCGTAAGCAGCCAGTTCCAGCAGCAACTCTGACCTTCCAAAACGACTTCGGTCTCAACAATGGAGTCGAACGGCATCTCGAACGAGCAAGGCGCTGCCTCGACCCCAGTCCAGAGCCAGCTCAGCACAGCCAGCTTTTCGGTTACTGCTCCGTCAGCGGCTGGGTCAAACAACACGCCAGAATTTAGCTACTTCGACCGCCTGTCGCCGCAACCCGGGTCAGACTTCGAGTCGATGATGAGAGACAGGCCAGGGCCGAGCTCTCCTAGGAGGTTGGTGAAGGGTAAGTCTTCCACGCCAGCCCCGTTTCGCACCGAGAGGAAGCCGCTGATGAAAACGTTCAGACATCTTCAGCCGCGTCCAAGGCGCCAGCTCGCCAGGCCAGAACGGAGGCCAGCAATCAGTCCGCCCCTCCTACCAGGCAACCGTCACTTATGGTAAGCTTGCCGCACCTTTCGAACGTTTTTGAGGTGGGCTAACACTTGCCAAAGGCACCAGCACCGGCAACTTCAACCAGCCTGCCTTCAGCCAAGGTGCTCCGTCACAGTTTGGTGGCCATCAGACAGTCCGTGTCCAGATGCCGAGCCGTGACCCTTCGTTGCAGTTCGAGCATGGCTTGAATAGCACTTACAACAAAAACGGCTTCCGCCTTCCTTTGCCACGATACGATCCTGTGATGCGCGATGTGTCCGCCATTCAGCAGCCGTATGGTGGGATGAGCAACATCAATCGCGCCGGACAGAACCAATTTCGCGGTCGGATCATCTTCGAAGGGCAAGGCGAAGTTGGTCACAGTCCGTACGGGTCCCAGATGCACTTGCAGGACTTCACACAACCGCCATACCCGCGCATGGCACCGGGAGCGCAATCTGGTACAATCCCAGATTACACCCTTCCAACTTTCAACCAGCCAATCAGTGTTAACGGAGCTCGCACCGTGGTGAGGCCAAACCAAGTCAGCGACAACAGTCTACCAGCTCCCCACGGTGGTGCTGCCCTTCCATACGATCCCATCCATGACAACAACTGGACTGCTGTCCGCGGACCTCGTGTCGTCGCTGACCAGCTGCCGAACCTTTCGTATGAAGGCGGCTACGACATGCATGCTGGCAAATTCATTGGAGGAAATCAACACTATTCAGTGGACTCAGTCGTCGATGGTCTGCTAAGGCAACCTGGGGACGTTGCTGACATGGATGCGGTTGAACAGATGCCGCCATTGGCTCCAGGCGGCACGGTCGTTGCATCGGCGGCAGATCCTGGCGAAGTGATCTCTGACACCACTTCAGCAAGCGACGAGAACCATGACCAGAGCAATGCTGGTCCCGTTCCAGCTGGCTGCATGCGCACCATAGGTGGCCGCATCCGTCGGATCAAGCAGAATGTCGAGCTCGAAGGTGCGCCACGCACAAATGTCGCTCTTCCACAGTGCGAGATGAGTGCGGTGGAGATACTCACCTTCTTCCCTCACCACACCCAGTGGCCGGGGGTCCTCTTTCGCCTCATTGGCAACGGCTGGAAGACCGCCGACATAGCCAAGGCCCAGGTCTTCGCACGTGGCCTGCTGGATGAAGACGGTTTAGCAGCCAGCCGTCGCAACGCATCGCTCAGGCACCAGGTTCTCACCAACGGAAAGCACGCTTTCGGCATCAACAAATTCAACTTGACACGCAACGCCGCGCTTGTCACCCCCACCACAAATTATAGCATGGCTGGCTACTTGCCTCGCCCACACGCCGGTGTGCCACCTCACCAGATTGTTTTGCTCGACCACAAGCTTATCGATCTGGCAAAGGACGTATTCAACATGCCGGAGCCTTAGGACGAAGGCATCGTGACGAAGTGCATCGACTGGGCTGTTCAAAACCGTGACGACAGCGCAATGGTCTCCCAGATTGTCAACATTGCTCAGACCCAAGGCTTCACCATGCCGGCCGGTGCTCAGACGACCGACTGGGACGAAAGTGGCCGTAACCGTGTACGTGCGTGGTAACACGGTCAGGCGGAGGTTAAAGCCATTCCATCACCAGCGGCAGTGGCAGAGATGCTCGCCGCAACGCCTGCAGATGGTGACATTGGTGGCGGTAGGGTTCGACATGGCAAGAGGTTTGGCTGGTTGAGCGAACCGAGCCGGAGACTGGGTGGCACTGTGGTTCGAAATCGTGTTTCTTGCCTACGACGTGCGTTCTGCAAGCTTGAAGGAGCGACTGTGCTTGTACAGCATGGCGTTCTGCGGCATGATGTCCTTCAGCGTGGCAGTTTCCAGCAGGTTGGGCGGAGAATCAATGGATGAAGGGTCAGGAAGTGAGGTCGGAAGAGGGCCCCACCCTACCGCCAAACTCCAGACAGTCACTGGCAGAAGCGATGGGATTGGGATTGCAATGAGTGGCTTCAGTCAGGCGGATGAGAATAGTATGATCAAACTGTTCATTCAGAGATCACGAACCACTTTGTCTATGTAGTCAAGACAAAGACGAGCTGAAAGCGGCGAGGCTTGTACATTTGTGCCCGTCATTGTTGTTCTCCCTTCCCTTCAGATTGCTCGTCTCCAAGCATCACTGTGGAGCGTTCGACAGGAGGACTTGATGGTATCCACGACATGTCTACGTGCTTGCGGTCGCTCCAGCACTCTATGTATAGTCCTTTACATGTAGCGCTCCGCCGGCCATGACCTGCAACGCCCCAAAGGGGGCCACCGGTCATCAGTGCTCTCATTGATTGTGGACATCCACATCTTTGAGGCGATGTAATGATGTGGCCACTAGCATTGTGCAAGAACGTGGCCTTACGCTGCTTAAGACGGGCAGGTCCACTAGAGCCGACATTAAAGCCGTGGGGTGAAGCTACGTAGTCTCTCTGTGTCCTATGTCCACGGATGAGCTCCGAGAATCCAAACCACATCCAGTCGTTGTGTGATCCCATTTACGCTGACACTTGTTGAGCGCCATCATGCAGCTGCGGTGCTGCGCCCGCCCCTGCTGCTTTCTCCCCAAGATCTACCCTTTGCACGTCTAGCAAGGCCGCAAAGTCGCACCCAACAGTCAACATGGCCCGCGCCAGTACAGTCCAAAGCAAATGGACAAACAGCCTAGTTTGTGGAACGATGGTAGTGTTTCGATCAAGTCCAGTCTTACAGAAATTACACACCAGAGTTAGCGTTACTGGAGCAGGCGATCCAGGTATATGCGGAAACGTGCCAAAGGCCTGGGAGCGATGACATCTTGGGCAAGGGAGGCACTGTTGATGCCAGAGTCGGATTGGTTCATTCTTCGCTTTGAAGCAAGCAGCTTCCACTGCTGTTCGACAGCCCACGCATAGGTCATTCGACGTAGACACCATGGAGGAGATGCGGCTTCGATAGTATCGAAGATCGCGGTTGACATCCATGACGGACATGTCCCTCAAGAACGGCTCCATCAGTTCATTGGGTGAGTCAGAGGATCCACTCAAGGCTATCCGGATGAGAAGCTTCAAGTTGTAAGCGACTCCGGTGACTAGTGACATGAACTTCTGCGTGACACCATTGGGAGGTGAAGTGGATTTATGCGACTCCACAACGTCCTGCATAAGCGCCACTATCTTCTTACAGAGTAGTTTCGACTCTCTTGAAAAAGCTACACCTACGTTGTTATTAGTACGGATCGTCGTGGAATGCCACCGCGTACTGACGTACCTGCTAGACTGGTTCGAAGCCTCCTTTCGTTGACCGATTCCAGTACCGCAAAAAGAAAACCTACCGACGACAAGACAAGGGATATCCTCTGTATAGCAAGTTGAGCATCATCGGACTTAGGGCTTGCCACGAATAGCTCAGAAATCGTTGCAGCCGCCTTTTCTTCGAAGGTACTCAGGATACTCCACGTCCGAGATATCGTGTCCTCGATGGAGGCTATCCGTTGCGACAAGGCCACTATATCGAGCTTCTGGCCGTCCATATCAGTCCAGAAGCTGCCGACTTTACGTATCGGTACGATATTGGACATTGTACAGTTCCAATATTTGTGTATCATGTAACATTCCGGATGCCAGTGTTGGTTTTGGCCGTCCCTGAATATCTCGACGAATTGCTTTAAGACGGGCAATGTGCAGCCCTTGCAGATTTTGGCGAAGGCCGAGGCGTAATGAACCAAGCAATAGATCCCACCGTCATGCTCGTAGTATGAGTCGCTAGAGCCGAAAAGAGTTATGCAAGACTCGTACCCACATCCGAAATGGTCGGTATGGTACTTTCGGTCCAGCGCGGTGACGTATGAACCACGCAAACTCTCGCCGCAGCTATAGCAGAGCAGATCCAACCTTCGGAAGTAGTCTCGTTCACACAAGGGATGTTGTTGGGACCCATCTCCAGGAACAGGAAAGAACTTGGTAGCCACAATTTTGCCACAGTCCTAATTCGCACGTCAGTGGAGTACCAGAAACACTGGAAAAGGCAATGCCCCGCACCTGACAGGTAAAGCATTCCAAGTGGAAAGTCGCGCCCAGTGCCCGGACGAATTGTCCGCTCAGAACCTCGTTGCACTTGCGACATGTTCGCTGAGGTCGGGATGTGGCCTCGGCGGGTATGCTCGGAGTAGGTGAACGGGTACCCCTTGGGGAGCTGTTGACTTCCGGAGTTCCACTGGGTTTCACGTCTAGCTTTTCTGCAGAGGCATCGACCGACCTGGGTCTGTCGCTAAGGACACGGTTGGGAATGTTGATGAGACTGGAATGCGTAGCAGCCAGACCGGACCGTATGCTTGCCTCGGTAGGTATATGCGAAGGCAGCACAGGTTGTGGTTCAGGAGTCCTACTTTCGCTCACGTCGAGCGGGAAATCGAAATTGCCTGCAGCTTCCGAGGTGGGTTCGTCAATCTACACAATCAATTTAGCGCACAGATCCTGCGTCGTGTGGACAGCAGAGATGCATAGCGAGATTCTCAAGACATACAATCACTGAAAAGCGAAGGCCAAGTAGATCGTCAGAGATCGCCTTTACTCCGGCATCCTGATCAGCAACTTGGAATTGCCGAAGCGTGTCGTTTTCCGAAAAGTCGATGAGATCTTGGTCTGGTTCTTCCGTTTGCTGTCGAGGAGCGCTAGTTTGTTGCCTGGCTGCTGCTAAGGCTCGTCGGTAAGCTGCGCTGTTGACAATGATGTCATCAAAGTCGAATTCGAGGTCGGAAGACGCCAGTATAGAATCGGCTTTCGAGTAGACGCTCGCTCGATCTTCCTGACTGTAGATTGACTCGGCCACTCTGATTAGTGGGTGAGAACGGCGCAGCGTGTTGGTTCGCTCTACCGTTTTCTTCAGCTCAGGAGCGTTCCGCTGTAACAATTGCGTGATCTCATTCAGAGAGTCCCTGCTGTGGTAAGCCAAGTGGTAATTCTGCCCATTAGCCGGTACGGCACGTACATCTGTAGAAGCTGAATCAGCGTGTTGATTGCCAGCTGCTGCCCTCGGATACCATCCAGAAGCTCTTGGAACTTCTCCTGCTTCCAGACGGTCTTCACTTTGCCCAGCCACGACAGCTTATCCAGGCCTCGGGCGTGCCTGGATACCTCACGAATCTCCTCGTCCAAGCAGCTGAACAGGACCATACAACCGGTCAGCGAGGTGTCTAAGGTCGCTGCTACCTCAGGTCTAGAGCGGAGGAGCTGTTCCGGGTTCTGCTTCGACAACACAAGGGCTTGAATCTGAGAGAGGGAGGCGCTGATGACAGCGACTTCGGCAGAGATCGCAACCATATTCCGTGGAGCATCTTGATACTTGCAAGACAGATCGTATATGGCTTTCCCTGTCGTCAGGCATGTTGTGGTAATCTTGGTCTAGGAATTGATCATGAGCGGGTTGACATAAAAGCACGCGAAAGTAAATGAATAAACGGCGGACTATGCTGCTTGCGATTGGCAGCCAAGAAGCGCCTTTGCACACTGTCTTCAACATACGCCGGCGAGACTTACGACTGTGGCTGCGATAGTAAACGGGTCCATCCAAGCAAGCGGCAGATGGTAAAGAAATTGTGCCCTTCAAGAAGATAGAGAGAAAGTGCACAGTAAGACAGTATACGGTTCATACTTCAGCTCCGGTCAAAAGACGTCCTCGCCGCGAGCAGGGCTGGAGCGGGCACTGTTGATGCAGGTCATGATAGTACATCTGGAAACGGTATAGACCAGAGGCGCGTATAGCGGTCCGTTTCGATAGCGCTGCAGGTTGCGAAGTTACCGGATCCTCGAGCATGGAGATGGCGGGAGTCGGTCGTGTGGGAGATATATCGGAGTTCCTCTAAAACCGATCGTAGAGGTGGCCATGACAGAGCTGGAGACAGTCACGCAGACAGGCGAGGAACGACAGCAGATTACAAGTAGAATTGTGCATGCTGTTGAGTGTGTACGGCTTAAGCCGCTCTTGCTCCCCGAGCGCCGACGTCAGCGTCTGTGTTTAAGACTTGCCAAGCCAACCATAGTGCTCGAGCAGGCGCGGTCACCGTACACCATACCGATGTATTGCAATGAGGCGTAAATACAGTAGCAATAATATAACGATTCGAAGTATGATGCATCTGGAATCTGAAGCATAGGATAATGCAGTGATGACCACCCTTCCACCCGACTCATACACTGCCCGACGACTCGAGCATAGTACACCCGAGCATCTCCACGCAACAGCACGCCGCGCATTCATAGGGCCTATTCCCGAAGGATGGCTCAAGAGCCACCGGAAGTCATGGTACAAGCGTTACGTATCTGGCGGTAGGACACCAACTTTCACTGCTGCACGTCCAATATCCGGAACCGATGCCCGAGAGCCCGTTGCACCCGAGAGCGACGCAGCAGACTTGCCAAGACCTAGTAGTCAGAGCGCGCAGACCAATGGTGCAACAGCGGATACAACAGCGAGTACGACAAGTCTCCTCCACGGTCAACGAGCTGCAGCAGCAAGTGAGAATGAGACCGCCCCAGAGACCGAAGATGCAGGACAAAGCCAGACAGACGGCGGGCATCTGTCGCAACGGGCAAGCAGTCTGCCGCTGCTTGATCAGGTGGCGAACAAAGTTAGTACCAACGTGCCGCGCATACGATTCAGCGAGTCTGCAAAGCACCAGCTGCGGCACAGAGCACAGCGGCTGGCGGCGAGAGGGACCTTTAAGTGGAACAAGCTACGAGAAGGCGAAGTGCTGAAGATGGACCGCATGCTGGTGCGGATGGACATTACTCAGCAGACGGTGGGCGCAGCATTCGACGAGCGCATCAGTGAAGGCGTAGAGACGAAATCACTAGATAAATGGCGGGAATTCATGATCGTGTGCCGCAGACACTCGGAGGAGGATGCAGAATCGGTACTGCAACTCTATCAAACGAGGGTCATTGCTGCGTCGGCCGCAGACGTCGGTAAGGCAAAGAAGCGGCCAAAGTTCGACGTTCTGCTGAGCCCGCGGCGAGCGCATGTCGATTTGTATTCAAGCTTAGACAAAACGCTGTGTGTCTGGACGACGAAGAACGCAAGGACAACCATCTACTATCTCCGACCACAGTCGTCGGCAGCGTCCGTAGAATGGTACACCTTCTTGCGTGGCATACTCGGCTGGAAGCGAGCACAGACACTTCAGGTTAATGTGCCGGATCTGAGTGTTTGCTTGCGGCTTGATGATCCGTTTGGGATCGTGGAGTCAAGCAAGCTCTTATCCGAGGCTGCCGAGGGCGATGACACTGCGCTTCTGCGGGCCGTGAATCAGGAGCAAGGTGCTGCAGGCGCCATCATCGCACGTTGTGTGAAAATGCTTGAAGCTTCTCCGGAGTGGACGGACGTACTGAAAGCATGGGCCCAGTACGGTCGAGTCGGCTTGGCATGGAAACGCTACGATCGCCTTGAGTGGGTGTACGGCGCCATCGAGCAGCGCATGTACGGCACTGTGGCCATGAACAAAACGCACGAGCTAGAACTTCGACCGAAGGACCACTATCCGCTCTACACAAAGACACAGGACGGAGATCGACTAGACGAACCGTTGCCTGTTGAAGGCTTCCTCATCCGCCTAACGTCGCAAAAGGGACACGAGCGCAGAATGGGCAAGATGCTGTACAAGCGCCTGTACTTCACCAGCCAGAATCAGTACCTATTGTTCCTTCGACCGGCGCAAGCTACGCCGCCTCCTCCACCGAAGATGGCAGTACGTGCGAACGGTAATGTACCAACTACCAAGCAACTTGTGGATGAAGTACCGCAGAGCTACGATGTTGATCCTTATCCGCTCGAAGGGAGGCACATCTCGTGGCTAGATACGGAAGCTGTGAAGTCACGCGCCGACCAAAAGGCGCATGATAACGAGGCTGCAGTGGAGGCGGATCGCAACGTCAACATGCTGATGCGCTGCGACGGGTTCATCGACCTGTGCGATGTCAAAAGCGTGCGTAAGATGCATCGTGGTGCCACGCCCGCCGACGAAAACCTGGAAGAAGGCCCAGATGTTGAGTTCAACACTGCGGATGAGTCGCAGGTTGGCACGAACAACAGCCGCACCGACGATGGAGATACTACTGAGGTGGACGATGATAGAGTCTTCGAGCTCGTACTCAAAAACGGTCTCATCGTTCGTCTCCAGGCACACGACACGACTGCGCGAAACTTATGGATGGTTCGTGTCCGTGCGCTCGTACACTACTGGCATCACCGTGCAAAGGCAGACATGGATCTCTTCAAGTCCGTTCGTGCGCAGAATCTCACCGCTCTCAACATCGACGAGCGTGCCGAGGCGCAAGTCGGCAGCTTCGCTTACAAGTGGGAGGTCAGCCAAAGTTATGCAAGTCCGATTATGTACAACATGTGTGGCATCGCGCAGTGCCGTGCCATACACCTATCTGGCCTGCTTTTCCGGAAGCCTAGGCGCCACACAACCTTCACTCGCTGCCACGTGATCCTTTCGCACGGCCATTTACTGATCTTCCAGGACACGCTCCGTGCTCGCTCCGGCCAAAAGCTCGTCCATATCCACCACGAAAGGATCGCTGCTATCGACCTTCAAGGCTGCTATCTCTACTCCGGTCTTTTGACGGCGAATGACCTCCTGTACCAGAACAAAACCTTCGATTCAAACGCACCGGGCCACCATGCTCTTCCCCGCATCTACTTGGAGGACAACTGGACCAGCACCGATGAAGATGCCATGACCACGTTCGTCATCTGGCACGCAAAGTCGAAGTCATGGTTCCGCAGCTCGCAGTTCGTGGATGACGTGCGTGACCGCGAGGCAGATTCCGCAAGGCAAGACGGTGATGCTGCAGGCGCGAAGACGAAGACGAAGCTTACTAGGGTCAGTCAGCTGGGCGCAACGGGAAGGAGCGTGGTTTTCAAGGCCCGCTCGCGTGCTGAGAGGGATCATTGGGTGATGGGCATACAGGTGGAGATTGAGCGGTTGGCAGCAATGGAGAGGGAGCTGGGCAGTGAGGATGTGCGATTGGTCGAAGACGGGAAGGCACGCAAGGCAAGTCATTGATTCGTCAGTATTCTCATGCTTGCGAGCACATAGTTTTGTTTGACACACGAAGCGAGGCGTTAGGACATTGCACAGATACCCACAGTCCAGCAGAAGTTCGGCTTAGCGCTTAGACAGCGCAGACGCACTGAACATGTGGGCACAACGGTTGCATAGCGGTTGAGATACATATTTGTAATGCATGGATGTTATTGTTAAGCTATCGAGCCTGGATCGCTATGTCGCTTCTCAGGACAATGCATTCACCGCAGACCGAAACGTTTGCTGGTGCCTAATCCGAGTTTATTACCTTGAAGCACAACCGCAGCTTCGACCATACTACACATTGCACCGTTCTGTCGACACAGGTGTGCTCACAGTCAACCTACAATTCCTGTAATAGGACAGCACCTGGTCGCCACATACCGTGATCGGATTGGCACAAAGCTTCAGCTTGACCAACAAAGGTAAGATGTGATCTGCTGCTCTCGAAGTCCCAGCCACTTACGGAAGGCCAAAATGTCTTCATGCCCAACCGCTGACCGAGGGCGTTTCAGGAATCGGCTCAGTGAAGGGCGCTAATCAGGTTCTCGAAACGGGCCAGTCTGGCGAATCGACGACAGCAGAACCACGTGCTGACCTATCAGCAGCCGAGAGTGTCACACCTGACAGCAACGGAAGCGAGGAGGGCGACACTGGTCTTGTTGGCATTAGCTATTACCCAAGTATCTGGCCAACAGTGATTGCGCGAATCAACCAGAGCACAGTGAAGAAGATGCTAAGCCAGATGGCTAATACGGCGCTGGCAGACATTGACTTGCTTGGCGAAGGCTAGCTTGTGGTGGCTGCAGAAAGTGTTTCTTTTCTACCTCGATTCTTGCTGGTCAGTTTGCAGTCTGGGCTTGATGAAACGACTTACAACCCCATCTCCCTCGCCTTCTTTAGCAACCTCCGCTTCTCGTCCCTCACCATTGGCACCTCTTCCGGGAAGCTTTCCCTCCAGTTTTCCTTCCCGCCAAGATAGCGATAGACCACTCTCGAGTCCAAGCCTTCGCACTTAGGATCTTTGCTCGCCTCATCGTACACCCTCAAACCCTCGTGGCCTAGCGCGAGCTTCACGCCAACCCTCTCTGCAGTATCTACGGCAAGCCCAACGTCCTTCCTCATCAGACCAATGCGGAAGCCACCCTTGTAACCTTTGCTCGATGGAGCATCGGGGCACAGCCCCGGTACAGGACACCAATCATCAAGGATCGCTGACTGGGCGGTCGACGTATGGAAGATGTTCGCCAGTACACGTGGATCCATACCCGACGCCATGCCAATGTTCATAGCTTCGCTGGTAGCAATCGAGATCATAGCGCTGCAGTAGTTGTTGCAAAGCTTAGCTGTCAGACCCAAAGCAGGCCCACCACAGCAGAATATATTGCCACCCATCATGCCAAGCAGCTGTTTCAGTAAGCTTACGTTTGCGTCGTCTTCTGCACAACCGAGCATGAACGTCAATGTTGCCTTGTCGGCGCCAAGCACTCCACCGGAGACTGGCGCATCGTAAAACCTGGCCCGTGGGTGCTGTTCAGCGCAAGCATCACGTACGGCAAGCGATGTTCCAGTATCGATTGTAGAGCAGTCAATCAATACCTTCGAGCCGACGTCGCCAGCTAATACGCCCATTTCTGGGGTAAGGTATACAGCACGGACATGGCTGCCTTCAGGTACCATCGACAGGACTAAGTCCTGCAAGAAGAATATTAGTGCTATCGCTCAGGCGGACGGTGCTACCCAAGCGCGGCATACGGACTTGTCAGTGACCTCTCGTGAGCTTACGCAGGCATGCACTCTGCCCTGTCCTTCTTCAACAAGCCGTTTGACGGCATCCGGCACAACGTCGTATATGTAGAACTGAGTGTCATTGCTCATCTTCTTGAGAAGGTTGCCTGCCATGGGTAAACCCATCAGGCCCAGGCCGATCCAGCCGACACTCTTTGGAAGGTCAGCCATGCCTTGTCTGCACCCAGTGATGGTACAATATGACAAAGGCGTTATTGATCTGAGAGATCGACCGTTAACGATGGATGACGGCCGTGTCTGGCGTAGACGCGGGGTTGAAAGCCAGCGATGTCGGCTTTTCGTCAGTATGCCAGTGCGCGCTCTTCAAACGAATTCCATGCACATTCACCCTGCCTCAGCCATCTCAGTGTCTCCATTGTGCTCTGCTTCCTGGCCGCGTCTGACAGGAATACGCACCTCGCTGCCTTTACTGCCTCTCGGTGTCTCCAGTGCCTGGACCAACGCCTCGCCCTCTTCAGGACTGAGAGAATTGTTCAGGATTGTGTGCGCAGCCTCCACGACCTCATCTTCAAGTCCATATTCAAGCACTAGTTGCTCGCTGAACGCGACGCGACTCATACCAACCAAGAATTTGTGGTGCCCTCCGAACACCGTGCTAAGCTTCTGGTTTAAGTCTATAGTGTCGTACATTCGAAGTAAGTGGTAGAATAGCCGGACAGCAAGATTGACGGTTTGCGCCACCAATCCATGAGCGCTCGTAATGCCGCTAGGACATAGCATCGAAGGAGGTAAAGTGTACAGCTTGTTAACTTGCGCATCAATGAAGCGGACCAGACGGCCAATTGCGGACTTGTGCGAAGCGATCAACAGACCGCCATGATCTGTCCGACAGATGGCCTTGAGGACGTCTAACACTTGCAGCCGGAGGTCAGCAATCTCAGCGTCGGTGTAGGCAGGCTCATCATGTGCCGGCTCAGGCATCTCGAACAGCAGACACGTCAAGCGGTCGACTATCAGCGGCTCCTGCTCCGCTTGCGTCTCTGCGTCGCTGCTGATGGGGCCGTTAGTGCCGTCAAGAGCAGAAGTCGCGAGGATTTGCAATGCTGTCGTGATCTGGTAGATGGGCTGCGCTTTGTGTAGCATGAGCAATATGAACGGCATCTCCACCACACGCCAGAATGCAATTATGCGATCAGTGTAGAGCTCAGCGGCTTGAGCGAGCTGGAGTAGTAAGTCAAGAACTTCGTCTGCGCAAATATCATCTTCCAGCTTCTCTCTAGCCGGTCGGTCAAGGGTAGCTGCAAAGGTAGGGTTGATCGCTGCTCTCGCCGTCGCAGAAGCGAAAGGTTCGATGGTCCGGATGCCTAATGAAACGGCGTCGTCGATGAGCTGACAGGCCGTGGATGAGGGCTCAAGATGGAGGGCGAAGCGGATAAGATCCAGCAGCAGGTATAGTGGAGCGAAATGTTTCTCGTTCAAACAGCGGGTCCAAAGCTGGAATACAGCTCGTGACAACTTTAGCGGCAGGTACTCCTGCTTTTCGGGGATCGCTGGCCGCGCAAGCTCGTCCGTAAGAAACGTAGCGATGGACTTACCAGCAGTTGAGGGAAGACTATGCTTCGCTAGAGCTTCCAGTGTGTGCTCATGACCTTGGAACGGACTGTGATTCAGCAAGCGCTGCATGAATTCGAAGCGTTTGTCCTCCGCAAGTCGGTCACTTGCAGCTACATATCCAACATTTGTTGGCTGCTCGGTACTCTCCTGCCGCACTACTCCGGCCGGATGCGTGAAAGAAAGCGGCGCGACTGGGCTGTCGTTGGCTGTTCGCTTGCGCTTGCTGGCGTGCTTCGGCGTAACATCTTTTGGCTTGTCTTTACTCTTGCTTGGACTGATCACATGGACCTCGTGATCGTCGAAGCCATCTCCCTGCACCATTCGTTTGGCCTTTCGTGGAGTTTCTTGCTCCATTGCCGTCACTGCCGACCGAGCCTTGCCTGGTCCGTTCAGTCTTTTCGCTCTTTCCGACTCCTGCGCAAGGTCATGTTGCAAGAAGCGATTATCCGTCTCCATTTTCTCACGTTCCTTCTTACCAGCCTCTAGCTCCGCTTTCGTCTTCATCGCTTCATCCCTATGCAACTTCTGCATGACTGCGATTCTGCGCTCATACTCCTTTGTGGTCTTGTCATGATTGGCCCTTACAATGGCGATCTCACCCTGCTTTCTAGAAGCAGCGTCGCGAGCGTCCTGCTCAGCTTGGCGCAGACGAACCTGCTCCGCCTCGAGCTCGGCCACTCGTGCCTGGAGGGCAGCAAGATCAACGCCATTGCTCGCTTCAGCCTCCAAATCCCACCCTTTGGGAGCGTGAGCACCAAGCTCAGCATCAGCTGCTGCGAACGCCGCCTCAGTCTCCGCATCTAGAGCAGCTTTTGCTGCATATCGAGATGTCACAGGGCCAGATGGCCGGCTTGGTTGCAGACCTGGTCGTGCAAGCGGAGCTGTGCTGCGAGGGACAACAGCAGAGGGACCGGCCAGATCAACGACGTCTTCTTCGTCAAGCCCATAATCGGACGACGGCGGACCGGCCGTGTTAGCTCGAAGGCCATTCGAGTGGCCTGAGCCTGACTGGCTGCGTTGCTGCGAAAGCTTCCACGGTCCTTGCTGGCCTATACTGCCGTTTCGTGACAGACTCGAAGGCTTCCGGAGAGGCTTCTGCACAGGACGAGACTGTTGAAGTGCAGTCTTGGCCCGCTGGGTAGAGGCAAACGCATTCAGTTCGAGTTCCTGAAGGGTGTTGTCCGCGAGTCCGTCAAGGTCGTCGTCGAGCATGAACTCGTCGTCGTCGTCGCCCATCGTAAGACTGCCGAGCTTCCATAGCCTCTGCCTCCAGTGAGTGCTCGCTACACTGCACGAATAAAGCGCATATTTACTGTCTCCAAACGCAGACGCGAGGTTCACTTAGCGCGTCTTCAGGCATAGACTTTGGAGCCTTAGGCCAATTGAACGGAAATATTGAGTGAAGAAGTGAAGGCGGCCAACATCTAGTGAGTAACTGTGCGTCCGTAAGAGTAGATAGCTGTGCCTATCATATAGTGCTCATGTACATCGTCAACGTCCGTGCCACGCCTTGAGCGCTGCAGGTATAGCTTCGCTACCAAGCCCGGCTCTACGCCTGGGAGCAACGCCAACGCCAAATGCTAAGCCTACACTATACCGCGCTACCAGCCTGCTCGCCTCAAGATCCCGAGCGAGTCGAACTTCTCCCTCGTCTGGAATCCGCATCGCTGGTAGCGGCTTCGTAAGTCGGTATCGGCGGACTCCGCTCCCCATCGGATGCCAGAAGAGGCTGCCGCTCATTCTGCTCGGATGCTCGTGGCGTGTCATCCGAGCCATCATCATCAACCTCCTCCGGACTCTCGTACTCTGGTGGTGGGTGGTCGTGTGGCTCGAATGGTAAGCCAGGATCAATACGCTGCGGTTCTTGCGGCGATTCTTCAGAAGAAGCATCAGCGCTTGTGCCTTCTCCAATATCTTCCTCCTCGGGAGTCGGATCCATCAGATTCAGCTGCGCTAGCGAAATATCTGTGGGCGATCGTTCAGGGCCTGGACTCCGCGTTGGCCGGCCCTGTAACCGCACCTGCGCACTGTTCGTCCGGCCATGACCGCCTATGTAGCCTTGCCCTTCACGAACGCCTTCTCGGCCGCCCTCCAACAGTATGCTGCCAGCCTCACTGCCATATGGTGGAGGCGGCGCCAAGCTTCCAGTCATGGGTGCCAGACCCCATTTTTTGACATTCGCTTCGATGAAGACAAAGCCCATCTGTCCGAAGTTGACGTGAACATTGGCTGGTCCGTTTGCTCCAACTGTGGGAAAGAAGTTCTGCAACTTAAGGCCATGAGCGACATCGTCCAGCTTCTTGCCATTGCGCGTGAAGAACACAGTGCCAGTCCGGGGCCTATATCCTACCCCAATGACATCGCCTTGCACGAACGGTGGGCCGTAAGTGGTCGGTGCAAACGGCTGGTTAAAGCGACGGTGGCCGGTCGAGGTGTATGCGATTGATGTCCGGTGCAAACCGGGTAGCCTGAACAGCGGATATGGTTTTGTCGTCACTCCAATGTTAACAATCGTCGCATCCGGCTTATCGTACAGCTTCGCTTCCCAGTAGTAAACTTCATTCTGTTTCGGTATTGGCAGGTTACTCTGGACGCTGCACTCTGCGTCGAAGAACTCAATCTCCGTCCGTGCCTCGACAAAGCAGTTAGCAATCTCCAATTCCGGCTCAAACTCCCACGCGGAGACGCCCTTTTCTTGTATAGCAAGAAACTGTGATAGTGAAATATCCGTCTGTGCAGACTCGGGTGGGTTTGCTTGGACGAATGCTAGCCACAGACGTTAGCTTCCAAGTCATTGATCGAATTCACATCTCTTGTGATATACCTTTCGCCCTGTGATACTCAGCCCGCTGCAAGTCGTCCATCTCCGCCAACGCCTCCTCCTCTTCCCGCAGGAACTGTTGCTCATCGTCGAACTCGCCAGGCCTGCTCATACGGTCCAAGAGAATGCGGCCTCGCATAGTATACCGGAAGAAGTAGATTATGGCTATCACAATCGCGACCAGCGCAGCAGATCCGAAGGCAGATAGCATTCCAATAAGGATGCCTTTGCCTGTAGATCCAAGCTGCTGTATCCGGGATGCTCCTGGCTCGGTCCACCACGGATCTTCTGCCACACCATCTCCGCCATGGCTATTGGGCGCATGCTCCAGTCGCCAGTGTATGCTGCCTATGTGACCTTCTGCGTCGAAACTCGACGTCTCTTGCGCCGTAGAGACGTAGGATGTGGTGAACGTCGGGTTGCCATTGTGAAGCGCCGCCTGCGCCATCGGCTATGGTCCGCTCAATGCTGGTATATTACGTCCGCTTCTTGCAGTCCGCCCTCCACAATGTTATTGCGCCTAAGTCGTCCTGATATTTGTGTGTCGACGTAGAGAAGCGACTCCCAGCTCCGGCCTATTGGATAGCCAACACGAGAGTCGTTGTGAGAACCAACTGCCAACCGTTGCTATGTTACCAATGAAGCCGAGTATGTTGTCGCGGATACTAGGCACGAAACGGTTGGACGACAGCATTGCTTCATCACGCACGCTCCAAGAGCGGAGTACGGCGGCGGCGCCGCGCCACGCAATAGGCACGTGCGTGATAGCGAATTAGCGCCTACCCGCTCTCGGTAGCGATAGCCGTAGATCTGTGGCTGTGGCTCTGCTTTGACGTTGTACAACCAACGAGAAGGCGGAGCGTGTCCATCGCAATTGGCACAACAAAGGTTGAGTAAGTCGGTTTCTCGTTTCAAGGAGGACTAGTAGACTGTCTACTGTATTATGTGAGATCTACCGGACACCAAACGCAAACGAACTTTTCACTCGCTTCTCAACCATACTCCGTGACGCATAACAGTCATTTCATTTTCCCTCATGCACCATTCTGCTTCGGCGGTGTCAAAGGCTCGACATTCCCTGTCCATGTTCGTTAGCGTGAATCAGCGACATCGATAGATACGCAGCACTTACAGATCATCTCCGCATACTCATCGATACACCGGTCACTGCTGAAAAAGCCCATCCGGCTCACGCTCGTGATAGTCTTGGTCAACCACGCCTCCTGGTCCTTGTACGCCTCGTCAATGAGCTTCTGCGTGTCAATGTACGACTTGAAGTCGTCAGACACGAGGTAGTAGTCTCCGTGCTCCACAATCGAGTTGACCAGAGCCGAGAACTGGCCGGCGTCACCGAACATGCCGGACTTGATGGTGTCGAACACTTTCTGGAGCATGGGGTCGAGCTTGAAGTCGCCGTAGAAGTGCTGGTGCCGTAGGTCCTCGACATCTTCGGAGAGGTTGCCGAAGAGGAAAATGTTGTCCTCGCCGACTTCACGAGTAATTTCGATGTTCGCACCATCGCATGTACCAATAACCAGCCCACCGTTGAGCACAAACTTCATATTCGACGTGCCGGAAGCCTCCGTTCCAGCCGTGGAGATATGCTCACTGATATCACTAGCCGGAATAATGATCTCCGCCTTGCTGACATTGTAGTCCTCCAAGAAGACCACCTTGAGCAGGTCTCCTATCTCCTTGTCCGCGTTGATGACCTTACTGACCTGGTTGATGAGATGAATGACCGTCTTCGCCATCCAGTAACCAGGCGCCGCCTTACCACCGAAGAACGACACGCGCGGCTGCACCTTGTTGCGATCCTTCGGAGACATCGCCTTGAGCTCGAGATAGCGGTGGATAACGCCGAATATGTTCAGCTGCTGGCGCTTGTACTCGTGGATACGCTTGACCTGAATGTCGAAGAGAGCCTTCGGGTTGACTTTGATGCCTTGCACTTCTAACGTATACGCTGCAAGACGGGCTTTGTTGGCGTACTTGATGTCCTGGAATGCCTTGCGGAACTCCTTGTCGTCGACATACGCTTCGATCTTGTGGAGGAGCGTTAGGTCACGGAGGTAGTCGTAGCTGCCCAACTTGCTGGCGATGAGCTCGGAGAGACGCGGGTTCGCCTGGTGCAGCCAGCGGCGCGGCGTGATGCCGTTGGTGACGTTGGTGAACTTGTCTGGGCCATAGATCTTGACGAAGTCCTTAAAGATCGTAGTCTTGATGAGGTCGGAATGCAGCTCGGCGACACCGTTGACCTTGTGGCTGCCAATAAGCGCGAGGTAAGCCATGCGCACCATCTTCGGATTGGATTCCTCGATGATCGATACGCGAGACAGCATGTCGCGCTCCTTGGGGAAGTTACGCTCGACGTATTGCAAGAAGTTCAGGTTGATGTCATAGATGATTTGAAGGTGGCGAGGCAGGAGGTGCTGAATGAGCGGCACAGACCACTTCTCGAGTGCTTCCGGAAGCACGGTGTGGTTGGTGTAGCCGAAAGTGGACTGTACAATGCTCCATGCTTCGTCCCACTCTAGGCCCTCCTGGTCAATCAGGATACGCTGAAGCTCAGGAATGGCGAGCGTCGGGTGGGTGTCATTGAGCTGAATGGCGACCTGATTCGGGAAGTCCTTCCACGCCTTCTTTGACTTCTTGAAGCGGCGGACGATATCGTAGAGTGATGCAGCGCACCAGAAGTACTGCTGCTTCAAGCGGAGTTCCTTACCACGCTCCAGGCTGTCGTTAGGATACAACACGGCGGAGATGGTCTCCGCACGCTGCTGATCAGCTACGGATGCCTCGTACTCACCCGAGTTGAACTTCGTGAAGTCAAACTCGCCGTGGGAGGCCTTGCTAGACCACAAACGCAGGTTGTTCGTTGTCCTCGTCCCGTAGCCGGGGACAGGCGCATCGTACGCCACAGCGGTGACAATCTCGCCGTTCTCCCACACACTGACCTGCTTACCGCTCTCGTCCATGTACTTCCGGACATTGCCGTAGAACTGCACGTCCACGGTAACATCATGGCGAGGGAACTCCCACGGGTTAAAGTCAAGCCAGTAATCCGGCACTTCGACCTGGTAGCCATCAATGATCTCCTGCCGGAAGATACCGTACTTGTACCTCAAAGCGTAGCCCCAAGCCGGGTAGTTGAGCGTAGCAAGGGAGTCGAGGAAGCAAGCCGCAAGACGACCCAGACCACCATTACCCAACGCAGCATCTCGCTCCTGCGAGACAATGTCTTCCATACGGAAGCCGAGCTCCGAGAGACCCTTGCGGGCTACGTCCTTCATGCCAACGTTGAGCATGGCATTGTCTAGCGCTCTGCCCATCAAGAACTCGAGGGAAAGATAGTACACTCTCTTCTGGTCAGCGAGCGTCTGCTGCTGTTGCGTGCGGTTCCACTCAATGACCAGCCGGTCACGGAAGGCCAGAGCTGTGCCGGAGTAGGCGGCGGCCTCATCGCAGTTGAAAAGGGAGCGGGCGAGAGTGGTTTCGATGTGCTTGACGACCGCCTGTTCGAACTCATCCGGGGTCGTGAATTCTTTGGCCGAGTACTTCTTCCATCTGCGGACAGACACAAGCTCGTCAGTTAAGGCTCGTTCTTGGAAAAGAGCGAATGTTGTCACTTACGCCGCTCGTTGTGGCTCAGGAATGCTCGCCTCAACACTCTTGATTTCTTGAGCACCAAAGCCTGTGACGGTCCGCTTGTGCTTCGGCCTTGTGATGCCTTCCGGGCCAACAGGACCCTGGAAGTCAGTGATGGGAGCGGAAGTGGACGGCTTCCGCTCTCGCTTGCTCTCGGTGGTTGCCATCTTGCCGTAGTCTAAAGCAATCAAGTGAGGGAAGAGGACCGGAATACTTAATCACGTTGAGGCTGAACAGATGCTAGGAACAGGACAAGCAGTGCTGCGACGACGTGGCTAGTCGTGCCGGAGCTAAGTGGCAGCACATCGGCAGCGTGTTTATCGAGGGCCTCGAGCTCCCTCGACTCCACACAACACTCCTCGCGTGCATTGAAGGCGGGGTGATGTGGGGCACTCTGTGCACTTGTCAGCCGCCGATCAGCGTTTCTAATGCGCATCGGCGGAAATGCACTTGCGGACGCGGTGAGTAGCATAAGCATATGCTCTTAATGGCATCGTGCTGTTGCTACAATGCCTACAATGTCTCTGCACACGCATGCACATGAGGTTCCTGCCCAATGCACCGCTAAGCAAGCCAGTCTCCGACGCCAACAGACTCCTTGAACACTTTCATCTCCGCCGAGCATGCAGCTGCAGATTTTCGCCCAGATACTCAAGGACCTTTATGCTGACCTGTCCTTGATTGTAAAGGTGCTTCGCTAGCCCTTTCACGACCTCCATCTGTTCTTCCGGTGTCAGGCCTGTGATAGCCGTCTCGATCACGCTGCCTACGGACGCCTTGTACACTGCGATAAACGACTGGTAGTACATGAACGCGAAGAAGCCCATGATGAATTGACAGTCCATGCGGTCCGTCATGCCGCCATGACCGGGTATGCTGTCGCCAAAGTCCTTGATGTTGAAAGTTCGCTTGAGGCCGGAAGCGAAGAAGCCGCCAAAGGGTGCGATCAAGCTGGCGAACGTGCTCATGATCATGATGTGAAACTGCATGGGCGAGACGGTAACCTTGGTTGGTAAGAATGTCCAGTTGTGTGGAACGAATGGAAGCTGGTATGTGCGCGGGATAAAGACGGGATTCGGTTCGCATTCCAACCCGGTGAAGATGTTGGCGCCGAGGTCGTTGACGGGGCAGATGAAGTACTTGTACTTCATGAGAAGGTTGGTGAGAGCGAAGCCGAGGATGATCGTGCAGATCCAGGCGCCGACAAAGCCTGCAGAGACAATCAGTGAGAAACTACACCATCCGAAGTGTATACTACGTACCTTCGACAGTCTTCTTCGGGCTTAGCTTGATAAGCTGTGTTCGCCCGAAGGTGATGCCGCACACGTAAGCGAAGATGTCGTTCGTGATGACCAGTGAGACGGGCAGGAAGAACCAGATCATGCCTTCGAAGATATTGTTCATGATGAAGTGCGCTTGCACGACGATTAGGTAGAGGGCCATATGAGTCCATGCGAATTGTGTGAACTGGAACTTGTAGTGACCCTTCTGCAACGAGGCGACGAAGAAGACGAAGCCTATCCATCTCTGTCAGTAACGACCGCAGCTCTATCCGTAGAAGCGTGACTCACCCATAACATATAGCATAAAACTGATGAACCGATGATGAGTCGCAAACGGTAGCAAGACCCGGTCGATCAAGACGATGTGCTTGAAGTAGTATATCACACTTTCGCCATACAGGAAGTACATGGTCGTGCCGAGGAAGTACCAGTTTAGCGTCTTGGTGAACCGCAGACTCCTGGCTCGGGAAGGCACGTTCGATATCGCAATCACCTCCTTGAACGAGATGATCTGTACGGCTGTCACAATGATGATGATATAGATATGACCGGCGAACATGGCGCCAAAGAAGATGCCGATCATGATGAAGGTCCAGAGGGCGCGAGTCCAGAAGTTCTGCTTCTTCTTCTCCGCCTCGGCTTTCTTCAACTCAGCAGCCTGGAGACTAGTAGTCAGCCATCATCATCGTCATTCCACGCGCCGTGCGACACATACAGTATCATCATCCTCATTCTCCGTCGCCCATCCGCTGGCGCTGGTGTCGGTCCTATCGAATCCAGGCCGCTCGTGCTTCTCGTCAAGCTTGTGTATGCTGCCGTTCGTGGCGCGTGTAGGGCTCTTTGCGCCATTGCTGCGACTCGAACTGCGTGCGTCGCCGTTCATGTCGGAACTACTCTTGCTCATCCGACGTTCGCGAGTCTGGAAGTGGACGTTTGACTTCTTGGTCATGATTTGTTTGCGGGGCTGGCAAAGTGTGCAGAACAGTCGTGGATTGCCTGATGGAAGGCCCCTTACTCTGTGACTCTTCTTCGTCACAGGTGTCGCTCGTTCCTGAATGATCCGCTGCGATGGAGCGCCGCGGAAGATGGACACGTGCTTCACTGCGCGACGTTCGAGATCTTCGTACTGGTCGCCTGCGCCAGAAATTCTCCTTCAGGTGGCTGGTACTTGTGGAGCGTCAGTCATCGCAGCATTGTGTCAAGCTCACAGGCAATGGAGAGTTGGCATTCGGAGGCAGAGAGTTGGCGACTGAACTTGGTGCCAAGCGTCGCAAACACGTCGGCCGGCTTGGAAAGTCTCTCCAAACTTCGTCACGCTGCATGTGAAAGTGGCCTAAGCGCGAGTAACTTTCCGGCTGGACTTTGACTTGACTCTGCGCGTTCAACACCTACATGTCCCCTTCGTACCCTATGCCATTACCGTGTCACCCCCACGATCACCCGGTCTTCTCGCCAGCTGCGCTCCACTACGCAGTACGCACGAGCCATGCAAGTTCATGAACATCTCCCTGTTGCGTGTTTGCGAGAGTCGGAGCTTAAGTCCGAGACGCTAGGCTCAATCGAACCCTTCCGCCATGCTGTAGCTTCGCTCACTGGACGAGATCTACAACTTCATGGCTGTGTTCTTTGAGCAAAGTGAAGCATATGTCCGCCAAGTATAGCGATGCCGGAGGCATTGGATAGATATACCAATAGCTCTAACTGTGTTAGACGAAGATGTGTAGGCCAAGTGCACTACTCTATTCATATCAACTTCCTCGTCAACTTCCACTATTGTACTCGCGTTTCCTTTCGTACCCGTGTACGACCCTCTACTTAAGAAACAGATATGGAACCTGACAAAGTCATCGTGCTCATCACTGGCGGTACGCCTCTAGGTGTTTTGTGTCTTGCCGATCCGGACTAACAGCCCCATCCAGCGAATACCGGCATAGGTTTCGAACTCGCCGCGCAACTTGCAGCCAAGGGAACGTACTTCGTCTACCTGACCGCCCGCTCCGTAGAGGAAGGCCAAGCAGCGTGGGAGAGGCTCAGATCTTGGAACTACCCCGGCGGATCTGCCTTCATCCAGCTGGACGTAACAAGCGATGACTCCATCCACGCCGCCGCAGCCGCAGTCGAACAGCAAACCGGCCGCCTCGACATCCTAGTCAACAATGCCGCCATCGGTCGTAAATCCCCAGAGAACCTGCGCGAGCAAATGCAAGCTTGCTTCGACGCCAACGCCACCGGCCCGCTGATCCTGGGCGATGCCTTTGCGGACTTGCTCAAGAAGAGCACACATCCGCTGAGACGCATCGTCAACGTTTCCAGCGGCGCCGGCTCGATCGGACGGATGATTGATACGACCCGTCAGCGGCCGACGCACTATGGTAGAACGGTGGCGTATAGCGCCAGTAAAGCCGCTTTTAATATGGTTGCTGCTGTGCACAAGAACGAGTTCGCTTCGTCAGGTGTTAAGGTGTTGGTTTACAATCCCGGATTTACTGTTTCGGAGTTGGGCGAGTTCAACACGGTCGCAAATGGCGCGATGCCGGTTGATGCGAGTGTCAAGTTGTTGGTAGATGTGGTTGAGGGTGGCCGAGACAGCGAAGAGAATTTATTTCTGAGCGGTGCCACTGGCACGTACCCGTGGTAGATAGCACAGGGAGAAATCAGTCGGCAGACGATATCTCATCACTTTCCAAGAAGGCGTGGCAAGCTAGGATTAGGCAGGAAGACAGGATGGCGCACTTGGCAGAGCCAGACTGTGCGAAGTGCAAATGACGGTCCTTCAAAGATCTGGTTCAGTGGTTCTCGCAATCTACCAGCTCGTATGGGCGCCTTTGCAACCTAAATGCTACCCATAATTCGCCCATACGGTGTCAATCCAGCCGTGACTACTATGCCGCAGCATCCCGTCAACGCCTACGCCTTGCTAAAGCCCCACATACAGCCGCCGCCACCTAGTCAGTACCATGTACCGCATCCCATCGTACCTCATGCTCACATATGAAGCTTCAGCTGCTTACGCCAAGTAGCCAAGCTCGTCGCCCTCCAAACGCTCAAGGTACTCCTTCTCGATCAGCACGTCGATGCACTTCTTGATGTCGGCAATCTTCGGGCTGAATCGGTTTTTGATTTGATTGATGGTCTCACTGACGAGCTGGTTGTGCTTCATGGTTTTCCGCGACTTCATTATGCGGACAATCGCGGACTGCAGTGCACACGTCAGCGTATCCACCCGACATACATGAGTGTTAGCGAGTAGGAAATGATACGTACCTGCATAAGCATCTTTCGATCTTCCTCGATGGTCTTATGTGTATCCTCCGCCTCCTGCTTCTGCTCCGCCTTGATCGCCATGTTGAGATTGACCTTGAGCTTCTTGTTCTTGAAGCCGTGGTTGAGAGTGTAGGATGTACCCGACTGGGTCGGCGCACTCTCCGGGTTGGCCTGGATAACCTTGGCCTTGAGCATGATGCCCAGCGAAGGATCGAGCGTCTCCTTCTGCAGCATGGTCGTGCTCGCCATGTCGTCGTAGCTGACCTCCTCCGAGTCGTTGAACAGGAGAAGGATGGCCATTTGATACGTCGAGACCTGGAAGGTGTACGGCACCTTGTTCATCTTGATATAATTTGCGCGAATCTCACCCTTGCACAGATGCCACAGCCACGTCAGCTTGCGCCCGCCGTGCTTGCTGTTGTAGAAGTTCTGGAAGCGCTCGTATGTCTTGACGATGGTTGGTGGCGGAACAAACGGGGTGGTCGCGGGCTGCAAGGGCCAGAAACCGGTGCCGAGGATTTGGTAGTAAGCGTCGACGCCTTCTTTGCGGTCTTCTCGATCGAATGTTTGCTCACACCAGTCTTCGTATGCGGCGTTGAGATCCTTGGAGGTCTGCATGTCCTGGAACATGCGCTGAAGCTTATTGGTGTACTCAAAGCCGGATGCATCTTTGAGCTTGGAGATCATGGACGTCTCCGCATCGGCGTTGGCGGATGTGCCGTTGACGAGACGCTTGGCAAGGTTGCGGGAGTAGAACTTTTGGAAGACATCCTTGTCCTCGATGTACTTGAAGATAGTCATGACTTGATTCAGCAGCTTCTCCATGTCATCCTCCTCAGTAGCTTTCGTGGAGCGCTTGAGGACGTTGTCCGCATGCTTGGCCAGCATCTCCGGCGAGCGAGCTGAGTTCTTCTTGCAGACCTCATTGCGGTTGACGTACTCACGGCAAGCGTTGTCAAGCGAGCGCACGAACTCCGACTCGCCAGCGAATGCTGAATGCACCAGGGCAGCATACTGCGTGTGGACCTCCAGCAGCGCGTCAACGTAAGCCTTCGGATCCAGATTCTCGCCCTGCTGAGCCACTTTTTCTACTGCAAGCAGGCCGGCTCGCCGCACATGAGCCTCGAAGCGCGTACGAAGTGGGTCCAAGCCTTCCGGAATGCGTGCCAGCAGCTTGTACATCCTTGCCATGTCTTCCTCGCGGTCATTGTCAAGCAGGATCTGGAACTCATCACGCATAAGCTGGCAGTGCTTGGCGATAAGCGCAGTCTCGCATGCTTTCATCAGTGGGTGCATGATTTCCGCAAGCAAGTAGAGCGGCACACGGTCCTTCTCCTCGTCCAGACGACGCTCGGCCTTCTTCATGTAGTCGACCACGGAATTCTCAGCGAGGAAGACCTCCGACTCCCGCTCGTAGTACTTGGTGGTTGCGTCTATGAACGGCTTCTCGAAATACTGACGGTAGACGTCGTGACTGCTCTTGGTGCTATCCGACTCATCGATGCCGAGCGCGACGAATGAGTCGACCACCAGCTTGATCTTTTGCTGCTCGATCGTCTCGCCATTACGCTGCTTCTCCACCTGGCGCAGAACCGCGTCCATGACTGCATTTTGTGTGCTGCCGAACATGTCCTCTTTCCACCGCACCAGATGCAATGTGTAGACATCGTAAATGTCCTTCTTGCCCTCGTCCATCTCCCGTTTCACCCAGTGGCGGTTGAGGTAGCGGAAGAGGTGGTTGTTGTAGATGCCGCCTTCCGTATACCTCTTCCACTCGTCGTTATAGTATGTGAGAAGTGCCTCATCGGTGTGCTTGACCATCTCGGCATGGACATGGGCGAGGTGGTTCTTGAGGTAGTTGTTAAGGCGGTGATACAGATCCTCGCCCAGTAGGTGCGCGCCTCGGTGATTCGAATTGAGGTTGTTCTGCTGTGGCCCGACGGCCTTCTGCGCTGTACAGAAGTTATGGATAATGGTGTATAGTGACATGTACGTCTTAAGGTCGACGCCCTCCTTCAGACTGTACATGATGCGCTCGACGCCCCACTCGAGGAAGGTCCAGGTGGTGTTGATGTCATCTTTGTTCGTGGGCATCGGCGGCGGCTGAGCCGAGATGGCTTTTGCCTTCGACATGGTGGTGGTGATGGTGTTTGACGTCGAGTCGGTGAATGATGTGGTTGTGATAGAGGTACGCGCCGAGCTTTCAGTTCAGGCTTCGCGCCTTCCGCCGCTGCCTCTACCGCGCCTCACCGCGCCGCCTGGAGGTACCGTGACCTGCACTCAGAGGTGTTCGAGTCCTCCGTAATAGTGAGATGGTGGATGACTGTTCGCTGAAGCAGAGGTTGCACGGTGGCGAGTTGATCTGCTGGGATGAGGGTTAGGAGTGGAAGTTCTTAAAGCAGTGAAGTGATTGTGAAGCTGTTGGCGGCGAATGTGAAAGATGTTTCGCAGAAGGTGTTGTGCTCAGTTGAACAAGTGATGGTGAGGCTTCGATAGGCTGCAGCTGCAGGGACCGTTACGCCGGCGTGACCATGAATGCCGACACTGGCACGTGAGCTCGTCATTTAGAGTTTGAGCTGTGAAGACATATTGCGTCTTCACCTGAGACAACAGCGCCATTAGGCAATCAAGGTTCAAATTCGGTCTTAGTGAGGCACGGTTGAAATAGTAAGTACCGAGAAGGTTCACCACGGCGAAGCTTTGGCTTGCATCACGCTGCTATGCATACTGAAGCAACATCTCTTATGTCCCTGATACCTTGGAGAAGTGTCTCCATAGCTTTCCACACCGTGGTCCATGCAGCCCGCCCTGATCCCATGCCACCGCTTCAGGCACTGACCTTCAAGGTCAGACCTCCCTAACGCCACGCCGAGATCCAATTGCTGCCGCCTAGTGCGGACAGATGCTACGCTAACTACGCTGGACTACATAGATTCTTGTTCCCTCCATAACGCTAAGATCATATCATGTACACATCGTCATTATTCGATCCCACCTCTAGACTTCAGCGGCAGCAAACAGTCTTCATGTCTGCCCCTAGAAGACGTAAAGCTGCCGGAGCGCGTGCTCTTGCGGCGGCGGGAGGTTGTGTAGGAAGCCGTCGAAGCCGTCGCCAATGAGACTTTTGTACTCACGGAGCACGCGCTCGAAGTTGTCGTGTGGACCTTCGGACTGCATGCCTGTGAGGAAGACGCCAGGTGCGTTCGCCATCTCCACGAAGAAATCAAGCAAGCACTGCTCCATCGCCTTTGGGTTGTCGAGCACGACGCTTGAGAAGCCTTTGTAGGCGTGCCCTTTCTCGTCCGTCCAGCTGACCTTCTGCATGGCGTTCAGGAAGGGACCTGCAAAGTTGGCGAGGTGCGGAGCGAGCTGTTGGTGAGAAGCGATGCCGAGGCGACCAAGGGCAATGGCGGCGTTCTCGTTCAGCGACTCCGGTACGTCGTTGCTGAACATGATAACAGCCAGCTTGGTCAGCAGTCGGTCGACATAGGGTGCCATGCCTTCCTTGTGTCGCATCGCGATCTCACCACAAGACCAACAAGCGTTGTTAATCACTCGAAAGCCGGTCTCGGGGTCCTTGGCCGCTTCGCCCAGCTCGAGCTGCTGCAGTAGGATCTCCATAATGGTCGGCATATACTGCTGTAATTGTTGAAAGATGTAGATAGCGCAGTCTCCGAGCAAAGCGTACGCAGACTGCCTGACATCGTTGTTGGCATCCTTCATGCAGTACGCAAGCAACTCGAACATGTTTGGCTGCGCTGTCCTTGCCAGCTCCGTGCTATATGGCTCATCAAGGGCCTGAATGATACTGCTTAACAAGTCTAGGCTGGTGACCAGGAAGTCCTTGTCTGGGGTGTCCAGGTACATTTCCTCGGCGCCGCGCACACTCTCCTCGAGGTTGTTCTGTATTATGCGAATGCAGCGCGTCCAGAAGGGCTTGGCGAAAGGGGTGAAATGAGACCCCAGCGCAGTTGCTACGAATGAAAGGCACTCAAGCAGCGGAAACATTTCGCGTGATTCATCCCGCACCTTTTCCCACCGCCCGACCAGCGCGGTCATCAGTAATGGGACAAGCTCCGGTTTCGCGAGCTCTGGACTCGCATATTCTGCGAGAGTCTGCACGCAGTCGTACAGAACGTACATGTTCTTGTCCTTGTAGCGCTCAAAGCAGCGCACAAACTGTTGCACGATGATGCCAGCGTACGGTGACAGCTCTGTTCTCGCCTCTTCTTCCAGGGTGGCAAAGGCAGATGCTGCGGATTCCTGCACTTTCTTATTGCCGTCCAGCATACGCTTAAGGATGCCGTCCATCATAGGCTCGAAGTACTCCTGTTTATTGTCGAGCCGTGACGCCCAGCCCGCAAAGCGACTCAGCGCCCAGCAAGTGATTTGTCGCACAACCGGCTGCTGATCGCTGAGGAGCGTGATCATGTATGGGACCAGCTTGGGCAGGTGAGGCTGAATGCTGTCCATACAGCCCGGGCCGATTGCGCCAAGTGCTAGTACCGCTGCTTCTCTGTTCTGCCAGTCTCTGTGGGCCATGTTTTCCGTAAGCCATGGAAGCGTAACCTCGAATACTGCGCCGCCGAAGTGCGATGCAAGGCTATCCAATGCAGCTGCTGAGCACTTTCGAAGGTTCCATTCGTCCTCCGGGTCAATATCAAGCTCATCGTCTTCTTCAATCTCACCTTCGCTAAGCTCATCATCGTCTTCGTAAGCGTAGCCGTTGACTGCTGGCTTCGCTTGCGCCTGTCCGTTAGTGGCGGATGGCGCTGTGGAAGCGGCGGCCACAGATCGTGAAGTCTTTGAGGTGGCAAACTGCGGTTTTATGTCCTTCTCCTCGTCCTCTACTTCAGCGTCCTCTTCAGCTTCGGCTTCAATCTTGACTTGGTCGTCCTCGCTGTAAATCATACAGTCGAGTAAGACCGGTACGATTCTGCTAAGATAAGGGCCAAGTGCATCACGGATCGCAGGCTGATTGCTTGCTTCGAAGAAGAACTCTGCCGCATCTAGGGCAAGTTCCTCGTTTTGAACGTCCTTCTGCTGGTTGAGGGTGTAGTCCACTACACCGTTGATATATGGTACAAGAGCCGTTGGCATGCCGTCTGCAAGTAGCGCGAACGAACGGCACACGAACCTCCGTACGTCTTCATTACTGTCAGTTGACAAGCGGACGATTTGCGGGAGGATATTGTCGATGTTGTCTCGCACAGTCAGTGCAATTGGCTCGGTGAGAAAGACGTTGAGTGCAGAGAGCGCTCTTGATCGTAGTCTGGCGGTGGGGTTGGCAGTAAGGTCGAGAAGCTTTGGGAGGAGATAAGCAAGTGGTCGTCCTTGGTTAGCGTATTCCTTGTCTAGAGCACGCTTGTTGTCTTCGCAGATCTTGAACAGCGCACCCAGAGCGCCGTCCTGAGCCTCGGTCGTCGATTGGCCGCTTTCGTTCGCTACCGTAGAAAGAAGGTCCGGGAGAAGCTGCGGCCAGTCCATTACTCCACCCTGTCGTACGACCTCTGTAATCACATTGCCGACGTAGTTGCGGATCTGTGCGTTGCCGTCATTCAAGCCGACTAGTATCGTAGACTTGAGGTATGCTTGGCTGGACTCGGGTATTGAACGGTACGATGACTTTACGCTGTTCTTGAGCATGATTGCAGCAGCACTGCGCGCTGCATGGTACGCATTAGGCGAGAAACCACCAGGTGGCGATGGAGTCACACAGAGGTACGCCAGATAATTTAGGATATCAGGAGAAGACTTCGCTTGCCGCAGCATCTATAGACGTGTCAGCCCATCTTGGTACGTTTTATCGGCTTCGTAAGCGCAATGACCCACCTGCTCGGCAGTCCGCTGCGCCTGAACATCATGGCCACTTAACGAATCCCGCAAGTACTGCGACAACTGGACGAGCTGCTCCGGCTGTGGCTGCCAAGCCATGGTTGAGCAGTGGGTAAACGTGAGGTAGAGTGCGGTATCCTGCAGCGGTTGTGTACAATAAGACGAAAAGGATGTAGCAGAACGGTGGCGATCAGTTACGTGAGCAGCTTATACTGGCTATGATGTCTATGAAACAAGAAGAGGTCAGCCATCTGACCATGTAGCCCGCTGAGACTTGCGCCGGTGAAGGCTATGTAGCTTGACTGACTAGGCGGAATGTGACCAGACTCTTCCGACTCCGTGAAGTTATCTTCACCTGTCCGGCTCTTGCCCTTTCCGTGAAATCTACACCCACCATTCCAGCACCATTTCTCGAGAGTCGCCGTGGCGCACTTTCGCTTTCCGAGGTATTCAGGCACGGACAATGTGCTATAATGTGGAAGGTGACACAAGCAAGACACGAGACTTGCGCAATTCGATGGTGCTGCTTGACAAGGGATGGAAGCGTGGTGCAATGTCGTTGTTGTGCGCTGCGAACAATGGTGGTTACGACTGTGTGTGCGTTGGTCGCGGGAATGGGAACTTGAAAGTTCTGGCTGACAGCAGCCACGAGCGTTTTAGCCACACTTCACTTCACTCGAGCTTTGATTTTTCCTACATGTACTTGCGCTACGAAGCGGAGTCGCACCACGTCCAGAACCCTCTAGGACTATCCGCTCGAAGGCGCATTCCGAGAGTCTACACACGTCCTGATCGAGCGTTCTTACGGGTGACTCGCTTGCTGCTGCGCAATAACCATGAAAACAGCAGACTCTCCTGCAAAGCAGAGACAAGGATTTTTCTTACGGAAGGCCAATAGACCTTTTGTCATTAGGGCCTCTGTTACGTGCTGCCGCATTTTGCTTTGCACGTGTCCACCATCGATGCAACATGTTTGTATGCTTAACGTTTCCACGGCATTTCTAGAATGAGCTCCGGTCAGCCAGCACTGTAGCTGACGACTGACGTCTATCGGAGGGTCTGACAAGACGGGCATGCGCGAGAGGCACAAAGCACGCGAAAATGATGGTCCGCGGTGGAACGATGCTGCAGGAACCCACAGCGTGCGGCAGTGGCGTACGGCTTGTGCTGCCGCAGCTGTTGTTGCAATAATGAGCAGATGAGCAAACCATTGATGTTTCCAAGGTACATCCTTATTCCACAGGCTACCGGGAAGTCGAATGGTCTCCACTAGGCACTTCGCCAAACCAGTAATTGCAGCCATGCCAGTTTCTTCCCCGCTTGTAACGACAAGGAGACTGCTCGTCAGCCTCGCCTGTCTGACGTGCCACCGAGTGGCAAGTCTATGTTATCTTTATGTGCGGCGATTGTTCGCCTGACCATCGTTACAGCGCCCGATCACACGTCATTCGGACTCAACGGCCGCTCGCATTGCCGATGGACACAGAGATGCAGCCGCCGGCTCCTCCATCAGGCGGACTGCACCGCCACCTGCTGCAGTCCAGCTATCTCCACGGATGCGGCCAGGGCGAGCCTCTGGAGCGGCGCAACGAATGGGTTGCAATGGACGCATTTGTTCATTAGTAGGCAGATCGCTCGCCTACAGCACTTTACACGGCCTGCTCGACATCACGCCGCCCTCTCCACGGTGAAGAGCACTTGGTTGTCGGTGCTGATGGTAATATGGTCGGCGACGATGTGGTTACTGGTACTGACTTGCCCTCCAATCTCCGTCCGCCAGTCTTCGACGTCCCATTCTAAGCCTTTAGTACTTATCGTCGCGGGGCCATAGAGAGGCAATATACCGATATTCCGGGTGATCAAGCCTTCATCAACAGGCGTGTGGACCCCGGTCGCACCAGTGTTCAACAGCGTGCTCACACTAGCCTCGGAGAAGAACCAAAACCGTACGCGCGGGTGCCGGAGCTTCTGCTCTCGATACAGCTCGTGCAACAGACCGATGCCTTGGTCGACTCGTCCACCAAGGCTACCGGCTACGAGGATAGTCTGTACGGTCGGCATCCGCTCAATCACTTGGTTGATAGCCTTGCCAAAATCTGTGCTGTATTGATCCGTGTCTTGCGTTACTTGGACGCCTATCTGCTCATACCGTTTCCGGACGGTATCGTGCAGGGAATCAAGATCACCGTGGATAAGGTCCGGTGGCATTGCACGCAGACCGTCTATCCATTTGGACTCGCCATACTGTTTCAACAGTAGGTCATAGAGTCGATTGGCTCCGCCGTCTGCGCAAATGCGCAACGACGCATGGTCGTACAGTCTGCGAAAGTATTCAAGATCTGGAATAGGCGAGTTTAGAATGATGAGAGCCACTGTTAGATGCTCTCCTGCTCGCAAACTCCGCGATTCAAGGTAATGTGTAGGCTTCAACTCCTCAATATTATCGCGCAAATTGTCATTGGAAGCCATAGGTTCAGAACCTCCGTCGATGCTACCACGTCTTGGCACTGCTGCAAAGGGTTCGGATGGCAGAGGCTAATCGTTCGCTTGACGCCACTCTGATGCAGGCTCGGCAATGGGAAAACGTGGAGCCGTCATGATTTCGAAGCAGATGCGGAGCTCACCTCCGAGGGCTCCGTCTTTCTGTCGAACTTCCGATCACGACTTCGACAGTCTCCCGTGCTCCTACTCGTTTGCACCGTCACCAAGATGTATCGGCAACCGTCACGGCTCGCACGGTCATTCATAGCAAGTTCGGCCTTCCGGCAAGCTTCAATCGTTAATAAGCGATTCGCAAGCACAGCGTCACGAAGCAACACATGGACATTACGAGGCTCAGCGCTGCGATGGGGTTTGGCAGGCGCAGTCGTGTATTACTATAACACATCGAGTGTCTTCGCCGATGAGCCAGCATGTATGCGACGCAGATGCGACGCAGATCAATATACTTCGTCAGGCAGGGCTGATCGAAGACAGATGCAACGCATGCGCCACCAGAAACGTTACACGAAGCGGAGACATATCCGACCATCGATACCCTAGCCGAGCAGCGCAGGAACCAACCAAAACCACCGAGACCAGCCTCAAGGCCCTCTCAGCCCGAATCAGCAAGCGTTGCTGTCCCTGAACCATCAGGGGCTATTGTAGGTTCACCAGAAGGACTTGAGGAGGAGGCGAGCCAGCAAGGGGCTTTTAACGAAGAGACCGGCGAGATCAACTGGGACTGCCCCTGCTTAGGTGGTATGGCAACGGGTCCATGTGGCGAGCAGTTTAAGGCTGCCTTCAGCTGCTTCGTCTACTCGAAAGATGAGCCGAAAGGTGTGGACTGCATAGAGCATTTCAAGACGATGCAAAATTGCTTCAGGGATCACCCGGACGTATACGGCGCGGAACTAGAAGACGAGGAGGCACCTTCAGCAGATGCACAGGCGTCGCAATCAGAGCCTGCCAAGCCTCAAACCACCCCCGAGACGCCCGCACCCTCAGAGCCGAGCCCGCCGCCATCACTGGCGAACATGAGCTCTCCGCACGGTGGGGGCGAGAAAGTTGCTGTCCACACCGACGCTGCCCCAAGTTCGGACTCGGAGATTGAAGGCAAGCGACAACGTGCAGAAGCTGCAACGAAGCAGGTCGCCGAAGACCATGGACCGCTGTCAGAGAGTAAACAAGCTGTGCCGAAAGCATGGCACGACTCATGATGATGTACCAAAAGCGCTGTATAAGTAATGTAGAATACATTCAGTATACCATCACCTCTACACTCACGTCTAGCCCGGCTGCTGTTGATGTTGCTCCTATCACGAATCCTTCGTTACTCTTCTCTCAATGCTTCACATCTGAAGATGTCACAGCTGTGACATATATCGTACATGAGAGCGCTTGGCGCTGTATTATGTCAGCAGTAAGTTCGCTTGGCATCGATAGGCGTAACTTTCAACGCGGACAGCTTGCGCCAAGTCGCCGCTTCTGAACACTTCCCACCGTGCCTCTGCACTGATTCGCAGCATCACACTGGGTGCGTGAATACAGCGTTCGTCGGTATGGCTTCACGGGTACCGCTGGTCAACAGCCCGCAAATCAAGTCGGCCACTCTTCACAACCCACGGCCACTGTTCCTGCATACGTACATCTGGCCCTTTGCGATTGTCTGGCCAATCTTCTTCAGTGTGTATCTCTCGCCCGAGCTGTACACCAAATACATCAACGGTCAAGAATGGACGACGGTCTTCTCTGGGATGATCATCACCGCGCAAAGTCTAGTGTGGCTGATGACATTCTGGGATGTAAACCTGAAGGCATGGTTCACGGCATCAAAAGCGAGCAGTGTGCGCAGTGCAGGTTTGATCAAGGTGCTGCCGGAGACAAACGCCGGGTCACCTGAGATATGCAAGATCAAGAAGGACAACGTTGGAGGGAAAGAAAACATCAGCTTTTTATTTCAGAAGAGGCGGTTTCTGTATGATGCCGACACGGACAGTTTTGCGCCGTTGTCATTCGCGATGGATGAGGAACCGAAGCCGATGATCAAGGTCTTCCAGCAGTCGAAAGGTCTGCAGAAAAGGTCTGAGATCGAACGAATACAGGAGCATTACGGGTCCAACATCTTCGACATTCCGGTACCTACCTTTGGCGAACTCTTCGCGGAGCATGCGGTAGCACCATTCTTCGTGTTCCAGATCTTCTGTGTTGGGCTCTGGATGCTGGACGAGTACTGGTACTATTCGCTGTTCACGCTCTTCATGCTCATTGTCTTCGAATCGACAGTGGTGTGGCAAAGACAGCGCACTCTGAAAGAGTTCCGCGGAATGAGCATCAAGCCATACGACGTCTACGTGTATCGCGAGAACCAATGGACGGAGACCAAGAGCGATGCTTTGTTGCCAGGCGATCTTGTGTCAGTGGGCCGGACGAGCGACGACAGTGGGGTCGCCTGTGACATGGTCCTCGTCGAAGGCAGCGCGATTGTGAACGAGGCCATGCTATCAGGCGAGAGCACGCCTGTGCTCAAAGACTCCATCCAGCTCCGACCCGCAGATGCACGCATCGAGCCAGAAGGCCTGGACAAGAACGCCTTCCTTTGGGGTGGCACCAAGGTACTCCAGGTACAGCACGGTACAGCGTCCGAAGACGCGCAGGACACCATCCCACAGATCGCATCTGGCGTGTCACCTGCGCCTGACAAAGGTGCATTAGCTGTCGTTATCAAGACTGGCTTCGAAACCAACCAAGGCGCACTTGTCCGAACTATGATCTACTCGACGGAGCGAGTGAGTGCAAACAACGTTGAGGCGCTCTTGTTCATCCTCTTTCTATGCGTTTTCGCCATCGCGGCGTCATGGTACGTTTGGAATGAAGGTGTCAAGCAAGATCGGAAACGTTCGAAGCTACTTCTAGACTGCGTGCTCATTATTACTTCTGTCGTGCCTCCGGAGCTGCCAATGGAATTGAACCTGGCTGTCAACACGAGTTTGGCCGCATTAAGCAAGTTTGCAATTTTCTGCACTGAACCCTTCCGGATACCGTACGCTGGTCGGGTGGATATCGCTTGCTTCGATAAAACTGGTACTCTTACAGGCGAGGACTTGGTGGTTGACGGCATTGCTGGACTACGTCTTGGAGACAAGGAGGCGGAGTCTGAACCCGATGGCGCGCAAACTGAGCTCACTAAGGTTAATGAGACTGGTCTAGAAACAGCGTTGACGCTCGCGACCGCCCACGCCCTTGTCAGGCTTGAAGAAGGTGATGTCGTGGGTGAGCCTATGGAGAAGGCCACACTCGAGTCCCTTGGCTGGTCGCTTGGCAAGAACGACACCCTCTCCGCCAAGCCCAGCGCGGGTAAGGCCCAAGGATCAGAAATTGTTCAAATCAAGCGCCGCTTCCAATTCTCTTCGGCCCTTAAGCGTCAAAGCTCTGTGGCTACGGCTATCGTTACGGACCGCTTGACTGGCAAGAAGGTGGTTAATACGTTTGTGGGAGCTAAGGGTGCACCAGAGACAATACGGAAATACCTTGTCGACGTACCTCCGAAATACGAGGAGACCTACAAGTACTTCAGTAGAAATGGTGCTAGAGTGCTTGCTCTTGCGTACAAATTCATGAAGCAAGGCGATGAGCTCAAGCAGGGTCGCATTAACGACCTCAAGCGGGAAGAGGTAGAGTGCGATCTGCACTTCGCTGGTTTCCTCGTCTTGCAGTGTCCCCTCAAGGATGACGCTATCAAGGCTGTCCAGATGCTCAATGAGAGCAGTCACCGCGTGGTCATGATTACGGGCGACAACCCACTTACGGCGGTCCATGTCGCCAAGCAGGTTGAGATCGTTGACCGAGACGTGCTAATACTGGACGCTCCTGAGCACGATGAGAGCGGCCAAAATCTGGTGTGGCGCAGTGTGGATGACAAGGTCAACATTCGCGTGGATCCTGCGGCAGACCTTGACGCGGATATACTCAAGACGAAGGACATCTGCGTCACGGGCTACGGCTTAGCGAAGTTCAAGGGTCAAAAAGCGCTGCCAACTCTGCTGCGGCATGCTTGGGTATATGCGCGTGTCTCCCCGAAGCAGAAGGAGGAGATCTTGCTTGGCTTGAAGGAGCAGGGCTACACCACGCTTATGGCCGGTGACGGCACAAATGATGTCGGTGCGCTTAAACAAGCACACGTTGGTGTCGCTCTGCTCAACGGCACTAAAGGAGATATGGAGAAGATCGCCAAACACTTCCGGGAAACAAAGATGAAAGAACTCTATGAGAAGCAATGCCAGATGATGGAGCGCTTTAAGCAACCTCATCCGCCCGTGCCCATTCAGGTGGCGCATCTGTACCCGCCTGGGCCAACCAATCCACATTATGAGAAGGCCATGGAGCGGGAGAACAAAGCGAAAGAGGAGCTGGAAGGGAAGAAGGAAGGCGCGCAAATAAATGGCAGTGCCAATGGCTCAATCGAGAAGTACACGCCGCCTCCAGCAGTACAGCAGAGCAATGGGCCCAAAGCGCCGCAGGAGCAACGCCAAGCGAAAACGGAGAACGCCGTCAGTGCCATGGCGCAGAAGATGTCTCTATCTATGATGGAAGAGGAGATGAACGCGGATGAACCACCGACGATCAAGCTCGGTGATGCTTCCGTTGCTGCGCCCTTTACGAGCAAACTCGCCAACGTAATCGCCATCCCCAACATCATCCGACAGGGACGTTGCACGCTCGTCGCCACGATACAGATGTACAAGATCCTGGCGCTCAACTGCCTGATCAGCGCTTACAGTCTGAGTGTGCTGTATTTGGATGGCATCAAGTTCGGAGATGGGCAAGTAACTATCAGCGGCATGCTCATGAGTGTGTGCTTCTTGAGCATCTCCCGTGCAAAGGTATATCAATTCTCCAACTCTATACTACAGTGCATTGCTGATCAGCCTAACAGTCCGTCGAAGAACTTTCCAAAGAGCGCCCACAAAACAACATCTGGAACTGGTATATCATTCCTTCCGTCCTTGGTCAATTCGCCGTGCACATTGCCACCCTCATCTACATCACTGACGTAGTCCACCGCTTCGAGCCCAAGAAAGACCGTAGCCTGATCAACCTCGAAGGTGACTTCGAGCCGTCTCTTCTCAACAGCGCCATCTACCTTCTTCAGCTCATCCAGCAGATCTCCACCTTCGCCATCAACTACCAGGGCCGGCCATTCCGGGAGAGCATTCGCGAGAACAGGGGCATGTACTGGGGTATTGTGTTGGTCACGGCAGTAGCATTCAGCTGCGCGACCGAGTTCATTCCAGAAATCAATGAAAAGTTGAAGCTGGTGCCCTTCAACACGGAGTTCAAGATCACGATGACGGCGACTATGGTACTGGATTATGTGGGCTGTTGGATCGTGGAGAAGGTGTTGAAGACGTTGTTCAGCGATTACCGGCCGAAGGACATTGCGGTCAGAAGGCCAGATCAGCTGGAGCGTGAAAGGCGCCGGAAAGTCAGCGAGCAGGCGAAGTTGCAGATTGAGAAGGAGCTGGCCGCTGGGAAGGCGTAGAAGTGTGTGTACATAGTGTAAGCCACTGGCATGATCAGAACACGCCCACCAATCGTTTCAAGCATTCCGTCTCAGACCATTCGAGCCTAGCCCAGCCGGGCCCCATTTTCATCTCAGGTAGCGGAAGCATATCTCTCTCCTATTTGAAGAAACGGCTTAGGTGTAAGACGTCTCGCATCTTTCGTAGCCTTCAATACCGAAGTACAGCCTGTTGACAGAGGCGCAATAATAGACGTGCTACACATTCATGCCGCCTGCGGCTCAGCGGCAGGATCTCCGTCAAGACAGCCCCACTCTGCTGCACGATCGGCGTCAGGCACGTCACCTGGAACTTTTGAAGCCGGCATTGCTCGCAGAAATGACCTCAACATCGTGAACAGCGTTTGGTAGCCAGGCGGACTTGTACGAATGCTTCTTCTTCCGTCCTTGCCGCAAGACATGTGCCGTGTACGCGTACGGATATGACGGACGGGGATCGCAATGACGCCTAGCTTTTGTGAAGGTGCAAAGAAGGATTGAGTGTGTAAGGACGATCTTCCACTTCTTCGCAATCTTTCTTGTTGTTCCAACACTCTTGCTGCCCCGGTACAGCAAAGATGCATCTTTCCGCCCTTCTCACTGCCTGCTCGCTTGCGGGTGTGGGTTACAGTCAGGTCATTGGCCAAGATACCATCTCCACCGCGGGCCTCATCCAGAACAATGCTACCAGCGCCAACACGAGGCTGCGGTACGATAATGGCACGTACGGTCCGGCCGTAGAGGAAGTACACTATTGTAAGCCTTGGTCGTCCTGGCGCAGCACCAACCCCATTCCGCTGACGTAACGTGCAAGACAACGGTCAATGGCCCATAGGTATTGCTGTGGCCTCCGATGGCCGCATCTTCACGTCCTACACAAGAGGCAGCTACAACTATACGCTTGGCGTGGTGACCAACCTGACCGCCGAGGCACCCTATCCCAACGCAGCGCTCAACCTACCGCCTAGTGCACTGAACACGACATGGAATGGCATCGCTTTTGGATCGGGAAATGCCAGCGCATTCATCAGCGTACAGGCTCTGTACATCACAAGCAACAACAGCAGACGACCAGAGACGCTTTGGGTATTGGACACGGGCCGGCCGACGGTTTACAACGCACAAGGCGATCCATCCATGCCTTATGCTCAGCCAGGCGGACCTAAGCTCGTCGCGATTAGCTTGGCCAACAACAGCATCTACCAGACTTACACTTTCCCTAGTACAGTGTACGCAAATTCCCAGGTAGAAGACTTCTTTGCATTCTGCGTCCATGCTAATACTTCTCAATGCTCATTTAGGCACTATCCGGACTCTTACCTCAACGATTTGAGGTTCGACCTCCGGACCAACATTACCGGAACCAGCGGGAAAGGCATTGCGTATCTTGTCGACAGCTCGAATGAGGGCAGACCTGGATTCATTATGCTCGACCTCGGCACCGGCATTTCATGGCGTCGCCTTACTCAAGATCAATCTGTACTTCGCGGAGGGCAAGATCTGCCGGTCTACCAAGGCCACCCATTGTATCTGAGAATGAAGGGAATGCCGGCACAATGGCAACTTGAAGGTTCGTAATCGGAGAGCATAACACATGCATCCTCCATGAGGCGTCGCTAACCCTTCCCTTGCAGGTCTAGACGGCATCCAGATCTCGCCTGACGGTAATACCGTGTACTATTCACCGCTCTCGCAGAACTACCTGTACAGCGTCCCAACCCTGAACCTGCGGGCGCAAGACACGGACGAGCTTGCAGAGATCAACGCGCATGCCAACGTCTCCAACCATGGCCAGCGCGGGAGCAACGCCAACGGTTTTGAGGGGGATAGTAACGGTTTCATCTACCAGCTAATTCCGGAGCACAACGCTGTGTTTTACTACAACCCACGTGATGGGCAGACGCACCCATTCGTTAGGGACCCACGCATTCTGTGGCCGGACGGTGGAAGCATTGGTGCCGACGGGTATTTGTACCTCAACATTAATCAGCTCCCCTACCAGCCTGATTGGAACAACGGCGTGGATCTGCGACAGCACCCAGGTATGTTATCGTGTTATGTTCGGCCTTGTTTGTTGTCATGCATATTGCTAACGGTTTACTGTTTGTTTTACAGGAGCCATCTTACGGGTCAAGCTGCCCAACAATGGGACAAAGGTTACGAGCTTGTATGCCTAAGGAAGATGAATTCGGTTGGCAATGTACCAGCAGACATAATCTATAGACGTCTAGCAGGGACCAGGCAGGACTCGAAACATGATGACATGTTCAATTGTTGTTGTATCCCTTCCAGATTACCCGTAAATGCTGCAGTTCTAACCGATAACTTGCTGTGTTCGTGTGCAAGTACTTGGGGAACATGCTGTTGTACTTCCACCCACTAACAGACATTAAACTTCGTCTTCCCACTTTCGACGCTGTTGACAGCTAGGTGCAAAATGTGTACGATGCGTCCAGATTCCTAGAATTAGGTAATTCTCAACCCTCATTCTGCATACGGCGAAACTTCGGCGTCGAAAACATCATGAAGTACAAACAACCTTGACACGTTGTGACAGTTTCTTGACAAGGCTAAACGGGAACCGAAGCTCTTACGTTGTTGCGACACTGATCGATGCCCGTAACGAAACTGAGTACAGCTTGCGGCGATCGGCCAACAGCCGGTTTCACGATCCAACAGCAGGAGGGCTTCAACCCAACCCCCAAAAGCCTCGTTCGCGTGTGTGTGTATCTGTGACTTGGTCCATGCCCATTCCGTGCACTGCAGCATGCTGTTGCTGTGCCGCACGTTAACCCGTCTAGCATTTCATACTCCATTGCACCACCCATGACCACTTCGTTTCAGTACGACTACGGTACAGATGCGTTCTGCTCGGCTGCCTGCTCGGCTTGCGCTGAGTCGACGTTATGGAAGTCGAGGATCTCGGAGTACCTACGTTTATCATATTAGCATGTCATGCCGGCACGCGAACACTGTGGTGTATAACGAACATCATGATCTTCCACGTGTCCACGGGTAGATCGGCATCGTTGAAACTCCAGTCGAACTTCTCCTCTGCCTCTGGCTCGTCGGTTGGGTCATGATACGGCGCCAGGTATGGGTCAGCAAGCGCCTCGCCGGCCTTGACACGTTTCCGGGGGTCGAACACCAGCATCCGCTCCAGAAGTTCGATCGCTTGTGGGTCGGCGTTCTTGAACTTGTTCTTAAGTGGCTGCCGTTCGCGCTTCGGTAAACTCTGTACGAATCGTAGTGTGTTCTCTGAACAGATGGTGCTGATGACATCGTCTGGCGGAGTGCCGAGCAACTCGGTGATGATGCTGAACTGGTTCACGTGATCCTTGCCAGGGAAGAGTGGCTTGCCCTCGAGCATCTCCGCGAAGATGCAGCCTGCGCTCCAAATGTCCACCTCCACGTCATACTTCTGCCATGTAAGCATGATTTCTGGCGCTCGGTAGTAGCGGGTTGACACGTAGCCAGTCATCTGCGGGTCCTGGATACGAGCCAGACCGAAGTCGCAGATCTTGAGATCACAGTTCTCGTTGACGAGGATGTTGGAAGGTTTAAGGTCGCGATGCACAACACCCGCTGAGTGGACATACTTCAAGCCTCGCTACGAATCGTTAGTGCCGAGTCTGCATCGTCCTCTCCCGCCCACTTACCAGGATCTGATAGAGAAAGTATTGAATGAACTGCTTCTCAAGAGGCCGCGAAGTGAGCAACCGGTGTAGATCAGTGCCGAGCAGCTCGGTGACCAGGTACATGTCCTCGAGCGGCGAAATGAAGATGTCGCTTAAGCTGATAACCTGCTCAACGCTTCAGCCCAACATTTTCTCACCGCAGTGGCATTAGTAGCGTACGTTCTCATGCTTAAGATGTTTCAGCAGTTTAAGTTCTCGGTATGTCCGCTTTGACAACACCGGGGTGCTGAAAGGCTTCATAATCTTCTTCACAGCAACCGCCTGTCCCGTCAATTGATCTTTGGCCGAGCTGCCATACCATTAGCGTCCCAACGAGACATATACACTGCTCTTCCGCCTACCAGACGAGCCCGAAGGCTCCCATCCCCACGGGTTGTAGGTCGGTGTATCTACGTCCGCTTGTCAGTGCCTTTACACTTTACTCCACACTTCTCCTGCCTTGCCCTCACCTGCTCGTGATTTCGAACGTCGTGCCGAAGATCTGCGCACGCACGAATTCCGCCATCTTGTCGCTGCTCTTCCGCTCGAGTGCAAGCAGCAGTCAGGATGATATCGTTGCTGGCGCAAGCGGTATGGAGGTGTGGCGGTGATGCAGTTATTGCCGCTGGCGGGCGTGGGCGTGCGCTTTGCTGTAGTGGGGCAAGTTTCCGCGGCTTGTGACAGGCGAAACAAGCTTCGTGTTGATTGTCCCTTTCTCACCACAACAACCCAGTCGAAATTGGTTGTGAAGTTGTTCGAGGCGGCCGTGAATTGCTCGACAATGGCGGTGGAAGGGCAATGCCTGCAGAAATGGCCCTGTCAATCTTCTCCTCGGAACCGTCTGTGTGCCGGTCGATCAATACTGCATTCGCAATACCGGAGCTACTACCGCGTAACCGCGCCTCGTGAGTTTCTCGGGCGCGCTCTGAATGCTCCGAAACGTTCCAAATTGCTTTCTAATTGCGTCTAACGCGAGCTGAATACGATGCGCTTCGATAGATCATACAGAATGGGCAGAGTGTAGAACAAGCCGCGGCTGCAATCAACGGAGCAGAAAAGACCTGACTGCGCCGAATCGACGCTTCCGCCGCCTGGCTCACGCTACCGGATGGGATCGAAGATCGTAACGGTGTTTCGCACCAGCCACAGCACGGTCCGTCGTCCAGACCTGGACTCAATCCCGGGTTGCTTCAGGCACTAAGCAGTAACAATTGCACGAGACAAGTTGTAGTTACTGGACATTCTGTTCGAACAGGCTTCATCGGATTGAGCGTCCGAGCCCGAAGCACAGCCTCTAGTCTGCTGGACCCCAAGCCGTCCGCCGCATTCGACAACACCCTGACAGCTCAATTACCCGGACGCTTAACTCGCACTTAGGGAAAGACGCGCCACGTGGCATGCTTGTCAAAGCGCACCAGGTTGGATTGTTTACCGTGTCTCTCGCCGCAAACCTCGACTACTAAAAGCAACCCTTTAGCGCAGACAATGTATTTGCACCTGCCTTATTCGGCTTGTGCCTCTGTCTCCGTGGCTGCCCTAATATGCTGTCCAACGGGCGGGTACCCGCCTGCCTCTTACGAACAATCATCAGGGTTCAATATATGCACGTTAGAACGACACGTTGATCTCAACCGTTGAGATCCGGCAGCTGCGTGGCCGAGACCGATCCACCGTTGTGCTCGTTCAAGCATTGTCAGTGGCTTACACAGCTCTAGAGGTCTGGATGTTGAAAGGGAAGACTGTCTCTCACACTACTTCAACGCTGCCATCCCGCGCATGCGCTGTATGTATGCCAATATGTCCGTTGTAGTTGACCGGACTGATATCAGTAAGTGCCGGGCTTCGCTCATGGTGAGTTCTGTGGGGGTAGATGAACCATTACGACAACGGAAAGACTGTAGCATTCCGTAGGGACCAGAGACTGTGACGAGCGGTACGGCAATCTGAGAACGATCTCTCCACGAGTCAGGTGAGTGGAACGTCTCACACTGCTTGTTAATGTCTGGGTTATTGCACGGCTTGTGCAGGTGAGACCTCCGTCTGTAAGAGTAGTAGCTGAAGGCGTTCCGGTGTCCGGGCCCCTTCGTCACTCGTGGGCTCGAGATCGTCGGCGGATTCCGCCTTGCATTATTGCTTTCCTCCACCTCGGTCGCCCGTGATAGTAGATGTTGTGACTATCGCCGACCCCTCTTTGTCCCAGAGCTGCACGAAAGTACCTCCTCACGCGCTAGACGACGGACTTCAGCTGTCAGTGCCCGCCTGACAACCGAACAAAGCTATTACCTACCCGTGCGAGCAAGAGCAAGCTCCCGTCTCGTGCCGACGCAGCATTCCGGGCCAAATAACTGCTGATACCACAGCCGAACCACGCTCTATCCCTCCCCCGTGCTGGTATCGATACATAGTCTGGGCTCAACACGACCTACACGCCCCTACGCATTATCAGCACCCTTTCATTGCTGGTTTGGTGGCCGCTCACTGCTGGCGAGGTCGCCCGCGCGATCGGCGGCCGTGGATAGCTCTATTGCATGATGGGCGCATGCATGAGCAACGGCACCAATGAGGAAGGAGACCAGAAGAAGCGCAGTCAGATGATAGATCGCACGTTGGAGGAGGATTCGAAGAAGCTGCGGCGAGAATGCAAGATCCTGCTACTAGGTATGATATTCCACCTCGCCGACATCGTCGTGTGCCAGCGAGGTCTGATGTAACGTGTGTGACAAGGCCCATGCTGACTCCATGATCGGACAGGCTCCGGCGAGAGCGGGAAGAGCACGATAGTGAAGCAGATGAAGATCATACACCAAAATGGTTACACGCGCGACGAGCTTGCTCTCTACCGACATACAATCTACAAGAACCTTATCGATTGCGCGAGAGCACTGGTGAGCGCGATGCGACAATTCGGCGTTGAAGTTAATGATGCGCAAAACAAACAACACTGCGACTACATTATGGAGTACGCAGTAGATCCGGACACGCAGCAACCTCTCGATCCCAGAGTAGGCGAAGCGATAGCGAGCGTATGGCAGGACAAGTGCATATCGCAGGTGTTCGAGCACCAGAACGAGTTCTATCTCATGGACTCGGCGCCATACTTCTTCGATGAGGTGAAGAGGATAGCGGCACCGGACTACATACCTACAGAGGCGGATGTCCTGAGAGCTCGCACGAAAACGACCGGTATCTACGAGACGCGGTTTCAGATGAATCAGTTGAGCATACAGTAAGCAGGATTGTCGTGGCCCTGCCACAACGAAGCTAATATGGAGTACAGCATGTTCGATGTCGGCGGGCAACGGAGCGAGCGTAAGAAGTGGATACACTGCTTTGAGAACGTTACTTCGATCATCTTCTGCGTCGCACTGAGCGAGTATGATCAAGTACTACTGGAGGAGAGCAGCCAAAACCGCATGATGGAGTCACTGGTCCTCTTCGACTCCGTCGTGAACTCAAGATGGTTCATGCGGACATCGATCATCCTCTTTCTCAATAAGGTCGACTTGTTTCGCGCGAAGCTGAAAAAGTCGCCTCTGGTCAACTACTTTCCTGACTACCAGGGAGGCGACGATGTCAACCGTGCAGCAAAGTACCTGCTATGGCGGTTCAACCAGGTAAATAGAGCACATCTCAACCTCTACCCTCAGTAAGTCTTACGTTCGCGCTTGGGTTAGCTGACTGTCGCTGACTGGCCCAGCCTCACACAAGCGACCGATACCTCGAATATACGCTTGGTCTTCGCCGCCGTCAAGGAGACGATCCTCCAGAATGCGCTCAAGGACTCTGGCATCTTATAGCACTACAACGCCCAACCATTTCTTCTTATATCTACGCTACCTTACTACTCGCGTAATCTAGCATCTTGCTGTTGGGTAAGCAGGCGTTTGAGGTGCCCTGGGCGCGAATGGCGACTCAGCTGGCTGCGGAAGGTAACGTGCATTGGACGATGTGTACGAAAAGCGGGACTGTCGTTTAGCATGGCGTTTTGATACCATCGTATGGGCTCATCTGCGGACACTGGTGGTCTTTTCGAGGCAGGAGCGGTGGTGTGAATGGGAGTGCCGTGATCGACGGCGCGGGATTCAGCACAATGGAGTGGGTAAGGGGCAACACCCTGCCAGATGCTTGGGGAGGCTTTCGCGCCTGGATACCAGTCGATTCGCCTACAGGCCAGTAATGAGAGATCTCTATCGCAAGGTATCTCCTCAAATTCGGAGCGTGCTTACCGGAAAATCACAAGCACATGAGCCTGATGTATCCGATATCCGGGGTGCTACCCTGCCGACTACATGGACTGGTCGTTCACACATTAACCCCAAACGGCGTTTCTGCTTGAAGCCAAGGTGCGCTAATGCGGTGCGACAGGAAACTGCTCTGGGACGACCATACTCACATCTGAACTCACCCGTCCTCAATCTCAAATAACACTTCACGTCGGCGACCGCAGCACGGCCGATCTGTTAACATTCTCCGCAATGGCTCGCATACCATGTAGAAGCAACGTTCCGCACGTGAATGCACGTGAAGCTAGTGTCGACCAAGTCTTTGCCGATGTATTAGGCAAACATGGCAAGTACCTCCGTCGGGTCAAAGTTTCTACGACCTGCTCTGCTTGACGTGTAGCAACAAACACAGTACACGCAATCAGTCGCTGCACAGTGACAGGCGGCAAGCTGTACCCCGACCACTAACGCAGCAAGCCTTGTTACACCCGAGCAACGCCACCGGGTCAAACTTGCATTCACCGCACCGCAGGCGCGGACTCTGCACGCTTTCGAAGTTGACGTCGAGCAGATCCTACTTCTATGTTGGAAATGTACTTTCAATCACACTGGCCTGAATCATACTAGGGAGCACTCGATCCCACCTGACCCAGGTTGCTCTCCAAGTATGCTGCCAACAGTCGCGCTGCAAGCTTTTACAGCCACGTCCGCTGGAAGACATATCGAAGACGCATGGCCAGTAAAGGATATTGTCTACGTGAGCATCGTCGGCACGGTCATGCTGGCCGCCCTTCTCGAGTGGGTTCTCTGGCTTTTGGCTTTCTTGTACTGCCTGTGCAAAGTTTTCCAGAAGGCAGAAGGGCAACTCAGATGGAGTGTTCGGATCCTGGCCATACTCAACATGATCGTCTTCTTCGCTCTCCGCTGCATCTTCCTCCCAATTATGGTCGTCACCCTGCCGTTACCGTCCCGCATTGTTCGATATTTTCCGGAGAGAATGGTCTCGATCCTGCAACTGTTCGCTTTCTGGGCGTTTGCCGGCCTCTTGACGGTAAGCACAGCGATGTTCAAGCCCAACCCAATCGGTGCAGCCGTAGCTGACACTAAGATTTATTGAAATCTCAGATACCATGGCTGTTTTGCGTTTACCAGCTCATCACACACAATATTGGCCGGACGCGGAGAGTCAAGACGGTGCTCGACGAGTACTCCGCACCAAAGGTTGTTATCATCATGCCATGCTACAATGAGGAACCTGATGTTTTGCTCAGGACCGTCGACTCGATTGTAGACTGCGAGTATCCTCCTTCTTGCATGCACATCTTCCTGTCGTTCGACGGAGACAAGGAGAACGAGCTGTATCTCAACACCATCGAGAAGCTCGGCGTTCCGCTTACACTTGAAACGTACCCAAAGAGCATCGACGTGCAGTACCGCAGTTGTCGCATCACCGTGTCACGCTTTCCGCACGGTGGAAAGCGAAGCTGCCAGAAAAAGACCTTTAAGCTAATAGACCGAGTGTACGCTGAGTATCTGCGACGCAACGACAATCTGTTCCTACTATTCATCGACTCGGACTGTATACTGGACAGGGTCTGCATCCAGAATTTTATGTATGAGATGGACTTGCGCCCGGGTAGTAAGAGAAATATGCTCGCCATGACCGGAGTGATCACATCTACCACTACCAAGAACTCGCTCATCACGCTACTACAGGACATGGAGTATATACATGGCCAGCTGTTCGAGCGATCGGTCGAGTCCGGCTGCGGCGCGGTTACGTGCCTGCCTGGCGCCCTGACAATGTTGCGATTCTCTGCTTTCCGGAAGATGGCTAAGTACTACTTTGCGGACAAAGCTGAGCAGTGCAACGACTTGTTCGACTATGGCAAGTGTCATCTCGGCGAAGACAGGTGGCTCACGCATCTCTTCATGATCGGTGCAAAGGAAAGGTACCAGATACAGATGAACACTGGTGCTTTCTGCAAGACAGAGGCTGTGCAGACATTCAAGAGCCTCCTGAAGCAGCGTCGGCGATGGTTCCTAGGCTTCATCACCAATGAAGTCTGCATGCTGACAGACTACCGTCTCTGGAAGCGCTACCCTTTGCTGCTCATCATCCGCCTCGCGCAGAACACAATTCGGACAACCGCGCTTTTGTTCTTCATCATGGTGATTTCGGTAATCACGACGAATCAGAAGATCACCAACTTGCCCGTAGGCTTCATTGCGGTGTCACTCGGCTTGAATTGGGCGCTGATGATCTTCTTTGCTCTCAAACTTGGCCGGCTGAAAGCTGCGATGTACCCACTAATGTTCGTACTCAACCCTTTCATGAATTGGCTCTATATGGTGTACGGAATATTCACCGCCGGGCAACGGACCTGGGGCGGACCACGAGCGGACGCTGGCAAGGCTGATGAGCACACGACTCCTGCGCAAGTCATTGAACATGCCGAGCAGAACGGTGATGAGCTGAACGTGGTACCGGAGACTTTCAGACCAGCGCTGGGCGCTGCAACGCAGGACGTACCTCAGCGGACGCCGCTGCTGCCCTTCTCGGATGTAGAGGGTAGGTTCACACCAGCAGAAGAGCTGCCTGGCGGATGGTATCAGCAGGTAAACCATTCAGGTCCGCTTCTTCACAAGAGGTCTCCCTGGGCACATGGCGACGAGCCTTACCCTCGACATCGCTTCGCTCGCGATAGTTTCGACTCCACCCACTCAGACGGCTCGGTGTACAGGCCAAAGCCGGTCGAAAGCATCTTTGACGATCCGAAGGATGCACGTATCTACCTCCGTGGCCGGGCCTCGCAGAGACCGCCTGGTGGTGCGCATTTTGAGACGCGCATTGCGCAGATGGCGAACACTCCATATGAGCAGCCAAATGCGATTGGATCGTACAGTCCTGCAGCATCGGACTCGTCCTTGTCGTTGCATTTCGACGTTCCATATCGTGAGCCTGCGCAGCCAGCTTTTCAAACGTACGCCGGGACTAAGGACCCGCAACCGTATCGCAATGGACCATCAGACCCACTGCTCGATCCGCAAGTCAACGATGTACCGGCAGCACCTCTTCCAGTTCATAACGCAAGTCTGCGCCCACCGACTCGGCATGAGAACAGCGAGACCAGGCTTGGCAAAAGCCCGCTGGCCAGAAAGAGCTTCACGCGACTCGCTAGTCCACCACCGGCTAACAACGAGCCTATGAACGCTGCCGAGGTTATAGAGCTCGAGCGACTGGTGGCGGCGCGGTCGTTGCAAGAAACTGAAAGACGAGGACGCTCTCGCGATGACTGGCGGAGACGGCCACGAAAGCTTAGCAAGCAGCGTCGGGCGAGTAGCTCGACGAGCAGGAGGTGACTGGAGACTTATGTGTGCTACAACGTATGCCTGGGCAGGACACGTTGTGAGCGTCTCGCAGGCGGAGACTCTCTAGCATAGCGTTAGCGATCATTCATTGAATTTGGCACATCTTATACTGGAAGCGTGGTCTGAATCATCATTCCTGAATTGAGTGGTCAACAACTCTTCACCAATTAGGCCTACACACCTACCACTGGTGACTAGCTAGAAGAGCATTGGTAGGAGCACATGAAGCCGGACCCGAACTATGCCCTGCCCGAGGGAGCAACAGCATGCGCGTCAGGAACTGCCGCTCGTGCTCAGGCAGCATGCCCACTGCCATCTCCACGCGCTCGCCGATCGCAGCGCAACCTATCGCATGAGAGTCTTCAAGTCCTCCAGCCTCTTCTTCGCCTCGTCAAGCTTGGTCATCTTCCTCTCAAGTGTGAACTTCGCCAGATCTTCCTTCCTCCTCTGCAATTGCAACACAGCATTTTCGACAGTGTTCTCCATGATGTAGCGCTTGATCTGCACATCACGCTTTTGGCCCAGACGATGCACACGGTCAATGGCTTGTTGCTCAACACCTGGGTTCCACTGCGGCTCCATCATGAAGACTTTGTTTGCCGCGGTGAAGTTGAGTCCTTGACCGCCGGCTTTGATCGATACAAGGATAACCGTGATTCCTGGGTCGGTCTTGAACTGCTCGAGAACACGACTACGCTGGCTGACGGACATTTTGCCATCGAGGCGATTGTAGCCGATGCCCCGCTCGTTGAGTGCGATCTCTATGAGGTCGAGGTACATTGTCCAGCCGCTGAACACCACGCTGCGGATCGGTGGCTCGCCTTCTGGCAGCTGAGAGGTCTCGGCTGCGCACTTCTCAAGATCCTCCATGAGTGCCGTGACCTTGGTCGACGGGCCGCTGTAGTCCTCCAAACTGCACTCCTTGCGCTTCTTCAGCTTAGCACGCTTGCCTTCAACGAAGTCGCGATAAGCTGAGCGCTTGAGGTCGAAGAAGCCGTAACGTGTCCACGCCCCACATTCCGGACATGTGTAGCGCTCGTCGCTAGACAACGTTGGTACTACTTGCGCCTCCATGGCGTTCTTGCACTTAACGCATAAGAAGTGGAAGCATGGTGTGAGATAGCCTATGGGCTTCTCTTTCTCGCCGTCTTCTCCTGAACTTGTCTCATCCGTAGCTGAGCCGTCGAAATCCTCGGTCACGCGACGGCTGCCGTCAGCTTCCGCTGCTGCTTGACCGATGCTAGCGCTGCATCTCTGGCATTGGTCCTGGTTTGCCTCGATGTGCAAGTGAAGCGTCTCGTAAGCCTGCCTCTCCGACACGGACGCGTCTGGCTCATCGCCGGGCTCGTCGCCAAGCTCGATCGCAATGGCGTTTTCGGGATTCATGCCTTCTGCGATCTCTTTGCGATCATCTTCGCTGAACATGTCCAACCCATGAGCACAGAACATGCGCATGCGGTTTATCGACTTCAGGATGTGCGTGTAGGCCTTGCCTTGCAGCTTACCGCGGACCGCGCCCCTCTCCATTAGTTCGAAGTCCCTACGAGACTGAGCTGCAATATTGTCGTATATCCTCCTCTCTTCCTTGCCAAATTCAAGCTGAATGTTGAGCTCTTCGCGGAGTTTCAGCCCAATTCTGTCCTTCATGCGGCGCAACGTGATGCTGTCCACAAGCAGCCGCAGGTGACCGATGGTGTTGGTGTTGCCACTCTTTAGCTGCGTGATGATCTCACGGCTCCATGTTTGCGCGTCGTCAAAGGGTCGCACTTTGAGGAACTTGATGAGAGCGCCTAGGTCACCCAAGCCGTTCTGTACTGGCGTGCCGGTAACTGCCCACCTGCGTGCAGCCGCGAGATCGACGCATGCCTTGGAGACGGCAGTATTTTGATTTCGGATGGCATGAGCCTCATCGAGGACAATGCGGAACCAGTTGGTAGCACCAAGCGCGCGGTCTTTGGCGTTGAAGTCGAAGGCGGCGGTGTTGTACGTTGTCAGCACGACGTCGTACTTGGCAAGCTCCTCTGGATCATTGGTGCGAGATGCGCCATGGTAGTTGTAAAAGGTGAGCGCGCCCTTTTGAACATGCTGCTGAATCTGCTCCTGCCAGTTCGACATGACAGACTTGGGACAGATGATCAATGTGCCCTTAACATTGCATTCCACCGAACTTTCGTCCGGCGGATCCTGCCTACTGAACTCCTTCGCCTCGGACATTGTCTGCGCAATCAATGACAAGATACTAAGTGTCTTGCCGAGACCCATCATGTCCGCTAAAATGCCGCCGCGCGTAGGCTCCGGTTGATGGAACATCTCATGGCCGGTGATTACATTGACCCAGATCTGCTGGCCTCGAGGGTTGATGCGGGACTGCCAGAGGGAGCTGCTCGGCTGCCCGGCTGCAAGGCTGTCTGCATGCTCATGGGTGACCATGAAATGTAGAGCTTGCTTCTGATGCGCCAACAGCGGCGTTTTGATGATCCCGCTGTTGGGTTCCATTTCTGGAAGATCTTCGTGCTTCACGAGACTGTCAAACATCGTTTCGGTGTCACGGCGAATCTCTTCCTCACTGCGGTGCACCGTTGCGTGCTGTGCTGTCTGCGATTTGCTCTCTCCGCCACGTGCGCCGAAGTTCGTCGGCACATGTGGGTTCGCGACTTCCTTGCCCGTCATGATGCCCATGGTGGTCGGAGACGACAGGAAGAGCTGTCTTTGCGATAGTACTCTACCGATAGCAGATGCGTACTTGCGGGGCGCATACAAGACGACGGAGATGTGCAAATTTTCTGAAATCCATTCGCCAGAGACTTGGTTCTTGCTTCTCCGCCAGCTGTCGAGGTACACCGTCATCCGTATCTTGTTGATGTTCTGACCGTCAAGCAACGGGCACAGTGCGGCGGCGTACTTGAATGCAACGTGGCCTATGTCGCGCGCCTTGCTCTTGTCTACAAGCACGATCTTCAGATTCTCAGCGGGATCACGCCGATAATCCAGCCTAAGTCTCGGCCAGGCGTCTGTGCCAATTGCCACCAGGCTCCTCTCTGAGTACGTTGGGATGCGCGAAATGTTGGCGTCAGCTTGTAACACACCAAGACAGACCTCCTGGTTGCTTGGATTCTGGGCCGGAAGCTGCCTCTCGCCGGTCATGACAATGTCAGTGCTGGTGTTGCCGTCTTCACCAGTAAGGTCAATCATGCTTTGTGGTCCGTTCTGCGCCGCTACCCGCTCACGCTCGGCCTTCATATGGGCACCGACGATGCCATCGTTTGCTGGAATGCTGAAGTTGCCCTTTGCCTTCTTCTGCTCGGGCTCCTCACCCTCGTCATTGGCATCCACTTTCCGCTTACGCTGTGGCACCGAATCACGCTCGGTGATGCGATGAAGGTCGTTAATGAAATGGCTCATGCCACGACCTTCGCCATCCGTGTCATCATGGTTCGAAGCATACTGTACCGTCGAATCTGCCGCGCTGGTATCATCCTTCGCTGAGCTTTTGACCGAGCCACCTGCGCCAGCACCTCTCGGGTTCAGGAGCAATCTGGGGTCAAATTTGGGTGAGTTGACCGCGACGTCATTGGAAGCTCTAGCAGCTGTGTTGGCCGGTTTGCGTGACTGCGGAGGACCTGGTTCAGTCAGATATTGCTGGTTACTTGTAAGTATTAGTGACGGCAAGGAGGGTGGTGTTGGAGAGTGTGAAGACAGAGCAGGTTGAATGCTGTGTCCGACATCGTGAGAGTGCCACCTGTTCGACAAGTGCGCCGGATTCACGAAGCTTGGAGTTGATGCCTGCATGTTGGGTTGCTCGGCCGATTCCATGCTGGCTTGGTGGCTATCGAGTCCGTTTCGGAACGGGCTTATGCCTGTCGCAGGAACCCATGATCTGTCCCAGAATGAAGCCATGGTAGACTGGACAGAAACCAGTTGATAACACTATGGCTGATGGCAGTAAGTGTTGAAGCTGCCAGGTACAGTAAGAAGAAGGGGAACTGCAGCCTAGAACAACAAGCATGGAAGATGTTGGTGAAGAAGTGGAAGTATGATGCTAAAGAGGACAGCCAAAGCTGCTCATCATGCGATAGCAAAGTGGTGCAGATTGAGCACGTGAATGGATGGCCAATCTCGACCAAAAGCAGCCAAACTCTGAAGTGAGGTTCAGATCTGCAAAAGAGAGGTTGTAGTGACACACCGTAATTTGGCGTCCGCTTCTTGGACTTTTCTTTCGCGACGCTCTTCGGGTTGAGTAGCTGCTGCGCTAGCGAAGGGTTCATGGCCCGTAGTGCCTGATGATGCTGTGGTCCGATCCGGCGGGCGACACTCAGTCTGTCGAAGAATGCTGGTCGATCATGCGTACCATCACGGTAGCCCTGGAGACTCGGGCGCTTCAATATCGTGGCGAACCAGGCTGAGCGCCGTCTTGATCGAGGAAGGGTCACAACGTCGGGAGTCGTACGGCTCTGGTTATGATGGAGGGAAAGCAATTACTCTGGTCGATCGGTTTAGTAGTAGAGTAGTATTTTGGACAGCGTGGGCAGAAGATTTGAAAGCGCAACTGAACGCTGCTGTGATTTATGTCTAACGAGGAATAGACCGTCGTGGCGCAAAATGTGGCTGCGGTTGCTGCCGCATTCAGATAAGCTTAAATGCGGAGTAGATCGCCAAGGCTCTACGGTCGGATGTGTCTACAGTATCTTGAACATTTATTGGGGTATCATGTGGACTTCTGTCATATAGACAGTGCCATCGAGCATATCTCGTGATCACTAACACCAAGTGAAGAATGGATTCTTCCCCTTAACCATCTCCAAGCGCTCAACAGTCACCTTGCGTCTCGCACTCTCCTGCTCACCAACAGCAGCATAGCCGAGATCGCCCAGGTCTTCTTCTTCATCTTGCTCGTCAAAGCCGCTGCTTCTCCGGACCGCGAAACTGAACCTTCTGCGCCGTTCCGCAGACCGACGGTCAGGGGTGCGAGGGATCTCGTAGGAGACCCTGCTTTTAGCGACTGGCCGGCTCGTGAAGGAGCGGAGATGACCCGGGCGAGTGCTCGTTGGCGGAAGATGTGATGTTGAAGACGTGAGCTCCTTGTGTGGTGAAGACGATGTTACAACCTCTCCATCAAGTCGAACATCCTGACTACTATTTTGGCGACTATGGTTGAATGGGTTCTCTGTTCGGTTGTGTGACGGCGAAGAAAGCCCGAGAATATCGTGGGACAGCGCCGGCTCACTTGAATGTGCCGCTGAGATGTCCATCTCTTCCTCCTCTTCAACGGTCTTTGGTCGTGGCTGTACAGTTTGCGCGGTTGCGCGCCTCGTCTCCTCAGGCCGGGTCATGGGTACTGCGACCGGCACTTCGACGACATCGTCCCACACTAGCACTCTCGACCGTCTCGTCAGCTCTAGTGGTCCATGATCCGGCGTCTTCAGTGTCTCTACTACATTCCACGCCTGCCCTTTCATCACAGCCATCTGCCGTGCAAACATCTTCTCTTGGAAGTCCACGTCAAGCTCGAAGCACTTCCGCAGCCTGACCTGTGTGTCTGTCCACCATTCTTTGCTCGTAAGCAAGGGTAGGAAATGCCGCCTTGTTCGCTCCGAGAACGGTCTACCGATCAGAGACACCGGAAGGAACAGCCAGCCGAATGGATAGCTGCGCCACTGGTCTGGATGCTTCCACGGCCAAGACAAGCTGTTGTCGATGGCACCAAGGCGTGGGATCTCCACAGGGCCGCCGGACGTTGCGGTAGGGCCCATGCTCTCGTGCCGCCTGCGGTAGCCTTCAGCATCTCCGTTCGGTTGACCATCCTCCGGCCGATATTCTTGCTTTGGCGGCTCAACCACAATCTCCGCCTCGTTCTTGTCTCGATCAATGCGTATCATCCAATTATCCGTACCGCGATCGGTGTTGCGCATGACATAATCAAGTATCACAAGCTTCTCCAGCTGTTCACGGAAGCTCAATTGCAATGCCTCGTTCCAGAACTCGGGCCTCGTCCGACTGTGCTCGGCAGTTGTCGCCCCGCTGCCTCCGTCCTCGACCTCGTCCTCTTCCACGGCTGTACTGCCTGGCGTGCAACTGTCCGCCCAACCTTTCTTCCTTCTCGTCGTCATGGCCGGCGTACTGTCGATCCCACGATTGTACTTGTCCGGCCAGGGGTGCTCTCGGAAGAACTCAGTCGCACCTTTGTAGCCTTTCAGAAACACCTGGAACGAGCCTGGCTTCTCCGGTAGAGGCCTCCGCTTTCTCCAGTACGCTCTGCGCTCCCAGAAGTCGTAATGGAAGCTATGACTGCTCAAGCCCACAACATCGGTATATGGCACAATGTTCGTTCGTAGTTGGCAATCCAGAACATAAGCAGCCGCCTCCGAGACATAGGAAAGGTTAGGTATGAGCATGGCACGACCAAAAGCAAAAGGCAGCAGATTGCGATGCAGCCATTTCGTCCATTTCGGGTTGCGGCTCGCATATGGCTCTTCGTCCTTGGGCTTGAAGACGCCAACTGTCTTCCCGCCACTGTTCCGAGCGAAATACGAGCCGCTACTGCCTTGGGTGATGAGCTTTGGATGTACGCCAAGCTCAATCGCCGTGCGCACGCTCTCGACCAGGTCATCAAACTCAAGCTTGGATAGCCTTTCGGTGCTGTCATCGTAGTCGTCGCGTAATGTTTCCTTAGTCGCTGGCCGTATCCAATCCGGTGCCTGGAAAACCGAGCTGTATATCTCGAGATGCTCGTCTTCCACACTCTTGCCCTTCACTCGTCGAATCTTAAAGCGCTCTTTGATCTCTTCCGCCCATCGTTCCAAACGCGCATTGATAGCCTTAATATCAACTCCAGAATTGGCTCGCCTTCGCCCTTTCCGGCGCGGAGACGATGCGCCGGACGGTATCTGCATGCGCTCACGGCGCTTTGGCTGTATTGGCGCATACTCTCCATCCTCTGCGGATACACCTCGATGGCTATTAAGCGGCTCCTCCTCATCGAAGTAAGGGTCATCGTCCTCTTCCTCCTCAGCCTGCGCAATGCGCGCGTAGCCTGAGGCCGCTGGGCGACTGCGCGGCATCTTTGCGAGCTTCGATAAAAACCGCAGCCGTCATCGATATACGGGCATCTTTCTTTGCACTGGAGCCGTATTGTGACAAGACATGTCGGAGAGCGAAGAACGGCGTAAATTAACACTGGGTGGTTGATCGCTCGGGATGATGGAAAGCTTGGACTGCGGCTTGCTGGAGTCCTGCAGCGGAACGTTCCTTCGCCGTTGCGCTTTGGAAAGCTTGTCGTTTTAAGGGGCGCCACATGCAGGTACGTGAGACACGAGTCGGAGAAGTAGGATAGGTTTGCCATCGCAAGAAGGATACATGCAGAGGCGAGAGACACTCACCCGCATGCACCGGCTATGTTTACGAGATCCAGCGCTCAGATGTAGAGGCACTGCTCTGCCGGAGATGAAGCCGATGAGCTGCCTGCGAATCATTTACCACGAGGTCTGAGCGCCATGCAAGGACGCTATTATCGAACCCCTATCAGTGCGTCAGTGTTTTGCGAGTTTTGGTAGTAGTTCTAGCCAGACTGCCCATGCTAGAAGCCGCTGTAAGGACAGATCCTAGATCCTCCCTTTTGCACCACTTTCACCAAGCACGCCTCCATCGCATCTGAAGGAGCAAACGCGTCCATTAACACAACCGCTTCAATGCTGTCTTTCGCCTCTACGAGCATACAGCACTTCCAGCCTGCCAGCGTCCCCTTTGCCGGTCCGCCTAATACCACGAGGGACATCCCCGCCCTGAGCGCCTCATACCGCTCCAATCCCTCCACAACGTCAGAAACACGCAGACCTCTCGTCCAACAGCAGGCAGGCGCGGCATTTAGCTTCGGCACAGAAGGAGCAGATACGGTATTGCCAGCATTGTCTACATTGGCGTCGTTGGCAGCAAGTTTCCCTGCAGCGCCAACGAGCAGTAGTGCAAGGTGAGTGAAAGAAACGGAAACAGACAAGTTGCTGGCGACATGCGCCTACACTGCCGAGAGCGACGCTAGCGAGCGATCGCCAAGAAGTGCGATCTCCTTATCGTCACTTGCGTGCCTGCCGCGATTCGACTGACAACCCCCACACAGCACACGATCGTCTACACCGAACAGCACAATAATGAATGGCGTGCAATACGCGCCACCAGCGACTGCGGGAGGAAACCAACAAGGTCCGGTAAGTCGTTGATCGTTGCTTCGCGCGCGCATAAAGTGCGGATCCCGAGCTTCGCATCCGATATCGATAACAACGCGCTCCACCTCCACGCGCGATCCTCCATAGAGATGTGTGAAAGCTCCGCTGACACACTCCCAGCCGGTCTGCCAAAACTGCGGCACGTCGACAACCCCACTATGGCGGCGCGACGAGTCAGGCTCGGTGCTGTGCAACGCTTGTGGCTTGTTCCTGAAACTGCATGGCCGCCCACGGCCCATCTCGCTCAAAACGGACGTAATTAAGAGCCGCAACCGCGTGAAAAGTAGCCAGAAGAAACGCGATGGTGAAGATGGCGCAGTGTTCCAACAACCACCGCCGCAGCAACACGCAGGTGGTCTAGCAGCTGCGCATCCAAGCGTCGCCTCCGCCGGCGGGTTGCATCCGCTCCCACATGCGATACCACCGGTTGGAGATGCACCGGTGAGGTTACCCTCACCAGGCCATCTATCACGGAGTGGAACTCCAAATCTAAGCCAAAACCCGAACATCGCGCCACAGCACATCTTCGACACCGTCACACTTGGTGGCGAATTCGTCTCCCCATCATTGCCAGCATACCGCCAGCCGTCGCCATCGCAACTGTCTTTGAACGGCGCGAGCCAGCTCGAGACAGCACTGTCCTATGAGGGCCTTGCCGCTCAGAACGGCCATCTGAAGACAAGAGTAAGCGAGCTGGAAGTAATCAATGGTCTATTCAGAGGCAGAGTCGCCGAGCTGGAAAGTACCGAACGAGGCGCACGCCAAGCGGAAAAAGTGCGAGAAGAGGAGAATGACAGGCTGAAAGCGGAGCTTGATATGGCGCGAGATCGCATTGCGGAGATGGAGAAGCGGATTGCACAACTCGAAGCGTACAGTCCAACACGGAAGAGGACAAGAACGTCGGGCGACGGCAGCGAGGGCAGGGAAATTTCGACGTCAAGAAGCACCTTCCCGATCGATGATCCACTACCGGGTTCAAGTAACTTCATGATACCGTGAGACGGCCCCAGCCACCGTCCAAGTCATGCAGACTTATGGAGCGTTTGAAGCGTAACGCATACAGCGTTGAGATACCTCTAGCGTTGTGTACTGATCCTTGCGCGTCTGAATGCAGCGCTATAATCTGCATTCGACCCACTAGCAGCTCCTCAAATGTCGATGAGGGCCCGTGACAGTCGGCATGTCTTCGAGCCACTGCAGCAGTAATTTCGGGAGCGACGACGATGGAAAAGCAAGGTTGTCAGCTTGAGCACGTACGACCAGTCTATGACGGTGTAACCAGCTGCACTGTGCGAATTACTGCACATGGAACTTCAACCGATCCTCCAGCGCCTTTATTGATTCCATCTCGTACGCACCAGCCTTCTCTGGCAACGCGGAATGCTCATACGCCTTCCCTGCTTCGCATAGCAACTCGACAATGCCTGCGCCAGAAGCAAATGCATACATCTTGCTGAAGCGCGAGGTTGTGCGTAGTTTGAAGGCCGCGCCTTTTGGGATATAGATCACATCGCCGCCAGCCAACTTCGACGGTGCCGCGTGATCTACACACACCTCAACCGAGCCCTCGGTGACTAGGAAGGCATGGTGGACTTCGGTGAAGCTTAAGGCCGCCTTGCTTTCTGCGAAGATGCTTTGCTGATGGTACTGATTCGAGCTTTCGATACCCGCAATTGCGAACTTGCCTCGCGATTGTGCAGTCGTAATCAATGGTCGGCAGATCGTGCCACCCAGCTCATACGCTGGACCGGAAGCATTACGCAGGAAAAATGGTTCGGCGCCGTTCGGTAGATGGTTGTCGTTCGCTGACCACGGCTGTGGATCGAACTGTTTGTGCTGTGGACACGGAACCATGTCGAACTGCTCAGTCGCTGCTTTCAATCTAGGAAGCATCACCTCGAAAAAATTTCGGTCGTCATTTATTGGCCACATTGGGCCGGAGTACGGATCGCCAATAGAGCGGAAGAACTCCTCCCAGCCGCCAGGGACGATGAGTCCGATCATCTCGGAATGGGGCCCAAGGATTTGATACTGATGTATTGCCCCCTATCACTTCATCAGCAATTCTAGCGGGATTAAGGGTATGGTATCTGGCGATCGTACCGGTGGCACACTGGCGAAGTCCCCAGGCTCCATAGTGCGACATTGATCGCCAGCCCAGACGTTGATCTTGCCTTGCAAGCAAAGAAACACATCGTGGGCCTCATTGTGGTAATGAAAGCCAATCGGGTCGCCTTGACTACCGCCACTGCCGACGATGGCGAAGGCATTATCGGTCTCTTTACCGGTAATCAGTAGTCGAGTCGCAGACTTGGACAGTGGGATGTAAATAATCTCGCCGTCTTGGGATGATATCGTATATGCTTGCCCGGGTTTGCCAATGGGTAGCTCAGTCGTTGGCAGAACTTGCGAATTGCCATTCACGCCATCTATGCCATTCTGAAGAGGAGACATCTTCCGTCAAGAGATAGCCGGGGGAAAGTAGAAATCCGGTAGGTGGTGGCACGTTGCACAGCATGGCGGGCAGCAGTCCTTTGAATGCAGGTGCCATCAATGACCCCCACCTACGTCCGTCTGATCAAGCGGTACCACACTACGCGCCTAAGAGTTATGCACTCTGCTGTGCTGGAGGGGCTGATGTCCGGCTGGCCGGAAGATGTCGAACCGAAGCCCTCGTTTTCCCCACTCGGGCCCTCACGGGTCTAGAGCTCGGCAGCGGTTCGAAGTGTGTCCGTTTCATGTATGCTATCCGTCGAACTCATGGCGGAGTATGGATGACGTTCAGTTCTGGTGGCCGCCACCAACGATCTTTGTTCACCCTTGTATTCCTTCTGGTCTCGGTCGCGGGTCTCCTACGACTCCGGAAGGTACGCGGCACTCCAGACAACTGCCGCTAAATTTGCCCATGAAGGCCGGGATTGCGTAGAAGTGGAGGTGAAGACCTCTGTTGAAATCTAACGTAGGCACGGCCATTTTGTTACCTTGATCTTTCTTCCTCGCTATATACCCTTGTTGGGACAATCAGCCAGGCCCAACAGTGAAGATGGACCACCTACCCGAGCTGGGTACCGCCATCCAAAACGTGGTCATACCAACCTTCAAGCTCTATGACCCTCTACTACAAAAGAACGCCGGCCACATTAAGGCTACACCAAAGTCTACTCATCAGTATGGGCAGCACGAACGACAGGTCTTGGATGTCTACTCGCCGTCCAAACCCAGCATCATCGACGGGCGGCGACCAGTGCTCATGTTCGAATACGGTGGTGGTCTGGTCAACGGATCCAGAACATTATCCATGTTTGGCAACGAACTCGTCTACGCTAATGTTGGGGCCTTTTTTGCCTCAAAGTTCGGCTATACCGTTGTGATAATCGACTACCGCTTGATGTCGCATGGCGCAAAGTTCCCTTCTGGTGGTCAGGACGTCGCCTTAGCCGCGGAATGGATTGTGAAGAACAAAGATCAAGTCTCCGACAGTTGTCCCATTGATCTTTTCCTCATGGGCAATTCAGCTGGTGGGATTCATTTGTCTACCTTCCTACTTCACTCCGACTTTTCAAAGACCCGACACCAAGTCCTCACAGGCAGCGATGTCAGGCTCAGAGGTGCAATACTCCTAGCAGTGCCATTCGACTTCGAGACTGCAACTTCGGACCGTACGGAAACATTAGAGATGTACTTCGGCGACTACCAAGCAAACAGCCCTCTTGGCCTCCTGAAAGCCGCCAAGCAGTCAGCGCCTTTTGACTTTGTGAAAGCGGGAGTGAGATTGCTTGTCCTAGACGCAGACCTTGACCCGGAGGACGAGATACTTAAGCCTCGGGACAGATTCGTGAAGGAGTGGTTAGGGTTGACTGACAGTGCAGGTCGAGGCGCCCTAGCTGTTGACTGGATTCTTGGACACAATCACATCAGCCCTGTCGCAGCTTTGAGCACGGGCATTGATAAGGAAGAAGCTTGGGGCTGTCAAGTTGCGGCTTTTTGCGACGGGATTCGCAAGTTTGCGCCGCGGTAGCTAACAAGCGGTCAGATTTCGCGACTTAGAGTATGCCGCAGTTTCCAAAACGGTGAGCAGTCCAATCTAATCCCGTACAACCCGCGCATCGATCATCGACCGCAACCGTGGCCGACTATACTTCTGTTTGGACCAAGCCGAGCTCGTGGAGTAGAATGTCTGCGCCCTTCTCCGCAAGGGCATAAGCGGTCATTTGGGTGTTGGCTCCCACATTCCGAGGCGGAATGCTCAGATCGATGACCTTGAGACCCCTCACGCCGTATACATTCAAACGCTCGTCCACCACGCCGCCTTCATCTTGTGGACCCATCCTACATGTGCCCATCGAATGCCACGTCGTGCCCACGCGCTCCCGCAGATCTTGCTCTATGGCTTGGTCATCCTCCGCACTATATGTAAGGTCGGTCACGTTGCCTTGCGAGGTGAGTGGTTCATCGGTCTCGATCAACGCTGCTTTTGAGCCAGTAGGGAATTTTGGATGGACCTGCGCCAGCTCTCCACGGTACATGGTGGTTCGGCGCATGATCTCGCGGCACTTCTTGTATGCCCAGACCAAGTGTTTTACATCAACATCATTTTCGAGAAACCCGGTGCGGAATTTGGGTGCATCCTCCCAATCCGGTCCTGTGATGTGTATGCTGCCACGAGCTTGTGGGTAGGCTGTGTAGGCGGTCATCGAGAAGTACTGACCTTAAAACAAACGGGTAGGAAGGTCAGCTGTGTCATAGACATCTTTGAGTGCAAATGCATATTGCCTGCTTACCGGCCGGTACAAGCGATGGATCACCGGGAAAGCTAGGAAGGTTAGCGATTTGCTGCCTTATTTTCATGAGCTTCTTGGCTACTTACGCATTCGCAGTTGCTATAAGTACGGATGGCTTCCATGGTTTGGCACAGAAATCCTTCTCCCACGCGCTGCGGAACTTCGGTCCTAGCATGTCGACTTCTGCCTCCGTGGGACGGATCTTTGCATGTATGTCAGTAGCGCTCCAGGCCAGCAAGCCCACTTTGCCGGCCTCTTCGGCGGACATGCGTTGGCTCAACAAGCCATCTAACGTCTCTTCAGGTTTCAGGTGTGTTTTGTATGACCATGTTACGAGGTTATGGTCCTGGTAGTTGCTTCCAACGCCCGGCACAGCAGCCACGACAGGCACATTCGCTTCGGCTAGAACCTTCTCGCTGCCAATTCCGCTGCGCTCAAGCACAAGAGGCGAACCCAGCGCACCGCAGGATAGGGCGACCATTTTGCGCGCTTTCACAGTCATGCGCGGTCGTGCTGTCGCAGTGGATGCGATTTGGAAATCCGGATTCGGCGTGTACTCGACGCCGACCGCACGCTTGCTGTCATCGAACAGAATACGGCTGACCTTACTCTCGCACAAGACGTGGAGATTCAGGTGCTTACCGTCCCGTAGTAGTGAATGAAGATAGGTCGTAGCGGCGTCAAGCCGTAGCTGATCTGCGCCAATCGTGGTGAGACTGGGCGCAAAGCCGAGATCGCCAGTAGTAGGATCCTGGAGATCGTTCACCACTGAGAAGCCGACATCTTGAACAGCGCTCAGAATATCTTCTCCGCTTCTCTTGCACCATACCGGTCCGGGACGTATGTGCAGGGGCCCGGAAGAACCGTGCGTGTCCATCTTCCCAGGGCCATGGTACGTCTCAGTCTGAACAGCACATCAGCTATATGTCATGTGACGCGGAGGAGCATCGGGCCCTTGCCTTTCGCATGTATGGTATCATATCGTCCATGCGCCAACCTGGCACGTCCCAATCGTCAAAGTCACCCTTGTGGGCTCGCGAGTACCTAACAGCGCATCAGCCCATACGCATCTTGACCTGCGAGATTCGTTGCCATTTACAGCATGACGTTAATACTACTGCCCCCTCCGAGTACGCCGCCTGTCAATATGGGGCATTCTCTGCCCGCAAGTGCATCGCTTCTCTCTGACTTATACCACAACGCTGTCCGGCTGTTAGGCACAAGGTTGGCTGGGAACAGAGCAGGCGTTCGGGTAAGAGGGTTGTCCGCGTTGTTTGCGCCCCCTTCGATGACCAAGATCGAGAGTTGAGGGTCGGCGGCTGCAAGACGTCCAGCGACAACACAGCCTGCGAGACCTCCTGGAGTACAGTGAGAATCGGAACAATGATTCATACTTTGGGCTTTACCTCCACAGATGATGATATCGACCTCATCGATGCCATGAGCGAGCTTGTTCGCAACGGGCATGGTCGTCGGCGGAAAAGTTCGCGGGCGGAATGAGAACGACGGGAGGAGAGGAAGAGCAAGCGTCAATAGTAAACAATGTCAAAGACAGAGGAAAGGGCGTGCTTATACCTGTGATAGATGCATTGTACCAGAAGAGCAAAAGCTGTTGATTGGTGTTTTGCGCTGGGCCCACCACGACGTTCCCTTGTGAACACTGCTCACCTATTTGGGACTGGGAGAAGACTGGTATAGGTGGTAGGCGCGCCCGTGAGCGGCGACTCTATGGGAGACCACTGCCGTGGTGTTGTCAGCACACGCTGTTTCCCTTTTGGCACTGAAGCCGGAGTCTGACGCGCATCCACATAGTGGCTGTTCCAGTGCAGCCACATACGGCGCTCACCCAGACAAGTGGATGAAACGATTTGTTGACTTGGCGTCTACGCGCGACAACATGTACAGGCGTGACTTGAAGTATTGAGGTCTTGCCAATAATAGCATTCGTAATGCCTTGAATAGTCAGGTGCACCTCGACGGCTTATGCTGCGCGTATATCACATTACTGATGTGGAGTTCGACCTCGAAGGCGCCAGGTAGCTGAAGCAGCGCTTGGAGGTTCCTGAAATGATGCTGACGGCCGGGTGAAGTGGATGACTGTGTTTACGGCCGAGAGCGCCACCACCGCTATCATAAAGACCCGGAATGGGATGATATGCTGGCGATGCAGAATGGCAATATGAATTTGCATGCTTGGCTCTCAAAGGAGGTGCGCGCCATCCTGCGAGACCTTACTATCATCCTGTGCTTTTGATGGATCAGTTGTTTGGTGGTGGTGCTCTTGTTGGGTGGGGTGCTCTTTGTGACGCCTGATTGGCTGCCATGTACATGCAGGCACCGCCACGAAGATCTGCAATGCAGGCACCACAATACCAGAGCCCGTTGTCTCTGGCTGGGAAAGGTACAGTCAATCAAAGATGTCTGCGGTGGTGCTTTTGCAAGGGTACAAAGCTGCTCAAAGTCGCACACTCCGAATTGCGTTCCACAGAGGTCTGACTCCCGCCATTGAGCTGTATATTCTGGTGATTGCACTTGCCACTGTGAGCGATTGTGACCACAGCGATGACCATGCTGTACGGAGAGTGTTTAGAAAATTACACGATGTCGACGGATCCTTACGACGATCCGACAGAGCAGTATGCGATGGACTTTGAGCTCTTCAGCCCTCCCCCGTCGATGCCCAGCAGTGCGGGCGAGCTAGTTGTGCCGCCCATTAACGACTTTGATACGATAAACCGCACACGGTCAGCTATCATATCGGTGGCGACCTCTTGCAGTCCGATGCGTGATATCGATAGGGCGGCCGGCGCGTGGACAGCTAGCCTTGCGTACTGCAAACGGCCACTCACTCCTCTATCTACTGTCAATTTAGAGACCAGTAGCACTCGCGCCCAATGTCACGTCTGCGGCAAGGGCTTTGGCGCGAACAAAAGCTTGAGACGGCATATGAGAAGTCAACACGAAGGCCTGCGATACCGGTGCTCTGGATGCGGAAAAGCTTTTGGTCGAAGAGATATCCGAAACCGCCACGCGAAGGAGAAGCACGGACCGAACGGGAATCTGCTCGAATGTGACCACTGTGGGCAGATGGTCTCAAGGAGGGCCCTGGAGCGGCATAGGACTAACCGGTGTTGTCTCCCAGAGGATGCTACGTTCGCCACCCAGAGAAGATTGTCTGACTGCAACGTCAGCCTTCAACCTAGGCGTGGGTGGCCTTCGATGCTCGCAGTTCTGGATCCCTTAGTGTTGATCTTCCGGCTTTCTGACCTGTGCTCCGTGAGACTCAGCGTGCAAGGACGCCATGACGACAGCGATACTGCGATGGACCGGAGACAGCAGGTAATGCCGTCGTGTGCACAAGCGGAGTTCCTGCGACTGTTGGGCGTCGTTTACTCAACGCTGCGCAAAGCCATGCTCGAGCAGATGATGTCAGATCTGGGATCCGCGTCATTGATGCTCGCGCTTTGGCTGCTGGCTGTCGTGGAAGAAAGGGCGAACAATAGAGATGCAGCCTTTATCCATCTAAGGGCGTTGGCTGTGCTGTGGTACAGAAATGCGCAAGTGACTCAGAACCTTGATGGCACCATGCGAGGCATCCTCAGCAGCATGGGCGAGTCGTATTCGTCGCGCGTTGTGTGGGAGGCCTTTGCCATGTCTGAAGGCTTTGGAATAGCGCGTTATTCGATTGGCGAGTCTTGTCTCATGGATGTCAATCGTACATAGTAGAGGAAGAGAATATTACCGATTAAAAGATGTCGTTACACCAAACTGCTTCTCACGAAGTGCAGGTTCAATGCGCAGTCCAGAGTCTGACTATGTAGATGTTTGCTCAAGTGTGCAGCTGGCAAACGACCATATGAATCAGCGCCAGGCGGAGGTGCAAGGAGTTCTGGCCTTAGGCTCGGGATATCCGGCACACGGGCCTATTATGGCCGAAACACGCGCTCCAGCCCTGCGGCTTTGCGACACGTCCTCATCGAAGGCATTGCACATGCGCCAACGTTACTCACCTTCTCCCCCACCACGTCTAAGTGTGACGCCTGATGCATATCAATCACTGAGTGGCTACTGCAAAGCAAGTCACACGCAACATTGTGTAGAGAGTGGCAGTTGAAAGGTCGCAACCTTTGACAGCCGGAGGGGGAGGGGAGCGTAAGATGAGCGACAGCTTCGCGGACGAGGATGCGCAGGCGCCTGCTCAAGCCTCCGATGAGATGATCGCGGGCGAGAACGAGGAGGTAGAAGCCAAGCGGGAGGCCGAGGAAGCCGAAGGCCTGGACACAAGCATGGCTGAGGGCGGCGACGATGTGGACACAAAACATCAATCTATATCTGATAACCCGCTCGATGCGCCTGAAGGCCCGCCACCGGACAATGCCGAGGATGTACCTGATGACGAGGAAATGGGCGATGGCACCCCCGCAGTCGAGCCTACCGACGCAGCGCCTACCATCACCAAGTCCGCTATGGAGCAGTCTGCGCGATCACGTCTCATCGATCAGAACCACGCTATAATACTGCCTTCTTACAGCACGTGGTTCGACATGCATGAGATTCACAGCATTGAGCGGAAAGCGCTACCCGAGTTCTTCAACAGCCGCAACCGCAGCAAGACGCCTGCGGTGTACAAGGATTACAGAGACTTCATGGTCAATACTTACAGGCTGAACCCCGCCGAGTACTTGACTGTAACGGCATGCAGAAGAAACTTGGCTGGTGATGTTTGCGCAATAATGCGCGTCCATGCGTTCCTAGAGCAGTGGGGCTTGATCAACTACCAGGTATGTGCATGACAACATGTACCAATGTAGAGGTGCAGCTAATCCATGCCAGATCGACCCAGACACACGCCCTTCTAACATCGGTCCACCTTTCACAGGCCATTTCCGCATCACAGCAGACACCCCCCGCGGTTTGCAACCATTCCAACCCGCGCCTAACAGCACAATCACTGCCGGCAAGCCATATGCAGGTACTGACCGCGCAGCGTCCACCAGCAGAACCGATGTCAACCTAGAGGTGCGACGGAACATCTACGACGACAAAGGCAAGGATGTCACGCTATCTAAGGCAGATACTGCGAATGGCGAGTCAAGCAGGAGCCTCGAAGAAGGTCTTAAGCAAGATGACAAGCAGTACTTTTGTTACTCATGTGGTAAGGACTGCACGAGAGTGCGTTACCACAACAGCAAAAATCCCCCAACCAACGCCGCGACACCGAAGCCCAGCAAAGACCAGCGTTACGATCTGTGCAGTCTATGTTACCAGGAAGGACGCTTTCCCTCATCTACAACAGCCCCGGACTATGTGAAGCTGGAGAACGAGCGATACCGGACGCTCGGTGACAGAGAAGCACCGTGGTCAGATTCAGAGATCTTGCTACTACTGGAAGGCTTGGAGATGTTCGATGACAACTGGGAGTCTGTCGCAGACCATGTCGGCTCACGATCACGAGAAGAGTGCGTGCTCAAGTTTCTGCAGCTCGAGATCGAAGATAAGTATCTGGAGGATGCACCTTCGGCGAACGCCCATGCGGGCGCAGTAGGCGCTCAAGATCTAGCCTTTCTTTCTGGTGGGAGACTGCCGTTCAGTCAGTTTGACAATCCCGTCATGAGCGTCATGGGCTTCCTTGCTGGACTGGCGGATCCTGCCACCACTGCGAAAGCGGCCGGCAAGAGCGTCGACGAGATGCGCCGGAGTCTCAGGGCGCGGCTAGAGACCGACTCGACCACGGGCGCAGAGAACGCAGGAGCGGAAACCCAAGGCGAAGCGGCAGCGGCAGATATCAAAGGCGAGCGAGCCGAATCAATGGACGTTGACGATACCACTTCACTTGCCACGCGCGAGCCACAGACTTCGAACGACCTCCCCACCACAGCTTTAAGCCTCACAGCTGCGCGCGCAGCAGCTTTAGCATCAAACACTGAGCGCCAACTCACGAACTTGGTCTCCGCGGCCGTGAACCTCGAACTCCAGAAGATCGAGCTCAAACTGCAGCAGTTCAGCGAAATGGAGGCGCTATTGCAAGCCGAGCGGCGAGAAGTCGAACGTATGCGGCAGCGGGTATTCCTCGATCGGCTCTCTTTCAGGCGAAAGGTCCGCGAGGCTGAGGCTAAGCTTGCTGAGATGCTTGTGGGCAGGCGGATTGCAGTGCCAGGAGGTGAGAAGTTAAGTATAGATCCTGCTGGAGATTCAGTCGGAGGCAATGGTGTCGTGGGCGGTGTGGAGCCGTATCAGGAGGGTATGGAGGGGTTTATGAGGCATGAGATATAGTAGCCTTATTTCAGGCCTATGTACCGGCTGGCGTTCGTGTGGGAGGCGTCTCGTGGAGCGAGTATCGTGTTAAGCCTAACAGACAGGCTTGGAATTATGGAAAGAACTTAGGGTTCAATACATTGCGTGTAGCGTAGCCGCACGCGAGCTGTCCAGTTGGCACCGTGTAAGATAGACATTCACGAGGCAGCAGTCTACTGAAGGGTGAAGGCCCGTTCCGTAACTCAACCCAGCGCTCAAACAGTATGATATTATACGCCGCAGAAATCCAATCGAGCCGGCTACCGAATGCTTCAACAGTGCTATGCATGTGCGAACCAACATGAGACAATCAAGAAAACTTGCGCAACGTCTCCGCGATAACGTCTTCGGCATGCTTCTCTGAATCATGGCCGAGAATCCAGTCCTCTCGAGGCATGGCCATGCTTTCCGGATTAGCCTTGACCTTGTCCCAATCTGCCTTGTGCCACATCTGCTCACGACATGGGGTCAGCATGGCCTTGCCAGACGCTGACAAAGGGAAAACAAGTACTCACGTCTCGCGTCGTCTCGCCAGTCTTTTGTACTGCCTTGACGCGATCGTAGCGGATGTCTTGGAAAGCGCGCGTGGCGGCCGTAATATTTGCTTTGCCGGCTTCACGAAGGCAGATGGCGATGGTCACGCCATCCTCCATCGCCTGCGTTGCACCTTGTGCGCTGGTAGGCAGGAAGGGATGTGCTGAGTCCCCTAGCAGCATCGTCCGGCCCCCATCGCTGACCCACCTTGGTAGCGGGTCTCGGTACACGAGCTTCCAGTCCACAAGCTTGTCCTCGGGCGTTTTCGACACGATGCGTTTGCACAGCGGGTCCCAGCCCTCGAACACCTTATACACGTCCTCCAGCTTGCCAGGGAAGGACCAGGACTCTTCAATGTCGTGCTCGTCAACATGCGTCAGAACCCAGCAACAGTCACTGCCGTTTTTGATTGTGGAGAATAGGAAATGGACATCTGGGCCAATCCATCCATTGAAAGTGTCGCCGTTTTCACAGAAACGCCGTGTTTCCGGGTCGGCCAGCATGTCAGTGTTTGGGAACCAAGCACGGAAGACTGCGTAGCCGGAGCTCTTGGGAGCGTCTACGTAACCCAGCACGAGCTCGCGGGCCTTGGAACGTACGCCGTCTGCACCAATGACTACGTCAGCGGTTGCACGCTCGCCCGTGTCGAGTACAATGCCGGCCTCGGTTTCGGTCTCGAAGTACTTCGTGATACGGCAGCCGAGATGGATGGGGATGGCTAGCTCGTCCTTGACGTAATTGAAGACTGTGGCGTGGATCTCGCCACGATGTCCGTTGAACACTGGAGCATCGGGGTCACTGGGCGGCGTCCTTTGGTTCATAATGAGTTCGCCAGTATATTTGTGGACTACCACCGAGGGCAAGAGGGTCAGCTGTGCCAAAGGACAATGTGGAAGGGAGTTTAAATTGGTTCACTTACTGTTGAAGCCATAGTTCTGGAGCTTGATGCTGAGTTTGTCTAACCGGTCACTGATGCGGTCACCAGAAGATGTGAACCAGCGACGATAGATGCGGCCAGCGTTAGAACCGAAGGAGATGATGTCGCCAAGTACTTTGAGCTCCCTGAAGGACTCGTACATCTCAACGGTATGACCTTGGCGATGGCATTCTATAGCTGCTGTGAGCCCACCAAATCCAGCTAAGCGACGTTAGCAGACACTCGGTAGGCGTCACGCCAGCCGTTCGAGGCTTACCTCCGACAATAATAACCTTGATGCCGGAGGATGGCCTTTCGGGGGCCACTAGGCCGTTTGTGTGTCCATTGGTATGGCCATTGACATGACCGTTTAATACCCCATTGCTAAGCTCGCCGTTAAGGACTGCTTCGCCTGCGGTTACCTCGCCCACGGCCATGTCCACAGCTGTATCTACCAAGGTAAATTATGCTGCAACAGGAGTGAGTGAACTTCTTAGGCACGAGCTACAGTACTTGCGGTGATCATACACAGCCTAAATCGCAGGCCACGAACCAAGCCGACGATGTATCGATGTAGCTCACACGGAATGTGGCCTACCCATGCCGAGAGCCAGGTGTCGCGGCAGTTGCAAGAAACGACGGTGCCGCCGTGATAGATCGTTCGCAGCATGGTGTTATTCCGTTCAGTGCAACTCCCGTGCAATGATCGGCGTATGTACATACATGTAGCCCTAGGTGGCGTCCAGACGCAGATCTGTCACAGCTGAGCTTGTCCATGTGAGCATGCAGCCAAGTGGAGCTGATATTGACCCACAATTTTCCCCACGGGACATACGTGGCCCGTGCTGCGGTATTCCGCTGTATGACTCGCATGTAACACGTCTCGGCAGTTGCTGCGCAATATGCGAGACATTGAGAACATCGCGGAAAGCCGGCAGATCAGTTATGACTATGCTGGCCGTCTCGATGTGGTGGCCATCGAACAGACAGTGGGAGTCGGGCTTAGCACAGTATGGCGACCGTACCGGATTGGGGTGAGAAGACCAGTGGCTCTGAGGTTGCAGAGCGCTTCCAAGGTAGCATAAGGGGCAGGAATGTCCTCATCACAGGCGTGTCCCCGAATTCGCTAGGCGAAAGCACGGCGGCAGCAATTGCTCGACATGAACCGAACAGCCTGGTACTGGCGTCTAGGACGAAAGCAAAGCTTGACGAGGTTGCGAACAGCATCACCCAGTATGCCCCTCGTGTCCGTGTGCATTGCATTGAATTGGATCTGTCATCCCAAGCTTCCGTACGTAAGGCAGCAGTGCAGATTGCAAGTACTGTTGACCATCTCGACGTCCTGATCAATAACGCTGCGGTGGTCACGTCCGAACGGAAGGAGACTGCAGAAGGCATTGAACTGCAGTTCGGCACGAACCATATCGGCCACCATCTGCTCACCTCACTGCTGATGCCTCTGATCATCGCCGGAGCCAATCAGCCGAGAGAGCCTAGTATGGCACGCATAGTCAACGTTACAAGCCAAGGATACCGCTTAAGCCCCATCCGCTTCCACGACTACAACTTCCAGGGGAGTGAAGTGCCGCCAGAGGAGCAACCAGCGGAATGGATCCCAGCACACATGGTGCGATATGTTCGACCCCTTCCTCTTGACCAGGGCGTTGCTGATCATGCTCACCATCAATCTTTAGAAGCCTGATCCTGCCTCCGGGAAACCATACTACGTGTTTACCGCATACGGCCAGTCTAAGACAGCAAATATCCTGCACACTGTGTCACTGAACAAGAAGTATGGCGGTGAAGGCATTCGAGCGTTTGCGGTGCATCCTGGCTGTACGTTCTGCAGCACTACAGCGCTCAGGTCGTGCGCTGCTAACACATTTTTATCCAGCGATCTGGACCGACCTATCCCGGAACCTGGCACCAGATGACCTCAAGATCATTGAGGGCACAAGCACGTTCTGGAAGAATCAAGATCAAGGCGTAGCAACTACCCTCGTGGCCGCTTTCGATCCCAAGCTGGCCGGTGTCACGGACCGCGTGTATTTGAGCGACTGCCAACTTGAGGATGTGGTGGACCATGCGAAAGACCCTGCCCTTGCAGAACGCTTGTGGCTTTTGAGCGAGCAGCTAACCGCGGGCGACGGTCAGTACAGTTAGACTTCATCGTCTCCTGTCGACCTACACGTATCCTGGCGTCCTCTTAGCCGCTGTCTAGATCCAGTTCATGCTATTGCAATTCTCGGCACACTACAATCAGCATCTCTGTAATCTCACCGTTAGAGACGGCTGACGAAATGTCTTGGTCCTCTGGAGTGCATATGAGAGTTCCGATAACGGTGAATGCGACAGATGGCACTGTTTATTTGCGTTGATACCCGGGGACGTACAGAGCAATAGATTTACAAATTCCTGTTACTTGTCCACCTGCACTTGATATGTACACCCATCAGCTTCCTCTTCACCACGCATCACACTAATGATGATAATACTGCCAATGCTGCATCAAGCAACATTGATGGCGGTTTCCACAGCCGCCGCAACAGCCTTCTCATCGCCATAGACATGCTCAATGGTCTCAACTCCGCCATGCTTCTTGTGGGTGGAGTCATCGTCATTCATGCTGGCATTTCGGTTCATGCTCTCGATGGCAGCACGCCCAGTGCATACGTAGCCAAGGAACTTTCGTGCGGGTAGTTTCTTCTCGAACATCTCGTCGATTTCCTCAAGCGTGCGACCCTTGACCTCAGGTAGGCAAAAATAAACCCAAACAGCGGCAAGCACGCAGGACGGCACCCAGATGTAGCCGTACTTGGGACCCCAGCCGAGTGCGGCAGGGTTGATGAAGTATGGCGCAGTAAATGTTGCAAGCCATGCACCAAGGAATCCAACGGAGGCAGCCAGGCCTGTCACATACAGTTAGCGACGATACCGCAGCGTAGCACGATGCCTGAACGTACCGAAGGTGTAGGAGCGTAATCGTTGTTGAGGTAGCTCGCCACCACTTAGCCATGCGTAACTCGAGATGGCACCGTTGTAGCTCAAGATGTAGATGACACTCATGGCGACAATAAGGTTGAGAGTAGTGGGCGACGTCGGCGCGGCAGTGTAGACGGCGGCCAAGATGAGCATGGTAATGGCGCAGAAGATAAGTCCAACAAGGAGGAACAGTCGCCGGCGACCGTAGCGTGTAATTACGCAGGTGTTGATAATAATGGCGACCACACCGACTGTGACCAGGATGACAGAATTCTGGAAGGGTTTGCCGATACCAGCAATCTGGAAGAAGTACGTGCCGTACGCCTAGAGTTGTGGTCAGTATTGCATCCCGGATCTGTCAGTACTAATAGCACTTACAATCATGAACATCGCACCCGATGCAGCCTGTGTGTTGACAGCACCAACAGCAAGCATTGTCCGTCGGAGGTTAGTGCCCCTGAACATCTCGAAGAACAATGCCTTGCCAGAGTTGGCCTTCGCCTCTTCGATAGCCTCTTGAATGCCGAACAGCTCGCTCTCGATGCCGTCCTTGTTCGGTCTAAGCCACATCAAAGACTTCTGTGCTCTCTCTCGCTGGTTGGACTCCATCAACCATCTAGGGGACTCTGGGATGAAGAAGAGACCGACTGCGATGACGACGGGAACGGCATAGACTACGCCGAGGGGAATGAGATACGACTTCTTGCCCCCAAGTGGCGCGGTGAAGTTGTCGATAATCGTGCCAATGAGCGTGCCGACAGACGTCCAAAACTGGAACGCTGAGAGCATCAACCCACGGTACTCGGCAGGTGCACATTCCTGTATGTAGAGCTGGGAGAAGGTCATGAAGAGACCGTTGGCAAGTCCGATGAGAAGACGGCCAGCGTAAAGACCGCCGACGTTGGTGGTAGCCATCATGATGATGTCTGACACCCAGCAAAGGATGCAGGCCAACCACAAGCAAGTCTTGCGTCCCAGCTTCCAAGCGATGGGGCCAGCCAGACCAGATGCAACAACAGCGCCCAGGGTCATCAACGAGCCTATAAGCTGCTGCACTTCTGGGGTCAGATTGTAGCCGGTTTGGATTTCTGGGTCCTTGTAGCCGAATATTTGTTGGAAGCCAACCATAGCTGGTATACTGTGAGCGCCATGTCGTTACCACAATGGGCGATGAGCTGCTTACCCTGGATACCAGCGATACAGCCGAAGTCAACGCCATATTGGAACGGGCTCATGGACACCAGCACGCAAGCGAGGAGACATCTCCAGTTCGCTCTGATCGTGTCATGCTTACCGGCTCCCATGTTGGCCTGTTACTATGCGTACGGTAGAGCAGTGATGTTTGCAAGAAGTGGGCAAGAAAGATGAGACAGACAAGGCGATGTTGTTGTGGAGAATGGTGGGTATTAAGTATGTTACTCCATGGGGTAGTACGACGCTAGGTATGATTCTGATGTTCCTTCCCCAGCTGTGGATCTGACCGATGTTCTCCAGACAGGTGTCGCCCTCGCGCAGGAGATCAACTGCCGATCCAAGCGATGGGCCTGTCCAGCCTGCCTGCTCACCAGCAGTGTGCCACCCGCGGTATATTTCCATGATGGTGGCGCACAGTCCAGGTCAGCATCTCAATTCAGGATGCCTGCCTGCAGGCCGTGTCGATCTGATGAGGTGTCCTGTGCCGTCTCCGTAGCAGTGGACTCGTTGGGCGCCTGAAGCGGACAACGACTCCACAATTCTCGCGTGCTGAGTGGGTGCTACAATCCACGCACTGAGACTCGGTGACAGCCAGTATTGCCACCAATCATGCGCACCTTATACAGCGTGCCCGGACTTTCATCGTGAATCTTGTCGCAAATCGCCTGAGTAACATGAACCATTGGACCGTGATGAGGATGACCTACATTCGGATCTGTATGAAAAGCTTGAAGCCTTCCAAGAGCAATTCTATAGCAATGTATAAAGACTCCAGCAAAGTGGTAAGCGCGAACAGAGTTCATCAAGTCACTGACTCTCGCATTTTTCCGGCCATAGTGGGTCCATGTGCAAGAGCGTGGAGTAGCGGCATTAGCGTGATGCGGAGAGCTTTGGGGCTAAACTTCGTGGCGCTTCAAGCGGACAACTTCATCCTTGGCGCGGCTACCTCGGACACCCACTTGCCGCGCCTACTTGCTGCTTGTTCGAATGACTGAGCGGCATATACGCAGCATCGACTGCCGTGTCCTTGGTACACAAAAGGGTGCTTGGTGAGTAATCCGGGTGGGTCGACTTGGGAAACCGGGTGGATCCAGTTGGTAAACCAGGAGCTTCGACGTGTACTTTACCACGAGGTTTATGTACCTGGTACGGGAGAAGCGACTGCAAAAGCCCCATGGCTACTGTTCCCTAGGTCTGAGAAGAATAGTAAGACTCTCGTAACAATAGTTGAGGGATTAAAACGTACACGATGGCTGTCATAGGCAGCTCGATGGGCTTGCCTTCCGCCCTCGAAGTGCTTTCCTCAAGAATGTTTGGCATTGTCCTTGTTCTAGTGCTTGCGTCCGGTATCGCGGCGTTGGTAGCAGACTACGCTCGAATGCTGAGACTGCACAAGAAGATGGTAGGCTTAGTCCACCCTCCTGCTCGAGTGCTCGGATGCTCGAAATGCATAGCTGATATGGCACACAGCCACCTGGTCCCATGCCGCTTCCAATAATTGGCAATACTCATCTGCTTCCCAAGAACAAGCCATGGATCTACTTCGAGGAGTTGTCAAAGTCTCTCAACAGCCCAGTGATTACCTTCTGGATTGGCAGGAGTCCCACGGTCTGGATTAACGATGCCTGGTCTGCCTCAGAGCTTCTCGACAAGAAAGCCCAGATATACAGCTCACGTCCACGAATGGTCGTGTTCGCCGAGCTGACCGGCATGGGACAGTCATCGGATCCGCATGCCAAAGTGCCTGGCTCCAATCTGGTCACGATGTACTACGGAGATCGATGGCGGGTGCATCGCAAGATTACCCACATGGGAGTCGGTCTCCAGCAAGTGAGGAAGTACCGCCCCTTTCAGAACGATGAGAGTAAGGTGGTTGCGTACGAGCTCCTGCGGACGCCTGATAAATATGTGGCGCACTTTGAACGTTATGCCGCTTCCGTTGTCTCCATTATTGGGTTCAATCGACGAGTTTCGGGCATCACCGATCCGATCATCACCGAGGTCATTGCCGTTATGCAGAAGGCGGCGGAGCTCAACGTGCCCGGCAAGTCTTTCCCGATGCTGTTCGAGACGTTCCCTTACCTCTCACATCTTCCACCGAAGTGGTTTCCTTCGCTGTTCGGAGGCTTGGGAAGGCGTCGGCGTGGCCAGGACTTCTTCTACGCTCTGGCCGAAGAAGCGCACCAGAAGGATCCAGATGCCGTCTGCTACGCGAACCAGCTGTTCGATGAGGGTCCCAAATACTCGCTACGGAAGGATGAAATCTCTTCGCTCGCCGGCAATCTTTTCGGAGCTGGCAGTGACACCTCGAGTTCCACGCTGATCACGTTCGTCCTGGCTTGTTGCGCATTCCCGGAGACGTTACCGAAGGCTTGGGAGGAGATAGACCGCGTGGTAGGTCATCACCGGAGTCCGTCGTGGGAGGACGAGCCGGAATTGGTGTACACCAAAGCCTTGGTCAAAGAGGTCTTCAGGTGGCGAAGCGTAGCGATCATCGGTGGACAGCCTCATGCGCCAGTTTCAGACGATGAGTGGAACGGCTACATCATTCCAAAAGGGACGTGGACGCAGGGCAATGTATGGGCGATCCACCACAATGCCCACGAGTTCCCAGAGCCAGATCGGTTCAATCCGGAACGTTTCATGAGAGACAGTTCCGAAGCCAGGCCGTTCCCGAACGAGAAAGGCTACATGACTTTCGGCTGGGGTCGAAGGGTGTGCTCCGGGCAGGGTCTGGCCGAACAGGGAACTTTCATCACCATTGCAAGGCTGCTTTGGGCGTTCAATATCCAGAAGGCGCTCGATACGCAAGGGAAGGAGATTCCTGTCGACATCTTCGCTTATACGTAGGTGCAAGAGTCCGTCACTCAACGGAGCCAATTTCGCTAATGTTCGTACAGAGATGGCCTGAATATGCGGCCGCAGCCGTTCGAGTGCCGCTTCACAGTGCGCTCACCTGAAATCCATGAGGCTGTAATGCGTGAAGGCCGGGAAGCGCTGGAGAACTTGTCGGTGTATGAGGGTGAGTCAGGAAGGGTCGGAGAGTTTTTCAAGCAAACCAAGCACGAGGCGTAAGTCGTTTGCGACTGTGAGTGGAGGAAAGTTTTCAGCTTGGCGGGCAGCCCGATGTCTATTCCTCCCACTTCGTCAGAGACCACGAACTTCCTACTCATCGACGTATATGCGCACCTCGCGGAACCAAGCCTGCCGTCGGGTCTAGTGTTCATCGGTAGATCCGAGTGCCAAATCAGTTTGCGTTTGCGAGGTTTGCGTTTGCGGACCAGCCCTCAGCTTCTCCCGTAAATGCAATCTTTGTCGCTTGCCGGCCTTGCCGCGCAAATTCATGTCCTCGAACTCTTCGGCAGCCATGGACTCCTCGTGGGCTTCCCACTCGGTCTCGTACTCTAGCTGCTCCCACCACTGACTCGATGGTTGTGCATCGCTTGACCTCAACAACGGTCTTTCCGGTAAGGCTTCATCATATCCTGCAGGTGAAGACATTCCTAGCCTTTTCCGAAGTGAGCATTCTTCTTGCCAAGCGGCCCGGCGATCGATGAACTCGAGGTACCTATCTTCGGCGCGCGCAAAACTGATTGGACTGAGGGCTCGCTTGCGCTTCCGGTACTCCGTACTTTCACCTGGCTTGTTGTCTTCAGACCCGTCCAGCTCCTCGTATTTCGGCCGGACTAGGTCCTCATGCTCCGGCAGGTCTGGCTCATGCTCGTTTGACTTGACTGCGGAGTCCGAATCGTCCTCATCATCGGTCTCAACCTCATTGAGTTGCAGATTCTCGGACGACTCCGCGTCAGTGAGCTCATCACTATCGATGTCTGAGAGGTGGAGTGAGGCCTCACCGTCGGGTGGCGGGGCGGTAGTTAGTCTTAACTCTTCCTCCACCTCATCATACGTAAGCTTAACACCAGTCTTTGTGGAGGGCCGACCGTCCATAAATCTGCGATCCTCTGTGTACAGCTCGAGCCCGCAGCGCCGCGGCAGTGTCGCCCAATACACATTCCATCCAGTACGCAAGTTCAGCACATCCACAGCGGCGCTTACATCGACCCCTCTGACCTCAGGCTTCGGTTGCCAGTTACTACGGCTGGCATCGCTAGCGCGCAAGCGCGATAAGGATTGAAAGAGCACCGCTTGCACCAACCGCCTTGTGAAGCTGACAGCAAGGTTATGGAAATCTTCAAAAGCGGTGCGAAATATAGCCGGCCCATTGACGTCCTTGTTGGCGCTTTTGATATCGCGCCAGTTGGCTCCAGTGCCAGGCGGTCCGTTCATGAAGAGATTGCGCGACAGCTGCAAGAATGTCTGTGGGCGCAGCAGACTCTCTGCTTGGGATGCCCGACTTTGATCATACTCGTCCACAACGTCTAGATCGTCTTGAGCCTCGCTATGCGCTGCTGCTATTTGTTCCTCAATCGAATCCGCAACTTCCTCATCGATCCGCCACCCATCTCCATACTTCTTGCGCTCAAGGCGCGCATCACACGTAGCGACCTTATGCGCCAAAGCCTCAGCTGCTGCATTTAGGGCGTTCTCGCATCCGGCACTCAGCTCATGTGCTGCGGGCACATCTGCTGCAGAGACAGGGTAAGAACGGCTCAATGGGGGTAGGGTTCCCACCTTAGCAGCTCCTTGCTGGAGTAATCGCAAGTAGATGCAAACCTCTGCTGCAGACTTTGTAACGATTGCGCTGGCGAGTCTGCGGGAATCATGCGGTCCAACCTTGGTAAGGCTCTGGAAAAGAATCTCTTTCTCCCGGGGCGCCCAGTAGCTTGCGCCAATAAGGGATCCGGGTAGTTCGTCCAACGGCTCATCACCGTCTCCAGTCGCGCCGTGGATTGTGCCATTCAGAATGTGACGGTATGCATGACTTGCGTGCGCCGCTCTCCAAATAGTGTGGCGAGTGTTTCCTGGCTCAGAGCCGGAGGCCGCCGCTGCCTCCGCGCTCTGCTTTGGTTCGCTTCCATGCGCCCACGTTGTCTTCGAAGGTGACGAGTGTTGTCCGACCTGGAAGGATTCCGTATCATTACCAGCAGGAGAGTGGCAGGTCGCTGAGGCTGGTGCATCTTCCAGGTCTGTTGTCTCATGAGACTCGTCTGTGCTCGGAGCCTGGCTCATCGACTATCAGAAGACCTTCGTGTTGCCATCAGGTTCGAGAAGACGATACGTCGGAATGCCGCGTATGAAGTCTAGGCTGGTGTTCACGAAATTCACTAATGCCTTGCAGGATCACATACCCCGGTACGAGCCGAGCCCCACGCCGTGCTGGTCGGCCACCCTACCCTGCAAATGCGGAAGGCACACGAGGACTGTCGATCCTCCGTGCTATCTATTCGGGAGAGTCGTGTTTCAGGTCGACAGGCGCATCGGCGCCATGTCCACGTATGGGCGCCTTCTGCCACTGTGGCTGCGGCAGTATGTCTGGACGACGGGCCAACTTACTGCCCTCGGTCTCGGCACTATGATCTTTGTGCACGACAATGTTGTCGAAATCACGGAGATCAAGGGCAGCTCCATGGCTCCTACTCTCTCCCCTGACCATCATGCTACCGGCCGTTGTGATCGTGTGTTATGGCAGAAATGGCAGGCAAACGCCCACATACAGCGGGGCGACGTCGTTTACTTTCACTCCCCTCATATGCCGGACCGATTGGCCGTGAAGCGGATCATAGCTACAGAAGGCGACAGTGTGATACTGGACCGCCGACGTAGGCCGCAGCGTGAGAGGGATGGTGCGGACATACCGGAGAGCAAGGCATGGGATGCGCTTATGGGGAAGGTCAAGACCGTGCCGGAAGGGCATGTCTGGGTTGAGGGCGACAACTGGCGCAGCACGTGGGATAGCAATCACTACGGTCCTATTTCCAAGAACCTAATCATTGGCAAGGCTGTTGCTGTGGTTTGGCCGCTTGATCAATTCTGGACGAAGCCTTGGGAGGGATTTCAGGGCAAGACGAAAGTTATCCCAGGCAAGCTTGCCCAGAAGATGAGAGATGAGGACCTCGCACTCGCTCAGATCATACGAGCAGCGTAACCAACGCTGCTTGACTCCAAGAGGTTCGGCCTGAGCAGCTGCGCCATGCTGAGCATCGCAGCGCAAGCGAGTCTTATGCAAGCACCGAGTATAATCTTGGTAGTCCTTGAGACTGACCCGGTGCTGTTCGACACATCGCTCGGCCTCGGAACGATCTTCAGTTATAGCACGACTGACTCCGGTGGGCTAATCAAACCGACGAGAAAGACGATTGCGCCTTGCGTGGTGTCGCAATCTTCCAGATCATGCCTCAGACATATCTCCGAAAGACTTACACCGGCCTGTGGGCGCGGGGAGAAGTGGTCGGACATGCGTCGAGGTATGTCCGTTCACCTCCCACAGACTTTCTCAATCTCCTTACATACGGCTTCGGTGACTTGCTCCGTGTTCGCCGACCCACCCATATCCTTCGTCCGCGTCTCCGGCTGACCAGTCACATTTTCGATAGCTACCATGAATTTATCTGCGACCTCATCGAGCTGACCTTTGCCCAGCCACCTCACCATCTCCGCCGCCGACCAAAACGCGCCAACGGGATTCGCAATACCCTTACCCGCAATATCAGGCGCGGAGCCGTGGATTGGTTCGAACATGGAAGGGCAAGATCGCGTCGGATCGAGGTTTGAAGACGGAGCAATGCCTATCGAGCCTGCCAAAGCGGCGGCGAGGTCGGAGAGGATGTCGGCGTGTACTATTTCATGGCCATCAGCATATCGAGTCATCGCAGACATGAGAACGAGGAGACGTACAGTTCGTTGCAACAATCGTATCCATACTCTCCGGCTTGTTCACCATGCGCACTGTCATCGCATCCACCAGCATCTTGTCATACTCGACCTGGAGATCGACGGGTAGGCAGGTCAGCCGTGTCCCAGATCATTCCGACCAGAGCTACACATCCTTCTGCTTACCACGCCATCATACTCCTTAGCAACCTCATAGAACACAGTATCCCACAACACCATCCCATGCCTCTGCGCATTACTCTTCGTCACCATTGTCAGCTTCTTCCGCGGCCGCAGTTTCGCCGTCTCAAACGCAAACCGCATGATCCGCTCAATCCCGACCCGAGTGAAAATAGCAAGCTCAGTAGCAACAGCATTTGCCTCATGCCCATGCGTCGTGCCACCTTGACCCGCATACTCGCCCTCACTGTTCTCCCTAACAATAACCCAATCCAGATCCGACGGCTTTCCCTGCAACTGCGCGAGCGGCGGATGCGTACCCTTCAGGATCCTCGTGGGTCTCACATTGACATATTGGTTACATCTCTGCCGAATAGGCAAAATCATCTGCCAGAGACTGATGTGGTCCGGGACGCTTGGCCAGCCAACCGCGCCGAAGTAAATGGCATCGTGCTTCTTGAGCTGCTCCTCCCAGTCCGGCGGCATATACCATCCTCGCTCGAGATAGGCTTTTGAGGACCAGTCGAAGTTGGTGTACTCGAAGGAAAAAGTGCCGTTGACGTGTGCTAGGGTGTCGAGGACGCGGATGGCGGCTTGTGTGATATCGACGCCAATGCCGTCGCCGGGGATGGCGGCGATTTTGAAGGTTTGTTTGGACATTTTGGAACGCAAGGATGCAGGAAGTCGGAGAGAAGGGGGACCAGATACTTACCTTGTGGGAGTGAAGGCTGATAATCTATGTGAGCTCGGACGTAATGCTCCATACGTGATTCTCCTCCATAACATACCCCAATACCCCACCATCTCAAAGGCCGATGTCGGTGACTCAAGCTGCACCCCCTTGAGCTTCTTGCCGATATCCTCGCTCAAGTTCGAGCCGTAGCACACCCGCTCGCCGAAGTTGTGGCACCGTCCTCCTTTCAAAGGGACGGCGTAGCGCTAGCCTCCATGTGGCACGACGCCTGCAACTTTCCTGCCGGCTGTTAATCCCGGACCTGTAAGCGTTTCATCGGGTTGAGGGATGTGCCTGACCGTCTCTGAAGCGTCTGCGTCCAAAAGTGCTGCGCTTGTATGACTTAGCGTCTATAAGCCGACAGCCAATGCTTCCCGGAAGCCTGCATCTTTCATGCTCATGGTATAGTTTGACTCCGTTTCCTCCCGGCCTTCAACCGCCCTCCGCCCCATAAGCCCCGGCAAAATCCATCCCCGCCAACTGCCCCTGAATCTGATCAACCTCCTTACTGAGGTCTTCAACATTCTGCGCCAGCGCCGCCACCTCATCGAACTTGCGCCGCTTGTTCGCATCAGCGATCATCCCCTCAACGAAGAACTTCTGCTCCTCAAGCACGATCAGGCGCTCACGAAGCTGCTTCTCTTCAGCCTCCAAGGCGGTGATTTGCGCGGAGCTGACACTGCTGCTCGTGCGGCTACTGCTCGGACGATCCGTTGCGCCATTTGTCAGGACGGAGGCAATCGCTCCCTTCGGCTTCCCGTTCGTAAGCGGAGGGCTGCGGAGAGGGCTAGATGTAGTGGCCTTCCGCATCACTTTGGGCAGAGACTTCAAGGGAAGCATGTGAACATGCAGGAAGTTGTAGGCTTGCTGGTAAACGGCTTTTTGCAAGCGTTGCTGGGTCGGACTCTCGGTTGGCAAATCACGTATACGCCTCGCTGCAGCATCGTACTGTGTAAAGGCGTCTGTGAGCCGCTTGCGGACTTTGCTCGCCTCGGCAAGCTGCTGCGTTGTTGGCGGCTTCTCTGGGTCTTGTAAGGATGCTGTCAGTCGCTGGAAGCGTGGTAGTAGTAAACGAACGCCGTGCTCGAACTGCACGAGGTTCTGGTATGCGCGCTGGTCTGGCGACTGCGCGTCAAGCTCGCGCGCAAAGTCGGCTTTGCTGAATATGGTTCGCTGGCAGTCCTTGCACATACGCACATCGACTGCGACTTTACCGACGGGTTTTTCTGAGACACTGTCAGTGACTGTCCACCATCAGTAGTGATCGCATGCTGAGACAGAAAGTTCGACACGTACGGGTATCGACATCCAACCCAACCTCGGACGAGCAAGATGTAGCCGGATCGGCGCACACAACACGCCCACATATTCGGCAGTGATGTCTCCTGAGACCGTACTGCGAGAATGGTTGCTGGCAAAAAGGGCAGGCAGGCACGTCAGCATCTTCCTGCCATGGCACGACTGACTGCTCGAGAGCACGAGTATGCGCCTTGTTACCAGAAAATGAAGACCATAGTAGCTTGCTGGCGCTTTGGGTGGGCTCCGGTGGAGGTGGGTCTGCAAGCAGCTGGGTCAAGCGGGTTAACCTTGTCTCCAACCGGCTAGTCTCCAGATTCTGCTTATCAACGATCTTTCTTCGTGCAGACTTGAAATACTCGAAGTGATTTCGCTCGCGGCCATTGTGGTCGTTGTAGCCTTCGCGGCTCTTGTAGCACGTCTCACAGACTCGGTACCAAAGACCGCGCACCGGCTCATGCTGCGCCGATCGAGAGAGTTTCATCTGGTACAAGGTGTGTTCATCGCAGAACAGCTTTCCACAATGCCTGCAGTTGACTTGGCCAGCGTTACCGCCGAGCCGTTTCCCGCAAAGCGGATCCGAGCAGGCATCGTGTGCGGAGGGTCGTTGCCAGTGAGACTTGTTGATCAGCTCGTCCGGGTCCGGCGTATGCTCCGCAGGTCGCGCAGGGGCTGGCGATGCTCCGCGACTGGCCTGAGGTGGTGGCGTTGCCACGCTTGGTGGCGGCAGGTCATTGTTTGACTCGAACACCTCCAGACCGCGCAGTTTCTGGTTGAGCATCTGCAGCGGCTGGAATTTCTTCGCTTTGATCATCTGCTGTCTGAACCATGTCTTGGCCTCGTCCTGCTCGACTTCTTGAAGGTTGGCATGGTTGTCGTCGATGTGTCTGCGGTGATGTCAGACGAGCTAAGAAGTGTGTAGGGCGAGGAAGGTGGGGCGGCGTACCTACCTGTTCAGCTGCAGAAGCGTCATCTTATTTCAATTAGTCAGTACGTCGAAATGGCTTGGATAGAACCCATATCTTTGCGACCCACCATCTCCTCGTTGCAAATCGGACACACCATCCTCGAGCTTGCCGCGGCTGCTGCCTGTGATGAGCCATGCTCGTCCAGCGCGACTCGGCTCGTAAGATCTTCATTGTCGGTAGAGGCGGGTAGACTGGATGCTTGCGAGCTGAGCGATACCGAGCTTTCCGACGGGGACAGCAATCCAGTAGGTCGTACGACAGCGACTGCCTTGGGCGGCGGAGGGGGCGGCGCGAGGTCCTTTCCGCTGCCCAGCACTCGCCCGCCGCCCAACTGTCTCCGTGTAGCCATCGCTACCAGCTATGTCCTCCTCGCCGCATGTCAGCGACACATCCCCGATGGATCGAGACAGGTCTAGCATCCAGCTCGCATAGGTAACAAGACCGGATGCCTTGGTAAGCAATGGTGTTGGAGGGGTGGCTTCGGGAGGCTTAGCGTGCGTCGGCTGGCTTGCCGAACCCTGTCTCACGTGCGTCACTCGCACTACATCGCGTGCCTTTCACATGCTGCTTCCATCTGACGAACGTCTGAGCATCGCCATGGAAGAAGAAGTTACGATGGGCCGCGAGAACTTTCCCGGGGTGCAGGGCGGCGGATCCCTCATCCTAGCATGGCAAGTGCGCAACAAGAAAGTCCTAGTGATAGGCGGCGGCGAGGTGAGCATCCCCTATCAACACCGAACAGATGGCGCAAAAAGGGTTCTGACATTGACACAACAGCGACCATAGGTAGCAGCTGGCCGCATCCTCAATCTCCTCAACGCCGACGCCCGCGTAACCGTCATCTCGCCCCGCGCCGGCCTTAACCCGGAAGTCGCTCACCGCATCGCTCACAACCAAGTCGAGTACCATGACCGCAAATTCGAACCCTCGGACCTCGACGACCCGAACATAACTATGGTCCTGACCGCCATAGATGACTCGGAAGCATCATCACAGATCTGGAAACTGTGCAAGGAGAAGCGGATCGCGGCGAATATCGCCGACGTCCCGCCGGAGTGCGACTTCTACTTTGGCAGTGTGCATCGGGATGGCCCATTGCAGATTATGGTTAGTACGAATGGGAACGGGCCGAAAATGGCGAACATTGTGCGACGTAGGATTGCGGCCAGTTTGCCGGAAAATATCGGGGAGGCGATTAAGAAGGTGGGTGTGTTGAGAAAGAAGTTGAGAGGGGTTGCGCCGGCGGAGGAGGAGGGGCCGAAGAGGATGAAGTGGTACGTATTTGACGCAGGTTGAAATCTAGTCCCAGCTGACGGCTAGTAGGATGTCGAAAGTCTGCGTACAGTGGAGTTTAGAAGATCTTTGCGACATGGAGGAGGTCGATATGGACGCTCTGCTGCGCTCGTATGCACCTGACCAAGTACCAAGCTTAACGCAGGTTAGGTTAGGTGAGGAGCCTGGGCTATGGCAGTTTGATGGTTCGTTTGGCTGGTCGTGCGTGGTGTAAGCGTATAGCACACCCAATCTCTCGTAGCGGCGCGAATGGTTTCGACTGTTGATGTTTCAATATCATTGCACGCATGCATGCTCACCATTCGCACATGCTCCCACACATCGTCATTTCGCAAACCACGGCCGACCTCGCTGTACATCATGCACCTTCGCCATCCCCACGCTACGCCACATTGCGCGGAAACAACATCTACCACTTAATAACATCCTTCCTTCCTAGAAACGCATTCAGTATTTTGACCCTTTCTTCCAACGCAGTCAACCATTCATCCAACTCCTTCTGCACCCTCGTCTGGTCATCGCCCAGCTTCGGGTAGAAGTCTTTTCGGTAGGGCGTCGCGGACATGGCGGCGGAGAAGATGGGCTTGACGATGAAAGAGTGGTGAGGCTTGAGCGTATTGCCGTAGGCGTCGCGGAAGGAGGTTGAGAGTTCCTCGGTGGGGTGTGAGAGGTTATGGCGGATGCCTTGGGCGGTGAAATCTAGTGCTCTGGAGGGAGGTCAGACGGCTGTGGGATTGGTGGTGGAAGGGATGGAGGGATGGACACGGGCGCTTCCTTACCGGTTCAGCCAGATTAGACCTTCGGTTGCGGTATGCTTCTTCGCTTTGAGTTCGTTGAGGCAGAGGTCTTGCAGTGTTTCGGACTCCAGGGGTGCTTCTAGCTGGCGGTTTCGCACTTTCTAGGATTCGCAGTATCAGCGCCAGTGCCATTTGCATCGTTGTTCGGTACGGAAGTGTAGTCGTACGGTGATGTTGCCGACTATGTCGCTTTTCACGGGCCTAAACGCAGCACTTCCCAGCACGTCGAACAGGCCAGTCAAGGACTCTGACGCTTCCAGAAACTCCGTCGTGGAAATTGCATCTTCTTTGCTCTTGTTGACGGGTACTTGGGTGAAGGAGCGCTTGGCGTTGTCGAAGTAGGTGCCGCCGGGTGGAAAGGCTGCCATCTTGCAACAGTCTGATGTCCGCTTGAGAGTCTAGGTGCTTTTGCAAGAGTCTCGACGCTGGTGGATAATGAAGAAGCAAGGTAATGCTTGTTCATAGAAGAAGCTCACGCTCAGACCCTGAAGCGTTCCTGGCGCATTGAGCAGTGTGGGGCAGGGCATGGGTGTGGGGCAGTCTCGACCCTGACAGATCACATCGAAACCAACCGCACTTCGAGATGCCACCTTCATCCGTTAGCAGTGTCGAGGGTGGACGGCCATACTACGACGGGGATGTCGATTTCGACGCGTTGGCAGCTGAGGACGCTGACTTTGCGGCCATCTGCAAGGTCTCGAAGGACAAGCGCTGGATAGACTTCCAGGACCCCAAAGTCGTGCAGTATCGCTACCCTTACTGAACAGCTTGACCACGCTGACGATGAAGTAGACAGCTGACGAAAAGCCTACTAAAGTGCGACTTCGCTCTGTCTTTAGAACTCCCCAACGACCGTCTCTGCCCGCCAGTGCCTGTACGATGGAATTATGTCCGCTGGATCCAGGAACTGCTCGACACGACAAGCGGCGACTATCGCGACCATTACGACCCAGAACGTGAAGTTCTCGGTCTCGATATCGGCGTAGGAGCATCATGCATCTACCCTCTCCTCGCCTGCTCCATGAGGCCGGAGTGGCGAATGGCAGGCACAGATGTTGACCAACATTCTTTCGACTACGCTCGCAAAAATGTCGAGGCGAATGGTCTGGCCAAGCGTATCAAGCTCCGACTTTCCACATCGGATCGTCCACTTATACCACTCGACTCGATGAAGATTGAGGGGTTAGACTTCGTGATGACTAACCCGCCGTTCTACACGTCCCACACGGACATGCTGGCGAGCTATGCTGGCAAGCAAGCTCCGCCATCCGCTGTCTGCACAGGTGCGGACAATGAGATGATTTGTCCGGGTGGCGATGTCGGATTTGTTACACGCATTCTGGACGAGAGTCTCAAACTGCGGGAGCGTGTACAATGGTACTCGGCTATGCTGGGCAAGATGTCAAGTTTACAACAGCTCATCGCGAAGCTGAGGGAACACAACATCACTAACTTCGCAGTGACGTGCTTGCAAGCGGGTTACCGAACGAAACGGTGGGCGGTGGCGTGGAGTTTTCGCGACTTGAGGCCGAGGAATGATGTCGCGAGACATGGTGACTTGGTGCATGCTGTGCTACCTTCGCCGACTGCGCAGACCATTCCTGTGCCGCTAATGAGCGCTCAGTTTGCGGGTGACAGAGTGAGTGGCATCCTGCAGGAGCTTGATGTCAGGTGGCAATGGCGGGAAGCGATTTTCACTGGAGTCATGAAAGCGAGGGAGAATGTGTGGTCGCGTGCTGCGAGGCGGAAAAAGAAATTCCAAGCAGAGAGGGACATTGGAAGGGGTGAAGTTGATGCGATGCAGCTTGATGGTGACGAAGGTGATGCTGATGATGATGAGAATGTGGCGTTGGCTGTCAAGATCGTCTGCAAGCTGGAAGTGGTCGAGGTGCGCTGGCTGCGCGGGCATGACCATGTCCTCTTTACCTCTTTTTGTGGGATGCTGAAGCGTGGATTGACTGGTCGAGCATGATACGACATAATGCTGAAAGCTTCAGGCGCCTGTCCCTAGGTGGCCTCGGAAGAGGCTGTGGGCTAGACTGGGGAAGTACAACGTGCGAATAAAGCGGCGCCCAAGAAGTACACCAAGTTCATACCACATTAGTCGGCAAGGTACCCCGGATAGCGGCGTTGAGACTACACATTTCAGCGTCCCGCAGACCTCAACATGTACGGGTCCGCCATGGGCAAAGCCAAGCGTATCAACAAGGCGGACGGCTTTGAAAAGCGTAAGGAAATGGCAATCATTCTATGGATCGTCATCCGGCAGAACACAGCGGTTGACCGCACAATATCGGGAGACCGGGAGCTTAGTACTCGCAAGAATGTATGCACCAATTGCAAAGACTGCGCTCTCTGAGCAAGTGTCAACAATATAACTTAGGGCTGCGAAGGAAAGCCGCGGCAGGCTCTTGTGCTCCCATTAAGATGTCCGTGAGCGTCCGGACGGATGACGCCAATCTTAGGCGCGGGATCCCAAGGATATTGTGAACATATGACATGCCAAGAGACCTATGGAGCGAAACGACAGGCTACTGTCTTTGGATGCCGCGCGGTCCACAGCACACATGCCGCTCGTAGAGCTGTTGCCGATTCAAAAGCCTACTACCGCGCCTTTAGTGTAGTCCAGCGACAACCACAGGTGAGGATGCACATGGTACCCACTGCAGGTTCACACGTCTTCGACTTCCGCGACAGAGGCAATCCAGTCTACTCAAGCATGACACTGCTGGATATCATGCCTTAACGCCAGTCGTAGACTGTATCTTGCACTAACCCGGGCTAATGCCAGCGTCAGTCGTACAAAGAGAACAGCCGACCTTGCTCTACTGAGCGTATCGACCGTGCGCCCAGCATCATCGTCGTATCATATAACCTCGATCACATAAGCACATAACGACTACTGCCCCTCTCTGGCTTTGCGATAGCCTGTTTCCTGCTCCGTCTGCACCTCAGCTATGCTCCTTGTAACCTCCTCCATAATCTCCACAGCGCGCATATGAAACTCCGTCTGCGCTTTCGCAAGCTCCACAAGATTCCGCAGCGGTTCCGGCGTATCGAGTACATTCCGCATAACGCTGGTCGCCTCGTCCACCTTCTCCACGAACACATCCTCGGCCTGCTCGATCGCCCGCTTCTGCTGCTCGCTGTAGCTTTCTTCGTGCTTGCCGCCTGCTGCAGCGCCTCTTTTCGCAGCATCAAGCGAAAGACGAGCCGCCTGTACAGCCGCCCGCGCCTTGTCTGCCGCCTTCAGGCTCTGGTTTAGCGTGGTGCTCCATCCGGCCAAGAAATTGGCTTGGATGTGCTCGTCCTGCTGCAGTCTCGCCTCGCCGACCTTTTCTTCCGCTATAGCGAACTTCTCGAGTCCTTGTGCGAGAGGGTCAGGTTCGGTGCTGCCTTGCGGGGTGGCCATTGCCAGAGCTTGGGATCCAGAAAGTGCGGCACGTGCTATAGCATGGTTAAAGGTCTTTGGTTGCGGTTTGGCGGATGGCGGGGCGGTCATGGCGGCTTGCGCTTCTGCTACTGAATGCGACTTCGATAGTAGGCTCACCTGGCAGGAGATCAGTTATCCTTCAGTGTTCAATGACTTACCTTATCGAATTCATACCTTCTCGCCAATGCTTTTGCCCAGATCCTGAAAGCTCTCGCGAATGTTGGGCGGGTAATCGTAAGCTTCGTTGGCATATTGACTGGTAGCGGCCAGCAGCTTTTGATGTGTCTGCTTCAACGCTTCGATCCGTGTTTCGAGTTCGATGTAGTCGTGCGGTAGCTCGGTCTTCTCGCCTGCATTGCCAGTCTGCTCACGTATCCACTGTTGACTTCGGGCGGCGAATGGGGTGACTGATGACGAGACTGTCTTGCCGAAGCTGGTGAAGCTGGCCGCGACTCGGTCCATGTTGAGGGCTGTTGAGATATTCCACAGCCTGGCGCAATACTGCCACTGGAGATCAATCTTCTATACTAAGTCGCTTGATGGTGAGAATATATGTAATCTGCGATTTGGGACAGCAGTGACGATGGCAACCACATGCGAGCTCCTTGCTCAACACCCCGCGGTCAACAATGTCGGCAACTTCCGTACGAGAGCTTATTTTCCCAGTGGATTCAGAGCTCTTCCTCTTCTCACCACTCACGTTCGGTATTTCACGCTGCCAGAGTGAAGCACTGGGGAGACGAATGGTATCCAGTGCAAAGGAGAAGACGGGCAGTATCACAAGCTTTCTTTGAGAGGCAGCGAAGACCACTGAGAGTATGGCTATGTCAAGCAGTTCTAATCAGCGGCGAAGTGTCAAGCCGGACCGCAAGCCTCCCTATCCTCACCATTATGGCCACCCGGTTGCTTGTCGTTTGTGATCGCAACAGCACCCTCAAGATGAGGTGGCTGTCCCACAGTCTGCCTTGGCGACGGATGTCGAGCAGAGGACACGCTTATGCTGCTCTCTACACCCACACATCCCGTGCCGTCGGACCAGTAGATGCTGCTGTAGTACTCTCTAGGCCGATGGAGTTTGGCCCAACTTCCCTGCCCCTGGCATTAACGGCGGAAGCCTGCAGTGCCGAGCGCTTCATTGTCCCTTCCCGCAAACTCTCACTGGCGGATATGAATGCAAGCGCCTGTGGCCTGAGGTGAGTCCCGACCTGTGCGGTACCACGACTGACCGTGGAAGCACCTTCCGTTGGCTGCAGCGGACTTGGTCCATATCCGTAGGCCAGCGCTTCAGACTTGCTTCCAATGCGAACCGAGGCAAGCCAGCGATGAATACGTGCACCCTGTGTTGCGCGAGGTGGAGAGGGTCGACGTTCCCTCAGACTTTCTAGTCCGCCCAGAGAGCGGCTGTACGTGAAGGAGCATGCCTGTGGTGCGGCAATAAACTCCGGCGCCTCTTCTTCCGGCGGCACAACCGGCGATAATGACCCTGCGGGCTTCTCGTGCTCGTCGAAGGGAGTTCCAAGCACTTTGTTCGGCAATTGATTCTTATGCATGCCCTCGCCTGCGCTCCTCCCATCGTCGCCTAGTCCCTCCGTCAGCATAGGGCTGCGACCTTTACCGGGATACGATCTGTCTTCCCGAGATCCTCTTGGAGGCATCTCGTGTTGCTGGTCTGAGATCCTTCCGCCATCGACTCCAGGCACGAGATCGATGGTGTTTCGATATGTCGTCGCCCACGTGTCAGGGTAAATATCTTCTTTAGGAGCCCATATTCGTAACGGTACCGTAGTCCCTGGCGCATCTTCCTACACTCCGCTCAGGCCCACCACCCTGCCAAGCGAGAAGACTGCTTCTCGCAGCTCACGCTGATGTCTCGGGCAGATGCTCTGGTCCCGTTCGGCTTGTACTTGTACGGCTCGCTCCTCCATAGCTTCGCAGATACCGTAGGCGGACTGGTGCCCACCGCGCGAACGAGTGACAATCACGCGATGACAGTAAATGATGCACCCTCGCTGACGCTTGCAGCCACAGCCGGTATGAAGTACGACCTCTGAGTGACACATTGTCGATTGAGTGGCGGACACGCAAGATTGCTGCCCTGTAGCAATAGTGTGTTGACAAATCTGCCTTGCTGACTTGTTTAGGCCTGTCGCTCAATTTTCCGCCAGGCTACCGATTGAGATTTTTGCAGCTGTTTGATATGCGAGTGCGTCAATTAACAAGGCATCAGCAAAGAGCACAACTTGCTCAGACCGCTGGAACAGCGTGATCTTGCGGCACTTTGGGCAAGATCATCTACCATGCACGTGGCAAGAGGATCTCCGTCCCTTGCGGGAGTGCACAATGCAGGTGCGTCTGACGCTTATTGGAACTGGTATGCGCAGAAGACTGCGATGGCAGAGGTAATCGCCAAGGCGGATCGCAGCATTGTGCACTTGTGTTGTGAGCAGCAACACTGTGAGTACAGGCTCACCTCATACCTTCTAAGCTAGAATACACACCCGTTACGCTTCGTAAGATGCTTGCTACTCCACCAGCGTGCCTCTCCTTGCCACTCACCGTTTCCCGGCTTCAACCACCCGAGCCTAACCTAGCGATGGCAGTAAGACGAGCTTAAAGCCGACGAGCGCTTATGCAGCATCCCCCTTCTCATAAGACTCGCATTCCGTGAAGTCCCTCAACACCGGTCCCGCGAGCGCCGTCAGCGCCTGCTGTGCGGCTTCGATCAGCTCGTTTGTCATCTCAGGGTTGTGCTTCATCTCCATCTCAGCAACCGTCTCCGACAAAGTGTGCTTCGAAGAACTTTGTGATATCCGTATAATACCCTCTAGGGCCACACGCTCAATCTTCGCCTTCCACCCTTGGATCACATTACCGTCACGGTCAATGCGGCCGTTAAGGAGGTCTCTGAGAGCCTTTTTGCATTCCTTGGCAAGCTCGGGAAAGAGTCCGTTGGCGTTGCTCGTGCCCTGGACGTGTTTGCGAAGTATATCCAGGCGTTGAGCGTTCGGACCCTGAGCCTTCGGAATATTAATCTTCTTGGCAGCTCCTTGGACCTGGTACGCGGTAGACGAGACTTTCTGTGCCTCATCATATGCATGCTGCATGATGATGGCTACGAACGAGCTTTCCGTTGCCTTGAATTTGAGATCTGTATTACCTTCCTCATAGCCTTGTGTAGCATCTTCCCTGATGGTCTGGAAGCTGGCGTTGTCTTTATTGGAGTCGGTATGTCTGATGTCCTCGAAGAGCTCGGTGAGGCGGTCAGTAATACGCTGAAGGGCGCCGTCAATGTACGTGTAGAAACTCTCCGCGCTCGGAACGCCTCGGAAGTCCTGGCAATCTACGCTAATTAGCCGTGGATATGTGATCATACAGGGAGAGACTCACCTTCCAACTTCCGCTTCAACGTCATGAATATGCCGGTCACTGTACCCTTCTTCTGTGAGCCGAGACGGTCAACGTCAGTGTCGAGGGCCTCGAAGTGCTTGTTGAGTTCATTGCAGGGTATTTCGTACAGCTGCTGATTCCAGGACACTGGTTGCGCTTTTTCCTTTGAACCGCGCGGTTTGTACCGCCAATTGCCTGACTTGCGGCAGAAGGCTGCGAAAGGAGTACCTTGATGCCGTTGCGCCCAGGTGTCGAGCAAATCTGACGCTTCACCGCTCCAGGAATCGGATCGCTCTTTGATCACATCAAGAATGTGCTTCTGGTATAGATCGTAGATGTCTTCGAGGATACCCACCGGGAGGCTCTGTAGTGAGACGAGGCCGGATGATATCAATTGCTCTACTTATTTCTTGCGCGCCAGATGAGTTTTGGTGAGAGCTCCGATGGCGCCCTGGAACAGGCTCGGTAGACGATTGTTGATGATTCGACCCAGAGTGTATCACTTGCCTTGTGCGGGTAAGCCGAACAGTGTTTGCCGCAGAGCTGGGAGACCTGTACCGGCTAGGTACAGTGGCGGCGGACCGCGCGGGTCGTAGCCCTCCAAGTGCTTCTGATACGCTTTGTTCCCAATGAAGTGGACCACCAGGTCTGGAAGCGTGTTATCTCTGCTTAAGTCTCGGAGCGTCTGCTTGAGCCTTTGCTGGACTTCGCGATTGCGGCTGTCGATAGTCACTTGCGCAACTTGTGCTTTCGCTGCTGCAACAAGATTAGGCAATTGTTCCACCTCCTCGCTAATCTTCGCATAACGCTGCCAGTCCTTCCGAGCGAGCGCTTCTTTCCTCAGCACGTTCAAGCTTTGCTCCTTGGCTTGCAACTTCCCAACCTCCGACTCCGCATGCTCAAGTCGCTTCTGATCTTCCGCAGGTAAACCATATCGATCGCTCTCGGAGAATGGGTTATTGTCGTCGATCTTCGTAACGACAAGTTGCACGTTGCGTGTCTTGTGCAGACGTATGCACAATTTCAGGTTGGCGTCAAGAGTCTCGTTGGTAAGTATGCGCTCCCTGGCTGCAAACACAAGGACTGTGCCGCATCCGCGGAGATAGTCTCTCGTACTGTCGACGACAGTCTGGTTCAAGTCGGCAACACGGGGCAGATCTGCGAGAACGAGGCCAGACTTCAGAAAATCGGCGAGTTGCGAGACCACGGCTTTATGCACTAGCGGCCATCGATGAGAACCAGGATGAGATTTGAATGGCTTCGAGCACTTCGCAAAGACAGCCATAAGCTCCGAAGGGTCGTTCACTGGAAAAGCTGTGGACTGCCCTTGAAATCCGATATAACACAGAACGCCTTGGATATGCAATGTCAGATCTTCTGTGATCTCCTTGATCCTGTGGGGAGCGTCCTCAATGGCCTTTGAAAAAGTTGGCGCTTCGATTCGAATTCTGCGACGTCGGCAAGCAGAGTGCAGAAGAACTCGTCAGCAGTATCACAACGACGCTGCCATGATGCCTCTTCGTCCTCATCATAACCTTCTTCCTCTCGGAACTGGTAGGCTACAATGGCCTTGACATGCTGATGTACCCGGGCTTTCACCTCACCTTCGCTTCGAAACATCACCTCTACTCTGAAAGGGGTGTTTTGCAGCTCAGAGGCGGCCATGAACTCAGATGGTACACTTGTGCCGCGAGCACCTGCGCTGCTCTCGGGCGCTGCATTTGTTTCATTGAGACAGCAGTTCATAGTCGACGATTTCCTGACGCCGGCGGCTCCAAGACAGGCAACCGGACCGTTAATCGGGTACTGCTTCCAGAGTGATCTCGTGTCCTCGATTTGTTTCGAGATGTTGTCAACTGCGGGGTGGTGATAACCGCGCACGTTGAGCTTCTCGTGAACGTCCTTGAACGCCTTGCATACATTTTTGAAGCCGTCTTCTGCAGACCTCCAGCGCGGATGGTAGATGGCGAGCCGTAACTTTCTGAGAGCTAAGCTTTAGTATAGAGATCATTTAGGTACTTTGTAGATCTGGACTGTCTAGTTGCTTTTGCTTATGCTAATGAACCTTCAAGGCTACTATGCACAGCAGCGCAGAGACAAACTCTATGCGACTTGAAGCCGAGGAACTCTAGTACGGGAGCTTTCCTCTACCTACTCTTGGAATGATTAGCGCCGCGCCGCGCCGCGCCGTACGAAAAAGGTCAGAGATGGCGCAATAAAATGTTGTGCAATCTCTGGAACGATCTCTTGATTTGATTCCATGCCGTTTCTGCATGCGTTTCTGGGCGGTTTCTGGAACCGGTTACTACGTACTGCGGAGACCTCCGGCAAGGAACCGCGTTCTGACAATTACAATGACCGTCAAGTACTTTTCAGCATGCGCTTGAGGGTGAACGAGCGGGGGAGGGATCCTCAAAATATATAGATATTTTGGGATCCTCTGTTCTCTGCGACCTATGGCCGTATGTGCTGAGAAGTATCATTAATAGTCTCATCTATCGTTTAACATTAGCTTACTGAGCACTCCTTCGATCACCGCTGCTATGCTCTACAATCCTACCGCAGCCGTAACGACGCCTTACCCTCCTGCTTCAGAAGCTCGCCGAAGGATGGTGAGGTCGCCCTAGATGATCTGCTCTTTTCAAGCGTTCATTCTACTGAGGATTGCATTGGAGTATCACTTCTGAACATCGAGCCGTGCAATAGGCAGGTCGTGCTCCGACGCTGCCCGCCTGAGCACTATAGAAGCAAAAATCTGCGATGTGTATATGGCAGGCGATTTCAATTTCACCACGAGTATTGATACTGGCCCTTTGAGGATGTAAGTTAGGACCAGCCACGCTCGTGGGCAGGTTTTGGAGTGTAGATGCAGCTACATAAGTACAGTATCCAAGATACGAACGGACCGCATGCCGCAATCGTGTAAGCGATGCAACCTCCGCGCCGAGAACCCCACGCTTGCAGAAAGTGGACAAACAACGCCGGATGCTAATGCGCAAGGCGAACCGCATCTACATGAACTTGCTGAACGCCGGTATGAGCGTCTGAGCGAGCCAGAAAGAGAACGTCAACTTCGGCCCGGTCATCAAAAGTTTAGGGATTAGCCCCTTGAAGAAAGCCGCAAAGCCTTCGTTCCGGACCATGTCGACAATGACTCGCGCACCGGACACTTTGTCTTTGAAGTCGCGGTTTTGTATCCGCGTCTTTACCACGTCCAGAGGTGCTGAAACAATGAGAGACGCTGATGATCCGGCGATGGATGCGACGAAATTCTGAAAGAACGTTGCGCTGTTGTAGTCCTGGAGCTGGAATAGATATTGTTTCGCCGCCGCCGAGCCCCCGAAGAGCGCAAAAGAACCGGGGGCATTGCGTGCTGCTGTCCAACCCCAGCCTCTGTATAGGTTGAAGCCTTCGTCGGCGACGATCCTGACCACACCGCGATTGCGAAAGGCATCAGGGTTGGTTTGTCGCAAGATCTTCAGAACGTCCAATGGTAGTAGCACAATCTCGCCGACGCCAATGATGCTTCCGGCAGTCGCATGCATTATCGCCTTGCCGTTTGCTTTGCCAAATGTCCGATCGAAGCCTTCCCGGTAATTCGTCTGTAGGTAGTCTCGCACGACCGGTTGCCCACCGTACTTGTACACTCTCTGCAGGATCTTGTACGCGGCTGCGTATCCTAGTCCGGGGAAGAGGGAGAAGAAGCGGGCAACGAACGGATCCGCAGAGCGTGCCCTAAATATGACGGAGTTGAGTTGAGTGAGATTGGTAACGTGCGTCTGGTTGGACATGAGGCGCTTGGCGATGGTGTCGACTGGGTGAAAGACGAGAAGCTCTGCGATGCCAGCGCAGCCTGCATTGAGCTGTCAGTGAGCGAACGGCTGCAGGTGGTGTTGTCGCCAATGCGTACCGGCACCGACCAATCGTGCTGTGGTCGACTCCCTCTCCGTCTTGACGACACTGCCAGGCACTAGTGCCTTCGCCGGCGCGGGCATCGAGGGCGACATGTTAACCTGGCGAGCGTCGGCTGGTTTTAGTGAGGTGTTGACTGCTCGGTCAAGATTCGAGAGCACGCGATGCAGCGAAAGTTCGTGGAGCTCTCCGCCTTTTTCTGGTTGCAGCGGTCCGGCTCGACGGAGCCGAGAAGCCGATTGGCCAGAGTCCTCAAAGTGTCGCACCCTCCTCTCCTTGCTTTCGATCACTTACTTCAGCGTCTGTCAAACTTCGTCGACTGCCATGCACTGGCTGGACAGGGCTGTTCCGACAGCGGGTTGCAGCCTATACCGGTCTGTCTCTGTCACCTCTTTAGCACGTGACAACCCAATTGGTGGACGTGATGCCAAGTTGCTTTGACCACGACTGCGCTCAGATGGCCACATGACAGAGCGTTGACAATCCTTACGGTTGCGCAGGACTCAGTACATTCCCACAGTTTCAAGTACGGCAGTCCATATCGGTGAGACAATGCGCCACATTCACTGCGATGATTCCAGATCACCCATATCAACGCTGCCAAGAGGCCAAGGCGGCTCTTTGAGCAAGTTATGCAGCCACGATGGAGCAATTTGCTCAGACATTTGCATATTCGTCGGAGTGAGGGGGAGTAACAGTGTTCATATATTTCATTGTCATTCACGCACCCATCGAGTCGTCCCATCTCGCTCTCCGCTCAAGCAGCCCGCCTAGCACACCATGGTCTTTATACCCGCTCTCCTCATTTTCTTCGCCAGCCTTGCAGCTGCGCACTTCGACCTAGTCTATCCACACTCGCGCGGTGATCCTTTTGCTGCTCCCGCATCCGAGTACATCTACCCTTGCACAGGGTACAATGCGACCAACAACCGTACCGTCTGGCCGACGACAGGTGGCTCGCTCGTTGTACACTTCCATCACACCTTCACCTACGTATGGATCAACCTTGGCCTTGGTAATCAAACGACAGCCTTTACTATCAGCTTGATGCCAGAAGGTGCCGGCGTTCTACCGTATAATGAAACGGGTAACGGCACGATTTGTTTGCCTAAAGTCACAATCCCAGCAGGAAGCGGTGTCGTGGACGGTGGGAACGGAAGCCTGCAAGTTATTACTGTTGGCGACGGCGGGACCGCGCTTTACAACGTACGACCAGGACCCGTCCAACACGTCGCCCGAGATTTGCTGACAGAAACACAGTGTGCCGATCTTACTTTCTCATCGAGTGCGTCGCTCCTCACTGCTGGTCAAGGAGACTGTGTCAACAGTACCGGCGTGAGTATGCGATTGCTGAGCCAACAAACCAACGGCACCAGCGCTGTGCCATCGATCGCACAATCTACGAGTACATCCTCAGCATCCGCCTCGGCAGGCTCTGCAACAAGCGCTGGCGAGAAAGCAGTGCAATTGTCGTCATCTTACTTCAGTGTCGGTATCGCCTCGATATTCATGGCACTCGGAGCCGTGTCGGGTTTGTAGCTCCTTCGGGGTGCTAACGACTCCCGAGCCATCGTAAAGGGGACGCGCCGATCTGTTGATATTGCGGTACTATCAAGCTGAAGACGGTCAACATAGAGCGTCTTCCGAATGTAGTCTGGTAGCTTTCTAAAAGAATGCAGTGCAAGTGACAGCAGGACTCGTGTTAATGACCGCCATGAACTTCTGCCATATCTTAGAGATGGCACACTTGGATGAGGTATGGAAAGTCATACTACGGGAGCGATGTTGAGCTGAACAGCGTACCGAGGGAGTAGCGGACGTGACGTCTCCTCGCCCCTCTCCTCTCCATTGAAAGTAAATGCACAAAGTGTTTGTGGCCATTTTCTTGGCCGGGTTTTTTTTCTTCTGTGCTACTCACGAGCGTTATATTGCGCTACGTTACACATAGCTTGCGGATCAGGTAGGGTAGCAATGTCACGCTTATCTCCAGCACGTCGCGAAGAGCTCCCGAATGAACAGCAAAAGGCCTACGACGAACTCGACGATCTAGCTACTAAAGGCTTTGGCGACGCATTCATATACAAGCAGCCGGATGGAGCTTTCGTCGGACCCTTCCCATTCTTGATTGCCGCGCCCGAAGCGGGCATTCAGATGCTCGAGACCGTAGGCAAGGTCGCCGGTATTCCAGGCCTGCCTCAAAATGCTCGAGAGACGGCCATCTTGGCTACAGGCGCTCATTACAAGGCAGCATACGAATTGTATGCTCACTCGAATGTGGCTACGAAATCTACGGACTTAAATGTCCAGCAGGTTTGGCAGATCTGTGACGGGAAGAAGCCTGCAAATCTGGACGAGAAGTGCGAAATTGCTTATGATGTCGCGACATATCTATCAAGCACGCCGGGACCTCTACCGCAGACACTGTGGAAGCGAGCTGTCCGCGCACTAGGCAAGGACGGTACGATCGCCCTGGTTCACTACGTGGGATTGTACGCATATACCTGTATTATTCTCAACGCTGTCGATGCACCGGTGCCCGAAGGGAGCAACTAAGACTCTTGCACGACGCTTCTACGCATCCCAAACATTACGGAATCCGCCCGAAATCTCTGCCACCATTCCACCGCCGTTGAGACGTGATACATAGTTCGGACGCCTTTACGCTTGCTGAGTTGCCTTCGGTCGTGGAGACATCATGAAACGCCCAACCGCTCTCGTCTCGATCGGAACGTCATACGCAACCAAGACGCCTACGAATCTTGCTGGATCGATGTCGGCCTTGGGATTCTTTGTGACCCAGCGTGTCCCTCCACTTGCTGTGGGAAGTAGTACGCAGGCTGAACCCCTACAAGGCTGTATAAACTAACCTTGATCTTGGACTTCATACGAAGCTAGTGTGACAGGTCTCCACGCCGTCGAAATTTGATACGCACTTCACGTGCCCACAAAGCTTTCTCACCGGTTCCCCATTTCGGGAGATGGTCCACGCGAGTCAAATCGCAAGAACATCTCAACCTTCATAACGATCTCGGCTCTCTGGCGGTCCGTCTCCTTCTTTGGTTCACGCAGTACATTGTGCATCAGTTGCTAGTAAACTGCTTTGGCCAAGCAGTTAAAGAGCTGCGCTGGCCTTCCGATCGACGTAGAAACTGATTCACTTTGGGGAAGCGCTTCGACGATGCCACAATCGTTCAAGCTTCGCAGTCGGTGCCTATGGAGAGTTGCTTCCGTCGTACCCGCGCTGAGCACTGCAAGCTTCCTCTGGACGAAATGGCAAAATCTAACCGGATTGTTACTCATGGACCCTTGAGATGGGCGTAGATGTCGAATCAATCTGATGGCCAACTTGATTATACGCTTATCACCGCACTGTGTGCTGTTCAAGCTCGTGGTCTCGGCCATATCCGGGATCATTGTTTGTTGTCGTAATGCTTGCGGTTTCGATGGCAGAGAGTGGCTGCTGTTGATAGCCCAATCCCTGAGTTTGGAAATGGAGCTTTTCACTTGGTCACTGGGGCGTGAGACCACGACGGTTCCTTACGTAGGGATCAAGGACATTCCTGCGAACAAGTCCGTTGATGATGGTACCCTTCACCTTTGGCGCCAAAGAAACATCACGCCAACAGTTGTGATGGCATCGGTCTTTCCGACAAACACGCTCTCGTCAGAAACCATAACTCCTGCAATACTCCTGAGCCTCATCAACGCTGCTGTACAGTTCGCATCAGCAAATTGGCACATTCTCAACCCGATTGGCACACGACATTACGTTTTTGATCATACGACGCAGCCCAGGACAGTGATGTGCGCATAGAGGTGAATTTGCCGTGACCAGCCCACGTGTGGAAAGTTTCGTTCGTGACCTTCAACTAGGAGATGCGGACATGGCTGGAGGAGAACTTCACGTGCCGGCGCGTGACCTGCTCGAGCAGTCTGCCAGAACACGAAGTCCATACAATCACGTGAGTCTGTCTGACCGAGTACCCTTAGTGGAAGTATCATCCGCGCTAATACGAGGTACAGATCTTGTGCAATGATTGGGGATTCGGTGTACATCCATAGGAGGGTGGGCCTTGGCGCGTAACTCGATGACTGGGCGTCCGGGTGATGCTAAGGTGCACGCTTCCTCCACCATCACCGTCCGCAGCCCGCTTGAAGATGATATATTGCTGTACTAATGCTCTCAGCCCAGAGACATGGCCCGCTTCCATCATTTCGTGAAATGCTCCAAGCGATGGGCGTCGCTAGGGCGGACCCTAACAGCCGCACCCCTTGCGTAGGTGTCCCGAAGACTTGTGAAAGACGGTGAGGTCGTGGTCACACTCCAGAAAGTATGAGGGTGGATTACGTATGCAATACTCAATACTGTCATTCGTGCACGGCTGCGTCGAGGATGTCGAACTTGCGCATGAGCGATCCAAAGGTCCCACAAGTCGTCAGCGTTTGTCGTACCGGTCTGCATTGATGTCTCTTTCAATCTATTCGTTACAGCCTCCGGGCGTGGCAGTACGTGCACTAGGCATATGTGTTTGCGCGGTTTGGGTTGACGCTTACTGCTGACCGGCTGAATTCCGGCTGACCGTTGATTGCGACGCCCACTGACGACACGGAGACTGCGTGGTCCGCTAACTCAATAGCCCCCTGAGGTTTCGCTATGCATTGACCTGCAGCATGCATGTAGGCCAGCAGATCTAGCACGAGCACTGACGGTACTCATGTTGCTAGTCACTCTCCCACAGCTCCCAACCACCCGCATCGCGCATCTCAAGCACTTGCTAGTATGCTGATCCCAGTTGCTACGCTCCTGCTTGGGGCTATCGCTCGAGTATCCGGGCTCCCATCTCTTGCCAGTGTTTTTGAGAGCGTACAGTTCAGTCTCGCAAGTCTCCGCTATAATGTCTCACAAACGCTGGACAACCCTTTCCCGTTCGACATGCCCAACAAGCAGGTGGGAAGCATACCAGGCCTATTCGCAATGCCACAGTGCCACGGTATAACGGTCGAAGAGGCTACCATTGACCAACTGCAACAGTACCTCAGCCAAGGTAATTTGACAAGCCAGCAATTGGTAGTCTGCTATCTCCAGCGCGTATGGCAGACTGATGACTACATCAACTCAGTCTTGGAGATCAACCCGGATTTCCTGACCATTGCAGCACAGCTGGATGCAGAACGGCAAGCTGGCCGAGTTCGTGGCCCGTTGCATGGCATTCCGTTCATGGTCAAAGACAACATCGCTAGCAAAGACCGCATGCAGACGACAGCGGGAAGCTGGGCTTTAGAAGGCTCCATAGTCCCTCGAGACGCTACTGTAATCGCGAAGCTCCGCAGTGCTGGTGCTTTACTGTTCGGCAAGGCAACGTTGAGCGAGTGGGCTGATATGAGAAGTAATAACTACTCGGAGGGGTACTCGGCCCGCGGCGGACAGTGTCGCTCGCCGTACAATCTGACACTCAACCCGGGTGGTTCTAGCTCCGGGTCTGCGGTCGGTGTCGCAGCGAATGTCTTCACGTTTTCGCTAGGAACAGAAACCGATGGTAGCGTGATCAACCCCGCGGAACGCAATGCCATTGTTGGTATCAAACCTACCGTGGGTCAGTCATCTTGCCAATTCCGGCTTGTGCTAACCAAGTTTATAGGTAGGCTTGACCTCCAGGGCCGGCGTTGTACCAGAGTCGGCGCACCAGGACTCGGTGGGATGCTTTGGGAGAACAGTCCGCGACGCCACTTACTGCCTGGACGCAATCTACGGACCTGACCCGCTCGACAACTACACACAAGCTCAGACAGGCCATACTCCCGCTGGAGGCTACGTGCAGATGTTGGAAGGTCGCAATGCATTGGCAGGCGCCACGTTCGGAATCCCGTGGAACAGCTTCTGGATATACGCGGATGATGAACAGCAAGCTATCTTGCTATCAATCATCGATCTGGTGCGGTCTGCCGGGGCCACGGTTATAAACGGCACGGAGCTGCCAAATGCTGACGTGATCGTTTCGCCAGCCGGATGGAATTGGGATTACGGTACTACTCGTGGCTATCCCAATGAAAGCGAGTACACGGTCGTCAAGGTTGACTTCTACAACAACATCAGAGCCTATCTTTCAGAGCTCGAGAACACCAATGTTCGTAGTCTGGAGGACATTGTAGCCTACAATTACGCCAACGATGGCAGTGAAGGCGGCAATCCATGGCCACTAGGCATACCTGCATTCTACTCGGGCCAAGACGGCTTTCTTGCGAGCCTCGAGACCCAAGGCGTGATGGATGAGACATATTATCAGGCGCTGCAGTTCTGCCAGACTACGACCCGCGAGCAAGGTGTCGATGCCGCCCTAGCAATGGGACTGAACGGCACGCAACTCGATGCTTTGCTTGTGCCGCCAGACGTCGGGCAGACGTACCAGATTGCGGCGCAGGCCGGATACCCTGTCATCACAATCCCGGCTGGTGTGCATAATTCGACGGGCATGCCATTTGGTCTGGCGCTGATGCAGACGGCTTGGCGGGAAGATGCACTGGTTAAGTGGGCATCTGCGATAGAAGATCTACAGTTTGCGAGTGGAACGCCGTACAAACGATCGCTGCCCAACTGGTACGGCTACCTTGAACGCAACATTCCGGTCATCAACGCATAATGTTCCCACAGATCTAGTTCCTCTTAGGCCACCCATCGCGAATCACACGTTCCTCCGCCCGACTCGTTCAGCTAAACGCTTGATTAAGCAGCTCCTACGCCAAGGCGTGTTTCCGTGACCACGTCAAACGGTCAGGCTGAGGCGGATGAACTGTGCCCTAACTCTGGAGGTGGGTTGGCCGCGCCTGTACGCACCTCTTAAGCTATATAACTCAAGCTCATCAGGAGAAGAGTGACCAGTCGTAGGCTTTTCAGCACAACGTACACACAATCGAGGCAGTAAGGAACGGGACTCCGGATACTGTTGGCTTTTATTTAGTGAGAATGTCGATACCTCCTCCCTTGATGCTGCCACCAAAGCTTCTATCAACACCACAGACGACATGGCAGAAGAAATCTTTACCGTGAAGAGCCTCCCTCGTCCAACAAAAACGTACCATACGGAGACCTACGACCGCATCGCTCCGTCCAATTCCGACCATGATAACAAGACCGTGCTTATCACTGGCGGTGCAACGGGCATTGGCTTCGAAATAGCCAGGTCTTTCGCCAAATCTGGCGTTTCACGTATCATCCTGCTCTCACGCTCCCCTGACCATCTCGCGCTTGCGAGGGAGAAGCTCGAGGCTGAGTTCTCGAAATGCAAGGTCGAAACTTACTCAGTATCCATCACCAACCATGCGCGCGTGATGCAAATCGTGAAAGAGGTCGGTAGCATTGACGTTATGGTGCTATCAGCTGCCGCTCAAGAACCCTTCACCACGTTCAACGACCATACTGTGGCGGAGATGGACGCGTTTTTCCAGACGAACGTTATCGCCTGCTTCAACCTCGTTAAGCTGTACATCGACCTGCCGATGGAGCCAAGTGGCAGCAAGACAATCATAAACATCTCCTCAGCATCCGCTCATTTTGTAGTCCCACAGCAACCAGGTAAGCACAGCAATGTGTACTGCCTCTTGCGGTTGCAGAAGATATGGCTGACACTATCATCAGGTTATGGACCCTCCAAGACTGCATTTGCGGCCCTGATGCAGCATGCTGCCAGCGAGTATACACCTGAGAAGGGTGTTCGGATCGTTTCGCTGCATCCGGGCACCATCTATACCGAAGCCGCCGCGACGGTGTTCGCTAAAGATGCCTTGGAATGGGAAGACATTCACTTACCTGGTGGTTTTTGCACTTGGCTCGCTACTCCTGAGGCGAACTTCCTGCATGGTAAGTTCGTGTGGGCGCAATGGGATGTTGATGAGTTGCTCGCTGTGAAGGAGAGGGTGAAGAAGGACCCAAGCTTTCTCACTATCGGGCTCGTGCAATGAGCAGGCTTGATAGTTCAGCAAAGTAGTGCAACTGTGCTCAACCCACTTGCTGCACACAGTTCCATCATTTCACTGCAACCGCCCAAAGCTGTGGGGGTTGGTCGCCACTCTTGTCCGCGTGATGGCAACTAAAAGTCACCTCCGCCGTCATCACCGCCACCGTAGTCTATTGACAGAGTCAGCTTGTGCTCGATAATCGCTTACTCTACTTCATCCTGAAAGCTTACCTCCGCCGTCATCGGCCTGGCCTTGATCTGTAATTCACATTAGCATTTCCTACCAGTAAGACCACAACGATCGACAACCCACCATAGCCTTGTTCATATGCCTGGTCCTGGTTGTCGTCGAAAGCGTTCATCAGAAGAGCACCACCCACTAGACCTGCACCGGCACCGAGCAAGGCACCTCCGCCCATACCCATACCACCACCCTGCCTCTGAGGCTGCTGCTGAGCATAGTATGCGGGTTGCTGCTGAGGGTAGCCTTGATTCATGCCGTAGGGCTGTCAGGTTGATTAGCGCGTGTATAGTGAGCATTCATCACAAGACCTGGTACCTGCTGAGGTGGATAACCCCCTTGGTACCTAATCAATGTAACCGTTAGCGCAGTCGCAGACGGGTAAGATTCTACGGCTATCATTACGCACCCTCCATACTGCTGCGGTGGGTACCCTCCATATCCAGGTCCGTACTGCGACTGTCCGTATTGCTGTTGCGGTGGTCTTTGTGCACCACCACCACCAAACTTGCTGCCGAGCTTGCTGAACAGACCTTTCTTCTCTTCACGTGGAGGCAGCTGCGCCGTCGAAGGTGACGCTGGCTGCTGACCGTATGGAGACGCACCTTGGCCGTAAGACGGTGCACCACTACTGCCGCTGTGGTAAAAGTCGTCCGCTGCTCCACGGTTCGCGGTGCCCGCACGAGCGTTCTCCTCTTCTTGGAGTTTCCTTGCTAATCGCTCATCCTCGGTCAGCCCACCTTGACCCGGCTGATGGTAAGGGTTGTTGGTTTGCAGACCACTCTTCTCCGGCACAGGTGGCCTTGACGAGCTATGATCGTAGCCCGGGGGAGCTCCCGGCGGTGGAGCGTCACCAGGGGGATGTGCTGGCTCAGTAGGCTTTTCCCACGTCGACTGCTTAGTGTACGTGTTCACGTAAAACCACTCCTTGTAGCTCTCATTCCAGACAGCCTTCCACCCCGCCGGTACATGTGGCGGAGGGGGTCCAGAAGGTGGTGCGAAATCAGCCATGATCGAACGCACTCGGTGAACTCACTGTCAGGAAGGGCGGACAGCGACCTTATCATTCATTCTGCTTCACTTACCAGCACTATGTGTGGCTACTGCCTGCGCACGTCATGATGGCGGGGCTTAGACGGCTCGGCGCGCTTGGCATGCAAGTGGCAGGCACGTGGACGAGGCATTTCCGCGAAGATACTAGAAAGGTGTACATAGTCTAGACATTTGTTTCGTCTCGTGCTATCGGCTCCAGGACGCCTTCAGCTTGTTGGCATATGCGCACCGCCACAGCGGCATTACTGGCCCGGTATCGACTGCACAGACAGGACGACGGTGGAGCCAGTTTTGGGGGTTATTGCTGTTTGGCACGCCAATGTTGTGTGGCGGTTGATTACCACGTGCAGGTTCCGGTCTAGATTACATTTAGCCTTCTACTGGCAGCGCTTGGGCTACGTTCGCCTCTGCTATGGCCTTCTCCCGGCCTGTAATCTGGGTTTCCGGTCCTCCATCATTTACTGAAGTGGAAGAGCTGGCAACCTTTTCCTTCCCGCCCTGTGTGCCTATTGTCAAGAAGGGTACCATGCACACACTAATGACCGCTCCGGCGGCAGAGACCCAGAAAGTTGCTGCATATGGCTGTGTCTCAGGCTCCCAGTAACTCGCCATTCGCGGATTCTGTTGTACGGCGCTGAATACTGCGGTGCAGATACCGAACCCAAGCACGGTCGACAGCTTCGAGGATGTCTGGAATATGCCACCGGCGACACTCTGCTGGTGAGACGGCATGCTTGACATGACATACATGTTTGCGACGTTGAACTCCAGGTCGGCGCCGACTACCATGAGTAAGAACGCTGGAAAGCAGAATGACCAGTAGCTGCTATCGTGTCTGTTGAATGCCAGGAGTAGCATAGCACCGGTATAGCCGAGGGTGGCGATCAGCATAAGCAGCTTGTTTGACACCCGGTGGAGTATCATGCCTGCAATGAAGTTGACAAACAAGCCACCAATAGCAGCCGGAAGTAATCGGACGCCAACGTCAAGAGCCGACATGTGCCAGATTTGCTGGAAGTATAGTGAGATGAAGAAGCTTCCCGGAACGAATGCCATAAATCCTAGCATCAGGATGCAAAGACATAATGTGAAGTTCCCTGCAGGTAGGTTAGCTACGCCAGCCGCAACACATCGCCATAACGGCTATCAGTTACACTTACTATCCTTCCATATACCCATGGGAACCAAGGGGTATTTACACCAGCAATCCCACACAACGAAAGCTATCATAAGGACGATGCCGACGATGAGCATTGCCAAAACGTAGCCGGTCTTCCAGCCCTGAGGAGCTGTCTCGCCCAAACTCAATGCCGCAGAAAACATGCCTATGCCGAAGATGACCAGTACCGTGCCCAGCACATCGAACTGCTTGAGGGTCTGCCAATTCAGTGGTTCTTTGGCTGTGAAGTCCCTGGGCACTGTCCAGACACCAATAAGTGTAAACACCAGGAAGATTATAGCGATGAGCCAGTACGATGCGCGCCAGCCGAAGAGGTTGGTAGCGATGCCTCCGAATATACAGCCAAAAACAAAGCCGATTGGGTTGCCAGCGGAGAAGCATGCAAAAGCGTAGTTCTTGCGCTTGCTAGGCTTTTCGTAGACCACGCCCAAGATCCCCACCGCAGGCGGAACACCAGAGGCGGACATGAGGCCCATGACACCGTTTAGACCGTCAAGTGAGATGCCAGACTTGGCAAAGCCCGCGACGAGTGAGAAGACGGCGAACAGGAAGAGCGAACCAATGAACAGCGACTTCCGGCCTTCGCAGATAATTAGCCGATGGACCGTCGCGCTGACCGTTACTGAAGCTTACCAAACAAGTCGGCCAACTTGCCAAAGAAGAGCAGGAACGCGCCACTGCTCAGCGACGACGAGGATGTGATCCAGGTGATCTCTGCCGTTGTCATGTTCAGATCCCGCCCGATGAAAGACGATGTGACGACCGTCGAGCCGGCAATGATGGATTGCATCGCTATCGCCATGGTCGCTGTAAGCACGAAGAGTGCCTCCTGAAAGGTTGAGCTGAAACATGCAGGCCGAGCATTATTCGTTTGTACACGCGCAAGCGGTTCCATCGCGGCGGCGTCGTCTATACCATTGAGTACCTGCGGCACGCCCGTGGGTTTTTCGGCCATATCAGTCTACAGCGGAGTAGCAAATTGTCTTCAAGCTACAATCTGCGGTAAGGACTGACATGGTAAAGTACAAATGGATTTCGTGATGCGCAGGAGTCGAGATGGCGCTATATCTCAAGTGGGTCGTGATCCCGTCTCGATTTATGAGATCGCGGAAGCGTCGCGCGGCAAGCGTCCCGTCCAGGGCTTCGGCCTTGTAAGGCGCCGACATCCGACTTCACGGAAGAGTGGGGAGTCAAATCTAACAACAGCTGCGGTTTGAACGGCAACTCTGCGGTAGGGGAGCTGCGTTCAGAGCTTCACCACTTGCCAGTCACCCAGATCCATTGTTCGAAGTAAGCCCCCAAGTGGGCCTTGGACTTCCCGACCACCGACCCATTGCTTTGGTCCGGCCCAGTGATTGACAAAACCCTCGGGGCCAGATACGAAAATCAGACGTTGATAACCGGGGTGCTCGTTGTGTATGCGACCAAGAGTGCTTTCAACGAGTGATGGGCTGATGAAGGTGCTTTCCTCGTCAACAAAGTAGTCGACCTGAAGCCTTCCCTGAGAGCATCCACGCTTGATGCTGCCGAGCTGTTTTATAATGGGGCTTGTTTCATCATGATTAGTCTCCTTAGACGGTACAACAGTGGGGTTCCGCCAGAACGAATTCCAGACTGAGCCGGCCTTTCCAGATACTGTGTCACTCACGGCTCCCCGGCAATCTTCACTCCTGCGACTTGCCCACAGAATGTGAACCACAGATTCACCCTTGAGCTTCTCAGCAACTTGCAGCGCAGGCGCAATGCCCGTACCGCCTGCTAGAAAGAGCACATCTCCAATGTTGGCCGGTAGGCCGTATTCCACCGTCGGTCCTCGAATTTCAACGTAAGAATCAAGAGCAAGTCGGTGTAGATAGCCAGACACTTCGCCATTGCGCTCTTTCCGTATCAGAAAGCGCAATTCGTCAGATGCTTGGTCCGGTACCCGAGGAAGAACGGTATAAGCCCGCGCGATCTGCAGCTGAGGCTGCTTGACCTGGACGCTCGTGACGCCTCGTTCGCCGAACAGTCGCTCAGTATCAATGGTAGTGGCGCCAGCGGGCTTTAGCGTAAAAATGCTGCATGTCGACGAGACATTCTGCTTGCCAGTCACAGTGTATCTGACAAATTCCGTTGATCCCGCAATTTGAGGTTTGGTTGGTTGATTCCGTAGAAAGCTGAACGTTATGTAACTCACGGCCAGTCCGGCGGTAAATGCTGTCAGTCCATACACCCAGCCTCGTTCAGACTTGCGCCCTCCAGTATTGCTGGATTCTCCCGGTTTGTTCTGTGCCGCAGTGTAGCGTCTCCAAGAACCATTCGTGAAGTGTGCATAACTGCTACGACCGGAGACTGAATTGTACCTCAGAGTGGTCCTGAAGCGTACTCGTGGTCTTACGGCTACTGACATTATACTCACATTGTACAAGGACTCCATAGGCCGCGAACGAAAGGATGTGCTGCTTAGTAATCGAACGTAAGGCTTGCGCACCCTGGTCTGTGCTTTTGAGCGACGACCGCTTCGACCACTCACGGACGGGACCGTACATTGACCACCGCGCACCAGAACTGCGATGTTTGCTCTCTAACCCCAACGATGTATCTTACCGTCAACATGAGGCACGCCTCAAAGCATGCAATTGGCTCACGCTCCCAAGGACGTGCTCAATTGTCACATTCGAGCTTTATGTGCGACAACAGCAGGTTAGGTTGAGGGACAATGTAACCAAAACCACAAATGGATGACTATACTATGGTCGGCAGCGTCTCAGCTAGTTACACTACCACCACATAACGGAACGTGGCAGGGTGAGGGTATCTAAAAGGGCAGCTGACCCTCTGCCCGAAACTCTAGCCAATATCGCTCTTCGAGTCTCGCTACACTCCACCCTCTTACTCCGACGTCGGCAATGGCTCGCAGATCGGAATGTTTCCATGGCCCTTCCATGTCCATAACTCGTCACTGGGGACGGTGTACCCACGATACCGACCGTTCTCCGATGCGCCTTGTCGTTCGATGCGATGGAGAATGTCGACTGAGCAGGTATCAGGTGCCTGAGCGTCACGGTCTGATCCGGATAGGAAGTGTCAATGTTAACTCCGATTATAACCTCGACCGCGAAGACGCACTGTCGGAGACCGCTTCGATCGAAACCAGAAGCAGCAGTGCATGGTCGATCCTGAACAATTGCCGTCGAGCTTTTCTGGCCCTTCTCGGAGACAACGCCGTGCCAGCTGAGACTCCTCGACGAGGCCGAAACCGCCATCTTATGCCACGCAAGCAACGCAAAGAGGGTGCTGCATTGTTGCGTCTGCGGCTCGGTGACCTTGATGTGTCGGTGCAGGATTCTAATCTGGCCGCTCGTACGGTTGATCGCCTCGTCAGCATCGCAAACGGAAATGATGCTAGCAGCGCTTTCGGTCGATGCTGCAGAGCCTCGGTGGGTTGCCGTTGTATAAGCGCAGGTTGAGAGGCAACCAATTCTGTCTGCTGTCTCCGCGTGCTGAGTAGCAGTCAAAGCTCAGCGCAGGCGCCGGGGTAAGATGCGGCATCAGTGGGAAGAGCGTCTTGCTGCGACTGGCGAGTTGTTATAACCGAATGATCTCTCTATCTTCATCTATACCTCCTCTGAACAGCTCTTTGATCACTTTGCCATCAATTATCGTCTTCGAGACGATGCCCTCAACGTGCTGAGGTGCTACGCGGCCGTAGTAGATGCCTTTTCCTGCAAGCGGATTGCTCTTGAAGCTCTCAGGGATGTAAATGATGACGTTGCCAGCCCACTTGTGTCCGCCGATATGGCTGACCTGACCAATCCTGGCAGTCGGCACGTAGCCCTCCACGTCCGTGTTAATGGCCTCGACTTCCGCTACGGGCGGGTCGCGCAGTATTGCAACATTTTGCCTTTGCAGCTTCTCTTCAAACTCCGCCTGTAAGAGCGGGCCTAGGATACCACACCTCGAATCTCGCGCGTTATGCCCGCAGATCAATATCAGGATCTCGTTAACTTTGCGCGCACCAACAAAGCGGCGCTGCAGCTCCGGTTGCCTAAGAAGCAAATTTTGCTGTTCTCGGGACAGTTTGTCATGAGCTTGATGTAGTCGGGAAGGGAGAACAAATGCTTTCAAGAACTCCTCGACCTCCGTGGATTCTGTCGGTATCGAAGGAACATACTGGAAGCTAGGCAAGACAAATGCAGATGCTGGAGGTGTTCCAGGCACGGACTGGTTGCGTGTAATGGATGGGTCTTTGCCAGGTTTCGATGCCGGTATCGATCTGGAGTCAGATGGCGCCTCTCTTGGCCGCTTGTTCTGCTGTACTGGTGATTCGGTCCGCGGTATTGATGAGTTCGTGATCATCACGCTATGGTACGGCTGTCAGTCAGATTCACCCGGTCAGCACGTGTAGTCCATCAAGGTGGCAAGCTCAGCGCTGCCAGTAGAGTGAAGACATGGTCTTGCCCACCTACGTCCTCAAACTTGCCGCCTTTGTACAACAGGTCTTTCAATTGCCGAACGAAGGCACCGTCGGCGCTCTCTTCCTCCTCTATCCGGCTCGTCCAGTCACTTCGGCCGGTCGATATCAGGATCTGCTCAGCGAAGGCAGCCATGGAGCCGTTAATGTTCTGTTCCCGTTCGATATCAAGGCCTTCCGGCATGTCGCGACACTGACATGTCGGCGCCGGACATTGCTCGATCACAGGCACTGGAGGAGGCGTATAAGGCAGCTCGATCCTCGAGGCGAAGGCCCTTCGGGCATTGGTAACGCCAGGAGCACATAAGCTGCCTAACCTTGCAAAGCGACTGCCATGTCTGAAAACAAACATGGTCGATTGGTCCGGCGGCAACGGTTGTAGGGTTGAAGCTGATGGCTTGACAGAGAGCACACTGTCATCTCTCAAATATCGAGCCGTAATAGTCTCGGCATAACAGATGCGTCACTAAACGCCTAACGCCGACTCTCCGACATGACGGGACCCAAGCTTCTCCGCGCCTAGAGCAAGCACATGACTTCCAGTCTGCGTGCTCAACTCGCCCCTATCGATTGGTCTTGTCGATGCTTCGATTGCACCGTAAGCGTGCAGGAGACGGTGTACCTGCAGCATTTTAGTACGATAGCACGCAGAAACGTGCCTCGATCAAGCTCCAACAAGGTTAACCAAGCTCACACGAGGCAGTCAAGCTTCTGCTTGGTGGGTTGCATATGTTGGGTGGGCCGTTGAGAGCAATTGGCTGGCCGCAGTAATATAGAAGTGCAGCCGCTGAAGGTAGGTGAGATCGGTCCTGTCGCGTTTATCCCACTCTCGTTCGTGTAGTCACAATGGCGGCAGTAAAAAGCCTTCTGGCCGTTGCGCCGCTCATGGCGCAGCAAGCGCTCGCGCAGGCACACTACGCTGGCGGTTATCCTGGAGCAGTGTCCTACGTTGCGCCGGCAGGCTACCCTACCTCTGTCTTCTCCTCGTACTACGCGGTACCGTCAGGCCAGGAGCCGCAACCGGCGCTCTATGACCCCGTCCTTAACATTACATACCCTCGCAACCTGACCAATCCAGACACCATTCCCACTAACGATCCTGATCCGATATACCTACCGCAGCCGATCGCCAACCTGACCACCGCACAGCAGCAGCTCGTGATTGACAATGTGCTCGGCCAGATCGGCGAGCTCATCAATGGCACTTACATTACGGGCAACTGCAGCAAATGCATCGCTGCTCTTTCGGTTGCAAAGAGTGCTGCGCAGCTTGCTCCTGCCTTGGTCCCGGCCGCGATGGTGCAGCTCTGTACAAGCACTGGCTTCCACTCAGCGTCTACTTGTGCAGAGGTGAGTCCATCAAGCTTGCGCAGTTCGCTCCCATAGACGCCGTCTAAACTCACGCTTCCGGTATGTAGGACTTTGCGGCAGACACTTTCGGTGCCATCTGGACGCAAATCCTGGCTTTGGCCGATGTCAGCGGTCTGGATGGGCAGTATATCTGTAACTCTCTCAGCAGCTCCTTCTGCGCGGCTCCACCTGTCTCGCCCTTAAACACGACTGGCCTGTTCACGAAGCCTAAGCCAGCAAACGCCACGGCACCGCCTGCAAGCGGACAGCGTGTGAAGGTGCTCCATATGAGTGACTTTCACCTGGACCCTCGCTACAAAGTGGGCTCAGAAGGGAACTGCAGTAGCGGCCTTTGCTGTCGCAGCAACGTGGCCAACAGCGGCCTCAGAAGTGGCCAAATCAGCTACCCAGCTCCGGCGTATGGTTCGTACCTCTGCGATACGCCTTACGACCTAGGGCTTGCAGCCCTGCAGGCTGTTGCTCCTCTCACCGGCACATGTGTGGATGAGCCTCTTGCCTGGACCGTCTATACTGGTGATCTTGTCGCTCACGATCCGCAATCTCAGCTCAGCCGCGCCTTCACTGAATACAGTGAAGAGAGTATTTACTACATGTTCAGCAAGTGTACGCATCACCTCGCCAACAGGCCTCTCATCGTGTTCGAGATTGTGCTAACGGGGATGGTTAATGCATTCAGACCTCACTGGGCCCGTCTTCCCAGCGCTAGGCAACCATGACACCAACCCCGAAGCCATCGATGCACCTTACTCAATGCCGGGCAATCTGAGCCAGCAGCAGAGCTGGAATTACGATCACGTCGCTAGTCTCTGGCAGCTTAATGGTTGGCTAAATGCCACTGCTGCTCAGCAGGCGCGGACGCACTATGGCGCATACAGTGTGAAGAATCACTATGGTCTCCGCATCATTACCTTCAACACTGATTTCTGGTATCATTGTACGTGTACTCTCCATCTTGTGTGTGGGAGTGGCGGGCTGACGCAATGCGCAAGCGAACTTTCTCAATTTCATCAACACTTCCAATCCGGACGTCAGCGGTACCTTCAAGTTCATGATCCAGGAGCTGCAGGCTGCTGAGGACGCTGGCGAGCAAGTCTGGATCATTGGTCACGTGCTTTCTGGCTGGGTGAGTTGCGCAAGCCATCTGTTCTGGTGACTGTGCAAGTTGCTAACCATGGCGAAGGATGGCTCGAACCCCATAGTCAATCCGACAAACCTCTTCTACCAGATTGTTGATCGCTACAGCCCTCACGTCATCAGGAACATCTTCTTCGGCCACACGCACGAAGATGAGGTTATGATTTACTACGCGAACAACGCTACCAACATGAGCTTGGGCACTGCACTGAGCACTGGCTGGGTCGGGCCCTCGGTCACGCCTCTGACGAACCTGAACTCCGGTTTCCGCATGTACGAGGTAGATACTGGGTCATTCGACATCTACGATGCCTACACCTGGTATGCGGACGTCAGCTCTTTCCCGAGCCTGGTGAACTCCTCGCATGGCCCAACCTTCCAATTCGAGTACAGCACGCGCGATACATATGGTCCTGCTGCGAATTGGCCGGCGACTGCACCGCTGAACGCTACCTTCTGGCATGCCGTTACGATGGCTATGGAGACTAACCCTGCTCTTGTGAACACCTTCAATAAGTTTGAGGGCAAGAGCAGCAATAGCGGCTTCACCACGAACTGCACCTGTACCGGCTGCGTAAACGCTAAGATTTGCTATATGCGCAGTGGCTCAGCTGCGCTCGGGCGGGCTTGTCCGCAGGGCTTCAGCAGCGTGCAGAGTGCATTCACTGGCAAGTGCTAGGCGGTCGCGTTAGGAGACATCATATCAGTAATGCCAGTGCTGGAGACAGAGGTACTGCGTCGGTGCAAGTGATGGTGTTAAGAGACATGTATACAGACAATGCAGCTCACGAAGCTCACCTGCAGAGTTACAGGACGCTTAGATAGGCAAATAATGGCATGTATCAGAAGCTTTGTCACACACCCGAAGGCTCGTAGATCTGTGGCCAGTGCTGACAGGTGCAATTACTGTGTTCGATATACACAGAGGTAATGCCGTGAAATCGTTCCGCTTCAACTTGCCGTCCCACGGCGTGGTTGAACGCCAATGCAAATGTAATCCATGCGCTGATTTAGTAACACAAATAGCTGTTGTCCCCTATGCTCCGATAAATGCGTTGAAACAGCCCAACCTTCTTCTGAGGATGTTGTCGAGCGTAGTTTTCCTCCACCACGTTGTGCTTATTTACAATGCTCAAGAACACCTGGTCAAGCGTCGCCTGGCTGACACTGTAGTACTCAAAGCCCAGACGTGCCTTGTTTGCTTCAAGGTTGGAAAAGAGCGCACTGATGCCAGTTCTTGAAGGAACGTACCCTGGCCCTACCAAGTTGGCGCCGGACTGCCGTGTCTTGCCACTAGGCTCGTCGTTTGTGGCAGTCCGGTCGTTTGGAAGACTGAACCGTAGCTGTCCGTGGAAAGAGCGATCCTCGGTGACCGCGGCTGGAAATGCACGCCGAATCCATGTTTTGATCGCGTCCATGTTCTCGTTGGTGGTGTAGGGGGCGTCTCTGTGGACTAGATGTACGTGATACGCATCGCCGTGCTTCTTCCGTAACTGATCGCTTGTACCCAATGCCAGCATCTTCCTTGCCATGATTCCAGCACGGTCCGCAAGGGCATCAGCTTCTTCCATACTGTGGGTAGTCAGAACGAGCGACCGCCCTGACGAGACGCTTCTCAACGTCCGCCACATCACCCTCTTTGAAGCCGCATCCATGCCTGAGCTTGGCTCGTCCAGGAGCACGACAGATGGATTGCCGATCAAGGCGATGCCGAGCGACAGTTTCCGCTTGTTGCCTCCAGACAGCTTGCCAGCCAACCGAGACTTGAACTGCGCTAGACCGACTGCGTGAAGCACCTGCTCAACATTGTGCTCAACGTCAGGCACGCCTCGTGCCCGTGCATAGAAGCGCAAGTGTTCAATTGCAGACATTTGATCCATTGCATCGAATTGCTAAATAGTAATGGGTAGGAAAGTCAGCTATGTCTTTAACAACAGCGAGGTATTCTACACGATGGTTTGCTTACAGGACAAACACCAAGGTTGGCACGTGCTTGTGCTCGGTGTGAGATGATAGAAACGTCCTCAATCAGTATCTCGCCTTGCCTACCTGATGGCCTCGTATCACCGCGGATGAGACCTATCGTGGTTGACTTGCCGGCTCCTAAAGGTTAGAGGTAAATGTCAGCTATCTTCATGTCATCTGCGAGAGGATCGGCCTATTCCTCTGCTTACCGTTCGGTCCGAGGAGGGCAAATGTCTCGCCGCGGGGAACGCCGAAGGAGATGTCCTGCACTGCTTGATTCGCACCGAAAGCCTTGGATGCATGGATAACGCGAAGCTCGTCATTAGACTCTTCCACCCGTGCAGTTTCCGAGTACACTTCAGGATCGACACCTTCGACCTCTTCGACATCCTGCGCCTTGTGCTGCCGTCGCATGAAGAGCCTGGGTCTCCATCCACTATCGTACGCAACCAAGAAAGTCATCAAGACCGCTGATTGAATGACAAGATAAGCAATGCAGGAGCCATAGACAGTCCAGGCCCCGGCGTTAGGTGCAACGCTATTGTCTCGACAGAGTATACTGAATTCGTTGAAAGACAAAAGCAGTGCTCGTAGCAGGTTTGCCGCAGGGAAGAAAGCGCCGATCGTGAAGGTGGCTATGTTGAGGTTCCGGTCCGTGTCCGCCGCAGGCGAGTAGGTGATTATGCACATGAAGGAGATGAAGTAGAGCAAGAAGAACACGCATTGGCCGCCCGCAGCGAAGGCGAAAGATGCTAGCTGACTGCTCGTGAAGAGGCTGAATACGTACGACATCAGCGTCGCGGCCAGTCCAAACAGCGTGAAGATCAGCCACAAGTACCCTGGAGCGTACCAGATGTCGCTAACGGCGGTAAAGATTATGATCGCCAACGTGCTCACAGCCAGGACGATGATGAAGTCGAAGAGAGTATATGCTGTCCAGACCGACTGTGCCCGAATCCCGTTGCTGTAGTGGAGCGCTCGGACCTTGTGAAGCCGCTCGCGATTCACGTATAGTGCGAAGAAGCCAGGAAAGACGCTCATCGCAAGACCAAAATACAGAATGAACTGCAGACTCTTGCCAGCCGACGGTGAGAACGGGACCGCAAAGGGCTGAAAGCTCGCTTGTATCGGTATGCGTGACAGGGCTACGTCGAGTAGGTTTTGCGTAGCGATGGCGTAGTAGAGCTGGTAATTGCCGCGCCAGGCAAAAGTAGGTGTGCTGCCTAAGAAGAACCCGCCGGGGGTAGTACTAGAGTAGTTGGTGTTGATGTAATTGTAGAACTCGTCTATTGTGTTCACTGCTCGAAACGGCGGCGGATTAAGCAGTGGGTAAACCGAGTTCAGGAAGTTGAGCAATCCTGGGGTGACGGGTCCCACTGGAATGTCGGCTTCGTAGCCAAGGAAGTTGTTCAGACCTGCTGCCTGGTCGACTGATACTACCGAGGCCGGGTCGCAAGTTAGGGCAGAGAAGTTGGTGAGGAATCGCGTGACCAAGCCGGCAGTGATGACTGGGATCAGCAGTGCAGCCAGGTATGGCCAGGCGTTCCGAGTGAAGATTGTCCCTCTCTTTCTGAAAAGGACCCAAGTCTGCCGGGCGTACGACAGATGCTTGCCTGTGGCAAGCTGGAGTCCTTTCTCGCCGCTGACTAACGCCTCGTCTGGTGCCGGAGATGGCGCGTGATCTTTGTCGAGTTCGTCCTTCACTTCCGCGGCCAGTTTGAGGAACACATCTTCTATGGTCGGCCCATTTACCTGATAGTCTCGAATTCCGGCTCGCTCAAGCTCGCTGATGAACCGTGCGGCAGCTGCAGAATCTGGTATCATGTACACCGTTTGGTCGTGGAAGACTTGCTTCGGCACGCTTTCAAGATCCGCAGACAGAGGCTTGCTATTTTCGTGGTAGACTCTTACGCGGTAGCCTCCGCCCAGTTCATGCTTCAACGCAACAGCAGAGCCACTCGCCACGCGCTTGCCCTTTGACATTATTGCAATATCGTCGGAGAGCAAATCTGCTTCGTCGAGAAAGTGACTCGTGAGGATGATGCTACGCTTACCTCGCTCGGCTAGTAGAATGTCCCATATTTTGCGCCTGGAAAGTGGATCGAGGCCGGAGCTGACTTCGTCAAGCATGCAGAGTGTTGAGCCTCCCGTGAACCCCATAGCAAGTTGACACTTGCGCTTCTGGCCACCGGAAAGTGTATCCGAGCGTGCCTTAATCTTCTGCTCCAGGTCGCATGCGCGAATCAGCTCTTCGCACTGTGCTCTGGAATCAACTTTCTCGGCTTTGAGCCTGTTGAATATGCTAACGTGTTCGTACACGGTGAGCTCATCCCACAATACATTCTTCTGCGGGCACAAGCCAATGCCGCCTCCTGCATCCATTTCGATAGTTCCACCTGTAGGCTTCTGTAAACCTGCAAGCATATCCAGAGTGGTACTCTTGCCGCTGCCCTAACGAGTGGTCAGTATGACATTGCGTTAAGATGTCGGCAGTAACTTACATTGGCGCCGAGGAGGACCATGATTTGCCCCCGCAGAACTGTGAGATCAATGCCGTCCACTGCTCGGACTGTCTGCCGGTTCGTTCGAGAAAGGCGTAGCAGCCAGTTCGGTTGATACAGCTTGGTCAAGCCTCTGAGCCGGACGGTCTCCGTGCTGCTTTCTCCATCATATGTGAGCTTCCTAGCTTTCGTCGCTGTGCCGTACAAGACTCGTTCGATAAAAGCGCCCACGAACGGGTATACAAGGATCTGAACGATGCAGAATAAAAAGAACAGCCAGCCAGCCATCCTCCATGGTGCATTCGGTGCCGCCTTGCTCAAATCCGCGGGTTCGATCTGCTGCTGCCAGTAGGCCATGTAAATGATGAATAGTGTGAAATTCATGGGCGGGAAAATCAAACTGAGAACGATAGCAGCGCTTGTCGAAACTGGAGGTATAACCTGTATGATAATGGCGAGAACAATGCTTGCGATAGTCACTGTGATCCCGGAGAGCTGTGCTTTGCTGAACAAGCTTGCGAAAGCCATGGACCAACTTGAGAGAGCCAATCCCGCAAGGATGAAGTAGCCTATGAGGATGCCCGTGTTTGATTGCACGTAGTTCATTCGTGCAACAATCACGGCCATGACAACCCAGCTCGGCAGATACAGCATGTCGAACGCGAGATGAATTGAAAGCAGCCTTGCGGCTTGTGGTAGCCATCTTGCTTTGTTGGGCATCATCGCTTCTATGAGCTGAGACATGCCCAACTCGCGCTCTTTGGCCATCTCTCCAGTGAGCTGGTAGCAAATTCCCACAATACCAACAAAATACACCAGACCGAGTATGCTGATCAGACTGCCCATGTAGAGGCGCGTAATGTTTCTTTGTCGTTCAACTGCCGTCTCCGATGTATAGGGGTATTGGGTGACGGTTGGCAGACTAGCGCCATTTATTTCCGCAATGGCGTTATCGACGGCCCTTTGAAGAGGAAGAACGTAAATCTCCGCATCGTTGTCTTGTGTATCGACGTAGACGCGACCACCAAACACGCCGTCTGCACGCATCGAGTAATTCCAGATCCCACCTGAGCCTTCAGACGGTGAGGAGAGAAACTCGACGGCTGCAAAGCATGGCGAAACACCTCGGATCGAACTTCGACATGTTGTCAGAAGTCCGCTATCGTTTTCCAGTATCTGGACGGTTTTGCCTTGTGCTCGGATCGGCTCGGCAACCTGATCGATTACGGTTGAGATCTCTCCGCCAATGTAGCCTCCATTGATGAACACGACGGTGTTGCGGCCTCCTGCAGACGCTGCGACTGCGTCGCTAAGACTCCGAAGTGGCGCTGGGGCGCCAATGCCGAATGAAGAGGGCGGAATGAAGAATGATTTAGCATAAGCTATGGTAATCCTTCGTCAGAGAAATACCTGAAGACAAAAAGGCAGACTTACCAATAATGAAAATGAATATAATAGGAGCTATGAATGCTCTTGTTAGCGTCCCGAGAAGGTGGCGGAACAGCACGATCTTGAGTGTTTTCTCAACCAGAGCCCATGTCTGGCGAAGGAAAGGCATGTCGGCAGCGATGCCAACTCTTCGGATTCCTCTTCTCGCTTGGCAGTGGGAGTCGTAGAAGCGTCGCTCAGACCTGCATTGACAGATTGTTGAGCAGGCTAGACAGCTCTGCCTGCTCCCAGCTCGACAAGTTTGCCGCTTCAATGGTTCGTCAAGTGGCGCCGGCGTTATATATTCGTCTTACGAATGGTTGCGAGGTTCGGAAGCTGAATATTTGTCGAATTCGCTATGCAAGAAAGAAAATAGAGACCTCCAAGCTTTCGCCACACCCACTCCGATCAATGCCACAGGGACAAGTACAAACGAATCAGACCATATCCGTCGCCGAGAATAAGTGAAGAGGCGAAGTCACTACGATTACGCACTTGATGTCGTCCGGCAACTAACGTTCCGGACCGTGTAGCGGAACCGAGATCTGCCAAGCTGCCGGATCCCGATCGCCTCCGCGGCGTGACTTCACTGCACGTCCCTTCAGCGGGTGTGTGTATCCATTATCGGAGCACGCAAAACATCCATCCCATCGCTCAGCGGCTGGTAGCCAACGATGACAGCGTCTTGCGAGACCTTCGCTCGAGTGGCCTGTAATTGGCGCTGAGTGCCCTTTGTGTTCCAAGCAAAGAGGGCAGGATGTTCGCCGAAGCAGCTATGTTGGCGAGGCGTGCGATGCTATACTTCGCAGTAGTCGGCGACGGCGACGCTGGTTTGTCAGCAATATTGACGGCACGATCCGTCATCGGCCGTAAGAAGAAGCGCGGTTGTGATGTATGAAGTCAACGGTCAGCTGAAGCGCGATCGCGTGTTACGGACGCGTGCCGCATCGCTTCCATCGACCTACCCACGAGAGCCTGTGTGAGGTTTCGAGAATTGGAATTCAGGCGCTCGATAGTTAGAAGGACCTGCGCCTTAGCGTCCTTCGCTGTCCTTGAGGTATGCTCGTCAATGGCGCGCATGGTTAGTTACCCCAAAGGGTTCCGAGGGACTTGACGTTCGGGATTGAGGATTGCAAAACCGCCCGTGCTGAACGACTTCCTTTTTGAATCTTCGTAGCGGTTTGAGCAATGCTAGCACGCGCAGAGACACGGACGCAAAGTATGCCTAGATGATACTTGGAAGTTGTGATGCTCCAATCATCCTGCGGTGAGAGCGATATTGCGGGTTGGAGTCTTGGGCAATGTCGCTGTCACATCTCTTTCACGTCATTGACTGTACGCTGGCGATAGCGCAAGCCAACTTCCGATGCTATTGAGATTCACAACGCGGCGGTATAAATCTAGCAAACTACTGAAGGTAGGACGTCACAGAACATCTGGGATCGCCTAGCTTATTCTTGAGGCAATCGATTGGCTCTCAAAACATGCCACCATGCGAGCAAAGCGCAGGTGAACATGACAATACCGAAAGGAGACGCATCGTTGGTCAAAGCTTCTTGAAGCTCTACAAACAGGAATATGTATCCGTCCAACCAATCGATGCCTTTAGCGTCTGCGGGGCGGTACCGGGCTTGAAAACGCATGAAAGGGTAAGGGTACGGCCCTACTGTTCGGCTTGGTCAGTGGCGGAGACGACGCATTGCCGGCCTCTTCGGTTGATCTAATGCCTTACGATTTCTCTTTGGGCGTTAAAGTGCTGAGAGATCCGAATCTCATGGCGAGAGTCGTACGCGTCACGGTGTCGTGTAAGCTATCCGACTGGAGGCGGAGAGCGTGGACGACTGGCTACGGTGTCATAGAGGCTGTTATACGGTAGTCCGAGAGTGAAGGTGATCAGGGCTTGTGACTATGATGGCTTCAGCGCTGCACACTAATTGCCAATACATATGGTGGCGTGTGCGGGAAGACGGTCAGGGCAGGTTGTGCTGCAGGGTCGATGCTCCCTGTACTTGACAGTTAAGAGCCACGAGGTCTTGTGCTTGTATTGCATATGTAAATATATGCGCTAGTCGCTTCTCTTACCTTTAAGGCGAGAGTCGGCAGCGTGAAATGAGTAAGAGGCCGCTGCCTAGTGGTTTGCGTCACGCGTCGCTTTCCGAGCGCACATGATCTTGCAGATAGCTCGTGGTTCCATTCATACCTCTCAACCTCGACCAAAATCATCAAGACAGCTGATGATGGCGGAGGGCCACTGCAGTAACCGCAGCAAGGAAGCCTCCAGCGCTTGTAGCAGGTGTCACCGTGTCGCCTATTGCGGGATAGACTCAACATCGAGCTGCTACGATCCTGTCGGCAGTAGGTGCGGTAGATGTGATCGAGCAGTTGGAGACGACGTGCGATTATGCGAAAGATCGTGGCCTTAGCCTGCAAGAAGAAACGCTTCATTGTATTAGGTTGCAGCAATCGCGGCAGGACAAACAGGACTACACTTGTAACGCTCTCTCAAACATCTTGACATTAAATTCTCCCACCTTCTCCGCCCACCCTTTCTCCCTGTACTCTTTCAGCGCCGCAACTTCCTTCGCCTCACCCTTCTCATTCAGCGTCCAGCTACCCCTCTGGAATTGCGGCGCAGTACCATAGTACAGCATCCTCTCCCCAACATCCGCCGGCTTCGCTACGAACAAGCTCATGAGCGGCTCGACGATCCACTTGAAAGCCACACCGAGCACGCCGGTAGCACTATGTCCGAGCAGTCCTGTTGACGCGAGACCCGGAAAGGCGTGTATGAATGCCTTGTCAGGGTACTGCTTTGCTAGCTGATCGAAAGATAGGCTGTGCAGGGTAGCGGAATGCACCATAGCCTGTCCTACAGAGTAGTTGCGCTCCAGATCCAGGTCATCTTCAATCATTTTACCCTCCTGTCCACCGCCAAGAACAGACACCACGCGGCCGTTGGGAGTAAGAAGCGGAGCAAGTCTCGATGCGAAGCGTATCCGTCCGTAGTAGCGAAGCGAGAACGAGTTATCAAGACCCTCAGCGTTTGTCTCACGGCCATTAAAGCCGACATAACCCTGTGACAAGTAAACGAGGTCGACTTTCGCGCCACTGAGCTGTTGCTTGATAGACTCGCAAACGGCATCGATGTTCTTGATCAGGCTCACATCTGCTTCGAGGAAGGTGAAGCTACCGGCTGGGTTGAGCGAGCGGAGATTGCCAAGCTCGGAGGCGAACTTGCTGCGGTTGCGGCCGATGATGAGCGCGGTGGGATTGGAGATGTGCGTGGCGTACGATCGAAGGGTAGCGAGTCCGATGCCACTCGTGGCGCCAACAAAGACTGCTGTGAGTGTACCCTGGCCTCGTGGCAGCGCAGCGTTGGAAGAGCGAACTTCGGAAAGGGAGACCATGGTTGACTGTTCGGGCGTTGGGATTCTTTGGAATCTGGGTTGTGGCTTTCTGCTGTGATTAACACGAGGTCTGCTTCGAAACCTAATCGATTACTGGATGAGATGATGATGAAGAGGGAGATGAGAATGGAGAGTAGGAATCGCAAATCCCAGGGCGTCATTCTTGTACTTCTTCATACTGGTCTTCCGGACACTTTGGACCACTTCTCTTACAAACACCAGCCGGACTCGCGATGCTATCGAGCGCCCGACGTCCGCTGCGAGGACAAGGATGACTAACACCGCAGCACAAACCCGTTGATGAGAGTAACGCCGACGTGGTTACTAGCGGAGCTATCTAAGCTTGGAGAATGAGACGCCCTGGAAGCCGGTCGTTCTTAGATAAGGTGATGTGGGAAGACAGCGGCTTAGTAAAAGTGCCAAGGAACATATCTCCGGAGCCGCAGTCACGTGAACTACACGAAAAGTGCGCGCCTCAATACTCGCGATGCAACTGCGACAACGGATGAATACTACACCATCGACTGGTCCTGCGCAGTCTCCAACCAGGCAGGGTTGTATAGGGTTAGCCAGCGAGACCGTCTTGTCCCCAATCCTTGCACAGACTGTGCTTTGCTACTTTGCTAAACGAAGACAGGAGCCGAAGATACCGTGTCGAATCGACCTATCGTATCCAGCGCCAAGGCGTCACCCTAAGCGAAGTGATCTGGAGCTCCCGCACAAAGAGCGGGGATCCTGGTGGTCTTACACTGGCATAGTGCCTGTGTGCTCTGTAGCGCAGGTCTGCGAATGTTCGCTACCACTGTTGCAAAATATTTACCGCAAGCCTTGAACTCGGGCCGATGTTGTGAACCATACCCCGAGTACGGTTTGACAAGCTTTCAATGGTCGCCTTGTTCCGACGCATTAAGCAAACGAACAGCAATTGGTCTTACATTCGGACAATGTCGACACTTCCGAAGCACTGATGAACCTCAACGGGGCAGCAGGAACCTAGCACACTGTTGGCCATGTTGTCAATGCGGTAGCAACTTCCGCATGAGTATTGCGAACGCAGACGGCCGCGACTCTCTTCGAATTGACACCGGAGACTTCGAAATCGGCATGATGGCACGCATAGATACCAGGTCCATGGTGTTCCGATCCACTGGGGTATACCCCGGTAGACCTCCCTTGTTTCGCATGCATAGCGGCTGACACGCTGTGCGGAGACGAAGTTCAGGCGAGCTGAGCATACCGACTTGGGAAGAGTGCGGAGGGGCTAAATAAAGCCTAGAGCGCACCTGTTCCAATGTGGCTGACCGCTTCTCGCTTCTTATATGCTCAAGGTCTCTTGGCAGCACGCTTCACAGTGCTTAGAGTGGTGGTGGCAGTCCCTTGTCGGGAAACTAACTTTCAAGGCGCAATTGTCAAACCTCTCGCCATGTGGTCCGTTCGCGTTGAAAGACACCTATATCATGATAGGAGTCGCGACAGACCACCTCCTCGCTTCCATCCGACGTGCTACGGTAACCGTCGTGCACTACGACATATACGCCGCTCAACCCGACGTGCAAACTTTGAGCATAGGGGACAAGGACACCAACCACTAGAGCGTTGAGGGACCAATAATGCATCTGAGCATTCAGCTTCTCCTTGGTTGTGCGAGTGTGCTGTCTTCGGTCTGCGCTCGATCCCCTTATGATTCCGGAGCCAGACACCGCGATAGTCGTGATGAGTACCTTGGAGACCCTCTGTTGCAGGTGTTGCCGCCTCAAAAGCGCGTTGCGACACCTACGCGACACCCGACCGTGCACAGTATGGAAGCAATGAGACCCAAAAAACGATCCGAACATTTCTACCACGCACCGGGTGACTACATCGCCGCTGCCGTCCACGTCTCACTAGATCTACACCACCCACATCCCGTGGTAGTCTTGGACCACATGAAAGATCTTATTAATGTTACGTGTCGGGGCGATGGCTCTATCCTGACAGCCTTCGATGACATCTCAGCTTACCAGGGTGCAAAAGCACATTGGGCACTTGCTGGCACCGAGAGCACCGTCTTCATAACCGCGACGTCCTCTTGCTCCTCCAATGGTCAGAACATGTACTATCAGGCCAACAGCATCTCGTTCGATGACGGCCAGCTGGCATGCAGTATTCAGGGTGCCAGAGTCGACGTTGGCGATGTGGTAACTTCTATGTCCGTCGACTTCGGAAGGTTAACGTCCTCGGGCACATCAACATATGTAGCAACAACAGTCTCGCCCAGCGCATCCCCTACAACCGCACCACCAGCATCTGCGCCCTTCTCGAGCAGTTCGTTGGTCGCAAGCTCCGCTAGAAGCACGCAATCTTCCTTCTCTAGCCCTACACCCCTTGTCAGCTCCCCGACATCGACGGCGATCGGTACATCCACGCTCTCGTCTGACACATCGGCTTCTGGCACGCCTTCTATAGCATCTGTCTCTTTGGTCTCCATCTCGACACCTACTGAAAGTGTGTCTTCGATTCTGGCCAACCCACCTCAGGCTACGATCGATGGCTTTCCCGCTGTCGCAACCGGACCTGACTTTGATCGGATGCTGATTGACCTGCTCGGCTACTATGCAGCTAACAATCAAGATGAGACGGTACGTGCCCTCGTCCCGTCTTCGAGTCACGCACTAATAGTTGATGGCTGGTTTGCAGTCCGTACTCAACGAAGCGATTGGCGTTCCGCTCACCCGTCGTTCGCTGCGAAAACGCGACAATGTCATCTTGGACACGATAGACGAGCTTACTGAGGACATTGAAGACATTGTTGACGATATCGTGGATGGCATCGTCAACAAAGCCTTAGTCCTCGTAAACGGCGTCAAGACACTCATCGACACCGCCATTACCGGCATCCGCCTAGTTGTAGGAACTGTCATTGCCTTGGGCACACTACTTTTCGGCGGATCGTATAGCGACGACTTTGACTTCCCCATCGACTACAGCGTGGGCGGGACGAACTCCGACTTCGGACCCAACAGCTATCAGATGCTCTACTGGACACCAATTACCGACCCTTACGGCTCGGCTTATCAGCAAGCCGTAAACAGTCTCATCTCTCAAAATATCACGACGCCGAGCGGCTACACACCGTAAGTCACTACTGCCCATCCACTTGGTAGACACTTGCTTGACCGTTTATCGTTCGTATGATGGTGTGACTAACATCACCCCCTCAGCTATCCGGCAATCTCGGTCTATTGCGTCGAGTGTGGCGCATCCGGAGACTTCGAAGTCCAGGGAAGCGTGAGTGCCGATTCTTCGACTGGCCTGCGAAAAGCGACCATCGCCGTGACCGGCAACCTGCAAGCCGGGCTGGAAATTGGCATTAGTGCCTTCATCGCCGGTCAGCAGTCCGCCACTCAGACCCTGTACGTCCGCGACCTCGGCGGCTGGGAGATTCCGGACCTGGTCTCGCTTACGCCGCAGTTCATCGTATCGGTGCAAACGAACATCCAAGTACGTAATGAAGGCGAAGTGCTTGCAGGCATCCAGTTCGTATGGCCATCCGTCTACGCCGGCTGGAGTCTCCTCGATAGCGGCAGCGAGTCCAACGGCTGGACCCCGCGGGTGACTAAAATCATGCAGGCCTCCGGTCGGCCGTTGCTCAGCGGTTCTCTTGCTTTCCCGCTCACGCTGAGCTTCGATCTCGAGTTGTTGAACGGAGCCTTCGGCGCCAGCGCCAACTTGACCGACGCACCGGGCCTTTCACTGAACGTTGACAGCTTCAGCAGCAGCTGCGGGACCTCCTACAGCGTCAACCTGATCAACACACTCCAGCTCGACGTCAGCTTCCTCGGCTCCGCGAGTCTTCACAGCGACCTCTACAATCTCGCCCAAGGCTGCGTACCCCTGGGAGGCACAATCTCACCACCTCCCTCATCATCGAAGCTCCGCCGCCGCCGTAGACGCGAGCTGGATCAGCGACAGGACACCAACGCCACCACCAACTCAACAACCACCGCCCACACCATCGTGCCCGCCGACGTCGTAGACTCAACCGGCCAAATCCGCATGCTACCCCACTACAACGGCAACCTCTTCCTCTCCCTAGCCAACACAAGCACGAACGACACTGCCTTCCTAACCGGCGTCAACCAACTCCAAGCCATGCTCGGCAACCAAGGCACCACAGCCAACCAAAGCATCGTCTACGGCGACAGCCAAAACCGTCTCTTCCACTACTACCCCTCCACCATCGACGGTCTAGGCGTCTCCCGTCTGCGTCTTGCCGCGTGGGATCAGCTGCCCATTGGCTCGCGGGTGGTGACGCTCGCGCCGGTCACGCTGCTGAACCAGACGTTTTTGGTTGGTGTGGATGGAACGGGGAGCTTCAATTGGCTGTACTGCTGTGCAATTCAGGATGAGCCGAACAAGATGTTTCTTGTCAAGGATGGCGTGAAATGGGACGGAGGTGCTGCAGGATCCCGATTTGCAGTATATCGTTACTGGTGGGCCGTCGAGCGCTTGTGTGCCGCTGCTGCTGAACTCGTAGATATTGTCTGTACAGTAATGCATTGACAATCCGCCTGCTGCTGAACTATGCGAGAATAACGGTCCCAGTTTGAGTGTGTAGTAGCCCGGCGCTCCGTACTATGTCCATGTTGTATTGCATAAAGGTGCTAAGAGCGATGTATACTCTAGTCACCATGTGGCCGCACGGACAGATTCAGGAGGGACCCGGCTGGTGTTCGCCGGCCTGGTGACATGAAAGCGTCACACGACCATTTTTGCCCATCGCACTTCCTCACCAGACATACCGGAGTCAAGACTGTGCCGATCCCAGAAAACCACGATCGCCCAAAACCTACAAGCCGTCACAAGAAGTTTTTCTTTTTATTGGAGACGCACACGCCATCATCTGCCAGATCGGAGGCGTGAACAGCGAGAAAAACCTGCACCGATCGTTTCGTTCCATTCCGTTTTCACCGCGGAACCTCACTTCAGCGACGAGCGGTGCCAACGCATCCATGGATCCCCGGTGACACTCACACCTTCGTTCCCTCACCGTGCGGACCCCCTCCCCTGGTGTGGTGCGAAAGTTGCAAGCAACTGCGGGGCGGGAGGTACGTCAGTCCGCCTCCTTCATTTTACTGGGAGGGCTGGTTTCTTCTTGATACTCGGGCCCCACCAAATCTGTCCCGCCCCCGGTCACGAGGCGCAGATTTTCCGCCGGAGGAGGGAGGACGATGCAATGTCTGTGTTGCTCTTTCTTTCCCCCCCTCATGCGAGGAAATGGTTGACGGGTTAGAGGGTGCCGAGGAAGGGGGCAGGCGTCGAACAGTGAGAGCAGGGGAGGTGGTGGGGGTGAATCCCGTTTTGCCAGTTAGTCCTTGGGACGAAGGACGGGCGAAGATGGAAACTAGATGGGGGTACGCACGTGTTGATCGGATTGGATCGTCGACGGTTGTTGTTGTCCGTGGGGATGTTGACGGTTATGTGCGTTTGTGCAAGTGTGGCGTTACGTGTCCCCCTCCTCTTCTTTATCTTCTAGAGACTCGAGGAGGAGATGAAGCTTGATTGGGATAATGATGGTTGGGGGGGGACGTTGAGCGTGAAGTCAGTATGATCTGCCCTGCGTACATAGTTACTACGCACAGTCTCAGTGCATGGGAAGGGAGTTACCGAGTTAGCAGGGAACCCCGTCGAAGGAGCCGAAGATCTTCATCCAAGAGAGTGCGTTGCCAGATACTGTAGAACTGTTCTGCCGGATCGGGGTGACTTCGGATCGGTCATGTATTTTCGGCAGTAATGATACAGCGGTCTATACTCGCCAAACGTTGCGCGCGTGCGCAAACTTGGTATCTACAATGTCCATCCATCTGTCCGTCCATTTGTCCGTCAGTCAGTCCGTGCGTGCGATCGCTCATAGATTCTTAATAACCTGCACACATCACGTCAGCACAATTTCGACATCAAAGAGAGAGAGAGAGAAAGAGAGAGAGAGAGAGGGAGAGAGAGAGAGAGAGGATGCTAAAACTCACCGCATCCGCATACTCGGCCGTCTTCGCCTTGCCCCCCAAATCCCCCGTGATCGTCTTGCCCTGCGCCAGCGTCTTGAAGATGGCGCTCTGGATCTTATCCGCGTACTCATTCAGGCCCATATGCTGCAACATCATCACGGAGCTCAACAACAACGCCGTCGGGTTGGCCAGACCTTTGCCCGCGATATCCGGCGCCGAGCCGTGTACCGCCTCGAAGATGCTGCACTCGTCGCCGATGTTCCCGGAGGGCGTGAGTCCCAATCCGCCGATCAGACCGGCGCACATGTCGGATAGGATGTCGCCGTAGAGGTTGGGCATGACGAGGACTTTGTCGTTGTACGGGGTGGGGTCCGTGACGACCTTGAGGCAAGTGTTGTCGAGTAGTTCGGCGTCGAAGGCGATGTTGGGGAAATCCTTGGCGACGTCGCGGGCGGTGGAGAGGAAGAGGCCGTCGGACATTTTCATAATGGTCGCCTTGTGCACGGCGCGCACCTTCAACTTCCCCACGTCTTGCGCGTATTGGAAGGCGAAGCGCAGGACGCGCTCACTCGCCTCCTTGGTGATGAGCTTGATGCTCTGCACCACCCCATCCACGACCACATGCTCGATGCCGGAGTACTCGCCCTCCGTGTTCTCGCGGATGAGCACGGTGTCGACGCCGTCGTAGGGCGTCTTGTAGCCCTGGATGGACTTGCAGGGGCGCACGTTGGCGAAGAGGTTGAAGGTGCGGCGGAGCGTCAAGTTGAGGGAGACGTGACCTTTCCCGACGGGCGTGGCGAGGGGCCCTTTGAGGGCGACGTAGTTGCGGGTGATGGAGTCGATGGCTTCGTCGGGGATGACGGTGCGGCCGTCTTTGAGGCGCGGGGTGACGTCGACGGGTTCCCACTTGATGGGGGCGTTGGCGGCGGAGAAGATGTCCTTGACTGATTGGGAGATCTACCAATATTATACCTTATCAGTATGTATGGGGGTGGTGTGGGGGGAGAGGGTGGGTGGGGGAGTGATGGTGCTTACTTCCGGCCCGATGCCGTCGCCTTCTATTAGACTGACGAGGTATTTGCCATCGCTACCCTTTTGTCCCTTGAACTTGGCGACTTTATCCTTCTCCGCGGTGGCGTATGTTCTTGATTGGAGGTGTGCGCAGGCGGGGCGGAAGAGGGTGTGGGTGTGAGGTGCTTGTCGTGATACGGTCTGTCGTGCCGTTGCGGCCAGACACCGACCGGCGAGCATCGTATATATAGTAACACACCGAGAGTATTAGAGGTACGTGAGGAGGAGGAGGTGTGTTGGTTGGTCGTGCTTGCCCGATATACGAACTGTTATGCAGAAGCAAAGCTTGAAGCTGAAGCTGGAAGCTCTCGCTCGGGCACTTTCGCTTTCACGAGCCGCTCCCACCTTCCGCGCCAAAGCTTCCTTCCTCGTTTCCGAGTGACGACAGACGGCATTGGGCGGCTCTGCGTCTGTGCAGTAGCGTGCGGGCGCTACTGCACCTTCCGTTCCACTGACTGTCGCGTGGGGAGGCAAGTTCTTCCGAGCCGAACGACTTCGAGCATTGACACACCTCCAGCATTGACGCGAGGCAAGTGCGACAGAGCGCATATGTGTCACTGTCACTCTTGGTGGAAAGAGAGTATATTGCAGCGATAGAAGGCGCAAACGAATGACTAGTGAGGGGTAGTCGCAATGCCAGTCACGGCCGACCAAGAGCGGCAGCTGCTCAACCACTACAAACTCACCACCCTCTACCCGGACACCTTCCCTGCAGAACTCGACCAGGATGACGACGTCGACGATGACGACGACGACGACGACGATAACAACAAGCAACTCAACGGCGGGCCCGTCCACCACCCGACTCGCTCCCCCCTCAACGCCCGGATGAGCGCGTCCCGCTACCGCAACATCGACCGACACGCCTCCATGCGCTCCACCGGCAGTCTCGGCCCGGAGAGCGTGGTGCAAAAGGATGAACCCGACCCTCTCGGCATGACTTCAAGTGTCGCTTCCGAGCTGCGGAGAAGAGGGGTCCCCGTGGAAGAAGACCTCAAGCTGCGCAACCGCTTCATGCTGAGCTCCACCTCCTTCTCCCCGCAACTCTTCCTCTCCCACGTCCACCGAGATGCCTCAATGGACGACTTACTCCGGGGGCTGGACAACCTCAGCCATAGCATCGAGCAAAAGTCCGCCTCCCTCAAAGTGCTGGTGGAGAGCAACTTCGACCGCTTCGTCAAAGCCAAGTCGACCATCGACCACGTCTACACCGAGATGCGCACCCAAGGCGGCGACGCTTCTTCGAGTCCCTCCACCCCCACGCCGGGCCGAAGGGGAGGCCATGCCCGACACACCAGCCGGAGTCAGACCCACTTTCGGAACGCGAGTGCACCCTTCTCCGCCGCGGCTTCCCCGAAGCTGAACGACAGGAAGAAGAACGCTTTGACCAAGGAGTCCGAATACGGCGTCCTCGGCATCAAAATCCCGCTGCAGGAAGTCACGATCAAAGCGGAAGAAGTCTGGGGCCCGGCCATTGGTGGGAGGGAGAAGGAAGAAACGCTCAAAGCCGTCATTGGAGCGGTCGATGCGCATAAAGACATCTTCAAGCTGGGTAGTGTGGTGTATGAAGCGATCAAGAAGAACGACTACGACACCGTGACCGACGGGTGGAAACAGGCGAATAGATACGCCGACCAAGCGCGGGAGATTGCGGCGGTCGCTCAGCAGAATGCCGTGGTGCTAGCGGACCAAGACGCACAACAAATCCTCATCACGGCGAAGATGTACCACGACGTCTCCGCGCAGATCGAGACGTATAAGCGTGATACGTGGCGAAGACTGAAATCCAGTCATGGACGCAAACCCGCCGCCGTCGCCGACGAGACGGATAAGGAGGAGCATATGGAACTTATTGGCGTATTAATATTACTGGGAGTAGACGAAAATCCGATCTGGGAATGGCTGAATAGTCGGTGTCTCTACCTCAAGGATAAGCTCGCGCGATCGTTTGAGCGGTCGAGGGTTGAGATCGAGATCCTACGCCGGCGTCTAGCAGCGCACGAACGGAAGGACGTTAAAGCTTCGACGCAGTATCTGCGCTCCGCATCAGTCAATTCGTCACTGCTCGCCGGCAAGGATGCGGGAAAAGAAATGGACGCCCCACCCATCCTGGCGTTCTGGTCAAAGCTCCATGCCGACCTGAACACCCTCCTCAGCTCCTCCACCGGCATCCTAGGAGAATTGCTAGAATTCTGGGAAACGACGCAATCCTTCATTGACGGGAAAGCGCAGAAGTCCTTCCCCAACGCCGTCCTAGTGGCGAGTGTAGACAACCTCGCCCTAGAGCCGGACGACGTCGCGAACCTTCGCGCTGGAGCTATAGACCTGGTGAACCAAATCAGGGAGAACGTGCGTTCTTTCTTCGTCGACCCGCCGGTGGAGGATCTGAGTGAACTGTACAGTCCTGTCCCGCCTACGCCCATCACACCCGCTTCCGACAACAACAATAACAACAACTCGAACTCCAGGACTCCCGCGAGCGCGAGAGCGAATCGTTCCTTCTCCTTCTCCGTCGATGCAGGCAGCGTACCACCGCCGACGCCGAAAACGGGATCCGCGACGGAGAAGTTCGCCTTTTGGCCCCCGGGATCCAACTCCCTCTCCGCGTCGAGCTACTTGGCGAAGATTTCGCTCCTCGTCGCTCTGGCGGCCACGGATCTCGCGTCCCTTCCCCTGTTGACCCGCCATCCGGATTCCCGTCGCATGATCGAGGGGTTGAGGGGGATGGTGGGGGTGGTGCGTGACCGCGCGCTCACGGCCACTTGCACGCAGTGGGTGGCGGATGTGGAGAATCTTGCACGGTATTTGGAGAGGTGGGAAAGAAGCCCGGATCGGAAGGATTTGACGCTTCTGCCGGGCATGTTTATGGGGTTTGAGGAGAGGTTGGTTAGGGAGGTCAGGAGGATGGCTTTTATCAGTGAGGCGAGCGGGGTGCGGGGGGCGAATGAGGAGGTTATCGTTTCCCCGCCGGATCAGAAGTTGGTGCAGATGGTCAGAGAGAAGTTTGTGGAAGGGGTGGCTAGGGGGTTGAGTGGGATGGTGGAGGGGGCGGAGGGAGAGCGGAGGAATGGGAGGGTTGTGGGGGAGCATGGGGAGGAGGGGGATGAGGTTGCTGTGCCCGTTGGTGTGGGAGAAGGGGGAGGCAGTAAGGTATGTCTTCTCGTCCACCAAACCCTGTATCGTGTGGATGCGTGTCGTCTGCTAACAAGATGTGCTGCAGTCAACCCGCTTGCTACTAACCCTCTCCAACCTCTCCCACCTCCGCTCCGACCTAATCCCGCACCTCCTCACCGCCTTCGAATCCGCCTTCGCCCCGCTCAAACTCACCGACGAAACGAAATCCATCCGCGACCTGCTCTCCCAACTCGACGCCCGCTTATTCCAAGCCTACACAAAACCCCACGTCGACCGCCTCTCAATCCTAATCTACGACGGCATCAACGCCCCCACTTGGTCCCCCCCGCCAGGCAGTCGACCGAGTAATGCAAGCCAATACGTCTACGACGCTCTCCTCTTAATGGTGGGAGTGCATTCGGAGGTAACCACAACCACCACCCCGACCACCCCCTTACTCGCCCAAATCTTGTCATACCTCCTCGAACAAGCCTCGCACCACCTCCTCGACGCCTTCAAACGCGCCCACTCCCATTACACTTTATCCATGCTCATGCAAGCAACACTGGATGTGGAATTCCTGGCTCAGACGCTGAATACTTTTTCTTCGGATAAAGCGGGGGAGGTGCAGAGTCAAGTCTATTTGGCCCTGGATGAGCGGACGGACGACGAGGCGAGGCAGAAGTTGCAGGGGGAGTTGCCGGAGATGCGGGGGGTGTTGAAGCGGTTGCGCGAGGGGAGTCGCGGGGGTTTCGGGTGTTTTCGGCGGGAGAGGAGGGGACGGGAGGGGAGGAAGGAGGGTGCGCGATAAGACTCTGCGAGGTGAGGGTCTTGCGGTTTAGGGTGTTGTTGTTCTTCGCCGGAATTCTGCTAGTCGGTCGAGCACTGCTACGCCGTTCCATCTCTCCTCTCCCTCTCCCTCTCCCTCTCCTTCTGCTTCGCCCGAGCCACCTCCGTCATGAGCGGTCGTGAGCGTCGGCACGCCAACTTGCTCAATGCAGAAACTAGCGCTCACACTTGCCACTCGCGCGGCATCTACGAGATCCAGCTTCAACCGTGCAAGTCCCACCGCCAATCCGCCGAGAAACCCATTCCCGCCTCCCGTCGGATCGACGACTCTAGTCGCATCGGTATGGTAGGCAGGGAGCCAGTGAGTCAGTCCGGTGGAGTCGGCGAGGTAGCAGCCCGTTTTACCGCAGCGGACGACGACTGACAGTGTACTTCCTTCTGTCGAATGGATGGTGGCGCTGTGAGCGAGGAGGTGTGCGGCCTGGTCTTCGATGGCGGATCTGTCGAACCCGTCGTTAGGATGGGTGAAGGAGAAGAGGGAAGCGAGTTCTTCGTGGTTGGGGGAGATGACGTCGACGTGTTGTAGCGCGGTCAGGGTGTTGGGAAGTTCGGAGGGGGTGCAGAGGTCTGGGACGGGCTCCCAGATGAAGAGGGGTCGGTTGGATTTCTTCACATCGTTGTCGGAAGAGGTGGAGATTCCTGTGCTGCGGCGGTGGAGGATCCGTTCGACGAGCTCGGTACACCGCGTCGGACTGCAGATCAGATGGAAGCTTTTGCTCGCTAGTAGTTCCGACGTTAGGTCGTCGGCGGTGATGCGTTTCTTCTCGGTCAAGTACTTGAAGGCGCGATGATCGTTATCGCCGTAGCCGTTCCAGCCTCGGGTCGTCAAGCCATCGCGGGGCCGGATAACGGCGCCTGTGTTCCAGGACTCGATTGTCTTGCGGACGCGGGGTGGGAAGTCGGTTCCGGCGTCGATGATCCAGCCGATGGAGGCGCTGTGGGTGGGTGCGGCGGAGAAGAGGCGGGCGCCTACGGCGGAGTAGGTGCCGGCGCCGCCTATGATGTCTTTTTGGGGGGTTTGGTTGGGTGCGGATGGGGGTGGGTAGATGTCGTCTTGGTGCGATTAGCGGGAGTTGGTGGTCTAGGATTAGGAGTGCGTGCCTACCTATTATGAACATGCCAAGAGTGACAAAGTCTATTTGTGGTGGAGAAGCCATGTGACGCAGTGGGTGCCGGACGTGTCGAAAGGTATTCAACGCTTACGTTGTTACTATCATGCTTCCTGACATGGGACGGATAGCTTTGTTTATTTGCTGGAAACGGCAGGACTATGTGCCTCACTGTTGGCTGGCTTTCTCATCTGTCCCAAAGTGACTGGCACCCAGTACCCTTTTTGTCTCTACATACGTACATGGGGCGCCCAGACGACAATGTTTCCTTTCAAGTGCGAGCACGCCAGGTGCATGGTGGGGCATCATCACATTCAAGAACCTTCAAGTTCATGTCTTGACTTCCCCTCCATCTCCTGAACACACATTCACGAGGAGTCCCCGAAGACTGCACCCCGTCGAATGAAGCTCTCCGATACTAGGGTATGGTGCTGTATCTTACCCTGCCCTACCTCCCCGTGTGTGGGAGTAAGACTTCACCAAGACTGCGCTGCCGTAGCATCTGGACATCTTACCTTGCCGTAAGCGGCCTACATAGAAAGCATGTTTGAGTGCGATGGCGAACCTGATCGACACACGAGGCTTATACAGACAGTCCACACAGCGTTTGGCTGTTCGACAAACCGAGCAATTTTCCAAGCTGCGCCACCTGCATGCGCTGGGCCGCCAGTGAGGCGGGGTTTGGGGCAGCCTTACTCTCACAAGCTATCCTAGACGTATAACAGCTTTCGCTTCATGCCAATTTTCCTCTCTACCCATTCTTCGACAGGCGGGTGGCTGTCAATATGTTCGCCCTACCCGCCCCTCGTGCATTTTTGGATTGGGTGAACACCGGAGGCCCCTCGGATCTTACGCAGGAAGATGCTCCTGTGAAGAACACCTTTATGTTTCCACCGCTGACCCCAGACGGTCAAGAGATCCGAGTCCTAGCCGTTCTACCCCGTATGTACCGCCCTGAACGACCACAGTAGATGCGCGCGGCTAAGGCAGAACCTTCATCGAGCAGCCAAAAGTTCAGACGTGGAGTGCGAGCTTCGCAACATCAGGCTCGACGACACACCTGTACCCGCATACGAAACAATCTCGTATGTTTGGGGCGATGCCACGGAGCGTGCCCGCATCACGGTTGACGGCAAGCTTGTCTCGGTTCCGGTGTCAGCTGCGAATGTGTTGCGGCGAGTTCGACTCGTCGACAAACCTCGTATGGTCTGGATAGACTGCTGTCAGTCTGCAAGTTAAGCTGGGTCTGAATTGCGGGTCACCGGCTGACACTTGCACCCGATTTCTGCAGGCTGCATTGACCAGTTCAATTTCCGCGAACGGGCAGCTCAGGTGGACGTCATGGACAGGATATACGCTTCGGGAACTCGCAATCTAGTCTACTTGGGCGAGACGAACTACGACGAGGCATATGAAAGCGTTGAAGCGATCCTGAAAGACGCCGAGGACACGGAAAAGTCACTCGCGCGAGTATGGCACGAGGCGGGATGTTTTGACTTCACAGGCGAGGGCATCCGCTGCGGCTTCAACGCTGAAGCCTTACTGGGTCTGTACTCGAATGAGTGGTTCAGGTCTGTACGCTCGCCCCCTACGCACTCACTCATACTGACGCGGTAAGAGCCGACTTTGGGTTCTGCAGGAGGCTGCCTTGGCGTGTGAGAACGTGTGCATCAGTGGCTCAACAGTTTCAATACCACTCTTGAAGCTTACAAGAGCGGCTTCGTGGCTGCAGCACCATAGCGTCCACATTCCGACACCCCTCTACATGGCGTGCCTTCATGCTAGGCTGCTCAACGATTGCATCGACCAACAGTACGGATACTATAGCCACTTCAAGATTGAATACAGGGCGCTAAGCCTTATGAATGACCTGCGAGAGCGGCATTGTTCCAGACCGGTCGACAAGATTTACGGCATGCTTGGCCTACTTCGCCACACTGGCAAGGCAATGCACATCGTCCCAGACTATCGCAAAAGCGTTGCAGAAGTCTATACAGAGACTGTCCGCGAGCTCATTCGCAGTGACCAATCCCTGAGCGTATTACTATATGTCGATCATCGGCCTGGGGACTTCCAAAGCAGCGCCGACCAATTTCCGTCTTGGGTGCCTAGGTGGGATCGACCGTTGGATTTTATGCATGATCCACATTACATGTTCCTGAATGGTTCTGGCGCTGCTGCTGGCATACCGGCAACGGTGAAAGAGACGAGCGAACCTGAAGGGCACAGCTCAAGCGTGCTGTCCGTCAAGGGTATCATGATTGGGACTATAGTGGAGACTGCGCCAGGTTTCACACCGCGCCCAGATGATGACCGTGTCTGCGAAAATCCAATGGAAGTGCTCACAGGAATGGAACTATTATTCGAGCACGCCAAGCCGTCGCAAGCCAGTGTCTCCTGGGACTCGCAAGCCGCGATTGCTATGACTGTATGTGCGGCGCACGAGGACCGCGGAAACCCTACCGAATTCGACTCTCGGGCTGGGTACATTCTGTTCAAGGATCGTGTCCAGCAAGGATTGAAAGTACCTGATTTCTACGACATTGACGAGAAGGCTCGCTCGTCACCAGCCGGAGAAGCAAGCAAATTCCAGAGGGACACGATACAAACGTGCCTCAACCGTAAGGCGTTCGTGACTGGCAAAGGGTATATTGGCTTGGGTCCAAGGTTCCTAAAGCCCGGCGATGTCGTTGCAGTGCTGTATGGGCTAGAAGTACCTGCAATCCTGCGTCCTGTGGACAGCCACTACCTCTTCCTAGGCGAGGCGTACGTTTATGGCATCATGGATGGCGAGGCTGTCGAGAATCGCGAAGCGTGGGGTTTGTCAGAAGAGTGGTTTGAGATGTGGTGAGTAGACGTCCGCGTCTGCCTACGGCTTGGCGGTGCGGTGGCGATTGTTCTTCGGTGGCCGGGGCGCGTCAGGTTCATGGTAAGGCTGCTAGCATAGGGCATTGCTTCCATGTCGTGTTGGAACCAGAAGGGGTACAGGCGAGTTTAGAGTCCTTGGTATGATGGGCATATGACATCCCACATCTACCAAGCCAGTCCAATCATTATGACCGGCAGAGGTAGCTCATGATCGGATAAGCTTGGGAAGGGAAAGGGAGGCCAAACTTAGCGTCATGAATCTGCGAAACACATCTGAGCCTCAATACTTTCACGGTAGATAGCTCATCCACCGCACTGTATGAGTGGAATTGGTAGGAAATGTTAGAGCACCTGTAGCATTGGAGACTGGCTCTCCGATTGTGACAAGCGTGGCGACATCGAAACAGTTGGCCTTCTGGAGGCCCAGGTCCAGTGTAAGCTTCGGTCCCCTTCGACTACGCACATCATATTATGGGCGGTCCTGCCATGTCAACACTGACGGCTTCATCTGCTACACTCGAGAGCATACTCTGCTCATGTAAACAAGCATGCAAGCCGTCGGCCCGACGGTTGTGGCTGTCAACCCTGTCTCTAGCGTGCCATCAAACAGAGTGTGTGCTGCAACGTAGCTATACTGTATGAGCTTTAAGCTCACCGTCAGCATCAACTTGCCAAGAGTATCACTCGTTTCAGAGGTTGCCATCTGCCGAGGTCGCGTGCATCGTTTACACCATTGCTGCAGGAAGGCCGCATTGAGTTTAAGGATCGACGAGGGTCCAGGTGTGCGCGTGAGCATTAGGAGGCCTCGGAGACACCATCGATCAGCCCTTGGAGGAGGGAAGAGTGGAGTTCGTCGCCATGAACCCCAGCCAGGGTGGTATGAACAACCTGAGCACCTTAATCAAAAGGTAAACATCTTCGCATCTCCTTCAATTACTGCATACAAGATGGTTGGCGAAACGATCCGCTACGGCACCTCCACTCCTGTCCCCGTAGAGAAGCATAACCCGCTCACTGCGCTCATATCCAGACTCGAAGCGGCTACCTCCCGGTTAGAAGACATCGCCCAGTCAGCTGCGACCTTCGACCATCAATCCAATGGCGATCGTTCAGTACAGTCCGATCATCCCGCTTCTTCTTCAACCAAACCCCAGCAACCAGTTGCCATAGCGAAAGATGCCAGTCAACCGCAAGCACCGCCCGCGGCCGCCGCGCCATTGCCGCCAGCGATTGAAGCGATGGACGAGCTGCTCAATGGCGAGGTTAAGGCTTTCGTGGAAGCAAGCAGAGGCATCGATCCGCTGATCGAGGAGCAAGCGGAGTCGGTACAGAAAGCTTTCATTGATCAGAGGCGGTTTCTCGTTGTGACAACGAGAGCGAAGAAGCCGGATATGAACTCGCCTGCGTTCAATGACTTGTTGAAGGATCTCCAGCAAGACATTGGCAGCGTAGGTGACATCCGAGACAGCCACCGCGCGTCACCCATGAAGGACCAACTCGCGATGATAGGCGAGGGTATAGGTGCACTACAGTGGCTCATAATGGAGGGCAAGCCGTCAGACTACGTGACGGAAGTCATTGGCGGCGCGCAGATGTACGGGAACAGAGTACTAAGAACGTACAAGGAAACGTCAGTACCATTGCAGCCAGTACAGGAGCACTATCGGACGGCTAACGTGGATTCAGCGACCCAAACCAAGTCAAATTTGTGCAGTCCTACTACACCCTCCTCAAGTCTCTCCTCGCCTACATCAAGAAGCACTACGCCAACGGCATGACCTGGAACGCCAACGGCATAGATGCCGGCCAGGCCTACCGCGAAGCCGGCGATTTCAACTCCGCACCCAAATCGAACGGCGCGCCTCCACCTCCCAGCAGCGGCGGTGCGCCACCTCCTCCGCCACCACCATTGCCGAACTTCGACAACGTGCCTGCCCCACCACCACCACCACCCGGCGCAGCACCTAACGCGAAAGCACCCGCCAGCGACATGGGCGCCGTCTTCGAGCAACTCAATCGCGGCGAAGCCGTAACCTCCGGCCTAAAGAAAGTAAACAAATCCCAAATGACGCACAAAAACCCTGCCCTACGCGCCGCCAGCACCGTCCCCGACACAACAACAGCCCGCTCCAAAAGTCCCGGACCAGACATCAAGCCCAAACCAGCCAGCATGCGGCAAAACAGCACCTCCTCCTCCCAAAAGCCCACCCCGCGCCTCGAGCCCAAAAAGGAACTCGACGGCAACAAATGGCTCATCGAAAACCACGACAACCCCAGCACCCCCATCGAACTAGAAGTAACCCTAACCCAAAGCATCCTAATCACCAACTGCAAAAACACGACCATCATCCTCAAAGGCAAAGCCAACGCGGTCTCCATCTCCAACTCCCCGCGTCTGCAAATCCTGGTGGAAACGCTCGTCAGCAGCGTCGACGTCATCAACTCCCCCAACTTCGCCGTGCAGGTCACGGGCGCTTTACCGACGATCTTGCTGGATCAGGTGGACGGGGCGAGTGTGTATCTGGGGACGGAGAGTTTGGGGACGGAGGTTTTCACGAGTAAATGTAGTGCGGTGAATGTGGTGTTGCCGCCCGAAGAGGGAGGGGAGGGGGATGGGAAGGAGTGTCCGTTGCCGGAGCAGATGCGGACGGTGATTAAGGGGGGCAAGGTGGTTAGTGAGATTGTGGAGTTTGCTGGTTAGATCGATTGTGGGGAGGGAGGGATTGTATGTATGTATGAGTAGAGAGAAAGAGTGTGTCATAGATCGGTTGTTCGATTAGGCTTTGAAGGTGGTTGTCTACCTAGGATAGAGGGACTGAGTGTCCGCTGTCGACATATCCTGTGCGGCCAGGCTCGGTGTGTAGCGGGCTCTCTGCTTTGCAGCGTGCCCTAGCATCGGCGCCGACTTGCTTGCGTCTGCATCTATGCATGATCTCGTGTCGAGCCGTTCAAAGAAGCGCGCCGGAAGCCATCGGCGAAGTGGCAGTCCTGGTGAATGTACGTCCAATCGGCACGATGAAGACCTCGTACTCCGAATCTCGTCTCCGGGTCCGGCGGCGAACAGCTTCCGCAAGTCGGTGGCCGTGGTGGCGGTGACGGCGCTACCGTCCGGCCAGTCTCCGATGTATCGATGTTGTTTGCTTTGACGCGGCTATTCAAGACAACGGGGTGTAAGCAATTCTGCTTAGAGAGATAGTGTGGCGGTACCTGGTCAGAGGTAGCCGCTCTCAGCTTGGCCCACCACCACTGCCACTTCCCTGCCCTGACCCGTCACGGCTACTGAACGCGTCGCGCATGCGCTGGAACATGCCGTTATTGTTGCCGCTGTTGTAGTTAGTGCTGGTGCTGCTAGCTTGCCGACTCCCGCTCGGTCTCGCTCCGGGCGTGCTGCTGGAACGCCGATGCAATTGTGGGCTCTCCGGCACTGTGAATGGGTGGTCTCTCGAGCCTGATTCCTGCCTCGCCATGCTTGGGAAGCCGCCGGGCACATCTCTCGGGCTCTGATACTCGGGCGAGTTTGTATCGTTGAGCGGCGCTTGGCTGGGTTGCCGAGGCCGGTTGGTGTTCGGTTCGTCCTTTGGCATGATGCCTTGTCTGCAATGCGGACAAGTGTCGTGCTCGGATAACCAGGCTTTGATGCAATCGCCGTGAAACCAGTGGCTGCATGGTAGTACCGTGACAGTCTCGCCTATGTTCACTTCGTCCATGCAGATGGTGCATTCCGCTTTGCCGCTTTCGCCGAGATCTTTCTCCACGATATCACGCTTAGGCAGAGACTTAATCGCTGCTTCCGATGCCGGTCCTGGGGCGTTGCCGGACTGATGCTGCTCCATCAGCTGCGTCACGATACGGTCGAGTGCCTCCTGCGAAAAGACTGCGTCGCCGAATTGGCCGCCTGGTCCGCCCATCATGGGTGGCATGCCGAGCATCTGGAAGAGGTTACCGAGACCAGCAGGGCCGAACGGATGCTGTTGCGGACCTCCCGGGAAGCCAGCATCGGGTCCCACGAACATCATGCCGGGGCCGCCCATATGCATGCCACCCATACCCATACCGCCGCGCGGATGTTGGCCGTTCGGCGGCACACCAATATTCATCAACATCTGCGCCATCATTTGCTCGATGTGGTCAGGTTGGGGCTGAAATGGCTGCGGGCCGTTGGCGTTGCGTGGGTAGAGGTTGCTGCTGGAGGAGGTCATGATGCTCATGTGGTAATTCGGTCCGTGAAAGGTGCGAACGGTAGTACCATTGCGCGGTCCGCCCGGCGCGGAAGATGAACGATTCTGTCCGGCATCTGGTGACTGCGGTCTTTGTTCTGCTGACTGTTGGCCTTGCTGTTGCTCGCCACCGCCTAATGCGCCTCCAATAAGAGTGCCTAGCCCGCCCAGTATGCCGCCTAACAAGCCTCCGCCCTGCTGCTGCTGCTGGCCCGGCTGAATGTCGATCGTGCGATTGATTCTCGCGCGATATGTATCCGGGCCTGTCTGCTGCCACTGAATGTTATCAATGTCATCCTCATCCGGGTCTGGCGCACCGTAGAACCCGCCTTGCGGCACATCCTGCTCGGGGAGCAGATTGTCGTCACGGGGGTCATGGTTCGGTTCGATGATTTCAGTGAAGTCAGACTGGCATTCCGGGCACGTTAGCCCATGCTCGTCTCGGTACCATTCATTCTCGCATTGGTGGCAGTAGACCATATCGCGTGCTTGCGGAGGTGGTGGCGACGGGCGCTCCATGGTCGCAATGAGAACCGAGAAGGGGTGTGAATATGGTGATGGAGCTTGCGCTCCGCAAAAGGTAAGGATGTGATTCAGGCGGGTGTGTAGCGAGTGCGGTAGTGGTGCGGTTTGCTCGGCTGATGCAGAAGGAATCTTTATTAGGGTGGAGAGGCTTTGCGGAAAGGTGCTGAACAATCCTTCACTGAGGAGCGAGAGATGCTGGCCGCTGTTGCTGTGCTGCGGGAAAGCGAAGAACCTCTCTGCAGTAACTGATGGTGAGAGCGAGCAGTAAGGCTGTCTCGTGCTCGCTTCAAACGCGCCACGCCACCATCAATGACGCAGTGCGGGTGTTTCGGTCTCGAACGCCGATGTGGCGCATGCGATAACCGTCTCAGACCGTCCGACGTGTATAATGTCCAAGCAAGAAAGCTACCAAAACAACGAGTGGCTTGTGAACTCAATAAGACGGATCCGTCCATGAGGTATGACTCTGGCTGCATTCACCAAGTGACCTGTCCTCAGAACCTTCTGGACACACTTGTGCGCTTACTTGCTTACGTACTGCGACCTCACACCACATATTCACTCAGGATCGTGGGCGCTTGTATACCCGTGATGGTGCGGACGGACAATGGCATGATTACATCTGCTGAGACCTAGACGCACCGGTCCGGGTTCCGAACCTTCCTGGTCGTCCAGCAATATAAATCTATATTGCATGGCGGTGCGGACGTTGACGGATATCATCTCAAATCCGTATTACTCTAACTTTTGGTCCAAGATTCCACGGCGTATGGACTGTGGACGGGAGTCCCCTGAACCTGCATACTCTATTGCTGCTCAGCATGCCGAGCAGGCTATATCGTGGCAAAAAAGAGACGTTACTGATTCAGCAGCTTGTAAAATTGGAGTCATGTAGACTCATATCGGATTTTCTTGATTCTCGTCATATGTACGAGTATTGAGCGAGATGGCTCTACGCTTCCTTTTCAGTCTCCTTGCACGCCCATGCTCTTGCCGACCGTTCCACACGGAATGCCGTACTAATTTAGAACAGCGATCTCAGGGCTCGCATTGGTAACGTCTTCCACGTCAGGTCCGCCTCCTGGCCCTTCGTGGCCTCGATCAGCTCTTGCACGTTCATGCGAATGCCGCTCGTCACATCCATGTCCTTCGCCGCGATGAACAGAGAGAAATCGCGTGTATAGATCTTCCAGAACAGATAGAGTGCAAGGATCATGGGCGCAGCGAGGAAAGACTGGAAGAAGCCAGACGCGTTCGGGGTGCCGCCGACACCGTAGAGTGCATTGTAGAAGGCCGCCATGATACAGAGCATGTTCAGAATGAGGCCGGTCCACGAGCCCCAGACACCGAACGGCGCCTTGTATGGGATCTCGGCGAGGCTGTGGCCCTGCGCTTGCCAGCCGGCGCGGAAGCGGATGTGAGCGAAGCAAATGCTGCCCCAGATGAAGAAGTTGGCGAGGCCGGACAACGCGAGCAGCCAGTTGAAGAAGATGGGGCCGCCGTTGGTGGCCTCGTTGCAGAAAGCAAGCAGGCCGAAAACAAGCTGCAAGACAACGCACCAGTATGGGCGGCCGTGCTTGTCAATATAGGAGAAGAACTTCGGTGCCATTCCTTGCGCGGCGAGCGCCTGGAGAGTACGCGTGCTGCCGAACGAACAGCTATTGGCGACGGACAGGACGGAAACGGTAATGACGACGTTAAAGATTGAAGGGAGCCTGTGGAAATAGTAACATTAGCAACCAATCTGGGCGGACATATTGTCGATTTCCACACTTACACCTTGATGTTAGCGAGTGTCATGACATAGACGAAAGGGCTGTACTTGGTGTTGGCGCCGGAGCTGTTAAGGAGGAAATCCGAACCGGAGGGGATGTTCAGTCCCACCAAGAGCAGACAGATCACGTAGAAGAAGGTGATGCGCCAGAACACCTGCTTGGTTGCAAGTGGGATAGACTTGAGCGGGTTCTCGGCCTCGGCAGCGGCAAGACCAGTCAACTCTGTACCGCCGAAAGCGAACGAAGCCGTGACGAAGACAGCGCAGAAGCCTTGGAAGCCGTTCCTGAAGGCAGTTCCGCCGGGTTCATGCCAGTAATAGCCACCAATGTAACCGCGAGGATCACTCGGTACGCCGCCGCAATTGATGATGATGCCCAGGATGATGAATCCCGTACACGCCAATACCTTGATGGTGGAGAGCACGAACTCGACTTCTCCGTAGCCTCTGATGCCAAAGATCTGGATGACTGACAGTGCCACAAGGAACACCGCCACCCAAACGCCAATGTTGACTTCTGCACCTCTCGGCCAAAAAGCGATGGTCAGGCCAGCAGCGGTAATCTCGAACGGAAGGATGGTGAGCCATTGGATGGCATAATCCCAACCGCAAGCGAAACCCCAGGCCGGGTTGATGAAGCGGACGCAGTAGGTGAAGAAGGCGCCATTCACAGGGTACATCACAGCGAGCTCCGCAAGCGCTTGCATGACGAGCAGAAGCATGCAGCCAATGATGATGAAGCAGAGGACAACCGAGGCTGGCCCGCCGTGTGAGAATGCACTACCGGAGCCGACGAAGAGACCTGCACCAATTGCGCCACCTACAGGATCCGTCAGTTGACGCTCGATCTCGCCGTGAAGTGATGGTGTAGCTTACCGATTGCAATCATCTGCATATGACGCCCTTTGAGCAAGCGATGAAGCTGCTGTCCCTCTCCCTCCTGGATATCGTACTCATGGCCATTCCCGGGCCTTGCGCCGCCGGCCTTCTCATCATACATGTGACCCTTGTCAGTGAAGTCGCCATTGCCATGGTAGGCCGCAGGAGGCTCTTGCGGATATGTAGATGTAGCCATGATAAATGATACTTTACGCGCAAAGGGCGAGGTGCGATCCGGAGACGGACAGGAAGAAATGCAAGCGGGTTACGTCGTATATCAATCAGAGCATAAGGCCCGCCGCACGAGCACGCCACTCATCGTGCGCTTCGCGAGCACTTGCTTGTTGGGAGATAAAGGATTTCGACCCTTGACACCACCTCGCAGCGCTGATGCTCGTGCTGCTACCGAGTTAAACCGCATCAAGCCTGCAGTTCCCCCTCGTCGCGTGTGGAGGGACCAGCCGCGATAATCAGGAAGCCTCTGATTGGCTTAGAACCCACAGTTATCATGTCACACGCGATACGTCGGACGCTCCGTCACGGTCCCTCAAAGTCGAGCTTTGGACCATACTCTTCATGGGGAACGTCCGTGTTGCCGTGGAGCGAGTACTTCCCACCAAGTCTCAGAGACGGTGTTGCGGCTGGAAGTCGCACTTTGGGTTCGTCCTACAGAGTGAGTTTGATGCATTCATCGCGTGCTAGAAGCTTGGTCCCGTTGGCGGGGTAGCGGCACGAGGAAGAGCCGAGACATCGCTGGCTTCCTAATGGCTTCTCGTAATGATACGTTCCTTATAAGACGACATTACTCTTGGCGCGTGATGTAGGCCGTGTGCTTGTAATTCGCCGGACGATTAACGCAGCGCTATGGTGCAGGAGTCCACAGGGAGTGGCTGCTTTGAAGGCGAAAAGGTCCCGCCAGCGCATGCTGCCAAGTTGCAGGCAAAGATTACACCTTCCGAAAGCGAAGTTTGCTCCGTGCTGTGCGTGGGTCCAGACCCTCCATAATATGCTGGCCAGGTTGCATCAGAATGTAGATGGGTGCTACCCTGCGGATATCTTGAAGAAAAGTCCTCTAGTTGCAACGTTAGATTGAAGAGATCGATTGTCGATGTTTGTATGGTGAAAAGAGGAACAAGTGAGGTGAAGTCGTGGAAGGTGACTACATCTCACGCCCTATGAGACTTGGCTCGTGCACGAATCCTAACCACAGAGGTGAAAACCCTAATCCCAACTGCAAAGAAGCGGAAAAGCTGTCATGTCCGGCGTATGAACCTGAGCGCAGGCTCCGTCAAATAGAAGGTCCTGAATTGTTGACGAAGATGCGATGGTGGAAGCAAAAGACGAAAGGCGATTCACATGGCTACTATGCAATCTGCAAACTCCATGTTGGCTGAGATCACTCATCACAACCATCATGTCACGAAATGATCAGTCATTGTCCCGGTAGTCACTCCACCGTCCTAGGCCTTCTCGAACTGCTCGTCGTCGGAGCCGTGTCGGTGGCCTGTCGAGCCGTGTGCTACCGCCTCGACTGCATCGTGACCAGCGGCCTCCTGAAGGTCATCGTCATGCGCAATGTCGAACTTGCGATTCTTGTATTCTGGTCCCAAAATGGTGAGGACGATCACGTACGCGTACACGCAGCCCATGAAGATCGCGATGACGATACCGTATCGGTAGCGAAGAATCTTCTTCCCACCAGCAATTTTTGGTGGCAATGGAAACCGCTCGCCGATTGTAGCCTCAATCGTGCTGCTTGCCGAAGAGACGAGGTTGCCAAGCTGGTAAGAGGTGCCGACGACAAAGGTCCTGAAACTGCCCGGAGACAGCTCCATGAGGTGGATGCTATTGCATTGTCAGTGACTTATCTTATCTTCAGACATCCATCTCACTTACGGGATCACGCCCCAAGCGCCTTGCACGCAGAATTGTTCGAAAAAGGCGGCTGCGATAACACTTTTACTGCCCACGAAACTGTATGGGTAGAGAAGTGCGCCTCCGACGATGCAGATAAAGATGATGGAAAAGCGGCGTCCAAACATCTGCGACAGGTAGCCGACGATGGTGCCGCCTGTCATGGCGCCTAAGTTTGCCACGACCTGGGTCACGGTGACCGCATTGGCACCAAAATTGTACTGATTCGAGAGCATGGTGGGATAACTGTACACATGGATTGTCAGTCCTCAGTGACGGCATGATAAGATTACAATAGCACTTACAGATCCTGGCTACCATGGCTCATGAAGTTGAAGCCTGCCATCAGCAAGACTAGGTAGATCAAGAGAAGCCAGTGCCGCTTGAGCGCCACCTTGCCCTCGTTGAGGAAGGTCTTGCCAACATTGTCGCCTGCGGCGCGGACGCGCTGACGCTCGATGAAAGTGTCGGTCTCCGGCAAGCAGAGTCGGAAGGCAATAATGAGTATCGGTGGGCAGGCTCCAAACCAGAAGAGTGGCCGCCAGCCATGCGGTGTTGTGTTGACCAGACCACGGGCAAAGGCTGTCGCCAGAAGGTAGCCGAAGGCGTAGCCTTGCTGGAGCATACCGGACACAATCCCACGAGCCTTCTCCGGGACATCCTCCAACGCGGTGGAGGCAGCGTTACCATAAAGACCTGAAAGCATCACGGGCCGATTAGCGACATGGTATAGGCATAGATTAGGATTCGAAAGTCCGTACCACCCATAGCAATGCCGAACAAGGCTCGACACGCAAGGAATTGTCGGTAAGTGCGCGTAAAGCTGGAGTATGGGATCAGTAACGACCAAGATCATCCAGAAACGGTCTTTCACGCACCCTGTACCAAGCTCGAGCGCAATGAACAGAAGGTTGTTCACTACGAAAGGCCTACATAGTGGTGTAAAGAACCGTCAGCGAGGCCTGAGACAGCGGAGTCGAGTTATTCTGGTCAGTTACGTACCACTTCCTCCCGTAGCGATCTGCCGCCAGGCCAAAGATGATTGCTCCCACCGACCTGAACATCAACACGAGCGTGATACCCCAAGTGATGTTCTTGGTTGTCTCTACACCGCTGCATCAGAAAACTGGCTGAGGCCATCGAATCTTTGCCGACAAGCTCACCGTTGAATGTGACGGCAAGATCTGACACTGTCAGGCTGACGGTGAAGAAGTCGAAAGCGTCCCATGTCCATGCCAAGAAAGCGCATAGGAAGAACATCCATTGCTTCAAGCTGAGCGTAGCTAAGAGCGAGAAGGGATTCTCGACTCGATCCATCGGTGGCTTCAAAGTCGGTAGCCGCGTGGCTAGGTAACGACCGACCGACATTTTCTCGGGCGCTTCGTCCGTGGAGGACTTGTGTCCATCAGCGACATGGTATGGAAGAAGTTAAGAGGCCTACTGCACGTACCTTGACGCCTTCCAGGTGCTGCTCCTGCTCCCCATATGCGTTGTACTTCTCGTTCGTCGCCATCCTGCGCTGTTCACTGTCAACGAAGGCTTGTCCGTCAATATCCTAGATAACAAGCTCCGAGACTCTCTCTCCACCAAGCACCAAGAGTGCTTGTGTGTAGAGCCTGCGCTCTTCCGTAGCTGGAGAAGCTTCGCCAAGAGGCAAGCTAAAAGGTCAAGGCGATAGTGGCTTACCTTTGTTGGATCGCGGCAGTCTGCTCGAAGAGCAGAGGCACGAGATTATGCAGTAGGCGAATTTCACAATTGAAGGTACGAGTTTGTGTCGTGAGGAGCAGCTCGCTAGCTTTATAGCATCCACCGGATCCTGGCGATCCCAAGGCTACATGTAGTGCAAATTGTACCAGTACGTGAGACCGCGGGAAAGGTGGGGCATCCAGGTTGGAGGGTTGGTGGAGAAGAAGCCGGTCACCGATAGCGCGAAGTCTGCATGGCGCTACTGATGACGCCTCGGCCCATGGTTATTGTCGGCGTATGAGTAACACTGTAACAGTGTGTTAAATTTTCGCAGTAGCAGATTTGGGGAGCACAGCGGAGGGAGAACGACCAGAAGGAAGACGCAATCCAATCAACAACATCTGGTATTAGGGACACAGAATCAACGAGTCGAACGTGGACTGTCTCCAGAAGTAGACTTTCTAAACTTCCCGCACCGAGGTCATCTAGTTCAGAAACCGAAGTCTGGTCCGGGCTGCTTGCTGAGTGATACCGAGGGCAATGCACGAGGGTCCCCTTTGACCCGAATAGGCACTCGGTTCATGAACACTGGATTTGGCTGGCAATTCTGAAGTGTATACACATGTCGTACTTATCGAGTAGTCTCCCATACTAGGCAACACTACTGGACTTATCCAGCCGTCCTGGTCGTGTCCGATTATCATCACTGACTTCAACTTGCCGCTCATCTTGCGTTGGAACCTGCGTGCGCGAGCTGCCAGACTCGCTCTCATCCAGACGAACTTTTCCGCGTGGCGAACGTGTTCGCGGACTTCCACCTTCACTTCCAGCCCGCCAAGGAGGGGACGGCAAAGGTTTGCGCTCATCATCCTGCCGCGGCGGCAGCACGGTGGTTTGCTTGATGTACCGCTTCATACTCTCACACAGCCGGTCCAGCACGAACTCTGCTTCGCTCGATTTCGACATTAGAGGGCCGTCTTCGCCGATCCAGTCCCACTCAATCAAGCCATATTCTTCATCATCTGTGATTCTATCTTCCTCCTTTTGAGCCGAGAATCGGATCAGTTGAGTGAATTCTACCCACTCTTCGTAAGTATACCTTTTGCCCGGTGTATCCTTCATATCGTCCGCTACCTTCCTGATCATACCGGGCAACTTTCGAGCGAGCTCGTCGTTGGAAGGCTCCTCCTTTGCCAGCTCGTCCAGAGTCGGTGGAGGCGGCTCCTCTTCCGGGTCTGGTCCAAGCTGGAAGCCTTCCTTGAGCCGTCGCTCTCTCTCCTTCCTCTCTTTCCGCTGCTGAAGCCAGCGAAGAAGCCAAGGATACCGCTCGACAATCTCACGCCATGCGCCCTGTTTCGGAAGAACCGTCAAGTCCGCAATTTGGAAAGTGCCGCGCTTGAAACGCTCGATGACCGTCTCCCCTAAATCAGACACCAGAATCGTCATAGTTGGTACGGCAATAAGCGACCAGAACACGAAGAAAGGCCTTCCAGGATTGCTCTTCGGTGCGAGGTCGCCGTAACCGATGGTCAGCAAACTGACGTAGCAGAAGTACAAAGCTTCGAAGTATGTCATCCCCTGGACATAGCGCTCACACACCCAAAAGATGGCAGCTCCACAGCACCACAGCAAGCCAAAAGCAAGTATGGACATCGCCAGCCCGTACCAGCGCTTGAACTTGTTGGTTTCTTCCTGTATATGCCTCATGACCTCGAACCGGTCTTTCTCCTTGCGCAGCACGATCAAACGAGGCTGCCGTGTCCTAGCTGGCTGGGCATTAAACGACATCACGCGACGAAGGCTCTGGAAGCCAGTGGTCGTGCGCCGTGGCGGTTTCGCATCGTCGGCATCATCCACAATTTGTATAGTCTTCTGGCGTGGCTCTAGCGGTACGGGAATAGGAGCGGATATGACTGGTCTGTTCCCATCCGAAAGCACTGGTCGTTGGTGCTCTGAAAGCTCGAGCGAGGAGGTTACCGTTCTCGACACCGTTCGCATCCTATTGCGTTCGGCGTGACGGCGAATGATCTTCTCTGAGCCGAGCTCGGATGCAAATTTGGTGATGCTAGATACCATGAGACCCTATGCTATCGTCAGCAATTGGTCGGGAGGAAGTCTTAGGGGCTATCATTTACCAGCATAATGATACCACCGACGATGTACGGAAAGACTAATCCTCTCCCGGCATTTGATGTAGGATATAAGTCGCCAAAGCCAACAGTCAAAATAGACACATCCGCAAAGTACAGTGCATTCACATAGCTCCAGTCCTGACCTCCAGTGCCGTACAGACTCTCCACCCGAGAGAACACTGCACCGCCCCCAGCTAGCCAGACAAAGAACAGCATCGTCTGCAAAATAAGCGTTCGTTGCGACTCCGTAAGAGCGAAACGTTGTGGGTAGTGGCCGAGAAAGTAGCCTAACATGTTGATCATGAGCAGCATGGAGCAGATCATGTATACACAAGCGGCAAGGACAGCATACCAGAAGCCCTGGGTGTATGTTTGTTGCGGTCGGACAGGCGGTACATAAACTTCCATGCTTACAGTGAGAGCAATGAGGATGCCGGTTGCGATATACCACATTATGATGGTCACCGGAAGCGCGATGATGTATCGAATACGGTTGGTGAAGTTGAAGAGGAGGAATATGTTGCCAACAAAGCCTGCCACAAGGCTTACAACATTCAAGTTGAAGCACCATCGCGGATCGCGGTACGTCTGACCCGCGAGCTGGGTGACTAATGAGCTGGGGTCGCCATTATACGGGCATTGGCTTGCATTGGTGCTATCGGCATCCGGTGACAAACACATCCGCCAGTAAGTGACAAGAGCAGCAATGCTCAAGACGTTCGCCAGGGGGCCGAGCGTGGCCGCCAGTAACGGGATAGCAGTAGAGGCGAACCACCAGTTCTCCTCGTCGTTCTCGTCCCACTCGCGAAGACGGAATTTCCAGAACCTCTTTCGTCCCGATGGCGTTCGCTCCAGTATGATTGACCCGCGTCGTGGTTGAGACGGCCGCCGATGTGAGGAGCTGCGTCTGCCGAAGATCGATGGCCTTTTCTCAAAGATATCGTAGCTTCGCCTTCCCTCTCGGTTTGCATCCGATGGAAGCGGGCCGTCTTGATCGTCCGTTCGCTCAACCTGAGCAGCCGAGGCCGCCATAACAGCGAGGGAAGCCATGTACGAATCGAATGTTGTGCGCCTACCCTTTGTACTCCGTCCTAGGGGCCGGTGGCAGCCTGAGCCTCGTTGAACATACCGTGTAAACTATGCTACGTTGAACACTGTTGCTTCCTAACTGACGTCTACTCTGACGCTGAAGTAAGAAAGTAGGCTGAGCTAAAAAGAAAAGCTATAGTCTTCCCGCGTGGAGTAGGTTATTGGATCTCGATAAGCTACTAAGATGCTGGATAACGATAGATCCAATCAAGTGATTGAAGAACAGCCAAGCGGCTTGGTGGCGTCAAAAAGGGCGGAGAAGGCGAAACTTGCGCATGTCAACCTTGTCGCGAAGGCTTCGTCTTCGTTGCAACATTCACGGATCTGATCATTCTCATCCCCCTGTCGTGGAACTTCACGAGATAGTGTTTCCTTCGCGGGTGGCCATGCGGCATTGTGTTGGGGCGGGACGGTGTAGGACGGCACAGCTCCCAGAAAGTGATGCTTTAGTGAGGTCATCCATCGACTGCTGCCTTTGCAGCCGGTGAAGGATACATTACTGGTGGTGCATCAAGACATAGTACCGATGATGATAGCCGCATAGTTCTGCCAGCACTTGACTGCTTGTTATTGATTGACTGAGCATGCATCTTCCCTAACATAGCTGGGGCGCTCAGGACTTGGTTCCCGTCGGTCCGCTTGTTCCGATTTGTTGCAATCACAGGCTGCAGTATCATAGAGGCGTGAAGGGGAAGCATTAACTTGCGACGTGAAGAAGTGTGGTCGGATGAAAGATATACGCCTACGCTTGCGGGTTCTGTAAATGTTGGGCAGCCTGGCCCTTCCCTTGGAGGAAGGCGCGATAGTGCAGACATTACGCGCTATAGACTACTATACACTGTTCCGCGACCCCACAAATGTTTATCGCCTGCCCAACAAGCGAGTCTGTAGCGCGTCGTTCCGTTTCGGCATACTCTGCACAGCGTAGAGCGTCCTAGGTGCCTGCTCCCTGACCAGCTTGAAGCTGCCCACATACTTGTCGAACCTTTCTATACCTGTGAGCAAACCCTTGCGCCCTGCAGCCTCTAGCTGCCTAAGCTTCAGCAAAGCTGAGCCGAGAACGACGAATGTCTCGTACTGTGGCATGAGTTGTCCGGGCCTGAGATGGCGCGCTCGAATGTATTCTAGGCCTTCTGCACGGGCGCTAGGGTTGGGGACATACGCACGCGACACTGGTGCCCAACCTGGGAAATGCGGAATTAGGAAGCGCTCCACAAGCGTGAACGCCAGCAAGATGAGGGGAGGATTCGTGTTGCAGAGTAGCCGGACGAATAGGTTCCAAGTGAAATTGTCCAGGACGTAGCCTTGGCCGATCAGGTTCGCAAAGCTCGACAAGATGTCGGCAGTCCGAGACTGAGCCGCAAGAGCTTGCAAGTAGAAGCCAAAGTGGCGTGCGAGGATGTGTTGTCGGCCAGCAACGGGTGCCGGTAGTGATGGTGTGGACTTGTCCGTGACGACTGAAGCCTGTTTCGGCTCTGCTTCCCCTTGTGCGACGCTGTATGTAGGTGCTTTGTCGGGTTGCGCCTGGAATTCGGTGAAAGAGAAGCCAACCTCCCCCGCATCGCTGAAGGCATCTGTCTGGAATGACATGGTATTTTGCTCAGTCTCATGTGCAAGATTCCCCTGCTCCTTCTGCCTTTCTAGTGGTGGTACTTGCATCGGTCTTGTCAGGTCATCAGCGCGCTCTTTGGCCAACTTCCAACAGCGCTCCACCTCATCGTATTCTTTTGCACGTAGATGCGCAGACATCAGCGCCGCAAGCAGTTGTAATGGTATCCTCCAGCCTGTCTGGTAAGCTTCTCCGGACTCAACTGGACTTTCTCCGTGGAGTTTCCGAGCATGACGGCAAAGCTTTTCGACCGCCTGGAAGCATCGCCGTCTGCCATGGATGTAGATAAGGAAGCTAAAATGCGAGGCAGAGACATCAGCTAAATCGCTCATGGCCGTCCTGCCATCCAGTGAGGGTTGCTTTAATGCTAGAGTCTCGCCGTCTGCCATACCAAGCATCCTCGACAGCTCTGCAATGGTGTCGTCCAGCCGCTCAGGTTGGGTATCAGAGCCGGCCGAGTGCAACTTCTCCGCGTGTTCCTTGAGAGCCTTCGCCTTCAAATATGCGATATTCGAGCTTGGCGTCCGCTTGACATTGTGGGCTTTCATATGATCGTAGACTCGGAGTGCGTCATTGTAACGCCCAACCCTCACGAAGCCAGTCATGACCAGTGCATAATGGAAAGCATTAGGTACCACTCCATGCTTCCTCATGACTTTCTTAAGGATGGCCAAAGCTTGAGTTGCCCGCCGGTTGCGAACCTGAAGCTGTATCAGCGCAGCAAAGGTGCCAGCATCCGGGCGGATGCCTTCTGTCATCATCCAGCGATAGACGCGCATTGTGGCATCGGTGTCTCGACGTAATGCATGTCCTGTCAGAACAATATTGAAGCTTCCAGTAAGGCTGCCACGAACTTTGGCCGTCTTCACATCGACAATGGCGTCCTTCAGCACGGTTTCAGCTTCGTCAATCTCACCACGGTTGATGAGAGCAGTGATAAGACTGCCGGTGAAGGCCACCTCACGCTTCTTCTGTGCAAGTGCATCATACTGCATCAACAAATCTCTGACGCCATCCACATCTCCACGCTTTGCAAGCATCTGCATGATGGGATGAAAGGTGAACTCATCAGGTCGCATCCCTCGCTTAATCACGCTTTGCAGAAGATCAGATGCGCCTTTGAAATCGTCCACGCGGGACTGGGCGTGGATCAAGACGTTGTAGCACTTCAGTGGAAGCTGCTCGCCTTGTGCAGCAGTCAACTCGACGGCCTCTTCAAATGCGATCCGCGCGGCATGCAAGTCGGCTCGGCGGGCATGAACGTAGATGGAGTTGACAAGGACAGATCTCTGTGCCTTATAGGAAGGGTAGTGTTCTCGAGAATATCGCATCCACTGCTGAAACCTCTCGAGTCTACCAGAGGCAGAGTAGGTCTCGAGGAGAAGCTTTACTGCTGCGCTGCTCAGCTTCCCATATTGCAGCTCCCAGGTGTTGATGATGGTGGCGACCCTGATACTCTTGTAGGCTTCTGGACGTTGGCGCTGCTTGTCCTTGTTATACCGTAAAAGACGGTCCAACAGCGCCAGAAGTACGTTCTGGGAGATTATGGCCTTCGTCTGTCGGAGCTGTTCGTAGACATAGGAGACGATGCGGTGGACATGTCTGTATGTATTTGCGGGATCCTGCTGTTCGAGCAACGCCAAGATCATGGTCTCGTAAAGGCGAGCCGCGTCCGGACCGAAATATTTTAAGTACGCGAAAAGCCGCCCAATGGACTTCTTTGGCATTTGCGACGGCTTGTATGCCGGCTGCGACGTAGCAAGAGCTGGTCCCCGGAACTCTTGCGTCAATGCTTCTGCGAAGAGGTGGGCGCAGAATCGTCGCGTATTGTTGCTGAACGTTTTTGCGCGTTTCAATGCGCGCGCGTGGTTAGCAAGCGCAAGCGCCTTCGGCAACAGCCTTGGGATCTGTGACACTTGCAGCCAGAATCTCTTCCCCGCCGCAGGCATCTCTCGCACCTTAAGAAGTCTATACTGTGCCTCAATGTTGATTGCGAGCTGCCATCTATGAGAGTTGATTGCATACTCGAAGAATGCCTTCGTTACTTGATCGCCATTTTCAATGTTAGTCAACGCTTCCCGGTGTAGCCTGACAGCTTGAACGTGGAGACCGCGGCGGAGATAGACCGAGAGGGCAGCGACATACACTGGTAGACTTCGACGCTCAATCTGTATTGATTGGTAGAGCTGCATGCAGCGAACTTGGCCATCCTGATCTTGGCCGTGGTTGTTGCATAGCCAGATGAGCAGCTCAGTCTTTAGACGATCGTCTTTGTCCGAAGTATTAAGATTATCATAGAGCTCCAAAGCAGTTTCGACGGTCCCAAGTTTCTGGATGGAGGCGGCGAGGATAGAACGCAGTCGCCGTAGGCCGGTATGCTGCGTTTCGGCCAGGTCTGCGGGAGAGTCTGCCAAGTCGGTGGGTGACCACTCTGTGTTGTTGGATGCCACGGCAGCACTTTGCGAAGGCGGCACAGCGCCGTCATCGTCGAAGGCATCTTCCTGGATGACTGCGCCGGCGTCTAGACCATTCGGACTTCCGATCGGCTGATCGAGGCGTTCTAGGCGTTGGTGAAGTTGGTCGGGCCTAGCTTGTTGCCCGCTGCTCGATACAGCTATGCCAATGTCTGGCTCGTCCTCCTGCTGTTCGCGCTCTTGTCTTCTTTGTTGCGCAGCTTGTGCATACGACCGGGAGGTGTAGCTCCTCGTCGCTTGAACAAAGCCTTCCGGCAGTCTTTTTGCATTGCGTCTCTCCCAACGTTCCGTGTTCTGCGTGCTTGCTCTTCTCAGCATAGCCAAGGCTTGTGGCGGGTACAGGAAATCGAGAAAGACCTCATCCGCTGGTGTCGCCCATATAGTGGCCCTCTGTCGATTCCTCGCAGTTGAGCCTTGAGGAAGCTGCTGATCATCGTATCGCTTCAGTGGCAAGTCGGAAGGAGACTGGGACACGCCGTTCGCCCACGGAGGCAGATCGAGGTCGACGCTGCCATGATGCCAGAAAGCGGAGTGCAGCATGCGCCTGCTCGTCTGTACGGATTGCGCGCATCTTCGTGACTGCTGTGCTCCAGACTTAAAGCAGTCCTTGACCCGCTCTAGCATCTACTGAACCGCCGCCTCACTACCCGCGCAGGTTGTCATCCCCTACTGTCCGCCTCGTTCGCCCAAACGTGCAGTCACTGTCTCAGCCGTAGTATCTTCTTGCTCCAGCTTCCATGTAATTGGCACTTCCTGCAGGAGTGTAAGTACATAAACAAGTGAAGAATTCATTAAGGTCATGTCTCAGCTTCGAAGACATCATCAGGTGTCCGTGCGCTTCTCCGAGCTGGCCGGTTTCCTTTCGACTTCACGAAACATGCATGACCATGAATAAGCGATATATGAAGCATACACAGAGCACAAAGTCAACGATTGTGCCTTACACCGTGTCTTTCGCGAACAAACGCTAACTATCAAGTCAAACCCTTTCCACGTAGTGTTGCTCTAGTCATCTATCTCTATTGATTCGGACCAATCGCGTCGATCATCGCGTGTATGAGAAGAACACGTTCTCCTTGTCCGTTAGGTCGAGGAAAGCAGCCTTCTCCCTCTCCTTCTGTATATCTTCCTCAGACCATTGGTTCTCCGTGATCAGCGCCTCCAATGCAAGTTTCTTCTGCTTGTTCAAACGAATGTTAACGTAAGCCATGGCAGCACACAGTGCCATCTGGAAGACTGTCAACACAACGATGGCGGCCTTTCCAGGAATGTAGCCTGGAGCGTCTGCAGGAAGAAAGATGTACGTGCCAACGACACTCCCAACGCCGAAGGTGAAGAGTGTAAAGGCGTTGACGGTGACCTTCTTGGTATGCCCAGCAATGTTGGAGGCATTCCAGGCGTAGCACAGCGGAAAGCATGGAGCCGAGAGGTTCTGAATGAGCTGTGCAAATTCGAGAACCCCACGTTTCCCAGAGTATTGCATCGTTGTCATGATAACCATCCCGATGAGTGTTGGTAGGGTGAAGATGAGAATGAGAGTCATGCGGTCGTGCAGACGGTCAGAAAGCCAGCCGACGGCAACAACGGCAAAGCCACCAATCGCAGCACGCGGCATGTTGAGCAGCAGCGACTGACGAGACGTCCAGCCAAAGCTCTTGGTGATGATGTTGCTGAACGCGGAGTCGCCACCGTTCGGAATGCCTATGGTCATAATGATGAAGAACATGATCCAGGTGCGAATGTCCTGGAAGGTCTCTTTGATCTGGTAGCGCTTGATGTGCTTATTATGCGTGCCTGCTTGATCCAGACGCACGCGCTCGAGGGCGGCTATCTTCTCCTCCTTCGACAGAAAGCGAGCGGTCATGGGCGAGTCGGGGAGCCAGATGACGACAATAATGCCATTGAACACAGCGAGTGCGCCGAGGATCAGGTAGAGGAGCTTCCATGGCGCGATGGCACCCTTGTAGAAAGTGACACCGTACGCGACAGCGCCACCAACAATGGACGTTGAGAGATTTCCAGCGTAGAACCAACCGATGCGAGTAGCGCGCTCGTCTTGCTTGTACCACATACTCACTATGAGAATCAGAGCCGGTGTCACAGAAGCTTCAAGCGTGCCGAGGAAGAAGCGGAGGGCGTAGAAGCCGGAAAAGTCATGGCAAACAGCGTGGAGCATGACCACGCCGCCCCATATGATGATGTTGGCTCCCAGGTACTTCGCAAGGGGTAGCTTTTGGCCGATATACTGTGTGGGGAACATCCAGACGAGGAAGCCCATGTAGAACGCTTGAGCAACGTCGTTGTAGTGGATACCCTTGACCGGGAAGCCCATGATAGACGCGTAGGACTGCACAGCCGTCAGCATGAAGTTAAAGAGATTCAGACATGTGCTCCGGGTCTACCTACTAAGATATTCTTGTCGAGGAACTGGGTGAAATAGATGAAGATCAAGATCGGCATGATATGCAAGTCCTGCAATGAATGAGTCAGTCTTGCAGGCACTGCCTAATTACGAGCAAGGGCGCCATACAATTCTCCATCGCAGTCTCCGGTAGTACTTCTCATCGAACTGGTTGGCACCAGTGCCAGCAAACAGAAGTGCATCGTCACCGTCGGTGGATTTGACGTCCTCATCGACGGTGGTAGTGATGACAGTACCGGCCTTTACCTCCGTCTCGGGAACGTCGATCGGATCGATCTTCTTCTCATTGTCGATGTCGACAGCAGACGCTTGATAGGACGCCATGTCTAGGTGCAAGCGAGAATCAATTGGGGGGAGAACGAGTGCGACAGGACGATGCTGTTTACGCCGTTTTCAGGACCTATCCGAGAACATATATAGGCGTCCTGCAGCAGCACATGGCAGCCATGCTTGGTGTGGGCTCCTGCCCAAATAGGAAGCTGTCAGTGCTAGGTGAACGTTGTTCGGACCATCGTTGCGGTCTCTGTGAACGAGGCAACGATGGCCGAAAAGTCTGCTGCCTGTTGAGCATCCATCTCGATAGTAGTCCTAAAAGGGAAGGTTGTCTGGCAGTCAGAGGTCAGATAGGCCGAACGTTTAAGAGCACTAAACGATAAGGCAGCGACTAGGTCTGCTCAGGCAACGATTCGTCAAACTCTAGACTCGTCGGGACGTTAGGTCTTCGGGCGTCTTATCGAGGCGTGTAACATTCGCGTTCCATTGTTCGGATGGTCTAGGTCCTTATCTTCCCGGGTCATCCGTGATAGTCCCGTAGGCGCAGCAACCGAGGACACGAGCTATGGAAGCAGAACAAACTTGAACCTTGACAGCGTGAACGCCTCACCGGCATGTTCCACCACACAGTGAACCAGCGACTGCTTGGCTGAGGACCTCGGCCACGGAAGATTCGCCGACAGCTGCATGATGCCGCCACCGGGCGTGACTCGTGCGAGCCTTATCAGCGAGACGCTCTCCGCGGATGAACCGGTTGGCTGGACGGTGATTGCTTGATTGCAAAGACCAAGGCGACGGAACGCGAGTGCACGTCGTTGTCGAAAGCAAAGGGTCTTTGCCCAACAGGCAGTGCGACTCACAAGGCTAGCAAGCAGAATAATGTACTCCATCTCTATCTCTTTTGCAACTGCGGTGTATGTTGACGCGCTCACTACGGCACGTCCCGTCAACGGCTCGGTAACAGTGATCGGCAATGCCGCCTTGTCGCTGCCGAGGAAGTCTTTAGTGGCCAGCTTGCCAGCTCATCAGCTGTTCTATATGAGGTTGCAGTCTTTAGAAGAGCACCGCAATAACCTCCTACATCGGGTAACACGACCACGACTGGTCGGAGGGTGCAACATCGCCTACGAATGAGCAGCTTCAGCCACAAGACCTTGATCCTTGATGAGTATCCTGCACATTCGACCGGGATGTGCCGCTCAATTCCACGTTACGCCGCAGACGCAGCTGGTGCTGGATTGCACCGCCTTCGAGGTTCTCGCGTGAAGGCAAAAGAGCCTTCTCTTCCATAATCACGACCCGTGTCTTACCCATTTGAGGTGCAATCAGCCGTCATGCTCTCTCCTTCCATCCTCCTTCATCTCCCTTATTCTCTCTAACTTCTCCTGCCGTATGCACCACAGCGCCCAAAGCACGCCGACCGCGCTCGCTACCAGCGTGAGCCAGTAAGCGCTTGAATAACAATCTTTACCATCCTCGCAAAGCCTCTCACCGCCACCTTCCCCATCTCCGCGGAAATGGCTATGTTGGTCCAAAATGCGCCCGTATGCCAGGTTGAAGATGTTGCCAGACACAACTGGCGCCATCGTCATAGCACCCCAGTTAATGCCCATGCCGGATGGGCCAAATGCGTCAGCCACCAGCGCTGGGTAGACGCCAAAGAGTGAACCGTAAGCCAGCCCTGTGAGACTGGATAGCCAGAAGAGCTGGTTCGGGTTCTCGAGGGTGAGCGCAACTACTTGCGCAGTGGTGAAGATGAGCGCGGACGCTACCAGAGTCCAGAATCGTGACGCATGATGGTGTACCAGCCAGTCGCTTCCGATCCCCGAGCTCAGCCGGCCCAGGAAAGAGCAGAAAGAGAGCAGAGAGACATGAATTAGTTGCCGTTTTTGGATGAAGTCGTGAGATGCGCTATCGTCGTAATGATGCCACAAGCTGCGTGCGTTGTTCCCTATGTTATTGATTGTCATGAGACCGACGCCGCATAATAGGCCAAGCATGATAAACAATTGCCAGAACTTTGGCGTTCGTAGTAGCTGGAAGCCAGTGATGTCTGGTCCGTGGTGATGGTTGTGCTGCTTCTGCTCTTCGACGTCACCCGGACTGCTCGCGTCAGAAGGAACAAGCGATGACGTTTCCGAGACAGGCTCGCCATCAGTCCTCTTAGTGTCCGACGTTTTGTGCTTGTGAGTATGCCGTAGGCGGTTGCTGTCTCGTCTGACTAAGTCTGGCCGGTCGTGGGAAGGTACACTCTCATATTGCGGGGCGGAATGGACAATCTGAAGGAAGAACATGCTTACAAACACCATAATGGTGGTGCCACAAGCAAGCAATAGAAGGTAGCCTGCAGTGTCGTTTGGGAAGACCAAGGCGCTCATGCCAGTATAGAATAGCGCACTCAATCCAAAGGCACTCAGCGGAAACGCCGTAGCTGTCCCCCTGTGGCGTGGCCAGTTGGTCGCGCACACCTTCAGCGCCGCACTGAATGCTGTGCAGCTACCCACGCCCGTCATCAACCCAAAGAAGCACAAGGCGGGCATGCCAACGCTGCCGGGTCCACCGAGATATGCTGCTCGTAAGGGAAAGTATCCGCAAGCCAAAGCTATCACGCCCATGAGGACACCCCATCTTGGCCCCCTCGAATCAATGAGTATGCCGCCAGGGATGCCTACAGCGTACATGCCGATGTTGCCAAAGTTGCCGATGAGGTTCTGCTGGGTTGCGCTGAGGTTGAGGCGCTCGGCAAATTGCGGCGCCCATGCTGAGTACGCATAGTTGGTACCGCAGCTGAGTGCGATACCAGTCGCTGCGACGACGGAGATGATGCGTATGGTGCGGTGTGACTGCTCAGGATTAGGTGGCTGACGCATTGTGTCGAGTGGTGGAGGCTAAGGAGCCTCGAGATTACGACGCTACCGTACTATAGGAAGCATGAGTAGGGACATGGACTGGTGATGGCAGCCGATGTGCCCCGTCACACGAAACTGTAGCGGATGAGGAGCGTGTTCCACCTTCCTTGATCGGCCAATGGCCTACCTTATCTTCCGTGTCTCGGCTGTGGTTGCCGATGTCAGTGAACGTCACTACAGTACATGTACGGCGTGCCTTTTAGCCTAAGGCACATACGCAGCTTCTCCGCGCCACCTCCACAGCCGCCATCGCCATCACCGTCGGCGTCACCAACCAGGCATCACCATAGATCACTTCTCTCGCTTACAACACCACATCAAGATCGTGCCGCGAGCATGGGCGCATTACTGTCAATCCCGCTTTTGGCTGTCCCGTCGGTGGGAACTGTACGTTCACAGTGGTCACGCGACCATCAAATACATAGCGCATGCTGATTGCATTTGTAGTTGCTCTCGTTCGCCGCAAGCTGCTGCGGTGCAGGTACGCCGACACCAAGTAGAATACCGTCTGTGGTTTACGCGCATACTGATTGTATCCAGCGACATGCTCCGCCGTTTGCAGCGCATGCGGCAATTGCCAGAACTCCATCCTCACCCGAATCGCATACGCCTTGATCCTCCTCGCCAACTCCCTCCTCTCATGGCTCATGCTCACCGACTGGGCCGTGAAACGACTACAGCACGTCCTCCTCGACTATGTCTCCATCAACTGCGCAGGCAATGCATGCTTTGGGTTTGCGGCTGTGCACCGCGTGAACTTCGCTCTTGGGCTGTTCCACTTCATCCTGGCAGTCTTACTATTGGGTGTGAACAATAGCAGAGACAAGCGAGCACCAATACAAAACGGTTTCTGGGGTCCGAAAATCATTGCTTGGGTGGCCTTGATCGTAGTCACCTTTCTGATCCCGAATCGGTTCTTTGAGGTCTGGGGCAACTACGTTGCGCTGATTGGTGCGGTTCTTTTTCTGCTCCTAGGACTGGTGCTCTTGGTCGACTTGGCGCATACCTTTGCCGAATACTGCATTGAGAAGATTGAAGACACCGACTCTGGGTTATGGCGCGGCATCCTAATTGGCAGCACGCTGGGCATGTATCTGGGAAGCATCGCGATGACTGTCGTGATGTACATCTTCTTTGCACACTCTGGATGCAGCATGAACCAAGCAGCGATCACTGTAAGCGAAACTCGTTGCAGAAGTAAACTCGATTGAACTGACATACTGCAGGTCAATCTTATTCTCCTCCTCGCCATCAGCATCATCTCCATTCATCCCGCCGTCCAAGCATCCAACCCGCGCGCCGGTCTGGCACAAGCAGCGACAGTCTCTATCTACTGCACTTACCTCACCTTCAGTGCCGTAGCGATGGAGCCAGACGACCAGCACTGCAACCCTCTCGTGCGAGCGACGGGCACACGCACAGCGAGCGTCATTATTGGCGCAATTGTCACGTTCGTCACATGTGCATACACCACTACTCGCGCTGCAACCTACGGCCTCGCCCTTGGGACTGGCAAGCCCGCTGGCTACTCACCCGTCGACACCGAGGAAGACAGCCACGGGCTTGTGGACACGCAGCCCGAGAGTCGACGTGCTATGCGCCAAGAGGCGTTGCGTCGCGCAGTGCAAGAAGGTGTCTTGCCCGCCTCAGCGCTCGACGAGGACGACGAGGACGAGGATGATCCTCGTACTGGTGTGCACAAGAACGACGATGAGAAGAACGGCACGCAGTACAACTATGCGCTGTTCCACGTCATCTTCATGCTCGCCACTGCATGGGTGGCCACACTCCTAACGCAGAACATTGGTGGCGATAAGAATATCGAGAAGGGTGACTTTGTGCCTGTTGGCCGCACCTACTGGGCGAGTTGGGTGAAGATTGTCAGCTCGTGGGTGTGCTACGGCATTTTTGGCTGGACGCTGGGCGCACCGGTCTTGATGCCGGACCGGTTTGACTATTCCTGAAAGTTTGATTAACAGTATATATTACGCAAGCCGTTCTGCCGCATTCTCAACTGCCCCTAACATTCATATTAGAGCCGTCCGCAATCGGCAGAACCGAAAGCAAGCGGAAACCTTCCGAGCGCGGGGTTCAACCCCGCGAACTGCGGCTCGAGCAAACAGTTCCCATTCGACTTCACCGAAGCAAATGCCGCCGAGGTGTGGCCTCCGTCTCCATCCTTCGGTCGAGGGATCATAGTAGTAGAGACTAACGGCCACGCGAGTCGGTTTTAGGAGGTGAGATCGCGTAACAATTCTCATACAATCCTCCCTCTCTTTCGATATGCTTGCAAGAACGAAGACACATTGAACACCTCTCGCTTAAAGGCAGACAGCAGGCATGTATACAGCTTCATTCGCCTTCTTCGAGGCCTTATGGAATGTAAGAGCCACCAGTTCAGCATCCATCGCGACAACCCAGACTTACCTTGTGCACAGGCCGGCGTAACACACTGCTTCGTCAACCTTGGCTCCGACCACCCTTCCATCATCGAAGCTATTGTCAAAGGCCAGAAGGAGCGGAAGGATGCCTTCCCACGCATTATCACGTGTCCAAACGAAATGGTGGCGCTATCGATGGCAGACGGCTATGCCCGTCTCAGCGGCAAGCCGCAAGCAGTCATCGTACACGTAGACGTTGGAACGCAAGGTCTAGGAGCGGCGGTACACAATGCCAGCTGTGGGCGAGCACCCGTCTTCATCTTCGCTGGACTTTCACCATACACTATTGAAGGCGAGTACAGGGGCTCAAGAACAGAGTACATCCACTGGATCCAAGATATACCTGATCAGAAGGCCATTGTGGCGCAATACTGTCGGTATGCTGGCGAGATTAAGCGGGGGCGGAATGTGAAGCAGCTGGTCAATCGGGCATTGAGCTTTGCTACCAGCCACCCGCAAGGGCCCGTCTATCTTGTGGGTGCGCGAGAAGCGATGGAAGAAGATATCGAGCCGTACGACCTTGACCAGTCCTGCTGGGGTCCAGCGGAGCTTGGAGGCCTTACCTCAAAGCAAGCGCAGTTCGTGGCGGAAGCTCTAGTCGGCGCAGAGGAGCCGCTGTTGATCACGGGTTATAGCGGGCGCAACCATGCTGCCCCGGCGGCTTTGGTGAAGCTCGCAGATACCATCAAAGGGCTCAAAGTACTGGACACTGCCGGCAGTGACATGTCGTTTCCCGCCAATCACCCAGCCTGGCTGAGTTGCAGGTACGGAGTTGAAGAGTCCATCAAGACTGCAGACGTGATACTGCTGCTCGATGTTGACGTCCCGTGGATACCCACCCAGTGCAAGCCCAAGAAAGGCGCCAAAGTCATCCATATCGATGTCGATCCCCTCAAGCAGCAGATGCCAGTCTTCTACGTCTATGCCTGCGCAACCTACCGTGCAGACGCTCAGACAGCCATTACACAAATCACCGAACACATCACTTCCCATCTATCCGACAAGCTTTCTAGCCAAACACTCTCAGATCGGCAATCAGCACTCGAGAAGTCATACAAGCAGAGACTCGAACATATCGCTACCTTCGCCGTCCCCGCCGATAACGGCACCTTCGGCTGCTCATATCTCATGTCCGAAGTCAGGAAGGCCTGTCCGCAAGACACCATATGGGCGGTTGAAGCCGTGACCAGCACCTTCTTCGTTGCAGATCAAGTGCAAGCAACGTTGCCTGGCTCTTGGATCGGTTGTGGTGGCGGTGGGTTGGGGTGGTCTGGAGGCGGCGCGCTGGGTATCAAGCTTGCAACGGACGCCGAGCACGGTGGTACCAACAAGGGCAAGTTCGTGTGTCAGGTTGTAGGCGATGGAACGTACCTCTTCTCAGTGCCTGGGAGTGTATACTGGATCGCGCAGCGATATGGCATTGCTGTGCTGACCATAGTGCTCAACAATCAAGGTAAGCGGGCAAGCCTCCCGATTTGCAGTTGCTCGATTGCTGACAACGTATTGACAGGCTGGAATGCTCCTCGCAAATCTCTCCTCTTAGTACATCCAGACGGTCAGGGTGCGAAGGTCGATAACCGCGAGCTTAACATCTCTTTTGCCCCCACGCCAGACTACAGTGGAATAGCAAAGGCAGCTTCGGGTGGCAAGTGCTGGGCTGGGCACGCCGGAACCGTCGAACAGCTACAGAAGATGTTACCACAGGCTGTGGAAGCCGTGAAGAGCGGGAGGTGTGCCGTGCTCGACGCCCACCTCGACGGCCCGGAAGGTAAGTACGGTGGTGGCGAGATTGCTGCAGTGGGTTAGGCGCACGTTGGTTTGGAGGCCTGGCGCGATTACAACGTGGCAGGGAAAGCGTTTTGCTTGTTCTTGTTCCACCAATCGTCTTCGTGCGCAGCGATCAATTCGACTTGATCTCCCGCCAGTCTCTGGAACTCTTGCAAACGCGTAATACTCTCCGCCGCGACCTCTTTATCGAGGTGTATGCATAGCTTGCCATGTGGGCCGTCCCATGTACCTATTTCCTTCTCTCCAGTCAATAAGCGCCTATCATGGTATGCATCGCCACAAAGCAGTATCCAGCGAGCTTTTGTCCGACATAGAAGGTTGACATGCCCGGGTAGGTGACCGGGAGTGTCGACCACAAAGACGGACCCATCGCCGAAGAGGTCCAGCGTTGCAGGGAAAGGACCCATTGATTTCCACTTCGTCCCGTCTGCAGGTTTCGGTAGCTCACTGGCGCGGTCTCTGGGAAGCGTACCCGGCACGAAGTGCTGGTGCGATGCTATAGCGCCTAAGCCGTGCTGAAGGACATCTAGCGCTCCGTGTCCGACAACGAACTGCGCGTTTGGGAAGTCTTCAGGGTCTCCATGGTGGTCATAATGCACATGAGACAGCATCACCAGGTTCACATCGGCTGCGCTAAGGCCACCTTGGTGTAACTGTGCAGCTACGCCTGGTGCAAGATGGAACGGAGCTCGGCCATCAATGTGTTTCTGCAAGACTTCGGGATAGCGCTCCCTTGCCTTCCGTAGCCCCAAGTCGAACATCAAGCGGAAAGGCTTGGACGGGTCGGCGCCATAGATTGATGACCCTGGATGCGTGACCAAAGAGGTCAAAGAAGGTACTGTTCTCTTGCCTTCTGGGTCGGCTGGAGACACAAAGAATCGGTCTGCAAGTGTAATGAAACCGCCTGCCATTGGAGAGACGGTAACATAGCTTTGACCGGCGACTGGTGGTGGAAGCAGCTTCGATCCGTTGGCTGCCATGGCGGCACGGTCTCGTGGTTGAGCTGCAAATCAGAACGTAATCTATGTCTTAGTAGAGAGGTTGACTGTCACCGGCTGACGAAGTTCATGCTCCATTCCAAGCAATCTCCAACGCTCCATCATTGCCCCGGAATTGTATGTACCCCGCAGACGCTCCACAGTCGCGAAAGTTCCCAGTGACCTTCCGATCTCGCACGGGGCTGGCTCTGAGATGTTGTAAGTCAATGCTCTCGTTTGAAACGTAGAGGTGCTGTTCTACAGTAAGTATTTGTCAGAGACTCGCCTCTTGTACCTCCTACACTCTCACTGCTTGAGCCATCATGTCGGACAAGTTCAGCGCGGAGGAGATAAAAAAAGCTCACGAGGTCCTTTACAATGAGGGCATCAAGATGCGGTATCAGGTTGCAGGCAAAGAGTACGTCGACAAAGCTTTGAACGCAGCCGACAATGACTTTGCACGGCCAATGCAGCAGGTAAGTTATGAAGCGAATCGGTATCGTCGTTCTCTTCAGCTCACATCATGACCAGTACGTCTCCGAGGCATGTTGGGGCTGGGTGTGGTCGCGTCCCGGTTTGGAGCTCAAGACACGCTCCTTGCTCAACCTTGCCATGCTGTGTGCCCTTAACCGTAGCACCGAACTCGCCGTACACACTCGCGGCGCTCTTGTCAATGGTGCCACAGAAGAGGAGATACGTGAGACCATATTGCAGGCAGCATGTTACTGCGGTATGCCGGCCGGTATGGAAGGTTTCAAGGTGACGGGGAGGGTGATTGAAGAATGGAAGAAAGAGCAGCCAGCAAAAGCGCACAATGTTGAGCCCCACGCTGATGTTGGGTTGGAGCAGAGAGCGAAAGGCGACGAGTAGACTGTGAGACAAGAAGTTGGACAACCCACGGGATGCTGTCGTCATTTCGCGACCAATAGGGGCGTCAACTTGATGCTAGTCCGCATGGCAGCGGATCTCTGCCGTAAAGGTAGCCGACGTTCTTCATTCCAACAGCACTTGTGCGGCCGAAAGCATTCAGGGCTGTCACAGCAGCTTCGATGATCGCTTTCGTCTTGCGCGTTGTCCGCCTGCTGGCAATCGTACGGCAGCGACAGTCATCAAGCCCGTTGCGCTCTGCGCCTCTCTAGGCCTGCCTGCGTAATCTTTGCGGCGATGGTGGAAGAATCGTGTGCCGAACGTATTCAATCTCGAGAAATTATCAGGACACCGTATGCTGTTTCTTCCACGCTTTGTGTAGACTTCCCACAGCGCTTCTATGACTGTTTGCCAGCTCAGCCTCCGGCTGACCATCTGGCAGGCTTTCAGTACTCAGGTGTTGCACGCCACTTACGGCGCCGGCGACAAGACCGTCAGTCTGTGATATTGCTGTTCCATCAATGTCTCCCTGTTGAGAGCATGACTTGACTCCTTCAATCTCGTCCTGCACTTCATTTTCGCGTGCGTTATGCGTCATTTCTGTCACGCTACTTGCGCGGCTAATGGGTGCGCTCTCTGCAGTTGCTTCTCGCAGACCGAGCCTCTTCTCATTATCTTGACTATGATCGTCAGTCTGCCTCTCAGTGGCAGGCCGCATTTGCGCAACGGCCTCGCCCTTAGCCGGCGGCCGGATTTCGCTGCCTCCTCGCTGTCTCGAGACATCAATTGCTTGCCAGACAACAGCCATGCGATCGAAGGCTCGGATACCCTTCTTTGAGCTGCCTTTGATGCCATCCATTGCATCCCACTCAATCTCGAATACACCAGAGCTATCGGCTTTGCCACCCTGCTCCGGTCCCCTTCCTTCAAAGAAAGCATTGAACCAGACGTGAGCGACGGCAGTAACCATGGTAAAGCCGCCATATTTCGTCTTGTTTCTCCTTTCGAAGTCCATGTTGACGTCGCTGGACGGGAGCACCACTCTGGTACCAGGTCTGAAAACGACATCACCTCCAGCATCCATAAGCAGATCACTTCCGACCCGGTCAAGGCCCGGGTTGCTGACTTCATCAAGAACGTCGTCGTCGTTATCCTTGGTGCGCGCTTGCAAGTTTCGCTTCTTTGATCGTCCCACGAAGTCTCGCGCAGCGTCAGCGAGCCCTGTCTCCTTGCTTATTGAGCCACGGACGATCTCCCTCTCAGATCTTTGAAACGTGTGAAAAGTCTTGATGACCTTGCCTTCTTCCACGTAGCCTTCAACAGCGATCTTTACTCCATCCCTGAGACCCCATATGTGCAACTCCAACACCTCAACCGGCCTCTCAACATACAACTTGTCATGCTTCGTCCACCGATCAACGTAGCTGATTGTGCGCCTCTGGCTTGGAATGCTGATACCAGCGCCAAAGCCTGGTCGCATCCTGCGTTCAGTAAACCTTTGCATCGCTTCCTCGGGACTCCAGCCTTCCTCACTGATCAGGTAACTGCATGCCACCGTCCCGCTGCGGCCTTTGCCTGCCTTACAATGAACAACCACAACTCTGCTATCCTTCTCTTTCAACCAATTTCGCATGCTGCCCATGATCAGCGGTATTAGCGCAAATGGCGGCGGGTGGTGATCTGGCCATGGATAATGCCGTATCCTGCCGTGAACGTCGTCATCATCGTAGCCGGTGCCTTCAGCCCGAAACTCCCATATCGACCAGTCTTCGCCGTGCTTGGCGTCGAGGAACCTTACAAGGTCCTTGAGTGGATTGCGGTATGCCACCTGCGGATAGGAAGAACCCGGACCGGACGTGGCAATGATGTTGTCCGTTACATAGCACAGGTCGAGCCCTGCCTCTTCATGTCTGACTCTCGGAGATGCTACGATCTGGCGAAGAATCGAGCTCATCTCTGGTACTGTGGACAAGTTGCAGGCGCTGCATCTACCACTTTCCGTTCCATCATGTGCATTGTGTCAATGATGAAGTTAAAGGCGCCCCTCGGCGCTGGTAGCGACATAATCTTGCCTGGTGGCAGCTGCGGATGACGATGGCTTGGCACGGACACGCGACGTGCTTTTAAGTTTGGACTCAGAGTACTTCTGCATGATGTGGTTTGAAGTATGCACTATAACTACTATCTAAATCCGCTGTATGGCGTAGGCTCATCAAGGCCGTTTCTTGCTATCGCGCCCGTGGCTCGAACGTCTTCCAGGCAAATGCTGCATCAGCTTCGCCACTGGCAACGGGCCAGCGCTCATGTGAATCAAGAACAACCACGCACAGAGCGCGTTGACCATGTAATGCAGCCGGTATGCATACGTGACGCCGTAGACGGCCGCGTACAGGGCGAAAGCGAAGAGCGCCACGTTAGTGATGTAGCGTGTGCTGAAATGCAGTTAGCGGAGTCAGCACAACTCATTGCGTTTGACCTTAGCGTACCGACTTGTCACTCGCGGCACCATGCTGCCTGTGCTCATCATTTCAACGAGCAAGATATATGGTAGCACAGACAGTAGATTATGGTGTGTAGAAAACGGTGTTAGCCAGTGTACGGCAAGGTTATGTATCCAGACAACGAGCACCGGCACGTTGATCGGTAGTATCCAAAGCATAAGCACGAGCAGAGAATGAACGTAATTGTAGAAGTTGTACGCTTGCCCAGAACCCAGGTCCAGCGCAGCGCGGAGCCCACGGCTGGCGGTGGTTGTCTGCACAATGCAGAGAACGATGTAAGCAAACTGATACGGGATGACCGTGATGACCATCAGCAGCAGGACACCTGTCGTTATCGCGCGCTGATAGGGCGCGTTTACAGCGAATGTGTTTGCTGTCTTGCGAGCTTCTTCTGAGCGTGCCGACCATTTGCGGACCAGACCGTAGCCGAAGGCAAAGAGATAGGTCAGCATTAGTACGAGATAGTTGGCTGCAATGCAGACACCAACGCTAATAAGGCCGAAGAGCGGGACTAGGAACCAGAAGAATGGGTCCGAAGTGCCAAGCATAAAATCATTGATTGTGAAGTCGACAGCTTGCTCGCTCGCCCCAGTTGACATGCTAAGCCAGCGTCGAGCCCACGTGCCCTGTATGGCCTTTGAGAACGCCACGGCTAAGAAAGTCAATGCTGCGAACACCGCGGGCAGTGAGGTCCGGATACATTGGTCCATGCTGCGGGAGAAGCTCATGAACACGCCGGTCGTGTCGTAGATTTTGAACTGCTTTCGAAGCACAATCGCTACCACGAGCAGTGGGAATGACGCGAAAATGGTTCGATAGCGCATGACGAGCTTGCCTGCGCTGCCAGGAATGTCGACTCTCAGCAACACCGTGACTGTCGTGTTGCATGTCGGATCCGTCCATAGCTGGAGTGAAAGGCCTTCGCTCGCGTCTTTACCACTTAGCGGAGGCGGCATGTAGGGCGAGACACCATGCACATTGATGTTGCCACCTTCCGTGTTCACGAAATACTTCGACTCGTAAGGCTCTTGGATATACTGCCTCAGCAACGGAGCAAAAAGTTCTTCCTGCTTAGATTCGCACAGTTTTCGCTTGATACGCAGCTTATACGCAAATAGCGTTGAATGCACTTCTGGAATCTTGAGCTCTGTCATCATTGGCCGCTTTGAGGGCAGCTCGAGACGCAGGCCATTCAGCAAAAGCTGGTGGTGTCCTCTGCTGACCTTGATGGAAGACGCAGCGCCTGAGCTGAACTCGGCGACGAGCCAACTTTTCCGCGCATTAGCTGCTCGCTGCACCACGGCAACGAATTGGTAATTGTTCAGATCATCCAGTGCATATTGCAGGTATGAAAATGGCCGTCCTTCATCAAACGCGTTGACTGACGTCTTAGTCGAGGCGGGGAGATAGATGGCATCTTCTGCGGCATTCTTGCAAGCAAGCCGAGTAGAGCTGGCCGTATCCAGTAACGCGTCTGTGTTTGGTGTGAGTGACATGCCAAAAGATACTGCTGATGGTGGCGAGATACTGCACAGCAGGACCGTGAAGGTCGCGTCATCGTCCGCATGCTCTAGAGTCTGGTCGGTAAGCATTGTGAATCTGCTTCCCTTGACAAATGGCTGCGCAGGGACAGGCAGAAGAAAGGACATTGTACTCGTCGTCTCTTCGCCGGTTGACCGCAAAGTTAAGCGCTCGCCGTGCGACAGAATGGTGTTTGTGTTGTGCTCTAGTGTCAAGAAGGTTGTTGGCTCATCGTCCAGGACCGCTTTACGCACCACAGACTCCATTCCCGTCAGAAGCCTCTTCCGAAGCGCCTTGATTCGCTCTGGTTGAGCCATAGTTTGCGACGAGCGTCTAACGTCGACAACGTCGAAGATCGCTCTCGTTAGTGCCTTCCGAAATTGATCGCACCACATGATAGCCAGGTGGTCCATCCCAGTCCAGACATGTGGTATTGCGGACGTAAACACCGTGAACCCGTGCGTGTCTGGAACGAGCGAAGTCACGCTGGAAAACTCGGACGGTATCATCGTGTCAAGACCGCCACCAGCGACGGAGACAAGCGTGACATCTGCCAAAGGGTTTTGGCTGGGATCCAAATGGCCATATGACTCGCGCCAGAAGGTGTTGACGTCGTTGTATGTAGCAACCATTTCGGCATCGAACGAAATCGGCGCTCTTGCATGCGGGGCGCTAAGTGTAACAATCGTGTTGATGGTGTGCTCCTGGTAATTCGGCGTGCGCAGCATGGTGCGCGCTACAACTCCGCCCATGGAGTGACCAATGATGATCACCGACTTGGGATCGGGCAGACCACTCTCCCGCACAGACTTGTGCGGGTTGTGATACAAGGCCAGAATGTAAGCTATGGCCTCGTTGAGATACTCAGCCTGATCCAGGAGCGTCTGGCCATGAAACGCAGACAGCTCCTCATTGAAGTCGACAGTGAAGAAGTCGAGAGGCCGCTTTCCGGAGCCAATTGCCGCCATGTCCTCACGGAGCACGTCGTGAAAGTAGTGCGCTGCTTCTGCGGCGATTGGTCGCATCTGCTTGTAGCTGCCGGCATTGCCGGGTATGAACAGCACAGGGACGCCTTTGACCCTTGTGTCTTCGTCGACCCCTCCCTCTCTGTACAGATACAATGAGTATTTGCTAGCAAAGCGAGTGTGCTCGGTGTCAAAATCTTCGAAGCGAGCGAAGGCCGGCATCATGTACGACATAGCGCAGCCTTTCGGATCCAGCTGCAGCATCAGGAAGGACCGCACAATGACCACCAGTAACAGTATGGAGCATGCCGACGCGGCCAAAGTGAGAAGAGAGCACGCCCACGGTGCGCGCAGTCGCGCGCGTTGCTTGTGAACATTCTCGGCAGCAATCTCAGCAGCGGATTTCTCCTCTGTCAGGTGTCCATCTGGCGCATCAGCGGAGTCAGAGGACCGCGGCCAGGCGGACTGCTGCTCGGCAGAGACTTGTGACTTGGCTGGCTGTTCGCAACTTGACCTCCGCTCATGCGCCGTGTCCATGGGCTGCGACTGCTCTGCAGCCTTCGCCTTATCTTTCACCATCGCCTCGCTATTCTGCGCCTACGCGCCCTTGTTTGGGCTATTGACCGTCGTCGACGCGCAGGAATCATCGTGTCCGCATTGGCAGAGGGGAGCAGGAGGTCGCAGTGCAATGTTGATAGCGTTGGTGGATCCTCATCTATCTTGGAAAGGAAAGCAAATCTCGCAGCTAAAGGCCTGTCATGGAAGGCACGCGATCATAAGACCGCTGATCCTCCGAAGTCAAATGCACAGAACACCAACGGCGTGCGGGGAGACCCACATGGTCGATCAACGGGTGATCTGCGCCATCAACCAAGCGATCACGAAAACATACAAAAAAGCTTCACCCGAAGCTTGATAGACGTGTTCTACGGCGAGAGCTGCAGTGTACATGTCACCTATCTGGCAATACAGTTGGCTGGGTGGACAGGTCACAGGATAGGCTATACTGTTTTACAACTAACTGCGTGGTTTTGGATTTCCGCTCGCAACAACGTGGGTGTAGTTTCCATCCAGCATGAGGAGCTGGACCGTTGTCGAATGCCAAGGCGACGTGCAAGCTCCAGCCGTTCCTGCATAAGTCTTGCATGATGGCGCTCAGCGACACGGTACCAACCGTGGCATGTGAAGGATTTGGATTTTCACATGTTCGGAACATCTGGAGCGAGCCAAACAAAGGCCGATGCACCGCATGGCAGATGATGACCATTCTGACTAGCCTTGCATGACAGCACCCACTTGCACCTGGGCTCTCTTCACTGCTTCATCGAAACGTGCTCGCTTTTGCTCTGTCCGCTCCGCCTTACGCTTTCCGCTCATGATCTTGTTAAAACGGCCTTTTGCGCCATACTTTAACTTCGTAATCAGATCGCCAGCTTTACCTTTCGTGATGGAGCCCACTTCGAGTTTGTCGTCATCCGCACGGGAACGGTTCAAGAGGGCGACTTGCTGTTCGGAAGCTGGCGACTTCCGCCAGCGAGCCGCCTTCGAGATGATTTCGAAGACAAACTTCGCTCTCGCAAAATGATCGGCTGCAGCTACCGCTTGCTCGAACGTGCTTGCGTGAGCCACCTCGCGTGGGTGCATGAATGGGGACTTGCGTTGAGCATCTTCCGGCAATCGCTGCTTAAAGACAATCTGGTAGCGCTGTTTGTCCTTGGCCACAATAAGCTCACCAGCACTTCCGGATAGAACGTACCGGTCTTGGTCCACCTGGACCCACGCGAAAGGCGATATGGCGCGGATATGGCGTTCGCCAGATGTATCATCAAGCAAGTCATTGACGTCCTGGTAGTCCGTGAAGATGACATTCCCCGTTAGCTCCGGTGATTGGCTACTTGATATGGCAGTCTGCTGTTCGCGCAGTTGCTCACTTTCTTTTCTCTCCTTGAGTGACTTCATAGCCTCAGCGCTGGCCTCATCGACCAGTTCATCAGGGTTGAGGCCGAAGAGAGTCGGTGTTGTCACAATTCCTGTCTCCAGCGCAGCCACCATGTCGATGATATGACAACTGTCCTTGCCAGCATGTTTTCTCATGCCACGACCGATCATCTGAACTAGCAAATTCCGTGACTTTGTCGGGCGGGCTAGTAGGATGCAATCGATGTTTGGCAGATCGGTTCCCTCTGTAAAGACACCGCAGTTGAGTAGCACAGAAACCTTACCCTCACGAAAGGCCTCGAGCCTTTCTTGCCGGGTCTTGCGGCGCGTGGAGCCAGTTACGAAGCGTGCATCGACACCATGGCGACGAAACATGGATGTGAGCGCCGCAACATGGTTGAGATCGACACAGAAGACGAGTGTGCTTCTCCTGCCCGCAGCCTTTTCAAGCCAGGCCCTTACAACGATCGTGTTGATTTCGTCGTTGTTCACGACCTTGGACAAGGAACCAGGTTGAAAGTCACCTCGACCGGTCTTGACCTTGGACAGGTCGACACCCAGGCGCACGGTCGTGAACGTTACCTTGGCGAGCCAGCCGTGTTCGATCATGCTGACGAAATCATTATGATACACAATCTGATCGATAGCTTTGCCAAGGCTGAGGCCATCCTTGCGGGAGAAGGTGGCGGAGACACCTACCAACGCAATATGTCCCGCCCGACCGTCTCCAATCAAGCGAAAATGCTCGAGCACACTTAGATACTGCGATGCCACGATGTGATGAGCCTCATCGACAATTACAAGCTTGAAGCGTGCGGGATCGTACTTTAGCAGGCGACTACCAGAGTTGAGACTTGCCACTGAAGCCACAGTAATGTCGGCGTAGCCGGACGCTTGCGAAGCGGCCATATCCACATCGACCGTCTTGTCGGGGTAGAGACTTCTACAGTGATTCGCAGCTTGATCTACGAGCTCCTGCCTGTGAGCGACAATGAGCGTTTGAATTGCATCTCTGTTTGGTGGCGGTATACGGTCGATGAGGTGGCTGAAAATGACAGTCTTGCCGCTGCCGGTCGCCAGAGAGAGCCCTAACCGCCTTTCGCCTCGTTTCAGATAGTCGAGAACGGCGCGGATGCTCTCTTCTTGATATGGTCGGAGCTGGACCGTCGTTCTGGAGCCATTGCGCTCCTGAGCATCTGTGCTCTGAAGCCTGCTTCGGTGAGCTATCGGCGATGCAGGCCAGGGATTGCGGGTTGATGAGACATTAAGCAAGCTACGAAGACACCGCGTTTGAGCGCGCCATCGACATCCCAGTCTATGCGCCGTCACTGTGGTGTTGAGCAGTCTCCACGCCGGTTCCATCTACACCCGAACACTGCTGAGCAGCGCTGGCGCGAAGAGCATGCATCGATGTTAGGCGGCCCGCATACACAGCTCAAATATCATCCTGAGCGTGTCAGGGATTGATTATTCGGCAAAGCGAGGTGAGGTCGCCGCGGACATGTCGGGCATTCATTGACTCAGCCTTACACACGAGCCAGTAAGTGTCATGCAGCGGGCCGAGGGCGCCACACTAGCCCTACGATAAGCCACATCTTTGCAGCAAGCACTTGCACCTGCATCGACAGCACGCAGCAATATCCAATACGGCCACCCCTTCCATCGGCACTCGCCAGCGCAAGTGACATCTGCGCCAATGCAAGCTTCTGCTACAGAAAGCTTGCACCGTCATCACTTTGAAATGCCCGATCGATAAGGCGTCACCCTTCCCTTGACCCCTCCGGCGCCGCACCACGCGCCGGAGATTGATGGCCGCCATGGAGCGGTCGACGAAAAGAGAACTCAAGGACCTGAACACGCGAGCGTGGGACAGAGAGGAAGGTGTGTTTCCGGTGCAGCCTTCACTGGACTCCAACCTCAAGAAGAACACGGCCTTCATCAAGCGTTTGCGGACGGCGATCAACCCTGCTGGAGTCAGCACCTTTCTGCAAGAGATACGCTCACTCTCGTTGCACAAGTACTTGACCGAGATTGTATCTGCGTGCTTCGAAGGGGTGTCGAAGTTGAAGACGGCTGGTGAGATCGCAGCTGGCGTAGAAGTGGTCAGTGCACTTCATCAGCGCTTTGGTCCGGATGACTTCACCTGCTATCTTGGCTGGCTGCTAGGACGAGCTCTAAGTATACCGGACAAGGCGCAACTGAAGGCGTTGTCTTCGGATGTGCGCGACCGTGAGGAGAGAGAGCGGGTCGCTCGTCAGCGCATATTGCTGCGCATTGCCACGGAGCTGTGGCTCGTTGGCGTGCTACGCAGTCTGGACGATGTTACGAGACCCGAAGAAGCCGGTAAATCGAGAGACAGTGGGAAAGGCTTGGATCTTGCACCCAAAGCGAGAGCTAACGGCGTGGTCGTCCATGGCGACGCGGAGCCTTTCCCGTTAGAGGTGCTGAAAGATTTACTCACCCACGATCGGGAACACGTCAATTTACCACTGGTTGTCTTGTTCGTCAAAACCTTCGCCTGGGATATTCTGGGGTCTAAGGTGGCGAGGAACGAAGGCCGAAAGCATGTTGCTGAGGATGGCGCAACCGTCACGCTCAACCGCCATGCCGACTCTGCCACATCCACTGATGAAGATGATCCTGCTGAGAAGGATGCGCCGTTAATTACTCCGGAGCTCCAGCAACGCTTTCGTAACGTTCTGCTCAGGTACTTCGACGATGTCAAGACTCACCTTGTGCGTGACCAGAAGCAGTTGACAGCGCAGGGCAAGCGCAATGCGGAGGCGTACGTCAAATCCGGTGAAGTGTTCGAGGACCGTCAAGCAAACTACGAGAAAGCGGTCAAAGCGCAGGAGAAGCTCGTCGGTAGCGCCCAGACTCTAGCCGAAGTGCTGGGGGCCGACATGCCAGATCTGGCGGAGAAGGATACATCGAGCGCTGCGTTCGAAAGCAGTATCGGACTTGTCAAGACTGGCGATTACCTCCGCGGTCAGGCAGAAGGCGCTGGCATTTGGGAGGACGAGGAGGAGCGACGTTTCTACGAGACGCTTACTGATCTGAAAGACCGCGTGCCGGGGATCTTGTTGGAGGATGGCCGCAAGAAGAAGACCGGTGCAGATGAGCAGGTGGGCAAGAAAACTGATGAGACATCCGACGCAAAGGACGCAACAGTTGCGCACAGCGCTGAGATGGATGACACTTCGACTGTTATCGTGAACAAGACGGTCGGCGCGCAAGTTGACGCTCTCCTCGCGAGACTACACGAGTTTCAAGGCAAAGACCAAGTTGACCAGTTCGCTATTGACTTTTGCTTCTTGAACTCCAAGGCATCGCGCAACCGCTTGATCAAGGCTATCGAGGAGATCCCGAAAGGTCGGACCGACTTACTACCACTCTACGGCCGTCTGATCGCCTCCCTCGGCCGCTATCTAATCGATGTGCCTCAAGCAATCATTACCTATCTCGACGATGAATTCCGTAGCCTACAGCGCCGGAAGTCGAAAGACTTTCTTGGTCAAGTCCGTATGGTCAACGTTCGATACATTGCCGAGCTCACCAAGTTTGGTGTTGTGCCTGAGCACGTCATCTTCCACTGCCTCAAGGTCTGCTTGGACGACTTCTCGCGGATGAACATTGAGATCATTGCGACTCTGCTAGAGAGTTGCGGCCGATATCTCTTACGCAACCCGGAGACGTCGCCTCGAATGTCATCCTTTCTTGAGACACTGCAACGGAAGAAAGGTGCACAGCATCTTGGCCAGCAAGAGCGAATGCTGATCGAGAACGCCATGTACTATGTCAATCCACCGGAGCGAGCCGCAATTCAGCAGAAGGAGCGCACACCCTTGGAGCTATTCGTTCGACAGCTCGTCTATGTGGACCTCAACAAAAAGACGCTCGAAAGGGTCATTAAGCAAATCCGCAGGCTTCATTGGGAGGAATCGGAAGTGCAAGAAGCGCTGCGCAAGATCTTCGTCAAGCCTGGCAAAATCAAGTACAGCAATATTTATCTTCTGGCGCTAATGCTTGCCGCGCTGTGGAAATTCCATACTGATTTCGCCATCTCGGTCATTGATGAGCTTCTCGAACGCATTACAGTTGGCTTGGAAACGAACGACTTCAAGTACAATCAGCGCCGCATCGCTGAGGTTCGCTACCTGGGCGAGCTGTACACTTACCGTCTGGTCGACACCGTCATCATCATGGACACGCTGTACAAGATCTTGAACTACGGCCACAATGGGTATGCGCAACCGGGCAAGGTGTCTTACCTGGACCCTCCAGACGAATATTTTCGCATCCGTCTCGTCGCTTCTTTGCTCGAGACTTGCGGCATGTACTTCGAGAAAGGGTCGCTCAAGAAGAAGCTTGACTTCTTCCTAGCATTCCTGCAGTATTACACCAACTTGAAAGACCCGCTGCCGATGGATATGGAGTTTGTAGTGCAGGATCTCTACGGCCAGCTCCGTCCTCAGTGGAAGCTGGTACTTAACGACTTCACGGAAGCAAGCCGGGTTTTTGCCGAAGCCTGCAAGCAGAATTACCAAGATACTGCAGCGGGCAAACTTCCTGAGCCAGAGGAACCGGAAGAGATGGAGCCAGACATCTCCGACGATGCGCATGGCGACGGCGACGAAGCCGTACTGCCAAATGGCGCGGCGGAAGATGTCAAATCCGACGGCGAAAATGCGCAGACTTCTTACGCAGATATCACGCACCAAGCAGAATCTGATGAAGAGAATTTTGTCGTGACACGTCCTGAGGAAGAGCGTGACCCAGAGGCTGACGCCGAGTTCGATCGTGAACTTGCCAAGTTGATGACAGAAAGCGTGGAGACCCGCCGGACTGAACGCAAGCCTGCGTTCGACGTGCCTCTCCCAATGCGCCGTACTGTGCAGAACACAGCAAGTCATGCTACAGATGGCAGTGGTGATGAGTTGCCGGTGCCAGCAGTGCCAAATGGCGCACGCACGATGAAATTTGCACTTCTGAGTAAGAAAGGCAACCGCCAACAGGTAAGCTGTGCAACATTAACCGGGCTGATTGCCATGGTTGCTGACCGCGCAGACTCGCTCAATCGATCTGCCATCCAACTCAAGCTTCGCTGTTGCCATGCGCACGCAGCAAGAAGCAGAGCGGGCTGAGCAGCAGCGCATCAAGAATCTCGTCTTAAACCTAGACCTAAACGACGATCAGCATGATGGTGAAGACCCCTCCTTTCATTACCTGCAGTCGCCTACAAGCAATCACACCCGTCTCGTCGGCAAGGGCACGCTCAACAAAAGCCTAGCGCCGTTGCGGTATACGCGTGGTCAATCTCAACGAACGACCACTAAAGGTTTCGTTACCGACAAAGAGACGGACAACAGCCGTGACATCTGCCCTCTCTCGGGCATCCTCGCAGAAGTACAACCCAACCTTCAAACATCACTCGCTGACCAGACAGGCGCAATCGAGAATCCGCATACGACGCCCAGGTTCGATAAGTCGGGCAATACCCGCAGCAAGCAACGCGCGAGGAAGCTGAATTTGGGAGACCTTGACTGGTATAGTAAACGTTCTGCCCCTGCCTCCAATGAGCTGCTACCGCCTCCGGCTGCGCAATCAGCATCGCTTGGCAGCTACGTCGTTGACAAAGCGGCGCCTCGCGGAGACCGTGGGCGTGGTGGCTCGATGAGGCTTGGCGGTACTCGTGACATGAAGACAGGCTGATCGGCCGTATACACGGTTCTTGCAGGACATAACGAACGTCCACAGGGCAGCAAAACTGTCTGCACCAGTACCAAGCATATCACTTGCAGCGGATATGGCATACCGATGCCGCTTGCCTACCCAAAGGCCGGATACACGAACGGCGACATTCCGACGCCAACTGTACTACTAAGCACGCTGTTCGAAGCAGCCTTAGTGGTATGGGCTGCCAGCAGACTATCGACCAAGGGTATGAGCATGCGTGAGAATCGGAAGGCCTATTTCGCGAGCACGAGCACGAACGCCGTTCCGTTGGAACGACAAGTGGCAAGCAGGGAGTAGTAGCACGCACCAGGGTGTCGTTGCAAGCGCTCCGGTGCAGGCCGTGCGTCGTGTTGGAAAAGATGGAGGCCGCATTGGAGCGGGATGTGGCGGAAGATGGACCGAAAGGAAGAACGTGCACTTTGCCTGAGGCGGAAGACACTGACCGTAGTCAATCTTTGAAGGCTTCGTAGGGCCAACAGATTGTGTTTTCAGCGTCAATTCGAGCACAGATGTGTCGCATTGAGGGCCAAAGGCAAAGCGCTCCGATTCCTGTCTCCCATGCACCAACAACTCTGCACCACAAGTCCCAACATGCTCAGGCTACAGCTAGGTCATGCAATGTACCGTCGGTCGATGGCCAAGCGAAAGCCTGTGTCGTTGATCAGCAACCACGGCAAATTTAGTGCCTGCAAGCCATTCACCATCCTTACACCCTACTTCCCGCCACTCGAATAACCCATCCCAGCAGGCTGCCCACTCAAATACGCCTCGTGGTGATCTCGCCGCTTGTCCCGGATATCCCAGCTCGCCTGCCTCTGGAAGCCGGGTCTATCAGTGCCAGAGATAGCTCCCATACCTTCAGCCTTCCCTTCACGTGCTGCGGCGGCAGCTGCTTGCTCGTAGTTGTCTGTGTGCTTTCTAAGCATCACGGGCCGGTCACCAGCTGCTTCGTGGTCGTGAGAGCTGGTGGAGACAACCTGGGTGGGCGTGTTGCCTGAGATGAGGCTGCGTGTGGCCGTTTCGGAGGGTTTGACGTAGGTGAAGGCTTGCTGGGTGGTGCTGGTAGTGGAGGCCATGAGTGCTGGGTGGTTTGTCGTCGTGAGTATGAATTGCGGCAGTTTGTCAAATATGAGATACCTCAGTGTGCTCTCTGGTACCCTATATATGCTACACAAAGTAACTGTAGGCGTATTTGCGCGCGAATATGAAAGCTGCAGCGAGTGGAGGATTGTAGGATAGTGAAGCTCGCAAAGTGCCTACCTATGTTATTACACATGTGCTAGAGCACCGTACATTCCTTCTACGGCCTACGCATATACCAGAGTCGGTAAGAAGCACGGCGAGCTCGCGCAGGGAAGAGGGGAAGGTGTGGCCAGGCCTCTCAAGCTGAACAACACAAGAGGCAGTGGCTGGGCACCCGACACGTGATGAGGACAATATTGGGAGCTTTCGTGTTCCCAACGGTTTGGTGCTGGCTGTCCAGGGGGGTGGTGATCAAGCTGTTGCAGGCGCATTTGGCGGGCATCTGAGATCCAGGCCGGTACCCACAGCACTACAGCAAGTCGTCGTCAGTCGGGAAGAAAGAGTTTCTCCGTCGTACAGCCTTACGCGTCCTTTAGCGAAGGACATAGGACGGTCTGCTCTCGACGGCGTAACCTACGGGCTGCGCAATGGGCGTTTAGTGGCTATGGTAGCAATCACTGCTCTTGGACGTTGCTAAAGCCAGCCCCAGCCAGCGTCGGCGAGGGAAAACGGGCGCCGTTCTCCACGTAACATGACAAACAAGCGGTGAACTTCATTAACATCCGCGGGCCTAACTCAACTCACCTCTTCTCCACCTTTCGCTATACTCCTCGTATTGGCTTCGCGTCTCCCTGCAGCCACAAGGTAAGCACCATGTCTCCCTCTGAAAGAAGCTCGCTCTTGCTCTTGCGCCAGTCATTCCACACGCCGAACTCCAGCAGTCAGGCCACTACGGTCCGCTGCGTGGCTGGGTGCATACATCTCCAACCTCCTCTCATCTGAGCCACCCTACCACTTCGTGCAAACGGTAATGCACTGTCTTCCATTGTTCTAGGGGAGTATGAAACGTCGCACAATGGTCGGAACCACACTTCCACCCTCTCCTACGGCAAGCGTCTGCGACTCGCTAGCAGATATTGATGACCTCGATGCGTTTCTGGCTGCGCAGGGACCATTGACACGATGGACGACACCGCCGTTGAAGGATAAGCCTCGAGTCACAGTCGAAGTCGCTGAGCTCTCTGAGCCGGAAGGGGAGGACTACGACGATGACGCTGAACGCGATGATTGTAAGTGCTTGCCGAGAGTGAGTATCAAATTGTCAAGCTAATTCCGCGCAGACGAGCGCATTGCATACGAGTTTGCTCTCCCTCTATCGCACACTGGCAGCGAACACGTAGAGAGCGCCATGCTCATCCAGGACATCTTGTCAATGGCGCGCTTGCCACCGGACCTGCTAGGCTTGACATATAGCATTCTCGTCGCATATTGCATACGACAACAACCGATGAATCTGGCAGCGCGAACTGCAGTTCCCACCTCTCTGCTCCTTGTCTCCGCCATGACGCTCGCGGACGTCTACACCGCTGACGGTCCGATGCACGCCGCATGGTGGGCTTCGCGCATTCTCAACGACAAATTCTCGGCCCATGATGTTGAGCGCAGCATGCTGCATATGCTCGCCGCACTGGATTGGAGCATTCACTGCCTGTGTTCGCCGGAAGCACTCGAGGCAGCGTTACGGATGTTGGCACTGGCGGACGCTCGTCCCATTCCTGTAGCAGCACAACCACTTCTTCCGAGCTCGGCAACCACTCTGACGTGCGATACCAAAAAGTCACGCCCACCCAGGATCGATGTTGACGGTTCGATGGCGGTGCGCTGGGAGCACGGTCAGATAACGCCAGCTGATACGCCTACTTCGACAGTTGGGGACGAACTGGAGCACCGGCTTTCGCAATTGTTATGAGCGTCTGTTGTACCTCAATGTCCTGAGCGTTTCTTGTGTACAGCTATGGGTGGCGTGGGGAGATTCTCGGAGACGCATGTTCGATATCGAAGCCGTTATCCATCATCAGCCGCGTAATCCCTAAGGACCGTCACCGATCCGCTGTTTTCGTCCCAATTGATATCAGTTCGTACTCGCAGAACGCCGATCGAAAGTATCGCATCCTTCTCCGATGGCCAGCTTGCGCTCGCGCGATGATCAAGTGTTGCTTCAGCGCCGCACACGTGCGACGCAGCCCTTCGGCGTGCAGCCGCACATGATCGTTTATAAGGTGTCCCAAAACATGTTTGCATAAAAGCTCCGGCTTATTTTGTTGTCGAAATTGACAACGTTCACATCTCCTCGAGCGGTGTTGCGGATGACGGCTCGATTGAACTCGCCTGTTGCTGGGTCTTGCGAGGCGTCAATGCCGAGTGATCGGTAGAATTGAAGTTTTAGGCTGTTCATGCACACAGTCAGCTTCAAGCGTGCGCCTCGATTCGATGGCGAGACGCAAGACTCACACAACCTCGTCCTCAGCATCACCACCACTCCTCCTCCCGCCTTCGACACCTTCACTCTCCAAGATCTCTAGCTGCGCCTTCAAACTCGCCAACTCGCTGCCCAGTCTCTCAGCCTCAATCTCCGCATCGCTTACTCCCTTCGCGATTCGAAACTTCTCCGTGTCAAGCCTCAGCATTTCGCTCGCGTGATGACCGGCATCATGCCGTTCCTCTTCGAAGTGTTGTTGTGACCGGAGCGTGTTGAGTCGCCTCGACAAATTCTTGAGAAGCGCATGATGATCATTGAGACGGCCTTGTCGCGTCTGTTGCAGCTGAGAAAGGGAGACTGAGATGCGCGATAGCGAGTCCTTGTCTGGCGCGATGTGGAATTGGTTGGTGGTTTCGGAGATCAGCGAGACCGGGTCTTCGTCGAAGAGAACCATGTTGGCAGCTAAAGTTCGCAGTTTGATCTTCCTCAGCGCCGTCGGACTTTATTGGTATCAATGATATTGTTCATCGTTGTTTACGCGGATTGTTGATCAATACATCCCCACAGAGACCGAGGGCGGATCAGCGCGGGAAGGGTCCGCCTCGCAGTAGAAGCTTGGGCCGCTGACGCCACGCCACGCGAGCATGTGGCTCTTGAAGGGTTCAGTCTGCTCAAGCCATGCGACTAGGCTGCGCTTCCACAGTACAGTGAACGACAATTACGCGAAGCTTAAGAAGCGACGATGGGAAGCCTGCCATGTAAGTGCTTGCGACATCTTGGGTGCGCCAACGGATAGTTTGATTGAGATTATGGCTAACATACGCTTCTGGCTTCCAGACGCCGCTGATGCTGAAAGGTATACCGTCCGGAGTACCTACCGCAAGCGCGACATGAACTGAATGTACACTTCACAGCCCCCTCAAGCCTGCCGAGCTCCAAGTTCTCCGGTCACAGTACGACAAGGAAGGCGAATACGTGAGCTTGCAGACCAAATTCAACTTCGCCTGGGGCCTCATCAAGTCCGACTCCCGTCAAGACCAACAAGAAGGCGTACGCTTGCTATCTGAGATCTTCCGCGCAAGCCCAGACAGACGGCGGGAATGCTTGTATTACCTAGCTCTAGGAAATTATAAGCTAGGCAACTACGCGGAGGCGAGGAGGTACAATGACAGCTTGATGGAGTTGGAGCAGGGTAACCTGCAAGCACAGAGTCTGAGGTCTTTGATCGATGATAAGGTGGCGAAGGAAGGGCTTATGGGGGTCGCGATCGTGGGTGGGTTGGCTGCGGCTGCGGCCGTAGGTGTCGGTATGCTTGTGAGAGGAGCACAGAGGGCGAGGAGGTGAGCATGGAAGGTCTTTATCGGAGTATGGGGGCGTTATATGCAGGTGTGGTGGCAAGTCTTATATCCTTGAGTCTCGATGCTTGCAAGCTTCTGTCGAACAACACTGTGGTGGTGGACTTTGGTCTGACGCAATTGGTTGCGGGTATTGAGCCTGCGCGTTTTGAATGACACGCCGGAACTTGTAGTGCGAAGGCATCGACATGAACGTCGATATCTGTGATCGGAATCTAATCGCAATAGTATGCGAATTGGAAGTACATGTACTTTCCATCTCTGGCAGGCACGTTGTGTCGGCGCTATTCGGCCGATGCGCTTGGCCCCACTCCTCCGCTATCACCAAGGTCTTGTCCGGAGGTTGCTCCGTTGTCCTTCGTCTCCACGTTCATGGATGATCCTTTGCAGTTTCGCTGTCCTTCCTCGGTAGTCATTCGTACGTTGTAGACCGGGGAGATATCGTCTGTACAGTACTATGGCAGTCATGCAACCTGCCTGTTTCCTAACCTTGCCCTCGGAATTAAGGAACAGCATCTACACCTATGTCTTCGATTCCCTTCCGGAGTGCGAGGAGCTGGACGCTCCTCCTGAAAGACTTCTACTGCTCTCTGCGCCGATATTTCGGTTCGAAAACCGCACCACGTATCTAGACTCTGCATACCATAACATCCAGGCCCGCCGCAAGCTTGCCGTACTGGCGACATGCCGTCAGATCCACGATGAAGCTCACCTCATGGCCTTATCCAAGACTTCCTTCCACATCAGCGGTGAATGTACCTATCCCGATCTCTTCAACATTAAGTCGCGACCGCTTAATCCCAGCAAGATTGGCGCGATACGGCACCTTACGCTCACGGCGCGTATCAGTCATCTACGAGCGCTGAACGAGACATGGGGTGGCTTGCCGTTTGGGCATGCTGGTCTGGACCTAGATACGCTGACGATCATTCCACGGCGGCCTGACTGCAGCACCTCCGCCTACGCCGAGGTGGCAGACTTGAGCCAAAGCCATACACTAGCCTACATTTTCGCCGAGACGTTGAAGAGCCTACGCAATGTCGGGGCGGTGGAGGTGAGGAACTCGGCTTGCTTCAATGACGTGGTTTGGAGGATTGTGTATCGAAGCCTAGTCTATAGGACGTGGAGGTGGGGTGGTGAGTGCTGTGGTGTGAGGTTCGAGGCGAGTCCAGACGCGGACAATGAGAGAGATGCCTGGTTCAAGGTGCACTTTGGGGATGGCAAAACAGGTAGTGATGTAGGGGAGGAGGTTATTCGCTTAGCTGGAGGGGAGATGCCTGATCGCGATGCGCCTGGAATGTGAGATAGCACAGATAATGTCCCTAAACTTATGGTTACGCCGGATAGTCGAGTAAGCTGAACTGCTCTCGGGACTTATTCCAGCTCGACATCGACACACAGTCTGCCATGTCCTTTCTATGCGTCGTAATCTATGCAATACCAACTGCTTAGTGGTCAGTGCTTCCTGATTCCTCCTTCTTGTAACTCGCCCTTGCGCCACACCGAACACCCTAGACCTCGTGCTGCGGACATGAGGAAGCTTCACGCCTTCATTTACTCGCATGCAACGATGTTCGACACGGGTATTGCACCAGTCTGTGGTTAGGTATTGTAGACCAGCCAGGAGGGTTTGAAGCGTGGAGCACTGGCAAAATAGGCTGAGGTGGTGGTGGTGGTTCACATCGCTCTTAACATCCAGACGGTCCAGCATGGGCTTTTCTGACATCTTCAAGGCATGTGCACAGCCGATGCAAACAGTATGACTACGCTAACAACCACCCAAGGTTGTACTCCTCCCTGCGCTCATTGCGGCAGCAATCTACGTCTCACTAGCCTACATCCTCGTCCCCTTATACCGCCAACACCGTGCCCGCTATAGCCAGTACCTACCCCTCGACACCATCTCCGCGCAGACGTCAACGTTGCGATCACGACTTAGCGATGCTCTCACCCGGATGATCCTGCCTAGCTCCATGCGCTGGCGGGGAGAGGTCGTGGTTGATGCACGGGCCGGAGAGGACGAGCTGGCTTTTGGTGAGGAAGAGGGCGAGAGTATGGTCGGCTTTAATGTTACGAGAATGCAGCGAGGACGAGATGAAATGGGTGGGAGGGTAGCGGATGAACTTGACAGTCAACGTAGGCTGAGTCTCGAGTTGGAGCAGGGTTTCAAGGATGACAGTGAGGAAGACGATGATACGAGGGATGGAAGAAGACGGTAGATTTGCAGTATCTAAGGGCCGCCAGCTGCCCTTCGTCCAAGTTTTGGCTTCATCTCACATCAGGGCCTGCGCGACTGCACGCTGTCGGTTCATTCACTGCGAACACCATGTGACTCTGCATCTCCTTGGTTCAACCTCGACATCACCAATACACCGATCAGCAAGAACCAGCAATCGATATCCTCCCCTAAAGCGTTAAGATGAAAGATGAGCAAACGGGCATCGAGGCCTTTGTGCTGCCGTACGATAGCGAAGAGGCATGCCGTGAATACCGGGCACCGACAAACTCTCCAGTGTATAACTGGGCACGACCAATGAACGCTACATCGAAGCTGCCACAGATGAGCGTTGCAAGTCCGTGTGCCGCCTTCACTCAACCGGAGTACAGCTACCCATGCGCAAGTCCACTATAGCATCGATGGCGGGATGACGGCAGCCTACCGCCATCTCAACAAGCCCGCGTCACGCGAAACGTTATTGGAAAGTATCGAGACCAGGACATACAAATCGAAAGATAAGTGGGTAAAGCCTGGCTTTACATTCGGCGAGTTTGTTAGGGGTAAGCCCCAGTGATCGCCTAGAAACCCAACTTGCATGTGAGCGGTTGATCGTTGGTATCTGAAGACAAGTTGAAGTCTCGTGAAGAAGAGGACCTTGACGCGCAGCGGCGCGGCAAGGTTGAAATCAATATCTGTTTTGGCACATACACTAGGTTTCGGACGGAGAAACCGCTACTGGCAGTGCCCAGCACTTACCTTGAAGGCACGAAAAGGCTTATTGTGGAGAAAGGCCGGACGCATTGCGTGCAGTAGGTCCATCTGGAGCACTTATGCAAGAATCCGGTACTGATTCCTCCATTCAAGGCCACCCAGGTGGAGTTGACCGACAACAACCTTGACCCTAACCTCTGGAGGTCCGAGCCCGCAAGGGAGATCGACGGAGGGCGGGTCTGCTTCACGTTCTACTATGCATCAAGGAGTAAGAAATGAATCTGATGGCAGTAACACCTCGTTGACAGTGCGTTAGTGATACTCGAATTGAAGAAGATCGTTTCTACCCCGGAGGACGGCACCGCCCTTGGTTCAGAGACTGAGGGGCGTCCAGACGGGGCAGGCAATCGGCAGGCTGCAAGAAGTACACCTGCACCAGTGCGTCCAGAACGGAAGACGATGAGGAAGTTGCGATTGTACCACAGCCGGATACTATCGTCACCCACGTTCGGCCTGAGGTCGTTGACAATGAGCTAACCGTCATCTCCCAAAGCACCGTTGCGCGGGGCAATGCGAAGCGTAGTGCCTCCGTACTGGCTAGCTCCCCCATTATACCGGAGGCTGACGGCAAACCGGTCAAGACTGAGCATGACGGCAAGGAGAACGATGCAACTGCTATGGCAAATTGCTCAGTCCACAACACGGATTGTCCTTCAGCGAACAAGCTACGCGAACAGGCCAGCATCAAACTGCAGCTTGAAGAATTCATGATTCGTAGGGAGGAACTCAAGCTCGGCAGGGAGGAACTTGGGCTCAACAGGATGCTGCAGGAGCTCGATGACGGTACGTAAGGATAAAGAAAGCTTGTAATACGGCCTTTCACCGGCAATACGCCTTGGTGGCAACGGAGGCATTCTTGGGGTAATGGAGTATGCTACTCAGGAGCGATACCGTGACTTTACCAATGGCTGTCAGTTCTACGATATTACTTGGGAATCATACGGTAGACTCATGTCAAGGGCAACGTTGGCAACAAAGACATCGGCCTCGCCGCCACGCTGGTCGAGGTGATTGGCGTGCGGTACAGCTATCGTTCTCTGAAAACAATCCTCGCGGGTCCCTTCACTTCACTAACCTCATCAGCACTATAACTTCTGGGGTGCAGAGTCGTTCTACTCCGTACCCTCCCCACATCGGATACGTCCGGAAATTACAGCCTTAGGCATCGTATGCTCACGCCATCTGCTACCCCAGTATGTGGTTGCTGCTCTACGCTGTTATAGCCTCCTAGACTGGGCCACATTGGCTGCAATAATCATCACTCAAAGGGTAGCCCCACCAGTCTAGACCTGGCTGCGGCAGCCCATGGGGACAGCGCTTACCGCCCAAGCGCAAACGATTATTCTGTTGGTTGATCCAGATTTGTTGCAGCATTTGCTCGATGTACGTCGTCCGCTGGTCGAGATAAGGCGAGAAGCTAGGCTGAAAGACCGGATTGAACGGCGCATTGACGTGGTTGTGCGGAGCGTAGTGAGGTAAGTTACTCTGTGGTGATGAAGCGTAAAACCAAGGGTTATTGCTCTGAGGCGAACAGATATGCGGGCTGTTGCTCAATGGCGAGTAGACTCCTTGGCTTGGGTAGTTGTTGAGTGGCGAAGGGCTGTAATTGTAGGGGCTGGCCGTGCTAACCGGAGACGACATGCTCTAGGGATGCGACGCGCTCATGGTCGTTTGTGGGCCAACAGCAGCGATTGGACTGCTGGCGAGGATGATCTGTGAGTGCTTGTTACCCAGTGTGAAGCGTGCCATCCTTGACTATGAGGTGCAAGTCTCCGGAGTAGAAACGAGACAGGAGACTGTGAGACGGTGGCGAATCGAAGGCTTTGCAGACTCAAGCTACCCGTCAAGACAGTAAGAGCAACACAGGCTTTTGCTGCCAGCACGCGTAATCGAGTGCTTGTACTGCTGATCGGATGCAGAGGGCCGCACGCAGTCGTGCAACCCGGAACGCATGCATCGCACCGATTGCCTTAAGGATGCAAGGAGGTCGAAACAGTGTTTGTTTGCTATGAGGAGTGCGGCACGTTGGGTCAGGCTGCCACATGCGGTCAACGACCGTCGTTAGCTTACGACATCTCCGAAACGATGGAAGAGTGCCGTTGTGTTCCGGAAAGGCGATCAAAGCACGTGATGCAAGCTGACTTCAACCCTTAGTGGAAATACACTGTGGCGCAGAGCGATCTGGTGTACTTCATTCTCGTGGGGCCTCTGAAGCGACTCAACCATCAGCCTAGCGAAAATAGTCATTTGTGAGTATCTCATAAACATGTGCGAGAAGCCTCATGGCTGGGGCGAACATTGCCAGTGCAGTAAACTCGAAGTGATCGAAACGCCGTGCCCCATCATTCATAGCAGTGTAGACCCGCACCTGTCGTCGTGCACATCGAGTGATATAGGTGACAGTCCCTTACCACCAACCACAGCCATGTCTCGAGCCTATACCTCCTGGACCACAGAAGTCTCCCACAAGCCCGCCGCCCATCATGCTACCGGTCACCATACCGCCACCCACCATGGGACAGCCCATCATCACCATGCGGGGATTCATCATCATTCCGCCTCCAATCATCATTCGCGGATCGAGCATGGGCATGCCTACGCCGCCACGGCCAGACCGGTAGCCGCCGCTTCCGGATCCATGACCTCCGTAGGTTGCGAGCTGTGCCCCGTTGACCAGACCCTTATAGAAAGCAGCAGTGACTTGGTCATGAACGAAGCCGGAAGTGTCCCAAGATGCGGAAAAGGGACTATAGGTGTCAAGGCCGCTGAAAGACCCTCTGCCACCGCCGAAAGGTCCGAGGCTGCGAGGGCCTAGATACAGACCAATGTCGGTCATTCGATGGCACATTGAGACTCCAGGTTCAATGGCACTGATGCGTCTCTCTGTGTTGGTTATGTCTCTAGAAGGTGGGTACGTGTTGAGTACCTGTGATGAAGGTCGCCGAGGCCTTGCATTGAGAGAGCTCGTTAGAAGGCACATCTTACGTGCTTGATCTCATCCCGGAGCCAGCCACCCTTCTCAGGATGGATCGACGTTCGGGTGCCAGAGTGGCGAAGGCAACATTGTCCAAGCTTGCACAACTGAAACGGCGGCAGTCCGTTGCCGGGGCATCTGTGCAATGCGAAATGCAGAATCGCTTGCGTGAGTGGTCACGCTGGCTGTGAGATCGAGTGTGTCACATTCCACGAGAACACCATTGAGCTTACGCGGCACGTTCAGCCAAAAGCCGACTTGTTTGCTCCTGATGCATCAACGCGAGATCAGCCTAGGCGTCGCACAGTCCCGCAGAAAAGGCAACATGTGCGATTGGCTTTCCTGGCTCGCTCCTTCCTGCCGTCCTGGATGTAAGATGCTGTACCGAAGGGTAGGACAGTGCTAGGACGCCAACGGTTCGCAATGCTTCGCAGGGGTACGCTTTCACGGGTTCAGACGTTGTCGTCAACCAGGCCGACCAATCGTCGCTCGGCAAGCTCGTTGATTTTCTCGCCCAGTATGTCACGCTGGAAGCGGGCTGCTACCTTGCCGGCAGCCTCTAACATCTGGCCGGTTCGGTCACGCATCATGGTCACGATCTCAAGTGCCTTCATGCCGCGCTCCTCACCCTCCCTGCACTCGCCCGCCAACAGCTGCAACAATACCTTGTCCACTTCCCGCTCGAGGAGTGGTACTTCCGCTTTCTGGGCACGTGTAGCGTTCGTGTTCTCCACTAAGTGCAGCTGTAGTGAGTGCCGCAGCGTTGCCCGTACAAATTGCTCCTCAAGCTTTTGTGCGTGACCTAGGTCCCGATTTTCATCGTCCTCGGCAAGGTCTGTGGAGAGCGCTGACACGGGTATCCGGAACTCGAATTCGGAGAGCAGAGGCCGTGGGAAGTACGGGTCACGTTCGCCACCTTTCAGTATAATGCAGTGGAATCTGTCGTTCGCCACCGCTACCGGCCAATAGTTCTCGTCCTTCTTGCCATCCGCGAGTCGATCGAGCGTTCGTGTATCAAGCAGTGGAACCCATTTGGCCTGACCGGGCGTACGCCAGTGTAGCAAGGTCAGCAACACGCCCGACGTGTCGTAGATGCAGGGGTCACCCTTATCGCTGAAACAAATATTGCGTAGCTCAACGCCTTCGGGTAGGGGTAGGATGTCATCGCTCTGACAGACTTCGTCCCGCCGAACGTTTTCGATCGTGTAAAGTAAGCGAGTCGCGCCATCGCCGCCAACGGGGCCGTTGCCTACCGTCATGACATAGTCGCGCCAGCTTGCACAAGTGACAGCCGGTGTACTTTTCTGGCGGTAGACCTTCAGAGGAACGCCGAACAAACTGTAGGTACGGACGTAGCCTGCGGATGTCGTCGCCACCACGTACGAGTCACTGAGTGACATCGACGTCACCTCCTCCCCTGCCGGAAGCTGCGTGCGCCACTCTGTACGTGTTGTCCAAGTCTCATGCGGGCGGTAGAAAAGCATTGCTTTTTGCTGGCTCTGCGCGGACGGTCGACACGAAAACAAGGTGCCTTTCCCGTTGAGGCAGGCCTTGTCGTACTTGTACGGATCTGTGAAGTGAAAGTCGCGATGCTCCTGTCGATCGTAAAACTCTACTGTGACCGTGTGATGAGTCTCTTGGCTGACCGTCCAGACGAAACCTACAAGATTGAGGCACAAATAACGTCGATTGCCTTTCCAAGGTGTGCTGCCAGGTTGGAAGGTGCCGTGCGGCCTGGGCTGCCATGGCATAGAAGGTTGATGGCGCTTTGTGGACATGCCATTCAGCGCACCCGCTGACCTTTTACCGAACGGATTGATCTCTTCGGCATAGCCCGCTCCGTCATCGTCCTCAATGAAATCAGCACCCACCTCAGAGTCAGCGTCTGGCAAGAGTTGGTCGAGATAGTCATCTTCAACGTCACGCTGGAACCCATTGATCTTGTATCCAGGCAACGGGCCCTTCCGTGCATTGCCATTAACTTCAGTAAGGGGCCTGCCGTTGATTGGTGCTGGTTGGAGCGTGACTCTGAGCACTTTTGCGTGTTCGCTTGGCACGAAATCTTCTCTGATAAAGAGCTCGCCATTGTTGTTGGTATAAGACAGGATGTTCTCTGTTGGATGCCAGTCAAGCGACAGGATATTGTTATTAATATCGTCGAATGTTTTCAGCAAGCGCTGCGTTCGCGTATCCCAGAGGCAAAGACCTTTGTTGACGTCCGCCGTGGCAAGGACGGTGCCGTTGGGTGACCAGGCCGCAGTCGAGACGTCAGCCTGGTGGCCACCAGTGAATGCTTTTTGTCGCTGCCAGTCACTTTTCGACACGCATTGCAAGTCTGGACATGGTCAGCTGGCGCAACTGTAAACGATATTGCGAGATAGACCTCTTGTTGCTGTGGGTGCCAGGAATGCACGTCCATCAGGATGCCAAGTTACTTTGGCGCTCGCTTCAGCGTCCGTTTCAAGCGACTTTATGAGCCCCTCGATACGCTTGACCAGAAGCGGTTGCTCGGAGCTGATTGAGTAAACATAGATAATGCCATCGGAGCACGAAACTGTAAGGAGAGACCCTCCGATGTCAAAAGAGACGTGCTTCGCCGGCTTCGACTGCTCTCTAAGGTGCATAATGCGGGTCATGTCTCGTGTGTTGACGACCTTGACGTCCAGCTCGTCGCTAGCCACGGCAACCCACTCTCCGTCGGGGGACAACGCAAGGTCTCGAACAGGCAATGAGCTTCGCACGAGGATATCATCCATGCTGTTCGTGAGAAGGGAGTACTTTGTGACCGAGCCGTCTTCGGCTCCGACCACGAAGAAGTCATTTGTTGCTGCCACGCATGTATGACTGTCTGACAAAACGTCAATGACGGCAGGTTCACCGTCAGACCCATGTTGGAAAATGCGAAATGCCCCGTTCGATCCGACTGTGATGAGCTTCTTGCCGTTGGGAGTGTAGGCCAGAAAGGTCGGTCCGGGCGCATCTATGAGTATTATCAGTGTCTAAGCTGCAGTCTCATGATGGCATACATACGTGCTGGCCGCCCTCTCAAGCGCACCGCCATCGTTGGATCTTTGTTGCGAGAAGATAGTCTTCGTCTCACGCAGCTATGAAGCCTATGAAGTGCTGCAAGTGGGAGACGCGTTGCAGCGCGTAGATTGCGCATGCACGGACCACCGCGCCTCAATCGCTCTTGCCTTTCATGTTGGATCTGTCAAACCACCTTCACTTCGATCCAGCGCCAACACATTCTCTTCCCCGTCGCAAATCTGACACGACACGACACTCCTTTGAACAAATACTGATTCCTCCCAGCTCGGAGAACAACAACAAGCCAAACGATCATCATGAGCAACTCTGTTCGAGGGAGCAACGGCGTCCAGCAAGCCAACGAGCTTGTAGACACGCCTATGGAGTCACCAGAGAAGATGAAGGGCAAGGGAAAGATGGCAGAGGAGATGATGCCTGTGGACGAAGACGACGAAGATGATGAAGAGGATGTACGTCGCCACAGCTTTAAGTAGCGGCCTGAATATGTCCTGCGCCCAATGATCGAGCTAATGCTTTTCGCAGGGTGACGGCGAGCCCGAGGGCGAAGGTGAAGTCGAAGAGCCTGACGAAGACAACATGGAGGAGATCGACACGGACAACATCGTCGGCACGCGCACCCGCGGCAAGAATATCGATTTCGCGGAAGCAGCGCAGAGACTCGCGAAAGAAGACGGTGACGATGACGATGAGGAAGAAGATGATGAAGACTTCGAAGACGAAGACGATGCGATGGAGGACTGAAGTTCGAGTGTTATTGTTGCTGCTAGGCTGAACCGATGCCCACATTGAAGCTGCAGGTGATGATCCCGGCTATGGACGACTCCCACCGACTGACATCTGAGCGGCACAAACACCATCCACGGTTCTAGAGACCACGGCTGACTTACCCTGATTTCACTACATAGGCACAGCATTATGCAACAACCAGCATAGCCGAGCCGTTCGTCACTGGATGCAGCCGATATTGCATATACAGCATTGGGTAGCATAACGGCGAAACGAGTAACTCTCCACATACTGTAGTCACGAGCAAACAGCGTACTGAACCATCTCACGTCCGTCCAGAGCTGCAACCACATGTACCTTGTCGTGCCATAATGGCGCCAAGCAATGGTCACGTGATAGGACTCGGAAGCCGCCGTCCGTAACCGATATCGGCAGCGCCCATGTCGCTGAAGCTGCAACAACTTCCGCCTACACACCCTACTGTTTCTTAGGTTCTCGCCGACACCCTACGTTCTCCACGGGTAGCATCCGTTCCGTTGTCACCCGACTCCTCTTTTCAAAGTCTTCACTTGGTGTGTGACTAGAGCTTTAGTCGCTGACGGTGCCAGTGGCCACGTTGATAATGGCCAGTAGTGGTGTCGAGGGACATGAATTCTTCGTAGACCGTACAATTTCCACCCAAGTACCTTGCGGATGCAGAACGTGAAGCGCACGGCACCTTGTGCGGTCTTCAACTCGGTGAGGTTCAGGCAACCAACGCCCCTTTTGTAGACAAATTTGCGCGGCTTGCGCTCATATACACCCACGTCTCACAAGTGCACGATAAGGCAACAACAAGCAAGATGACAGCTGCAAATTACGCCACGCATGCACCAACACGCCGGTATGCGCACGCTTCATGAATGGTCGAGCCGGCAACAAGCTCTGCATAGCTGCACGGCAATCTCGCGGCAAAACTGAGCGGGTACTGCGGCGAAACGTCAGAAACTGAGATGGGCGAATCAGAGTACGATCGGCATGCATATTGTGGAGTCCAAAGGACATTAGCGGCGAGGGAAGCTGTGAGGCTAAGTGCGTAGCGCACATGTCAGGGCTGGGGAAGCAGGAGGGTCTGCTCAGAATTTATCGAAACTCTGTCGAGAAATCAGCATCTTCTTGAGCCGCATCCCCGGGGTATGTACGTGGAATGGACGCAAAGGAAAAGCTAGAAGGCTTCGAAGGTGCGTGTAGTGCCTTCGAATCTGCCTCGACGTATATCACTGTGTCGACATTACTGCCGCGGTCTGCAATCTGTCGCACGTAGAGTTCGACCATTGAAGCTTCTGTAGTTGCAGCAGGGTGTCAACACTCTGTTCAGATGCAATTTGCAGGTTTGTGCGCCTCGCCCCAAGCTGGCCACCGTGGTAGTTACCGTGGACGAATGCAAGCCTTGTTGAGATCACCCGACAACCAGGTGACCGTTCTATGTATCGTACAGGCGAGAACAGCCGGTGGTGGAGTTGACGCTAGAGAATCTCCACTGAGGCCAAGGGCGAAAGAATAATAAATCTTGCCTCCGCAGCCGTCTTCTTCTTCACCAACCACCTCCTCCGACGGACGACTCCGCAGACGATCAGGCACACACAGCCGTCAAACCGCTTTGCCGTCGTTCATTTATTGCTGTCTTGGTAAGTGTTTCTCGCACCCGGTTCCACATGTGCACGTGAAGGCGAACTCCACGCGGACTCGAGCTCAACCCCACGAAATTTGACTGGGCGGTATCGCGCCGATAAGACGGCCATTCGCTTTCTTTTCCCTCACGCCTGCATTCCTGCAGCTCGACGACATCATCGCTCGTCGTTGATCGTGTTTCAGCCAGCGGTGGAGCTCCGCAGCTGCAAATCTCTACCGCGTGAACGGCGGGACGTGCCAACCAATCGAGCAAGATCTGCTGCCACTGAGTCGCCATCTCCGCGCTCGTGCTCAAGCTGGAGTTTTTGCGCCTCGACTTCCAAACCAAACTCTCACACTTCACTATACTCATTAGCCTGGCTGACTGTTGCTCTCCCACAGCCATCGGCGAACATTTCTGGTGACCGTTGAGCTATAACTCTCTCGCCACACATCTCGAACTTCCACCAAGGCTGCAGTCAAGCACCACTCATCCTACTCGGCATCGTGCCGATAGAATGGGTCGAGTCTCCTTCGCCGACGATGTAACCGAGCGCCGCGTCGAGGAGATTGACGACGTCGAAGATGGCACCTATACCGTATACCCATACCAGAACACACCCGAGAACCAGTCGTGGGCGGGTGCCCTGCCATTGAAGCAGGGTCTGTACGACCCTTCCCTCGAGAAGGATGCTTGCGGTGTTGGTTTCGCTGCCCACATCAAGGGCAAGCCGAGCCATAAGATTGTCACCGATGGTGCGTATACCATCAAGTCCGACATCATCGAATATGCCGCTGACCACGTGCAGCACGGAGTCTCTTGTGTAACATGACCCATAGGGGTGCGGTCGGCTCTGATGCACGAGATGGCGACGGCGCTGGTGTCATGACCTCCATACCGCACAGATTTTTCGTAAAGAATTTCCAGGTTGAGCAAGGCGTCGTGTTGCCGCCACTTGGCAAGTACGCCGTGGGCAACCTCTTCTTCAAGCCGGAAGAGGAGACTCTGAAGGATACCCTGGACCAATTTGAAGGCCTTGCAGACGAGCTGGACTTGCGAGTGCTTGGGTGGCGAGAGGTGCCAAGAGATAGCAGCCTTCTCGGCCCTGCGGCTAAGTCTCGAGAGCCGATCATTCTCCAGCCAGTCGTTGTGCTCAAGCAGGCATACGGCGATGGCAAAGAGCCAAGGCCCGACTTCGAAGATAATTACGATGAGCAGAACTTCGAGCGCCAGTTGTACATATTGCGAAAGCGCGCCACCCATGCGATCGGTCTTCATAACTGGTTCTACCTTTGCTCCCTGAGTAACAAGAACATCGTTTACAAGGGCCAGCTATCGCCAGTCCAGGTTTACGACTACTATTTCGACCTCGTCAACGTCAATTACGAGGCTCACTTCGCGCTGGTGCACTCTCGCTTCTCGACCAATACCTTCCCATCATGGGACAGAGCACAGCCGCTGCGATGGGCAGCACACAACGGCGAGATCAATACTCTGCGAGGCAACAAGAACTGGATGCGTGCAAGAGAAGGCGTGCTCAAGTCCGAAATCTTCGGCGACGCGCTTGAGTCACTTTATCCCATCATCGAAGATGGCGGCTCTGATTCTGCCGCGTTCGATAACGTGCTGGAACTGCTCACCATCAACGGGGCGCTGTCTCTGCCTGAAGCCGTTATGCTCATGGTTCCGGAGGCCTGGGAGGGCAACACGCAAGTGGATCCTGCCAAGCAAGCATTCTACGAGTGGGCTGCTTGTATGATGGAGCCTTGGGATGGTCCTGCGCTGTTCACATTCTCCGACGGCAGGTACTGCGGTGCCAATCTTGATCGCAATGGTCTACGGCCTTGCAGATATTATGTTCTGGACGATGATCGTATCGTTTGCGCTTCTGAGGTCGGCACGATCAATATTGATCCTACCACAGTCGTTCAGAAGGGCAGATTGCAACCCGGCCGCATGCTCCTGGTCGACACTGTCGCCGGCCGTATCATTGACGACAGCGAGCTGAAGCAGACGGTTGCGAACAGAAAAGATTTCAGGGGCTGGCTCGAGTCGCAGTTGCTTGACATGACCAAGATTTACCGCAAATTGTCGGAAAAGGGCGTGGACCTTGCACACACTCCTACTTCCTCTACTGTTCAAGAAGATCCGAGACTGAAGGCCTACGGCTACTCTCTCGAGCAGGTCTCCCTGCTTCTTGCGCCAATGGCTGCTGACTCGAAAGAGGCGCTGGGTTCGATGGGTAACGATGCACCACTTGCCTGCCTTGCCAGCCAGCCGCGCCTGCTCTATGAGTACTTCCGTCAGTTGTTCGCTCAGGTGACAAATCCGCCGATTGATCCTATCCGAGAAGCCGTCGTCATGTCGCTTGGGTCTTACGTGGGTCCGCAAGGTAACCTGCTCGAGATGAATAAGGAGCAGTGTCACCGGCTATACCTCCCTTCACCCATGCTGTCTGTCGAAGAGTTCAATGCGCTGATGCACATCACGGATCTGCACCCTGACTGGAAGGTCGCTACCATCGACATCACATTCCCGAAGTCAGAAGGCATTCCTGGCTACATTGATGCGCTTGACCGGATCTGTGAAGCCGCGACGGAGGCTATCGAGCGCGACGACAGCATCCTTGTTCTCTCAGACCGCAAGATGTCCGCTGACAGAATTGCTGTGTCAACATTACTTGCGACGGGTATGATACATCACCATCTGGTTCGGAATCGATGGCGTGCGAAGGCGGCGCTTGTCGTCGAGACTGCCGAAGCTCGCGAGGTACACCATATGTGTGTTCTAGTCGGGTACGGCGCTGATGCAATCTGCCCGTATCTGGCGATGGAGTGCATTCTGAAGCTGAACCGCGAAGGCTTGATCCGGAAGAAGCTCAGCACGGACGAACTGATCGGTAACTACAAGCATTCGTGCGATGGAGGGATCTTGAAGGTCATGAGCAAGATGGGTATCTCCACCCTTCAATCGTACAAGGGCGCTCAGATCTTCGAGGCGCTCGGTGTAGATGACAGCGTCGTTGATCGCTGCTTCACGGGCACGGCTACACGCATTAGAGGTATGACGTTTGACCTCATCGCACAAGATGCGTTCGCGCTTCACGAGAAAGGCTTCCCCAGTCGTCATATCCAGGAGATTCCAGGCCTTCCGGAGACCGGCGAGTACCATTGGCGCGATGGCGGAGAAGCACATGTCAACGATCCTGTGTCCATAGCGAATATTCAGGATGCTGTCCGTACAAAGAACGACAAGTCGTACGAGGCCTACTCCAAGTCGGAGTACGAGCAGATCAAGAACTGCACGTTACGCGGCCTGCTGGACTTTGACTTCGACACCTGCAATCCGATCCCGATTGAGCAGGTTGAGCCTTGGACCGACATAGTTCGCAGGTTCGTTACCGGTGCCATGTCGTACGGCTCGATCTCCATGGAGTCTCACTCCACGCTTGCTGTTGCAATGAACAGATTAGGCGGCAAGTCGAACACTGGAGAAGGCGGTGAGGATCCAGAGCGAAGCTTGCCCATGGAGAACGGCGACACTATGCGCTCGGCCATCAAGCAGATCGCTTCAGGTCGTTTTGGCGTCACGTCCAACTACCTTGCAGATTCCGATGAGCTTCAGATCAAGATGGCTCAAGGTGCTAAGCCTGGAGAAGGTGGTGAGCTCCCAGGCCATAAGGTGTCGGAGCCCATTGCGCGGACTAGACACTCCACACCTGGTGTCGGTCTTATTTCGCCCCCACCACACCACGACATTTACTCCATCGAGGACTTGAAGCAACTCATTTACGACCTCAAGTGCTCTAACCCACGGGCCCGCATTTCCGTGAAGCTAGTATCCGAGACTGGTGTCGGTATCGTTGCGTCCGGTGTCGCTAAAGCAAAAGCAGATCACATCCTCATCTCCGGTCACGACGGCGGTACAGGTGCTTCGCGATGGACGGGCATCAAGTACGCTGGTCTGCCGTGGGAGCTTGGCTTAGCAGAGACACATCAAACTCTTGTGCTAAACGATCTCCGTGGTCGTGTCGTGGTGCAGACTGACGGTCAGCTGCGAACGGGTCGCGATGTTGCCATCGGCTGCTTGCTCGGCGCAGAAGAATTTGGGTTTGCTACCACGCCTCTGATTGCCATGGGTTGCATTATGATGCGGTAAGTGTTGCTTTGTTGAAAGTGGCGGCCTTTATGCTAACATCAGGTACAGCAAATGCCATCTAAACACTTGCCCTGTTGGCATCGCCACCCAAGATCCGGAGCTCCGAAAGAAGTTCAAGGGGACACCGGAGCATGTCATCAACTTCTTCTATTATATAGCGAACGAGCTACGTGCGATCATGTCGAAGCTTGGCTTCCGCACGGTCAACGAGATGGTTGGCCATACCGAGGTGTTGAAGGTCCGGGAAGATCTCCGCAGTGCGAAGACGGAGAACATCGACCTCTCGCTGATCCTTACGCCGGCGCATACGCTCCGCTCGGGTGTCGCTACGTACAACGTCCGCAAGCAGGATCACAGGCTGCACGTCCGACTTGACAACAAGCTGATCGCAGAGTCCGAGGTCGCGCTGGAGAAGGGGCTTCCTTGCCGTATTGAATGCGACATCGTCAACACTGACCGCGCACTCGGTGCGACGCTGTCATACCAGATCAGCAAGCGCTACGGCGAGAAAGGCCTGCCTCAGGACACCATCCACGCATATATAAGAGGCTCAGCTGGTCAGTCGTTCGGTGCTATGCTTGCGCCCGGCGTCACGCTTGAGCTGGAGGGCGATGCGAATGACTACGTCGGAAAGATGCTGTCAGGTGGTCGCCTGATTATCTACCCGCCACGATCTGCGGTGTACAAAGCGGAGGAGAATATTATTATCGGCAATGTCTGCTTGTACGGTGCAACAAGCGGCACATGCTTCTTCCGCGGTGTAGCTGCAGAGCGTTTCGCCGTCCGCAACTCTGGCGCAACTGCCGTTGTCGAAGGCGTTGGTGACCATGGCTGCGAGTACATGACCGGTGGTCGCGTGGTGATCCTTGGCAGCACTGGCCGCAACTTCGCTGCTGGTATGTCGGGCGGTATCGCTTATGTTCTCGACATCCATCAAGACTTCGAGAGCAAGGTCAACCAGGAGATGGTTGAGCTGTCAGGCCTGGAAGATCCACAAGAAATAGCCTACGTCCGCGGCCTGGTTGAGGATCACCATCACTACACCGGGTCTGAGCTTGCCGCACGGGTGCTGCTGGACTTCCAAAGAGCACTTGCACGCTTCGTAAAGGTGCTGCCTACGGACTACAAGAGAGTCATGATGGAGCAGGCCGCTAAAGAAGCAGAAGCGAAGAAGAACCAGTACCCGCTGCCAATCTTACCTGGCAACGCTGTACGCGAGCTGCACCAAGAGTCAAGGAACAAACAAGCGAATGAAGAGGCCAAGGAGGCGAAGAAGAACGAGCTAATGGATATTGAAGAAAGCGTCCAGGATGGTCAAGCCGAGAAGAAGCGATCCCAGCTTGTTCTCGACAAGACGAAAGGCTTCATGAAGTACCAGCGTCGCGCAGAGAAGTACCGCAGCGCAAAGACACGGACGCGAGATTGGCAGGAGCTGTCTACCCGGCTCAATGAAGACGAACTCAAGTACCAGACCGCTCGATGCATGGATTGTGGTGTGCCCTTCTGCCAGTCGGACACTGGCTGCCCGATCAGCAACATCATCCCGAAATGGAATGAATTGGTGTTCCAAAATCAATGGCAGGATGCGCTCAACCGGCTGCTGATGACTAACAACTTCCCAGAGTTTACCGGCCGCGTCTGCCCAGCTCCTTGCGAAGGTGCTTGCGTGCTTGGCATCAATGAGGATCCGGTTGGCATCAAGTCCATTGAGTGCGCGATCATCGACCGTGGCTTTGAGATGGGCTGGATGGTGCCGAGTCCACCTTCATGGCGCAGTGGCAAGAAGGTTGCCGTTATCGGCTCGGGCCCTGCTGGTCTTGCTTGCGCCGATCAGCTCAACCGCGTTGGCCACGAGGTTACAGTCTATGAGCGCTCTGACCGTATCGGTGGTCTGCTTATGTACGGCATCCCGAACATGAAGCTGGACAAGAACGTCGTACAGCGGCGTGTCAACTTTATGGCAGACGAGGGTGTCAAGTTCCAACCTGGCACCTTTGTGGGCGAGGGCGAGACTACTCTTGAGTCGCTCCGGGAAGCCCATGACGCCGTCGTCATTGCCACGGGCGCCACAGTAGCTCGTGACCTACCTATCCCGAACCGCAACTTGGCTGGCGTTCACTTCGCGATGGAGTTCTTGCATAAGAATACCAAATCCCTGCTGGACTCCCAGCTCGAGGACGGTTCCTACATCTCTGCGAAAGACAAGCACGTTGTGGTCATCGGTGGCGGTGATACTGGTAACGACTGCATTGGTACGTCTGTCCGACACGGCGCCAAGTCAGTCATCAACTTTGAGTTGCTGCCGCAGCCGCCGCCAGAACGTGCGCGCGACAACCCGTGGCCGCAGTGGCCGCGCATCTACCGTGTCGACTATGGTCATACGGAGGTCAAGACGCACATGGGCCGTGACCCGCGTGAGTACTGCGTTATGTCCACCGATTTCGTCGATGACGGCGAAGGCAATGTGAAGGGTATTAATACCATTCGCGTCGAGTGGACTAAATCTGCAACTGGTGGCTGGGATATGAAGAAGCTGGAGGGCACCGAAGAGTTCTTCCCGGCCGACCTTGTCCTGCTCTCCATGGGATTCTTGGGACCGGAGGACAAGGTCATGGGTGGACAGATCGAGAAGGATGCCCGCAAGAACATCAAGACCCCACCGGGCAAGTACAACACCAACGTTGACGGCGTCTTCGCTGCTGGTGACTGCCGCCGCGGACAGTCGCTCATCGTGTGGGGCATTAACGAGGGCCGCATGGCTGCCCGCGATGTCGATTCCTACCTCACTGGCATGGGGACAGTTCTGCCGGTTACTGGTGGCATTGTCAAACGTCCTCCCTACGAGCTCTTGAACAAGGCCAACGGTGCGCCGGCCGAGCTTATCACTGCTGCAGCCTAAAGCGGACTGCAGCATTGTTCTTCCGTTAGATGCAAGCGTTTGTCATGACTGATACCCTCGTTGGAATATACCCTTTCTGGCAGCGTTCTGATATGATATAGACAGCATGAGCACATTTCACAGCGAGCGAGCAGGCGACGTGAGCAGCGAGCGAATGGGACTGGGCAAGCACTGTTTGTACGATTGGAACCGCAGGCCATGAAGCGGGACAAAACAAAGGGCTAAAAGTAATCATGGATTTGACGATTCGGTACGCCTTGGGGCACGGTGTGGGTATCTTGGACTGATATTGTTGATTTTGTACTTAACTCGCTGCTGCTACTGCTTGCTGCTCGCTTGCGTGATGTCGCTGGTTGATAGCTCAGACTTAGTGAGCATAGCATGAATGATCATTTCCTTTCCAGTAACCCAACTTGGACACCAGCAAAAGTAGATGAACAGATTCGGCTGTAAGCGACGGGATACTGGGGATGATCAATGCGTGACCTACCGATAGTGAAGGGCAATAGCAAGCGCACTGTGTCCATGCGAGTGGATTGGGTCATCTCAACCCTGTTCTAACCCGAAGTTTCTGGTGTACACGCGCAACTTTATAGTGTCGACATGAACACTCAGCAGTCATAGAAGAACTGGGAGGACTGTACGGTGTGGGAGCTGTTGCTCTTCAGTGACGAAGGATGAACCTCCCTCCCGTACAGATGCCGCCCCAAAAGGACAGTGTGCTCGCAAAGTCCTATCGATCCACTGACAGCTTGTCAACTTGACAGTGGTAATGGGAAGCCTTTTTGTAGCTCAACACTCAGAATTATGGGGGTCCTAAGGACTCCATGGGTCCGTGATAGCTTGTCAATTTAGAGAGAGCTTGGGAATGATTTTGCACATGTCTTGCCACGGTCTCAAGGCCCGCCTGGAAAGAGACATTGACCGCTTTCCGGGTTCGCCTCGTCACCTTTCTGATCGCAAAGCTGTGTCCTCTTTATACTCTATTCTTTGGGCATTTCCGATGTACACTGCCCGAGCACTTACTCTACAGCTCATCTCGCTCTTTGCTCTGCACCTTCTCCGCATCCGCACTTTCAGTTTCCACCTCTGCCTTCTCCGGCATTGCCATAATCTTCACCACCAGACTCGTCCACCCCGTGAAATGCTGCGTCCGCTGCCCAGCTCCTGTCTCCGGGTTGTACTGCTCCCAAGCGAAGCCAGTGTCACGCCATGAGTTGTAGACGGTCTCAATAAGGTTCTTCCGGAGTTGAGTGTACATCCGTGACGCTTGCCCCTGGTGGGGCCCAGCGTGCGTAGCGGTAATCTGCGAAGTGGTTAGTATGGCTTTTTGAACGACGTAGGACTAGCCGCAGAGGTGTGACTTACGTAAAGCTGCGAGACGATGAGATAGTTCATATTCATCCAAACCGGACTGCGCCAGTAATTTTCCTCCGTACCGTAATGCTCGTCCTTGCGGCTCAGACTGCGGATGCCGTGCTCACTCCAAAGCTCCTCTCTGTCGGCGATGAGGTCCAGAACATCGCGCAAGTGCTTACTCTCTGGTCCGACGAGACCGGTCATGAATGGGAAGATGGAAATGTAGCCCTTGTGGCACACAAGCACATTCTCCTCATATTCGTCAATCGTCGCATCGCAGTACGTCTTCTCGTTCTCAGACCAGTGCAGGTCATCTACATTCTTACTGATGGCCTCATGAATCTTGGCGTACTTCGCTGCGTCTTCAGTTTCGGAGATGTAGGCCGCGACACGCTGGAGCGAGTGCGCCATTAGGCCCATCCAGCTCATGAGGTCAGTGTGTAGTTCACCAGGATGCGGAGGCTGCGGGCGTGGGTAGTCATCGAGGCCAGAGGTAAGGACGTGCTGCACGGAGCGGCCGCGCCAGCGGTACGCCTCCTTTGAACTAAAAGCAGGACGATCATATGACTTGAGGTCGCCCCATTGCGTGCGACGGTACCATTGAAAGTGCCGCTGCAAGAGCGGGTACATCTCCTTCAGCCATGCTTTGAGTATCTTATCGCCGTCGGCCAAAACTTGCTGAGTGGACCCGGAGGCATCGCTTGAAGTGGCAAACTTGTCAAGCAAGGCTTCAAGCACCATGAAGAGCGTAGGAGGATTTGCGTAGTGCGGATACTGCACCTGAAAATCGACCGGTACTTTGCTGCGCGCTTCGGCGCCCAGGATCTGCTCTCGCGCTATCCAGCCATCTTCGTCCATTGTACCAAACCAACTCGACACGACCTGCATAACCAGTTCCGGATCCCAGTCTATGATTGGTAGGAGGTGGAACCCTTCATCCCATAGGAAGCCTCTCGGGAAGAAAGGACGGGAAGGAATCGAGGTGAACAGTTCATACGGGCCCTCAAGCGCCTGGCGGTTCAAGCCACGGGCTTCAGCAGTGTCATGATAGAAGCCTTCGTTCTCCTCTTCGTATGCCGGATCGTACGAGCGGTCGATCAGTTGATCACCATAGAAATAGCCGATGCCACCAATAAGATTAGAGAACAAACTTTTGCTGAAGCGTAGGTAGTCGGAGGATGTGTACGGACTTTTCGGCGCAAGCACAGAACGGTATTTCTTGTCGAACGCACCAACAACACTTGTGATGGCTTTGGTGAGGTCAGAGGAAGTCATCAAAGTCTCCGCAGTAGATGGCTGGTAAGTTACGTCGAACTCAAAAGCACCCTCGAAGACTTTCTGCACTACGTGCATATTGCCGGCTCCAGGTCGGTTTGGAATCGTATAGGTCTGCCACGGTGGTGGCATGTCATCTTGCGTATACTCCTCGACGTAGCCATCGATGGTTGTCTTCATGGAACTGAAAATTATGGCTGTTGGAAGAAGGCTTGGTCAGAATCAGCATCTCAGCCTAAGATGAATGCAGGCTTCCGCAGGCACAACGTACCTTTTCCTTGCCACAATGCATCGTCTGGGACTTGCATGGACTGCACAAATGTGTGGTCGAGCGGCTTGCTTGGATACGATGGGTGGTTAGACAGAGGATGCGAGTTAGTCGTGGGCTCAGTGACGGTCAGCTTGAACTCGCCCAAATCGGTCGATTGACCGCTAAAGACGACATCGCCCTCGTATCCAAGCTCCTCAGCCTCTTCGGTCCCCTCAGGCTCCACCAGGCCAAGTCCCTCCATACTGATGGTAAACCAAACTGCCGTCTTCAGCGTCTGCGGTCCTCCCTGGCTGCCAGACAATGGCTCAGCGTCTTCCCTTGGCGCACCCTTGATCCTCGCGCCCCAGCCACCTTTACCATCGTCGAACTTGACAAAGCTGGTCTCAATGTCGATCCCATTGCCTCTGTCACGCACCGTCTGCACGCCGCCGGTTCGAGGGTTGTACGCATCCCAGCCATATCCGGCCATGCCTTCATGTTGCTCGCACGTATGTCGGACATTGTGCTGGACACTGCTAAAGTCCTCAACTCGCGACCATAGCAGGCCAGTCGCTAACGATTTTGGAAGTCGAGGGCGAACTCCGAAATACAGATTGGGCTTGTAGGGGCCCCATAGCAGAGAATCGTTGCTGGCTTGAGTGAAGACCGATGTATCTTGCGCTGCTGCGAAGGTCGCCAGCAGCAGACCAGCACTCCACTGGTTCAACAGCATCCTAAACAATCCAATGTGTTCGAGCCGTTTATTGCCCCATTGCTGCCGGCTACGTGCAATGCTGCGGCCACGTAGCGATTCACTCTCAGTCCACTCGCTCCAAAAAGTCCGAACTAAGCTTTCAGCCACATGCACCCCGCAACCATTAAATCACGAGTCAGGATGCATGTATCTATTGCTTGACAACATGAATCCGTACCCTCGTTTGGGAAGGTACCTCATTACCAAGGCAGAAATAGACAGAGTGCCAAGATGGACCTCCTCCAGACTGTCCGTAAAGAAGGCTCGCGTGGCGGCGTGAACTTCAGCTGGGACTCCGTGAAAACGTCCCAGCACCGCGAGAACTATCTAGGCCACTCGCTCATGGCCCCAGTCGGCCGTTGGCAAAAGAATCGAGATCTGAACTGGTATGCGAAAGCTTCCGATGCGGACTTGACACCGGAGCAAAGGGCAGAGAAGGAGCGTGAGCAGATGAAGGAGGAGCGGAGGCGGGTGAAGGAGGCCGAGGAGGATGCGATGAGGAAGGCTATGGGCCTGCCGCCGCTGGATAGGGGAGGACTTGAAGGCAATGCAAACTTGGAGCCACTCGGGCCGACGAATACACAAATGGGAAAGGTTAATCAAGCGGTGAAGGAGGCATTGGCGGACGAAACCGAGGAGGTGGAGGACAGATCGAGGTTGCCAGCTTCGAGACGACGCCGAAGACACAGAAGCCGAGAGCCCACGCGAGGTTATGATGGTGACGCTGACCACAAGAGTAAGAGTAGGAGGCGACGGAGGTCACGGACGACGTCTAGAGACAGAGACCGCAACCGAAAGCATCGCCATTACCAGGATGATCATTCGAATGTCGGCAGGCGGTACAGATCACGCAGCAGAGACCATCGAAGAGACGGTTACGAACGACGGTACTACCGACGAGCTGGCTCCCATTCTCGAGATCGTGACACGAAGTCTGAGCGCAGGCGCCTACGCAGTCGGACGAGGTCACGTTCGCCTTACCAGCGCCGTAGGTCACGAGACGAGCGATGAAGTCGAGTGTGTTGGCAGGTTATCGCTCTTGCGACGTGGCACTATGAACCAAGCTAGTTTGAGAACGTTGAAGCACTCTTCCGCCTCCGGGGGTGAACTCGTCTGCCACGGAGGGCAGCCCATCAGTAAGAGGATCGTTGCAATAGAGGCCAAGCAATCTGTCCACGATGTCCTGAACGGCTTCAGCGTGCAATTGCAGCAAATTGACAGCCAAGCGACGGCGAAATGCGAAGCAGGTGCCTTTGAACACCTGATGATATACCAGCTTGTATTCTTCTTCTGGTGCCGTCTCCTCCTTCAGCTGTCCAGACGCAACAGCAGCGTAACCCGGTTCAGACATAGTGGTCCGCGGTTTGCGATCCTTAGATCGCGACAGTCCGTAAAGGCGCATGCCTGCCATAACGATGCGAGAGACAAGCTCTTTATTCTGGTCCTCAATGGAATTGTTTTCGCCCGCAACCGAGATGCTTTGCACGCGTGATAGTGCGGATCGCTTGGGCGCCTCGGAAGGCGCGCGGGCTGTGATGGGTCTCGAAGACGCTACGCTTGGTGATCTCGACAATGGTCTCGTTTGCAAAGGTACGGACTGGCTTGTCGTGCCACTGATTGTTCGACGATGCTTCAAAGACGGCATGTCGCTTTCAGCCTGGACGGCCGCTGCGGCCGCGACACCTTCTCCGCCCTTTCGACGCGCCTTTTTGCGTCGTTCTGCTGCTTCGTCGAATGCATCACTGACATTCCTGCGCTTCCGGACCGGTGGCTCGTGGATGACTTCGGCGAGACCAAGCTTGCGCTGAGGCAGGAATACTGCCTCGATCTCTGGTGCCTCCGACCGTGGAGAGCTTGGTGGGGTAGGCCCTGCTGTCGTCACGTCGAGGTCTGAAGATAGTGCAAGCGCATAGACTCCGAAGGTGCCCTCAGCAGTCCGTACGGCGCCAGTCACTAGTGCACAAGGAGACGAAGGCGGCGAAGGTGGTGGCGCCGTTACTGGCACGGTCCGTGATGCGTAGAAAAGTAGCTCGGTAACGCTCGCGCCTTGATTCGGTTCCACTTCCTGGCTCGTCTCGACACCGACCAGGATCCCTGTGGGTGAGTCCGGGCGACCAGATTCCCACCATGGTGGACTTGTGGCAGACCCTTCATACTGCGGAGTCAATAAACAGCTGCGAAACCATTGCGCAGTTTCTGCGTCTTCAGTGGCGACACTGTACTGAACGCCGGTAAATAGATGGAGTGGGATCAGATGGACGTCAACAATTGCGAGGAAGCGCAGGGCACTCCGCTCTCCAAGCCATGTGGTTGGGTTGTGCTGGGCGGACAAGGTGACGACTAAATCCTCAGCATTATTATTCTTTCCCTCCCCGAGGCGAGGTCACTTACGATGTGAGGTACTGCTGTTGTCTGCGAGAATAACGCCACTCCAAGACTTTGCCATACTGATTTGCTAGATGTGATTTTGGAAGACGCGATCGAAAGACGCGCTCTGGGCCTCGGCTCGACTTTGCTGGTCCAAGCGTAATACTCTAGTTCCTTCACGCATTAAACACAATGCTGCCGTTCCCAATCGCTAGACTGACACCAGCAACTGTGAGCAATGATGGCCGCACAATACGAAAAACTACGATTGCGAACGCTATTGCAGGCTGCACAAGCTGTAGTCCTATTTTCTCGCGTGGTGTTGCTAAATGTCTACCCGATGGTGAGCCTGATTGAGCTTGCCCGACCGCCCTACCAAGGAAGCTGCGGCGACTCTCTAGCTACGGGAGTTTTGCAAGAACTTCATGCTCCTTTTCCCTTCCTTCACGAGAAGAGGATTCAGTTCTACCGGATTATTTACGTGCACTCACTACCAAGAGACGCACAGACGAGAGCTTCCAGGTGCAGGCTTCTTTCTCCGGCCTCTTGGCAGTCAGAGTTGTTCCGCAAACGGCAGGCACATCGTGCTTATGGCTCCATGATTCCTACGCCAGTCTGCCTGGGGATCACGTTTGAGCAGGCAGAGCTGCAGTCGAGAGGGAGCTGAAGCTCGCACTCCATCCCACCGTCTACCGAGTGGTGCACGTGTTCACCTCTGCGCCCAATCGGGAATGCCCGAAGGTGCCGTGGTCACGGTCACATGCAAAGCTCCGCGTGACCTCTTGTCTTGTTACCTACCTACCACTGCCACAGGTTGTACACCTTGTCATCGTCCATACCGTCGTTGTGTATGATCGTTGGTACTTCGCGGCAATCGTTCTCCAAACGGTCAATTCGTGTCCTCAACTCTCGCGCACAGTGCCGAGGCTTTGATCGACACTCGCCGGCTTCAGCCGCCTTTCTTGAGAAGTCCCGCCCGCTATCGTCTCTCAGGTGACTTCCTGTATCAACACGTGAGCGCGCGCTGTTCGAAGAGGGGACCAAGCCGTAACAATGTAAGCCACCATCTCATTGCCGTTTCTACCATATCCAGCACGATATGCCAGCAATGCGCTGCGCGCAGGATCGGCGCTCAAAAAATGCACGCGCGCTCTATCTGAGCGCAATCGCGTCGTCGCTGGCTGCTGGAGGTTATCGTTACAGATAACCCGGCCGTCTTGCCACCGATGTCGTTGGCTTCGGTCCCGCGGTCCTTACGGTCCGGCGACAACATCAAAACGTGATTCCACGTGGTTGTTGGCGTCGTTCAAGCACATGCTGGCGCCCTGCCATGAAGTGGGCAGATTTTATGAGACCAAAGCAGCTGACAGAGTGTATAGATTGAGTATAGCATGTTATTGAATGGACTCGAGACGTCAAAACTGGACGAGTCGTTAGTCGCATAAGCCTGTACGAGTTCGTGTCCCATTCCTAGCAGTCACTAGAATCCGGGAGCGAATTAGCTCCGCTATGGCTGCGATGGCGACCAAGAGGAAGCGGGAAGGAAACGACATTCCTGATCTTCGCCCTGCTCCTGGGATGCATCACGACTTCGACCAAGGCTACTTGCATGCAAGTATCGGAATGGAAAGTACAGATGCAGGTCTTGACTTCAGTAGCATGCTTGCGCAAACCAACCGCGATCCAACTGGCGAGGACGAGGACGATCACGACGAAGACGAGGACCCTGAGCACGTGCAGCATTCATCACATGGCGCGGAGGGCCAAGTACAAAGCGCCAGCGATACTGCCGCTGCCGCTATGGCACAATACCGCAACATGACCATCCCGCAAACGACAGAGCAGACTTTCATGCAACAGCAGAGCGCAGAAGCGCCCGCAGACAGACAAGGCAGTTCGTCGGCGGACCCGAACAACGCGGCGCAACACCGGCCTCAGCGAACAGCCAGCTTCGGCGACTTCGACATGCAGACTCCGAAAGACCGATCGCACGATGCACTTCCGAATAATGGTGACACCTCGCCATCAATACCGCCCACTTCTGCCACTCCGGCCACTCCAAAACCAGCTGTCGGTTCCGATGAGTGGCACAAGGTGCGGAGAGACAACCACAAAGAAGGTAAATTGCGCTATTCCATGTCCACGTTCAACCTGGGATATGTGAATGCTAACACGTGGTGCAGTCGAGCGGCGGCGCCGAGAAACTATCAATGAAGGTATCAACGAGCTTGCGAAGATTGTACCTGGATGCGAAAAGAACAAAGGCAGCATCCTCGCACGTGCCGTACAATTCATCACACAGCTCAAAGAAAATGAAACGCAAAACATTGAGAAGTGGACGCTCGAGAAGTTGCTGACAGAACAAGCCATTGCCGAGCTGAGCTCAAGCTGCGACAAACTGAAGGCCGAATGTCAGCGAGCGTGGGCCGAATGTGAGCAATGGAAGAAGGCCGCTCAGAAGGCTGGCGCTTCCATCAACGACGAGAAAGACGACGCCGACGGCGAAGATGCGGACTGAGCGTGCGAAGCCACTCCAGCGCGAGTGCTGCGCTGAGCATGCGCCTGCTATGTGCGTGATGAAGCACGGAAGCCGCCTACCGGGTGCGATCATGTTCAGCAGGGTGGATTATGCACTACTTTCCTGTTTTGCTGGATTATTGACGAGCGTATTCCATGCACGATTCCCATTGACGAGCGTTTGGCTGCTGCTGCTGCTATCGGCGTTCATGACATCGTGTGGGGGATGGTTGATGCGAGGCAGAGACGTATGCAAGGCAGAAATGTATGCGTGGCGTGATGGCCACTTGCGTTCAACTAGTTCACGAGTATGTGCATATGACAGCATGCTGTGGTCCAATGGATGATCATCACACGGGCTCCAAGGCATGATTCATGATCCATGACAGTGCGCTCGACCAACGCCTCGCTAAGTGCAGGTTTTCCTGTACATCGCAGCAATTGCGAATAATGCATACACATGCATCCATCCTCAGTAGAACGACTCGACCATCGTCTCGCGATTCGTAGTGTTGATCGCACCTGAAGCCATGCCCTCGCCGAGCTTGAAAACTGACTCGATCACGCTCAGCTCGGTTGCGGTGGTATCCAGCCCGGTAACCGCCATCCAGTCATTCACGACCATGCCAGCGCCCACGACCGGGCTGCCTCTGTTGACGCTGCCTGCGACGAGAGGCACTTGCAGCAGACTCGACAGCTCGTCTTGGTCTTGTATTGACGTCTTCGGGTGCACTATGCCGCCCTGATTGGAAAGCGACATGTAGCTGCCAGTCAACACGTTGTCCGCAATCGTCTGCCGGAATACTTCGACGCCGAGTACATCGGCGATGATCTCTTCGGTCTCTCGCTCCAGATCCGGATGGACAAGTGCTACGTGGTCATTCGAGCATATCACGTTGCCCAGTGCTGACAGCCGCTCTTCAATCCGCTGAATCTTGACTTCGTCTGGTATGGAATTGCGCAGGTGTTGTAGTTCCTGGTCTGTCGTTGTTGTAGGTACCAACAAACCTTTCCGATTGCCTGCGGTAAGACGTCCGATGATGCGGGTGCCTGCGATTGTGCAGTGACATATGGGGATGACGTCTTGTAACTCGGCTTCGAATACGCTGTAGAAGTTCTCTGACGCGCCAATTGCAACGAGCGCATACGAGTTGGTGAGTGTCGAGAAGACGCCAACTCTGCTTAGATGTTAGAGAGCGCTCATATGCCCATTAAGCGTTCGCGCAGACCTACTCGTTGCTGTTTTCGAAGCTTGCTCTAACCGCCATGACTGTGGATTGGCTAAGCTTGTAACTGGACAGGTCGCACCTCCTAAATCCTTCAATTGTGATGTTGCAGTGCTAGGGCGATCCGGCTACTTGCTTTCTAAACAATGAAATTGTGCGATAGAAAGGGCACACGACCTACACGAACCTTTTGAAGGCGCAGTTGGACGTCAGAGTGGTGCCTGAGGCTAGCTTTTTGTGGACAGTTTCAATTGAGTCACATCTACGGCAGTCGGCCATGCCACAGACACCAATCAAGTCACTCGAAATCACATCAACCCCAGCTACCGAGATGTACACTCAGGATGAATCATGTCGACGACCGACGGGAGAGATGGTCCCGCATTGCCGTACAAGGCAAGCACGCTTTCACTTCTATAACGACCGAGCACTTCTCACTCCTGGTGCTCCGTGGACTCATGAGTAGGACGGCAACCCTTCGATACGCTTCCCGCCTGCAAAGTACTGGCATGGCCGGTCGGACACAATCTCCTTAAGCTGACGGGCGCGCGCATGTTGACAGTATATCTGTACACGTACCGTTCACCCACGTTCACAACCAGCGGTATGGTTGCCCAGAATGCTCTCCACAGGCAATTACCGTGACGCACTCCTCAGTCGCATTTTAGACGAGCAGCCACGGACTTGCAAGAACGTCGGCTGGTTGCAGCAGACTCGCGGGCAACCGTTGGGAGGTTTGGCGCTTAAACACTTGATAGCAAACACTCGTAATCCGCCTCGGTCGTGCTGTGCGCCATCTTCACTTCCCGACGGGTCAGAGCATTGCGAAGACAGACATATTTAGCACTATGGTTGTACCCAGTAACAGTATGAACGCCAAAGCGCCACGCTCATGCCGCACAAATGATTTGCAGGAACCCGATGCGAGTCAATGCTCGATGGGAGCAGCCGACAGAGTCCACCTTGTACGCTGCTGCACGACATACGCGATACTGGAATGAGAAATCAGGCTTCAAGCTTGCGGAAAGGCGTTCGGATCGCATGCTTATCAATGGACGGCGAAGCAGTTATTGTCATCGCCATGATCGTAGACAAGCTGCTTTAGCTCCGCAAGGCGGAAACAGCGGTCAAGCTCGTTCTTTGTGATGTGGCATCACTGCGTGCCACTTGGAGCAAACGTGGGAGCAAAATTCGAAGCCTGGGCGATGGCACCATGCGTGAGTGAGCTTGGGATGTAGCTTGCTGACTCGGGCCTTTATACATTAGTCTCCTCGAATAGGGTAGACGAATAGGAAAGGCTGACGAGAGAAGGTTAGGCTTGGTCGCCGGGCTATGAACCGGCAGCCTGGACGGCGAGCACGGGCGCCGTTTCGGTGCCGCCGCTAGAGGCGCTCATGGCTGGACCCTCTTGCGTCTGCTCCAATCCATCCGTGGAAACCATTCAGGCTCCCTAGCTGTCGCATTATCGCGCTCGCCTTTTCCTACGTGTATCATGCCTTTTCCTCTCAGCTTGTTTCCTTTCTCACGTGTCCTCTACAGCCTTCCTTCTCTTCTCTCATGCTTTGGCGATACTGCACATCGCACAACATTGTTGCATTCCTCCGCAAAAACCGTAGGACCCCTCCCTTGCGTCAAACAAACAGGCACACCTAGATGGGTACCTGAATGAGCGCCTCTGTCCTGCACTCCTGGCGCGCGATACAGCTTACGCGCTGCCCAGCACAAGACGCTCAATGCCCTGACAGCCTCAGTAGATCTGCGGAAGGGGTTTGCTGGCTGCAGGAGAGGGCGCCCGCTACCGCCTGCTTTGCACATTATCTGGTTACATTACATACCTTCGGTGCCCTCCTTGGTTTGTAGCCTGGATCTGGGCGATATATTGCTGTTCTGGGACCCAACTGCGTAATTCCGTAATCTTCATCGGAAACTCTACTCATGCACCAGTACGTACATTCAAGGCCCAGCGCTCAGAGGCTCAATCGCACAAAGAACGCTCGACCGCCTCGTCTCCGTCACGCGTGCGATGCTGACAGAGCTCTCAACTCTAGCTTCCCTAACGCCTTCACTCTTCACGCTCGTGACCTTTAAATCGAGCCCTGACCTTGTCATCCTGTAGACCGCGTCGCGTGACGACTGCCACGGCTCAGCTAGCGACCTTTCGACTGTTACATAACACAGTTAGACTCGACAAACACACAATTGCATAGTGAGCAATCAGTCATTGTATATTCACACTTGGCCTGCCACGCTGCGCAGGGCGAATTCAAGCCCAACCGTCTTCGGGCCTAGCACAAGGAGCCTACTGCGCGGACCCCGACGTCATGTTGTCTGCCATCAGCGCACCATGGGAGCAAAGCATCTGGAGTACAGGGAGTTCGTCGAATGGCTCATTGAGAAGATTAGGCTCCGGACAAGCGTCAAGGGACATTTCAGAGGCAAGTGAGGCTTCGCGACGACCAACCACGGCGCAATCGGAGGACAACGAGGTCAAGAAGGGTTCAGTAAGCCTGGTGAAAGATTCGCTGCCTCTGGATGTGCATGGTCGCCTGGCTGAGAGCGGTACGGGTCGCTCGCACTCACAAATCGCCTTCGGCGAGAGTGTAGCTCAGCCAAGGACTTCCAGCATTAACGCTGTCTCCCAACCGTTCCCCTCAACATCCACAAACTTCAAGTTCCAGCCGAAGCCGCTGAAGCTTAGTATGAACGCCACGGCAACGTATCAGCAGCCGCCTAATTTGCAGACCTCCACAGCCAACACCTCCACCGACATGTACTACAGTTCGCCGATGACTGTATACACCAAACAACGCGAGACCGCAAGCAGACCACCGAAGAAGGACTCGATCACTTCGTACAAGGCTTCCGCGACGCCCTCGCCCACCGAGCAGCGTCTGGTCAGCCATATAGGATTCCCGCCACTCGGTGGAGAGTCGATCTGGACGAAGCCATTTGGGGGCCCTCGATGGCAAGCTAGCGGCCCACCTGTGTTCAACGAGCCCAACTATTCTTTCTGTGCTGCTACCTCGACAAGAATAGGCACGTCACTCCTACCACCGCAGAAAAACCGCGCTCTCCAGGGTTTTGTAAGCCAGCTCGGAGACGATTACGACCAGAGCTTCGACTATTCAACTTTGCATGAACCATCATGGCCCTACAATACTCCAAGCTTACCACGATCCGTCAATGGAGGTGCTGAACCAACCATGTTCGCCAGATACCGGAGTGGACTTGTCGTGAAGACCGATTGCGCGAACCAAGTCCGGAGCAGTGACGGCCCCCAGACCACATACCCGAAACACGATCTCAACACTCGTGTGCCGGTGGGCAATGGAGGACCGCCTTTCGCCAATCCGGACGGTCAGCTTTCTGCTGGACTCGACCTTGGCCGTGTGCAACCTTTCGTTCCGCGAACAACGCAGCCCAGCCCCTCCAACGTGTCTGGGAACGGTAGCGCGCCATATGTATATCCATCATATCTCAATGGAGGTACAAGGCATGCCAGCGGGCGGATGCCCAACTCGGCGGATCTGCGCTCATTCAGCGATGCTCAGATTCCCCACGTGCACAACACAAGCATGCAGACTTCGCAAGCTTTGACCTGTCATTCGTATGACGCCTTGAACGGCATGCAGATGGCGCCATGTGTATCATACATGCCATATGTGCCGCCTCACAGTGTACAGGTCGATCCGCATACTGGGCTACCCGTAAGCGACAATGTACAGAGTATTCTTCTATTCGAGTTCAAGTCGAACACTAAGAGCAGACGCTGGGAACTGGACGATATATACGGACACATTGCGGAGTTCGCCTGTGATCAACATGGGTCACGCTTCATTCAGACCAAGCTCGAGCTGGCCGACTCTGATGAGAAGGAGCGTGTCTTCGCCGAAATCGAACCGAATGCGATTCCCTTAATGACGGACGTTTTCGGCAACTATGTCATTCAGAAGTTCTTCGAGCACGGTGATCTGCGACACAAGACGATCCTGGCCGGTAAGATGCAAGGACAGGTGCTCACTTTGAGCATGCAGATGTATGGCTGCCGTGTGGTACAGAAAGCGCTCGACCATGTGCTCATCGACGTTCAGGCTGTGCTTGTAAGGGAGCTGGAAAACCATGTTCTGAAATGCGTCAAAGATCAGAACGGCAACCATGTCATCCAGAAGGCCATCGAGCGATGTCCGACGCAGAACATTGGCTTCATCCTCAACGCTTTCCGCGGTCAAGTGGTCAGTCTAAGCATCCATCCATATGGGTGCCGCGTCATTCAGCGGTGCCTTGAGCGCTGTGACATGCAATCAAAGGCCATGATTTTGGACGAGATCTTTGCCGGTGAGGGCATTAAGGGGATGATCACCGACCAGTACGGCAACTACGTTGTCCAGCATGTTGTCAGCCGGGACAATGGGTGCGCCAAGCAGCAAGTGCTGCAGATCGTCTTCGTTGGGCTGGAGACATACAGCAAGCATAAATTCGCAAGCAATGTAGTAGAGAAGTGTCTCGAGCAAGCGGATGACAGGTGGCGGCATGCTGTCCTTCACAAGATGGCCGACATGAACCAGCACCGAGTAGAGGGCGATGGTTACGTTGCTAGTCTGGTCAAAGACAACTATGGCAACTACGTCGTCCGTAGGTGCACTCGTGCTACTCTTCTCACTGGGGATGCGTGCTGACGTTGTGACGCAGAGAGATTGCTAGAAACGCTTTGCCAGCAAGACTTTGTCGACTTTCTCGAGATGCTTCACCCAGCGATGCATCAGGCGAAGAAGACTGGCTGCGGTAAGCAGGTGCAGTCGATCGAGAAAAAGATGCACCGCTTCCCGTCACGCTGGAACTGTCTCCCCGGTGATGCCTACAATCCGTTTCCTCCAAATCTGCAAACAGCACCTTTCTCCAGTCGCTTCGTCTCCGCAGCAAATACGCCACCTCCGCTGACGGCTGACACACAAAGTTTGCAAAGCTCGAATCTACCAAGTGTCAATGGCGACACAGTCGAAGGTGCGGACCGCAGTCGCAAGGGTAGCGAACAATCTCAACAAGATGTCAGGTGTGGTTCGCATCTGTCTTCAAATCACTGGAATCCGTAATGAGGTTCACGGCGCCAGCAAGTCTGTGCCTTTGTTGGTGCTGGAAGGGGTGTAATAATCGGCACGGTAGCCTGGGGCTTGCATATGGTGCATAGCGATGTGTGGAAATGGGCTCGGCGTATGTTGGGACGCATGGAGATGGGCATCGGTAACCGGACGGGGGTGAGGGTAACAGGTCTGCTATCGCGTGATATGAATTACGACTGGTATGATTCAAAGCGAGTATCTTTATGGCTCGCGGACGAGCAACGGACGATATGGAACTGTATGCTTATCCTTAAGACAGTAAAGATCTAATTATTCCGCTCATGCGCGCCACGGTACCTTCTGTCCGAAGTCTTGTCCGACTATCAAGGCTCGCGGAGAAGAAGATTGTGTACGATCTTTGACTCCATCGCATCTGCCAAAACCGTGGACACTGCGTACGTGACCACCCCAAATATTCACGTCGTCAGCACTCATCGGCACGTACTGCCACTATCTACCGCACAAGCACACCTTTGCAGGGGATCTGGACTGTGCAGGTGATTCGCTTGCTAGGCACCGGTAGTCCTGCTATGTAAGCTGCTGACGAGTCTCCGATCATGCGTGATGACGGAGTTGGATTTGTTCAAGCAAAGCAATCTGGGCCATCATGTTCGAAACGTGCAATATCTGCGTCCAATCACAACGCTACTGCAGCATGGTAGACAAACGAAGTAGCGCCACGCGGTGTGCGGGCGGCACAGCCTACGATTTCGGACCCAGTCGTGAGTTGGGACGAATCCCAAATATCGCGCTTCCGGAAAGTCGGCACCACGGAAGATGGCGATTTGGAGGAGTATGATGATAGTGTCATCCTCTCGCTCAATCAGCAGCTGAGTCGGAGGCTAAGCATGCGTTCATTGCTTGTGCATAGGCCCAAGAGCTTGCAGAAAGCTTAGCTCTCGGCATAGGCATGCACGGTATCTAATTGATTGCAGGTAAGAGGCGTCAGGCGTGACGATTGCGTTGCGCGACCAGCTCCAAATCGGAGGGATGGCGCAACACGACGGAGCAGGTTGGCTGAGCCGAACATGAGAGTAGGTATATAGCTGTTTCCTCTTCACTGTCCCGTCGACCCCGATTCGCACAGCATCCATTCTGAGGTACCGATTGACCGTGTTCTGCCCCAAAGCTCGCATACAGCTCAAAGGCGGACGAATCCTTGACATGGCAGCTCCATCAAGCACAGATAAGCAGCCTCTGCTGCCATCGACCGAGCCTAACAATATCCTCCCAAAAACCGACATGAGTAGAGAACAGGTGATGCAAGAGCTAAACCTCGACATTAACAAAACTGCTGGATCTCGCCATCACAACGCTCGGCCGCTCGCTCGCGAGGAGATGCAGCTACGCCAGGAGGGTGCCTTCGACAAACGAACCACCGAGGAGGTGCGCAACGAAGAGCACAAGGAGCGTAAACACAGTCTCTCCGACATGCTTGCGCATCCATCGCACATCCCGCACCCTCACCTGGTCCATGACCCCAGAGCTTCGATTGCGAACTCGAGTCCCCTGACTGTGGTCAGGGATCCAAAGTCCGGAGATTACATTGTAAGTGGCTGAAACCGACTATCTGCTTGCTTTGACATGTGTAAGAGGCCGCTAACGGTTTTGCTTGTCCCAGACGGCGCCCAACCCACATTGGCCGGAAGAAGATAGCTGGAAGCGCGAAAACGTCAGAAGCGGAAGGGGAGACGACAGCACCATTGCACCAGGTGGGGTCGGCGGCGTGTCTTACTTCTAGCCGTTTGGTCATGGCCTGATGACAGACCGTCTGACAACTGCACGGTTATGGCTGGGCATATCCTTGGTCTTTAGGGGGTTTGGAGGATAACTGTCGTAGCAATGTAAGCTCCTGAAGGCATGATTTATGATCACCGCGGGGATTGTGTCTCACTCAAGCGCCTGGGGTAAGTGTCAGCCGTCTCAGAGTCCAGGGTGAGTAAACAGTGAACATCTGATAGAGCACAGCCCTGACCGTTGATAAGAATGGCACGGTGACCACACTTCATCATATCGAGCCTTAAAGGTCGCTTGAGGACTGTCGAATGTCTTGCGGCCCACCGTTCAAGCTGACCTTCAGGGAGCGGGTACTGCTTTGCACACGTCTTGCCGAGTAGTGACATTGGCCTCTGCTTGCACCTCACGCACATTCTTCACTGCCGCAACCAGTTCCAGACTTAGTTCCAAGAAGAAGAGGTCAGAAATCGCTGCCTGTGCGTTGTAATTCCACGGCGCTAAGTATGTTCAACCGGGCCACCAACGGGGGCCCGTTGCACGAGTGCTACTAAAAGCTGCTCGTCTCATGTCTTCATGCTTCTTCGTAGTCCATCCGCGTCTGTACGAAGAGCAAGAGCGTGGCGCTTGAAGACTTGTTGAAACCCTTTGCCGCCGGAACGTAGCGGTTCAATTCGAATGATCAGCTTGCCAGTACCATTGCTGCGCCGATGGAAGGTTACATTGCACGGTGTCAGCCAACGCTATCAAAAGTTCCGGTCTTCTTATATCACGATCCTCTCGAAAGCCTGCTGCAACACCTCCTTCCTCGCGCGGTGCTACAAAGCAATGGGTCTCACAGTTAGCGTTTTTTCAGACCGCAGGCCAGGCTTGTGCCTCGCAAATACGTACCATTTCCAGACTCCCGCCGTAGCGGAAGTTGCTATCCATGATCTCCAGCATGCGTGCAACGTCCTCCTTTGCTCGATCATAGACGGGATCATACTGAGGCACACCATTCATATCCTCGTTTGACGACAAGGAAAGCAGATGGGCAATGAGTAAGCTCTCCTCGAACGCTCTATGTTGGAACACCCACCAAACACCGGCTTCGCTTTCGAAGAGGCCCCAGAGCTTGAAGAACGCCCACACAGCTTCGTGAGCTGCTTCCAATGCGCATTTGACGTTCGCCTCGACCCCAGACGCTTCGTTCTCGGACGCTTGCAGCAGCATGAGACAGTGGTGGTAGTTCGACGTCAAGAAAAGATTCTGCCGCGCAGCTCGAGGGTGCAGCGCCGCTTGCTGCTGTAACATTCCGTAGTCCAGATTGGTAAGGTGACTGGGGAAGGACTTGTAGAGGCGCTTAAAGGCAGCAATGAGCGAGTCCTTGTGCCGTGGACTGTTCGCTAGCGGCAGCGACAGTGAGCAAGGGGACGACAAGTTCTCCTGCACAAGGTTGCCAAGGTGCCACATGCTCCGCTGGTATGCGACATCGCTCTTCATCGTTCCAGGGTCAACTATGTGGTGCGGCATAGGCGGCGCCAAAGGTTCACATGCTTGAGGTGCGATAACATTGATGCTCATGAGGTTCTCTACGCGCGAATGAGTACCCAGACACGTGTCTAGGCCATCCATGCTGAGCTCGTTCTCATCAGCCAGAGACTCAACGGGTACATCACTGTGGGTCGCGGTTGGTGGCAACTTGAGCAGCACCGTCAAGAAGGTATCCTGGAAGAAGACAGCCTGCCACAGCTTCCGGCGTTGTTGCTTCTCTAGCACCGGCGCATCCGGCACGACAATATCTGGATCTCTATGTAATCGCATCGCATACGCTTGCCGCAGGTGTATTCCAGCCCAAGCGTAGGCATCAGAAGCATGGTTATCGTTCATCAGGAAGTAAGCCATTAGTAGCATAGCCTGAATTGCACGCATTGATGTCCGATTAAGGTATGAGTACACTCGTAGAGCCTGGTTCGCCGCTGAGCAGTAGAACTCCGCGGTCTGAGATCGCTCCTCGTATGACGGGAAAGGCATAAATTGCGTGCCAAGTGCATACATGGCGTACTGTAGCGCCATGAACGAGGCATCGGCTAGGTTTTTCTCATCCGGGCTAAGGGCCCAGAACTTCTCGTAATCTGCGTAAAAGCTCCGTCGATGAAGGAAAGGGTAAACCGGATCTACGACCTCGAAATATTTCGCAATAAGGATGTCTGCTTGTTCCTTGGATGGCATGACGCTGATTACTTCCGGTAGGCCGCCAGAACATGTCCAGTAATTGGAGAAGGGATGCTGCGAACCAACGCCGAATACGTTGGAAGGCGTTGACTGCGCATACGGCACATTCGACAGCAGGTACGGCGACGAGCCGTTGGAGGACATCGACTTCCGATGCGCTCTGTTCTCGATCGTGACCCAGCCATTGTCCGTACTTACAGGCGAGGTAACAGCTAAGGAGGATGTACTGGCCTTACGGACCTTACCAGGAGGCTTCGTCACATACCTCGCCTTAGTGTTGGCACTGTTCTTGCGGTCTGCGGACGCAATGAGGTTCGCTACTGCCGTAAATTGACAGTTTGATTGCCGCTTCACGCAAGCAAGGCATGGCCTTGCCCGGTCGCACTTGGTCTTCCGCTCCACGCACTCCAGGCAAGAAAGCGTAGGCTTGTTACGCTTTTGCTTGGGCTTGATAGATTTCTCGTCCGCCGTTCCGTTGATGCCATTACTTTCCTCCTTGACAGAAGAACACGGAAAACCAATATCATTGGGCGAGCCACTGAAGGAGACGTGGTGGGATTCGCCGGCGCCGTTCAGAGTTGGCGGGGAGTCTACCACGCCGTCGAAGACAGGCTCAGGTTCTTCTTGTACGGCTTGCATGACCATCTCGTCCACGACTCAGGTAATTGGCTAGTGGAGTCGTTCCTGACTGCTCGATACCCGGAAATGAAAAGATGGCGTGTTTAAAGCCGGCGACAACGGCCAGTGACAGGGCTTACCCTTAGCCGGACACCACGCCAATGCACGGGCACGGATTGAGCGACTCAGATCATCGAAAGCCGGGAATAGGAGTGCTGTACAACACAGTAAAGTAGCCTTCGACTCCGTTGCGTCGAGGTGAGTTGTTGGCAGTTGCTGCTCGGGAACCGTTCGTTCTTGCCCACGTCAAGTGCCATTGGCACGTCAGCTCTACCCCTCTCCATCGATCCGAGCGGCCCAACCTTGTTTAAGCCACCATTTACGAAGCGACGCATGTGAGCCTTAACCATCGGAGATGCAGCAAGGTCTTTTGCAGCTTCACGCATGCTGGCCACGGTGATGTCTACGGAGAGTCCTCTACCTAACTGCTTCTCCGTTGGCTCCCTGCGATGGCAGACCGTACCTTTGCTGGGTAGCCGCATTCACCTCCAGTCTGCTACTGCATGTCTAAGGGCATCATACGAATCTATGACGGCCGCTGATATCCCTCGGCATCTGTACTGTTTGCCAGCTGCTCATACTTGGGGTACAACTCAGAGTACGTCTTGATCTTGCCCATTATGGCTGTATAAGCATCTGAACCTATGACGGTCCGCAGTGGAGGATCCTCCATCTTTGCGATTTCCCACATAGCCCTTGCGCCCTTAGCGGGATCGCCGGCTTGAGTGCCATGTCGTTTGCCTAAAGAGTAGGGTAAGCAAGATGTGCAAAGCTGAGGTTGGACCGTAGCACTCACCCATGGTTTCCTTGGCGTCAATATGATCATAAGCCTGGATAGTGTCAGCCGCAGCTCATTCGCCAACAGCATGGTAACGCAAACCGGATTCTTATTTTCTCCAAAGATCATACTCCTGCCAGCCCAGTCCGTCCGGAATCCTCCTGTAAGGCGGAGGGTGGAACCATTAGCGATGCCTTCAAGGGGTAAGGCCCTACGCCCTCCAGGTACGTACCAGGCTCAATGCAGGTGAGTTTGATGTTCCATTCTGGCTTGAGTTCATGGCTCAGGGCTTCTGTGAAACCCTCGACCGCCCATTTGGACGCGCAGTAGATGGAAAATGTAGGAACACTGTATCGTCAATGGTGTCAGCCACGGTATTTGACGAGCTACAAAGGGTGACGGAACGCACCCCCGTTGGCCGCCAATGGACGTGATCTGCTGGATCTTGCCTCCGGGAGGACTGTTCTTCTCCCGCATAACCTCCAAGGCCTTACGCGTGACATTGAGGAGGCCGAAGAAGTTAACCTCCATTTGCGTTCGGAGCTGGCGTTCAGACAGTGATTCGAACTCGCCACTTAATCCGTAGCCTGCATTGTTCACGACCACATCAACGCGACCGAATTGGGACAATGCTTTGTCGAACGCAGCATCAATGGACTTCTGTTCGGTAACTAGTACATCGTCAGCTCAGCCCGGTATAACTGGTTGTTGGTGACGAACCATCGCAATCGACGGCGAGGAAGTTCTCCTTCGTAGTGCCCTCGAACTGCAGCTTCGAGCTGTTTCTCGCGGTGGCCACGACTTTATCACCTTCCGACAAACATTTCTTGACAAGTTCGTAACCAAAACCGGTAGAAGTGCCAGTGATGAAGACTAGGTGCTGATTAGCTCGAGGTCTGGTCTTGCAAACGTCCGGTCCAACGTACACACTTGTGATTTCTGCGCGGGTGCCATCATGCAATGTACCAGTAATGCGAAAAAGATGTTGACGATCTGACACGACACAGCACGTAGCGCTTCTACATCAACATGTATATGCAACGAGCTTTAACTTCATCAACGTCGGTACCTTGACGTCACCGTAACGGCTTCACAGGACTAACTCCGCGCAAACACCGACTTTGGGTGACGGAGGTAGGTTATTAGCACATCGGTAAGCACTGGTGTGCAAGCTGTTCGGAGCGATAGTGGCATTACAACACTGCAGCTGGAGACAGCAGGCGGTGCCAAGCCTATTAATCTCGCAAACCAGTCCAGGGCTCAGTCCAGCTATGTCTCCGACCACCAACCCCCGGTCCAACCTGGCCTCTGCCACGAGCTACCGCCAAATGATCCGCTATTGGGAGGGTTACTTCCAGTAGATGTGGCGCTGGGCGTGGCGCTGGGCGTGCCACTGGCGGATGTGCCGCTTGTCGAGCTCACGCTCACAGAAGTGAGGCTCGCAGGCGTGCCACTTGAAGCTGCGCCGCTTGCTGATGCGCCGCTTGCTGATGCGCCGCTTGCTGATGCGCCGCTTGTTGACGAACCGCTTGTTGACGAACCGCTTAACGCACTGCTCGGAGACGTGCTGCTTTGAGCCGAGCCACTTGTGGATGCAGTCGTCGACGAACCGCTTACGGTGGTACTGCCAACCGTTGTGGTGCTGTTACCTTGGAAGGATTGCTTCAGAATCTGTGGTTTGCGGTCTTGCAAGTCGAGAATGCATTGGCCGAACAGACCGTTTGCCCAAGAGAACCTGGCTCATTGTCAGCCGCAATATTTCAGCGTGGGTTCTGAGAGGGACTCACCACTGCCGAGTCCAGTCGCTCACATTGAAAGTATTGATACTCTCATGAATCAAACCAAGCCCATCAGTACTGCTAACAATCTCCTGCAGTTGCTGTGCAATCTCTGCGTCGTCGTTGCTTGTGAAAATGCGGACAATGGACGCCATGGGCCAAGCAAACCCAGGCCCGTCATGGGCACCACCGATGGAGTTGATGACCGGTCCGCGCATGAAGTAAGGGTTGTTGGCACTGAGCAAGAGCTTCCGGGTATTCTGATACACTGTGTCATTGACGCTCAAGTAGCCGAAAAACGGTGCGGCAAGCAAGCTTGGAATGTTGGCATCATCCATGATGTTCTGCCCCATATAGCCGTCGACCTCGAACGCATAGATCTGACCGTACATCGCGCTGCTGACAATGCCGTGGTTCGTGATTGCTGTCCGAAGGTTTGATGCTAATGTACTCATCTGGCTCGCTAGCGCAGTCTCTCCAATGACGGACGCTATATCGGCCGCAGATGCCAGGTAACGCGAGAACATCATGTTGGCTGGGATGAAGCCTTGGAACTAAAGAACGAGCACTCATCAGCCAGAGGCCCGCATTTCGGGATGAGTCAACGTACAATCGTAGCATCATCAGACGGTCTGAAGAACGAACGGATCAATCCAGTCCCGTTGTTGAACGGGTTGCCCAAGCCACCATTTTCCGTGGTTTCGGAAGCTCTGTTCGTGAGGCGAGTGAAACTGTACGACAGTGTACTAACGTTGCCGTTCGCCTGGTACGTTGGGACTGTCATGTTCTGGGCCACTGCCAAGACTGACTCGACGGCCTGCACCCAGTTGTACTTCTTGAAAAACGTTGCATCCTGCGTAGCATTGTAGTAGTTGGTACTGACTTCGAGGAAGGCCGCCAGAGAGTCTAGCTCATACTTGCATTCGAAGACAGACGTATTCGTGTAGTTCGGAGTGACCATGTCGTCGCTGGCTGATGGGTTGGGTGACGGCTCAATACCTGACTCCACAGGTGGCTGGAAGGAATTGCAGTACGGGTCGATCAGTATGTATCGTGACTGAAGGTTGATCACACCTCGGTAGAGCGAAGCAAGCGAGTTGCTGGAGTTGCTGGCTGTCAAAAGTGGCAGGTAAGACTGCATCTGGTTTGCCGAGTCTCGCAGCCACATCGCGTTGATATCACCCGTAATAACGAATGTCAACTCTTCGTCCGAGCCATTGGCGTAGCCGTGCCATGCAATAGCCGTGTCTAGCAGTGCATCAGCGTTTGCTCGCCTAATTCGCACATAGTTGCATACCTAGCGTGTTTGGGTAAGAATTGATGAATAGCCGCCTGAGATCAGGATCTGTGATGCCCGCTGCTGTACTATTCACGGCGCTTTCGACAACGGAAGAGTTGAAAGTGCGGCATTCTGGGATTGGTCGCATGTACGACAGATTGTAAATGCCTCCAGAGAAAGGGCCGTGCGGGACAAGAGAGTAATTGTAGAATGAAGGGCAGTCTGCTGGTATACTCTGTACAGACTGTGCTGTTGCAACAGCAGCCGCAGCCGTCATGAGGAGGCCTGTGGTCTTCATGGTAGAAGGTATGCGCGGTAGAGAGAAGAATGAAGAATTCAGAAGGAGCAGGGGATTGACTTAGTATTCATCACTGATCCTACATGGCGGCTATAGCATTGGTGAGCATTGGTGCGCGTGATGCACGTTTGGGATCGGCGAGACCGTGCTCCTTAGATGGGGTGCCGTCAATGGCGACTCGTGGAACATGTGTCAGTGCGCAAGGACTCGATCACAGCGACCACCCAGCTATCGAGTGCAGCTGACGCTACCACTTGGTGCTAGGGATACCGTCGTTGCACGCTGAGATTGCCGCGGACAGACACTCTCGTGCGACGCGCTGACTGTCGCTCAGTCGTGTTGCGGAGGAAGCTTGCGTGACGCCCTAATGCGCCGGAAGTCGTGTTCCTGCTTGAACACGGCTCTAGCGGGAAGCTTGTGGCCCCTTCCCACCTTCCTCCACATACTCCTCACGCGCTTATACCGCATCTGGGTTGTGGGAAATCAGAGACAGGATCAACATTGCGGAGAGACTTCCAAGCCTGCAGCCATCGGGGAAAGTGGAGAGTGTGGCTGGGATAAAATGAGCTTAGTAATGAATGGTTACCACACCTATCGAAGTGTTCAGTTTGCTGTACTTAGCGCGCACAGGAGCTATCTGCTACCACTCTGCATCAGTTGTACTCATATCCGGAGCTCCTCCCAACAGCTGCTTCAACCATTGCGCCGGAAAAGCCATTTACTCTCACACCACGGACGCGCCTCGAGGAAGACAGCGCTAGGCTACTGTCCCCCGCGCCAGTTCTTCGCACGAATGCAACCAAAGGACCACCTTGACTGCACCGGTTCTGAGAGACAATCGTACTGTTGCTGCTCGCACGGCTTGAGCTGCTGGAGGCGCGAGATGAGAGGAGCCAAAGACAAAGCTCACGGGCGCTGGTAGCCAGTGACAGTCGGTGCTGACGTATTTTGAGGAGCGCCAGAGACGGCAGCAATGAAGCACAGAAGACCGGTGACGGTGTTAAATGTCTTCAAGGTTGCAAGTTGGTTGATCAAGCCTCAAAGTGAAGGCTTCGCAAAGACTGACCGGTAGATACCGATACGAGGGCGTGAAAGTGAGCCGACACCTGTAACAACCTTTGGAAAAATAGGCGTCCTGCGAGAAAGGATTCTACGAGCTGCAAAGCAGCGAGGGCATACGTAGGCCATGACCGGACGATAGAGTCAATCTTCCTGCCTCGAAAGTCAGCGATGGCGCCGCGGACGTAGAGCTTCCACGTGTGTCTTCACGGCGCTTTGAGCGGCTTCGAAAGGGCTGCAGTGCATAGCCATTGGCAGAATAGGTAAAACCAAACACCCTTGGATAGGGTGGAGAAGCAGGGTATAGAAGAAGTAGCATGATGTAAGTCTTTCAGCCCGTCGTCTTGGTTGTTCTTGTAGTGTGCATTTGCCTTGATGCTTGAGTAAGCCGTTCGCTGCGCTAAAGATCAGAAGCAATTTGGTGTTCTTTAATTTCACGGGTTTGGCACGTTGTTGATCTCATTGGTCCAGCAGCTGGAGGATATGCGTACTACCTTTGGTGTTGCGGGGACTGCGAGTTGTAGGAAACGCACCCGAGGATGAATTGACGCTCCGCTGAGTGTGTAATTGCTTTAACGTTTATGCTGATGTGCATCCTGTACAGCCGTGTTACCAAAGACTCCGAGTGACGTTTACGGAGCGGTTGTCTTGATGAACACGGCACGCATCTTCTGCGAGCTCCTCCAATTCTGAGAAGACTGTGGTGGACAGCTTGCACCGACCCACATAGACCAGACGCGTTGATGCACGAAACGCAGGGTAAGAATGGGTGAGAGACGGAGAACCTTGATGACACTCGTGGTTGTTCGAATGATCGCCACGCATACAGCCGTTAGCGTCGATAAGATGGTGGACCATTAACAGCCGGTTATTAGCGACGACCACATACTTCCTCACTATAACACATTCCGTGGATCCAAGCCTTTAGCCTTCGCACTCTTCGCCTCGCCGTCAAACACGAACTCACTGACGAGCTTGCCAGTTCCGGGACCTACAGATCAAGGGGTCATGGGGTTAGCTTCGTCCTGAACGATCCGGACAGGGTTATGCCTCGTTTGTGCTCACCATTCTGTATCCCCCAGCACGTGTGCCCGGCCGCCATCACCAAACCTTTCACGCCCGTGAGCCCAACAAGCGGATGTCCGCTGCCCGCGGACACATTAGGAAGATAGCAAGCCTGTCGCGCCGTAACCTCACCATCGCGCAGCTCATCTGAAATACTCGCAACGTAGTCCACAATATCTTGACATCTCTGCTCGTCCACTTCCACCAGATCCGTTGACTTCGGTAACGGTACGAGCCGGTCGCCTTCACCACAAGCATATACTTCATTCTTCGGTCTGGCGTAAATTTCCGGCGTCACGATCTGCTCGCCGTATCCGGCTCTGAAGGCTTTGACGCCTTTGCCGCGGTTGCTTTCGTTGGTTCTGCCGAAGCCAGCAGGGAGCTTGATCTGCGTGAAAAGTGCGTACGCGCTTACTGGGCGACTGGGTCGTATGCAAACGCTGTGCGCTCGTAGCGCTGATATTGGCGCGGTTGGGTATACACTCGGCGTCCACGGACCAGCAGCGATGACTACGTCTGTAGCTGGGATAGTGACTTCCTTGCAGCCATCATTCTTGTCTTCATATGTTACGCTCTCGACCGCTTTGCCGCCATCGCTGTAGTTGATGTGCTTGACCGACGCTCCCACTCGGACATCCGCACCTTTCCCGCCTGCCAACTCCGCCATAGCCGTCGTGAACTGGAAAGGATGTACCTGCGCAGTAGTACTCGGATCGCCCATCTCATCATACACCCTCAAGCTATCCACACTCACCCAGTCCATATCTGCCGGCACACCAGCGGCTCTCAGCTTACCCAGCGCCTCTTTACTCCGTTTCTGCAAGCTCACGCTATCCTCCCCATGTTTCTGCCCGTTAACCGCCGTCTCGTTCTCCCCGTCCATCTCCCCATCCTTACCCTTCACGCTCGGCTTCGGCGCCTCCAGATGCCGACCCACACAGTCCACCTGCCCGCAATGCACAGCCCGGTAACCCCATCGCTCCTCGCCACCGTGCTCGGCGGCAAGTTGTTTGTGGAGGCGGTAGCTCAGGGGTACGATACTGGTCGGGTATGCCCAGAGTGCTAGGAGACCGCCTGCTTTGCCGGACGCGCCACCAGCGATTTTCGTCGCTTCGAGAAGGGTGATGGTGTGTTTGGAAGGGTCGTAGCGGGGATGGCGCGTGAGGAAGTATGCGGAGGTGCAGCCTATGATCCCGCCGCCGATGACCACGATGTTCTTCTTGCCGTCCGCCGCCATGGCAGTTGAGGAGGGCAGCCGCTTGAAGAGGGATGGAGAGCGTAGGGAACCCAGCTTCGCGAGGAAGTATCGACAATGGAGATGAAGATCTGTTCAGATGCCGGAGGAACGATTTACACAGAAAGAGATAATAAAAGGCTCGCCACTCACACTATTTTCCCGCCGCTGATCTGCACATATACCTGTACTCGGCGAGATTACGGCTTCCTGCGCGCTCTGGAGAGTATGCGAGCCTACGTCATACGTGATCACGATCCAGTACACGTAGTAGTGTTTGGTAGACGAACGAAGTGAAAACGGTGCAGTTCATTGCGCGGACTCAAACGACCAGACATAAGAGGAACGTAAAATCAAAGAAGCGTACAGTCAGGTGGCATAGAAGCACAGACGTGAAGTACGGAATTTTGGCAGAACGAAGGCAAGAAGATCAGTAACTCTCAGCTTTTTGTTATGTCTCATTGGAACCATAAGGGCATGCATCTCGGTAGCACAAGCATTGATCTAATGTTGCAGAGCATAGTCAAGCATGTAGAAAACAACGCCCGCTTGTCTTCTTGTCTGCCAGTCCCATGGCAGCTCCGCAAACAAGCTTCAAGCCTCTACCAACACACTTCGCATGCCGCACGTATGTTGCGATCACTCAACGCGCTTGCCGTTTTGACCCACGCGCTTGCTAATGCTGCCAATACGTCCAACCTGCAACCTCCAGAACCAGCATTGCTCCCGCTTGCGTTTGACTTAGCAATGCTTAGAAGCACTTCCTGTGGACGATGCTGGGGCCGCTCTCGTCGTACTCCTGCTTGGAGATCCACATTTGCTGGAAGGTTGAGAGGGATGCCAAGATGGAGCCACCGATCCAGACGGAGTATTTGCGCTCTGGCGGGGCGATGATACGGACCTTCATGCTGGATGGCGCGAGCGCAGTGATTTCTTTCTGCATGCGGTCGCTGATGCCTGGGTACATGGTGGTGCCACCGGACTAAAGGTGTAATTAGTAAAGGCTTCAAATACTAGCTCTGACCTGTGACGTACCATGACGATGTTGCCGTAGAGATCCTTGCGGACATCAACGTCGCACTTCATGATGGAGTTGAAAGTGGTGACGTGGATGCCGCCAGATTCGAGGCCGAGGACAGATGGCTGGAAGAGAGCCTCCGGAGCACGGAAGCGCTCGTTGCCGATGGTGATGACCTGACCGTCAGGAAGCTCGTACGACTTCTCGAGCGAAGAGCTCTGGCTGGCGGTCTGGATCTCCTGCTCAAAGTCGAGGGCGACGTAACACAGCTTCTCCTTCATGTCGCGAACGATTTCACGCTCAGCGGTGGTGGAGAATGGGTAGCCGCGCTCTGCGAGGATCTTCATGAGGTAGTCGGTCAAGTCGCGACCGGCCATGTCGATACGCTGGATGGCGTGCGGGAGCGCGAAACCTTCGTAGATGGGGACAACGTGAGTGACACCGTCACCGGAGTCCAGGACGATACCGGTGGTACGACCGGAGGCGTACAGAGAAAGCACGGCCTGGATGGAGACGTAGAAGGCCGGGGCGTTGAAGGTCTCAAAGACGATCTGTGTCATCTTCTCACGGTTGGACTTGGGGTTGATGGGAGCCTCGGTGAGCAGGACTGGGTGCTCCTCAGGTGCCACACGCAGCTCATTGTAGAAAGTGTGATGCCAGATCTTCTCCATGTCATCCCAGTTGGTGACAACACCGTGCTCAATGGGGTATCGCAGTGTCAAGATACCGCGCTTGCTCTGGGCCTCATCTCCAACGTATGAATCTTTCTGACCCATACCGATCATGATGCTATCGGTCTGTTAGCCTGACTGCCGCGCCCGGCCTGATAGACGTGTCCACATACCCGTGGTGGCGCGGTCGGCCGACAATGGACGCTACCTGGCAGTCAGTCTACTGAAGACATATCGGGTGCCAGGTGTTTCAACTTACGGAAAACGGCTCTCGGCGCATCGTCACCGGCAAAACCGGCCTTGCACATACCCGAGCTACCATCACTGTCAGTCTATTGCTCGTCCTGCCTGCCCGCTCCAGTCTGTGCTGTAGTCCTCGTCGAGCAGCAATTCTGTCGATGATGACGTCGCAGCTTTCGCGGGACCGCTTCGAAGCAGGTGTGCGATGAAAGTCGACTCACCCATTGTCGATGACCAATGCGGCAACCTCCTCTGCAAACGGATCATGATTCAGCTTTGCAATACCTTCATGCGGTGGAGCTATCCACCTTGGAGGGATATACCTCCCTATGGGGGGTTCGAGACAAGCTTACCTTCCATGGCGGCGTTGTGGGGTGGTGGAGAGTTAGAAGTGGTGGTGTGTTTGCTGGAGAGGATTCGGTGTCACAAAGCCTCAAAGGGGTTCCGACAAGAGGCAGATGTTCGATTGTGGGTCGATTGTTTAGTGACGGTGAGCGAAAGGAAGGCACAGGCACAGACACAAGCGCTGTGGTGGGCCAAAAAGCTTAGCAACGGGTGTTGCCGCCACAGACTTCAACTCCTCAATACTCAAGACACCCTTCGTCCACTCGAAGCACCAGGAATACACACACAAACTATATAACCCGGCAGCCGAATCACGATGCCTTGCATGGGCAACGCGACGCCTAAATCAAGGTGCTTGCCGCGTAGCTTTGTGACGCGCAAGCGAACTACCGCCAAGAAAACCGCCTTCGCATTACGCAATGTGTCAGCCACGAGGCGAATATCGCAAATGCTTCGTCTCTTTCCTCTCACAGCGCGCGGGTATGCCGACTGGCTTGAACATGAGCCAACCATTACTCAAGAGGGACCTCTGCCCGCCATGAGCACATCCCAACTCGCCGAACGTTTCTCACTAACGGCGGCGTGACCCAACGAAACGCACGAGCCTGGCGGGGTGGTGGGGTCGGCGCCAAATCTCCTCTTCTGTTCCGACGAACCTCATTGACCCTCATGCGACTTTGACTCCGATTCCAACTTCGCATACGGCGCCGCGATTAGACATGGGTGTCATTATTCAACAAGTGCTCAGCAACGTCTTACAGTAGCGCTTAGAGTGTGGTCGCTTCTGGAAGCTGCCCGAATGCGCGAGACCTTTCCAATCCCTGCCTTAGGCACGTAGACATGCATCACAAGGCAAGGTTCAGGTAAATGATCTTTCATACAACCCTTTCGGTCAGAAGAATCCTTTTAGCACACACACAAGCATTACAACACCAAAAGCATCTTAAACTCCCAGCATAGCTCTCCGGAAGCATCCAGCAAGCTTGGAAGATGGCCGATGACCGAGCGCAATCCCTCAATCAGCTTTTACAATGGAGTATAGAGAACTCGGACGCTTCACGCAACGACACCGCTACTGCGCCCAGCGATCAACAGCGCAGTCCCAACCGCGGACTTGACCCACGGGTACTCGCAGAGCTGCTAGGCGGGCCGTCCGACGCGGATCGCATGCGAGAAGCCATGTCTGTCATCGTAGCACCAGTGGAGCAAGTCGACCTTGAGAACAAGCTTATCGCATGGGACAACTTCGAACAGCTGATCGAGAATCTCGACAACGCAAATAACATGGAGAGCATGGGCCTGTGGGCACCACTGGTCGATCAGCTGAACCATGCCGAGGCGGAGATGAGACGGATGGCAGCGTGGTGCTGCGGAACCGCCGTCCAGAACAACGTTAAGAGTCAAGAACGACTGCTTGCGGTTGGAGGCGTGCCGAAGTTAGCAAAGCTTGCTACGGACGATAACAACCAGGCGGTCCGGAAGAAGGCCGTGTCTGCATTAAGCAGTCAAGTGAGGAATTACCAGCCGGCACTTGATGAGCTGGAGCATTGCCTGCCGGATGATGTATGGAAGCGGAAAGGTCTGGAGGCGAGCGAAATGGAGTCGGTGGATGAGCTGATTTCGAAGTTACGAGACTACGCCGCAAGATGAGCGCCGGACCGGGTCAATCGTTTACACTGCAGATCTTATGAACGGATTTATGTCGTGTAACGACCCTTCTTGTCCATGGACGTCAGCTACCGGGCTTCACGCGCACGGCAAGGTTGCTGAATTCTAGCAACTCACCATGCTTCGTCAATCAACACCATCTCGCGCATGAACAGCTGGCTATCTCATCAAGGTTGATGACTGCCAAATACATTCAGATCAAGCGTCCGCTCTGAGCTTGATTGATCGCATGAAGATCGATCAGTCTCGCTATAATTGTAGAGGAGCGTCGAATCAAATCTGTTAATAGCTCCCTTATTTAATGACTTCTGGTACCATCCATTGAAAACTTGATAGCAAATTCGTCGTCAAGACATTTGGTCATGCTCTCGGTCCCTCGTGTTCGCATTTGTCCATGTGATTCCGTCCCTGCCTTCCCGCTTCGTATTCTCCATCTGGCGCGTGCATTTGCCCTAAACAGTTCCCAAACACACTCCACAATCTTCCCCAGGCTACGTGGAGCCAAGCGCGAGTGCGTCATTCGTACCCCCTGCAGCACGAGACTTGATCGAGCTCGATAAGATATTCCTGGGGTTTTTGCAGCTCTGCCTTTCACCACAGGCAGGATCCTGCCCTTTGACGCGCTCGGTCTGGGACCATGTCTGACCAACCCTTTTTCCTGCGTCTCCCGGTCGAGCTACGCCTGCACATCTACAGCTTTGCCCTCCTCGAACGCGAGATCTGGACGATAGGCGCCGCCCAGATCGTTGGCAAGCAACACGAGATCCTCCATCGACTGTACGGGGATGACCGACGACCATACCCGGGTATCCCGCAATACCACGAACCAGTGGTAGGAAGATACTACGCCGCCTCATTGTTATCATCCACGAGTCCCGGAGTTCTACTTGCCTCGGCCCAGGCGCGGGAAGATTTGGTGGATGAGACGCACAAAACAGCACATACGGCACATCAAGCCTTGTTGCTTGTGAACAAGCAGGTGCATGAGGAGCTCACGAGCTACTTCGACGCGCCCAAGAACCGGCCGGCGAGCCTCTTCTTGCAGTTCCCCACTGGACTGCATGTTTTCCACACCTTGACACCGCATCTGCTGCGACAGGCCAAGAGCATACACATAGCCGGCAGCTACATCAGCCGGACGTTCAATTCAACAAGGGCCGCGTGTCTCGGTCCTCAACACCCGGTTGCTGGTAAGGGAGAGTACAGTGGTGGACTCATCCCTGACTCCCGCACTCAGCTAGGCGAGCTGGTCGCCAGTTGCTTTGGTCCCGAGCCGCGACATAACCTGACTCAGCTCGACATCCGAATCTACTACCCTGGCGAAGACAGCTATAGCACGGTCTGGGGCGACGATTCCTCACCCATCGTTGTGGCTCTACGCAATATCTGCTACGGCGACATCCGGATCGAGGTGTGGAGAGGTAGAGTTGGAACGGGTGTTTACTTCAGTGCTCGGCCTTGCGAAGATGGCGAGAAGAGACGACTGGTCAGTACAGTGTGGAGGAGGCTAGAGGAGGGTAGGAAGGGTGAGCCAAGATGCGGCGAGTGGATTGTCGATCCCAAGTGGCCCGTATGGGATGAGGAGCCGTCGTCATGTGACGATGCAAATGAGTATATGGGTATGGACGTAAATGCATGATGAGTGCATGATGAATGGTCCAAGTCTGCAGGCAGACGTTCCCACAAACCCACTTGTGCGGTTATGCTTGCTTTTGTGCTTATTTGCTATTGGCGCGTTCGTGCATGGTACGTATACGTAGACTACGAGTAACGACTGATGGCAATACTGCTACCATGATCCATCCGTTGGTGCTGAGGGTATGACTAGCAAAGTTTCGCGTGACAGCACAGTCGGATGGCAGCACGCGATGCAAGGTCAATACCCTCAACCACGCAGCCCCTTCCTGATCACATCGCAAATTCAATGTTCATCGAGAACAACGGCTGCATCCCAGTACCGTAGCACTGAAATGCTCCCTTACCCGAAGTGCGTCTCGCCTACCGTACGTTCGCCGATATGGACTGTGGGAAGTTGTCCGGTGCCCAGTGATTGCACGGTATGCCTAACAAACAAGAAGTCAGCGCGCTATTCCGTACTCTACATGGATGCACGTTCAAGTCTAGCATACCACTCGTCGTGTTCTCGTTGATGATATTGGCACACTGTGACAGGATCAGCTCTCCACTTCTCAGGGTCGGCAGCTAGCGCGTATAATGCCATACCTGAAACAACTCGCTCTGCAATGTCGTATTGTAGAGTGGCAGACCAAGTGTCTGGTTGACGGAGGTAATGTTGACGTTCTTGAAGTAAATGTCCGGGCAAGGATGGCTTGCGGCACAGTGGATGGATGCACCCACGTTGTACCTGGTGGTACCTGTGATGTTCTGCCACAAGACGTTCTGTCCCATACATTAGGCAACAAGAATAAGCAGGTCGAAATCGCACCCTCAGCCTACCTCAACCTGCATCTTCGATGTCTCGCAGATATCGGTGCCGGTACCTGTCTTGATAAGCCGCTGAGGATTCAGCCAGGAGAGGTAGACGTACCTTCAGTGTAGATGCATTGCGTGATTTGTAAGGGCAGAACGACGTTAGAGAAGGTGAGGTCTCTGAAGGTGATGTTCTTGACCAGCCCGCTACCACCTCCTCCAGCGTCACCATTCCCGGTCGTGGATACGCTGCTGCCCTGCCACGTCTTGATATAGGCCTGCGAACATTTTGTCAGACGGAGCTTGAGCTGGTGATGTTAAATTAGGCACCTACTGCGTTAGTGGAGTTGATGAGTTGCACACCCTGAAACGTGATATTCTGGTCATAATCAGGAAAGTCTGGGTATTGCCCGACACTCCCTATTGTCATGCCGTTGCTGCGAATGTCACAGCGGTTAGCGCACGTCTTCGGGGCCGATCGGTTCTATGCATGACGCACCCTCCGTAGCATGTCACATTCTGCACGAACAAGTTCGTGGTGTTGCCCTACAGGATAGCACATGTTTAGCGTGAGTGGCGCGAGTGCGATCGGAAGTACTTGCTTTAGCAGCCATGCAATCATCACCGTTGACCACAGTCCAATTCGCGAGATAGATGGTGTCAGAGTTCCTGCAGGGCTAGCATAAGTAGTGCGTAGTCTAGGTAGAGAAGTGCATGCCAACCCTAGCAAGTCGTTATGTCAGCGCTCGGTTTTGGGGACGAAATCGTCGTTCGCACTTACATGTGTCGATACCGTCAGTATTTACCGTCGAGCTATGGTCATTGCTTGTCGCATTCACATAGATGTTCGTCATTGTGCTATACAGTGTCGGTTAGTGTCCGCCACAGATCAAAGGATGGAGGCATCGCATACACATTCCGCGAGTACGTGACGAACTGAATCAACGAGTATGGTTAGCGCCAACCAGAGCGTTGCACTAATGATTGCAAGACTCACCGTAGCCCAGAATTGCGGCTGCGTGATGTTCAGGGAGTCAATGTAGATGTTAGTGGAGTTGAAGATGGTAATCGTGATTGGGCGGCCAGGCTGATTGCTGTTGCCTTTGTTCTCCGTATACCCTACATCTGGTAAGCCAATCGAAGCATCCTCGCAAGTTAGTTGCATTGCGATAACAGCGAGACGCACAGGTCTGTCCGTTGCCGTTCAGGCTTCCGCCTTTACCATAGAGCGAAACGTTTGTGCCGCCGAACAGCCACGCGGTCGACTGGTTCTGCAGACTGACATTGAAACTGTGCGACAGCCAATATGGTACGTTCGTTGAAAAAAAGACATCTCCGTAGAGGTGGACATCGACATTGCGGAGGTTCGTCGTGTTCATGACCTTGCCAGTGCATGAGCTAACAGTTTTTAACCAAGATAGCAAGAAAGAGGTACCTGATCAACGTGGAACACATTCTCGGTAAAGATGACCGTGCCATTGACGCCGCAGAGCTCAAAGGCTTGCTGTATGGACTGTGAATCGTCGACGGGCTGACCGAAATGTGTCAGACTTTCTGGATATAGGTAACACGAAGTCCCGTTGTTCACTACGAAAGCATTGATGATGGAAGCGAAGGCGAACGCTCCAAGTAGGGAAGAAGGAAACATCATGAAGAGCGTTACCTTGGCAAACCCAATTAAAGTCCAGGTATGCGAGCATCAAGCCTTATAACGCTGGTATGCACGCAGTCGGCGTTTGAAATGAATCCTGCTGCAGCGCCTCCGCTTTTTCGGGTTGAATTTTGCCGTATAACCACAGTCTGCGGAGAATGATCGTCGCTTACAAGGTGATCACAACGTGATGGTGTAATCGTAAGAAGCCGAATGCCGCAAGTCAGTGTGGAGTCGCCGACGGACGTGTATACCTCGTTCTGCTGTTCCTGCCTGAGGTTGTTTCGAGGTAGCCAGCAAGCTTATGGATGGCGTGTCGATCATTCCGAGGAGAAGCATCGCTTGGACTTTGCAATATCAGGGCTGCTGAAACGTTTTCGAAGCGCTCCAGACTGCTTGCTCTCCATCGAATCTTTGCCGCAATACGTGTCCTGCGCTTCGCCGCGGACAAAGCACCAAGTCGACGGAGTGTTGATTGTCGGTCGCCGTGGAGTAGCTCGGGATGTCATGGGAGCTCACAGTTCGTAATCGTGTTCGCTGAGGAGATGGCCGTCCAGATGATAGGGAAGGCGTGCTTCGTGTCTCTTCGCCAGCAGTAAATCGTCGTCGTGAGCCTTCACCTTAAGAACTGACAGCTTGTGTTCCTTGTCCACGTAATTGCTCCCGAATGGCACGGCTCGGCTTCTTGTCATGATGTACGAATGGCAGAGTAGCTCTTCACGGGGTGCTGACCTGCCGAATGTTGGACGGACGTTAATTCATACGAAGAATTCGTCGTGACGGCGGCCGTGAAAAGTCGCATTGAAGGGTAGACGAATGTAAACCATTCTCTAACTCCAGTGACTCGCACTACTGTAAAGGCATGCAGATGTGGTTGGAAGATCCGAATACCACAAGACTTCTGTACCTGCATTAGCCTTCGATCTTGCTTGGAGACCTGTAACCTTGTGAGCAACAACGGCATGGCGTAAATTATTTTGGCACTTATTTAATCCAGCCTGTCGGTTATCCGGCGAGGGCGTTTGTGGTACGTCACACCTGTGGGAGATGCAATGAGGCATGCACAGAATGATCTATCAATGGCAGTGGCTGTCCGGAAGCTCCGCAAACCTATGCAGTGGACAATGCTCCAGAGAGCGTCGATAACACCGTAGGTACACCACCTGTTTGGATGCGGAGCAAATCATATTCGCTGCTTTAGCACTGCTAGAATGTCAACTGCAAAGGTAACCAGTTGTGGGTCTCGGCGTTGGTACCATCTAGCGCCGCTCACACTCAGACGTAGAATGGCTAGCCCTACCAGTGATATCAGCTTTTAAGCTTGTGCGACATCCGGGAGAGAGTGCATCCAGGCGCTGTTAGGGGCTCCGAACTTCTCCATTGTCGAGTCCTGGGATGCCTGCTCTCGTAACCTTGCATTGTGTGCGCCATCTCCGGATATATGAGAACCCTAACATGCAATTATAGATTACTTGTGAACACTCCATGGCATCAATCGACCAGTTTACTGGGCTGCAGTCAGCGGCATACGTCCAGATGTGACTGATAGAAAACATTCCAAAAATGGGGTGGCGATGGCTGTCCGAGACGCTAAGGGCGCTTGTAGTTGCCGATAGAGAGTTCTGAAGCATCGAAATAGTCCAGGATGTTGTACAAACTTCAAGGTGTGGCTGCATGCTGGTACCGCTTTCGTATCCAGGTACTTGGGAAGAACCGCATCGTACACTTGCCACGGGTAGCGACCTGTCGATGTGTACAACAGTGCGATGGTGTCTTCGGTGCTGTTCATGGCTCATCGAGTGCCTTGCTAACGAAGCCACAGGATCAATACGGCGAGTTGGGAACGGAGAGTGTAAATGAACCTTGCGCCCGTGGCACGTTGCAGGCGTATACAGCTACCTTGAGTGGACACGGTCAACAACAACTCCATGCCTCCCAGCTGTAGACAAAACGACGTTCCTCAAATGTCGATATTGTACCTAGGCGTTTGGAATCTGTCATTCGATGCACGCATAATAGTACGCCGTAGGAATTGCGGCCGCGTGGCGTCTGCAAGGCGTCTGCAGCGCGACTGTTACAGTAGTCGACTATGCCCAATGCTTCTTTGAACGTCTGGTTCCGCAGAGTCATCTGCCATTTGCCGCTCGTGTGCTTCACTGGCGACGCGGCGCGCTCGCAAGTCGGCTGGTCACCCTCCTAATCAACGTTATGCATTCATTGAGTTGTATGCGCATTTGCCCTTTCCGCGCCAATCTCACCAAGTCATGAACCGCGGCTAGCGCATTTTCAGCACCGACCACACCAAGATCTCAGATGCCTCCACCGGGTATCTGGGCTCGCGTGCCGATTGGATCGTACCTGTTCGTCGGTTCCCAAGCCACCAGCTTGGAACTTTCAATCTGACGGATCTGACCTGCTAGCCCGCCGGCACACTATCGCCCAAAGCAGGACGCCCCTCAGGCCTTCTTCGCTAGTTCCAGCTGCCTAGTCCTGCACCTCACTCGCCTGGGACGGCGGAAGACTGTGAGCCACACGGCCTTTAGCTTCGAGAGATTCTATCTGCTTACTGCTTCTGGTGTGCAAAGACCACTGGCTGGCAGAGAGGGAGAAAACGTCAGACGGTCGCACGGGATGTCTTTCTCCATGGTACCACCAAAGATCTGCCTCCTCGCTGTTTCCATTCTTCACTGTCTGTATTCGAAAGAAATTGTGTGCGCCGAAGCTGTCACTGGCTGACTGTGAAAGCACGACCAGTGGGTGGCATCAAGCACAGAGCCTCCCCTAGCGTCTCACGAACTTCAGTCATTTGGCATCAAACTTGCGACTACATCTGATATATATTTCTACTGTGCTGCCAGTACCCCTTCTTTCACTCAGGCACCGTTTCAACATTCGTTTCAGCTACGGAGGTTACTTGCTTTGACCGGGCACGTGTCGGCCTACACTATCACATGCAGATTGAGCGACCATATACCAGCACACGACCACTTGCTGCGTGACAACAATAGACTGCTTCAAACCGACTCCATCAGCTAGCCGCCCACAGCCGAGTCCGCGCGATCACAAGATCCGGCTAGACATACAGGTTTCCATATCGCGCCGGGCTAGACTCTTTCTGTAAGTACAGATCGACCAACTTGAACAAGGACCACAATCAAGCTTACTGGTCGCAGCCTACCATGGCCAAACCGGGCAAATGCGAACATGCATTCAAGATCATAAAGTCTGATACGACATTGATTTTGTGGAATTGCAACATGTGCCATTCGGGACCACACTGGTACATCTACGAATGCGCCAGATGCAAACTGAAGACTTGCAAGCCATGCTCCGAGAAAGCGCGGGCATAGGTGAGTTCCATGCTCCAGAACGGAAGTGACGAACCTGTCAAATGCTTACACGGTGAAGCCTGTAACTCAAGTTATGCAATCCTAACTCTCAGATACTTCGAGGCTTACCTAATGCCATTATATCGATCATTAAGGTTACTGTGTAGCGTTTAGTCAGCGAGGAGTTTGAGCGAGCGTGACTTCGGTGTAGCAATGGCGGCGCTAGATGACGAAAGCGCGGCCCTCCACGAAGATTGCGGTGTCCGCAAGGACCGGAGTACGTTTGATTTCTGCAGTAATGACCAGCCTCGAGGCGGACGTCAAGGTTGGGAGGAGGTGCCAGTTGTATTCGGCATGTAGTGCCACGAAGGTCTGGGCGGATCTTAGAGGCTTACAACTATACGATTGCAAGGGGCCAACTTTCGGGAACCCACTTTCATAACATTCGAAGATCAAGTGAACGCAGTCGTTCGTAATATGTTGGTCTGTCAGCGTCCATTAAGCTTGTCACATCGTATGGCTTCAGCTAACAATTCCGGCATAGAGCGGCGTCCAATATAGGCTCCAGACATCATCGTAGACATGCTCGATATTCTTACCGCTATGGTGCGCCACTTGCCGCGCAGGAGGCTTGCCAGCAGGCTCAACTGTGCTCTGAACGCTAGTAACGTGAGGTTCCGTAACATGCGAAGGGTAGTTCCTGCATGTGGCGGAAGGCCGTGGCTATTCCCAGACTTATCAATGCCTGCAATGATAGGGTGATTCGCAGCCAGTCCAACCTCCGCTGCAGGATTACGTTGCTGAGTATCCCACATATCGTGCAATTTGGAGTCCTTTGCTTTTCCAGATCGACCGGACGGGTCACGGGCAAGGCCTGAGATACTGGTAGAGCGATCCTCAACCGGTCGTGGTCGTTCCACGCCGGGCGAGAGGCGCACCTTTCATCATCGAACATCTTGATCATGCCTTTCTTGCGGACAGTCTGCAGCCAGACACAATCCATCGAGGCGGTTTTGCCTTGCTTTTTGCTCTGCAGCGCGTCGCTGTTCCCATGTGACAGATGCCGGGGTCCGCCTTTTGGGCAATCACTGTTCTCCGCAATCGCTCACAGATGCGGTTCGAACGTGTGATGGCGGTATGTCGCTTCAACACTCTCGGATGATTATCTGCATCAGGACTTCAAGCTTTGCGTTTTCGCTACCTGATCTCACATTGAAAGTCGGCGGAAGACGAGGCGCGGAGATTCGACCTCGGCAAATGCCAGCCAATGAATAGGCTCTTCAGCTTCCTCCACCGTGCCGGAAGCGCCATCGACTCTAGACCATGCCGACGTGCAATCCGTCACCGCACCACTGACGACCGATGAACTCTTCCCCGCTGTGACTGGCGCCGCAGGGAGTCTGCCGGAACGTTTCATACTCTGAACTTCCATGCCGCATGCGGATGCCTGTGCCAAGACTCGAGCGCTCTTTGCTTGAGATCACGTTGCGAGGTCACTTCAGCATGGTTGTGGAGGGTTCGTCAAGTCCACCCCTGCATTGAGGGCAGCATACGGCATACCTCATCTTGGCTGGATGCCAGGCTTTTTATGGATCCGCCGAAGACGATTGTGCCTGCCAGCCTGGCCGCGGGCAAGCCCATTGATCATGTTAGAACAGTGATTCTTCGCACTTCCAGAGTAGGCTGCCACGACCGTTCTCTTAACGTCTCTCCTTTCGATCAACTTCAGTGTAGTCGCTCGTTATTCAAGATGTTGTCTTCTCTGCTCCTCTCTACCGTCTTTACTGCCATCGCCGTCGCTACGCCAATTACCAGGCGAACAACCATACCAGATTTCACCAGCATTTCTGGAGACGCACCGTATACCGTGGACGCCGCAACACTGGCAGCCGCACTGACGTGCCCAGTGGGCACTCCCACAAGCAAGGCCCCTCCCGTTCTGCTTGTCCACGGTCAGCGAAGCACCTAAACCATATTTCTGGAGCTTTTGAGGTTGACAATAAGTAGGCACTGGTACCACCGGAAACCAAACATGGTCACAAGGGTGAGTGACGCTCTACCCGCTGTAGACTATTGTTGAGCTTGGCCTTGTGCAGTTATCTCCCCGCTTTGAGTGCCAATGGGTACACGCCATGCTACGTGGACTTACGTGAGTTTTACCCCTGTTGTGGTGGACGAGACAATACTGAGTATCCTTCAAGCCGAGCGTGCCCTGGGCGACATGCAAGTGGTACGTAGCCTCTGCCAAGATATACATGGCAGCTACAAGGCAAGGCTGACCATCGTACCCCTGACCATTAGGCTTCTGAATATATCGCTTACAACCTGCACTACATTTCGTACCTCTCTGGCGGAATCCAGACCGCTGTGATCAGCCACAGTCAGGGTGGCCCAGACACCCAATGGGCGCTGCAGTTTTGGCCAAGCCTCAAGACCGTGACAAGCTCGTTCGTGGCCTTGTCCCCAGACTTCGCCGGAGTTGAGCTGCTCGGTTCAGCACTCAGCAATATCTGCATTGGGGACCTCTGCCAGGCGAGCCTGTGGCAGCAGTCTGCCGGCAGTAACTACTACAATGCGCTACACTCGAAGGATTTCCAGGCTCAAGTCCCAACTACAGTGGTCTGGTCGCAGACCGACGAGGTGGTCGATCCGCCACAGCAGAACGCTGATCTTCCATCAGCGACCGCCATTGCGGTTCAGGACCTTTGTCCCCTCCGGATCACTGACCATGTCTTCATGGTTATTGATGCAGCTGGCTTTGCGCTGGCACTGGATGCACTCCGAAATGGCGGTACAGCTAGTCTTTCGAGAGTTCAGCGTTCCGCATTGAGCACCTGCCTCAGGATCACGGCGAAGAATATGAACGTTGACGTTGCGACGCAACTTCAATCTCTCTTCGATGACCTCGTCAATGGCTATATGTAAGACCACCTCATTGATTTGGACGCTAAACATATGCTAATGAATCCCAGTCTTGGTGCGCCAAGGGTGTCCTCCGAACCAGTTGTGATGGCTTATGCTCAAACGCAAGCATGATACTCAAGCGCTAGAGCATTGCGGACAAGCGCAAGCGAAGAAATGTGTACATATATGATACTCTAGCTCGTACATGAGATTGCTGCAGCAGAGTTTTGAAAGTCAGTATGTTGGAAGAACCGTTCCGACAGCGCGTCTAATGCTCAGCTCAGCTCTGCCGCACCTTGAATTGAGCCCTCACTCCCTCGTTAGCGGAAAGGAAATAGTCCAAGTATTGATACTCTGTGGCGTTTCGTTGCCCTCGCTCAATGTCGCGCATGAAGGTCTTATCTCTCAGCTGAACAGGCGCCAGCTTCATGTTGAACTCCCAAACCAGCCTTGCAATAGCAATGCTGATCTCCATATACACCAACGGCTTGCCCAGACAGCTCCGGGGGCCGAGCGAGAACGGGCAGAAGACGGAATGCAGAGCCTCTTTATTCTGGCGATCCTCGGGCAGCTTCTCATCTTGGTGCAGCCAGCGGTCTGGGGCGTACGTAAAGGGCTCGTCAACGTAGTCCGGATGATGCTGAATCGCGTATGCTGAGACGCCAATCTCTACGCCGGCTGGAAAGTGGAGGCCCATAGCTGGTATGCTGAACCCACCTTCGAGCACCTCTCTGGGGAGCAAGCCAGCCACAGCAGGAGACATCCGCATCGCCTCGTCAATGCAAGCGCGCAACCAGCAGCAGCTTTGCATTTGCGGACCCATGTGAATGTCCTCAGCAGATGCGAATGTGGTCCGAACCTCGTCCTCTAGGCGAGACAGAGCGTTGCAGTTGTGCAGGAGATAGTATAGCACTGCTGACATGGTTGTGCTACTCGTGTCGGAGCCAGCGACGATCAGAGTATTGCCTACGCGGAAGATACATAATTAGCAGAGCTGATGGATGTGTTTGAGCTTAACTCACCTTCCATGAACAACTCCGGTAGTGGAAATCCTTGGCCGGTCTCCGGATCCTACGTTCAGGTTAGTTTGGAAGGGCGTGACACAAACGTGGTTACTTGAGTATACCTTGGCGTGCAACAGATAGGAGAAAATGTCACGCCTGCCACTCTCGCCGAAGCCATTTTCCTTGGTGCGTGCCATGACCTGCGCTTTGCCGAAAGCCAGATATTTTTGTCGATCAAGATATAGACTGCGCAGGAAGGGCAACCACTTCTCCAGTCCACGCTGCGCCAAGACCGGCATAGCAGCCACGACGTAGTTGCGCTTCGCAGCTTGCCCGAGCAATCGAATACCTTCACGGTTTTCAGGCTTGTCGCCGAGAGTACCGAAGCTTTTGCCGAAGACAAGATCGCCCATGATATCAAAGACGAGCCAATTGAGCCAGCTTGCCATGTCGACTTCAACGCTACAGCCTCCCTTCTGCTCGCTTGGTTCGGCGACAGATTTGAGCCTTTCTATAAGGTCTTGCACGTGCCCTTGCACGTACTGCTCGAGACCACGCATGGCCGTCTCGGAGAAGGCCTGACCCATTACTCTGCGCTTCCTGGCATGGTGGGCTTTCTCTGTAGCAAGAAGAGTGCTGATAGCGCCCGGGGCTGATCGAAAGCACTTATAGAAGGTCGACTTGCGCACATTGGCACCGTGAGCGTAGATAGCCTTGAGGGCCGCCGGGTCATTAATACTCAGTGTGTTCGGGGATAACCGCACCAGAGGGCCGTATTTCTGGTGCAGACGGTGGAGCAAGACATGCTTATCGCCCTTGTAGGCGTGGTAGACGTCGTAGGCTTGTGTGAGCCGGCCGAGCAGTGGTCCTGGATACTTCGCTAAGGGGTGCAAGAGCAGCACGTACACAATGTAGCAGACTAATGAGGTTGCAAGCGTAATGCCGAAGACGGAGCCAGATAGGCAAGAGTACGAGCTGGCGCATGCTCCAATGGCATTTGAGAGTGCCATGTCTGCCAGGACAACGGAGACTGGAATCCTTCTAATGGATGAGGTGGAAAATCAAAGAGTAAGCTGCCGGTTGCCTACCTTTTCACTTACGCACGAATGACTTGGGTTGATCTGAGGTGTATCAGCAGCCACGTGAGCAGCCCCACCAAACTGTCGCGAATTCACAGCTTGTAGGTACATCGGCGTCACCGTGGCCGTTAGAAGGAGTTCAACCAATGAACGTTTCCAAACAGCCTTGTGAAACCACGAAGAGCTTCGGCAGGATCCACTAGCCATCACAAATGGTAGGACGCCAAACGACAAAGGCAGACGCATTCTCTTGGCAACCGTGCGATTGGTCTCGCTAAAGGCTTACTCAGGTAGGTCGGTACGCATGCAGAGTGAGAAGCGAAAGGTCGGTACGGGGAGGGGTGGTTGTCCGGCTCTGGAGCTCACGAGGCGGCAAGTCGGGAGCTTGGCGTAAGTTACCACCGAAAGCTGGAAGGATGTGCCTTGGGAAATGGAGTTCGGGATGCCTGCTCAGCTATATGCTTCTTGCGCCCGGCTCCCCACCACAAATGTCCGAACCAGGCTGTCACTGTGTGGTGGATCCAAGAGCGTTCCTTCCTTTTCGGGATGCTATAAAGCGCTGCTCACACATCTGCACTATTTTGATGGCGAGATCAAGGGTGCCCATCTGCATGGTACAACAATGCGTTCCCATGCAGCAGAGCTTCGAGCTTCGGGCTAGCGGCTGTTCAGCTCAGCTCTAGCCGACTAGGCCTGCTGTGGCGTTTTCCTGAAGAGTAGCTACTTTACAGTGGTATCTTGACCACGTTTCACAACCGTAGTGTTTTCGACGGTCAACGGAAACGTCAGCGCCGACTGTCCGCGCAAGCGACCTAGATCTAGAGACTGTCAGTTGACGGTCCCTGCTTTACAGCCCCTCATCAGGCTTGCGCTTCGTCGCTGTCAGCGTAAGCACAGTGCGTCCACATCCGCCAGGCACCTTGCGATCATTGGCGCAGTAACTCATGATGGAGGCGAAATGCAATCAGCTTCTAGCAGGGTCATCGGTGACACTACACCACCGAGACCGCCGATCGTGAGGACGATGTTTAAGCCGTGCTCGAATCTTCCTTTGACTCCAATGCCATGCGAGGCCCAAGTCGAGTCTTCGTGCCCCACATGGATCGACTTCTGCTGCCGTTCGCTGCGTTGAAGCCACTCCTGCCGTTCTCGTACCTCCGCCTCCGAACGAGGGGTCCATATCTCCAACGTTGTCGCTCGGCGTTGAACAAGGTCCGTTGTGCGACCTGCTGCAGCTTTCCTCAATATTGGTGACGGCTCGGTGTCTGTCATGTCGCTCTTCCGCTCCGTCATGGCTGGAGAAGGCAAATGATCGTAACGTGCTTTGCGCCTAACGCCAGGAATTTGACGAGATTGATCTTTATAATCCGTATACAGCTTCACGGGTATCATTAGGTCCTTAATGTACCGTCGAGCTCACCCGTTCGCACCGCACGTTCTTGTAGCAAAGCGTGTCTCGTCGCACACCAGCGCTTCCACGTGGCCTTGGTGTCATCGCGGAACACCCTGCAAGTACGTGCGAGGGTCTCGGCGCATCGCTAGAGCTTGGTCTGGCGTATCATGGTGTGGTTTTAGGTGCTTAGGTAGGGGATCTCCTGACGAAATTTCTGCCGGTAGGGCGAGGAACTAAGACTTTCGCAGGTTATGTTTGTCTCGCTTCTTGCTGCGTGAAGCTGAAGCTTTGTCTGTGCCAACATCCATCTCCTGAAGCAAGAGCTGACACGGCGCGATGTCTGCATTTCGCTTGCATTTGCGACTTGCCGCTTTTGCTGATGCCATGGGACCGGGCATGTTAGAGCGTCTGGACGAGGTGTCTACAGGTATTTTTATTGCCGTGTAAGTCGGTGAAGTCTCATTTGTTTATGGTAGTCCATTCCCTGGTTCGCAGTAGCGGGAGACCGCGAGCTTATCCGAAGGACAAGGACAATAGTTCGGCGGGAGCCTCGTTAAGAGGTGGGAAGATTAATGGTTCAATTCACTGCAGCTACATGGTAAGGGTATCATCGTCTCTCACTTCATCTAATCATGACCGCGATCTTTGTATCCGCGCCGAATCGATCCTCCTTCGTGTGCACCGTCAATCTCTTTCATCCGTGTAGTATGAGTCAGTCTCGTCGTCACGTCTCCGCCTGTTCCGTGGCGGTGGCTCCCTTCTCGGCCTGAACTCGTCGACTCTACTGCCTCCCCTACTGTGGTCCCTGCTGTCATGATATGGATCTGCGTACTCACCTCGGTCTTTGCGCCGCACGTGGACCGACTTTTCGTCCTGATGCTTCGTGAGCTGCTTCTCCCCTGCCCTCGCAGCCACCGCACCTAGTACTGCACCACCCATCGTACCGAGAAGCCCTCTGTCAGCTTGATCGCCAAGGAACGCCCCAGCTGCTCCACCCAAAAGGGTAGCACCTAAGCCTCGATCACCATCACCGGATCCTAAGAAGTCCTTGCCGCGCTGTTTCGGCGGCGAGCGCTGCTTCCTCGAACGTCGATCATCTTCTGGCGGTGGTAGAGGTCGCGGGTCACGGCGTCGATCGTGGTCATACTCGTCCTCTTCGTACCGGGGCCGGCTACGACGTCTGCGCTCTCGGTCGTCGTAGCGCGAGCGCTCATCCCAATGCCTATCTTCTGTGTGCCTGTCGTACGAGTCTACCGATGGTGGAGGCTGTGATCTCCTTGCATCGGATTCCTGCGGTGGCGGGCCGTAAGCATCGTTGTACTGGGCCCATGCCTTCTCCTCATCATAAGGTGTCAATGCTTGACCGTCATCCGGCCCTCGCTCACTTTGGGCGTACGGCCGTTCATTCTCGCGACCACCTGCGGAGCCGTACTCCGAGCGTGGTGGAGGTGGAAAGTAATTAGCATCGTATCCAGCCTCTTTAGTCGGTTTCGCTCGGCGGGGTGGCTCCTCCCGTTCGTATTGGTCATATGCTGGTCCTCTATCGCCATGGCCGCCTATTTTAGGGTCGGGGTGTCTGTACGAGGTGTTCGGCGGCTGTTGGTAGTAATCATCTGGGCGAGACATGTTCGGCAGGTCTATTGCACGTTGCAATAATGGAAAGTGAACGAGCGACCTACCTTAACCTTATCACGCAGTGGGAATCGTAACGGGTGGGATGCGCTTTACAGGTGCGACACACCATGGAGAGATCGGCGCATGCCAACTGCGCCTCCTGCTCATCCTGCAGCTACCGCCCGGCTGCAGCATGCACGTCATAGTCGAGCTGCTATAACACATCAAACCGGAATCAGCGTGCGTTGACGTGGTAGCAAGACAAATATGACCGAAGCCCGTTGTTTTCCCCGACACTGGCCGTTCAACGCCCAGTCGCCGTTAAACCGTAGACTCTAAGCAGAGCACGGGACGGCCTTCGCTGAGTCAGCGCCGCGGGCTCTCCTGGTCGTCTCCTCCGACTTCACTCGAAGTACATGTGGAGGTTCACCACATAGCCAACATTCATCGTGTAATCGTTAGTGTCTGGAATTGTCATCTTGAGCTTCCGATCACTGTTGCTCCAAAAGTGAAGACTTATACCTCTTCGTGAATCGTGTGACTGCTTTGTGCTTCTGAAAGTGACCACGAAATGGCGAAATTGGCACACTCGACTGCCTTTCCGTGGCACTTGGGTGTCTTCGATGCGCATTGTCATCCTACAGACACAATCGCAAGCCTGAAAGGTCTGCCGAGGATGAGCGCAAAGGTGCTCACGGTGATGGCCACCCGTGCCCAGGATCAGGAGCTCGTAGCTGAGGCTGCTGAGAAGTATGGCGTGGCGAAGGACGATGTTGAGTGTAACAGCGCGGAAGCCCGGAGGTAGGTTAGGCAACAAAGGTACACCCTCCGCACCTTGCTCCTTCACACCCCACTGACCAGACTTCAGTAGAGGACACAAGGTCATTCCCGCATTCGGATGGCATCCATGGTTCTCTCATCAGATGTTTGATGAATCTGAATACGACGATGCCACTGCTCTTACAGCCGACCAGAAAGTGTCCCATTATCAGTCCGTCTTGACGCCAAAGCCAGATGAGCGTGACTTCTGCCTTGCCCTACCGGATCCGCGCCCTTTCGGACATTTCCTCGGTCAAACTGAAGACTACCTTTTGCGGTTCCCATTGGCACTTATAGGTGAAGTAGGATTGGACCGTTCCTTCCGTATCCCTGAGGCTTGGCTACCAGGGCAGGCTGATGACAGGAATGATGCATTGACTCCTGGTGGCCGTGAAGGGCGTCAACTCAGCCCGTACAAAGTGAGCATGGATCACCAACGGAAAGTTTTGACTGCTCAGCTACGCTTGGCCGGCAGATTGGAGCGCGCCGTCTCCGTCCATGGGGTCGCTGCTCATGGCATTGTCTACGAGACTGTGGCCGAGACTTGGAAAGGGCATGAAAGACGTGTCCCATCGAAGCGTGAGCGCAAGCGAGCAGAAGCTGCCGCGAAAGCTGATGCTGAAGCCTCAGCATTGGCAGACGCGCCCGACGAAGGCGACGACGCCGCGCATGACGTGTCGAAGCCATTCCCGCCGCGGATATGTCTGCATTCTTTCTCCGGTCCTGCAGAAACCGTGAAGCAGTACATTGCTCCCTCGGTACCGTGCGAGGTGTTCTTCAGCTTCAGCACAACGATCAATGCCTGGTCGGACCGAGACACTGACCGGCCAGGCAAGGACGGTAAGGTAGAAGCCGCAGTCAAGACCGTGCCCGATGATCGGTTGCTTGTGGAGAGTGATCTGCATACTGCGGGCGAAGACATGGATCACTACCTGGAAGAGATTGTCAGGAAGCTCTGTGAGGTTAAGGGTTGGGACCTTGAGGATGGAGTTCGCCGCCTTGGTCGCAACTGGCGCAGATTTGTTTTTGGCAAAGAGTGACTGCTTGAGTGGCCGTGTGGACGCGTGCAGCTTCTAGCGAATGCCCACAGTATGAGAGCGTGGCGACTCTCTAGCCTGTCACCACCCTCTCTTCCCCTGATAGCTACAAGTAAGACAGATAAATAGCTGGGTGCCGCAACACTCTCAGCATGATCCAAAAGACTGGCAACTAATACCGCTATGACAGCATCTATCCATGACGGCCAATCAAACGATACGTTCATGACCACATCAGCGACGGACACCCTGCGATTGAGCGTCAGCCATTCGAGTCTCACGAGAACACGTCTAGCATACGTTTAGCATTCGTTGCTGGCGTGATGACAAGTCTTCTTCGGAAGAGTGGCAGAGCATGTCGTTCCTGGATCCGCACCAACCTTTATAGCCCGTGGTCAGCTAAGCTCAATTCACGGACATATCCACACGAGCCAAACGACGTGCCTGCCCTGCGCTGCAGTTGCCAAGGCGCCCAGTTCTTTGTCTAAGACACCTGCGCTCGGTCTTCTTTGTAACGACAATGCGATTGTTGCTCGTTAGAGGCGGCTGCATTACAGATTGAAGGCCACTCTTCCAGCTGCTGCATTGATCTTGCTAGAGGAGGCGGCATCGGCGCGTCTTCCGTCAGCAATACACTGAGAGCAGTAGCTAAACACCGACGCACCTCCGCTCCGCAACGAACAATCTGCTTCACGTAACGAATCGAGACTCGCCCTCATCCGAGTCTGACGGCTGATCCTTTGGCAACCACACCATCAACCCACTCAGCATGAACATCGCCGTTGGCTCGGCAAACGGGCAATGGAGCCAGCCTTATAGCTACGGCAGCCATATCTCGCAATGGTTTGGTAGTGGTTCCCTTGACATCATCAACTTGACTTCGAGCAACCAAGTTCCAACACCAACATTACCGACCCCTTCGTCCACCACTCTTCAGCATCCAGGACACACGGTTTCGACTGCCCAGCATGGAAGTAGCCAAGCTACGGCCGCTCCAGCAACAGGCGCCGTTGCGCGTTCGCTCATAAGCTTCAATGAGCCGCCGCCAGTTCACCTTTTCGCGCAGGACCCGGACAAGATTCGTGGGAGTAGGCTACTCAATCTGGCTCGCGTCTACAGCAATCAGCAGATAAGGCTGCTGAGCAATCCCGGTCTCGTTGCGAGGAACCTACGAGAGCTGCAAGACAATACGGTAACGCGACGACTGACGTTAGCCATCGAGTCGCATGCCCGCAAGAGAGGCATCGACAAGGCTCTGGTCAGGAAGTGGCTCGACGGCGAGCGGGCCGCAAACGAGGTTGCCCGCAACCAGAATAGAGTTACGCAGGCTACGAGGCGGCGGACCCTACGGGCGAAGCAAGTGCGACAGTTCACATCGACACCCAGCGGCCTGCCGAGCACTCCTCAACACTGCCATCCGACAACTCGGCAAATTGTCACGTCAGTGCCACGTGAGAGCACGCCACAAAGCGGAACGAACAGCACACCGGAAAGCACGCTAGGGGATATCTCGGATGGCACAGCGGATGATACACTGGAGCGCACGCCAGAGAGCTCGGCAGTGGTCGAGCCAGACAACAACGTCCTCGACCAGATCGAGTACGTTGACGAAGACAAGGAAGTGTTGACGGAGCTTTTCCCGTTCTTGATTGGTAGTTGAGCGCCAACGACATATGAGTTGTAAAAACTCAAGACGGATAGGTTAGCGTGACGCCTCCGCAATGGCGCGGCACTCGACGTACTCTTTGTGTGGCGTTATCGTGACTAGGAGCGCCTGTATCGTGGCGCTCAGTTCCTTAATACCTCACCCGGTCTTGCATTGTTATGGTGCACCGATATACAGGTTGTGCAAGAGACCACCGTGTCTTCCTGCAGCCGTAGGTAGACGGCGAAATTGGACTTGCCGAACTCATCTCAGACCACGAGGTTTCGTTCATTATGACACTGGCCTCTTGCTACGCAAGTCCCGCGTTGCAGCACTTTGTACGTTAATTAGAGTCGGCTGGGAGTATATAGCCTCGCAAGCTAACGAAGGATAAGCTATTCTTTCCTTGATCCAGTGGTATCGTCTTTACTTTCCGCTTTGGTCCCTTCTTCAACCTTGTTCCCGCCCCCCGTGACCGCACTCCCAAGCCCACTGGCGAGGTTGTACCCGGTCTTACCAAGTCCAGCGACGGTTTCGTAGCCTTGACAACGTTAGCATAATCGTAGATGCCACTGCGAACGATATCCATACCAGCATTGCCTACAGTGTCTCCGACATCCTTGACCGCGCCACCCAACGTACCGACAGTGCCTGTGGCGAAGTTGCTGGCGTAATCTACCGCTTGTCCAGCGTAGCCGTGAGTGCTCTCGGGCAGGTTGTTCTTGACCATGCCGTGAGCTCCTGCAGTCGCACCGTCTACGTACTGCAGACTTTGCGCATGGGCTGCGTCACCAGTGCTTTTGATGTAACCAGCGCCCTGCTGCTGATAATCGCCAACCTGCTTCCGCAAGCCGTGCGCTTGCTCCTGTGCAATCTGCGTGTAGCTTTGGGCTTGACCCTGAGCTTGCTTTGAGACATCCTGTCCTTCACCCTGTAATGAACTGGCTGTCTCCTCACCTTTGGCCTGCGTGGTTTGCGCAGCACCTTGCGCTTGATCTTGACCCTCGCCCTGCACTTGCTGTTCGCTCTTCCCCGGAAAGATTTCGAAATTGACGACAGAATTGTCAAGGACACGCATCTTGTCTACACCAAGCTAGTAATAAGAGGTAACGAGTATAGTCTCGCGTCCCACAGAGTGATGAGTATAACAAGAAGACGGAAGAGAACTAAGCCTACCTTGGAGTTCTCCACGTGGAAGGCACATCTCATAGCAAAACTGTAGACGGCGTGCCGCGTTAGCACTCAGATGTTATAATGGCTGAAAGCTTGTTCGTCAGATCGCAAGCACCACATTAGGCTATGGAGTGGGAAAGGAGCGACTTTGCGCGTCTCATGTGGAGTCGGACGAAGGCTCCGCCACCGCGTCATCGTGCTTGAAATCCGCGAGGAGAATTTGTTTGCCAGGAGATTCACTGCGGTAGTAGCAGTATCCGGTAGCAATAGGCTGTTGTTAGTTCTGGCCCAAGAGCATTATAACAATCTCTCGCCTGATCAATAAGTTACATTGCCGCTATGCGATCCACCTCCCACAAGTTTGGTCGCTAGTGGACGCCCAAACTCCGCGCAGAAAGACCCAGACAGATGCAATCAGAAAAACATCAGGTCGTCGTCCGTCCAGCCAATCTCCAGCAATGCTTGATGTACGCTTTTCTCCAACGCTTCGGGCCCACATACCAGCACCATAGCATCGCCGCTGCCAAATGATGCCCGATCGGCATGCTGTTTCAGCAACGGCGCTGCAATTCGGCCTCGCAGGCCTTCCCAATCTTCCGGCGCTTTGGTAAGTGTATAGAGCAGATCGCACTTCTCCTTGTTGTCCTTCGCAAACGTATCAAGATCCGCTTTGCATAGGATATCTTCCAATAATCTGTTTCCGTTAAGGATGACGCACTTTGTCTTGTCTTCGGCGTCTTGCATTACAGCTCGGAAGACCTGGTAAATGGGCGTGATACCGCTGCCACCGCAGATCATGAGGAATGTTTTGACATTCCTTTCCATACCACTGACCGAACACTTGCCACCTCCCAGGTATTCAAACTTGCCAATGGGACCTTTGAAGTCTACAAAGTGACCAATCGGTAAGGCATCCATAGCCTGGCTCATCTTGCCACCCTTTCGCTCTTTCGTGTCGAAGTAGATCTTCACCAGTACGTCCATGAAACCAGCCTTGCTTGTCTCGGATATCGGCGTGTAGCTGCGAATGATGGCTTCTCGGGTTACAGGATCTCGTAAGCGAATCATCAAGTGTTGACCCGTCGGTAAGCCAAGCGTTTGTTCGTCGTGCTCAAGCTTGAACGTGAAGATGCGGGTATCCCAAGAGACGGTAGATTTGGTGTGTAGAGTCGCTTTCTTCCAGGTGCGCGAGTCCAGGAAGGTCGCAGATGGTTCCGCTGAAGGATCCGGTTGTACCTCTCCTCCGGCCAGCGCTGCCTTGCCCTCTTCCGACAACGAGCCGATGTGATAGTCTTTCATCATCGCCTTTGCGGTCTCGCTATCTATAATGGGTCAGCATCTGGTTGTTGCGATAGGGGCACTGCACTCACGGATCGCCATAAATTCATCGGTGCTATCCAGCCCGGCCGCAGACACAATGCTTTGAGCGCCGCCAGGATGCTCTTTTAGGAAAGCCGTACCATCATATACCTCGCCATTAACGACAAACCATGGAGCGTCCTCCTTATCATGCTTTCGTAAATCGTCAACGTTAATAATTTCAGTAAGACCGTCCTTCGTCATGACAATCTCCCTCGCAGCCTCCGTCACGGGTTCGGGCGCCTCTTCGCTACCTATCTTCTCACCCCAGTACCCATTCGTGAGATTCCCTCCGGCCTTCTTGATACGTTCCATCCAGCCGCCAGGCATGAGAGCGGGTAGTGTTGGGTGCTCGAAACGTAAGTAATCTTTCTCCTTGCTAATAGTGACGCGGAACCACGGGTTGTTCATCATGCCGAGCACACTCCAGTACATGTCCCGAGGCTGCACGTTCATGCTTTCGTCCATTGCCCTTACGAAAATGTCACTTGCGGAGGTAAGCTCCGTAACTGGGATGTCGATGTTCCAGAAACACCAGCAAAAGCTGCTCTCACGGAACTCTATGTCGAGTGTTCCTCCATACATTGGCACTCGCCCAGCTTCTCTATATCGGTCCTCTGCGTAGTCGATGTTGGCCAATCGCCATGTCTTGCCTTTGTCAAGTGTGACCTCCACTCTGGTAATGCGACGTCCGCCACCGCCATATGCATAGCCTTTTACTCTGTAGTTCGGCTCGCAGCCCACCAGGCATAGCTGTTCCTCATGTGCCGGATAAGCAATGGCGGAGTTCGTGCTGAGGTCGTAAATCGCATAGCGCTCGTCCATCCACCACTTCGGATCGTTCGCGCTTTCTTCGGGCGACACCATGGTCGGCAGCACTCGGTTGTCATAGACATGATACCAGTTGACGCTAGGCTCCGCTGTGACGATGAGACGCTTTAACCACTTAACGCTACGCCCACCAATCTGCCCTGGGATGACTGCTCGTAACGGCTTGCCATGATCCGGTCGGAGCATCTCGCCGTTCATCCGGTGAGCCAACATCATGCCTCTGTTAGGATCCATTACCCAGTTGAGCTTGACCGAGGTTTCGTAATAGCCGTTAGGCAGCTTGTCCGCACCTTCCATGCACACATACCTTGCGCCGCGCTTTGGCCTCGCCCTCTCCAGCAGGTCGGACATGGAGACACCGGTGAAGATTGCAGTAGAGACGCCAGCGGCACCCCACGAGAAGCCTTTAGTCTTGCGAACAACATTTTGCTCTTTCCGTCTATTACCGGCGCAAACTAGAGTTATCGGGTAGCTTTTCTGCTCGTAGTTGGCGATGAGCTCTTTCAAAGAGAGTTTGAGAGGGTGCTCAACCATGCCCTCGACGGTGAACTCCCAGTCCGGAATCTCCTCGTCCGACACTTGTGGAACAGCGCCATGGTTGCGGACATAGAACAACTCCGGACTCGTGAGGAAGCCTTCATTGTACAAGTCGGACAAGGGAGCTTCAACATTGAAAGGGTGGACACCGGTAAGCCGAATCAGCCTGGGATCTCTGGGAAGCCATCCATCTGGAGTCTTCTTGTCGATCTCAAGAACCTCCGTAGGTGGTGAGGTAGGTGGTGGAAGTGGGAAGCCAACTTCAGCGCACTTGGCTCCCTCTTCAAGATCATCATGCTTTCCCGCATCGCTATTGTTGTCGGAATCTGGTGGGGTCGGGGGCAAGTCGGCGGACACTCTCCGTAACTGCTTAACCTCTTCATGCGTTGGTGCTATAGTAGCCATTCTGTGTACGAATTCGTGAAACTCAAGTCTTTCGGCGATACCATGCCATGACAGACTCCACCAGATTTCTAGTAGAATTGAGAGAAGGGTTCGGTGCTGTAGCTGCAATAGTATGAGGAGAAGAGCACCTACTCTGACGTCCACACTAGTTAGACGGAATAGCAGTCCGCCGTCATTCGGCTACAGAGCAATTCCCTCCTCCCAGGGAAACCACCAGGCCAGCCCAAAGGCTCGGAAAAGCATGCTCAATACCAGGAGCGTCGGCCGCGGAAGAATCTCTCTTTTGGCAGAAGATCAGTCGGTGGGGTACATCAAGTCGCATTGGGATCAGGCTTCTAGAAGCTGTTGGTAGAACCGCCATGGTGCGCAACGGGGCCTAACAAACGAAGGAGCGCGGTGATTGGGAGATTGTGCAAGCCTTATCAGCACACCCCGGCCAAAGCGGTTTAGTGTAGGCGTAGACCTCACAGCATACGGCCCGCAGGAGACTGAGGGCAACCATATCCGGGTGCGCCATCGGAATGAGCAGACTAAGAACATCGTTGTTGAGCCTCCGAGACAATGTCGCTGCAATGGGAGGCGGCCTGGACGATTGATATCAAGGTGAGGTTGCGCAGAGTTGCGCGGAGTTGGTACTTTCGCGTAACGGAAATGCTGGCGATTGCCACGATTGGCTGGAGGCCAGGTGTCAGCGGATCCTCCCGGAGCCATTTCTTATCTGCAGGCTTATCAACGACCCTTTGCTTTCTCGTGCTGCTTGGGATTTCTGATCAACAAACACCTCGGAGAAGCACCTTTCCTCTTTTGCTGGGCCTCAGCTGCATGTTGGCGGCTCTGCTGTGGCAAGCATCCTTTCTCCGCGCCAGAAACGGCACGATGCGGTCACCTTGCTTCTCCCGGAGGCGGGAATTGGGTAGGCAAGCCGCCTTATTGGAAAACTAGAGGCTCTAGCGATTGCTATGCCGAGCGGCTGGTTCGTAGTTTCTTGGTATGTCTGATAGCCACATTCTCTCATTCACAGGTTGAGTTCCATCGTACGTTGCTTTCCTTGTCCGTCAAGGCTATTGAGCCATCCTTCATTCCATCTTTCACTCTACGGCGTCGTGGGCAGTAGGCACGATGAGTAACAGCGAGTGGAACGATGCCGAGGCCAATGTGTTGCCGGAGAAGGTTGCGAAGATGGCAGATGAAGGTGAAATACCTGAGCCGACGAAACGGAAGAGGATTGTCGTCGTAGGGCTGGGGATGGTGGGCATAGCTTTCATTGAAAAGCTCATGAAGCTTGATGTGAAGAGACGAGAGTACGACATCATAGTGATTGGCGAGGAGCCTCATCTCGCATACAACAGAGTTGGCTTGACGAGCTTCTTCCAGCATCGCGAGGTAGAGAATCTGTACCTCAATCCCGCGAGCTGGTATGCCTCAATGCCGGAGGGTAGCCTCAACTACCACCTGAATACAATGGTGACCTCCATTGACTCCGAGAAGAAGACGGTAGAGACTTCGAACGGCGATACAGTACCGTACGACGTGCTTGTGTTGGCCACTGGATCTGATGCCGTACTGCCGAAGCACACGCCAGGTCACAATGCAAAAGGTGTCTTTGTGTACAGGACCATTGAAGATCTGCAAAAGCTTATCGCATTCTCCTCGACCAAGAAAGGCACATCTGGCGCTGTGGTCGGAGGTGGCTTACTCGGTCTCGAAGCAGCGAAGGCCATGATGGATCTCGAAGAGTTCAGCAAGGTCAAGCTTATTGAGCGCAACAGATGGGTTCTCAGCCGGCAGCTGGATGCTGATGCCGGCAACATGGTCGTGGAGCAGGTGCGTGCTCTTGGACTCGACGTCCTCCTTAGCAAGCGCGTTGGGCGGATCAACACCGACGAGGAGAACAACGTCTGCGGCGTCACATTCGAAGACGGTGAAACGATGGACTGCAGCTGTATCTGCTTCGCAATTGGCATCAAGCCGCGCGATGAGCTAGCAAGGAAGTCGGGCATTACGTGTGCTGATCGTGGAGGAGGTATTATCATTGGCAAGGACCTTTCGACTTCCGCGCCTGACGTGTACGCGATCGGTGAATGTGCTAGCTGGGAGAGTCAGACGTACGGCCTCATCGCACCTGGGGTGGAGATGGCGGACATCTTAGCGTTCAACCTGACGCAGGCGAAGGCGCACTCGCCTCGCTCCTTCAAGCAGCCAGACCTCAGCACCAAGCTTAAGTTGCTCGGTGTGGAAGTGGCGAGCTTCGGTGATTTCTTTGCGGACCGTGACGGACCAAAGAACATGCCTAGCAGACGGCACGCGGCAAAGAAGGAAGGGACGACGGAGGCCCAAGAGACGGTCAAAGGCCTCACCGAAGGTCCACCGCCTTCGCCTGTGAAGGCTCTGACTTACAAAGACCCGTTCCAGCAGGTCTACAAGAAGTATCTCTTTACGATGGACGGCAAGTACTTACTTGGCGGCATGATGATCGGTGATACGAAAGACTACGTCAAGCTCGTGCCATTGGTGAAGAACCAGAAGCAGCTGGAAATCTCACCAAGCGAGTTGATCATCGGAGCCAAGAAAGGAGACGATGAAGGTGCTGACGATCTCGAGGATGACACGCAAGTCTGCTCCTGCCACAATGTGCTCAAAGGCGACATTGCGAACGCTGTCAAGGACGGCACCTGCAAGTCCATCGGCGACGTGAAGTCTTGCACGAAAGCTGGGACGGGATGCGGAGGCTGCATGCCGCTTGTCCAAACCATCTTCAACAAGGCTATGCAGTCGATGGGTCAAGAGGTGAAGAACAACCTCTGCCCACACTTCGACTACTCTCGAGCCGACCTTTTCAACATTATTTACGTCAAGAAGATCAAGAGCTTCGAGGAGATCATGAAGCAATGCGGGAAAGAGCCCGAGTCACTAGGTTGTGAAGCCTGCAAGCCTACGATAGGGTCCATCTTGGCATCGTTGTACAATCAGCACATCATTGACAAGGAACGGAGAGGACTGCAAGATACGAATGACCGCTTCCTTGCCAACATCCAGCGAAACGGCACCTTCTCTGTTATTCCTAGAGTGTCGGGCGGTGAGATCACTGCCGACAAGCTCATCGTCATTGGCACTGTGGCGAAGAAGTACGGCTTGTACTGCAAGATTACCGGCGGCCAACGTATCGACTTGTAGGTTTCCAGAGCGTACTCGATCGTTTATGTAGTGACTAACAATGCTGCAGGTTTGGCGCGAGAAAGCACGACCTACCGAAGATCTGGCAAGAGCTCATCGATGGCGGCATGGAGTCCGGGCACGCATACGCCAAATCCCTCCGGACCGTCAAAACCTGCGTGGGCACAACTTGGTGTCGTTTCGGCATCGGTGACAGTGTCGGCATGGGTGTCAGGCTAGAGGAGCGCTACAAGAGTATCCGGTCTCCGCACAAGATCAAGGGCGGCGTTTCCGGTTGCGTGAGAGAATGCGCAGAGGCCCAGAATAAGGACTTCGGGCTCATCGCTACCGAGAAAGGTTACAACATCTTCGTCGGCGGCAATGGTGGAGCCAAGCCGAGACATTCGGAACTTCTGGCAAAGGACGTGCCACCCGACGATGTGGTTACCATTCTTGATCGTTACCTTTCCTTCTACATCCGGACTGCTGACAAGCTGATGCGGACGGCAAGATGGTCAGTCCCAGAAGCGTGCTTGATATCTGTCTAGATAGTGCTGACGATGACTAGGGTTGAGAATCTACCGGGCGGTATCAAGTATCTCCGCGAAGTCATTCTTGAAGATAAGCTCGGAATCTGCGCCGACCTCGAACAGCAGATGGAAGACCTCGTTGGGTCCTTCTTCTGCGAATGGACGGAGGTGCTCAAGTCACCAGAACGATTGAAGCTCTTCTCGCAATTCGGTAACACTGACGAGAATGTGGACTCGATGGATAAGGTGGAAGACAGGGGCCAAGAACGCCCAGCGTACTGGCCAAAGGACTCCGTGACTGAAGACTTCCGCGGCACCCAGTGGTCTGAACTGACCTGGCAACCTTTAGCGAAGTCGGAACAGTTCACTGACGCACCAACGGGATCGAGCTTGGCGGTCAAGCGTGGCGACACTCAGCTGGCCATCTTCAAGGTCAAAGGCCAGTACTATGCTACGCAGCAAATGTGCCCTCACAAGCGCGCCTTCGTCCTTAGCGACGGTCTGATTGGAGACGACATGAAGACGGACAAACTTTGGGTCAGCTGTCCGTATCACAAGCGGAACTACGAGCTCAAGGGCGCGGATGCAGGCAAATGCGGCAACGACGAGAGCGTCAACATTGCTACTTTCCCCGTTGAAGCGAGGGATGATGGTATGGTATACGTGAAGCTCCCGCCGGTTCAGGAGTTAGATGGCGTACTCGGCACGGAGAAGTGGAAGATCCGGAAAGAGGAGACGGAGGAGCATAGCCCATTTGAAGCGCTTGACGAGAAGCTGAAGAAGATGAAGGGCCGGAAGAGTATGCAAGCAAGCCATCTTCCCAATGGTCTGGGCGAGAAGGCGAAGGCTGATGCCATTTTGGCGGGCGCCGAAAGGGGTGCAAACGGAATGGACTGGTAAGGCAATTTTGATGTTGACTTCGGACATTATCCCATCGACGAGGATGGACGGCTCAGCACTTGTCACGCATCGCCGCCAGCAGTCGGCGTTTGTGGCGCCAAGCGTTGGTGTTTCAGCCCAATACAGCAGAATTATAGAATTGCTGCAGCCAGCCATCATGTAACCCGTTTTGAGCCTCTCGTCACCCGGCTCACAGAGCGGACAGTAGTGTTCGCTGTCTCTCCAGCCAATGGAAATACTGTACGACGACACTCGGCAACTTCCACCGTGCGACACCGCATCACCCCCCAGTGCCCGCATGTATCGAACATATCTACTTCTACCCCTGTGTATGCAGCAAGAACGGCGTAGTCTGCTTCGTACCCTGAAAGACGGACTCCGATACGAAGAACATGCACTCGTATGTGTCGCTAGGGATCAGTGGCGAGCAGCGCGCTGGCCTCCAGCACAAGGCTCGAGATGGCCTCATGGCCCGGAAAGGGTGCCAACCCTTGCGCCTCCATTGTCCATCTGCAAGCAGAAGCATGTCTCGATGCTGGCAGAGTATGGGTTGATAACACTTCCAACGACGGCCTTGCAAAATTCCATGAACTGAGTTGGTTCAGCCCACGCTTTACCGTCCAGTGCGGAGCCAAGCTTGACGAGATGAGCTCGTGTTCGTCTGCACGCAGCCGTAATCCAGGTGCATGCAACACGCCTTATACGGCAACGTAGCACACGGGCGTGCCTGGATCAGCTTCGGGTGGTCCGCATTTTGACTGCTTCATGCAGCTGCAAGGTGGAACAAAGTGTCGGAGTCGGTTGGTGTCACGCTGGCGCATGCCCAATGTATCCATATAGAGTCGAGCACACTCCGATATCTCACAAACCCTACGGACTCCCCACTGTTGTTCGTCGCGCGCTCGCTCTCACACTCGCTCTCACACTCGCTCTCACACTCGCTTGTTGCTGGGCGAACGTCGTGCATTCTTCAACGTCACACTGGCTTTTCGACCACCTTGCCCAACTTCCGCGCTGAAGCAAAACCAGAAACTACTCGCTTACTCCCTCTAACCATCATCAGCATGAAGCCCATCATTACGCTTGCAGTAGCGACCTTCGCCGCTCTTGTGGCAGCCCAGCAAGGTCCGACATAGTAAGTCGTCAGATTCCATCACCCTCTCGCTCCATTCTGACAGCCTATAGCGTCAACGGAACCTTCCTCTGTCCCGACCCCGACGGCAGCTACTGCGCCGCGAGCAATATCATCATCCGCTGCAACAACGGCACGGGAGAAGCGGGCAACTGCAACGATAACTTGGCCGGCGAGCCACCTACTGACGTCTTCTTCGCGGAATGCTTCTCCTGCGGTACCAACAGCAGCCAGTCAGCGTGCAGTAAGCAAGGCATCGTCTATCCCGGCTCTGGAAGCGGACTCGGCAGTACTCCGTTCTCGGCGAACGACACCTCGGTCTGCGCTGCCTCGCCACCAACTCCCTATGGCTCCAACACGACAACAACAAGCAGCGCGCCATTCAACAACGGTACGAGTACAAGCATAACCGCAAGTGCGAGCAACACGAGCTTTGTTACCACAAGTGCCAGCACCACGCCAGTCTTCATCAGCACGAACCCAGGCGGGCCAGTTATTCTCGCTAGCTCCACGCCCACACAAAGTGCTTCGCAGTCGAGTGCTTCGAGCGCGCCCAATTCATCAAGCAGCGGGGCACCGGCGTATACGGGCGCTGCCTCTGGAAGTGTATACTCTGGCGCAGGGGCGGTTGTTGGCTTCGTGGCGGTGTTGGCCGGATTTGCAGGGTTGTGAGCGCTGATTAAGTGAGCTAACGGAGGACGGCCGAATGTGATCGACTCGATTGAGGGATTTGCAGGGCGCAGGTCAGTAATGGCCTCGAACATAATGTATTTGGCTGAGCGTAGTAGTACGCATCTATCGGTCTAAGCAAGATGAGATAGCATCAGTAGGCGGTAGATTAGCCAGCGCAGCATATGCTATCGCTTCATCTCCTCGGTCTTTTCCGTGGACTCGTGCTTCGTCTTCTCGATCGCTTGTTTGTCTTCTACCTGGTCCTTCTTCGCCTTCTTCATCGCAGTCTCCACCTGCTCGACTGCCCGCTCGATCTCAATCTGCATCTCAGGTAGTTTAAATGCTTCGGCAATGAGCTTGGCGTTCCATTGCTGTAACAGCATGACGTCTTCCTTGCCATCGACAGTTTGCACTTGTACCTCCTGCACCACTCTCTCTGTCTCCTCCACCGACGGGCTGGATGCGTCACGCGCCTGCGGACGGTTCGGACTTAACAAGCCTCTCGCGTACATCTCGTTCAGTATCTTGCTGTCAGTCATCCGGACCATGTCCTTCTTCAGAACGTGCTCGAGTAGCTTCCCGCCATACAAGGCGCGGTAATGCGACCATGCGCGAAAGCCAAGATAGAAGAAGGGGATGTTAGGTATACTGTCAAATCCGTCAGCATGCATACTGTTATTCTGGAGGTACCTTTGCTCGAAGGCGAACCTTACACTGGTACAAAAGTAAACGGTATCGTTATGGGCATCCAGCCAAGACACACCCACATACTGCGGTTGTGATAGCTTTGCCGTTCCGTGGCCAGCTTCCGCAGCACATCAGACACGTTCTTGCCTTGCATGAAGGCACTAGGATACAGGCACTCGAACTTGTGCTTGCCCTGATCTACTTCTGCTAAGCGCGCCTTGGTCGCAGGCGGGATGCTTTTCAGGCCCCATTCTTCGTACGGAATGCGCTTGAACAGTTGGTTGCCGTAGTTAGTGAGTTGCCTCTGCCATCCCTTGTCCTTCTTCTCCCACTCTGCCCAGGTGCTGGAGACGCGGTTGATAACTCGCTCGGAGATCGATGGCTTCGCGCCGGACACGGCCTCCTCGACGCGTTCGCAGTAGATTAAGGTTCGCCTTGTGCTGATGGGAAGAAGGAACAGGCGCATAGCGAAAGTCGCTGCGACTGTTAAGCTATGGCTCTGGAAAAACCTGACTTGAATTGAGTATACGCGGCTACAAAGGTATTTAGATATGGAGCATCAATCACCGGCTGCTGGAGACGCGTTGGCACTTTTCCCAGGAAAGCTTCGCTGACGTCGGCTTTGCGTCGGCGACCGGAACCGAGAGCGAAGCACTAGAACTCGAATCTTCAAGTCTTGGTATGCCTTGTTTGATATTCGCATTGCAAATACAGGGCAGGTCCGGACGCCGGCTGGACCCATCATGGACCTGGAGGTTCACTGTAAGGACTTTGCATGGAGTGCCGACAACTGCTTGCTCCAAATGACCCACAGTCGCACCTTCCAGCCGCCTTTGCTACGTGACGAGGACATCCGCTCTCAATCGCTTCTCTCCGCGGTCAAGAAGAATCACAATGGATATCGCAATACATTGTCTCCCGTCGACGTGCTAGCTACGGTGCTGCCTGCGATGCACGAGCTCGAGCCTTGCGATGCTTGACGGTGACACATTCTCCCACGACCGAGTCGCACACGAATACCAAATCCCTGCAATGGTTCGCCAAGCACTGATACAAGGTCCCTTTCTTGAGCCGAATCAATGGACAGCACGCGGCTATGGAGTTATCGAATCCCTTGCGTGAGAAATCACATGGTATAGATGGCAGTCGCTCTTTCCTACTGCTCTGTTTACACGCGTCGTCTCCCGTCCTGACCTCTGCTTTGCGTCACCTTCAGTGTCCATATTACTTCCTACTTCCTTTCCACGCTCCCTCTACTCAATGTGGTTCCCAGCGTCGCTCGCTCGGCCCAAAGTGCCAAAATGTACTCTTTCATTGTTGCAATCTTGCTTGCACCGATCATGGTGAAGGCTCAGGTCGGCGTCTCCGGAGCTCAGGCCCCCCAAAGCGCAGACTACTCCCCGGCTGAGATCGCAAATGGCACAGCATTTAGTAATGTCTCACTCATTGCGAATGAGAACATGCAGTACAACCTCGTTCACAGGAACAGCACTAACTGCACATACTACAATGCCCACCGACGTCGGGAGTGGCGTACTCTACCTCCTGCAGCTCGAAAATGCTTCACGGACGCTGTGACATGTCTTATCAGCATGGCTCCTATGCGGATGACGGCAGATGAGGCGCCATACTACCCTGGAGTTCGGTCGAGGTATGATGAGTACGTCGCCACCCATATAAATTATACCTTCAATATCCACGACACAGCCAACTTCTTCGCTTGGCATCGAGCCTTCATACACTTCTGGGAGCAAGACTTGCGTACTCTTTGCGGCTACGACGGCTTTCTACCCTACTGGGATTGGTCTCTTGACGCAGCGGCGCCACAAAACAGTCCGCTCTTTGTGGGAGACGCATACAGTATGGGAAGCAACGGCGTCTTCGTTGCTAACCGGTCTGACACATGGCTGGCGGCGCAGGCAAGGCGTTCTTTCCGAACTAAACGCTCGGCATTTGCTGATCAATCAGGAAGAACGTGACCTACCCTCCAGGTACCGGCGGCGGCTGCGTACGTAGCGGACCGTTCGTCAACTACACTGTCAACCTTGGCCCGCTAGATCTGCCACACGCGGTCAACGTGCAGAGCCCTTTCCGGTACAATCCACGCTGCCTCACCCGTGATCTTAACCCTTGGTTTAGCCAGAACTACAACACCTTTACCAACCTTACGCATACCATGCTCGATAATATCTACATCTCGGACTTTCAAGCAACCGTCCAAGGCTACGGGTCTGAGAGTAATCGATTCGGTATTCATGGCGGAGGACACTGGATGGGCGGTGGTAGCATGAGCGACTGTACGCAAGCTATTGAGCTAGCCTCTACCTAGTGTTCGAGCGGATTGCTGACATTGAAGTAATCCAAACCTCTAGTTCACAGCTCTCCATCAGACCCGGTGTTCTTCCTCCATCATGGGCAGATTGATCGTATCTGGACCATCTGGCAGAATCTGGACATCTACCGGAGGCAGAACGCTATTTACGGCACTTCGACGCTGGGAAACGAGCCACCCAGTGCGGAGATGACGCTCGACGATATGCTGCCTTTCGGCTTGGTGGCGGATGATGTGCGGTTCGGAGATGTGATGGACACTTTCGGCGGTCCGTTTTGTTACAGATATGTTTGACAAGAAGAAGTTCAGGTGATGCTTGAACCAGAGCGTTCCTGGCCACTCCAGCTGAGTTGACCGTATATCGCTCAGCTCGGGCATTGCGAGCAACATTGTCTGGCCGCGGGAAATTATGAAAACAAAGTGGTTGCTACGCATCGAAGATATCGATACTTTTGCTTTCTGTTCACTATCTGTAGGTATCGAGCAAAAAGTAAACTACCACTTCTTCACTCTCGCCCCTTTGATGCTACGCTCCTTCTCGGCTTACACTGTACCTTAAGAAACGGGAATCTTGCTCTTCACGAAGTTGAGCGCTGCTTGACCGTACTCGCTTCCGTAGCCTTGATGGGTTGCCGCGTTATTGCCATTAGAGCAGTACGGGTCGCTGGCATCACAGTACGACTGAATGAGGCTGTTGAACTTGCCGCAGGAGGTTTGAGAGGAAGGACGCTGGTCGAAGCCGCCGGCCGTGGCGCTGCCGACGTGGAACTACATAATTTCATCGTTAGCATGACGGAGGTCCATGGCATGAAGTAGTCGGAGTACGTACGCTCTCGCCGGGAGTGAATCTTGGATCACCGGCCCAGATCACAGCCTTGATGTTGAAATTGGCAATCGTGGCGGCCGTGTTCGTAACACCCTGATTCGGATCGCCACCTCCGCAGAGCGCATCATCTTCAATCTCGGCACCTTGGCTGTAGCCTACGAGAACCAGGGCCGTATTGGGACACTTGGCCGCGAAGGCAGAGACCTGGTTATACACGGCCTGCACGCCCGCCTGGACGGAGGAAGCATAGGCGGCGTTGGTGTTGCCAGCGGCTGGGTAATTGATCGCTTCGGCCGTGCTACCTGGGTAGGCGTTGAGGATTAGATTCACGAAAGTGCCGGCGCTGCCGTAGCCGGCGGGAGCGGTGGTCTCGCGGGCACCGAAGATGTGGCTATATGGAGCTGGATCAGCCGGGATAGACGGGACAGAGCCGCGAGACGGCGGACCTACACTTTCGGGCAGCTGGACTGGCGCTCGACCAGCTCCATGGGAGCGGCGAAGCTGCTGACCGCAAGGGCGGTGTTGAGAAGGAGAGCCTTGGACAACATCTTGCTCGTTGTGTCAGATGCGTTTTGTAATCTGAGATGCGAAGGAAAGTCTGAAGCCTCTTCAAGAGCATGGAACAGCTGGCAATGTGGGAAGTACATATATGTCCTACCTCGATTGCGACCAGTGGTCAATCCCCCTTCGACCGTGATATTCAGCCTACAGTACTGGTATAGAGCCTGAGTGTGACATAGTCACAAGGTCAGCGTGGCGGACATAGTGTGCCGTCGTGCGTATAGTAGTCTTGCGCACGTTCTTGTGCTGGAGAGCTGAGACCAGCTCCAGACCTGCAATAAACGAGCTGTCCAAGGATCTACCATGCCGGGCCAGCATGTAGCCAGTCTCCACAGATGGTGCACCAGAGAACCTTCGCATTGTTCGCCCACTCTCCATACTAAGCACGTACTTCGCAGAGGCCGACGGACAATGTTGTGACAAACACAAAACCTGTCGATTGGGTTCGCGGACGTACGGACGCTTGCGTGCCATTCAGCCTGTCATTATGGGTGCTGTAGCAAGTTCCACTCCATGTCTTAGCTGCTCATAGTAGTGCTGCGAATATATTGAGCGCTTGTCCTGGGGCGGGTAGGTGCATCTGCGAAGCGAAGTCAGCAGGAAGTGCGTGAAACCAAACCGGCTCTTTACAGGTGCTCCAGCCGAAGCTTGGCAGGCAATGTTGATTTAGCCGTAGGACTAGTCTTGCAACGTGGACTCAGTTTCGTGTTCACGAAATATACCGTGGCACATTATTGAGCAGCTGTTGTATGACGAGGAAGCAGAAACGGTGAAAGAAGCCGAGGTGAAGGGTGGTCGATGTTGCCCAGTCACACAATTGTCAGGTCCGCCTCCGATTAAAGCGGATGGGCAGGGTGCTCCCTTGTGCTCGTATCTATCGTTTTAAGTGTCTTCATCGTGCGGAATGCAGTAATGCCGCATCACAGTACGCCAGACGTCCCAATCGTGGAGCGTTCGATCATATCCAAAAACTCCTCCGCTATGCATCCAACGTGCTGGTGCCATGTTCTCATTGCACCGCTGCCAGCCTCTGCTGCCGACGCTCAACGTCTCTCATCTCCTCCAGGATCTCCTTGTTAAACTGCTCATACCCATCAAGGTACACATGATGCCCAGCCTTCCGGATAATGGAGACCTTGATACTGCCGTTTTCGAGCTGCCGCTCCCGTTCCGTAGCATTTGCCAGCGCCTTCTGCTTCTCTGCATTACACTTAGTCTCACAGTCGTAGCCGCCGTTGACGTCCATCCAATCCGAGTCACCATAATACATCACAATCGGCACGCCAGTCTCACGTTCTCTCTGTTTCGAGGCCGTCAAGGACGCCGCATCCGGTTCTGGAGTGTTGTGCGTCTCCACGTACTGTCTGCCGACGCTCTGTATGCGTCGGATAAGTGGAGAGCGGGCAAAGGCGCCTGGGGCGAGGACATATGCAAGAGCATATTCTCCGGAGCCGCGTTGCCGGAAGAGGGAGTATGAGTAGTCATGGAGAGCTTGTGCCTCTTCGGCGGGAAGCTGAGAGAAGCGACGGCTTGTCCATCCTGACACGAGCCGTGGACCCAGTGGACCAGCCAGACGGACAAGAGAGAAAGGCGAGACGTTGGCATCCCACAATGTGGTGAGCCATCTCGGCAACGGCTTTCGCGGCGGCGGCTTACCGTTCTGACCGGCTGTGGTATTGCTACCATTAGTCCCACGACCATTGATAGCCTCGTCTTGGTTCTGTGTAAACTCGCTACCCATGGTGCTTTCGCTAGGTTCCGGAATATCTTCGTTGACCGCATAGGGATCCTCAGGAATGCCAACGGGACTGGCAAGAATGAGCTTGTTTAAGTGATTTGGGTACTTCAAAGCATAGCACACTGCCATGTAGCCGCCTAAACTATGGCCAAGCAGGGTCATCTTGTCAATGCCTCGCTTGATACGCCACTCTTCCAGCGCATCAATGAACCAGTTCTCTGCTTCGCGTATCTTAGCCTCCTTGTCTTTCGCATGTATCTTAAATGGCGGTCTACTACTTCGGCCCATACCGAGCAGATCGAGCGCGTATAGCTTCCAATGCGGTAGGCGCGACAACGGTTCAAAGTTCTTGTAGAAGAAGCCGAGACCGGCGCCGTAGCCGTGCAGCATCACAAAGCTGTTCCGCGTCTCCTCGCCAAGCCTCTCTACACTGAACTCATTCAAGAAACGTTCTTTGCCGGCCAATCTGACCATCTCACTGCTCCACTGCCTGGGTCCAAAGGGATCGGTATGGCTGTCTGTCCTGACGGGTGTTGCATCCTTGGCATGCGATGGGTCCACCGATTCTCTACTTCCAGGTACCTTGACTCCGGTATGCGTATGCGTAGGTGCTTGCCTAAGGTATGGTATGAAGGAGAGCACTCTGTGTTCTGTTACAGCCGGCGTCAAGCTTGCCCACCACTGCGATAGACCGTCTCTATAGCTAAGTGGAAAGTAGCCACTCTTGGGCGGTGCTTGCTTCCCATGCGCTGCGTCAGCATCCTCCTTAAAGCGTTGACGAGCGAGCATCGCGCTCTGACCCGAAGGTGGTGGCGGTGGGACATCCTCGCTGGCCTCAGTTGATACCATGGTGGAGTAGGCGTGCGACTGAGACTGCAGTGGGAGAATGACTGCGGGAAGCAGTGGTACTGTGCCCACTTCTGTGCTGCTGCCTTTGAGCGGGTAGAGGGTAGCAAGTAGTAGCGTTGAGCGCAGAGTGGCGGGAAGAGCCAACAGTGAAGCGCCAACTTGCGCCGTCACTCTCATTCCTAGGCACTTCGAGCAGAGGCTGTTCGAAACAGACGGGCTCACCGGAAGCGGCTGTTCGGGTCAATAGGGTATCAGGCAGGCATGTCGTCGAATGACCTACAGTAGATCTTTCATAGTGATCGAGTGACGGCAGTGGGATGCACCTGCAAGGCACAAGCCAAAGCGCTGGGGGAGATCTGCCGGCGTCGGCCCGCTCGGCCTTCTAACCCTGTGTTGGTTGTCAGCTCCCTCTTCGTTTGCGCCGGAACCATTCTGATGGTCAACATACTGCAGGAATATTCAGCGACAGTGTGAGATCCATGTCCATGCCTCTGTAGGCCTCATGTAACCAGTCCGGTGGGTTTACGACACCTGACGGTCCCCGCGCAACACCAGCACGATGAGTGCCAGTAAGCTGGACCAGATCGTCAAGGGCGCGGTATGGCGACGGGCACCCACAAGTGCAGACGTGCAGTTACTGATGAGATCTGTATAGCCACCTCCCAATGTCTCTCCCACCCAGGTTGCGCAGTCAGCGAAAGCCTCTGCAAGCTCTCCATCCATCACCGCCCCGCACCTTCCCAACCAAAGCACCAATGACCCACGTGACAACCTCCCGTCAAGCCCACCACAGATCTACCTAAACATGCTCATTCTCGAGTCATCTCTCCGACTGCAGTATCTCAATTTGCGTGCGCGATTGAGATTGCACCTACTGCTTCTGGCCACGCTCACCGCGTGGTCGGCTATCTTCACCTATCTCCTCTACTTCCGCCCTCGAGAAGACGGCAGTGGTGTCGGTGGTAGTGTGTACTGGGTGATCGAGAGTGTGGAGAAGCTCGGCTGGTGCGGAGGTGTCGTTACGCTCTTCTTGTTCTATGGCACCGGCATGTACGAGCGCGGCGTCCGCTGGCCCAGAAGGTTCGTAGGCACCACCAATCGAGGCCTGCGAGGCTTCAACATGAAGGTGGTGGTCATCAAGGGAAGTCTCCTATCCGAGTTGGGATTATGGGTGGGGATGCTGGATCCATGGTTCTTGTTTCGAGAGCAGCGCGTCAATTTTCAGGTCGTGCCTCGCGACATCGAAGCTGGTTCCGTGGGCGGTGCGAAGGAGCACTGGAACCAGCATGCCTCTCGTTACGGACTGATTGAAGAAGACATTGCGCCCTCGGGCGACGTGCTCAAATTACTGCTACTGCCTAAGCCTTTCTCACCAGACTTCCGAGAAGGTTGGGAGAACTACCGTATGGAGTACTGGGAGCGCGAGAATGCTCGCCGCAATGAGCTACGTAAGATCGTCAAGGCTCGTCGACGCGAGATCGCGCGACGCGAAGGTGGTTGGCTGTGGTGGACAGGCTGGAGAGGGTGGAGGAGCATGCGCACTTTGAGTGGCAAGTCTCGAAGACAGCTGGAACTCGACCGTCTTGCCCTCAGAGAGAAGCCAAGCGCAGAGGTGCTGAAAGACAAGCAGCGCTCGTTACGACGTGGGGAGAAGGAAGGCATGCTGTTACGCTCCGGGTCAGACTCGAGAACACATTCCAGATCGTCCTCACGCAGCACGACTCCGACGCCTGAAGAGAGCACTAATCGACACCGACGAGGCAGCTCTACAAGTACGACGAGGCGGCCCAGGAAGACGATACCCCAATCTCCCGGATCGAGCAGATTGTCCGCGACGGAGACGCTGCTGAAAGACGATGACGCACCTCAGCGACTGAGCACCATCAGCGCTCCGGAAGGAGTCAGTGACAGCGGATCTGACTTCGGGGGCGAGGGAACAAAGCTAGAGCCCATGTTCACAAGTGAAATCAAACAGGAGCCTGCCGAAACGTAGCGCGGCTTGCACGTTTGCACGATCATGTCACCCCATTTTTCGTAAATTCTGAATAATTGCGCAGATGCCACTGGGAACACAAGCTCGAAAGTAAGCTCGAACATGTTTAACCGAGAGCCACCAGTATCCATTAATTCGTTCAAAGAGCAGTCAACGCACGCTTCGAGCGGCTGCACCGCGCCGTTATCGGACGCTCCCGCTGTCACGGCAATGTCGTGCCGAAAAGAGCGCCTCAGCATTTCCCTGCAGCATCAGCGTCACCCGCTCATTGATGCCGACCGCCTGCGACTACGTGCCGCCTTAACCGTGACGCGAGTATGGCTCGTCAGAGGGACGCCAAGGTTGGTAACGTTCCGTTCGGCCGTTCCGTTGTTCTCTACAATAATTCTATACAATACCTGAGCACTTCTGGCCCAGAAATTGTGTTTCGCCACTGCAACGATACTGACTGCCAAGCACCTCGGGATGGATCACTCGCTTCCGGCTTCAAGCCAAGCTTCGTGGGAGAAGCTTGATACATTCGATGGCGAGAAGCTAGACCAGTCTTCGTATTACAACGACTCTTCGGCGCACCTACAACATCCCAATCCCAGAGCATCCGATGACGAAGGCCATGAATTAGCAGATCTCGAAAAGCAAGACGAACCGTCTGGCTCACAGCAACCTCCAGTGCCGGAGCAGCAGCAACACCAACGACAGGATGGCGAACAACTACAACAGGCACAATCAAAGCTGGAAAAGGATCCCGCCTTCAAGGTAGAGTGGGAGCCAGGCGAGACGACAAACCCCCGAAACTGGAGTACCTTGTACAAGGCATTTATCACATTCCTGCTCGGTATGCTGGCGTTGAGCGCTTCGTTAGGGTCGAGTATTATTGCGCCTGCGGAGCCTTTTATTGCATCGTATCTGGGTGTTAGCGAGGAGGTGATGGTTCTGACGATCTCGCTCTACGTGTTGGGGTTTGCTCTTGGGTACGTCGGGAAGCGGCTGAGCTACATCGGTTTGGACTGACTTGTCACATTCAGGCCGCTACTCTGGGCGCCCGTCTCCGAGACTTACGGACGCAAAGTCTCTATGCTACCACCGCTCTTCGTCTTAGGGCTGTTTTCCATTGGTACCGCAACGAGCAAGAACATTGCTGCCGTCCTCGTGACCCGCTTCTTCGGCGGCGTTTTCGGCAGCGCTCCTGTCTCGAATGTCGGAGCGGCACTTGGTGACATGTATGCGGCGCAAGCCCGTGGCATAGCGGTGACCTTCTATGCCGTCTGCGTCGTGGGTGGTCCGACTATTGGGCCGTTGATTGGTTCTGCCTTGACCGTCAACTCGAATCTTGGCTGGCGGTGGACGGAGTACATCGAAGCAATCTGGGTCTTCACCGTTTTCGCCCTGGCACTCGTGCTCATGCCAGAATGTTACGGTCCGGTGTTGCTTAAACGCAAGGCGCAGCGTCTCCGGAAGGAAAAGGGTGACAACAGATACTGGCACCCGCACGAGGCAGTTCGCATCACCTTTACAAACATCCTCACCCAGCACGTCAGTCGACCATTAAAAATGCTACTGACCGAGCCCATGGTCGCTTGCATTGCCGTTTACGCGAGCTTTGTCTACGGCTTGCTGTATCTGACATTAGAGGTCTTTCCGATTTGCTACGCCGAGATAAGAGGCTGGGGCACTGTAACTTCCACGCTGCCGTTCCTTGGGTTGTTCGTTGGCGTCCTATTTGCTATGGGCATCAACCTCGCCAACCAGCCGCGCTACGCCCGCATCGTGAAAGCGAACAAAGGCCGTGCCGTCCCTGAGGCTCGGTTACCGCCCATGCTTATTGGCGGCTTCTTGTTCGTCATTGGACTGTTCTGGTATGTTGATGCGGGCGCAATCGGCAATGCGTACATTGCTGACAGATCAACAGGTTTGGATGGACAGCAGGCAATGTCTCGATACACTGGGCTGTCCCAACTGTTGCCACAATCTTCATCGGTGCCGGCTTCAACGTAATCTTCCAACAGTGCATCAATTTCCTGGTCGATACCTACGCCTTGTATGCCGCTTCAGCGACATCGGCAAACACCTTTCTGCGCTCGATCTTCGCATGCGGCTTGCCCTTGGCAGCGCGACCCATGTTCCTTCATATGGGAGTCGGACCTGGATTCAGTGTACTCGGCGCTGTGGCATGTTTAGCGCTGCCTGTGCCGCTGATCTTCATGAAATACGGACTGAAGCTGAGGAAGATGAGCAAGTTTGCTCCTGTGCCAAAGGACTAGCGTAGCTGCGTCAAACACAATTTCAGGCGGAATCGACGTAATTCGTCAGGTCTCATATCCCCAAGTCACCAATGTGGCGTAAGGTACAATGCTTCTTCACCGCCCGAAGCCAAACCACCCTCTCTTCTTCTCCTGCGGCTTCTCATCCACCCCATTGACCATCTTTTCGTCCGCCGGGGCCGGAGCGGCAGGGTTCGTGGCTACCTGTGCCTTGCGGCCCGGATACTCGATGTAATTCCATGCCACATCCAAGAATAGCGGTTTGACAGGAACAGGCTGTATCTTCGGCGGATACTGTACAAGGTTTTTGAGGTCCACTTGTACGCCAGGCGTGGGGAATGCGTTCAGGTTCTGCACCAGCGGCAGAGCGGAAGTCATGTGCTTCTCTGCTGCAACACGGGCATTTTCTTCGAGCTTGTGCATCTCAACGATTGCGTGAGCGCGAGAAAGCAGAGCGGACACATGCTTGTCCACGGCTTCCGCTGTTGAGGTCAAGACATGTAGCGTCGGAGGCGCGTCGATGTCTGCCGGCGATTGCTGCGAGATGGTTGGCAAGGCTGCTGAAAGCAAGCCTTTTGCGCGGCTAAGCAACGCGAGAGCGTTCAGGTGGCTGCCGAGCATGGCATGCGAATAGCTTATGTTTACGCACTTCAGCGCACGGAAGTAAGCAGCCTTGCTGTCTAGCTCCTCTACGAAACTGGCGTCTCGCATTGCACCACGGAGGTCTTTGACTGAATTGATGCTTTGAATTGTTGCGTCGTACAACACCACCCTCTCCCTTAGCCGTGCAAGCTTGCGCGAGCGCGGCTCTTCTTTCGCAGGATATGTTGTCCCATCTCTGCGCGGCCGTTTCGGCTGCTTCGACCGCTGAGCGGTGAAGGTAAGTCCATCTTTCTCACCGATGAGAACACGATTGCGGCCGACTCGCCAACTGACTAGGTCGTAGTTGACCCTAAGGCTGGTCACTCGAAGATCTTGCATCCGAGGGTCGCCCTCATCAACCCGTTCCTTCTCCAGCTCATCTGTAGCACGTTTGGTGGCGTCGGCAGCGTCTTGCGCTGCAGTTAATACGTCGTCGTACGCCGCAGCCTGTTCGCGACTTGGGGCAGAAGGGTTGGATTTCAAGTGTGCGCTTAGCCGGCCTTGTGCTGTTGTTACGCTCGCTAAAGCTTGGCCAATAGAGGCGTCTACAATGTTGGCTTTTCGTCCTCGCCACGTAACGCTGCTTGGCACTTCCTGCGGCGAAGACTTCTTCTCGTCTTCTGACTTCGGCTCCAGCTTGTCTTTTAGAGCATACTGATCAAGTTGCTGAACCATTCGCACAAGCTCCTCATCATCGGACGCGAAGTAACGTTTGGCGATCGTTGAAATTGCTATCGTGCGAGACAGATGCGCTTGATACGCCGCATACCGTATGGTTGGGTCTACGGTGCCTGCAAGTATGTCTTTGAAAACTTCCTTTTTGGTCTTCTCATAGAATGCGGCATAGATGACCCTTGCTTCGGAGTAGTGCCGCAAGCAAGGCTCCCATCGCTTCTCGCTCGACTGATTGTCGGCGGAGCGTTGGCCTTCTGACTGCTTCTCAAATTCTTCGCTCCCTGCCAATGTGGCATGATATGCTCGTGCCTCCAACACACCGTCATCATTGGCGTTGCTGGCCTCGCGATTGCCAAGAAGCTCCAGCAGCTCTTTGGCAATCTTCGCTGCCTTGGCTAATCGAGAGATGATGTGGCTTCGAGTACTCCCCGTGATCCCCTTCCCGCTAGCGCCTTCACTGTGGCTAGCTTTCATGTACATCGCATGGGCCCATGCTCGCTCACTGGTGAGCAGCAGTAGGTGTGCGAACTCGTGGTTACTCCCAACGTCCTCGGCCGTTACGTCTCGCTTTGCGAACTTTTCCCGCTTCGGTGTTGCTCGACCGAGCCGTTTGCGCAGAGCGAGCAGTTGCCGCGACAGTTGTGCTCGATAGGTGCTGTAGTCGCCAACAAGTAGAGCTTCTCGCCGGGTAGCGATGAATTGTGTTAGCTCCATGGTGTTCTCACGCCCCCTCCAGCCTTGTTTAACAGCAGCCTTTCACACGCTTCTCAGGCGTGCCGCGAGACAGTTAGACGTAAGGCAAGTACAGTAATATCGAAATGTGCCTTTGCAATGGTGCTACGAGGGGTCGCAGCCTAAGGCCAGCATGCCTTGGGACAGCTGAGCTTTGAACAAAGGCCACGCACCAATCAAGGGACTTTAACCGATAGACTATAGATGCTGAATGCTTATATCCCCTTCGTTCGACTGCTTTACACTCCCTCACGTGTTACAGTAGCCTTCTGTGAGACGATATCGTCTTTCCCTTCGTGCGATGTTGGGAAACCAATCGCTACTATTTGGTGACCGTGTAAACATTGAACGAGCCAGTGCCGTTTGTAACATAAGAGTAACCGGAGCCCAGGAAGAGGTACTCATCTTGCACGGCGACACTGCCCCATGTTGCCTGATCAGTCGGTACATACTCCAACACTTGACCCGTAAACTTGTCCAGGGCGATGAGTGCTCCCTGAGTTCCTGGCGGCGGAACGAAGTAGAAGCGGCCCGCAGCGCTTACGAGCACTACGTCATTTACGACAGTAGGCGCGGAATAGGCGACATAGTCGTTAGGTACTGGCACCTCCCAGAGTAGCGTGCCACTGTTGAGGGCAGCAGCGCCGTATGCGCTTGCGTTGGTCGCAACACCGGATGGCTGCAGCGTCCAGGCGGTTTGACCTGAGTTGATGGCGGTGAAGTACACGGACTGCTGGTCAACAGCTATACCCCATGAAAGACCACCGTTGCTGCCGGAATCTGGGCTTGTCTATTCCGATCCGTCAGCGTTGCCTGCAAGCATTGGCAATGAGAAATCTGGCGAGTACCTGTGTGGCCCAGTAGATCGTGCCGTTTTCGGCATCCATAGCGAACAGGACGCCACTCTTCTGTCCGGTAACTACAACATCGCGGCGGCCCGGTGTGTTAGCATGAGCACCGGCGACAAAAGCCGGAGCCATACTTCAGTCACGGTCAACACACAATTTGCCACAAGTGGGAATCGGAGACTCACCCGAAATCTGCATCAGGGCCGGGAAAGGGAGGACAGCTCGGTTGGGCAGGAGCCAATCCCGGGATACCACAAGCCAGCGTCCACGCACCAAGTGGTGTAATCTCTTGTTGCCAGTTGACACGGCCACTGGCGATGTCGACTGCAACAATGGACTGCTGCTTTACATCTGCGTAATTGTAGCATGCTGAGTCGTCAGAACTGTTCCTGGCAGTCACATCATTGACGCACGCCTGCACGGTTGCAGGGACCGTATAGCTGGATACTGCATCAGCGAACAATGCTCGCTCCAAGCTTAACGAAAGGAAGCAAACCCTACATATTACCAGTGCCGTAGAAGACCTGAGATCGCTGCACATCAATGGACGGCTGACTTCCCCATACTGATGCTCCTGCCCAACCTCCCGGGCCGATAACAACGTTCTCAATGGAGTTGACGAGCCAATCACGTGCAAAGGTCCCGGTAGATCGATTGAATGTATAGGCGCCAAAATTGCCGGTGAAGTTGCAGCATGGGTATCCGGGAATCGATGCAACAGAGATTTCCGAACTTGAAGCTCCAACAAAGACTTTGCCGTTATAGAACGTAGGGCTATCGAAGGATAACGCTACACGTCAGCGATGTATTAATACATGAGCAGGGGTAGCAGGCTTGACTGTGTACCTCTGCGTTATGATAGCAAGCGGATGATCGTTGATCGGTATCTGCCCCAAAATGGTACCACTCCTGAGGTCCATGGCAAAGAGCAGCGCGTGGAGCAGCGATCCAGCGTACAGAACATTCTGCTTCTGATCAATTTGTGGGCTCGTGCGAGAGCTGACTGGTATGAACGAGAGTTGTTCCACAGTTGGAACGCCATACTCGATCAAATAAGCCGTGACTGCTTGAAATCAGCTAGCTCTTCCAAAGCGTTCTGAAGCGTCAGATTTACTGTTGGTTTGCCAGACCGCTTGGCAGGTAACATAGTTATAGGCGACAAATGCTCCTGACCACGTCGGAAAGTACGCAATATCGCCCAACAATGCCGGCGGAGCGCTGACACCCTCTTCGAAGCTGATCTTGCAGCGCTGTGTCAGAGATGAGATGGCGTTCGAGGACACTTCAGCATTGTGCGCCACGAATCGGTTGTTAAGGTAAGAGTTGCTCCAGCCGCTCCACTCCCCGTTTGCAAGGATGGGCGGCAAGCCAAACCATTGCGCGAGCTCTTGGCAGCTGGCCGCAATTGCGGTCTTGATGTTACCGTACGGAAACAGAGGAAACGAAGATGCACCGGAGAAGAAGATAAGCGGTGGTAGGGTCTTGCGAAGATGCATCTTAGGTGTATTTCAAGGTATCCAGCTGGCTAGTGCTAGAGGTTCTCTCCGCGGAGAGCGAAATGAACAAACTTGGTATAATAAGAAGCCTACTGTACCTGCTGCTGCTGACCTTCGTCAATCCTGCCAAGGCTGCCTGAGAGCGATCAGCTTGCAATGCATGGCGCCTGCAGCATGCTTATACCGCGTAATTGATGATCAGCCAGCCACCACAGTCGCTTGCAGTGTCGTCCCGCAGTCGTGAATACAGAGGATCCATCTGCGACACTATTTCAGCATGTGAGCTGCATCACTTCGGCGAACAACACCGTTCCCCACAAGGGTTTGATATAAATCCCTGATGATGAGGGCTTGTCTCCCACAGTCTCGACCGCCTTTGTAGGATGCGTACGGCTGCAGTAGCAGCGAAGCCAATCCGCCTCGATCCTCAGCGGCCGTGCCTGGTCGGTCGCCTGAAACGCCCCACTTGCGAACAAGCGACATGTGGTACATCAGTGGCACGACATGGGCAAGGGACTTGCATGATGCTCTCAGCGATCGTGAGGCAATGTCGGCCGTGGACCATGAACAGCCTCGCGAAGCTTGCTACAGTCGCAGAGCTGCCATGCTATGCCGGTGGGGCTGTACAGTAGGGCAATGCGGGAGGATGAGAAAGCGACCAGTGTCGAAGCTCCGCGCCAAGGATGGAGTCTTCCGTCTCTCGCAGGGCTTTTCGGATGTGGTTGCCGCGTGATTTCTCAATTCTTAGGTCGACAAGTCTACTTAATGCTTCTCAAGTTCGTACAGGCACCGAGTGCGGGTACACAATTGCTCCTAAACAACTCGTAGAGCAGTCCCTGATCCAAAAACGTTTGGTAGCGCTGCCGGTCTTTTACAACGCACTCGACAGAGACCTTCAGGCAGCGCGAATCGAGGCTACACTCATTTCTACCATCGCTCATGGCTGAGTGTACTTACGAACATTGAATCTATCGCGAGTAGGAATTCTTGCCACATGAGCCTGCAGCTTGCTCGCAATTACGGATCAACAAGTATCGAAGACCGCCCTATTGGAGGAACGTATCTGACAGATACTGGTCCTCAGACAGTTGCCGGTACAAGCCGGTGTCCTTGCGCTCTGCTTCGTCGACAGGTACAAATATTCAGATATCAAGGTGTTGTTGCTCATCATGCGTTGTGTCACGTTGTCCCAGAACGTGGCGTTGAGTGGAGCCGTCGCGGGCCACTGATGCGTCGGGTCGTAGATTGTGCGGATATCGTACTCAAACTCCCATACCGGTTCCGAATTCCAGGTGAGACTGTTCGAGATGTTGGCGAAGTAGGTCTGGCCGTTAACAATTTCAAAAGTTGCGGCATCGACCTGATACACAGACCAGCCAGCATTGTAGTTCGTGAGAGGGACGATTGACGGACCAATATAAGCCACGCTGATTGGAGCGTTGTAGTTGATGTTTGTGTAGTTGGTAACGACGCTGCTGCTGTTCGCAGACACATTGCCGCGCTGAAGATCGTAGAAGATCTGCTTTTGATCTTTGTGAGTGTGCCCGAAGAAGCTATCGTTGGTCAGCCCGGAAAACAATCGTCTGTCTACATGATGTAGCCAACTCACATTCCCGCAATAGTAGCGGGCGAATAGCGTGCCACAATACTGTGGAAAAGCACAGAAGGATTGGCCACGGCCGAGGATCCACCGCTTGGTACATGGCCCAGAATCCACACCCGTTGGCCTGCCTGCTCAGCACTCGCAAGCTCACCAGCCAGGAAGCGCAGGATACCGCTCTTGTCGGGGTTGGTATAGTTGTAGTAGTTGAAGATATTGGGAGTATACCTGCAGAGTGATGGATGGGAGGGTCAGTCAGGTGGGATGAAACTACACAGCGCTGCGCTTACCAGAAATCAGAGTTGATGGAAATGATTCTGAGTCCAGACGAGGTCGTCGTGGCGTAAGCGCCATAATGTGTAGCAGCATAGTACGCGGCGACTTCGTCCAACCAGCCTTCTTTCTGCCATGCTGCCGAGACAAGCTGGTAGTTCCAGGACATCTCATTCGGTAGCGAGTCGTTACGGAAACCGTTCGGCTCGTTGAAGCCCGATGGCCAGCTGTCGTGGTTCCCCAGAGTAGCGTAGACCGGTATGTTACCAAGCTGGGCCTTGAAGGTGTCGTAAGCGATCTGCTCCTCGTAAGACGTGAGCGCCTGGCTCTCTTGGTTGGTTCGGTCATGCGATACTATATCGCCGGTGAACTACGATGTGAGAGCCTGTCAGTAACGATGCATACGGTGGACATTCGATGTGTTCATCGCTGACGTACGATCGCGAATGGCACTGAAGAGAAGTTCACGTTCTGCCGCATACTCTGGAAAGCGGAGAGTCCAAGGTCGGGGGGTGTGTCGCAGAGAAAGTCGCCAAAGCGAGAGGCGGGCAGAGAAGCGTTAGATGTAGTGGTATGCAGTGCAGAATTGACAGAGTCGAAACGGCAGCACAGTCCATTGGTGCAATTCGCCTCCGAACCGACATCGAAGCGCGGGTCCACTGCCAGACGGTAAGCGATCGATCACGGCCGAAGTTGTAATGGTAATGGACTTACTGTGCCAGTCACTGAAATGCAGTACATTAACTGTCCTGCCAGAAGGAGGCGGCGCGACCATCTTGCTAGCCGGCTTCGGCGTGAACCACTCGCTCTCATTAATGGCCACCACGGGCGGCGCAGGACAGAGCGAAAACTCGTAGTAGCAGAACGCTTGCATATCACCGGTAGCGAGACTCATCTTCTGCAGTAGTTGGGCAGCGTATGGCCCCAGGCCGCCCGTGCCAGAAACATAGGACTGACAAGACCCACCGTCCGTATAGGCGGTTAGATTGAAGGCCACGCAGCTGTCGATGAGGATCTGCGTGATACTGTCCTGCGAGAGCACGAGAGAAGCGAGGTGCAGGACTTCTAGGCTCGACTGACATATCTGGCAGATGTTGTTACCCAACTTACCGGTCCCTATCGCGTAGAGCTCCTGCAGGACAGAATTAGTGATTTGCTGCGTTGACAATGCTGGCAATGGCGCTGGCTCTGGTGTGGTGACATTGATGCCAGGCACCGGACCGGAGCCATTGAAGTACAGAATCGGCCCGGACAAATTTGGGATGGTGTTTGTCAGCGTTTGATCAAGCGCACTTGCTCGACGTTGGAGACCATGGCTAGTGGTAAGAGATGCAAGCAGACCGTGCAATAAGAGATACTTGAAGGAAGACATCTCGCTCTGGTTGCGAGCCGAATCACTCGCCTAGGTATAGGGAGGTGACAGCGGTGGTTGCGGATGCAGTAGGAGGATATATACGGAATTTGTAGCTCTTCCGTCTCGCACGTTGCAAAGGCGGACGCATATTTGCGACCTACCTCTTTCGTCTTCTTAGCCTTGCATAGCCTCCACAAGGTGTAGATGCTGGTAGGAGGTACATCAGACAAGTTGAAGCTCAGCCTTTACCCCACGTGCAGGACTAAGCTGCTGGATCGTGACGTACCCCGGCAGGCCAACGAGTGAATGGTTAGCGACGACTTCATCGAACATAGCAAGTCTTAGAATGAAGCGCATGTCCGCCAATCAGTGTTCAGCACCCTCTGCAAAATGTCCGTCCACGTGCTGAGTGGTGCTTCCCCGAGCAGTACCGCCGCAGCGGTATCGCTTCGAATGTGGAGCTTCGAATGTGGACGGTCTATGGGATGTAGTCCGCATTCCTGTCTAAGAAGCCGTTTCGCAGAGTGGAACGTGGTCAAGCGCATTGGAATGCTGAGCGCTCAAGAAGGCTGTAAGGACATCACAGGCCCATAAGTCCGCTCCAGTCCGCCAACGGCCCTCCCATAAGCGCTTGACTAGCAGCCTCAACTAGGCGTACAGCTTGCTTGCCGCGGCCTTGGGCACCCAGAGAGTCATAAATGCAGCTTAGCGTCCAACTCCTCAGTCTGTCGACACTCACCGTCCCGCGCCAGATACCATCCTTGTACGACAAGGCGCTCCACACTGCCAGAAGGGCTTGCGTAAGGAAGACCATGCCGAAGTCGCCTTTCGTGCGACCGTGGGATATGGACATGACGATGTCTGCGGCGAGGCGAGCTTGTTCGATTTCTAGGCCTGTGAGACTCAGGTTTGCAGAGTCCGACGTCGGCCAAAGCAGGTCCGGCAAGCTGCGCATGAGGTAGACGCAAAGGTTGACGAGGTTCAAGCGTGTCTGCCAGTAGAAGACGGCGGCAGAAAACACTTCGCTGCTTTCGAAGACGAATGAAAAAGGCGTGATTGCGCGGTCGACTGGACGTTCGGTCCGAGCAACGCGTAGGTCGTGTAACATCTTATCTTCGGATGCGCTGTTATTGCTTTTTGAGTACGTGTCTGCTAGGGTACCCATGGTCGCTATCACTGTTCCGTCACCTATTTCAGGTTCATTTAGTATCCTCCGAGCGTCGGCAATGAGCCGTGGCAGCCGTATCAGAAGCTGCTGACCGGTACGCCTGAGCCTGGCAACATGATCGGGAATCACATCGATTGCAGCTGGCTCAATACTAAGAAAGAGGTCATTATCGTACGGAGAAGCGACGCCTTTTGCACAAGGCACTCGGAACAACTGGTCCCACATCGAATAGAACATCGCTCGTACCAGATCGCTCGGTGGATAGCTAGACGATCGTGCCAGAAGTAAGGCAGTGACTCCGGACCAATGCCGGAGATACGTGCTGCGAGGGTTACCAATAAGCGTCTCATAATGCGACAAGATGGCAATCGCGAGCAAAGTATGGTCTTCGTACCGCTCCGTAGGCGATTCAATGCACTTCTGCACTAGGGAGACTGCTCGGGCATAGCTGGTAAGTGCGGCTTCGAGCGCGGATTTATCGAAGCGCATGGTTCGGTAGTAGCGGTGGGCTTGACTCAGCGCTTCTGCTGCAGCATCTACCGCCTTGTGCCGGCCGAGGTGGGATGGGATGAAGGCGAACCAGCAGTGGCGGAGCTTCATGTCGCAGATATCGTGGGCAAGCCTGGTCTGCAATCTCGTCTCTGCGGACGTGGGGTGGTAGCGTAAGGCGACGCGAGTAGCACTTTCGGATCCTGGAGGGCTGACCTCGGAGCAATCGTTAAAGCTTACGGGTGGGATATGTCGTTCACCGCAGTGTCGACACCTTGGGTCCTCCATCTTCGCTGGACGAATCCTTTCCGCTGCCGATAGAGTTCGGCGTTTGTTGCCATGTCTTCGTTTCTGCACCTCATCGCGAATGCTCTGAGGCGTGAAGATTGCAAACTCTATTCCCACGGGAGGTGACGCATCGATCATCATTGCTGGAGTGTTAGGAGCCTATGGCGTGAAGTGAGGTTGCTAACATCAAGGTGGAAGCAATCGCATATGGCGCAGGGTCCAGCCTGTTTGTCAGCAGCATATTGGCTTCACCTGATGGCGAAGCTTATCTAAAAGACCGTCCTTTGCTATCGTGCCATCATTTGTGAAGCGTATGTTAGCTCAGCACTAGCCGTCTGCGGTATTAAAGCTGTCGACATACCGCGACTCGTCGACTCATGCCACATCTTCCTCCGTATTTAGGCAGATGGGTGAGAAGGAACGTCTGGCTGGGAATGAATATATTACATCCGCCTAGCCTATGCCTATGTAGTTCACACTGCACTGCAGTCTTTACCACGTCGTCCGAGACACATCGCTATCGTAGCTGAAGAAGGAGTCGAGAGCATCAGTATGTGGTAGCTCCGGTGCTGGAACGCTTGCACGCGCCTAGTGCTTCGGCGGGTACTTGTTCTTGAAGAACCATCTGAAAACAAATTAGCGTACCGTTATCGTGCGACGGTAGGGACTACTCTTACTGCGACACATAGTAATCGCCAACAGCGAACAGCCCAACCGCACCCGCCCACATCCCAATCACATTCCAGGTCAAGGTGCCCGCCTTGTGCATCCTGTACGCACTGGTACCGAGCAGCGCACCCAATGCCGTGATCACAACCGCATTGCCAATGACGACCGGGTTATTCTGGTTCTTCTCCGCCCATTCCTGAGTTTTCTTGCCCTCGACCTTGGCATTCTCCGCCTGCTTCTCGGCCTCGCGGCTGAACTCGTGGTACTTCTTCTGCGCGTCGCTGGACATCTTGTCCCAGTCCTCCTTGGCCTGCTGCGTGAACTCCTGGTACTTCTTGGCGCTCTTGGACTGCAGGCGGGAGGCGGACTCCTCGGCACGCTTCATGAAGTCGCGAGCTTCACGGCTGGCCTTGTCCGCCGTCTCCTTGGCGTCGTTCTCGAGCTGCTGGGCATTGCGCTCGACTTCCTCGGAGGCCTTCTGCTGGTCGGAGTAAGACATGGCTTGGATGTGTTGACTGCCGGAGGTTTTGTCTAGAGTGTGGACTGCGCTGTCGTCATGCAGGATCTCAGGGACTGCGTGAGGGATCTCTAGCAGTGTAAGGGTGAGTGGGTTAGTGGGCGGATGAACACTGATAAGGGGTCAAATAGAGGGAACTTCGTACTCTGCCACGCCAGGTTAATCACTTGGTTAGCCCACATGCACCACGCACGTCATAGCGTAGACGCGAAGCTCATACTCATGGACTCACCTCTTCGTCGCTCTGTTTCGGGCCCTTCTTGGCGACGTCGGCGTAGGACATCTCGTCGGTGGTGCTCAAGCTACTCACGCTATCCTCCACCTTGTTCGGCCGATGCAGCAGACCCTCGGGTGAAGCCAGCTTGTCGACGAGTTACGCGAGTCAACTCCTTGCCTTGATGGAAAGGCGATCGGCACGTGAGTTGGAAAGTATGTTCGAGTCAGAGATAGCGAGGTGAGCGGTTGCAGGAACGTGGAAGCAGACCCGAGATGGTTGGCTGTCACATGCACCCACGCCCACCTTCACCAACCTTGCTTGCTGCCCGCCACAAGCTTGCTGCACCACCGGTCTTGGCTTACGTAGTGGCTGTGCTGTGCTAGTAGGTCTGTGCTGAAGCTGTCCCGTCGCGGAATTTGTCGCGTGTCTCACGTGAAACTCACTGCTGCACAATTAAAAGCGTGCCTTCTTATTTGGGAGAGACTTACCATGTCTGCAGGCTGGAATACGATGTAAGAACAACACCACCTTCAAACAATGCTCACTTACTCCCGCTAACAGTTGCTGCTACCAACAGAGAGTCCGACGCCGTTCGTTCGCCTCCCCTCCTGCCCTACACCATGTGGCAAGCCAAGGTCCAGCTAACCCATGCTGCGCGCAGGGAGTTTTCACCTTCCTTATCGAGAGTCTCGGCGTCAAGAACGTGCAATTCGAAGAACTCCTCGACCTCGACCCGGAATCGCTACAACAACTCAACCCGATCGGCGTCATCTTCCTCTTCAAATACCCCACAGGCGAGAAGCCACAACGCGACAAACCTCTCGACGGCGACTTCGACTTCGCCGCCCTAACAGCCCCACATGAACAAACCGACTTCGACACCAACACCAACCACCCTCTCTGGTTCGCAGCGCAAACCATCCAAAACGCCTGCGGCACGCAAGCCCTTCTCTCCGTCCTCCTGAACAAAGACTCCGCCTCCGCCTCCACCTCCTCCGCCTCCGCGGAAGCAGAAGCCGAAGCAGGCGCCATCGACATCGGCCCCCAGCTGCGCGAATTCAAAGACTTCACCTCCGCCTTCCCCTCCGACATCCGCGGCGAGGCGCTGAGCAACAGCGCCCTGATCCGCGACGTCCACAACTCCTTCGCCCGCTCCAGCCCCTTCGTCTCCGACGACACGCGGCTGGCGACGGAGGAGGACGACGTGTACCATTTCATCGCCTACACCTCCATCAACAGCACGCTCTACGAGCTCGACGGCCTCCAACCCGCGCCCATCCGGCATGGCGACGCGGGAGCGTGTCCGCCGGAGATCTTCGCCGATGCCGTCGTCCCCGTGCTGCAGCGGCGGATAGCGCGGTACCCGCCGACGGAGATCCGGTTTAATCTTCTCGCCATGTGTGAGGATTTGCGGGTGCGCGCGCGGGAGACGGGGGATGCGGAGATGCTGGCGCGGGAGGAGCGGAAGAGGCGGGAGTGGCGGTGGGAGAATGCGTTGAGGCGGCACAATTTCGTCGGGTTGATTGGGGACGTGATGAAGGGGGTTACGGCGGCCAAGGTGAGGGAGGGGACGTATGGGGCTTGGATTGAGGAGGCGAAGGCGGCGACGAGGAAGAGGGTGGAGGAGAGGCGGGGGAGGGGGCAGGCGGGGGATGAGATGGATGTTTCGTGAACGCCGCCACGAGGATGGAGTTTGCTGCTGCAGCACTTATACCACTCTGATCATGTTAGGCAAGGTCATGATGGTAGTTGCTTGAGCAAAGCTAGGTCTGAGAGCGCAGATTACTCTGATTCAGACATTACTACATTATGATTATCGTCCAACGTATCGTTACAGCCATGTCGTACATCCCTGCTGCTGCCAGCAACTCCACGCTTGATCCATTGCAACCCAAGGGGTATTACTGCATGATCTAATCATACAAATGCTCACCTCCCATCAACCGAGAGCGGATGCACCGCAAGCAGTGCTCGACACATATCTCGTCTAGTAGTTGGTGGCGGTGCCAGCCGTACGACTGTTGTCGTAACCGTACGGGTTGACACCAGTACCCTGGGGTTGAGTGTAATAACCACCATGCGTACCGTGCGGCTGGTGGCCGTGGTGTGCATCAACCTTGTCGTAAGAAGCAGTGCCCGGTGCCGCGACGGTCGAACCTGTATAGCCCGTCTCATGGCTTGGACGAGTGTCGTGCTGCCCTGCGGCAAGTCCACCAGCACCCGCACCGACACCTGCAGCGCCTAGCTCGGCCTCGTGAGTCGCGTTGTGCTTCTTGTTCTTGCGACCAAACATGCCCCTGCGCTTGCCCGGGCCACTGGTATAGTTGTTCGACGGCGAGGGACCATACCGCTTCTCCTTCTTGTGATGGCGCACAAGCGCGATCTGCATGACAGCCGTGACGAGGAAGAGCACCGCAGCAATAAGGGCGACGGCGAAACACGCGGTGTTCAGCTTGCAAGCGGTGCGGAGGATGACCGAGTACGTGGCGTTGTTTTCACCCGAGTCGGACCCGCCGTTGCCGAAGCCACCAGTGCTGCTGCTGGCCTGGCCGTTGCCGAGCGGTGTCGTCACGTAGCCGGAACATTTGCTCGCGCCGCTGCGGGTGAGGATGGCGATGGCGATCATGGCGCCGAAGAAGAGGACGTCGAGGACCATGGCGATGAAGGCGAAGACTTCGACGCCGCCGAGGCAGCAGGTCAGGATGGTGGCGAAGATGAGGTAGAGACATGCTGCGCCGGAGAGGCCTTCGACGGCGCGTTTCCATGTGGCGATCTGGGTTGAGCACGTGAGCGTTAGTTGGTGGGTACATGAGTAGAAGGGGTTGGCGCTGCTTACGGGTAGATGGCGGTCGGCGAGGACGGAGAGGAAGTAGGAGTAAATGCCCAAGATGATGGCAGCGCAAAGGAATTCGATCGCGTAGAGGCCGCTTTGCAGTAGGCGCAATGCGCCGCCCTTGACGATGCCCATCTTGACCACCCAATTAATCAAGCTGTCGAAGTGTGTGGCGAGGGTGGTTGCGCGACACAGTCGTCGTATGTAGTTGTCTTCTATAGAGAATTAAAGATCGAGAGAAGTTGGCCAGGCACAACCCATACATGTATATTCAATTCCAAGCCTCCTTCCTAACCGAAAACCGGATCGCCGCTGCTGCGTCACACCCCGTGACCCAATGAGCCACCTGCGCCACGCTCGTAGATCTGCACCGTGAAATTGGAAGCCGCGTGAATCTGGCAAATCAGCGAATCTCCCTTTCACCAAACTGGCGTCACTGCGCCCATTGGGCAAGTTTTGGGTTTGATTTGGTCGCACCGCGTCCAAAGCCTGCGTGTATCGTACTCTAAACTCTTTCATTGAGCCGTTGAGTTCGAAACAATGACTCTGCACGTCATTGCAGGACTTCCGCGACAACCCTCAATATGATGGTAGCAGGAGACCGAGCATGCGCTATTGCCTGGAAGCAGCTTTTGGCATGATTAAGCATGACTTATAAGTTATACTGCGAACCGGCCAAAGTGCTGTTCCTTGAGCGCGATGAACATGTCCCCGCCCGCCGCCAGGCCGTGTTTTTTCAATATGCTCTGTCGAGGATTATAGTCGCAGAAGTATTCATCGCTTGAACGAGCTCGCAGGATCTGCAAGGCGGAGCTGTCTCCAGCGGGCTGAAACTGTAAGTCTCAGAGAGAACCTACGGCTGGTCAGATGACCTTGCGTTGCTGCACCTTAAGTCGGTCAACCTCCCCCACTGGCGCAACAAGACGCGGGAGATTTGGCCCTATGCCGGTTGATAATATACTGTTCGCTTGTCATGCGCTCAACGGAGATTCTTCAAGCACTCCAAGGGCACGCGAGGAATACCGACTATGAGTCCACCTGAAGCGCGTCTCGGCTATTAAAGCCTCGTTTGCAGACGAGACTACTCATTCTAGGCGATCAGGAACATGTCCGAACGGCAAGCACCAGCATCAATTCGGCCAGGAGTTCCGCGGTGCTTCGGCGCCGTACCCGAGGAATAATACGCTCTCTCAACACATCCATGAGCCGTTAGTGATATCTGACACGGTCTGGAACGAGCCACAAAGACATCGTCTCGTACTTGGGCGTCGCCCCGTCACGATAGCACTAACAAACGGCCGACTTCCTCGCACATTTGGCCGAGCTGCAGAGGCTTTTTGTCAACGCCAATACGGACGATGTCCGAAGGCGTCGCCAATGCTGGGCTCGCCAAGTACGGCGGGACGAGTTTCTCCGAAAGCTCCGCAGCGTATAAGCAGCCAAGACACCCTTCTCCCAAGCACAGCACAACTACATGTGCTCCCCTCACTTCGAGCGTCACGCCCGCCAACCCTTGGCCCTGCTGCCAATGTTCGCTCTCCTCCGTAACCTTGGCCCTACAAGACATCTCAAAAGGAATCTTATCGCTCTGGGCCCGGTTCTTTCTCGTGTCGTGTGGATCGCCTATCGGAGTCTGGGCCGTGTGTATGCACGATGGCAGATATGCTGCACGTGTGGTTCGCGTGACCAAGACCCACACCCGTCTCGTGGACTGCGATCCCAAGCCCCATGGGGAGTGTCGGGGAGCATTAGGGCATGTAACGCTATATCGACTCGGGGCACATATCGAGGATGAGGATGCACGATAGCGGTGAGTGAGAATAAAAAGGTTCCATATCTGCTCTCACAAGCGTCTCCCTCGTCTCATCCGTCTATCTCGCATTCTCTCTCTTCCTTCGTGCGATACATCCCTCTTCATCCCCGTTCAAGAACCTCAGGCAGTTGGTTCTCACAATGGGAGGCGGCGGCAAACCCCAGAACATCTTCAGACTTCGCCTGGGTGAAGACCCACGCGAAGTACTGAACTGGCGACTATGGTTCGCCGTGCTGAGCTTTGGGGTTCGTACCTGCTCCTCCCCTCCCTATGTTAGAGCAAGAATTGACAGCGTTCGATTAGATTATGGGTGCGGCACGCGGTATTGACGAAGGCCTCGTCAACGGAACCTTCAAGACGAAGCACTTCCAAAACAGCCTACACCTCAAGGCGCTGAGCGCATCCGAGTACGCGAACGTGTGAGTCTGCCATATCTCACATACATCGTCGCTGTCTTCACCACGCCACGCCTTGCAAGGCGAGGACTCAGACGTATATGTTGGCGACTGGAGGCTGACAGTGGCATGTTGTTCAGCCACGGCAACGTCGTCGGCATGGTGCAAATCGGCAGCGTCGTCGGTGCCCTCCTCGCCTTCGTCGTCGCCGACCGCATCGGTCGCCTCTGGGCCACCCGCCAACTCTGCCTCCTCTGGATCCTCGGCATCGTCATCTTCCTCACCAACGGCGGCCGCCTCGGCCAAGTCTACGCCGGGCGCTTCATCGCAGGCATCGGCATCGGCGAGACGACCGTCATCGCGCCCGTCTACATCGCCGAGATCGCCCCGCGCAGCGTGCGCGGTCTCTGCACTTGCGTCTTCGCGGGCTCGGTATACATCGGGATCATGCTTGCCTATTTCGCTGTCTGGGGGAGCTCGTTACACCTTAACCAGAACAGCCCCAAAGCCTGGATCATCCCTACCTCGATCCACCTGATGTTCGCCGGCTTGATCTTCATCCTATCGTTCTTCAACTACGAGTCCCCGCGCTACCTCGTCAAGCAAGGCAAGACCGAGCACGCCATCACCAATCTGGCCCGCATCCGTGGCCTGCCCGCTGACCACGAGGTCGTCGTGCGGGAAATCCGAGATATTCAGAAGCAGTTGGAAGAAGAGCAGGAAGCGACGATGGGTGGTGGTTTCTTCGGCGTGGTCAAAGAGATCTTCCTCATTCCGAAGAACGCCTTCCGCTTGTATCTTGGCCTTGGCACGCAGCTGCTGTCGCAGTGGAGCGGTGCGAGCTCGATTACCATCTACGCCGTCGACTTTTTTGCGCTTCTGGGCACCAAGGGTCAGAGGGAGTCTTTGTTCGCAACGGTTAGTCTCATCCATCCCACGCGGCTTATCAGATAACATGCACTGACGATTGCAAAAGGCCATCTTCGGCGTCGTCAAGTTCGTGGCCGCCATCACCTGCGCCCTCTTCCTCGTCGACGTCATTGGCCGGAAGCGCAGCTTGAGCATCGGTATCGCTCTGCAAGCCATCGCTATCCTCTACATAGCATCCTTCCTGACGGCCGTGCCGAATCTGGGGGAAGAAGGGTACAAACTCACGGCCAGTCAGAAGCCGGCTTCCGTGGGCGCGATCGTGATGATTTACGTTTCCGGCTTTGGGTGGGCGATGGGTATGTCTCCACACATCCACTCATGGTGCGTTCGTTCGATTGACTGACTGACTTGTTTCGGCAACAGGCTGGAACTCGGTGCAATACCTCATCAACGCCGAAATCTACCCCCTGCGCATCCGCGCCATCACGAGTTCGGTGGTGATGTGTTTCCACTTCAGTAAGCCTTCTCCCCACCACCCCCCTTATAGCATACCCAACCAGACACTGACACACCATAATTAAGTAAACCAATGGGCCAACTCCAAAGCCGTGCCCACCATGCTGCTCGACCCGGCCCAGGGCGGCCTGTCGGCCAAGGGCACCTTCTGGCTCTTCTTCGCCATCACCGCCATCGGAGGCGTGTGGGTGTGGTTCACCATCCCCGAGACGGCGGGACTGTCGCTCGAGCAGATGGATCATGTGTTTTCTTTGCCGTGGTGGAAGATTGGGCTGTTTGGGCGTAGGGAGGCGGAGGTGCAGTTTCAGATTGAGCGGGAGAGGGAGTTGGAGGAGAAGGTTGAGCCCCTGCAGGTGGAGAGGGTGGAGGCGGGGGGGAAGGTGTAGATCTACGAAGGCCATGGAGGCGATGAGAAACGCTCGATGTCGTGATGGACTCTCTAGCTGTGAGGATGAGATTACGCTTTCGATATCAAATGGTTATATACTACGACTATCATAGATGCTCACATCATGAATCGATACTTCATCACTCCACATTGACATCATTATCATTAATATCACCCAACTAACGCTCACTTGGAATAAGCAGGCAACTCCTCCTCCCCGCCTCCACCCCCCGCCTCCCCCACCCTCCCCCCACTCTCCGTCCGCTCACTCGGCTTCAACCGCCGATTCCCCTCCAACACCCTCCTCGCCCCCTCCAACGCCCCCACCATCGCCTCATCCCCCGCCTCCCTCGCGGCCTCCATCTGCCGCTCAATCTCCGCCTCCTCCTCATCCATCAGCCGCCACCGGTTCTGCTCCTCCTCCCAGAAGAACAGGAGGGTGATGAGCTTGCGCTGCGCGTGCACGCTGATGTGCGCGACTTGGTTGGCGAAGTGTTTGGTGATGGCCGTGGTGTCGACGAGGCCCGTGGCTTTGGCGATGCAGTTGTTGCGGCGCAGGTCTCGGTGGACTTGTTTCGAGGTGTATTGGTTTTCTGGATTGGAAATATGCATGAGTGGGGGCGGATCC